AGGTGGATTGGCTCGAGGTGGATTGGCTCGAGGTCTCCGTAGGCGACACGGTGGATTGGCTTGAGGTCTGCGTGGGCGACACGGTGGACTGGCTCGAGGTCTCCGTGGGCGACACGGTGGATTGAGTCGCGGTGGAGTGAGTCGGCGGCGAGACAGGAGACAGTGTCGATTGACTGGTCGATTGGCTTGTAGAAGTCTGCACAGGAGACTCAGTGGATTGGCTGGTAATCGTCCACACCGGCGATTGAGTCGATTTGCTGGTAGCCGTCCACATCGGGGATTCAGTCGACTTGGAAGAATGCGTCCACACTGGGGATTCAGTTGACTTGGAAGAATGCGTCCACGCAGGGGACTCGGTAGATTTGGAAGACCAGCCCCATGTCGGGGTGGAGTTTGGCGATTGGGTCGCGGGCGTCCATGGCGACTCGGTCGTCGTGGTTCCCCACGAGTGATCGGGAGACTGCCAGGGGAAGGGCGCGGCCCAGACGAGGGGCAGCAAGGCCTGAACGGCGATAATGGGAAGCTTCATCTTTCAACGACAGCCTTCAATGAGCGACTGAGAAGAGAAATGAATGGGAAAGAACGATGGGGGACGATGACGGGGAAGCGACAGGGATGGGCCTCCGTTCAAATATTCGGCGACAGGATGGCGAAAAGTGGACAGCCTTGCTAGGAGATGAGTGTGAAAGGGCTTACGCAGTTGGGGCCAGCATCGGCCCGTCCACTTACGTCCGTCGATGATGGCGAAGGCGGGCCCCCCGTGATGTTTGTTGCCCACACCACCCTCCTCACCGAGGAAAAGCACCGAACAGGAGGTTGGGATCCACCGGGGATGGTATTTGATATGAAAGTCAATATTCTCCTGGTCGGCAGGATTGTCGACGTTTGACAACGGGAGATGCCGGATGGGGATAGTGTCCGCACCTGTTGGCCACTTTGGTGGTGTGTGAGACGCGTAGTTCGGGATGTCAAGCGCTTGATGTGGAGTTGGACTTCCGTAAAGGGGTGTACTGACGCCGTAGACGCTGGAGGCTAGCCAGGCACCGTCCCAGATCGGTGGGAGGTATCCACTGTGCAGCGCCGCGTGGTTGTGCCTGGACCATGGTATCCAGAACCAGATGAAGAGTAAAGCATAAGGACATTGACTCTGAGATTGAACGTGGGAATTTGTAAGCCTACCTTCAACCCGCCATTCTTTGGTTCGAGGTCCTTGCCTTGGCTGAGGGAAGGCATCGTGATGCTGCTCGCCCGAGAAGTATTGCGTAGACACATCACAGTACAATGGCCGAGATGTGGGCTGGCTTGCACCAGGGCTGTCTGTGTGAGACGGATGTATCCATGGCGTCAAAGGCTTTCCAGTGGGGGCTACGAGATCTTCATCTCTCGGTGGACGGCAACGGGTAAGCCATTGGAGCGGATTGGGCGGCAAATGGCGACAGAACGACGGCGGATGCCAAGGTCGGGATGGGAAGGGCGATCTGGTTTCATAGCGATCTGCCGCACCGAAGTGGTCGGAGGTCTGTCGGAGGCTGTCAAAATTGTCAATGGTACGTGTGACGTTGGACATTGAGTGGAGAAGGTCAAGAAAGGAACGCCGTCGAGTCATCGTGCCTGAGCTAGCGTGAACGATGCAGTCAGGGGGAGATCACGGCATTGGCCAGGGCTTAGTATACGCGGCGTCGTACATCTGCCGAGAGCCGTTCCGCTGGCGTTCGCCTTGCTACGGGCCGATGGAGCACTCTGCTTGCGGGATAAGTTGAGGAGATGACTTCGACTCTGCTTCCATAGTATGCCATGGGCGGCACCGGCACAAGACGGCAATCACGCATGGCTGGGTCGATGAGGTCAATGGGCGCACGCGGATTGCCGGAGTGCATGGTTTTCGCGGCCGAATCTTGTTGAAAGTTGGGGTGCAAGAGCGGAGCACGTTCGAATAAGCATCGAGCCAGACGTGATCGAACCAGGGATCCGCGCAGACTTTGGCTTGGCGCGTGTGCAAAGCCTCCGAATCGGACATCTGCGTCAGCCGCAACTGTCGGAGATTTACCATTACCGCGGCACGGCGGCGTTGGGTTGTTCTTGAGGGTTGCGTCAAGATATTCGGCCGCGTGCGGCCATCCACGCTCTACGTGGCCAGATGCGTCGAATGCTCCGGGGCTGAGTGGTTATTCTCCGCTCGAATGAGATGGTCCCGGCTGTCCGTCTTCTCCATCATCTCCACTAGTGTTGAACATTGTGGCCACGCAGGCCCGGCAGATTCCCCAGTTCCCGGCATGGCGGCACATTGTCCAAGCGTCAGTATTTGAGAGCAATTCCAGATGTATAGTAATCTGAGGTGGAACCATTGGGCAAACAAGATTTGGCCTAGCAGGTTGCCCTAAGAAAGTCGCAGATGCAGGCGGAGGGCACGAATGGGATCCAGTACTAGGCTACGATGGCGACACATCGTCCATCACCACCGCGTGAAGTTGTGATAAGGAGCTTGATGATCTTGATGCCCCTGATGCGCTTGCCAACGCTTCCGTCCTTCCCGTTGCAGGGCGGTGAGGCCTTCTCAAGGTCATTGGTTTCCGAGCGTCGGGGGCTAGCGGGAGGCTGTACTCCCGCTCTTTAACCCATGTTGATCGTTCAGCTCACGTGATTTTCAGTCTCCTCCATGGTTAACCAAAGTCATTCTCGAATGATTGTCCGCAGAGAGCCGCAGATCACGAGAAGCATGTCACTTTCATGTGTCTCTACAACAGAGGTGTGTCGGATCACATGAGTTCAGGACTACTTGTCGATTTGTCATGCAAATATGTCGTCAAGCACTCAGTCAAGTCCCTGACCATTTATGACCACCCACACTTCTTCCTCGCTCAAAACTCAAACTCCTTCCTAAATGCCCCCAGATCCATATCCGGCCCCACCATCTCACTCAAATCGCGCCGCCCCATCTGCGTAAACACCCTACGCAGCGTATCGTACAGATTCGTACTCTGATTCTGCTGCAACAGCCCCTCCACAATCGAATCGTCCACGTCCCTCCCACTCCCATCCTGCAGCACCTCCTTCGCCTTCTCCCGGCCCTCCTGCTCCATCACGCGGTGCATGCTCAGCGCGCCGAGCAGGTGCACCGCCGCCTCCTCCTGCACGCCGAGGTTGATGCACGAGACGCCGAGGTTGTAGCGCGCGCGCACAAAGTTGGGCTTGAGGTCGAGGGCGCGCGAGTAGGCTTCGATGGCCTCCTCGCTCCTGCCGCTGTTAGCGAGCGTGGCGCCCAGCCGGTTCCAGAGGAGGTGCTCTTCGCCTTCGCGCTTCATCACGCCAATCTGCGTCGATTCCAGCGCGGCGTTGAAGCAGTCCACCGCTTTGTCGTAGTCTTCGCTGCCGTAGAAGAGCACGCCGAGGCCGACTTGGACGTCGACGTCCACGTCGGAGCCTTCTGGGTTGAGCTGTGCGGCTTCGAGGAAGAGGTTGGTGACGTTCTCGTGGAGGATGTGACGGTCGGTGAAACCCAGGTCTTCTTCTTCGTCGAGGCCGCGAGGCTTGACGCCGAGTTGGGGATATTTGACGCCGACCCAGCGTTCGAGGGTTCGGTATGCGAGAGAGTCGTAGCCTTCGTTGGTATAACTCACACTCAGGCCCATCAATGCTTCCAGATTGTTCGGATCCAGCTTCAACGCCTGTTCCAATGCCCGGATGGCAGGTGCTTCTTTCTCGTTTTGTGCCTGTGACTGCCCAAGCGCCACCCATGCTTCCACGAAGTCTGAATCCTTTTGAACAGCCGCTTCAAATGCTAATGCAGCAATGGATAGATTGCCACCTTCCCTCATGATTTTCAACCCCTCCTCGTATGCATTCGGGACATCCTTGAAAAGATTGTTCTCCTCAAACATGTAGGTCCCGAACTCTGGGGCATTCTGGAAGTCGCGGGTTGGAACCTCCCCGAACTGCCCCTCGAAGTCTTTCCACTGGTCGTATTCGTCGCCCATGTGACCGGCATAGTCCATGTCGCCAAGTAGATCCCTGCTGTCGTCAGCTCTAACTCCATGCCAGCACTCGATTCCCAACTCACCGGTCAATCTGGTTCAACTCTCGCTCCATCGCCTCTTCCGCTTCTTTATCCAATTCTTCAGTCTGATCTTCCGTGCTCAGCTGCTCGAATTGTTTCTCCCAGTCCGTATCACTCAGCTCTTGCACCCTGCCCTTCCCCTTCCCCTCGTACATCGGCTCCTGCGGTCGATTCATAAACTGCGACTGAAACATAGGCCGCTGCATCCCAAACCCCCCACCACCATACATGGGCTGCTGAAACGACGACTGTTGCTGATACGAAGGGCTCGCCGTCCGCGGCTGCGCCTGTTGCGCCCGAAAGCTAGCAAACTCCTGCGGATTGAAGCCAGCGCCCCGCTGCTGTGCAAACTCCTCCGGTGCAAAGTGAGGCGAGTGCTGTGCAAACTCGCCCGCCCAGTTCGGGCTCCCAGCGCCACCCCGCTTCAGCAGCTCTTGCTCTCTTCGCAGCTGTTCGAAATGTAGGCCGCCGGTGGGGAGCGCTTCGCCCATCTGCGGGCCCGCGTGGGCAAAATCTTGGAAGGCGGCATCGTCGGGTCGGGCCTGTTGTGTTCGGAAGCCGTTCAATTGGGGGCCCTGGCGAGAGGCGAGGCGATCGCGCTGTAACGATGTGTCGGCGGAGGTTTGTTTCTGGAATTGGGCGAGGGGGTTGGCGCCCGTGGAGCATTCTGGGCCGCCGAGGAATGACATGATGGCAAGGAGGGAGTGGAGGTAGTCGGCGTGTAGGGGATGTGATGTTCAAAGACGATGTGTGTGGTGGCTACTTAATGCATGTGCCGAGGGGTCATGTACCTCGGCGGTCGGTGATGTCAGGCCGGCCCAGAAGTACGCAGCCGTGCTCATGTTTTCACCGCCGCTTCGGAGACGCTTATAAATTGTATGCCGGGTGAGTACGTAAGGCTGCACGCATGTCACTTCATCCTCGTGATTTTCACTCTTCGTTGATACCTTCTGTTTATTGCAAACTTATGTGCCCTCAACAAAGATGAGAAATGGCGGCCATCATGCCTCTTACCGCAGCCAATCTTGCGACCGAACTGCATAATACCGCCAGCACCACCGCTCCCACTACTTTGACGAACTTGGCGGGTGCGGCTCGCGAATCAGCAGCCAAAAATCCTCCAGCCCTTTTCGGCCCGTGTAAGGCTCCAAGTCGACATGGAACTCCTCTTTGACCACAAACTCGTTCGACTTGAACATCTGAATCGAATTCTTCGTCGCGGGAACGACGGTTCGCGCTCCCGCACGGTCAGCAATGTCGTTGCAGTATCTCGTCAATCGCGTGCCAAGCCCCTTCTTCTGGTAATCCAGGTCGACAAAGGTCCCTCGACGGTCTGAAGGAGAAAGTAAGTCGTCAGCCTCCGTGCCAAATCTCTCACATGGACTGTGCGGGCATACGAAAGTCCTTTTCCGGGTCGTAACCATGCCGGGTCCCGGCTCCCAGGACGTCGAAGAACGTCGGTACCAACTCTGCCCTCATGCCCTTTGGGATCTCAGGGATTTGCATGGGTTCCGCCTTGTCTTGCTCGCTGATGTGTGCGGGAACCTGCGAATCGTAAGCCGCCATGTCATCAATATGGGCTTCATGTGTGCAATATGCCTGCAGCCCGGTGAAGGCGACAGTCTTGCTATTGAAAGACTTTTGTCAGAAGTGTGCTCACAGGAGAGTCAGGAATGGAAAGGCACAGCTTCGCTACCCGTTCTGTTCGTCCACAAGGACATAGAAATGGTGGTACGGTTTGGAGAACAGGCCGGCAAAACGGTCGCGCATCCATGCCACCGCATCTTCACGAGTCGCCTCGTGTTGAATCGCTGTCCAGAAGCTATAGTCTTGCCATGCATCCACTATGAGCTCCCCCATTCGGTGGAAATCCTGTGGAAGGGTCGCGTCTTTCAATGTGATAGCCATGTTGGCGGATAGTGACGAAGGTGTATGCAGGTTAAGGTGGAGAAGAGAATGGATCTGCGGGGACTCCACGCTTTTGAGTCCGACCCCACGTATGATACCTACCTGTGAGACTGAAACGGAAGGGCGGAGCCCATTCTTCAGCCTCACAGTCGCCTACATACATCAATGCCAGTCATCCATCAGATCGTCTGACTCAGCAAGGCGAGCCTCGCTCGTTCGGGCTCACACGCTGTCTGCCCGGCCGCAGATCGTTTATTCAGGATCCACCTCGTCCGCGATGGCAAGGAAGCGCGCCTTCGAAGTGCTGTCGCTGACACAAGGTGGTTTACTGTACAAGGTGACGTCCGGTGAGGCACATAAGGTAGAGTTGCGTCGACGAAACGAGCTTAGCGTACTGGCGCTTGGTCCACCTGAAAACGTTCACTTCTCTGAGGCGCGCGCTGAGATGCGGCCATGTTCAAGTCATCTGCAACTCTTCCGCCCCTCGCCACCCCGGAGAGTCATCAATGACGGCCGCCTATGCGGAAAGTCGTCGTGACCGGCCTGGGAGCCATCACACCACTTGCCGCAGGCGCTAAAGCGACCTGGAAACGCTTGCTGGACGCTTCATGCGGCATCGGATCCACTTCAGCCCTGGGCCCATCATTTGCGTCTCTTCCAAGTCGTGTTGCTGGACTAGTGCCACAAGGGAGTCGGGAAGATGGACGTTGGCAAGCGAAAGACTGGTTGCCCGCCAGTGAGGAGCGTCAAATGGCCCTTTTTGCTCAATATGCCATTGCCGCCGCCGACGAAGCACTGGACGATGCCGACTGGCACCCTTCGTCACCGCACCAGCTTGAAAGGACAGGTGTGACTGTGGGATCTGGAATCGGGAATCTAGACGAGGCGTACAACGCATCCGTGTCTTTTCACACCCATGGTTATCGCAAAGTCTCGCCATTGTTCGTTCCTCGACTCTTGATCAACCTGGCTGCCGGGCACATTTCCATTCGTCATGGATTCAAAGGACCTAATCATGCTGCGACTACCGCCTGCACCACGGGTCTACATGCTATCGGTGACGCTTCTCGACTCATTGCATTCGGTGATGCAGATGTGATGGTTGCTGGGGGCGCAGAGTCGTGCATTCACCCGCTAGCCATCGCTGGCTTTGCTCGAGCCAGGAGTCTTGCTACCGACTGGAACGACAGCCCGCAACTTGCATCACGGCCCTTTGACAAGAATCGCAATGGCTTTGTAATCGGTGAAGGAGCAGGCGTTGTTGTACTAGAGGTCAGTGGGCTTTCAATCACGGGAGTTCCGCCGTACTGACGCATTCCAGGAGCTCGAGCACGCAAAGGCACGTAATGCAAAGATTTACGCCGAAGTCAAAGGCTATGGACTCTCTTCCGATGCCTTTCACATGACCGCTCCTCGAGAAGACGGCGAGGGCGCATTCCTCGCCATGAGACAAGCTTTGAGGCACGCGGAGATACGGCCATCTGACGTGGACTATGTGAATGCGCATGCTACTTCCACAGTATTGGGCGATGCTGCGGAAAACAGAGCAATCAAGCGGCTGCTCCTCGGCTCGGAAGGGAAGCAACATGCGGCGGACATCAATGTCAGCAGCACGAAGGGTGCGATTGGGCATTTACTTGGAGCTGCTGGCGCTGTGGAAGCCATCTTCACCATTCTTGCCGTCCATCACGTAAGTCCGACCATGGATCTTCGTCTTGGTCCTGACTAACACAGCGCGCAGAACGTGCTGCCCCCGACGCTCAATCTGGAATCTCCAGGCAACCCTGCGGAAGAGTTCAATTGCAACTATATCCCCCACGCGGCCCAGCAGCATACTGTAAATGCTGCCCTTACGAATAGTTTCGGGTTCGGTGGAACGAATGCGAGTTTGTGTCTTGGCAAAGCGCCTTGATGGCCGAAATCGAAGGTCTTATCATCTTGGCGCGGCGCCGAACCCCGCATACCAATCACCTCACCCTACCCTACTAAATGGTCGCGAGTCCGACGGAGCTTGGTTTCACCTGAATGAAATCAATCCCGTATTGCAATATTCAACGGCCGTTCAAATGGAGAGTGCTTCATCTGGTACTCCACGCCGATGGACCGCACTGACTCAAAAAATCAAAGCCAATGGCGCGAGATACCAGGCGCATATCCCTTTACTCAAACGCCTTCCTGGACCGGCTGTAGCAATCATACTGCTACTTGTAGCAATCAACCTACTAGTATGGGCAGCCTGTGGAATCGTCCTCGCCTTCCACACCCCTCTCGTCACAACCGCCGTCCTATCATACACTCTCGGCCTCCGGCACGCCCTCGACGCCGACCACATCTCCGCCATCGACCTCATGACCCGCCGGCTCGTCGCCGCCGGCCAACGCCCCGTCACAGTCGGCACCTTCTTCTCCCTCGGCCACTCGACCATCGTCATCATCACCTCCATCGTCGTCGCCGCCAGCTCGGCCGCCATTTCGCAGCGCTTCGGCTCCATCTCGCAGGTAGGCTCCATCATCGGCTCCTCCGTCTCCGCCGCCTTCCTCCTCCTCCTCGGCGCCATGAACGCCTACATCTTCCACAGACTGCACCAGCAACTCCGCCGCGCCATCGCATCCCCCACCACGCCGTCAGCCCTCGATTTCAACTTCGACGGCGCAGGACCCATGTCCGCACTACTGCGCAAAGCGCTCAAGATCGTCGACCGGCCGTGGAAAATGTATCCCGTCGGCGTGCTGTTCGGCCTAGGCTTCGACACGTCGTCGGAAATCGCACTCCTCGGGATTGCATCCATTGAAGCGGCGTCGGGGACCTCGTTCTGGCTCATCCTGATCTTCCCCGTCCTGTTTACCGCCGGCATGTGTTTGCTCGACACCTTTGACGGCGCGGCGATGATGAGCCTGTACACTTCTGCGCGCCTGGCGAAGGATGCGATTGCCGTGTTGTATTACCAGTGTATTCTGACGGCCATTACGGTGATGGTGGCGGTGGTGATTGGAACTGTGCAATTGCTGAATATGGTGGTCAACGTGCGGCCGGATCTGAGCGGGGGCTTCTGGCACGGTGTGCGAGTCGCGGGAGATAATTACGACATCATTGGCGGTGGCATTTGTGGGTCTTTTATTGTTTTTGGACTCTTGGCCGTGGCGTGCTATAGGCCATGGAGGAGGCGGGTTGATCGGATGAGAGCCTCGACGACTCTTGAGCATGGTGTTGTGAACGGAGATACTGGTGCACACGGCGAGATTACTTTGAGTGACGTGGAGCCGCCGGGGTACAATATCCAAGGAGACTCTGGGCCGGAAAGGAAGACGAAAGGGGGCACGCAAGTGGTAGTTGAAGGGTAGAGCAGACGCCTAATGCTCTGACCGGGCACTTATTGACCGTTTGATTCTGGGGTATCATCATATCTATAATAGAGACTCTAAATCTATCAAATTTGCTCGCTTCAGCAACAAAACTTTCACCCACGCAGGCGATTACAAGTCATAACGTCGAACATGCAATGGAGAAGCATGAAGTGCTGCTCCCGCGGACCACGAAGCTGCCCCCACCTCAATCCTCGACACTCCTCCGACGAAACGCCGTCTTTCCACTCGCACTACTCGCCAGGCTCGCGCTGGTCAAAACCTCCCCCCGCGCATACTCGAACGACGGAATAACCAAATCGATGGATTTCGGGGCAATCGTGCTGCTCGACCGATGGGGATGCCTGGATGGTAAGGGCCGGGTGTCGAGTGAGGCGACGGTGCCGACGGAGGAGCTGGGCGTGTGACTGAGTGAAGGGATGCCATCGGTGAGAATAGAATTGCGGTTGTCGGGTTTCGATGAGCGGTGGTGAGGCGAATGTCGGCGATGGTGACGCGAAGGGGATGCGTCGAGAGAAGTGAACGCTTCGCGGGAGTCGGGATCGTCGCTGCCGACTTCGTCTGCGTCGTCGGTGGTGGTTGGCGAAGTGGAGTCGGATGTGGGGTGGTTGTCTTGGAAGTAGAAGGATGTGGGTCGCATGATGGTTGGGGAGCGCGGGGGGATGATCTCGGGCTCCGGGAGGGCGAAGTATGTGGATGCGGATGGGATGCTGGATGTGCGGAGGATGGTTGATGGTGCGGAGATGGGGCGAACGGCGTCCTTTCTTCGACATCTGGGAGATGAGTCAGCTTATGCGGTAGGTTGAACGTGGAGGAGGAGGACATACGCTTCGGAGCAGTAGAGGATGGAATTGCTCGGGCAGACAATCTGTTTCTCGCAGGTCGTGCAGAATTGCGGAAGACCAGCCATTTCCTCGTCTTCACTGGCTTCCACCGACATGGACTTCCTGGAGCCGGAGAGCGATCTGGTGCTAGTAGAATGAGCGTGGCTGACGTTCAGACTTCTGCGGTACACGGTGGTTTTGGAGTTGCGATGCGGGCCCAAGGGCGGTCTCCGATGGGCTTTGGAATTCATTGGGGCCGAGTTGGATGGAAGTAATGTCTTGGAATGCTGGGGACAAGCATCCGGGTGTCGCAATGCGAGGGGCCGTGGATTTCGTTATCTCCCGTTGTTATCGCGAGATATGGCGTGGCTTTCCCCGGCTTTGGCAATCTAAGCGAGTGTGAAGGGCAGGAGGACATACAAAGCCGGAGCGAGGGACGGCAGTGAGGAAGTGAATAGAAGAGCGAGTGTGAGGGAAAAGAAGAGGGAAGATGAGTCTGATGAGTCGTGATATTGTCGTACCTTGAAGGAAGAGGATGGCGTGCTAGCGTGACACAGAAAAAAGACGAAAATGTGCCGTGCAAGCACGCATGCATGCACGCCCGTTCGCACACCGCCCACACAATAAAGGCAGAGCAGACACGTCTCCATTCAATTCATTCACCCAGCCGCGTTTTGTGGGCCGACACGCATCGCTTCAATGAAACACGTGGGGTGCGGGTGCGGCGGCGCGTCAGCCCAAGACGCCCAAGCAATCCTGCTCTTCGAAAAATAGCAATCAAGCGCGTGTGGTGGAGGAGAACGCGTGTGGTCGGTCGGCATAGGAAGGGCTACGAAATTCCGTGTCCACCTCCCCTGCCGCGCGTGTGTCAGGGAAAAACGCAGCCGATCTCCCGCGCTTCTCCGCGTGCGCTGATCAATTGGTCTGGAAGCGCTGCTCCTGGCTACTGCAGGGAGCTCCGACGTCGGGCTGCTACGGTTGTGGGCAAGGGAGCAGGTCTACGCGAAAGATGCAACGCTTGCAAGGGGAAGATTCCTTTTCCTGAGGGTCGTGGGGTCTCTCTCGGCCCATCATCCAACCACAGTCCATCGATGCCATGCACGACGTGGCCGCTCGCAGCCCAAGAGCCACAAAGAAAACATGCTCAGGAGGAAGCCAGGGACCCACCCTTTTCCTCTTTGATGGTGACTCGTGGGAAACAAGGAAAGCCGATCATCGGTCATCGATGGATGGTGCATTTCGTATTGCGAAACTATCCCTTCGACAAATTACATACTCGCAGTGCTTTGCTGCATATTTCAGGACCTCTCCACGTTACCCACTTCTCCACCAACTTCCCCCGGTGACTTGGCTCCTCGCCAGGACTCTGCAGTTACATGCAAGCCATTTCTCCCTGTTGTTGGTCCTTTGGCGCTGCGTTGCCGTGTTCTGTGCTGTCTGCCTCGGACATGGTGTGGAGAGCTCGTTCGTTCGTTCATTGGAAGGTCGACAGCTAGCGGGTAGCCAACTCGATCTCTTCATCGGCTCCATGTTGATTGCAATTTGCTTCGTTCGATGTTCGGAAAGATCCCCTCGATCTTTGACGTTTCACTCAGCCCTGGCTTGTTGGCAGAGGCTGAGCACTCCTCCACGGCTCCATCGATCCCCTCCTGCACTTGACGGAGAAGCGTTCCCGGCGAGTCTCGTCACTCATGTTGCTCTTGTCTTCTCTCGGGGCCAGCGGGAGTGTCATATCGCGGAGCACTTGGTCGAGAGATGAGTTGGAGGAAGTTTTGCTGAGCTTGCCGCCGGAAGACCTTCGCTTGAAGCCCATGATGATAGTGAAGGTGAGTGAAGTTGATGTCGGTAGGTTGAATTGGTCGCAGGTATATGCGAACTGATGGATTCCAGAGTGATATGTATCTCTAGACAAGGTGGCAGATGGTTGGTATATGAAGTCTGACAGCCCTTTTGTAAGCGAGGCATCACGACATACTTATACCACCAGTCATCATGGACATGGAGATAACGCGGATCCCCGAAATAGGACGACAACCACCGGAGCGGACTTTGGCGGAGACAAAGACGGCCCAGTCGGGTGCGGCGGACGTCTTGGATCCGGCGCCGCAGCCAATCATGTGTCGTGCCGAGACCCGACTGCTCTTGTCCGGCTCCGTCTTGACCGCATTCGTCATCTTCGATTCTTGGCGTAGTCTCGTCTTATCTCCTACGGGTCGGCCGAGGAGGGTTGTCGTCCAGTGCATGCCTGTCTCCAAGGCTGCCGTGAGCATGCTGAGAGGTGGCATGCTGGGCGGATTGCGAGCTACAGCCTTCTGCCATGTCGAGATGTAGACCCTTCGACTCTCGTCATTGCCGGGTCTGACATTCTGTATCGCGTTACGAATAGGTCCAAAAGCTGCCATGTAGTCCCACAGCCCCGCATCTACACCTCCGAATGCTGTCATGCCCGTGGTGAAGACTGCCCTTCCGACTCCAAGGTAAGGTAGGCTCGTATTCCCCAACCGCTATCTCTTCTTGGCGAATATATCAAAATGTCCACCCAATCCGTCCACTCGCAAGGCATCTATCACGGCCTGCCCGTCTACCCCTCCAACCTCAACGGCCTGACAGCAATCATTACCGGCGCCAATGGCATCAGCGGCTATTACATGTACAGAGTGCTGTCGCAGAGCCCTCAACTCTGGAAGAAGATATACTGTCTTTCGCGTCGACCGCCCTTAATCCCGGGTGGATTGCCAGACCACGTCGAGCACATCCCCCTCGACTTCCTCAAAGACCCGCAGGAGATAGCAGCCGAGCTCAAGAAACGCAACGTAACAGCCGTCGACCATGTCTTCTTCTTCTCATACATCCAAGTCCAGCCGAAACCTGGCCAAGGCCTCTGGTCAGACGCAGAGGAGATGTGCCGAGTGAACTCCGCGCTACTGGAGAACTTCCTCAACTCGTTGAAACTGGCATCCATCCAGCCGAAGAGAGTGCTACTGCAAACCGGCGCGAAGAACTACGGAGGCCACCTGGGTCCGACGAAGCTACCGCAGGAAGAATCGGACCCGCGTGTCACGCTCGAGCCAAACTTCTACTACCCGCAGGAAGATGTGCTCTGGAAGTACTGCGCGGAGACAGGCTGTGGATGGAATGTTTGCATGCCTGGGCCGATTCTCGGCGCCGTGCCTGATGCGGCGATGAATGCTGCTTTCCCGCTGGCGGTCTATGCTGCGGTGTGCAAGAAGCTGAATCGCACTTTGGAATTCCCAGGCGATATTGTGTCGTGGCAGGCGCTTCAGTCTACTTCAAGCTCGATGATGAATGCGTTCATGGAGGAGTGGGCTGTTTTGCTTGGCCCGCCGAACGAAAAGTACAACACATGTGACAACAGCGCTTTCACTTGGGAGAGATTCTGGCCGCTGATCGCGGGATGTAAGGATTCGCCGAGATATGGAGAAAAGGTATTGCTCGCTGACTTGAGGTAGGGTATGGTCTGGAGTGGAGCGGTCCGCAGCCCGACGACGCTTGTACGGCTACCGAAACCCGCTTCAACCCGCGAGGCTATGGATCAAAGGGCGTGACGAGACGCAAGTTTAAGATGACCGAGTGGGCCAAGGGGAAAGAAGTGCAGGAGGCGTGGGCTGCGATCGCCGAGGAAAACGGCCTCGGTCAAAAGGAGCTGGTTGATGTCGACCGAGTGTTTGGTTTCCTCGACGGGACCTTGTGCCGCTCTAGTGCGCTCATTTTAAGGTTTGTGAAGATCAAGGTTTCCCTTTGACGTCCTCTCGCTGACTTCTTACAGCATGGATAAGAGCCGTAAGCTGTAAGTCAAGTTCCTGCGAAGAGCGCCGTTGAAGCGGGTATGCTGACATTCAATCAGTGGCTGGCATGGATTCGTCGACTCATGCGAATCGCTGCTGGAAGTCTTCGATGACCTGGCCAGTCTCAAAATGATCCCGCCCGTGCCGAAAGTCGAAGTGAAATTTATTTAGCAATACCGGGGTCTGGTCCAGTGATGGACAAGATTTTCAGCGGCACCGCAGTCGCATAGAACAAGGCAATTTGTTCTCTCATCGGTTTCGCTTCAAAGTCGATCTCGTGGACGTTGAATTTACTCCGCACTAGGCTTCCGTATTAGCAAATCGCATGACGGCCAGCAATAGGAGACAATCTTACCACAAGCTTGTCTGAACGTCTCAAAAGTCTCGATGTTTCTGACGGCTCCTGCAATAAGCACCTTGAGGCCCGGCAGCAGATTGAAGAGAAGCCGCAGTGTAGTAATGAGGGCTGCAATGGCGGGCTTCTCATATGTCTGTGGCTCATCAGCGGCCGGTCAACCGAAAGCAACATGAAGGGCATGCATACAATGTCTGCACCCAAGACAACGTCATACGGCCATGTTTCACACTCCTCTTCCACCCAGCTCCCAGCCAAGCCATGGCCCCATCGCAGAACACTTGCGTTGACATTCTTGTCGTCCAATTCGTTGAGGAAGAGGTTCTCCTTGAGCGATTCGATGACGCCTTCATCACCGTCGGTAGTGGTGAGATGCTTAGCTTCGAGGTGTTTGGCACAAAGAATGGAGATAAAGCCGGTGCCTGCCCCGAGCTCAAGCACATTCTTGCCGGCGATTAATGAACTACCCTCTGAGGTGAGAAGGTATGATCCTAGATGCAGCGCCGCTTCCCAGGTTCGATAGCCCGTGGTGAGAGAACCCGAGATGAGATGTCTGCGCTCGAGGAGTGTGATTGTGGGCTCTTCGTTGGGCGTGTTGGATGAGTGAGCAGATGGCGAAAGACATGAGAACGTCACGTATGCCTTTTGTTGCACAGCAGTGGTTTCTGCAGGCAGTTGCATTGACATGAGTGAGGAGAGATGTGTCATGAGATCGTCAGAGATGTCCTACGATCGGCAAAGGCGATCAGAAAAGAGCAAAAGAATGGACATGCAACATTGATATCTCGAAGTATTAAGTTCGACGAAAGAGACCTACATCTTCTTCGGGATCCTCAATAGCATTCTCAATTCTATTGAGCAATGGCTTGAGAATCCGGATTTGATAACTCTCCGGTGGGAGTTGAGGATTGCGTTGTGCATCGAACAAATTGGTATACAACCAGCCTTGGACATCTATATCGCGCAATAGAGGCTTAGGTGGCCAGCAAAGAAACGCCGTGTCGAACAGCTGGAAGTACTGGCGTCTGAAGAGGATGAGTTGTGGATCCATGAAGATGAATCGTAATGAATGTTAATTCCCAATCGAAGGGTGTGGTCGAGTGACTTTGTAAAGTTGATGCCTCAGGCAAGCGAGAAATCGCCAAGACCTCCGGCAAAAGCCGACCCGCACCAACTTCAATTTTCCAGCAACCCCAATCAGAGAACTTCTGTCTGCAGGCGAGCCATCTCCAATCCATCCCACAACCCTCAAACAGTCGCCAGATATCAACATGGCCGACACTCAGGTGACCTTGCGCACGCGCAAGTTCATCCGCAACCCGCTCCTCGGACGCAAACAGATGGTCGTGTGCGTATACCACCCGTCTCCTCGCCCTGGCGCCCACCAGCATCAACATTGGCCGACCGCATCGTGAATCACTACTAACATCACCCCAACAGTGACGTCCTCCACCCCGGCCGCCCGAATGTCAGTAAGGACGAGCTCCGCGGCAAACTCGGCGAACTCTACAAAGCCTCCAAGGACCAGGTCTCATGCTTCGGCTTCCGGACACAATACGGTGGCGGCAAGAGCACCGGCTTCGCCCTCGTCTACGACTCGGCCGAGGCCATGAAGCAGTTCGAGCCCCGCTACAGACTCATCAGATATGGACAGGCGACAAAGGTGGAGAAGGCGAGCAGACAGCAACGTACGTGCATTGTGGACCCCAAGTGGGTAGAGGCAACAGCAGGATGCTAACGATGATTCACAAACAGGCAAGCAGAGGAAGAACCGTGCTAAGGAGTTCCGAGGGACTGCCAAGCTGAAGGGAGGCGCCAGTGACAAGAAGAAGAAATAAGGGAGCCGTAGTGGCAGGGTGGCTGTGGTGTTGTGGGAGTGGGCTACAAAGCGAAGAAGCGTCACTTCTGCGAGCATTGCGGCGGGTAGACATTGCACTACATCGGCGTCTTGTACGAAGGGCGATAGTCATTCAAATGCAATTCAAATGCTGAAACATACACTCACACCTGTTTGGGAGGATGCTGGAGAACTTTTGGCCATTGATTGGCATTCAATGCGCTCTACACGTGAGCAATGCACGTCAGTTCGAGGTACGGTACGGTTTGTCGCATGTCAAAAGACCATATGGGTTCATCGTTCTGTTGTTCCAGGTAGGTCGCTGACCGTAATGTCTATGTAAGACCCTGTCATTAGACCCAGCTGCGTGTCTATGGCTCACCCACAATAATTATCGAGGACGTATATTGACGCGGATGTGGAGAAGCGTGGAGACTGAGATCAAAAAGGACGTTCAAGCTACAAGACATTGTCGCCGACATCACCCCTTCTTCTTGTTCCTCTTACTGCTGGACGTTGGAGTGTCCACACTGGTAGCCATTGCCGCGCCATTTGGGCTCGGTGCCAACACCTTCTCATCCACAGACGCATTCTTGACATCCTCCTCTCCGATGGCATTCACGCTCCCCGCCAGCCACTTCTGAAAAGGCTGCGCAACAAAGTATCCATCCGCCGTGAACCAAGTAGTGAAAGGAGCCTTCAATTGCCGTGTCGAGGAGTTCGCTGAGCTCGACGACGCGCGGGTCGTGACTGTGAGGTAGTATGTGGGATCGTGTTTCTTCGTCTTCGACGCAAGCGTCACCTAGCCCAATCAATTAGCCTTCGCCCTCTCGATTCATACCAGTCGACACCCTCCTCACCTTCTTCCCATTTTTGGTCCCCTCAAAAACAAGCCCCTTCTCCACCCCCCACATCCAGTACGTGAAAGTAGCATTGAGCAACGCGTACGCCGCAACAGCGTACGCCGTCCAGCCCTTGGTCGCTTCCCAGCCCAGTTTGTAATCCGCTGCGAACAGCGCGCCCGCGATGATCACGGAGGTGTAGCCGACCGCGAGCCGGAAGTCGAGCTTGGAGTTGTCTTGCTTGAATTTGAGGCCGCGGAGGTAGTTTCCCATTGCATCGTCGGTGGTGTTTTTGAGGTCGTTCAGGGAGTAGGGGGAGATTTTGCTTTCCGCCATGGTTGAGTGTGGTGGGTTGGGAGGATGCGACGTGCTGATTGATTTGTTTTGATTCCTGCTTTCAGTGCATATCTAATGCTCGGGAGGACAATTGGACGCGAGGCGTGTAGTTGGGACGTGTGAAGTATCCAGCTGTCCTTCAATAGCTGGCGTTCAGACTGGCTGCGGCCAAAAGTCTTGGCCAAAGGATACAATGGTGAATTCGATGCATCCCATCTGCAAGTCTGCCTTACACTCTCACAACCTCATCACCCACCTACTCCTGCCCACCCGGCGTCAATACGTCGACATGGCAGCTCAGATGGATCAGCAGATCCACCGAGATCCGGCACTCTTGTATGTCCCATCCGCAGAGCGTCCACCTTCGCTCCAACTCACGCTGACCTTCTCCTCCAGCTACTGGATCCTGCTCCCCATCACCGTAGTCATGATCCTCACCGGCATCCTTCGCCACTACATGAGCACCCTCCTCCAAACGACGCCCAAGCGCCAAATCATCGAGAAACTGCGAGAGCAGCGCTACCTCCTGCGATCCCAGGGCCTCCGCGTGGCCTTTCCGCAAATCTCCAAGTCGGCGTTTGAGAAGCGGAAAGAATGGTGGATTGACAATGCAAAGGAGGGCAAGTTCCTCGCGGATCCGGAGGCGAGAGGAGCCAAGCCGAATCCCATTTCTGATCCGGCGATGATGGAAAATATGATGGGCGCCATGAAGGGGAACGTGGCTATGATGGTGCCGCAGAGCTTGATCATGGGGTGGATCAATGCCTTCTTTTCGGGCTATGTCATCAGTATGTCTTGTCTGGCGGCTGTGACGTGGTGAGGCTGGTACGGGAATGCTAATGTATATGGGGTGGTAGTGAAACTCCCTTTCCCGCTTACGCCGCAGTTCAAGCAGATGCTACAAGCAGGTGTCGGAACGAGGGATCTGGATGTGCGATGGGTGAGCAGTCTCAGCTGGTATTTCCTCACGCTGTTTGGGCTGCAACCAGTGTACAACTTCATCTTGGGCAGCAACAATGGTGAGTACTGGCGAGCATCTACAACGGGTGGGCCGGGTGCTAACAACTCCGTCCAGCCGCAGCACAGGTGACACAGCAGATGGCTCAGGCACAAATGGGGAGTCCAATGGGCGGCGCCGACAATCCCGACAAGATATTCGCCGCGGAAGTGGAGAACCTGGAGGTGATTGAGCATTGGTATATCCTGGATGGGGTGGAAGAGCGGTTGATCAAGAAGCTCGAAGCTACTCCCATATAGGAACAAGCAAGCCAGGACGGCTGCAGTGAGCTGCAAGATAGGCTTTTTGTTGCCACACACACCGTAGCAGATGAGAGCCCGACCAGGATGTCGCCTGCGAACTGGTGTCCACTCTCAAGACCAGGAGTATACACTGCACCAGAACAACCATACCCTGCGCCACCAGGGGTTGCCTTCGGAATCGTCGTGGTCTATATGCCAACCAACTGCACCAGCTTGCCCTGGTCGACCGCGGTGGAAGTTTGGCCGGTGTTTGCCTTTCCTGGCCGGAGCCTTGAATGGACGCGTCTGGGCCGGAGGAATACGAGCTGGTAGCGACGGGAAAAGTGGGGCGGCAGGGTTGGCAACCTGCGAGCGGTCAGCCCACCACACACGCCTGTTCCTACCAAACATCCCAGCTGCGCCGCATTTCAGCCCGCCAAGAACGACAGATGCGCACGTTGCCATCGAGTATGTCGTGCATCGTGCGTGCAGCTTGCGATGCAGTAGATGTTTGGAAGGCAATGGGAACAGTAAGATGCTGCTCCGCGGCATCGGCCAAGCTGCTGCTGGTCTGAAACCTTACACCTCGTGAGGGAGGGGACGAGAACAGAAGACTCGTATACACCTTGCACCCTCGCAGTGCGCCTCCCGCGGGCGCGCAAAAGTTTGGTCGGGTCTCTTAACCCCTCCCGCATCTTCCACTTCCTTCCCGCTTTCTTTCCTCCCACCTCTTTGTCTCGACGTCTTTTGCATCAGTCGACGCAGCTCGTATCGGGGATCCAGGCGGCGCCCGCTCTTGGCCCTCCGCAGCTCTCCCAGCCAACATGGACAGCCCAGTATCCCCCAGCTCAGAGACCGGCACCAACACCTTCGCATCCATACCCTGGGACCGCCGGCCGAGCGCAAACCTTCCCGAAGTCGTCGAGTCGCCAACCTTTGAATCGCACTATCGCCCCGTGCATGTCCCCTCCACAGACAGCGCCCCTCCATACGGCTTGGCGGAAGCCTACGACCTGCAACACCGACTATCGCTCAAAGGCCGGGCCGCGCGGAAAGCCTCGTCGCCCGGCCTCGAATCCGTCTGGGATGAGGAGGGCGCGAAAGAAGTCGTTGGGCCGGCTCCCAGCGACAAGCAGAGCTACTTTGTCGATCAGGAGCCTGCTCCGGCGCTCACGCCTTCGCGGTCCCAGAAGAGCGAACATAAATACCCACCCGGCACATTTGGATACCAGGGCTACGATGGCGAAGGGTCCAATAACGAGAGGGAGTATTGCGGACTGAGGAAGAAGTGGTTCTTCGCTTTGGTCGCCCTTGTGGGCGTTGTGATACTTGGGGTTGCACTGGGGGCTGGCCTTGGAGTAGGCTTGGGTCACACGAGCTCGTATGTGTGATGCTCGGTTACTAGAGGCCGTTCTTGTCACTAACATCATTTTTCAGGAACCCAACGCCACCGGCAAAGGACACCGAGTATCTGATCGGCGGGGCTATCGATAAGAAGTATTTCTCAACCACCGGAGCGTTCAATGGCTCTGGAATTGCTTTGGCCTCGCAGTCCTTTAGCCCCTCGGGATCGGATGCGGCCCAAGGGACGATCGTGATGTATTTTCAACATGTACGTGTCTTCATCGTTAACCCATCGCGGCCCTGGCTACGCTGACTCCGATGTAGTGGACAGGAGACATCCGATACATGAAACTGCAGCAAAATGGCGACTGGGTCGGAGGTACTACCTCGGAGGTAGTGGCGGTTGATGCGAAGAACAGCACGCCCATCTCCGCAGTGTCCTATTCTGTCGATGGCGTCGACGCGTGGCACATCTTCTGTGAGTATTGTATCCCGTACCGCGATGGTATTCCCCGCTAACCGGCATCCAGATATCGACGAAAACAACATGATCAAGCAGCGCTCCCAGACGAACACTACGTTAGTCTGGGTGGACGGAGAGATCAACGAAGCGCAGCTGCAGGCCAACGATGCCGACCAAGTGGGAATGCAGGCCTGCTGGTACGGCAACGACTACGGCGACAGCAATTACCTGCACACCCCGCTTCCGAGCAGTGGGAACGCTTCCACCGAATACGGGATGCGGATGTGGTATGCTTCCGACGACAACACCTTCCTCCAATATGGCTGGCGATACGGCGATAAGAACTGGACCGCGCAAGGCCAGTTTGACAATCTAAATGGCCATGCCGGCGTCGGGTGTTATAGCTGGGGCCCGGGCACGGTGACTTATGTGATGTTTGTGAATACCGACAACGCGGCGGAAATCTACTGGCGAGACACCAATACCAGCTTGACCAGCACCGCCAGCCATCCGATCAATAAATGGACAAAAGGTGAGCTCTTTTCGTCTCACATTCCCGACGCGCAAAGACATACTAACAATGGTTCAATAGTACCCTTTACAATCCCAAATCTCGAACCCTCCACCTCGCTTGGCTACACCAACTTCTTCTACGCCCAGTCGAATGCGACGTACACGATGAACGGGTACAACATCACCTGGGCCGCCGAGAATACCACCATCGTGTCCGCAGACAGTTTCACCGTGCAAGGAGAGCCTGGCATCCCCGGGACGCACCTCAGCGTCTCTGCCATTCCGGACAGCGACGGCGGAAATAACATTGTTGTCTTTTACCAGACTGTCGGCAATGATATCACGGAATTCACGCGAGATCTGGTTGCTGGGCAGTGGACGAGTGCGGATGTTCAGATTCCGCAGCAGTGAGGCGGTGTTTGGTGCTGGGGCGGATTTGTTTGAATTTTAGCGAAGGTGTCTGGGCTGGAAAAAATAGTGACTGAGGGACGGCACCTTGTTTGTGCTATTACATACGTTGAAGGTCTGCTTTGACCGAGAGCCACACTTTCTCATTCACACACGTGACGGGCACAGACAGCGCAGTAAAGTGAATGCTGGGCGTAGAAAGTTTAACCCGACGCGCTAAGGCACCTCTTAACGCGACTCCCGCTTTCGTAATTGAACGACGCACGCTCAAGCTCCGCGCATGCCATTCACTTCAACCAGGTTGTAACACCTTGACAAGCTCGTCTGGCGCAAACTCTGCAAGACTCCTTGAAATGTTTTGCTTCTGCAAACTTCTGTGAACAACTGCTTCACATCGAACATGCCGCGAGCCAGGAAACGAGCTTCAAGCGTGGAAGCGGTCGAGGAGGTTGCAGCACCGGAGATTCAGGAAGAGGAGGAAGAAGGTGGCCAGCGACTGGAGTTCGACCAGCCATTAACATGGCGCCCAGGAAAGCAGATCCCAGTCACCGAACTGCTATCGCGGCTCAGGACCCTCGCGGAAGAGTTGGAATCCATCGAACAAGAAGATGCGCACCGTGCGACACTGGTTCCAAAAGCACAGGAGCTCGCCAGTGAGCAGCTCATCGGACACAAAGACAAGGGAGTCAGAGCATACGCCATGCTATGCATCGTGGAGATGTTCAGATTGCTGGCGCCGGATGCACCTTACAAGAAGAGCCAGCTGAGGGAGATCTTCACCCTCTTCACTTCTACCATTGTCCCTGCTCTCGCCGACCCCTCCGACTCGTTCAACCAGCAGCACAATGCCATCTTGACGTCGCTCACTACGGTCAAGAGCATCATTCTCTTGACGGACATTACTGGATCGGACAAACTCATGCTCGACCTCTTCACCAATTGTTTCGACGTGCTGTCAGGAGTGGCACGGGGAGGCACGGCAGAGAAGCTGCCAAAGAACCTGGAATACAGTATGACGAGCATGCTATGCACACTGGTGGACGAAAGTACAGCCCTACCGTCCGGTGTCGTGGACATTATCCTCGCACAATTCCTTCGTGCAGACCCGAACTCAATGTCGGCCACGACGAAAAAGGGAGAGAGTAAGGCCGCGCAGGCCCCCCTCGAGCTCCCTCCCGCTTACAACATGGCTCTCTCTGTGTGCAACACTTGTGCCGACAAGATGAATCGATATGTTGGACAGTACTTTGGCTCGGTGCTGATCGATGCATCCGAGACCGTGGCGACTACGAAAGTGGGCAAGTCGAGAGGGAAGAAGCGGACACACGACGAGAGCGATGACGAGTCAATCGACGGCATGCTTACTCCACCTGCGGAAAACGACTTGCTTGAAGTTGAGAAGGCGCATCGACTTTTGCGGGAATTATGGCGCTCCTCTCCCGACGTCATCCAGAATGTTGTCCCTCAGATCGAAGCGGAAATCGAGGCCGAGAGTCCACAGCTCAGAATGATGGCTGTTCAGACTGTCGGAGACATGATTGCGGGAATTGGAGCCGCTGGGCCGCCATCACCCGCGGTGCTGGATCCTGCAGCTTATCCACCGCAAAGACTTGAGGATTACGCCTCAAGGTCACAACCGCAGAACCCTCTTCTGCAGCCGCGAGCCCCTCACGCCTTCTCTTCCGTATACTCAACGACATACCAGCGATTCGTTGAACGACACAAAGACAAGTCTGCGCTAGTTCGAAGTGCCTGGGTCTCCGCAGCCGGCCGCATTCTTGCTACCTCTGGCGGCGGCAAGGGCTTGGATGATGATCAAGAAAAGGCACTTCTGGACTGCATAGCCAGACTCCACATGGACAACGACGAGCGTGTTCGCCTTGCGGCTGTACAAAGTGTCGAGCTATTCGACTTCCATGCCATCATCCAAAAGATTGGCAAGAGTGGTGGCGTGAAGACGAGCGGCTCAATCCTGTGCAACCTCGCAGACCGGATGAAAGATACCAAGCAGCAAGTACACACAACGGCTATGGTATTGCTCGCACGTATCTGGGGCGTGGCCGCCGGAGCAATTGCAGAGGGGGATCCCAGTGTCCACGAGCTGCTAGGCGGGATACCATCCAAGATCTTTGAGGCGATGTACGTCAACAAAAAGGAGATCAACGCCACCGTTCTGCAAGTGCTGTTTGACTGCCTCTTACCGGTGTCATACCCTCCTATCAAGGCAAAGCAGGAAGACCCTCAACGCTCTAGTGCAAGTCAACGTGAAGCCGCCGACACTCCGAATCCTGACGCCCTCCGTGCGGAACGAATCTTGGTCTTCATTCGCGACCTCGAAGACCGTGCCAAAGTTGTGTTCTTCCGATTGCAGCAGAGGCGACCAGCCATGGCAAAGTACGTTGAATCGTATCTGAAAGCATGCGAGGCGGTGAACAGTGGGGAAAAGGATGGTGAAGGCAAGAGCGCCAAAAAGGATCTCGACAAGATGATCGCCGTCCTCGTGGACTCCTACCCAGATGCTGCCCTTGCCACAGAGCACTTGAAGAAGTTTGCGAAGCACCACGATCGCAGGAGCTACCAACTCATCCGTTTCTGCTTAGATCCTGCCAGCGACTACCGCAAGGTCGTTCGATCGATGAAGGAGCTGACGAATCGATTCAACGAGGCCCCAAGCGCCATGTCTGGTGTGCGGGATACGATCTTGCCCCTGGTGCGCTCTGCGGCCATTCTGGTGTACAACCGAAGCCATGTGCCAGCCATCGCGGAGATCTCTCGTACAGATGAAAGGGGCCTAGGCGCAGCAGCGCACGACGTGCTCAAGGAGATCTCCACCCACGCCCCACAAGTCTTCCGAGTGCATGTGCACGAGCTATGTGAGTCGCTGAAGAAGCAGACCCCGCGTGCTGGATCGGACGATTCGGCCGCTGAGGATACGCTCAAGGCATGTGCTGGCTTCGCTCGGCGTTTCCCCGAAGGCCTGCCCAAAGACCGAGAGTTCTACAAGGCCATGGTCGCGTTTGCTGCTCATGGTCAATCGCCGAAAGCTGCCAAGCACGCCGTCACGGTCATCACGTCTTCTGCCGATAAGAAGGAGATGTACATCAAGGAGATCCAGACTGCGTGTATTGACAACTTCACATATGGTGACGATGGTTTTCTTGCAAGGCTGGCCAGCATTGCTCAATTAAAACTGCTTGCCAATAAGGAGTACGCCGACCTGGACGACAGCATCATGGATATCGCTATCCACCAAGTCTTGTTGCATGACAGGACGATTGCGACTGACGAAGACCTTGCATGGTCAAATGATCTGGACGAGGACATCTCCGCGAAGCTGTGGGCGCTGAAGATACTGGTCAATGGTCTACGTGGGATGGACGTCGCCAATGAGAGTACAGAGGCGCAAGAAGCCACGAAGGAGGCGGCTGACAAAGTGTACAAACTCCTGAACACGCTGATCAGGGATGGCGGTGAGCTGTCCAAATCCGCCACAACTCCGACCCACCACAAAGCGCAATTGCGTCTCGCGGCTGCCATTCAGCTCCTCAAACTGTCCTGCAACCATAAGCTCGATCACTTCCTCACTCCTGCGGATTTCAACCGGCTTTCGTCGCTAGCACAGGACAGCACGTCGGAGATCCGAGCGGGGTTCGTCAGAGCTTTGAAGAGATATCTCGGTACGGGTGTGCTGCCGAATCGTTTCTATGCACTTGCCTTTTTGTACGCCTTCGAGCCGACCAAGGAGACCATGCAATCTACTGTGACGTGGCTGAAGTCGCGAGCGGCTCTGTCGGCCAAGTTGAACGACGGCGTCATCGAGGGCGTCTTTGTCCGCCTGCTGAGCCTGCTCGCCCACCACCCAGACTTCAGTCGGAAGCCAGAGGAGCTTGAGGATTTTCTTGAATACATCATGTTCTATCTCAAGAACGTGGCCACGCAGGCGATGCTGCCGACGCTGTACGGCATCGCTCAGCGCCTGAAGCAAGTGCAGGACGGCATTGACCCGGAGAAGAGCGAGAACCTGTACGTCATCTCTGACCTGGCGGAGGCGATTATTCGCCATTTCGCCGAGCTCAAAGGTTGGTCGCTGCAGGTCACCTCTGGTCGAATCATGCTCCCGAGTGGATTGTTCCGCAGGCTGGCTGGACACACTGTCGCGCAGGATATCGCGTCGACGCGATACCTTCCCGACGAGCTGGCGGAGAATCTGGAGGACCTGGTGAAGAACAGTTTGAGGCCGAAGAAGAGGAAGTCGGATGCAACGTCTGCGCGGCCGGCGAAGAAGCCGAAGACTGCCAGTGCGAATGGAGAGCGGAAGAAAGCTGGGGTCAGAAAGGTATCGAAGGCGAGTCAGGCTGTGAAGAAGATAGAGAATGAGGGAGAGCGCAGGAAGAGTAATCGCGCTTCTTCTGCGAAGAACTATGCCGAGGATGAGGACAGCGAGGGGGATGACGAGGAGGTGCAAGAGGAGGCTAGTTCGCCGCCGCAGCGAGAAACATCCGCAGCGGCACCCGCGGATGACGACGCGGTCTCTGCGGCTTCACCTGCACCCCAGCCGGCGGCGAAGAAGGGGAAAGCGAAGGGGCCTACGAAGTCTGTGCCGTTGAGGTCTCTGAAGCAGACGCCTACGAAAAATGGTCGGGCAACGAGGGCGAGGGAGAAGGACATTATGGATGTGCCTAGTGATAGCGAGTGATGGAATGCTTGCAGTATGAAGTGTGGATTGCATGCATATGTGTGATGGGGAGAGCAATGAAATGCTGTGCACGTGACCACCTTCATCTTGTCGCTAAAGTCCCCACTTCAACTTTCGACGCGGAAGATGTTCTGTGCTCCCTTCATCTTCCAACTTCAGTCGCTCCTTACCTTGATGAAGCCATTTATTGGTCCGGCAACTCGTGGCCTCCCATGAGTTGACAAATCCCCTCGCCCGATCTATCAAAACCCTTCAACCCTGTCCCCCAAGCTCCTTACCGCCCGAACATCTCATCTACAACAGCTTCCCTTCCATCATCTACAGCGCCGACTCCCCCTCACCACCTCACGCCCGACCATGGGCTCCTCAATCAACCTCGACGCCATCGGCATCCGCCTCTCAGGCGAAGACGTACACCTCCAACGCAGCGCAGTCTGCGACCTCCTCGACGACAAAACAATCCGCTTCCCCGGCGCACAGCCCGTCTCCTTCGCACGCCGCCATCTCGCCGAGCTCCGGCACGTCGACTACTTCATGTGCGAGAAGACAGACGGGGTGCGGTGCCTGCTCTTCCTCACGCAAATCTTCATCGACGGCGAGGGCGTGGAGGCGCAGTTCCTCATCGACCGCAAGAACGATTACTACTATGTTCCGCGCGATGCGCTGCACCTGCCGCGCCTGGAGGGCCTGGAGACGTTTCACACCGGCACGCTGCTGGATGGCGAGCTGGTGAGGCAGACGTTTCGGAATGGACAGCAGGAGCGGCTGGCGTACTTGATTTTCGACTGCCTTGCTATCGATGGGGAGAACGTGACGTCGCGGCCGTTCGACAAGCGACTCGCGCGCATCGAAGCGCTCATTACGAAGCCGTATCAGAACTTCGCGAAGCAGTTCCCGCAGGACGTCGCGGCGCAGCCGTTCCAGCTGGAAATGAAAAAGATGGAATTTCCGTATGGGATGGAGATGATGTTCCGAGACCGCATACCCAACTTGCCGCATGGGAACGATGGGTTGATTTTCACGTGCAAGGGCACGGCGTACAAGACGGGCACGGACGAGCACATTCTTAAGTGGAAGCCGCCGCAGGAGAATACGGTGGATTTCCGCCTGCTGCTGGGTGCGTTCCCGTCTGTCGAGGATGAGGAGGACGGGGTGGTGCGGGAGGATTATGACGCGATGCCGGAGATGGAGCTGTATGTGAACTATGGGGATCGCAGGGGCGAGGGGTATAAGTCATATGGGCCCTTGAAAGTGACGGAAGCGGAGTGGAGTGCGATGAAGAAGCTGAACCAACAGCTGGACGGGCGCATCATCGAGTGCTACAAAGACCCCGCGACGGGCGGGTGGAGGCCGAAGGTAGAGAAGGACGGGGCGCCGCGCTTCCGCGACGACAAGAAGGACGCGAATCACATCACGGTGGTGGAGAGTGTGCAGGAGAGCATTGACGATGCGGTCACGGAGCAGGATTTGGTGCGCGAGGCGATGAATATCCGCGAGGCGTTCAAGGGGCGTGAGAAGGCGCGGAAGGAGGAGGAGAGGCGGCGGATGGAGGCGGAGAGGGTGAGGCAGGAGGAGAGGAAGCGCAGGGCGAGTGAGGTGCGGAATGGGATGGATGACGGGCCGACGTATGCGGATTGACGGTGTTGTGATAGTTCATTTTCAGCGCGGAGTTGGGTAACTGGGCGGGATATGATACCCCTTGGAATCACTTTTGCTCTTTTCCCTCATTCTTCCCTTCCTGCGCCGCCTTCAACTCCTCCGCCGTAAAAGCACGCTTCATCCCCACGCTCTCCTGCTCCACCACCTTACGCACGGCATTCGGATCCCCGAACCGCACCTCGCCACTCGCAATCCGCTCATCCCCCAGCTCGTCCAGCATCTTCAGCTGCGCGCGCAGATACGCCGTCACGAGCGCTACATCCCTCACATCCGCCTCCACCTCCCCCTTGAACACATTCCTCCACACCGCCGCGGCCAGAACTGCATCGCCCCTCACCAGTCCCTCGTCATACGACAGGATCACGCCTCTCCACTGCTGCCAGAGATCTTTCAGGTATTTGTTCCGCGAGCCGCGCATGGTGATGGCATGCCACTGCACCATCCGATCCTCCGCCGCGTAGAAGAAGTGATCAACGAGCTGCTGATGCCAGACGCGCGCATGCTCCGCAGGGAAGCAGCGCAACCGCACAGTCAACACATACATATGCAGAAACATAATCTGCGCCCAGGCATTGAACGTAGCGTCCAATCCAAGTCCACCACTGCTCTTCGCCGCATACCACCACCCCTGCCCCTCGCCTAGATCCTCGCCTGCTGCGGTTCGCGGCGGCTCTTCGGGGGTGCTGGCGAGGCGCGCGGGCACGGTGTACTCGCACTGCCGGCTGCATTCGCGGAAGAGGTCTTCGGTGCTGCCGTAGGCGATGTACGGCTCTGTGGCGGCTTTGAGGGCGGAGCTTTGGCGCAGGGTGGAGGCGAAGGAGGTGATGGCGTCGTGTTGGCTTTTGGGGATATGGGGGAGGGGTGGTGGAGGGGGTGCGGGTGTTGGGTCTTGCTTTCTTTGCGCGTGTGTGGTGGAGAAGGGAAGGCTTCTTTGCAGGCGGGGGAAGGTGGTTCGTTTGATGCAGGGCGATCTGCTTGCTGCGCGTAGGCAGGACGTGCAGATTGAGTTGCTGGCCATTTTGGCGAGATGTGGTGGAGGTAAGAGGATGGGGATGGATGAATTGTAAAAAGATGGATGTTTCTTCAAATGCATGATCTCACCACGCGATTGACTTTCGGCCCGCAGCTCCATCGCCAGCCCTGCAGCCTTGCCAGCAATCAACCACGTCACTCACTTTCTTCGATTGCACTCTTCGTAGCCTTGTGCCGATCGAATGTCCATTTCAAATTTAAGTCTTTAGGTCATGCCATACCCTTCAATCATGCACCTGTAGTACAAATGGCATCACCTCCCCTCCGCCCCCCTAAACTTCCACCCCTCAAACTTCCCACGAAACAACGCCAAATGCCCATCCCAAGCCTCCAAATCCAACCGCTTCAACTCCTTCACAAGCACCCTCCCCTCCCGGATCCAAAACCCCCACTCAAACCCCAAAATCGGCCGCACATCCCTCGAAAGACACGAGTCCCCCACCTCCGCCAAAAAGCTGTGCGCACTCCACTCCACATCCGTGTCGCGCGGGCGGAAAGGGCCGTCGAAGAGCATCGGCTCTGGACCGAACCAGACGAACGGCGTATTGAGATCTTTGGTGATGGGGACGGGATCCATTTCCCAGGCGTGGGCGGCTGTGAGGCTGGGTTCGCCGCTGCGCGTTAGTTGGATCCAGCCGTAGTAGGCGCCGTAGCCGCGGGCGCCGGTGGAGTGCACTCTGGCTGTGATGACGGGGAAGTCGAGGGTGCGTTTGAGTGCTGTCTCGAGTGGCGTGTCTGGGAGGAGAGTCGGGAGGAGCAGGTCTTTGCCGTAGTCGAGTGGGTTGCTGTCGGGTTCTACTGTGATGCTTACAGTGCCTTGGCGCCGGGCGGAGAGGTGGAAGTCGAGTGAGAGGATTTGCTGTTTGGACACGCCTTTGATGGATGTTGTTTCTGTCATTTTGCCTGCTGGTGAATGATGGTTTTGCGATTTCCGTGGTAAGGAAGGAATGTAAGCGGGATGAGGGCGAAGGTTTGGGGGTGACTTGAATTTATACAGCTGCCCTAATTCAGTAGCAAAAGGCTGGCCGCGATCAGCCCTGTCAATGTAGAGCGACATTTCATTTGCAACATCTACGTTCGTCGTTATCAATTCAATGAAATACTCCTCAGCTCCTTCAACGTCGGCGCGGAGCCCAGGACGTGCATCAGCAACGCCCCATAATCCCATCCCAGCTTCGTCGCCGCCATCGCCGTCAGACTCGCCTGGTCTTCTCGCCCTGGCCGCCCCGGGCCGGTCTGATTGGGCTTCATGTTGATATCGAACATGGCGAACTTGGAGCCCTTCTCCTTCGTGACTCGTCGCACGTCGATGCGAATGGGAGCAGTAACGCGAAGCATTTCCGCTACATGTTCGCATTGCTTGCAGATGTCGGCATAAGTCGGATCGGCTTGCAATTCCTCGTCGGAAAGAATGCGGGAGTTGCTAGTCACCGCCACCACTCCGTTGTAGGGCGCGATTCCATCTTCGTGATTGAAGCGGACGACAAGTGGCAGCGACCAGTATCCCGGGTGGTCGCTCGATGGAGGCATGATCGTTACTGTGCCTTCCTCGCCAGGTAGATACTCCTCCACCATGACGAGGGGGCTTTCTTTCAACAGACTCTCCAGATGGGCACGCAGCGTGCCCTCATTTCGACATAATTTCACCCCGTGGCTGCCCCGACCACGAATCGGTTTGCCCACAACGGGATACCGCATCCCCAAGACCAAAGCAGTGTCTGCACAGTCCAAAATCCGAGAGTCAGGCAGAGTGAATCGCGCCGTTCGACGCAACAAAGCATTCACAAAGTTTTTGTCGTCGAATGCATCGACCAGCAGCGGAGGCTGGCCGACGACCCGCAACCTCGGTGCATATCTATCCAACGCCTCGGACGCCTGCAGCGGATGTGCGGCAAAGAGGGTGGTGTTGGCCCACAAGTGAGTCGCGCCACGGTCAATCGCGGCCTTGATGCCTCGCTCCGTGTCGGGAAAGCACCAGCCATCATCCTGCAGCGGGGATGGCTGTTCAGCCTCTGTAATCACATCGTGGCCATGCTGTCGAAGGACGTAGCATATATCCGCGCCCGAGTCTCTGTAACCTGCATTGATGTTCGTGTGAGAGTGGAGCTAGACGGAGGGCTGCAGCTGGCCGCTTACCGCCGGGTTTCTTCGGTTTGCGCAGGCCGTTGACTACCGGCGGTTCCACAGCCTGGTATAGGACGGCGATGCGGGTGTGTGGATGATGCTTGGGCGAAGCGAGTATTCTCAATCCTCTGGTGCTTGCGATGGAGCAGACGATAGGGGTTCGGGTTATTCGAGATAGCCTCGCGCGGCGAAACATGTGAATGCGCGCTGTTGGGATGTCGGAAAACGTACGGGTTTAATCGAGCAGGAGTCGGCGAAGAGTACGCATGCTGGAGATGAGGAGAGCGTATGCTGTCACTCGATCCATCCACCGAGCTGAAGGGTTAGGCTAGTCTTACGAAACAAAGACTAATCAGAGGGCGAATGGGAAGCAGGAACACCACGTCAATGCTGAGTGCTCTGATAACCGGTCGTGAATTAGAGGGCTTCCAATCCATGTATCTGATCATCCCATAACGATTTTTTTTTTAAACATGCGTGGACATGAAGAAGAGGGTGGAGTTGACGAAGGTCTGAAGGAGTTCGATCCGTGGAGAAGGCACGAGCGGCGACTCCCGCTGGGCCCGCCTTAAGACCACCCCGACCTTCACACCTACACTTGACTTTCTTCTACACGGCCTCCACATATCCGCGGCGCACACAGCCATGTCCGACGACGAAGACGATAGGTCAGACTCCAGTTCTGACAGCGAAGACATCGAGACGACCGGCCTCATCGCCACACGACAGAAGCGCGTCACCGCCGGTAACCTCTACGCAACCCTTCGCGCCAACCTTGATGATGAAGAGTTGCAGAAGGAACTCCTGGCGGAGGATGAAGAGGGAGATGCCGAGGATTACGAAGGTTCGGACAAGGGCGACGACGACGATGTATTAGACTCTTCCAGCGACGAAGAAGATGCCGGACCCCCCAAAGCAGGCGAGCAGGAAGAGCTCGAAGGCGAGAAGGCGCTCAAGCGACAAGAGCGCGTGGAAGCGAGGAAGAAGCGCAAGGCTCACGACGCAAGACTCAAAATCCCGGCATGGCGGAAGAAGAAAAGTGTGAAGCTTGCAGACGACGTGAAGACGGAAGACGGCAGCAGCACAGCGGCAGAACGACCGCGGAAGATGAGCGAGCGCTCCAACTGGCTGCCTACCCCTGCCGATGCGCCTGTTCGTCAGTCCGGCCGCTCCTTGGCTGTGCAGAATCGCGAGATAGTACACGCGAATCTCAAGCAGAGCGCGGAGCGGAGCGAGCGACAGCGACGCGTCATGAAAGATGCGGCGGAGCGCGAGAAGACCAACAAGCGCATGACGGAGATGAGTCAGGAGGAGAGGCTAAGGAAGTGTGAGAGGATTGAGCGCGAGACGGCGAGGGACTTTGGCCGCTGGGAACGGGACGAGGCGGAGAGACAGAGGTTGCGGGAGGAGGCGTTGGCGGCAAAGAGGAAGAGGGGGCTGGAAGGCTCGTTCTATCGCATGTGGAGTGGCAGTGTGTTATGGGAGGGTGACAAGATCAAGATCAGGCGGTTGAGCCATGGGAGTAGGAATGTCGATGAGATTGTGCTGGAAGAGAAGAAGGCTGAGACGCCGAGTGAGAAGAAGGATGCAGAGGTTACAGACTCAGCGGCTCCAGCGACTTCTCCGGCACCATCGCCCGGGAAAGATGCGGCAGCAGTCCAAGCTACAGGTGATGGCCAACTGGACGCCCCCCCACAGCCTCAAGATGGATCGTCGCAGCCGCCGGCCAGTACCACGAGTGCTTCCACTACCACGCTCGACTACCTACCAAGCGCGCCATTCCTCTACATCCCTCAATCAACCAATCCACCGCAAATCCCGCCTCACGACCAACCACCTACACCCTCCCAGCAACAACCAACCCAAATCTACCACGGCTGGCCACCAGGCACCCACCAATTCCCCCTCGAAAGCCCAGCAGTCGCAACCCCACCTCCCCCTCCCCCAGCCCCCACAATCCCCCTCGTCCGCGAACAAGCCCAACGCACCCTCCTCATGCTCGAAAACTTCCCCACCCTCCGCAAAACACCCAACCCAACCCCCAAGCGCATCCCAAAATACAAACAAACCGACACAACCCTCGACGCCGACCCAATCAAACTCCTCCTCCTCCCGCAAGCCTTCCCTCTCACCCCCGCCCTCACACCAGAAGAAAGCAAATACCTCCTCACACGCCCGCGCAAGCGCGCAGGCAACGAGGTCCCGCTGCCCCCTGCGCCGTCCAAGCACCGGTGCGCCCTCACGTCGTGGCCGGCGAAGTTCCGCGATCCGAAGACTGGCTTGGCGTATGCGGATATGCATCAGTATAAGGCTATTCAGCGCATTCTGGCGGGCGGGTGTCAGTGGAGTGGGTTTTTGGGGTGTTGGGTGGGGAGTAGTTATGGGTTGCTTGGGAGGCCGGCGAAGGGGGTCCCGGAGGGGTTTGTGGGGGTTGGTGTGGGTGGTGTGGCGAAGGAGGGGGACGGGGTGAAGGAGGGAGTGAAGGCGGAGGCGGAGGTGGATGGTTGACGTTGAGTAGGAGGGATTAGATGCTCTTTGCTCTCTAGAATATGGATAGAAGTATTGAATTCCTGATGATTGCTGGTGAAGTGGACAACTCGGATTTTTGGTCGTCACGTTTTCTCATTGTTGTGAATTAATGTAATCCTCCCCTCAAATTTATGTACGCTCTGCCCCTACCCCTCACGTCGAATGTCCCACGGAATCCCAAGTTCAATATGACCTTACTGCTCCATCCTCGAAATGACGCTTGCAACGTATTGAAGAGTCGACGCAAATGTGGAATGCCTGGAGCAATGCCGATACCAAGAGGAAGTAGAGGGTCCAGGAGAAAGAGCAGCAAGCAATAGCAGGCGCGGCGCCCCAGGTCCTATATGCATGTCGATGCTCTGGCCGTGTGCACGATTGACCAGGAGTAGGTTGTGTCTCCACGCGGGAGTTTTGAAACGTCGTTCTGTTCGAGGGCGTGTGGTGTGAGGCCACCACTATGATGCGCCCGGGACGTGTCTTCCGCCGACGCCTCGCGCATTGCCCTGCGATTCCACGACGGGTGCCGTCGCAGGCGCAGGCGCGGGTGCTTGTTGCCCTCTTCTTTCGGACACCACGGCAACCGCTGTTGCTTGCGAGACTGCGGTGGACGCTCCAGCGGCGGGCTGAAGTGGCGCAGTGCTGGCCCTGGCGTGGATTGGGAAGCGCTCGGCACCGGTGCTGCTGCTGCTGCTGGCCCAGATGGCACTGGCTGCTGCTGTTGCCTGTGGTGCGCTTCGACTTTCTTGAAACGCCGCCAAAGAGCCCCATCCCAGCCGGCTGCGTCGCCTTCGTTGATATACCGAAGGAACTCGCCGGTCTGCTGAGCAGTGTAGATGCCGCGGTGTTCGACGTACGAGGTGAGCAGGCGTGTCATGACGATGTCTTCAACGGGCAGATGGTAGTGCACGAGCGTCAGGTCGGGCAGCAAGGGCGGGAAGTTGGAGAGGCGGCCGAGGAGGTAGTCTTTGAGTTTCCGCGGGAAGACGCAAAACTCCAGACTCTGTGCGGCGGCGTACAGGTCGATGAGAGGTGGGAGGGGTTGCGCATCTGGCTCGCTTGGGCCGAAGGCGGGGAGGTCGTGGGCGGGACATCGGTATGGCGCTACGCGGCGCATCCAGGCGAAGGCGGCTTTGAATGCCTCGGGCGAAGGTTGGTTCCATAGCGCAGGGTGTGTGAGGTCGAGGCTTTTCGGGCGGATGTGGGCAGCTTCGCCAGAGAAAGCTTTCCTCACGCGCTGGGAGAAGCGCTGGAGCAGGCGGAGAGGTACGATTTCGATGAGGGCGCCATCGAGAAGGAGGTGTACATCCTCTGGTTGGTGGGCAGCTGTCGACGTTTTCGGCTGCCCGTTCGCTTGATCAGCGTCGTTTTTGCTGAACCTTGACTGATTCCCAATGATCGTCATTTTGCCGACGTAGTCTCCGCCACGGAGTTGTGATAATCAGGTGTCACGGATGTAGGGGCCAGTCGAGAAGGGCCTTGCGGCGCAGGATAGGGGGTCGAAATGAAGAACTTCAGCTCGCTACTGTTGAGCAAGAACAGTGATGTTATATCAATGATGAATGGATGGAGAGAAAAGTGGCCGGATGTTGTCGGAGATTGTCGGAAGTGGCTGCGAGTGATGTAGAGGGGAGGATGATGTCGAGAGTTGAGGGGAAAGAAGCAGGTTCAAATACCCGTCCACTTTCACAAGTAGCAGTCTTCCCCACCGCCGATCTCGTGGCAACAGTGTCGGCAGTCGCATGCCGTGGTGCCCTTGTGACACGGCCATGACCGGGGAAAGGGTTTCACGACAGTATCGTCAGTTGGTTCAGGAGCGTGCTGGCATGGAGGGTGAGGCTGTATACGGCTGATGGTGATGTGTATGTATATTGCTTGTGACAGGGCATTAGGCGCTCCTGAATGCACGCGTATATGATGTTGTGAGGTGAATGAAGCGACAAATTAAGTAAAAAAACGATCAAATGCGGGACTTGGAGTTGCCGGGAGGGAAACGGCAGAAGATAGAGACAATCAAAGTGGAAATGGTCGTGTTCCCATTTGCTTGGTGTTTGGCTTGTTGGAGAGGAAAATGGCCATGAAAGGCAGAGACAGCACGTGGTGCGACGACAAAGAGATCTCATGATCGCTCGTGAGGAACATACCAGCAAATATGAAATGCATGCGCTGTCTTGACGAAATCGTGGCTGCATAAGGCGATACACAAGGCTGCCCGGATGCGGTGAATAGAAGCGTCGTGCCACGTCGGGCTGATTCCATTCAGACCGCGGCGGTAATGGAATGGGTGACGATGACGAGTATTGCGGTTCAAAGAGAACCGCTCCAACATCATTCGAACAATATCGGGCAGTATTTGGGAGTCCAGATGGAGGCCGGAAGACGGGAAGTTGAAATAAGGAACGCACAGACCATGCATGAGCTAATGCCCTACGTAGCTGGCCCGAACCAATCGTAGCACGTCAATTAGCAGCATATGTTGCCTTTCACCTATATTCGTCCGTCCGAACAACCACTCGCCTCAACCACCCTCACCTCCACCCTTCGCGACACTCCCGTCGCCACAGTACAATGAGTGTCCAGAGACCATTCCAGCAGCTCGCGAGTCGCGCGACTGCACAAAGCTGTGTCCAGCGCTCCCAGCACAGCTTCCAGGGCCTACGGATACCGCAACAGCAGTCGCGATGCCTAGCCTCAGTTGCGCCGCCGGTCACGCAGAATGCCACGGGATCCAAGGGCCCGACGGCGATGGTCTTCATGAACATGGGAGGCCCCGCCACCACCGATGAAGTGGGCGGCTTCCTCTCTCGCCTCTTCGCCGACGCCGACTTGATTCCCCTTGGACCGCTACAAAACTACCTCGGCCCGTTGATCAGTCGGAGAAGAACACCGAAGATCAAGAAGCAATACGCGGGCATTGGCGGTGGAAGTCCAATTCGGAAGTGGAGCGAATATCAAGCGGCGGAGATGTGCAAGATTCTTGACAAAACCAACCCTGAGACTGCCCCGCATAAACCATACGTGGCGTTTCGATATGCCAATCCTTTGACGGAAGAGACATACAACAAGCTGTTGGAGGATGGGTTCGGGAAAGGGCGAGGTGGGAGGGCGGTGGCGTTCACGCAATACCCGCAATACTCGTGCAGTACCACTGGCAGCTCATTGAATGAGCTCTGGAAGTGGAGGCAAAGACTCGAGTCTCCCACGCGCAACCCGGATCTTTCAGCAGCAGAGGCAGAAGGCTCGATTCAATGGAGCGTCATTGACCGCTGGCCTACGCATCCTGGACTTGTGGAAGCGTTCGCAGAGAACATCACCAAGACGCTCGAAACATACCCCGAAGACGTGCGGGACAACGTGGTCCTACTTTTCAGCGCGCACAGCCTGCCCATGAGCGTGGTCAACCGCGGCGATCCCTATCCGTCGGAGGTGGCAGCAACAGTATGGGCGGTGCAACAGCGACTCGGTTTCCGCAACCCCTATCGACTGGTCTGGCAGTCGCAAGTCGGGCCTTCGGCCTGGCTGGGCGCGCAGACGAGCGACACCGTGACCAACTTTGTCAAAAAGGGCCAGAAAGATCTGGTCCTCATTCCCATTGCCTTTACCAGTGACCACATCGAAACGCTGTTTGAGATCGACCAGGAAGTCATCCATGAAGCCGATCAGTTGGGCGCCGAAGGGCGCGTGCGCAGGGCAGAGAGTTTGAACGGCAGCCCGACGTTCATCAAAGCTTTGGCGGATTTGGCAGGTGCTCATCTACACGGCGGAGAAGTGTGCAGTCGCCAGATGGGACTGAGATGCCCCGGGTGCACGAGCGAGAGATGCCTGGAGCAGAAGCGGTTCTTTACGGGGTTGGGGCAGCAGAAGAACAAGGCTTTGACGTTGTGAGGCGTCATTTGCTTGCATCTCCGTCAGCGTTGCTTGTGTAAATTATGTAAGGCGATTCGTAGCATGCTGTGTATCCAAGTGTCCAGCAATCTCGACCGGATCAGATAGGTATTCAAGCACCGATTGATACACAGCTCAGTGATGAAACGGAAGCACGGCCGAATGCGTCGCCGTCCCGGCCAGCGGGCCACGTTGGATCGGCAGATGGTTAAGCGACTCCAGTGAATCAATGACGTGGGCTGCAGCTAAATGCGATTAGCCCGGCGAGTACCCCGGCTCACGATAGCTTGCATGCCACTCCGAGGCACAAGGATGGGACGGGTTTGAAGGAGTCTATCAGGATTTCGGAGGTCCAACTCCTTGCGCCCTCCGTTTCTATTTATCAGCTGCCTCCTCCCTTGCTTGGCTATCCACTATGCTCCTATCTAGATGAACGGAGCGAGACGGTGTACGATTTCTGGATTCCTATCGATTGCTTGCTTGGACTGCATTCCATTCGTTTCAATGACCCGTTGATTGCCGCGACCTCTTCCACCCCGTCGCTCGACCCAGGCTACCCCATCTTATTCAGTCTTGAGAGGGCAAGGAAGAGTTTGGATCTCGGCACACGTCCAGAAAGATGGAGAGCAGCGACGGCGCAATCGAAGCGGAGATTCAGCTCGACGGACAGGCTCTCGAGCAAGAACAATCGAGGCGCAAAGAGAGCGCAGGCAAGAAGAATGCGGAAATCGCACAACCGGGCGTGTCAAAATCCATATACCGCGATGATCGAGAGGATGCGGTCGATGAAGAGTCCCCGCTGCTGGCACGAGAACAGCACGACGAGCCGGACTCGCCGCCGCCGCCGTGGCTGGAAGAGGACGAGTTTGCGCATCTACCATGGCACAAACGCCCGTCCATCTTCTGGATTATAGCGCCGTTCTTCTTGGTCGCTTGTGCTTTTGGAGGCATCATCACGCCCAAGATCAACCTCATCCTGGAGCTGGTGTGCCAAAAGTACTTCCAGGAGCGCATGTTGCTCGACCCGGGCTTCACCATGGTGCCCGTGGACTTCAGGGGCGGGGAGAACGACCAGTGTCGTATACCGGAAGTGCAGTCTGGCGTGTCCATGATGATGCTGTGGATTGGAGTATTGTCGGGCGTCGCCGCCGCGGCCTCGAGTCCCAAGCTGGGCGCTCTGTCCGATCGGTACGGCCGAAAGATTGTCTTGATCATGACGAGTTTTGGGATGATTGGAAGCGAGGCCATCTACATTTGCGCCGCCACCTGGCCCGAGACGTTTCCGGTGTATTTGCTGCTTCTTGCGGCCGTCATTGATGGCCTGACGGGCTCCTTCATCCTCGCCGGTGCCATTGTCAACGCGTACGCTGCCGACTGCACTCCGCCCGCAAGGAGGAATATTGTCTTTGCATGGTTCCACGCCTGCCTCTTCACCGGCATCGCCATCGGGCCCATCCTCGCGGGATACATTGTCAAAGCCACGGGCCAGATTGTGGTGGTGTTTTGGATTCTCACGGGCGTCCATTTCGTATTCATCGCTTTCATTGCCCTGGCCGTGCCCGAATCCCTCTCCAAGAAACGACAAATGATCGCAAGGGAGAAACACGAGAGTGCCGTCTCATCCTACTCACACGATGGCCCACCTTCCGACTGGATCGACACGCTGCGCGCCATGAACCCCTTCGAACCGCTCAAAGTCCTCTGGCCCACAGGCCCCGGCAGCTCCACCGCTCTCCGGCGCAACCTCTTCTTCCTCGCCGCCGTCGACACCATCTGCTTCGGCGTGGCGATGGGCAGCATGGTGGTCGTCATCGCCTACTCGAACTACATGTTCGGCTGGACGACGTTCGAGTCCGGCCGCTTCCTGACCATCGTCAACAGCTCGCGCGTCTTCTGCCTGCTCGTCATCCTCCCGACTATCACACGCCTCGTGCGCGGCCGCCCGGCAAAGACGGGCCTGCGCAAGTCCACCGGCTGTGACAGCTTCGACCTTAGTGTTGTGCGCGCGGCTGTGTTCATGGATACGCTGGGCTACGTGGGTTTCTCGCTCGCGCGGAGCGGTGGAGTTCTCACGCTTGCTGGCGCCGTTGCGGCGGTCGGAGGCATTGCGTCGCCTACGTTGCAGTCGTCGCTGACGAAGCATATTCCTGCTGATCGAACGGGCCAGCTGCTGGGGGCTACTAGTCTGCTGCATGCGGTTGCGCGCGTGATTGCTCCCGCAGTGTTCAACGGCATCTACGCCGGGACGGTGAAGAACTTTCCGCAGACGGTGTTTGTTTGTTTGGCGTCTACGTTTGGTCTGGCTTTTCTGATTAGTTGGTTTGTGAAGCCGCATGGTAAGTTGCTTGCTCATGTGAATGTGTGGATGGCGTCTCGCTGATCGTTTTATCTAGTGTTCTTCGATGAAGAGCGGGCTGCACAAGCTGCGTCTGATGGCGGTGATGCGTTGCATGGCGAACATGGACATGGGGAACGGCTGCCGATTGTTGGGTCGGTGCTGGGATTGTTTGAGGCCATCTATGCTAGGATGCGAGGACGTCGGGAGGCATGATACATGTACGATGCCGGGAAGTGTTATGATATGGTGTAATCTATGATGCACGTAATGCTGTACGCAACCATTGATGCCTTGACGAGATCCTGAGGCCTTCCCAGTATCACGTGTCGATCAAGTATCACGTGTATGAGTTGTCAGACAGTCGACACTACACATTGTGGGGAAAATGAACGGGGCCGTGTTCCACGCGTCTTCTCTGCCAATATTTCACGGCAAGAATGGCCCGGGTGAGAGAGGCACAAGTCTGGTTCTGCCCAGGAGTGATGAGACGCCATGCGCGGGGCGTGAGGATGTGTTTCAGATTGGGCTGCCGCCAGGGGGAGAGGGTCTCGCCAATGACTTACCGTTAACGAGGCGGGCGACGTACAGTAGCCGCAGCGGCTTCGGGTCCAGCACACGCTCAGGAGGCCGGCAGAACGCAAGGATTTGTGGTTGTAATGCCCCTCCTTCACTCATCCAGTCTCCTTCCCAGCACGAAGATATACGGGAATATTCCATGATAGCAGCGAGGCCTCGTGTTGAAAGCGCCCTCCTGCCGCCACGCTAACTCTTAGTCAACCCCGGAAAAGGGCAGGCACGACTGGACCCCCGGAAAGTCGGCCGCGGGCCTGCTTCGTCACCGTCGACATTCGCCCATCACCACCACCACTTTCCCCTACCCATCCTCCCTCCTCTTCACCTCCCCATCCCACCCCTCAATTGGCGTCTCGACACCCTTCCTGGCCGCTCCAAGGCCTCTATCCTCCCCTTCTCCAGCGCTGCCTTGTGGATGGCAAGCAGCAGACTGTCTATTCCCTGAGCACCCTAATCTTGGTCCCACTCCACCCCGACTCGACTCCTCTTCGCCTCCCACCCCTCTTCATCGCCCAACATAATTCATAATGGCTCCCACCACCCGGCCAGACTACAAAATCAACCTCGACGGACTTGGCACGCTCAACATCGGCAAGACCACCTCCGCCAACACTTCCGGGGCCAACAGCCCCATTGACGCGCCTGCCGGTTCGGGCCTCAAGTATGCATTTGGCGGGAGCTTCGGTAGCCACAACGGTGCTCAGGCTGGCCCTGCACGAGCCGGCACGGGCTCACCATCAAAAGAGTACGGGAGTCGATTATTCCCCAAACGGTAAGGACATCACATCTCCCTTCGTGCCACTCAGGGCAGTGTTTGCTGACGAGGATCAAAGAGCACGAGAAATCCAAGCACAAGAAGGCCTTTCTCCTCAAGTCTGGGGCCCGCCTCCCACCGGCAGTGGCCACTCGACCCCACTGCGTGAGACCATCCCCGAGTCGCCGGGAAGCGATAGTTTCCCGGACTTCGATGCCACCGATGCCACCGCTGGCTCCGGCTCGAATCTGCTCGCATCCAACTCGACTCGTCGCGCTCGTGCCGGCACCGTCCCCTCCCGATTCCCACTGACCGGCTCGCTGAACGGCTCTACATCCTCCCTCTTGTCCACATCCAACCGTGTCACCCCCACCTCGAGTCCTTTTCAGTCGAATGCCCTCTTACACGACCAACAAGCTACCGCCGGTGCATCGGCTTTCAGTCAAGCTGCTTTACTTTCTCGCTTAAGAGCAGGATCAATGCCACAGAGGAACGGCTTGCTGGGCGGCGGCATCAGCCCCTTTGGGTCCTCGGTGTTTTCGAGCAACTGGTTGGCAGGGAGGGAACGTGGGAGTACCTTACAGAGCATTCGCTCGTCGGATGGCCCCTCATCTCCGAGGTTAGACAGTTCGCCCGCGGAAAACGCTGTGAAGACGTTGGATTACCTGGGCCTTGTGGACACACCCCAATCCAACCTGGAGATGCTGCTCAACCAACAGCAAAGCGGGCCCACCATTGCGGACCTCGCCGCTCTCAACGCCTACAATCGAAATACAGCAAATCGCTTCCGTTCTTACTCTGTCAATGCAAAGGAGAAGTACGCGGATGGTGACGATGACGATCTCGACCAGTACGACACCCCATCCCAGTTATACTCCGGACAACTCACTCCATCCGCCGAGAGTGCGGCTGCACAGGCAGCGGCCATCCATGAAGCGGTCCGACAGCACAACCTGGAAGTGCAGGCTTTTGCCAACTTCGCCAGTGCAAATCGACCACGAGCACGCACGGCCGGCGTTCTTGATTCTCCTTCCTCCCGCGTCCTTCGAAACTATCTTCCTACTCCCTCCCGCCTGGAAAACAGCATCACGGCCGCGGACCTGCAAAGCAATGACGGATCGGATATGGCTGGTTTGACAAATGCCATGTCGGCAATGCAGATGAACCCCAATGCTGCCTTTGACGCCGGCCTCGACTCGGGCCTGGAAGCTCCCACTCGGTCCCTGTGGCTGGGTAACGTCCCCTCATCGGCCACCGTTTCCTCTTTGAACATGGTGTTTGGCCAGTTCGGCCCCATCGAGTTCGCCAGGATTCTTACCCACAAGAGCTGTGGATTCGTCAACTTTGAGAACGTGCATAGTGCGATCGCTGCCAAGGCGCAATTGAATGGAAAAGAGCTCTTTCCCGGCTGTGGTGCGGTGCGTATTGGCTATGCCAAAGAGCAGAGTGCATCGAACACGCCAGGAGCGACCGGCGGCTATACATCGCCCAGTCCAGATCCCTTCGTCTCCAAGGCGCGGAACGAGGGCATTCTGACTGGAGGAGCGGCACAGTCTGCAGGTAACATCAATGCCGAGACTGAGGCGGCGGCGCTGACCAGCCCGAATCTTTTGGAGCTGAAGGAGGAGCTGTTGAGCATCGTCCAGCAGTTTGGTGCCACAGGTGAAGATCAGCAACGGATTAGCAGCAATCTCGAGACCGCTATGAGCTTCCATGGCTACGCACTGGAGGTCCCGCCCATTCCCGAGCCGAGTCACAATCGTGTCCACGACGCACCCCGACTCCGAGAAATCCGAAAGCGCATCGACAACAACTCTTGCAGTCCAATGGAAATTGAGAACATCGCCATGGAGATGATTCCCGAGATCGCCGAGCTGGCTTCGGATTATCTGGGCAACACTGTCGTCCAGAAGCTTTTTGAGCATTGCTCCGAAGAAACCAAAGAGGCGATGCTCATGGAGATTGGGCCTCATCTGGCAGAGATTGGCGTGCACAAGAACGGCACTTGGGCGGCGCAGAAGATTATCGATGTCGCGCACACCCAAACACAGATGCAGACCATTGTGGACGCCCTGCGACCGCACGCTGTCAACCTGTTCTTGGATCAGTATGGCAACTATGTCATGCAGTGCTGCTTGCGTTTCCAATCGCCGCTGAACAACTTCATCTTCGAGACGATGATCAACAGGCTGTGGGATGTTGCGCAGGGCCGGTTCGGTGCACGTGCCATGCGTGCCTGTCTTGAGAGCCACTTTGCCACGAATGACCAGAAGAGACTGATGGCAGCCGTGATCGCTCTTCACAGCGTACAGCTCGCTACAAACTCCAACGGCGCCCTGCTTCTCACCTGGTTCTTGGACACTTGCACATTCCCCCGAAGACGATCCGTCCTCGCTCCTCGACTCATCCCGCACCTCGTCCACCTCTGCACGCACAAGGTTGCGTATCTGACGGTGCTCAAGATCATTAACCAACGGAACGAGCCGGAGGCGCGCGACACCATTTTGAAGGCGCTTTTCTTTGACGAGCAGACGTTGAACGACATTATCAATGACCAGGCATGCGGTGCTACTTTGATCTTCAAGGTGCTCACGACTCCATTCTTGGATGACAGCCTTCGTCCTGAGTGCGTAGAGGCCGTGCGCAGCGCCTTGCTGCGGATGAAGGCGCAGCCAGGGCAGGGCTACAAACGACTGATGGACGAAGTTGGACTTTCCACTCGTCACGGCGGCGGCGGGACCCCCGTCAACGACGGCCGATCGAATTCGAAGACGAGACAAGCCAACGGCCATCTCGCACATCTGGACGGCGGCGTGCCCAACGGCTTCGCGCGGCCGCCCTACAGCGGTCTCACCCCTCAACAGCAACCCGCGGGCGGTTTCCAGCGCAACCCAAGCGTGGACTCCTCCAACACTTACGACCCTTTCACGAATGGCTTGGTAACGCCGCAGTACACCCACAGCCCCGCGCTGTCCAACGCAGGCATCAGCCCGCAGCAAGTGCAATACCAACAAGCCCTCCTCGCCGCGCAAGCCCAAGCACAATCGCAAATGCAACAACAGCGCGCCCCACCCTTCTACGGAAGCCCCATGGCGCCGCCACCGCAGGCAAACGTGAACGGTATGCCGTACGGCGCCGCATCCCCCGGCGGCCCACCTGCGCCCCACGGAGGTCAGATGCTCGATCCTTACCGCCAGTCTATGGGCGGCATTGCGCCCGGCATGGGGATGGGGATGAACATGTCGCCTGCCGCTGCTGCTGCGTATCAGCAGGGGGCTTTTGTGGGCAATCATGGAGGTATGATGGGTGGTGGTGTGGGTGGGTATCCCGCGCCGCCGCAGTTTCCCATGGGCTATTATCAGCAGGGGCAGATGGCAGGGCAGGGGAGGAGAGGCAGGGTGAGTTTGATGTTCTCATGAGTTGCTGTGGTGATTGGCGCTGACTTGCCTTGTTTCTCCCGCAGCGATGAAGCATGGATCCGACCTTTTTGAGAAAAGTTTTGATGTTCCGTTTCACGACATTTGTATTTGGCGACATCTTCAGACATTCAATTCTCGCATTGTGTGATGGGAAAGGGAAAAGGCGTACGCTGCGCTGCGCTGCGCTGTGCTGCGCGAGCAAGAGGACGAGAAGCTGGACATGTCCGGTCTCGACTCATCAGAGATGTGCATTTGGGCGATTGGGATTTCTGTGTATTGTTTTTTGTGCCTATGCTCGATGGGTTGATGGGAAAAGAAGCAAAAATGGTGCCGGAAGTGCCTGCCTGGCTGGGCTTCATGATGAGAATGGACTCTGCTTCGATGATGTGTATAGTAACCTTATGGATTTGTTCTATGTTGCTTCTTGATGCGGAGCTTCCTTCCATTCTAGATCATGATAGACCTGTTGAGAATAGCACGCCGAGCATGCTTGGCTCAGGCATAAGCTGGAGCAAGGTTTGGAGGTGAAACCATAAGTGCGTGCATCAGCAGCTCGAGAGATCGGCGGGAGCTTGCGTATCTGCGCGACCTCGCCTCGACGACGGCATGAGGATTGCAGTAGTATGCTGCATGCGGCACTCCACCTTCTCCTCTTCCCCAAAAGCAAATACCCTTTTGAAGTTGCCGTTCCAATACCTACTTGGCCCAAACCCTGGGCGGGGTGTCGCGGAGCTTTTCCTCCTCCCCATTCCTTCCTTCGCTCCTTCCCAACTTTGGTTTGGGTTCCACCTCAGCTCAACCTTCAGCCTTGTTCGGGAACTTTTGGCCCCTAATTTCCGGATGATGGGCCGCTCTTGCAAACGGCTGGCCCAACGCATGAACCGCCTATCGATCGCGCCAATACAGACGGTAGCCTAGCTAACTCTGCCCACGTCCCCATCACAATACCCTCTCTCCCCCTCCTCCTCCATCACCGCAAACCGCAGTGCCCCATCCCCATCCACCCCAGCATCGCATGCAATGAATCACAGCTCCAGCAGAAATGGAGGTTGCCGACAGCAGCAGCACCACCAGCAGCTACGCATCCCACCCCCACCACCCCTCCTCCCGCTCCTCCAGCCCAGCCGGCAGCGACATCACCGAAGTCCCCTCCGACCTGTCGCCCTCCTCCTCCTTCCGCACCAGCGGTAGCGCCAGCGTGCCCCGCACCATCGCCAGCGACATCGAGCACATCAAAACGCTGATTGCGCGCGCCGACTCCGTCTCGCCGGATTCCAGCAGTATTACCGCGCAAGTCTTCCGGAGTCGGAGCGGTTCGACGGGCTCGATTATTAGCCAGCAGCGGATTTTTCATGAGCTGGATTTGCTTAAGAGGAGGGTGAGGTATGAGCGGCCTGGGATTGAGCGCCGAGTGTCGCAGATGGACCCCGAGACGGAGAGCGAGTCGGAGGATGCGATTGATGAGCGGGAAGAGGAGCTGGAAGGCTTGCGGGCACAGTTGGTGCATGAGCGGCGGCAGAATGAGGAGTTGCTGGCGAGTGCGGAGGAGCGGATTGATGGCTTGATGGTGGAGAAGGAGGGCTTGCTGCATGAAGTGCAGGCGCACGCGGAGTATGTCGAGGGCTTGCAGGAGGAGATCCAAGAGGTGACGGAGGACCGGGAGAACCAGTTAGCTCTGGCGCAGCAGGAGATGGAAGAGTTACGCGAGCAGATGCACGCCACGGAGGCGAGCATGGCGCTGATGCAGCGCCATCTCGCCGACTTTGAGCTTCGTGCCGACACGGCAGAAGTGTTGGCGCACCGCATAGAGACCGAGGTGGAGCAGCGCATGGCGGCCAAGGACCGCGAGCTGCTCGAGGTGCAGAGCCAGCTGGCCGAGCTGGAGAAGAAACTGTACGACTCGTCCGCGCAGCTGCGGGAGAAGAATGCTGAGCTGTCCCAAGCTACTGAGCATGCATATCGCATGTTCGACGAGAGCGACCGCGGGCACGAAAACGAGCTGCGCGAACTGCGCGAGCAGCTCGAGCAGCGCATCGCCGCCCTCCGCGCCGACGTCGAGGAGGCCAACGAGGCGCGCGACGTCGCGCACAAGGGCTGGGCGGACAAGGTGGCGCGCATGAAGACCGACTGGGCGGAGGAGATTGCCCAGCTAAAGGCAGAGGGCGAGCGGCGCTCGCGTGCCCTCGACGAAGGTTGGTCCTCAAAGACTGCCGACGCTGCCCAATCCCACCAGGCTGAATTGTCACGTGTGCAAAGCGCGCACCAAAAGCAGCTGGCTGACCTCCGCGCCGATTCTGAGCGCCGGGCTGTTCTTTTGAGCGAGTCCTCGGCCGCTCTGTTGGCCGCGTCTGCGGCCAAATCCGAAGAGGGCTCTTCTGCGAAGTCTGAGGAGCCAGGCAGCGGTGATCCGGAGCTTCGTGCGCAGCTGGATGCCGCGCGGAGCGACGTCGAGACCGTCAGGGGCAAGCTGGCTTCTGCACAGGAGAAGAACTGGCAGCAACTGATTCAGTTCCAAGACAAGCACAAGCAAACCATTGCAGCACATTCCGAAGAGCTGGCGGCGTTGAGACAAGATCACCGCCACATGCTGGAAGACCTCGAGACGCAGAACGATGCGCTCGAGCGGCAAGTCAACGAGCTGAAGACGCTACACCGTGAAGTGCTTAGTCCGGGGCAGGGCGACGGGCCCGCCGGCGGCAACAAGGCGCTCAGCTTCCTCGAAGAGTGCACACGGCAGCTGCAGAAGGTGCACGAGATCGAGGTGCGGGGCATGCGCAATGATTACGACACGACGTTGCGAGAGCGCGAAGCGCAGTCCGTCACGGAGTTGAAGAATGTGCAGCAAGCGCTTCAGGAGGCGCTGGAGTTCGCCAAAGCCGAGGGCATGGTGGCGCTGGATGCGGCCTACCGCGACTACGAGGAGATGAAGCGATCGCTGGAAGAGCGGCTCGTGGCCGCCGAAGAGGCGGCGAAGAGTCTACGCGAAGAGCTGGACAAGTCGCCGCAAGATCATCTGGAATCGCTGCAGCAGGAGCACGAGCGAGCCGTGCGCATGCTGCTGCGCAATCAAAAGAGCGAGCTCAGCTCCATCGAGGAAACGCACCAGCAACAACTCAGTACTCTCGAGGCCAGCTTGCGTGCGCAGATCGAAAGCGAGTACAGCAATGCGCGACCCCCGTCGTCATCCAGCCGGGAATCCTCCCACGCTGACATCACCGCGTTGAAACGAGAACACAAACGGGAACTGTCACGCGCGCGGGCTGCGGCGCAGAACGAGCTCCAGGCGGCTCGCACGGACGCGGATGAAGAGTTGGAGGACCGGCTGCGAGAGCAGGCGGAGGCGCATCGCCGTCAACTCGACGACTTGCACCAAAGTCTTAATGTCGAGCTTACGCATTTGCACGTCAAACTCGAGGAAGCGTCGCTGCAGCGAGATGATCAGTTGAAGGAGGTCGAAATGCGACATCGCAATGCGCTGGAAGCCGCAGAGCAGACTTCTCGGGCATTGCAGGCTCGACTAGACGCGGAGGCGATGGGTCGTGCGGAGGCCGAGAGGTCTTTGGCGGGATTCAAAAAGTCGCGATTCGAGGAGGACCGCGGGGTGGAGTCGCGACACAGCATGCGCAAGTCGATTGTGCTGCTGGAGGCGGAGCGGGACAGTCTGGCGAGGATGCTGGCCGGCAGTCCATCGCTGAGCCACCTTGAAGAGGAAGAGGAAACGTCGCCCGACAATACGCTGGAGTCTTTGGGATTAGAAGACGAGGAGGACGTGACGAAACTGAAACAGAGACTGTTGACCGCGGAGCAAGAGCGGAGAGCAGCGCAGGACTTGGCCGAGCAGCGTCTTGTTGAAATGACGAGGCAGACCGAGTTCTTGACCAAAGAGCTGGAAGACGTCATGGCGCAACGGAACGCAGCACAAGCTGCAGCGAGTCGCGGATCGACCGACATCTCCGTTCAGACCGAGCCCGTGTCCCTCCTGGGTCCTGAAGCGCTTCGAGAGCCCAAATCGGATCCCGCTGTATCCCACGCACACAGAGATGCCTTGCAGCAGCAGCAAGCCCTGGAGATCTCAGGGGAGATAGTGGAGAGGAGGAAATCGTTCGAGAAATACCTGATGCTTGCGCAGGAGGAGCTCTCGAGCCTAGGCAGCACCACAAACGGCAACGAAACATTCTTCGCAGAGAAGACGCGACAGCACGCGAGCGGCGTGCAAGCCGCAAAGGAGAAGCTAGCCGTCACCTACCGCCGCAAATTCCGCGCTCTCAAGGCCGAGAGGGAGCGCATGGAGCGCGCCGTCGGCGCCAAAAGCGCTGCCGACTTCTCGCGCGAACACGAGTACCTCTTCGCCAGCTACGGCATCGACGATCCCGAGAGCGCAGGCGGGGTGGGCGATTCGTCCACCACGCTGTTCCAGGACCTGGCGCCGAAGCTGCAGCTTGCGGTGCGGGCTGCGGAGCAGAAACTCGTGGGCGAGTACCAGCGGCGCCTGACGAAGCGCCGGTCGCAGATTGCTATCAAGCATGCGGAGAAGTTCCGGGCGTTGACGGAGGAGTTTCATCGGAAGACCGCGGAGCTGGTGGGTGGGAGGGAGGGGTGGGAGGGGCATGCTGCTGCTGCTGTTGCTGCTGCTTCTCACGATCCGGAGGAGGCGGACGTTGCTAGTAAGAGGGTGTCGGTGGTGGACCGCAATGCGCTGGCGAAAGCGCTCGAGGCTGCTGCGGCGGCTCACACGAAGCCTAAGCGGCCCATTTCACTCAGCGCGCCTGGGTCATCGACATCTATTCCGCGCGCTTTTCCCTTCGCAGGAAGACGCGACACCCTCACCCCCGCCGCGGCCCCAGAAGTCCCCCTGCGATCTCCCCGCCGCGAGTTTTTCGACTTGATGAGCACAGCAACAACCCCAACAAGCAAGACGCAAACCTCCTACCTCGACACCAGCTCCGGCCGGTCCAGCGCCGAACCCCCAACTACATATACCTACATCCCCACGGGATCGACCACCATGCTGGCCGCTGTGTCGCGTCTCTCGGAACCGCGCGTCGAGTCTCGCTCCTCGATCCGTTCGGGCGTCAGCGCTTTGAGCGCTAGCGGGTCGGCGGAGACGGGCGAGAATGAAGAGTCGGCGTCGTCGAGACCTTCGATTTCGCAGCGCTCGCATTCTTCTCAGTCGTTTTCGCGGCCGCGGCCGAGGACTACGAAGCACTCGACGAGGTCGATGTTTGGGTTGTAGATACGGGGAGATGTATCTGGGCTAGCGGTGGAGTTTGGAAGGGTGCGGGCCTGGAGTTGCGGTTTGTTCGATGATACCTATTTGCTTTTTGCATATCCCACGAAACGCAACCCTTAGATGTGTAGCTAGTTGTAATGTATTTTGACCGTTGATGGTGGTTTACAACTTGCTCCCTTCTTGCCTATGATGTGCACGTTTCAGCAAATCTTCCAGTCCTCTGGAGTCCGCGAGCGAGCATACGTAGAGATACTTACGGCAACACCGCCGTGCACTACACAACTCATCAGCATCCTTCCTCTCACCTACACGATATCATCGGAACTCACCTCAATCTCCACATCAGTATTCAAAGGCAACGTCTTAACAGCCACGCACCTACAGCAATCTCTCAGCGGCGCAACATTGAAAGAACAACGACGGGGCCAACTCACGTCCGGCAAGGCTTCACCTCCCCGAAATACTGCGTGTAGACTTCGTTCATGGCGGCGAAGTCGCCCATGTCGGCGAGGAAGACGTTGACTTTGACCACGTTGTCCATGCTTGTGCCCGCGGCTGGAATGTCTTCGTCAGCGTTGTTGCAGAGAGCGAAGTTGGCATCGGGAGGGCTGACGATACCTTCGAGAACGGCGGAGAGGTTCTTTAGGACGCGATGCTGGGGGTTTCCGTTAGTTCCCGTGTGCTTGTGACAAGACAGATTAGAGACGGGTTGGGAATACCGTATGCACTTTGACATCTCCGTCCACGATTTTGCCTAACATTAGAAGAAAGGTCAACTCTCGGTCCACCACCCGCCTTCCACCATGGGAGCCTTGCTGCGTCAAAGCAGATAGAAATTACCAGTCTCGGGATCCATCGCCACGCTGCCGGAACAGTACACCATTCCGTTGGCGATGATGGCTTGGTTGACTGCAAGGCCGTAAGAATTGATGGCTTAGAAGCCCGGACCGCGGTGCAACTCACAGATGCCCTTCAGCCCGGCTGGGGCCTTGTCGGTTTTGACGATTTGCTTGAGACCCATGTTGAGAGATTGAGTGATTGTTGGCAAAAAGAAGTGGACTGATTATATTCCTTGCGGGAAGGTAGAGGGGGAGGGGGGGAAATGCAATGGTGGAGTGGAGGATTTCTAACAGCCGCGGGGCAGGTTATGTTAGGGCAGAACGGCGGCAGATGTATTATCACCATTTGAGGGTTATGCGTCCATCATTACACGCAATGATGTGGGTGGAAGAACGAGGGTGGATAGATGTCCAATTGAAATACATAGGCACAGTAGAACTCCTTCTACCCTCACAATATCATATCATGCCCATGTCCAGTGCAATGCTACGCCCCAGCAACAACAAAACTCCCCAAACTACCCACGCACAATCCCCCAACAAGACAAAGCCCCATGAACCCGCCCGCAACCTCCCTCTCCTCCGCCTCAACCCACTCGCCCGCACCCATCATACAAGAACTGCCCAAAAACCCATTACTCAGCCCGAAAAGCAGCTGCACGACAACAAGATAGAAGAAATCCGACGACACGATCGCGCCGCGATCGCGGATATTGCAAAGCTGGTACAAGCCGATGAAGACTATGCGACTGACGGCAAGAGCGAAGAGGAGGCGCGGGCGCAGGACGAGAGAGAGGGAGGGAATGGATGTTAGGAGACGGCCTAGGAGGTCGCCGACGTTCCAGAAGAGGAAGGCGAGGGGGATGAAGGTTGCGGGTTGGAGGAGGAGGGGTTGGTCGGTGGGTGGGCGGACGGAGAGGATTTCTTGCGTGTAGACTGGGAAGAGCATGGTGATGGCGAAGGTGAGGAAGACTGCGCTGGCGAGCCAGCGGAGTTTGCCGAAAAGGACGCGGAGAGGGACGGCTGCCTTGGGGGGCTCGGAGTCGGAGGGGGTGGATGTTCCAGCGTGTTGCACTTTGATCGGTCTCCGGTGGCGGGCGAGGAGGAAGGCGAAAGCCAGGAGCGCAGTCAGGGCGACGACGCATGCGGTGGAGAAGTAAGCGAGAGCTGCTTCGGAGGGAACGGGCGGTGGCTCCGGCGGCGCGTCTGCTTCCTCCGAGCCAAGCGGCGGCGGCGTGTCACCCTGAATGGAGAGGACCGACACGATTTGCGCAATGCATGGTAGGACTCCTGCAATAGCCTGTCCAGTCATGATGCCCTGCGTGTAGCTAGGCTGGCCGAAACCCGAGACATAAGCAAAGATGCCGTTCTGGCAGAGAGCCGTAGCCAGACTGGTGGACACCATGACTATCATGAGAAAGGCAAAGTAGCCTTTCGCGGAAACGTCGAGGAGGATACTGGTGGATAGGGCCAGGAGGGTGAAGACAACCATATTGATAAGAAGAGAAGCGACGATCCTCTTAGGGTAGGAAGCCTTCGTCTGCAAACGAGTAAGGAGCAGCATGGAGCTCAAATTGGTGACGGTGGACACGGAGATCTCAGCGGCCTGGAAGTTGTTGGAGATCCATTCGTTGCTACGGAACCGGCGGCGGAAATAGGGGCCGGCGGCGAGGAACATGTTCCATGCCCAGAGCATGGAAATGCCGAGCACGATGAAGATGGCGTAGTCCAGTGATGAGAAGGTCGGCTCTTTGACGACAGGCGCTTCCCGGTGGGGTTCATCTGCGACATCGCCATCTTCGATAGGCTCGTATGTCTGCTCGCCATACAGCAGCTTGCGGAGGCGCTCCATGTTGATTCGATGTGGTCTGCAGCGTCTCTGCCGGTAGTCTTCGCGGATACGACAGTATCACGGATCCGGTATATATTTCAGAGACCAGCCCTGGCCACCCATCTCTCCCTCGCTCGTTCGACAGCTTAGATGAAAGGAGAAGTCGTGGTACACAGATTCGAGGGACGGAGATGCAGGGATGACAAGCACATGCAGTCCAGCGCTTGAAGGCAAAGCACAGACCAAGCCGGATGAGGCAAGAGCGCAGACAGCTTCCACCACTCCCATCCTGCCTTACGAACCATGCAACCGCCAGACATAACGTGATCTCCACCGCATGCAATGCACGGATGTCATGCATCGTTGATATACTCAAAAAGACGACGGAACGATAGCAAAAAACCAAATGAGAGAAGAACGCAGAGGCGTGGCTTGGTCTCCGCAATGATGCCTTTTCTCGGCCTATGGACTTTCACGTCCTTTACATGAGGTACACACCACCCGCCCAGCTCCAAAGTAGCCCTCTCCAAATCCCCACGTAGCGATTGTCCCCCATGTTCATCGCCCTTTTCGCCAGCCTTCCCAGTCCATCACATGCAATCAAGACACCTGTTACAGCCTTCGCTCGCTTCTCCTGCGGCGAAGTGTCGAGAGATTGTCCAGTGCGCGAGACGATGGCTTGCGCTTCCAACGGAGCTTTGCGTTCAAGCCTAGGACCACGGAGCCACGCATTTCCTTGCCACGGCTGCGTGCTCCATCACCATCGCCAGCAGCGTCAAGAACGAGCAAGGCGAGCGAAGCAGACGAGTATGTGAGACGACACGATCAACCTCCTTTCCTCTCCGACTCACTAGCAGGCAAAGGCTGCCCACCACCCCCAAACCCATTCTTAAGCCCAGCCGCACCCGCAGACTTGCTCTTCTTATGCCCCTTCCGCGTAGCCTGCTGCCATGGATTGGTATTAGCACTCGCATTCGCCGCGTTCGCCAACACGGGAGACAGAGGAGTAGGCGGCGGCGGGCTCCTGGCAGGAAGAGGAGAGGGAGGCGGCAGTTTGGGCATGGTCGGATTCGGTGCACTGCCTTTTCTTTCGTGCTGGTGCTGCTTTAGCACCGGCGAGGTCGGCGCGGGCGGGGTGTTTTCGTCGAAGCGATCTGCTTGCTTCGCGTTTGCGATCTTTGCTGCTTTGCCCACGCCGTTGGCTTTTGGCGATTTGGGATCCAAGGCGGCATTTGCGTGGATGGGAGAGGGTGTTCGAAGCTCCTCAACGGGTGAGAGTAGTGGCGCCGTTGTGCTGGGCTCCGGAGGAGTATGGCTGCCGTTCTGCGGCGTGTCGATGGGCGATGGGAAATTGAGGTTGGAGTTGGATCTCGATCGCAAGCCAGACAAGGTCGGGGGAGACGCTGCTGTCCTCGTTTCGGCCGGCGGCGGCGGCGACTGCATTTCGAAGGCGGCATCGAGAGGTCGCAGCGATAGTCGAGACATCTCCTCTTCCGCTTGTGAGAGCTGTACGCCCACCAGTGCGGGTTCAGGATCCCGCACGCCATTCATGCCTTCGGCACGCGCTAGCTTCATGGGCGTGCTGGTTCCATTCACTATCAGAGGGCCGCCAAGATTCGGCGATATTGGCGGGAGAGCAGAAGCTGCCGCAGCAGGTGTTCCAAACTGGTGCGGGCTTTGAGCGACACTGGGCTGAGCGTTCTGCCAGTCTTCAACTGCTGCACGAGTCCACGTCGATTCCAAGGGCGAAGGAGAGCGCGATGCATGCTGTCCATTCGACATTGGTATTCCCCAGTCGGACGTCACCCGTCGCGGTCGCGGGATCGGCGGGTCTCGCAACATCATGGCCGGCATTTGCATCGGGGCAGCAGGCATATACTGAGGGCCGAGCGAAGGAGACTGGCCAACGTAGTACCCGATATACTCCTTTGGAAGTGCGCTGTCCGGCATTTGGGGTTGCTGATACCCGGGGCTGGTGGGAGAGAAAGGCATGTGGATGCCGAGTGCTCCATGCGGATAAGGTACAGTAGGATCGCCGTTAGGGAGCTGGCCACCAAGCATCCCAGACCCATCGTATCCCGGACGCCCATGGTGCTGGGGAGGCATAGGATTTGGAAGGGAGCGGCCAGGCTGAGATTGCGATCTCATCGAGCCAGGAGGCGCCTCTGGAACAGAACCCCGGTGGACCTGTCTTCGCAGCATAGGCACAGAGGGCGTCATGGACGGAGAGGAAGGATTCGTGTTGCTACCTTGTGGTGACCGGGCTTGTGACATGGGCGACGACAGAGGATAGCGGTTGGAATAATGCCAGAGATGTCCCGGTAGCAATGGCGCCGTCGGCGGGCCGTGCTCCATGAAGCGTGGACTCGGAAGTCCGTTCGTATACGGCCGGCTGAGTGGTGAACGAGACGCTTCGTTTGATCTGCTCTGTTGCTGCGCCTGCGCCTGTGCGGATTGCTGCAATTGCCGTTGTAGAGCGTCCTGTTGCGCTTGCAGGTACTGATATTGTTGATACAGCTGGTTGTGCAGGTCTCCCTTGGAAAAGTACTCCATGGCCGGCCCACCCGGCGGGCTCTGGAATGGTAGTGGTGCGCGATAATTGCTGAAGGCAGCTCCACTAGATGCTCTGCGATTCCCGGCGCGCTGCGTAGACTGATTCCGAGTGCTGCCTTTACGCGCCTTGCCAGCGCCAGGCTCGTTGTTCGGGCGGCCTGATTGCGATGCACTCCGCGTCAAAGTCGGCTTCGGCTTGGGAGCAGGTCGTTGGAAGATTGGTTTCTCCTCCCGAGGAAAGACGAATTGTTCGCAGCACGTTTCGAGCTGGGCACCGTCGGCGAGAAGATCAAAGGCTCGTCGTATCTCTTGATGAATGCCGGACCACGCGTAGTCATCTGCAGAGTTGCCAAGATTCCGGTTGATGGTAAAAGGCTCTTCCACACAGAGACGATTTCGCGCTTCTTTATCCTGGTAATTGCTGGGATCCCAGCCCTTCTCTTTCCTCGACACCGGCCTGCCTTCTCGAATGGACACGACGTACTTTGAATACTCAAACTCGTAGCCGTAGTGTCGGAAGAAGTGGAACAGTAGCTCGGCAGGGGTCTCCTTGTTTGCATTGCCAAATCCTTTCAGCTTTTCGGGGTCATCAGTAAAATCAGTCGGTTTCGGGTGCTCATTGCCCTTGCTGGATGCTGCCATCTTTTGCAGCGAAGGGAGAATCGGCGGCTCCCGCTTCTGCAGAAAGTTGATGACCATGCAGATCCAGGTGTAGGAGCTGATGGTGCCACCAAAGGCTGCGTAGGGGTCAGTCATACATGCAACTCGTTGCCATTGGTATTCACCACTTACCGGCATCATTGAGAACCCGACGTTTCGTCCAGTGCTTGATGATCTTTGCCACCTGTCGTACCCTCGGGTCAAGATGGACATATGTCTTGATCATTCGAGTATTCTCCAACGCAAGCGTGTTGTTGACATTCAAGTCGGCGGCCAGCTTGAGCTCGGGATCCCAACATTTCACGATTGGTACTTTGGCAGAAGCCCTGCAGACCACCTTGTGCATGCCATCTGTCCGGGTGTCAGTCTTGTTACATTCCATTTCTCGCAACGTCACGTACTCTTGTGCAGTAGTGTGGCAATGGCATGCATGCTCTCCAGCTTCTTCAACGGCGTGGTGATGCAAATATCGACATCCGAATCGCTCGAGCTCAGATCATTGCCAGAAGAGCCAAAAACATGCACACGAATATCCTGCCCCGGCCACTCCTCGTTCAATATCCTTTCCAGCTTCCGAAGCAACTGCTTCTTTCTGTCCTCACTCTCTTGCGACGGCAACAGCCGGTCGTAGAGCTCGCGCATGTCGCCACTCAACTTGTGATGCTCATCCGGCTCCAGAAACTTCTTGGGCTCTTTCTTTGGTGGTCCCAGCTCTTCATTTCCTCCTTCCACATACGGTATCCGTCTCTTCCGGATCTCGGCGCCCGTTTCAAACTTGCATACCACCTGCGCCGATCTCTGAGCGCCGATAGAATCGGTCAGGGCGGATCGGGGAGATTGGCTGGCAATTGCTCGATTTGGTGAAGGGGAGCGAGAGTGGAAGCGAATGTCTCGAGGTTGCTGGTATGGAGTGGAAGGAACGGAATTGGAGTGGTGGGAGGTGATTGGAGGTCGAGAGGGAGGTTGGCTCGCTCGATCTTTGGGGCTCGCCATGTTGGCCGGATTGGGCGATGTCATGATCGGGGCCGGTGGTTCGAACGAGTGACGGTGCAACTTCCCATCTGTGTTGGAGGGCAAGGCCACCCACGAGCGTCGGGAGGAGGCCTGATGGGAGATATAGTCCGGATTGGAAGCAAGCGCGGGAATGGTGAAGTTCTTTGTGCTGGATTGCTCCACGTGCGGAAGTTTGTCCTCGGTCGGAGGATAGATCAGGGAGAATGAATGATGTGGTGGAAGCGCTGGTAACGATGGTGGTTTGCTGAGCACTCCGTGTGTCCTGCTTGCCCCTGGTGCAGTGAGAGGCGGTCCCGGCGTTGGAGGCGTAGGAAGCAAACGTGAGGAATGCGACGGCTTTGGGATGGCTCTGGCAGGAGAAAGAGGGTGGGAAAGCGGGCCGTGTGGTGGCGATGGTGAGCAGTCAGATGTGCGCCGCGCGGTGGAACAGGCAAGAGCAGAGTGGGCGAGAGCAGATGGCAAGAAGATTGGACCCTTTGAAGTGATGGGAGATGTTTCGTGAGTTTCCATTAAAGTCCTGGCAGCAGCCTTTACGCCCCCGGAATTTGGGGGAGGAGCCCGACGCCACCCACGCTCGCTGACCAATCACAGCCTTTGCTTCTCAATGAACCCTTCCGCCAGGGTGTGTATCGATTTAGATGCCTTCAATTGCTATAAGGTACAATACAAGTCGATAGTTGAACATGACTCTTCAGTGCCTTGCCGTGTCGCGTGAGACGGACACCTGCGCAGCCCCGAAAGTGCCATGACATGTGTGCGTTGTTCGGTTCACCGCGTTTTACTGCACCAATTGGAGGCTCGCCGGCGGCCTGCCGCGGTTTGTTACACCAAGCCTCACGAGGCCAGACGACCCATTGCAGGTTTGTGTAAGACATGGAACCTTCCCTGCACGTCGAGGTGGACTGATACGCACATGTCACCTTACCAACGCCCCGACTACCGGGACCTTCCATTGACAGCATGCCCGTAAGATTTCGTCCATCTCGTACCCATCTAAAACTTGCACAGCGCCTGCAGATTCTCCTTCGTCTTCCCATTGTACTCCCGCACCAAACTCGCAATCCCCTTGAACTCTCCAATCCCCGCATCCCCCATACACTCATACAGGAAACTCTCGCTCGTCGTCACCACCGCGCCCTCCGCTCGCAACCGATTGAGCGCAATCGGTACCTCCTGCGGATTGCAGCTCGACACCCCGTCCGCCAGCACGTACACCTTGTGTCCCTCCCGCAGCAAGTCGAGGGTGGACTGCGTGACGCAAATGTGCGACTCAATCCCGACAATCACCACCTCTTGCTTCTCGCCGCCCAGCTGCTCCGCAAACACCTTCTGCACCTCCGGCACCCACATGGAGAAGGCGCTCTTGTCCGCGTTGACCAGCGTCTTCACCCCGTCTGCTGTGTCGAGTTGCAGTTCGGGCGCCAGGTCGCCGAGCTTGCCGCGTAGCTGCGTCGTGGCGACAACGGGCATGTTGAGGATTTGGCTGGCTTTGAGCATCTTCTGCGTCGTCGAGACGACTTTGCCATATTCGTGAATGGCACCGCGGAATTTCTCTTGGATGTCGCAGATACTGCGCCAGTTAGTCTGGTGTTCGATCGAAGGGGAACGACACTCTCTCTTGGAGGTTTCGCATACAAGAGGACCGGTCGGGCTGGAAAGGAAGACGTCAGTGTGCCCATGGATCGCACGGAAAGGTGTGCTGCGCGCATACCTAGTCGCCGCGCTGGGCCTGCCATGTTGAACGTCTCGTAAGATCGCCGAAAGAGATAAGAATACTAGAAACGCTGATTCCCTCGAGTCGTGCGGAAGAGCAACGGGAGAAGGGAAGAGGTGCTTCGGGTTGGAGGGACGGGCTCCAATGCGTGCCTCGGTACGTCATTCGCAGTGCCAAAAGATGCCTGAGGCATCAGTATGGCTTCACATATTGCCGTACTGATCTACCATTTCCATGCCATCAATACATGGCGTGAATCTCCCTCACTTCGCCATCGCCTCAACCCCTTCCGCAAATGCCTTACACGTCGTCCGAAAGCCCATGCACAACTCCGCGTTGAATTCGATACACTGTTGCGCAAACTCCGGACTCGTAGTCCCACAACCGTCGTTGAGCAGGATGCAGTCGTAACTAGGCCACACATCAGTCAGCCTTTGCTTGCTTTCTTGACATCGGGGAACGAAAGCCCAGATACGCACCCTTTGCTAAACGAATCCTGATACGTCCCTCCTACGCACTGGTCGGTATTCACTCCCGTGAATAACAGCGTACGGATACCTTCTCGCTCCAGAAACTCCGCTAGAGGCGTGTGCGGCGACCATATCCCGCTCATGCGATTCTTGTGAATCCACACATCCGGCCTGACATCCAAGCGTTTCCCTTCTTCATACAGCCGGTCCAAAGGGGGATAGAGCGCGGTATTCCACTGATCCCTCATCAAGAAGTCGCCGGCATCAATCTCCTTACCGTCGTCGGGATCCGTTACCATCCCCATCCAACTGCCCATCCCGGTCTCCCCGTCCTCGTCTTCGCACGTAATCTTGCCATACCTGTCCACACCCACCCACTTTCCATTCTTATACCCATCAAACCCAAACCCCCGCAGAAGCGCGGGCGGCATCTCGCGAATGTCCTCCTGACTCAGCCCCCAATTCACCCACACAACCCTCACGCCCGCCTTGCGCGCAGCAGGCACAGCGTACTGCACCAACTGCTCTACCGCCTTGTGGCCCGGACCTTTCGTTCGTCCACGCGCAGGCGATAGAAAGAAGTTCTGCATGTCGATGACGAGCAGCGCGGTCTTGGCCGGGTCGACGGCGATCGGGGTCGTGCTTGTTTGGAGCGTGAGGCGCGGGTTGATAGGCGGGGAGTCTGGGGTTGGCGGGTGGGTGAGGTCGAAGCCTGTGCGGGAGTCGTAGAGCCAGAAGTTTTTTGCGTTGCCGATTACGGCGTGGTGGTGGTGGTCGGTTGTGTCGCCATTGGTAGCCATGTTGATTGTTAGTCGTTTGGGTGGAATACTGTGGAGGAGAATGTGGTGAAGTGGGAATTGAAACGCCAACTGTGCGGTGAGAAACTAGAAGGGCGTTTGGAAAACAAACAAGGAACACCGAGCCTGTTTCTGTACGTTAGGACTTGTAAAAATTAACGATGCAGCGGTGCCATCATCATCATCATCATCACCAGTTGCTAGCGATTGATAAGGTGACGAAGGTGGGGACTGCTGACGGGGACTGGGGAAGGAGGGGCAGCTCGACGACCTGCTGGATTGGGAAAGCTCTTCTTTTCCTTAATGATGATTATCAATGTCGTACAATGGAACGAACCTTTGCACTCGCCCTTTGCACTTCAATGGCCTCCACATTCCCTAGATCAACAAAATTGCAGCGTTCGGCGGAGGGAATCCTCTATTCTTGATACTCATTGCCGGGAAGCATCTCTCGCCCTTTCTCCAGCACGCCCTTCAAGTACTCGTAGACGGCAAACGTCACCGCTTGCCCGGGCGCGACTCGCATCACACGGGGTGTGATGCCCATCCAGAACGCGCGGATGCCCTCCGTCTTCCACATTTGGTTGGCAATGAGCATGATGCGGCCTAAAGCCGTGGAGCCCGCTTCGGCGGGCATGCGTTGCAGACGCGTCTTAATGGTGTCGATGGGCGCGTTGGAGAAGGGGCCGACGGCGCCGGAGATGAGGCCGATGAGCGACGTCTTCCATGAGGGGAGGGGCGCAGTGGGGTCATCCTGCCGCTTCTGCAGAATGTCCTTTAGTTCGGTATAGGCGGTGAAGTTGGCGGCTTGATTGGTGCCTTGTCGGAGCGCAGTGAGCGAGACACCGCGGTAGAGCGCGGAGACTCCCTCCTCTTTGAGGACGGTGTAGCAGGCGTGGGCGGCGTTGCGATACTTGGGCACGTCGAGCGGGTCGGACATGCTGTGCTGCTGCGCTTGTAACCGGATCTTGACCACCTCCATTGGCGTCACTACCGCCACCGCTTCCGTAACACCGGCGAACAAGCCGGCCGTGAAGTTGGCCGCTCCCGACACCTTTCCATCTTCCGACGCCAATAGCTGCTTGTACCATTCGTAGCTCGTAAAGCGGATGGCCATCTTGGGCACGATGCCCGTGAGCACGGCGCCGAGTCCTTTGTACAAGCCCAATGGTGTTTCTTTCCGCGCGATTTCCATACCCGTCTTGAGGAAACCTCTCCTCTTCTGCCCCTTCTCGTAGCGCCGCTTGGAGAGCTGCATTCGCACTTTGATGGTGTCGAGGGGATGGCACACCAGCGCCTCCATCATACCCGCACCGCCGCCAGCTAAGCTGTGTCAGTTCGCGCAACAACGACAATCTGCAATGCAATCTGTCCACACACCGATCAAGTTGGTCGCCGCCGAGGCAGGCTTCTTGCCGCCAGGGCCTTGCACCGTCTTCGCCGACATCTTTCCGCGCGCGCAGGCCCCTCAGGACACTGCCAGGAGCCGAAAGTACACTTGCGCGGGGCTCCGCACAGCTTGTAGGCCCCGGGGAAGCTCACGTAGGAGGATGGGGAGAGTAGATGATAGAAAATGTGTCTAATACTGAGCAAAGGAAAAGAAATGTGCTTCAAACCAAGACGCCCTCCTGCATATTAGGTCGGCATTACGTAGGGGGACAGCTCGACAGGCTTAGGATCCGTTCCTGGAGCTGGGCGAGCGGAGGCTGGACCTCGGGACTTTGCGGGCCTCGATCATTGGCGAGGTTCGGAGCCTTGGGTTCTCGGTGCTCTGGGCTTTGTGGATAGACGACATTTCCCGAGGCATGGGCGGATCTTTCCTTCTTGCCGGTGAGTCAGGTCAAATTGCACTCCACTACGAGGAAATGGAGATGCGTGTGAGATCTTTCATCGTCGTGCTGCGTTCCTTGAACTGGATGCTGCATCGCATCGAACGCCGATCGAAGCTTAGACCCTTGCGGAGACTTCGCCGTGAACGCGGGGTGCGTTTGTGGGTGGAGTCTTCATTGATATAAAACACCGCAAGGTAGACCTCAGTCCTGCTCGTTCCGTCCGGTATTTGTGGAGATGCTAAAGGCCGAATCGATTAGACATTTTCCAGCCGGACAGCGGTCAAGTCGAGGTGACGGGTGTAAGGTATTGAAGAAGGGCAATGTACGCTCTTCGCGCTTGCCAAACTCTAATCGCGAAAATCACGTGCATGGAGAAGATATCTAGGAGTTCGTAGGAGCGATGCCTCTGCCGAAATATCGCCAGCACCTCGTCGTCACCGTTGTTCTCGGAATCGACTCTCCTCCAGCATCCTCCGCTCCACCAGCTCTATCACATTTCGCTCATACACATCCTCCAACGGCTTCCCCTCCTTCAGCACCAATTTCTCATGCCTGAGCATCTCGTCCTTAGTGAGACAAACGAGTTGACTGAGATCTAGTCGATCTGCATTCTGCCCTGGCGTCTTTTGGTCGATCCAGGCGCCCTCCGGTTTGCGCCATCTGGTCAGAGCAAGTCGACTAGCAAGTCCGGAGACCACGCTGCGTCCACCGTAGACTTCTTCAATCACGTATCCCACGTCATCCGCAGTGAGTGGGATGCGAAGCCCCAATGGATCGAGGCCGTGGTGGCGGGCAACCCGCTCTTCCAGTCCTTGCAGCTGCGCGAGCACGCCTTCGTACATTTTGTCCCGCGACTTGCTGGGGAGGTAGTCGTGCGGATAGCCCGAGATCTCCAGCATTACGTGGTTTGCCACACACAGCCCAAACATCGCCGGCATCGTGCCTAGCACAGGGAGGATGCGGACTCGGAAATCGGGGAGGACGCCAAGCTCGCCCACGGTGCCTTTTTGGAATTCCTCCTCCGCCAGCGGCTGTAGCTCGGCTTTCCCTGGCCCCGTCTTTTCAGATGAGAAGACTACCGGGATGCCTTCCTTGACGCCCAACATGCGAAGTCGACGTCGTGTAGAGCGGGACAGCGGGTCATCGGTAGACGCTGAAATGTCGCCAATGAAGATGCGAGTGGGGTCGGATTTGCACCCCGCGCCCATCGAAGAAATCACAGGGATCCCCTTTTGATGGCAGTATTGTAGCAGGGCCACCTTGGAATCGATGTTATCAATCGCATCGATGACGTAGTCGGGTTTCTGGCCATCTTTCCATGGTGCGAGTTGTGCAGTTGCAGCAGCTTCCGAGAACAACTCATTCCGACAATCAAAATGGATCCAGGGGGTGATCTGCTCCAACCGTCTCTGCAAGCAGTGGACTTTGGGCGTACCGACGTCCGCCAAAGTCGCGACGGAATGCCGATTGAGAGAGCTGAGCGTGACCTGGTCGAAGTCGATCAAGCGTAATTTGCCGCACCCTGATCGCGCAAGAGCAGCAGTTGCATGAGATCCGACTCCTCCACAGCCCACAACGATTACGAAAGCTTTTCGCAGTTTGGCTAAGCCGTCGTCTGTGAGAAAGACTCGATTGCGAGCAAGTTGTTCCAATATTAGACCTGGGATGGTTAGCCAGTGAGCATCAATCCATCTTGAGAATAATCGTACCCTCATCGTAATCTCCCAAACGAGCTCGTAAGGCAAGAGCAGCACTTCGCTCTGCTTCAGTAATATCTCGGGCATCTTCCGGTACAGCGCCGCCGAATTCGTTTATCTGGATGTCTTTCAGTCAGTCAGCGTGCCAATCGATTCACTTTACTGGCGTACATACACGTTCTATATCGTGGGGCTGGTCGAGGCCAGGTATGGAGTCTTTCAACTCATGTTCCTCGTGCCATATCCTCGCCCGTTGTAGACTTATCAGCGCCCCGATGGCCACGCAGCCAGACACCACGGCCGTCACTCCGAGCTGCAAGCGGTGGGAGTTAGAGAAGTCTGGGATCCATGATGACATTGCTGTACACCATTTGATGTGCAAGTGTCAAAGACGAGATGGCTGATCTGCAACAAGGAAAATGCGGTCGGAAGCACGAGCTGCAGTGGCGCTCCACTGTGGCTTGCACTTGTTTGACCCTGAGCTGCTGCCCTTCCTTTTTGGACTTCACCCCCCCGGAAAGCCAGCTGGCACGCGAGAGATCGCCCGCTCCCTCCTTTTACGCACAATTGCACCCAAGCCTCCAAATCATTCCCGTACATTCCCTGGTCCACCAATCTTTCTGCTTTCGCGCCCTTGCGTCGCTTCTTTTTCAGTCCTTTCCAACATAGCACATTCGCAACAATGTTCTCCTCTCCTATACCCCGGCTCCTCTCTGTGCTGCTGGCGGCATGGACCCTGCTCGCAGCGGCACAAGACGATATACGCTCGGTGAATCTTCGAACGCATAGCTTGCAAGAGGTGAGTTAGCCGCACCCTCTGCCGCAACAGCTGCGTACTAACCCAACGACTGCGTGGCAGCCCTACCTCGATGGCGAAATGCAATCACGATGGTGGGATTTTGGCGGCTCGACCATCATCCGCCAAGACCAGTACGTCCGTCTGACGGCCTCACGCCCCTCGCAAGCGGGGTGGATCTTTAGCAAAGTCCCCTTGACCGCCACGAACTGGGAAATCGAAGTCGAGTTCCAAATCTCGGGCACGGGCAGCTTGTTCGGGGACGGAATGGCAATGTGGGTGACGAAGCAGCGGGCGGAGATGGGCCCGGTGTTTGGCATGAAAGATCAGTTCGAGGGCTTGGGAATCTTCTTCGACACATACAAGAACAACCGGCCAGGCGTCGTCTTCCCGTACGTCATGGCGATGCTGGGCGACGACCGCACTCCGTACGATCAGGCCAACGATGGCAAGTCGAATGAGCTCGCGGGCTGCTCGGCGCGAGGCATTCGCAACGCGGATACGCCGACCAAGGCGAAGGTGACGTACTTCCAGGACAAGCAGTTGACCGTCGACCTGATGTACAAGAACGAGGAGGACTGGACGCGGTGCTTCGAGGTGTCCAATGTCCGATTGCCCTCGGTGTCGTATTTGGGCTTCTCGGCGGAGACGGGAGAGCTCAGCGACAACCACGACATCATCAGCGTGACGACGAAGAATCTCTACTCGGCAGGCGGATCGGGTGCAGGGAGCAGCGACAGCCGCAGGAAGAGTCGGGGAAGAGGGGGAGCGCAGTCGAAGAGCAGTGGAGGCTGGGGCTGGTTCTTCTTCCGCTTTGTGATCTTTGGACTGCTCGTGGCAGGCGCATGGATTGGTTACACCGCTTATCGCGCCAGGCAGAGGGACAGGTTCTAGAGAGCGGGCATGGAGGACAAAAGCCGAGTGAAATCTGCAAGCGTTCTAGCGCGCACAACCTGCGACGAGTTCTATCTGCCTATTCCCATCTTGTCCCTTCTCCAATTTGGCGAGTATGGTGCCCTCAGATTAGCTCTCTTGGTTCTCACAAACAACCAGGCTCCCTTCTCTCCGCTCGGAGACAAGCAAGTCGGCTGCTGTACAAATTTGGCTTTATGATACATATGATCAATCATCAGCGGGTGACATACTCGGTGAACAACATCTTCCCCTCCCAATCCACATAGACGGCGGGACAAGTCTCCATCTGCGATCCTTACCGAGCGCGCGAAATAGCCAGCGAAGACGGAGCAAGCGTGCTACCGATTGAAAACTATCTTTTTTCGCTGAGATCCTCACTGCACCGCTGAATCCACTCACCGCCAGAGGCCGTGAAAGGGAGACAGGAGGGTACTGGATCGCTTCTTCTCGGTCATGCGCACGCCTTTGGTGCTGACACGTCTTCGCATGGCGCTCGTGCCGCTCTGCTACGCTGATCAGACTGTCCGCGGCGGTCTTGAGATGGATGGGTGAAGATGCTTTCAAAAGCGATGAGGATGAAGGTTGAAGCTGGGAATTTTTGGCCGTACGATTTCTGTTCTGACTCAGCCATGGTGGTACAAGCACGTGGGGAGCAAGAGAAATGATTCCCGGTGTTGTTCCGAGCCCGTGAGATGCGGGTGTGGTGTTACACGGCTACGTGCAGGACGTAATACTGAATAGCTTGTGTGAGGGGTGTCGTCATTGGTTGTTCTCAGCTGGAGAATGAATTGATTAGCCACATTCATGAGATGAGAGAATTTATGTGATACGATTATTGCGAACCTTCAACTTCACTTTTCATGCTTTCGTGTGAATTCTAGAAGAACGTGATATGCTGGCACAAGGGAAAGACGCAAGTCATCAGGGCAGGGGCAGATCATCAGAGGCCCGTGCGTCAGCAAGCCTGAGCTCCACCCAACCTCACTTCATATCACGCTCCAGCCATTCCTCCCTTGCTTTCACTCTTCCCATTCAACTCGCGTCCTTCAAAACACGTAGTTGCGGTGCGTGGCCGCACGCGCCGGCCTCACCATGCTGTGGTCAGGCGTGTTGACCTTCGAGGCTCTGAAAGCGCGGTCCTTCTTCGCCAGCCAGGCTTTGAGGGCGCGGGCCTTCTTGCGTTGGACGCGAGCAAGCTCGTCGTCTTCGGCCTCCGCCTCCGCCTCCGCCTCCGCCTCCGCCTCCGCCTCGCCGTGCTCGCCATTCTCCTCGTGCTCTCCACCGTGGCCGACATGCTCCTCGTGTTCCTCCCCGTGCTCGCCATCCTCCTAGTGCTCCTCGCCGTCACCTGCAACAGCTTCATCCGCGTCGGCCTCTGACTCCACCCAATCTTCACCATCCTCCTGCTCTTCGTCACATCGCTCCCATGATTTCTCACGAGACTGAGCCGTGGCGCCGCGCCTGTTCTCCGCTAGCTCTCCGTAGGGAGCAACCCTCTCTTCATCTTCCCCGGGCGCCGTGTGCCTCCAGAACGGGGCGAGCGACGGCGTGCGGTCAACCACAGGCCCGTCGGTCGGGGGGCGTGTATAGCTGCGAGGCCGGGGTTCCTCGCGCTCCAGGACGAAGTCCGGTCCGCTCTGGTCGCCTTTCGCGTGGCTGTCAGCTTTGTTGCGACTGAGCTCACTCGTTTCCTGCTTGCTTACTGTATTGAGACAGGTCAAACTGCCCGTCCGGCTGCTCGATGGATTGGCGGATGTCTGGAGCACGCGTTAGCCTGGCATTGATGAGAATGGCGAGAAACTCACCATTGGGCTGCGGGGCTGGTGCTGCTTGTCGCGGTCTCTCAACCCGGTAGGCGTTGTTGAGCGAGTTTCGATCACCTCCAACCATCGTCGCGGTAGCTTGATCTCCGAGTTGGAAAGAGTGATCTTTGGTGTGCAGGGGTTGAGGGAATTGGGTACGGTCTGGCTGGAAAGCCTTGGTTTGGACAAAGGTCGAAAGATGGCTCAGAACAAACGGACGCGCTCCTGCCGCATTTGGTGAGATTAGCTACACGCGGGCCGGGCGCTGCAGACGCACGACCTGGCCCAAGCTTGCGTAAGTTCGAACTTCTTCTCTCGCGCGCCTCAATCCTTCTTTCTCTTTCTCTTCCTCCAACATCATGAACCAGTTGACTCCCAGAGCCATAGGAGGTCTCCTTCCACTCGTACTGGCATGCAGCGTCGCTTCCACCGTCCACTTAGACGACATCGGCCGGGGAAAAGACGCGCAAGGCATGCACGCAGTAACCAGTACCACTGTGGTCGTTCCAAAGTGCGGAAAGTCAGTGCCTTAAACCTGCTGTGCAAGAAAAGTCGGTTACGGGTTTGTGTGGCACTATGAGCCCATGCGCTCAGTCGCATCAGATATGCCGTCTAGCTGTGCGGAAACGGGGGAGATTTCTTACTGGAGAGGCAGCTTGGTTATGACCTTCGACCTACGCCACACCCACCGACCGACCGACCGAACAAGAAGAAGATTCACAAGACTGTCGTCAACCATCGGCGAAAAGAGGCCTCCTCCGACCTCCACCGACGCGCAGCGTCTTGTCAAGCGTCCACTTAGACGACATCGGCTCGGGGGACAGACGTTCAAGGCATGCACATTAGTCGCCAGAAGGCGTTGTGGTCGCTCCATCGCGCGGAAAGCCAGTGCCTTAAACCTGCTGTGGAAAACAAGTCGGTTACGGGTTCGGCGACACTATAAGCCCAAGCGCTTAGTCGACCGTCTATGCCGTAAACGTCGATGTGAGGAAGGAGAGGTCTCTTTCGTTGTTGGCATCCGCTCAACCACCCACGACGACCGACCGACCGAACAAGAAGAAGAAGAAGAACCACAAGCACAAGACTGTCGACGACCACCGGCAAACCGAAGCCTACTTCCGCCCGCTCTGACGCGCAGCATCTTCAACCTTCACCTACACGTCAAAAGTAGAGGGGGAAGATGTTCAAGGCATGCACACACCAGTACCACTGTGGTCGCTCCATCGTGAGGAAAGATGTGCCTTAAACCTGCTGTGGAAAAAAAGTCGGTTACGGGTTCGGCGGCACTATGAGCCCAGGCGCTCAGCCGACCGTCTATGTCGTATGGTTCAGGCGGGAAAGGGGTGGGCTTCGTTTGCTGGCTGGTTCTTCGCATTGCCGTACGACGCCACGGCCGACCGATCAAGAGGACGAATTTGCAAGCCGAACCGGTGTCGACAAGTGCATGGACAGGCTGCACTTCAAGGAAGGAAGTGACATGAGGTGACAAGTGTATGGACAGGCTACACTTCAAGGGAGGATGTTACATGAGGGAACAAGTGTATAGACAGGCTGCACTTCAAGGCTGATGAGAGGATGAGAGCTCAATGGAGCTCGGGTTGGACGGGCCTGAGAGTGCCATCGAGGTCCATCGCAAGAGGAGGCCATCTGCAGCTTGCATTGATTTGTGGGCGTAGGAGGCTTCTCATTTCATCATTGTTCCATTGCGACTGCTTTGTTCATTTCCCTTGCTCTACCGTCTTCTGTCAGGAATGTCCTGCGCATCACGTGTCTGCCCAGCGACCAGCCAGCCATCCCACGCTTCCGGTCGGCGCACAAGATGTGTACTTGCAGGGTGGCAACAAGCATACTGAGTCTCCTGTAGAGTAGTGCCAGTTGGATCCAGTCCCTCTCGTAAGCATTGCTGATCAGCGCCACATTGCTGACCGCGGGCTTTTCGCAGCACAATGTCAGACGTGTTTAAATCCGCCCTCATCCCCTCTGCCCACAAGACCTATACACAACTTGTTCCTTTCGATTGTCAACACTTGGCTCGGAAGGTTAGTTGCACCGACGGGCTAATCAATCGCTACAAAAAGGACACGGTGGCCTACGCGGGCCTAGGCATTTTCCACCGCGTGGCGCACGGCGCGCCGGGGCGCCTCGCACCTGCTGCTTCCGTCCGCCGGCGCTTCTTGCACTTGGTATATAGAAATTCAAGAAGAAGGTAGGGAATTCGTTGTTTTACTCCTTCTCAATCATCTTCTGAATCATCTTCTCGGTCTTTACCCTACCGTTCCTCCTATCACCTTTCAAAACCAGCCGCGAGAAGCAAAAATGTCCACAGGCGCCCTCACTTCCGCCCTCCTGCCGAAAGACTATGGGTAGGACTTCATCCTCCAACTTGCACATCCTCATTCTTCTAACCAAACTTCTCATCCAGCTATGTCATCATCAGCGCCGCCGCCTCGTTCGGTCTGGGCATGTGGCATGCCTACCGCATCGTCCCATTCCGCAAGCGGGCGGGCGTTAAGTAGGACTTCGCAAGTACGGCGAGGAGGAAGACTCGTGCTGATTGTACTCGCCAGATACCCCAGGTACTACGCCGAGAACTCCGATATTACGAACGCTGAGAGCGCGGAGAAGAAGCAGGCGCTGTACTTGTATAACTGCGCTCAGCGTATGTTGTCCCCTCGAATCCCTCGAATCTGCACAGTGCTGACCCGCCTCGACCAGGTGCGCATGGTAACTGGATGGAGAACCATCCCCCCTTCGTCATCGCTCTTCTCGTCGCCGGTCTGAGGTACCCTATCGCCTCCACCGCACTCGCAGTGGGATGGATGGTGTTCCGCACGCTCTACGCAGTAAGTGCTGGTCTTCTTCAGCCAGGGGTATTTCTTCAACCAGTCGTGCTCACGTTTTCGCCAACTCTGCAGGTCGGGTACACGCGGAGCGACAAGACGGACGGCAAGGGACGACTCATCGGCACGCCGGCCAGCTTCCTTCAATTGGGGTTGTACGGCTTGATGGCGTGGACGGGGTACACGATGGTGAGGTAGAGGTCTAGATGGGAGGAGCAGGTGCGGTACTCATCCGTTGGAGCGAAGAGTGGCTCGGACGAGCGAAAGAGTGGTGGGCACCACTCAGGTTGCTTTCATATGTAAGACTGTCCCTGACTCCTCCGCTTTCGCTCGCGCTCATGATATAAGAAGTGTCAATCGAGATATCCCAACTCACCTTTGCATTCTCTGGCGGAAACCTTCCAAGCCTCTCTCATCTGTCGCAGGCTCACTCGGTGGTCCGTAGTGCAGCGGAAATTGCGTGCATTCACGACCTTGTGCTACCACTCAACGTCACTTCATCGTGCAAACGCCGCTGCACTTCAACGTCATCTTCTACACTCTCGACATCTCTCCGTCTCCAGCACCAGGCCAGGATGCTGGGTAAACGACGAAGCAAGCGGCAGTCCGCCGACGATGCCAAAAGTAACAACAGCGACGGCACCGTTCAGGAAAACATAACCAACGACTCCAGCATGAACATCGATCTCGGCAGCATTCCATTTCCCCCAGCAAGCACCTCGCGCTCCGATGCCCGCTCCACTCGCGACGCTTCACCTTCTCAGTCACTACTAGACAGATACCAACGACGCCTTCATGGGATGCAAGCGACGAAGCACTCCTCCTCATCCATGATGAACTCGCCTTCAACATCAGACGGCAAACTAAAAGATGTGTCCGACGAGCTCCTGGTTGATCTGGGCCCTGCTTCACTAGAGAGTATCAATGAACCCATCACACCTGGCGATGGAATGCCGATGCCTAACAAGTCATACGATGAATTCGATTTCGGACTGGCCGGCCCTCGCAAGACCGGCATGCCGCCCCTAACAAACACCAACGATTCAACCATCCCGCAACCACCTCGACGCCAGACACGGTCCCAGGCGAGAGCGGAGCAACGCAAAGACTCCGTCAGCGCCGCGGAAAGCGACAAGGACGCAGTCTACAAACCCCGCAGCCTCACGATCCGCAAAGTCCACGATGCAGACTGGACGCCTTCTCCTCCGCAACCTGCCGTGGCGTTTACGAGCAGCCAAGCAGAGGCAGAGCTGATGGCCAGTCTGGCCTCGCTAGGCCTCGAAAGCAACACAAACATGCCCTCACACGCAGCTACATCATCATCATCAATCGTCCACCACGCCAAAATCGGCGCCCCCCTACCATCAAACCTCAAACCCTCCCCCCTGCAACCCTCCAACCTCCCAAAAGCAACCGCAACAACAACAACAACCAAACGCCCACCCCTCCCCACCCCCCACCAAACCGCAAAACCCCCCAAACCCCCCTCCCCACCCCCCGCAATCCCAATCAACCCCCCCGCCCCACCCGCCCCCTCGCAACTCCCAGGCTACATCTGGCTCTCCACGCACCCATCCTCAAGCCTCCCCACCGAACCCTGGAGCTGGCTGAAACGCTGGACATGCTGCCAGTGCGCGCACCAGGATCCGATGGGCCAGGGGCGCGCGGCGCAGACGATGGTCAAGCAGCGCGTTTGCTCGAGGTTGGTGTGTGGGCATTTGCGGTGCGCGAGGGGGTGTAGGGTTGTGAGGGATGGGAGGTTTGAGGGGCCCGGGGTGTTTGCTCTTGTTTGATGGGAGGTGTCTTGGGGTTATACTGGGTTGGATGGGTAGAGAGGGCAACAGGCGGAGACTCTGGGCGAGAGGGTTCGAGATTGGGCTATGGGTTCGTGGGAAGATCGCTTCGCTGCCTATTCGCGGCGTGGGTTAGATAGCTCGAGTCGTGGACACCGGTGTTGCGTGATAGCGATAGCAAATAGACAGAAAAGAACTGAGATTGCTCTCATCATGCGAACGTAGGTCTATCCGTCCCAAACAAGAAAGAAAAGAAGAGGGCTAAGGAATCGCCCGACGATCAAAGACAATATGTCCAATCACAACTCTCATCATCAGACCTTGACCTCTACCCATGTCCGCCACCACCATGGCCATCTAGCCAAACAAAGAGAAGGCCACCACTGAACACACTCAGCGCCGAATCGTCTCCGCAAGCGGCTCCGTCTTAATATGCGGATGCGTATGCGTGTGCGCCGAGAAGCGATGTCCCATCCCACCACGACTGCGGCGCGAAAGCGAAGCAACATCATGTTTGCCTGTGTCAAACTCGTTAGCAACAATACCACACAAACAGAGATTACTGATGAAGGAAGGGGAAACATACCATCACAGCAAGCCCTCACATTCTCCAGCCGGTCCGCCTCGCGCTCCTGCCTCTCCATCTGCGCCCGCAAATCCTCCGCGCTGTCGGCGGCAACACTCGCATTGTAGATTTCGCTGCCGGCTGCTTGGCCCGGCGCCGTGCTGCTCGTGGTCGATGTGCGGCCGCGAACGGCGGCGGAGGCGGAGGAGCGGAACTTGTTCGTGAGGCTGCTGTAGCGGGAAGTGGAAGTTGAGTCCGGCGCGGGGGCGCGGGAAGGGCTGGGCGGCGGTCTGGAGTGTAAGCCAGGGGTGGCGGATGTGCGACCGCCGCGGGTGGGACTGCTGTTGCGCGTGGTGCGGGAGTTGTAGCTGCTCAGGCTGACGCGGCTGTGGCTGCGGCCGGTGGTGAAGCGGGTGATGCTCTGCCGGATGCTGCTGCCGAAGCCGGGGTTGAATTCGTTGAGGTCGTCCTGGTTCATTTCGTCTTCGGCTTCGGCTTTCTCTTGCTCCGTGCGGAGGAGGAGGTAGGAGAGGGCGTTGAACCAGGTTTCGTGACGCTGGCCTGTTGGGGCGGTGATGATGATTTCGCGGCCGGGGGTGACGATTACGAGGGATTTTCGGTGCAGGCCGGGAGGATAGGCGTTGTCATCGCTAATCACGCGCACGGCGTCAATGGCCACGCTCTTTGCTTTGAGCATGTCGCGTCCAGCCGTGCTGGGATCCTTCTCACTCCAGTACAGAGTGCGCGTGTACGGATGCACCCAGAAGAAGCGTCGATGCCTCGTGTTTGAAGGCTCGCTGCGTCCAGCCTTGCGCGTGTACTTCCACAAATACTCGCCAATCATGGTCTGGGTGATGGCTTGGATCATACGCGGATCCGTGGACGGGATGACGCCTTCAGGGTACATGAACTGCGATCGTCCGTTGATTCGCTCGTCGACCTCCGATACAAAAGAAGAGAGCGACGTCCGTCGGGAAGCCTGGGTGAGTGTGGGGCTCTGCACCTGTCTGGCCCGCGGCGTTGTTCCATCTCTCGGGTACACGCGCGTAGACTCTGCAGGCGTTCTCGGGCGAGCTTGTTTGTACGCCGAGGCTGGCATCAGTGGAGGACCCATAGTCCCCACAATCGCCGTGCCAGGGGTTTGCGGATCTTTTTGCGCTGCTTGAGCAATCTTGACAGTGTGATCTACCGGCAATGGCGGTGCCGTGCCCACCGAAGTCCTGTTGCGCATGCTGCCAGAGCTTGCAGGGCGTCGGGGAGTTCGCAGTGGTGCAGCTTCGTTAGAGACGCCATCCAGTGAGCGACGTCCACCAGACGATGTAAATCCTGCGCCAGATCGGACAGGAAGGTCGGCAACGGTGGAAATGCGGTTCTTGTTTCGAATCATCTCCTCGATGTCGTCTCCCGAGACGTCTGTCTGCGATCCTCCATCCATCATTGGAAGTTTGGGAACGAGTGGCATGAGGCCGACAGAGTCACGTTCGACAGCACGATCAGCGCCACCCAGTGAAGCGATGCCGAAGAAGCCTGCACCCGGTCGCGTGGCATCAGTGCCTGGGATGCCGTACTGTTCGGCCGAAAGTCGTCGATCGCTCCGTTCTGGCAAGAGTGGCGTTGTCGGTTGAACATGCTGCGCCATGACACTCGAGAATTGTAACGGCTCGTCCCTGATGGTCGCAGGAACTTCCGAGTCGTGCGAGGCGCCGGCTTCAGCATCCGTGTCGGCATGCTCCCTGCTACTAATAAGGCTTCCGAGTCCCATTCCAGCCAGGGCACCGCCGACGACTTCCATAGCCTTATCCTTCAAGTCCGAGGCCGGCGCAGGAGCCTCGGGGGTCCAGGGCTCAGTCATCATGCCTGCATCGGCGTACGTGGGCTTGACGATGGCGTGCTGCTCTGTCAATGTGTTCTTCGAAGCAAGAAGAGGCGTGGCAACGACATCAGGGGTATCCGGTGCCACCGATATGGCCCTCTGAGTATCCGGCGTACCAACAGCCGAGTCGGTGTACCGGCTGGGAGTGCCCTCATCGAGCGCATCCAGCTCATCTCCAAGGCTTTGTCCGGGCCCCTGAGGTGTACCGATCGACGATGCTGGGCTATCGCGCATCAGATCACTCACGCGATTGCGCTTGCTGCTGCCTCCATTCACACGCAAGCGATACTTTTGCTGCTGCTGAATTTGTTGAGGAGTCTGCAGCTCATCGTCGGAAGCCGTAGATTGGAAGGACTGGCGACCAGCAGCCGGAACACCGGACAGGGCAGCGGCTGCCTTTGAAATGTTGCGATTCCGACTGACGGAACCGGCCTCCGTTTCGGTAAGCTCTTCGCTCTCGTCGTCCATGCTTTCGCGTCCTGTCTCGAAAGCATCGCTGGGTCCACCACGCTCGGTGGCAGTCTCGAAGGCCGCATCGGTTCCCTCGGTCTCTTCGCCACCGGTGGACACACCAGCAGCGTATCCCGCAACGGCGCCGACTCCAGCACCGACAAAGGCGCCAGGCATGAACGAGGACTTGGTGGGGGTTGCAGTTCCATCGTTGTCCTCCCAGTCTGGTTCATCTTCCAAGATTTCCGTGGTGCTGCTTCGATTCGCTCCGAGGGTTCGCGGCAGAGGCTTCTTAAATTTGCTGCTATCCTGCTCACTCCTCCGTTTTTTGCCGACATTCGCGCCGACCACGCCGCCGCTTTCACTTCGCTTGCTCTCAAGTTCATCTCTCGCTTCCTGGAGCATGCGCTTCAACTCGATCTTCTCGGTCTTCTCGCGATGAATGTTGTTCTTCAAGTTCTGAATCATGCGATGCGCATGGTTTAAGCTGGACTTGAGAGTCTCGGATTCGAGCATGCCGTGTCGTGCAGGAGTGCCTTTGATGGGCGATTCCGGCGCGGATTCCTCTGGAGTGCCATCACTCAAATGGCCATCGTCGTCCGCGGCGACAAATGCAGCGCCAGCCGCAGCCCCGGCTCCATTGAAGCGGTATGAGACTGCTTTTGCGAGTTCGGTGTTCTGAGATGTAAGTTCGTCGATTCGCTTCTGCAGAGCTCCCTTTTCGCTTTCGTGCGTTGTGATGTCTCTCCGGAGGCCGTGCAACTCCAGCTCTTGCTGGCGCTTGACGGCCGCATGCTCCTCATTGAGCTTCTCGTGGGAGACCTTGAGATCATCGAGGTCTCGCTGGGCGGCAGCTTTGTCGCCTTGGGTGGTCTTGAGGTTTTGAAGTGCCTTCTGCTCGCGATCAGTGACATCCTTGTGACTCGCTTCCAGGTCCTGCAAGCGCGTCTCGAGATTCCAGTTTTCGTCTTTGTAGCGTTGCTCCTTGTCGTCGAGATGCTTGACCCTCTGTGCCATGCCCGTGGCATCGGCCTCCAGTTGGGCTTTGGCGGCGGTGGTGTCTTTTAATTCTTCATCTTTCTGGGCGAGTGCGGCCTGCAACTGCCTGACCTGAGCAAGCAAAGAGGTACTAATTTCCGTTGCGAACTCGATGTCGTGCACACGATTGCTGGGTTGGTTTCTTGTGCGTCGAGATGGGGCCGTGAGTTTGGTGGGCGATTCTCGTCCCGACCCAGTCAGGGCTGAGGGTGTACTGGACGGGTCGATCTTAGCCTTGGGCAGGAAAGCACGAGCAGACTCCTTGCCAACTTCATTGTACTCCTTTTCGAGGTCTGCGAGGCGCTTGCGGAGCTCGGTGGGAACCTCATCATTCTCCTTGACATCTTCGACCTCTTGCAAGCGCGCGGCCAGCTCTTTGCGTTGCTGAATCAGGGTGGTGCCGAGGCGCGAGGCATCTTGAATCCTCCGCTCCGTTTCTTTGAGATGTGCTTCGAGCGCGCGCTTGGCTTGGGTTGGGGAGTTGGCGGAGTAGGAGGAGAGATGGTCGAAGTCGAGGGAGGCGTAGCGAGGGCCGTAAGAGGTAGGGGCGACGAAAGGATCTGACAGGCCATTGGTGGAGAGGGCGCCCTTCGACGGGCTGGTAGTTGTGGACATTATTGTAGCTGCATGAGCGTCGGAGGACGGAGATGGGCGGGAGTGTTCAAGATTGTCGATGGCGAGAATGGTGGAGGTGCTCGCGAAAGTCCAGTAGAGGTCGCACCGCGTTCGGCAGCGACAGCGAGTACAGAATGAACGCTCAAACAATCCAAGTCGATGGCCACGATGCTCCGATTACGTCGGTGTCGAAGGGGAGATGGACGTAGGAGAAGAGTGGAGGTGTTTACTCAATGTAAAAGCAGCAGGATTCGCGAGTGGGGCTTGGATCTCCACCGCAACCAGTCAAGCATGTGCCGGGCAGCGAATGCTGAGACTGGCGGAGGAGGCGGTGCAGAGAAGGGAGGGGGAAGGAGGAGGGAGTAGGAGTGACGAGGATGGCGAGGATGAATGGAGATGGAGGTGTGTGCTGCACGAGAACGGAGGGGAAATAGGCCAAGGGCAAGGCAAGGCGGGTTGGAGGTTGGCGTGTGCACGCCCGAGATCAACAAAACAATGGCTCACAACGATTGGTGGACGAGCAACGTTCGGCTCATTTGACGCTCCGGCACCTGGCTGTATCTTCTACACGCTCCGTTTCGTGTTTGAAGGCAGTCGGAATATGATCGATATATCCGAGTCTGTCGTCTTTATTCTACCAGCACATGGCGTTTCATCTTCTTCCATCAACCCCCCATGCAGCGCCGCCTACAGGACAGCTCCTGCCTTCCCAAAATAGAGTTTGGAAATTAGAGTTTAACGGTGCGGGCGGCAAGGGTAGAAGATCGGAGAAGCGCCACAGCTGGGTCGAATCGGTCAGCCACAACTGCGGCGAGGCCTCCGACTTCAGACGATTCTTTGAAATCCAAACATATGCCCATTTTCCCCTCTACATCCTCTCATTCATGGCAGACGTAGCCGCTCCAGCGTTCAAGAAGCGCTCCAACAAATCCACCACCATTCGCAAGCGACCCGCCACCCCTCCTCCAGAAGACTCCGCCTCGGACTCCGACTACACAGACGATGAAGCCGGTGTGCGAATCAAGAGGCGAAAGAAGGAAGGCGTCAACATCGCCGGCGCAACTGTGAGGGCGCCACAAGACTTTGCCAAATCCACCAAATACCAGGCCGATCGCTCGGCCACCATTGCCGCGAATGACGATGCCACCAAGACGTCCAACTGGTATACCGAGGCCGCCAACGCCGCCGATGCAGCGCGCGCCACTGCTCGTGCGCAAAGAGAAGCAAAGGAAGACTTTGAGTCGAATGGCGCCTACAAGGGCTCGGGCAACTACTCCAATTACATCCAAAAGCATCCCGATGCTGCGAGTAGACAAGTAGGGCCGGTCAAAGCCCCGACGAATGTTCGCACCATCATCGTCACCGATTTCGCCCCCGATGTGTGCAAGGACTACAAACAGACTGGTTTCTGCGGCTTTGGCGATAACTGCAAATTCCTGCACGCGAGAGAGGATTACAAGCAAGGCTGGCAGCTCGATAAAGAATGGGAGAAGGCGGGCAAGAACAAGGGGCCCGGAAAGACGGATGGTGCGGCCAAGGAGATGGACGAGGAGGAGAAGCAGCTGGAGAATATCCCTTTTGCATGCGTCATTTGCAAAGAACCTTATAAGATGCCCGTCGTTGTGACGAAGTGCGGCCATTACTTTTGCGAAAAGTGTGCCATGGGGCGGTATGTGAAGGAGAAGAAGAGAAGCTGCGCCGCGTGTGGCGTCGATACAGGTGGCACATTCCACATTGCGAGGAAGGTGAAGGAGTTGCTGGAGAAGAAACGGAAGAGAGAAGAGGCCAGGGCGGCGGAGGAGGGCGAGAAGGGCGAGGGCGAAGCCGTGTGAAGCAATCTGTTTGAGACATGCATCAAGTGTCTTCCTCCTGCGACCCACGGACCACGACAGTCACCTCATACTCCAAGTATGTTTGCTGAGACTATCTTCAGCCCTTAAGACTGGATCTTGTTGTCTCTGGTGAATCCGCAGTATCGAGGCGGTGTCTTGTCCGACAGGACCACTTCGCAACGAAAATGGGACGTCTTACGAAGGTCCATTCACTCTATTCGGCGCCCTCACTTTTCTATAAAACGGCCGAAGTTCGATGCCCAACTCGACTTCTTTCGATCTTCATACCTCGCAACTCTTTTCACGATCCCCCTCCATTCTACTCCAATAGCAAACTTCTACAAGACTGGATACTCAATAGTCAAGCATACATTCGGGAAGAGAGGAGTCACTGTTCAACGCGGCGTTCAGCATGGAGGAGCCGGCAAGCACGAAGTTGCTGAAGACCACAACGGCTGCCGATCAGGCTAAACTCAGCGTATTCGACGCCTACAAAGCTCGACTTCATGCTTCTGTGTTGGCTAGCATCTCAGGAAAGATGGACGAGTCTACGAAGAGCAAACTGGAGGCTTTGCGTTCTGAAGTCCCACGGTATCTCTTTCGAGCGTAAGTCTTTCGAAAATAACTACCCGATCCGTCGTACGTCAACGATTAACATGTGGCGATCAGATGGAACAATACCCCAGGAATCGCCGCTCGTATCTCTGGAGGGTATACGGGACTCAACACGACCGATGCAATCACCCCTCTCTCCTTCTACAATGGCCTCGCCCCCAAATCCGTCTACGACATGACACAGCGTGCAAGATCATGGCTGCTCAGCATGTCATGGGCGTAGCGGGATTCGCGACAGGATTCTCGTCGTGGACCCCATCGCTGTCATTCGTCCTGAAATTCGCCGACAATCTCTCCCGGCAGAACCGGGACGGCAGTGCGAACCACGTCCACATCAGCGTGATCGACACAAAGGAGCTCTGGACCTCGATCCAAATCTTCCACGTCCCAGCCTTGGCCACCGCCCTGGCCACAGGCCTCGGCCCTTACCCCGAAGAGTACCTAGCATATGGAGTCATCAAAGGTCGCTGGCATAAAGCCGTGCCCCTCATGGTCTTCCGTGAGGCTGGCTTGCCGCTTCAGCCTGCGTTGACCGTCCCTCCGAAGGATGTCTGTGGCCCTGTCGAGACGGAGCGAGCAAGCGCCATCGCGAAGGAATTCGGCCCTGACTTTGCGCTGCCGGTCTATCTCGCCGTCCTCACCAAGGCTGGGCCGGTGCTCGGGCTGGACCACGTCAACTTCGAGCGCCTCTTGAGCGCAATTCAACCTGTCGACGTCCCCGTGAAGAAGTGGGCCAAAGACACAGGGGTGAAACCTTACATGCACCATATCGACGTCGTCCAGTTCTGCAGATTGATGCAAACCCTGGCGCAGAAGCTGAACGACAACAACGCAAGTGGCAACGCCAGCAACCCACGCGGAGAGAACATCCTACCGAACAAGAAGCGTGCCCGTGTCGACGAGCCGGCGACCAACAAGCGAGTCCGCATCGAAGTCAGCGCCAACGACCAGGAGCCGCAGCTTACAACCACATTCAAAACGCTCGCGTTCGACGATGACGACGACATGGACGACGACTTCTCAGAGTCCGACTCGGAGCCTGAACCGGCCCTCAAGAAAACGAGATACACTGCCACCTCCACCACCGCCGCCCCCGCGCCGAAGAAGCCGCTCAAGCCTATCCTCAAGAAGTCCACGAAAACCTACGGTGTCACGACACGACGCATGGGCAAAGAGGGAAAGGCCTTATTCAAGGGGCCGGGTGTCAGCACGCGGCGGGCGAGTCGTGTAATGGAGCGGGAGATGAAGAAGCTGAGCATTGATATGAAGGATTGACCCATTGATGGAATTGACGGGCATGGAGGAGTTGGGATAGTGGGTGCCCCGGAGGAGGGCGTCGAGAAGGGCCCCAATAACGCTGCGTGAAGACATTTGGTGTGAGACATGTATCAAGTCTGTTCCTCCTTCCACTCACAGACCACCACATTCACTTATCAAGTGTGTTTGCTAAGACTATGTTTAGCTCTTACGACTGAATCTCGTGGTCTTTGGTGAATACTTGGTTCACCTCCAGGGAGGCGGTACGTGAGCCTTGTTTCGAGTTCGAAGGACGACCTTCACAACAAGACGAGACGCCGTCTCAGAAGCCGTACATTCACTTCTACCCGTCTGCTGCTTTGAATATAAACCCGTCGAAATCGCGCTTCCTCCTTGTCATTCTTACTCCATTATTCAATCGCAGCACTCATACCATCCTCTACTGTTTGGCCTCCTAGCGGCAAGCTTCAACAAGGCTGGGCAGCCATCACAGCCTTCCACCACAAAGCTACTCGCCAGTCACGTCAGCAGGGATGGACCAGCAGACCAAAAGCAAACTGGAGGCCTTGCGCCCTCAGGTCCCCAGATTTCTCTTCCGAGCGTGAGTGCCCCTTGGTTGTCGAACGGACGTTATTTGACTTGCCACCAACTAACAACGTGCGCGCCAGATGGCACAATAATGCGAGCAAGTTCGGTAGTCGCTTCGTCTCCGGAGGAACAGTGGGCCTCAATACAACAAAGGCCATCACCCCTCTCGCCTTCTACAGAGGTGATGCTCCCAAGTCCGTGTACGAGCTGACTCGCGAAGACTTTGGATCCCTGGCTTCTGCTCATGTCTGCGGTGAAGACTCGGTCACGCCCTTCTCGTCGTGGTCTGCATCCCTTACATTCGTCCTCGCCTTCCTGCTGGACTCGTTCGCAAAGACGGACGACATTTACATCAGCATCATCGACACCAAGGAGCTCTGGGCTTCCAACCCGGTGTTCTGGGTGCCGTCTCTCCTGTTCCTACCCGACTACATTCCCAACTACGAGGAATACCTGCTCTACGGAGTGGTCCAAGGCCGCTGGCACAAGTCCGTACCCCTTCGAAAGTTCCTGGACGCCAGACTCGGCCTTCACGGTATAGAAGGGTGCTTTGTGAATGGCGTCACCCCGGAGTCGATGGAGCGTGCTGCCACTGTCGCGCGCGCGTACGGACCCGATTTCGCTCTGCCAGTCTATCTCGCCATCTTTTGCGAAGGTGGGATTCTTCCCAACGGGAGCACCGCCAACCTCAACGCCATTCTCGGTGGGATCGCGCCAGTGGACATTCCTCTGAAGTGGGCCGACGACACCGAGGTGAAACCTTGGTTCGGGTACCCTGCGGTCCTCAAGTTCTGCAATCTGCTGAAGCTCCTGGCCAAGAAGACGATGGACAATGACAAGGCTTTCAATCCTCTCGGAGAGAACCGCTCGCCGAACAGGAAGCGTGCCCATGTTGTTGACGAGACCGACGATGAGGACAGCCCAGCGACCAAGAAACGAGTCCGCATCGAAGCCAGCACAGACCGCACCACCAACAAAGACAAGAAGCAGCCCCCAACCATGATTGGAAAGCGTACCTTCGACGACGATGACGAGGAGGACGATTACTATATTTACGACACAGCAGAGCCAGTCTCAGTCTCAGACTCAGACTCAGACTCAGAGCCTGAGCCCAAGCCAGCGCCCAGAAAAGCGAGGCACACCACCTCCACCGCCACCCCAAAGAAACTGCTGAAACCCATGCCCAAAAAGCCCACCGTAGGCGTCACGACGAGGCGCATGAGCAAAGCTGGCAAATCCGTCTTCAAAGGGCCGGGTGTCAGCACCCGACGGGCGAGTGTCGCGATGGAGGGGGAACTGAAGAAGTTGGTGATTGACATGAAGGATTGAATATTCCAAGTGGGGGAGCATCGTTGGGAATAGTCTGGCTTAATGCGGTGGAGCCAGGTACATGAACAGTACCTATCTTGAGGGAGAGCACTGGGGATATTGGGTGGTCACATTGTCGCGTTGGGTGGAAGTAATCAAGGCATGGTTGTGTTTGTTTTCACATCTTTCAATTGCGCCGCACTCGTCATGCGAGTTACTTGAGTGTACGATAGCTTGGCGCAATGCTTAGCACTGTTCCAACAGATGGAGTTTTGAAGATTCATGTTTCTTGAATGGCAAGTGATCTACACCGCGCTCTATTATGGTTTAATTATCGCGCATGCAAGAGTAGTTTGTTCCTTCAATAAAGAAAGACACATCACCGCACTTCAATCTTGCCAACCTCCACCTTTGCCTTCTCCCACTCCTCCAGACTCCGCTTCGACCATTCCACGTGGCTGCGGGCAAAGCTCAGCTGCAGGAGAATAGTCAGTATCACCATCGAGTAAAAGGACAAATAAACGAGGAGAAAACGCACCATATACCCCCTCAAATCCATCTCCTTCATCCCCTGAAAGCGCTTCAAATCCTCCAACACCCCCTGGCTCGCATCCTTGACATCCTGCTGCGAAACCTCAATCGCCTGCTCCAGATGCACCAGGCTCTCCTTCGTCTTGCCCAGTGCATCGCGCCGCGCCCGCTCCGGGTCCTGGTCCGTGGCGCCCTGGATGGCATGCGTGATGCGGCCGAAGAGTTTGCTCGCGACGCTGCTGCCGCTGCGCTTGTGTGGCGAGCCCGGGGATTGCGGGTATTGTTCCTGCGTAGGATCGGAGGGTGCGCCTTGCTGTGCGGAGGGGACGGATTGCGCGCTGCCCATGTTGGGGGGGAAGTCGGAGTCGACAGAGGCGTTGTCGCCGTCTTGAGAGGAGGGAGAGGTGCGGCTGGCGGAGCTGGTGCTGCGCTTGGGGGTGGAGCGTGGGGTGCTTTGGATTCCGGAGGAAGACATGTATTGGTCGATTCGTTGCGCTTCAATCTCGCTTCGCTCCAGCTGTTCGAGTCGAGTGCGCGCCTTTTCGAGTTCGTCTCGGGTCATTTCTTCTTGCACTCGCTTGAGCACGCGGTACCTCAAGACTGAGCGGACGACACCAGCGAACTGCGCGTTTTCCCGCATTGGTTCCGCAAAGCCTGCACTCAAGGCGCTTGACAGATCTCGGGACTGGATGTAGGTAAAGTCGCACGCCTGGCCCGTCTTTTCGATGGCATGCGCCACGCTTTGGGATTGTTCGGATAGTGAAAAGGCGTTGTAGCGAGCACCCAGATCCATCAAATCATCGCCGAGGTTGTACATGTGCCGCAACAGTCTTTGGTTCACCTTTTCCATGCTTCCAGTGAGGAGGGTCTCCAGCTCCTTGGAACTGCTCTCGAAAGAGGAGAAGTAGGGGTCGAGGTCGGATTCACTGAGATTTTGACTGCTTGGGGGAAAGCGGGCATACTGGATGTCTGGAGTGGTGTGAGCGGCTGCTGAGGTGCTAAGAGCGGCTGGAGAGGTGGGTGTACCGGAGGCGGAGGCGTTGGAGCCGGAGCGCAGCTTGGCATTCTGGGATGGAACTGGGAGGTATGCGTGTGCGGGTGTGGGGTTGGCAGGGTCGAGGGGTGGCGCTTTGAGATTGTTTTTGGGGATGCTGGCGGCGGGATGAGAATGCAAGACTTCACTCCAACTGACATTGGGATCGAGGAAGCGCCACCATACTCCATCTTCGCGCAACTGTTTCATGCGACGGCAGCGATTCAGGAAAGTGGCAAGCATGCGCTGTCGAAGCTCAATGATACCCACGTCCTCTTTGGCTTTGGTGGGTTTCGCGGCATAGTCGGCAATGCTGTGTTTCTCAGGAATCGGCGGGATGATGAGTGTTGGATGCAGGCTGACGAGCGTTTGTCGAAGGGATGCGAACTCGGAGTATCTCCTCCGCACTTCAATCTCGCCGGTGCGGATGGTGTATGTGATGAAGCCGCCGCCACCTTCCGTGTTCTTCCCAGCAGACACTATCTCGATCTCGAGGTTGGGATGTTCATAGAGGATCTGTTGGATTCTGCTGTCGTACCCGCCTTCTCGGGGCGGTGCTTTGGCGGTGGTCTTTGGCCGGTCATCGTCCAGCTCTTCGTCGCTCAGATCGGAGGGGCGGGAAAGGAATTGAGGGGGCTGCTCGGGGGAGGAATGGCCGGAGGGAGGTGTGGATGGGCGGTTCTCCTCTGCATGTTACTGTTAGCATGTCACATTGCAAGGATATCGGGGGGAAGGACGGACGATTGGTAGGGGAGTGTACAGCATGCTCCGAATCACGGCGGTGGAAGGAGCCGTAGGGGTTGTTGTCCTCGTCGTCCCACATCTTGCCACCAGGAGAATCGGGATGGCGTATTCACGACGTGTTGATGTGGGAGGGGGAGGAATCTGGTAGCTACAAGGTGTATGGGTGAGAGCATGTACATGAGAGCTGCCGTCTGCCTGCCACCCTATGCCGCATCGGGACTACCCGAGCCGGTGACGTATGTAGATCTTTGATGCCTGAGGCATAAATGCGACCTTCACCATGCACGCCTACGAACATCTCTCTACTTGCCATTTCGTTTGGATACGACATTTGATCCCGCACTCGAATTACGAGAACCACGTGTTGATACCCACTGGACTTACTATGAACAACCTGTGTTGTGGACTCTGCCGCACTTGAGACACCAGCCCAGATCAACCTGGTTGCTTCAACATCACACTTGGACAGTGACCGGCTAAATGACACTCTCTCGCTCTTTACTTACATCACCGCGATTCAGAAAAATCACCAGCATTCACCTTCGTTCAGTCAATAACTTCCGTCATTCACGTTTTGGGCGAAGCAAGCCTACTTTCTGTTCAACGACCACACCTCCCTCATCCTCACAACCCTCATTTGGATACACCAAACAGACACACCCCCGAAACAGCAAGATGGATTCCAATCCCCCTTCACCCTTCATCGTCGCATTCTACGATCCCACCATTTCTGAAGCCGATTTCGAAGGCCGAAGACTCGACCAAATCCTCGCCTTCAACGACAACGAACTAGAGTACCACCACGACTTCATTCAATACCTCTTCCCCTTACCAGAGCGCTCTCCGGTCAACCCTCACGCCCCCACAATCACCAAAGACGTGCGCGACGCCTTCCTCTCCCGTCCAGACCTACGCCAGCAACTCACCCGCTCTCTCCAACGCATGCTCGAATTCTACGGCTTCACTACATCCCCACAATCACAGCATACCGACACAATCTCCATCGTCCGCGGCGCGAACTTCCAAGGCGCATCGAAAGCCACCTGGCGCACGCGAATGGACCACAATCACCTCCGCATCTCCCGCATCCTGCGCTCTTTGCGCGTGCTCGGACTGGACGCTGAGGCGAAGGCGTTTTACGATGCTCTCTTGGAGAATGATCGGGATGGGAGCGTGAGTCAGCGGTCGAAGCTTTATTGGCAGCGGGCGGTGGAGAGGGGGTTGCATTTGGCGCCGCAGGATCATGATGACGCGGAGGGCGTGGCGTGGTTGAGGGAGGGGAGGTGAAAGGTGTGAGAGGGAGTTGGGAAGGACTCGTTTCGGGGAGATGAACGACGAACATCGACATTGGGTTGTGACGATGGTTACAAGGATGGATGCTTCGAGAACGAGCTGTCCCACACACGCTGCAGAAACGAGCAAGCAAGACAAGGAAGCAATCTTCTACTCTTAGCTACGACGCCTTTGTTCTCGGCACTCTCACGACGAATATCAGCAAACACTGATCGACAGATTAGCATAGATAATGCCCTCTCAACCCACAAGTATGGTCTCTCTCCATCCCCTCAGCCAGAGAAGAGTCTTACGCACCACCGACATCAACAACATCTCAACCCTCCCACCGCCAGCATGTCGGGCGCAGGCATCGCGGCCGTCGTCTTGCTCGGCATCATCACTATTGCTTCTTTGCTGCTGGTGCGGTACGTACTCAAACCGCGTTGGGAACGGGAGGGTGCTGTGGAAGTGCTTGAGATGGGGGAACTGGGAGGAGTTGGACATTAAACGGAGGGGTGAGTAAACAGCATGGTTCCGTTTCAGCAAAAGGTTTGTATATCTTCTGTACTTTGTCCTCTACAACGTCTAATCTACGTTTCTAACATACTCTCACAGACGCGAGCAGGCGGAAACGTGCCAACCGCCCACCGCTCACCTCACATACTCAAACCCCGTCTGCGCCTGAATCTGCGGATACCCCGAACTATCCACCTTGGGCAGGATACTCTCCTTCCGCTTCGTCTCCTTCTCAAACGCCTCCACCCACCGCTTCACCTCCGCCTGGTCACTCCAATCGCTGATGAGCCTATGCCCATGGCCGACCTGATGCAGCTGCGAGCCCGTCGCCTGCGTATTCTGCGGCAGGGGTACGAAATTCTCAATCGCGCCCTGCACTCTGCCCTCCAGAATTTCCTTGCAGAGGTAGGGTTCGGCGCCGAGTGGGCGACCCATGCCGATACCGTCGCAGGCGCCCTCTTCGATTGCTTTCGCCATCCCGCGGGCAGAGCGGAAGCCGCCGGTGACGTACACTTTAGTCTTTTTCAGAAGCGGGCGGAGCAGCTCAGCGAATTCGATAAAGTAGCTCTCGCGCGCCTTGGTGCTCTCCTTTTTGTGCTCGAACGCGCGGCCCTCGAACGTGCCGCCGGACAAGTCGACAAAGTCGATGCCCGCTGCTTCCAGCTTGACGCACAGGTTGCGGCAGTCTTCGGGCGTTTGTCCGCCGGGCTGGAACTCGACGGAGTTGAGTTTAACGCAGATGATGAAGGTGGGGTCCGGGACGCGGCGCTTGACTTCGGCGATGATTTCGAAGATGATGCGGCAGCGGTTGTCGAAGCTGCCGCCGTATTCGTCGGTGCGTTTGTTGGTGGTTAGGGCGAGGAATTGGGCGAGGAGGTAGCCGTGAGCTGGGGAGGGTCAGTATTTGGAGATGGTTTGGAAGGAGTGGAGTGGTGACTGACCGCAGTGGATTTGCACGCCGTCGAATCCAGCCTGGGAAGTCAAATGATTAGATGCTGGTGTTCAGGGAAAGTCTAGTTGACTGATAGTCACCTTGTGGCACAAATAAGCGGCTTCACCCCACTGCTTTACAATTTCCTTGATTTCAGGCACGGTAAGGGCGCGGGGTTTAGCGAAGGAGTTGCCCGCCCATGCAATCTCGAGCTGCACGTCACTGGCGCTGACGGGGTTTGGATTGAGCGCGGCACTACCTTGTCGACCGGGATGAGACAGTTGGGAGACGATAAGGGAGCCGTGGGCTTTGGCTGCATCGGTGACTTTTTTGAAGGCTGCGACGCGGCCATCGTGGTCTGAAGATGGATGAGCATAATATATATTGAGGAAATTGGGGAGACTAACCATCGGGGAGGATGGGATTGCCAAAGGCTTCGACCGCGTCGTAGGTTGTCATCATGTTTCCTGGAGAGAGGAGACGTAAGTAGCCGGAGAAGCGACTGCTTCCCATATACACACCTGCAACGATGACACCGATTTCGCCCTGATACAGGTGAGCGATGATTTATTGAGAAGTACGCAATTGCCAAAAGCTCACCTCTCCCCATCGCTTGTAAAGGTGAGTGTATTCTTCCGAAGGCAAACCACGTGCATTAATGTCCTCGCCGTCTTTGTTCCAATGGCAAAGGCGCTCCGTCATGGGAGCCTTCAAAAAGCGGTTCTTGGCCGTGCGGCCGGAGAAGGGGAAGGTGATGGACTGTTGCAGAGGGGCAATGTCCACTTTTTCGCCTTTGACTCGAAGGAGGCCTTCGCCGCGGGCGCCTTGGGTGCTTTCATGTTGGTAATGCTCCGCCTCGGACTTGGTGTTGCCGGGTTGCTTGGGAGCGGGGGCGGTGTAGGAGTTTGTGGCCATTGTGAATAGTAATTGAGGAGACTGACAGGAAAATCAAACAATGGAAGAGGAAGGCAGAAAACACAAACGGAGAAGATTTGTAATGACGGGAGTTCTCACAGATGGAGGTGAAGTGCTGCCAATGCAACAATTGCCGATGCCGCGGGGCAAGATGGCCGAGGATCGGCGCAGGTACCTGGCCCGACGTGAACCTACCGCGCATGCTTCAACACTGACTCCGCAACGGGGTTGGACGCGTGAGGATGAAGGCGATGGGTGGCATGTGCATTCCGTCGTGCAGTAGGAGAGATCTCGCATGCCATCTTGACGGGTTGGAGTAAGCAGTACAGGAGCGGGACGTGCTCACGCTATGCTAAACTTCGAGTCACGTATGATGAGATAGAGGAAGAGGAGCGTGCATGATCCAGGAGATAAGGGCAGAAGATGTAGGAGGATGGATGCATGCATCGGTAGTGAGTCGGGAGTGAGAGGGAGCGATCAAGCGATGGCTGCCAAGTGGCTCAACATCTCGCGTCCAACAGGGGGCGTGGTGGTGCAACCAGGCGGTGGCAGATGGAAGTAGAAGTCGAAGCGAATGCGAAGGGTGAGGTTGGACGCACGAAAGTCACGCCGCGTTACTCATGTGCGATGCTGTCCCGCCTTGCTACAGGAATACCGACCAAAACCACCCACTCCCTCTCAACAGTCCCCATTCTCCGCACGAGCTGAGGCGGAAATATACTTTGGACTAGCGCGATTTTGCTGCAGGAACAGGCGAATGGAGGGAGCAGGAGGATGCGAAGGAGCTCCGACTCTCCGACTTCCCTCTTGCTCTGCGATGCCTTGCACTACCTCGTCTCCTGCAACCCGCCCGATGCCATCGCCAACGTGCCGCCTCCATCGCATGTTGTGATCGCCATCTTCTCCTATTCCCTCTACCCATCCCCGTCCACTCGGAATAGCCTTCCGGCCTGTCGATTGCCCGACTAAACCCCAGCCGGCAATCTTCTAGAAGGCCGCCTCCCCTTTTGGGCAAGTTAATCTCCCGGCTCCTGTTGGCATGGGATGGCCCCCCAGACGCCTTCACCTCTCTTTCTTTCCCTCCACCTGCATCCATCCGCTCTCCCTCGACTCCCCTTCCCGCCTTGCTGTCGTCGCTCTTTTTTTTTTCCCTCCTTCGCTTTCCTTCTCTTCGCCTCTGCTTTCATTCCCTTCTTGACACTGCTGCTTCACATTCGTTGACTCTCTTTGTGTATCGTCTGCTGCCAGCCCTCACCAACCTGGTCCTGACGTGTTGTGAGCATATCTCCCTCACCTCTGGTAGCTTGTCACTAACCTTCTCCTAGAATCCATTCCTTCGTCGCTCCTGCCTTTTACCCCCTCGACCCATCCTTACCCATCCACCACCCTCCTCTCTCGTCCGGCCTCTTCGGACCCGGACCCCACCCACATCCACCGTGGCCACGCTTTCAGCCAACCCGCGGGACAGCATGACGCTGCCACCGCACATGCTGGGCATGCAAAACAATGACCCCATCCCTTCCCTGGGCCACCATCGCTTCTCCCAATCTTTCGCCGCCAGATCTCCCCTGAGCAATGATAATGCTGGGTCCAACTTTGCCCCTTCGCACGCCCCTAAATCCTCCTTCAGCGGCTACGCCGAGAAACAGCCCTCGAGAGGCAACAACATACAACCCATCAATACCACCAGACAAATGCCACCCAACCCCTATAATGTTGATCTGCATTCGCCCCAGGCTGGTGTCGACATGAGCTTTACCCCATTGCTTCCTTCCGGCCTTCTCATGGGTAGCCCCTTCCAGCCCGGCTCTCCCACCACCTTCCAGCCCTCCCAATTCCAGTCCTTCTCCTCCTTTGCACCTCACCCTTCTGCCGCGCGCAACAACCACCCCAACTACTTCCAACAACCCGCTGCACTCTCCCCGAATCTCTACCAAAGCCTCGCTTCTCCCACTGCATACAGCCCCCCGACGTATTTCGGAGGGCTCGCCTCTCCCACTGCAACCGCGTTCAGCCCCATGGGTCCCGGCAACATGGGCGGCTACGGTGCTCCCATGCAGATGGCTCCTGCCTATGCTACGGGGACGAGTCGCACCGTCTACTTGGGCAACATTCCTGCCGATACCAGCGCGGAGGAATTGCTCGGCCACGTTCGAAGCGGCCCCATCGAGTCTGTCCGCATTCTGAGCGACAAGAACTGCGCCTTCATCTCGTTTCTGGACGGCAGCTCGGCCACTCACTTTCACTCCGATGCCATCTTGAAGAAGCTCTCCATCAAAGGCCAGGATATCAAGATTGGCTGGGGCAAGCCATCTTCCGTGCCGACGTCTGTCGCCCTTGCCGTCCAGCAATCCGGCGCATCGCGTAATGTTTATCTCGGCAACCTCCCGGAAGATATGACCGAGGATGAGCTGCGCGAGGACCTGAGCAAATTTGGCCAGATTGACACCGTCAAGCTGGTTCGAGAAAAGGCCATTGGCTTTGTGCACTTTTTGTCGATTGGGAACGCGGTCAAGGCTGTGTCGCAGCTTCCTCAGGATCCGAAATGGCAACCGCCGCGTCGAGTCTACTACGGCAAAGATCGATGCGCCTATGTGTCCAAGACTCAGCAGCAGAATGCCGCGCAGTATCTCGGCATCGCTCCGGGCTATGCGCATGTTTTGAACGGTGCTGATCGTGATCTCATCACCAACGCTCTTGCGCAGCAATCCGTTGCCGCGGCCGCTGTGGCGACAACAGCTGGTGGCGTGAATAACTTGGGCAACAGAACTGTCTACTTGGGCAACATCCATCCCGAGACCACCATCGAGGAGATTTGCAACGTGGTCCGCGGCGGCCTGTTGCATCATATTCGCTACATTCCGGATAAGCACATTTGCTTCGTCACCTTTATCGATCCCACGTCCGCCGCTTCCTTTTATGCACTGAGCAATTTGCAGGGCTTGATGATCCACAACCGCCGTCTCAAGATTGGCTGGGGCAAGCATTCCGGCGGCTTGCCACCTGCCATCGCTCTTGCCGTGTCTGGAGGCGCGTCGCGAAACGTGTACATCGGTAATCTCGACGAAGCTTGGACAGAGGAGCGGCTGAGGCAGGATTTCCAGGAGTATGGCGAAATCGAGCTGGTCAATACTCTGCGAGAGAAGAGTTGCGCGTTTGTCAACTTCACCAATATTGCCAATGCCATCAAGGCCATCGAGGCCGTGCGAGGCAAGGAAGAGTACAAACGGTTCAAGGTCAACTTTGGCAAGGACAGATGTGGGAACCCCCCGAGGCAAGTCCTCAGCCAGCAGCAATTTCAACAGCAACAGCAGCAGCAGCAAGGTCAGCAGGGACAAGACAACAGCGTGTCGTCGCCGTCGCCCACCGCTCTGCAGCAGAGCCGGGCACAGAGCTCAATCTCTCCCGCCAGCTCCGGCGCAGCGAACGGATCGTACAACCCCCTCAACGGGCCGACCGCCTCTACTTTCCTCAACCATGGCAACAACAACCCTCTCACACTCTACCTCGCCGCCTCGCATCAAAACGCGCAACAAGCAGCCGCCGACCAGCGCCAACAACAGCAAGATGACTTTGCCTCGCAGTCCTACGGCGCCGAGCGCGTAAATCACCACCCCTCCACCTTCTACAACTCCGCCAACGCCCAGCAGCGCCCCACCAACCTCGACCCCTCCCCCCATCACCCCATCACCCACGCAACCCACCAAAGCATGCACCTCACCAACGGCCTCGGCGCCTCCACCTCCCCCGGCGCAGCCTACAACCCCTACGACCGCCCCAGCGCCGCCTCCGAATCGCAGCACTCCAAAGCCGCGAACCTGCACAGCCGCACCGTCTCGCTGCCCGCTTTCTCGCTGCAGGCTCATCACCCGCAGCAGCAGCAGCCGACAGGCGCGCTGAGCGGGTTGGGCTCCGGGATTGGCGGGTTCGGCGGCGCGGGGGCGTTTGGGCTGGGCGTGTCGAGTGAGGGGTCGGGCATGCCTTTGCCCGGGTGGGCCGAGGAGGAGGTGGTGTGAATTTTGTCTGCTCTCCTTTCTTTCGGTGTGCATATTCTTACCACCCACTAATTAATTCCTTCTTGTTTATTCTTTTTTGAATTGGGTATCTGGGAGGAAGAGTTATCATCAGACTAATACCCTCTTGCATTGTTCGTTGACGTTGTGGTTTCTTTTCTATCGTTGAGGGACTGTTGGATTACGGGGAAAAGAACATGGCGTCTTGCTTGCTTACTTGTTGATTCGAGATTTGCGCCACGGGTTGCGCACGCGAGAGAAGCAGTTTCCCTTCGGAGGAGGGACTTTGAGGGGTGAAAGGGGGTGAATCGGATTGTACTGTTAGTGTAGTGTAGATCTCATCAGTGTTGAGAGAGACGAGCGAGGACTCGGCTGTCAAATCACCTCGATTTCTTCCTGTCTATTCTTCGGGATATACCTGTCCCACGCAGCTTCAAGGTTTGCTATTAGAACATTTCGGAGCGCGGCAAGCCTCACTTTTCCCCTTCAAGCGCAACGTCCACCACAATCTTGCCCCTCGCCCGCCCACTCTTCTGCTTCGTCACTCCCGTCGGCGCCTCGGCAAACGGCACCTTGGAATCAATCACCGGCTTGATCTTGCCCTCCACGATCCACTCTCCGATCTGCCTCAGCTCCTCTGGGCGCTGTTGCGCGAATATGCCCTGATAAGCCCTCTTCCCGCCCCCCAGGAAGCCCGGCCAAAACTTCGCCTTCACCATAAACATCGCAAACGACAGCGACGGCGTGCCGCCCACGTACACATACCGCGCCGTGGGCTGCGAGTACTCGTGCGCGCGCCAGAAAAGCTCATAGTTCCCTCCAACATTGTCGACGATGTGGTCGAATGGCGGATGCTGCTTCTTCAGTGCCTCGAGGACAGGGCCCTTCTTGTAGTCGATGACTTCGTCCGCGCCAAGCGACTTGCACAGCTCTACGTTGGGCGTGGAGCAGGTGGCGACGACGTGGCATCCGACCGCTTTCGCAATTTGGATGCTGAAGATGCCCACGCCGCCTGAACCGCCGTTGACAAAGACGCGCGACCCCGGTTTGACGTAGGGGACGATGGTTTGGTACGCTGTGAGGCCTGCAATGGGGATGGAGGCTGCATGGAGGGGCGAGAGGCCAGCCGGGGCGGCGACTGAGCGCGCATCATTGACGACCGCATACTCGGCCAATGCACCTCCTGCAATCGCCGACGTGGCCGCCACGCCGAAAACCAGCTGGCCTTCTTGCAGATCCGATCCCGCGGCGGGTTTCACGATCCGGCCTGCGACGTCGAGACCGGGGATTGCCGGTTTGGTGACGGCGAGGCGGTTGATGAACTGCACTTCGCAGACTTTGTAGTCGACGGGGTTGAAGGCCATGGCGAGCACGCGGATGAGGTGTTGGGTGGGTTTCGGGGTGGGGAGTGGGGCGGAGGGGTTGAGGGTGAGGTTTTTGTCGAGGCCGCCGGCTGTGCTGCTGAATTGCCAGGCTCTCATGGTTGAGGGGAATCCTTTGGAGGCCATGGTGTGGGTAGAGCTTATTGGTGATGGCGCTGTGGATGGAAAGGAGGCTCTCGTGTATCGCAAGGCTAAGGTAAGGCCAGGGTTGGAAGCTAATCGCAAGCACTGCTTCCAAGCAGCTGAAGAGAGAAGCGACAAATAGCCGAGGATAGGCGATAGCTATTGGCGTGGAGTGAAGCGGATGGGTAGTTGCAAGAGCACCGGGGTGGGCGTGGGCACATTTATAACAATGGAATTGGAAGGCACGCATAGTTGAGGCGACGTCAATGATACGCACAACCTAAAGATATAGCCCGCCGTACGGCGAAACGAGGCGCCGAGGACGCCAAATGAAGCTTAGCGTCTAGCCTCATCACCCTTGCAGTCCGCCGTAACACGGCCGGACTTGACACCGCCGGACGCGTTGATGCCGTTCTGACGGCCTGGCGCTTCTCTCCAACGTTGAATGTGTTTTGTAGAGCGCTCCCTGAATCCAGTGCGCAGCTTGTTCAGGTTAATCATATCGGAGATAGTCCATCTAGTCCGTAGACTAAGTACTAGAAGAAGTGGTTCACCCCTTCCGTTCGCTGACGGCCTGGCGCTTCTCGTAGATATCAAATATCTAGTACAGCAGGTCCTGAATAGCGTGCAAGGCTGACTGTAAGGCTGATTGTAAGGGAGATGATACATCTAGTCTGGAGGCTACGTGCTAGAAGAAGTAGTTCCCTCCCTTCGAATCGCTGACTGCCTGGCGCTTCTCACAGATATCGAATATCCAGCACAGCAGGTCCTGAACAAAGTACAAGGCCTGGTAAGGCTGATTCGAAGGGAGATGGTACATCTAGCCCTGATTTATCTATCGCTTTAAACAATCATCACGCCGTAATGCAAGGCCCTACGCCCGATCCAACGACTGCGCAATGCACATTTCGTAGTATCTTCCTTTTAACCGCTGCAACTCCTCGTGCGTGCCCATTTCGGCAATTCTCCCTATGAAAATGCCAGAGCCGTCAGCAAGTGGAACTTCTCCTCGGCGAGCTTTTCGCGCGGCAAGGTAGGAGGGGGATGGGGACATACCGTCAGCAAAAACAAAAATCACATCGGCGTGGCGGATCGTGCTGAGTCTGTGAGCGACCGCAATCGTCGTCCGGCTCGCAGCAGCTTCGTCTAGGGTAGCCTGCACTATCCGTTCCGAATGAGTATCGAGAGCAGACGTGGCTTCGTCGAGGAGTAACAGTCTCGGTTTGCGGATCAATGCCCTAGCAATCGCTATCCGTTGTCGCTGGCCACCAGAGAACTGTAGACCCTTCGCGCCGCAAGACGTGTTCATGCCCTCCGGTAGAGAAGTCACGAACTCGTGTGCGTTGGCTTGTCGACATGCGTCGAGAACCTCCTCGTCCGACGGCTCGTATTCGAGTCCTAGGGCGATGTTCTCGCGGACTGACCACGGGTATAGAGTCGGCTCTTGTTGGACTAGGGAAAGATGATTGCGGTAGAGTCGGGGAGACATGTTGGCAATTTTGTCCCCATTCAAGGAAATGTGTCCAGACACCGGATCGTAGAAGCGCTCGAGGAGGGAGATTACAGTCGACTTCCCGCAGCCACTCGGTCCACAGAAGGCCGAATAAGATCCTTTCTTGATCTGTGGTAGTTTATTCGTCAGCGTGTCTTGCCTTCTGGTCAGTACGGTGCAATGGGGCCGCCACTTACCTCAAATGAGATGTCTTTCAACACTCGCGCTGCGCCACGTTGTTGATAACTGAAATCAACGTTCTGGAACTCGACCGAGCCGTCTCCCGAAGGTCCAATGCCGCTGTTCTGCTCGTCTTCCTTGATGGTCGGCGTGAGTGTCCGCAACCACAAGATGTAGTTCGCCGCGACTGTAGCCTTCGAGATCGACGTGGTATAGCCGAAGAATTGCCCTGCAGCTTGCCCGCCAAACACAACGGCAATGAAGATGACGAAGAACTGCGTGACGGTGTACTCGCCACTCGCAATCAGTCGCGAGCCATACCAAAAGCCCAACGCCATCACCAGGAACTCGAGGGACTGTGACAGGGCGTACGGCACCATGGTCAACATGAAGCTTCGACTCGTCGTGGCCACGATGCGATCGAGAGAGTCCGAGTATTCTTGGTACATCCTTCGCTCCAGGGTGAGCGAGGCAACGGTCCGCACGGACGTCACAGCTTCGGTGGCCAGGGCAGCGCTATCTGCGAAGCGGTCACCAGATTCTGCTTCCAACTTCTGGTCCACGCGGATTTTGACGTAGCCGGATCCGACCAGCAGTGGCAGACCGCCGAAGACGACGACAAGCCCGAGTTTCCAGCCGTAGGCGATTGCAAGGATGACGGAGGAGACGAGGTTGACGAGAACAATGAGGATCAGGAAGATGTTGGCGGACATGAGCTCCAGGAGTGCGTTGGGGACGGAGGACAGCTTTGAAGCCAGGGCTCCGGAAGCATTCTCTGGCCGGTCGAAGAAGGCTTGATCTAGCGACAGTATCTTCGTAAACATCTCGTTGCGATAGCGGTGAGTGACGACTTGAGCAATCTATGTTCTTGTCAGCAATGGTTGATGGAAGACCTTGAAGATGTCGATTTTACCGTGTTGACCGCCCACCCCAGGCCAAAGTACGCAAAGAAGTTGGCCAGGGCGACAACGAAGAACATCAGAGAGTAGAAGTCTGCCTGCTCTCGCGCCTCGTGTCTCGGGAGCGTGAAGACATGAATCAATCGCGAGAACAAAAGCTAGAGTCTTGTCGTTAGCATGGATACAATTGGGATCGACAGTGCAGTCGAGAAAGGTATTCAGCCTACCGCCTGGGCAATGTAGGTCCATCCAGAGATGAACGACGCAACGGTGGCGATGATGAAGTTGAGAGTGAGTCCCTTTTGCTCCCCGAGCATGAGGAAAACACAGCGGATCAGGGAGTAGTTGACGGTGCCTTTAGTAAGCTTCTTGACTTCATCTTCCAAGGTAGAGGCGTGAGCGCCCGTTTTCGTCCTTGATAGAGCCAGACTCTGCTGCCGGGCGACGTCCGCCTCCTCGATGTTGAAGTCGGGCTGCTGGTCTGCGCTGTTCCCGCCTAGATTCTGTGCATTGACGAGTGCGGCGTAGTGGCCACCTCGCTCCATGAGTTCACGATGGGAGCCTTCTTCGAGGACCTCGCCGTAAGACATGACGACAATGTTATCCGCAGCACGGACAGTCGCAAGCTTATGTGCGATCACGAGCGTTGTCTTGTTGACCGAGACGCGATTCAGAGCATCTTGTACGATTCCCTCTGCTCTAGGGTCGAGCGCGCTAGTTGCCTCATCAAGAAGTAACACCTTGGGGTTACTTATGATGCTGCGAGCGATAGCGATTCGTTGTCGTTGCCCGCCGCTCAGCATGGATGCTCGCTCGCCAACCTGGGTGTCGTAGCCCTCCGGAAGAGCTTCAATGAAGTCGTGTGCATTGCTCGATCTGCAGGCCTCCACCACCAGCTCCTGCTGTTTCTCAAACGGAAGATCGATCTGCGACCCAATGAAGCCTTTGGCGACATTTTGGAAGACGGTCCCGCTGAAAAGAACTGGCTCTTGTTGCACAAGTCGGATGTTACTCCGTAGCCAACCGACGTTGTACTCGGAAATGTCCATCCCATCTAAGAGGATCTCACCAGATCCCGGCACGTACCATCGCTCGAGCAATCCGACTAGAGTCGATTTCCCGCAACCGCTGGCACCCACGAGCGCAGTAGTCTTCCCTGCAGGGATTGAGAGGTTCAGACCGTGGAGAATCTGCGCTGAAGGCCGCGAAGGGTATGCAAAGTGGAGATTTCGGATTTCGATGTTTCCCTCACACGTGCTGGGCTGCTTGCCTTCTGTGGAGAGAGGATCGAGCTTGGTCTCCTTGTCGATGACGGAGAACAGTTCGTGGGCTGAGGAGGCGGCGTTGGTAATCGACTGGAATTGTGGTGCGATCGAAGACATCGCAGTCGCTCCGATAGTGATTGCGAGGACGACGTTGAGGACGATGCCCACATTTGGGATTGTCCCATCGAGATAGAGTCGGAAGCCCTCCCAAAATGCCAACGCAGTCGCCGCGAGGACCAGGAAGTACTCCACGGAGAAAAGAATCCCATACACCGGAGACTTCTTATTGCCGACTTTGTGGGCCGCTTCGAGGTAGTAGTCGTACTTCTTCGCAATCTTCTCGCTCGCCCAGAATGCATGGACGGTTTTGATCGAGCTGATCGCGTCCTGGGCGATAACGGACGCCTGACTGTAAAGGCTCGTGATTTGGGCCTCGTATTTGGCGTCGTAAGTGATGCAGCCACCGGTAACGACGAAGATGACGGGGATGATCGTCATGAGGATGAGCGTGAGCTCCCATTGCCGGGCAAGCGCGACGATGAAGGCGCTGAAGAACAAGCTGATGCCTTGCACGATTGTGGCCAGCTTCTCGGCGATGCCCTGGTTGATGCGGTTCCCGTTTGTAGTAACCTGCGAGCTGATGGAGCCGATGCCTTCGCCGTCGAAGTACCAGACTTCTTGTCTGATGGTCGAGTCGAAAAACGCTTTTCGAATAGCAGCCGTTGTCCGGATGGCCGCGATGCTCACGGCTGTGTTGGCGAAGTACACGATGACGAGTCGGGCGATGAAAAGGTAAATGAAGTAAAGGCAAAGGTGATCTACTTCATTGCGGAAGGCCTGGGCACTGCTGTTGCCCTTTGCGAAGTCGTTGAACTTTGCGGTGAAGGAGCCGAAGATGATGGTCATCAGCGGGAGGATGATGCCACTGATGATGGACAGGAGCATAGCGGAGGCGAACAGGAATTTTTCAAATCGGTCTGCGTAGGTGAAGATGCGCTGATAATAGAGTCAGTACGGTATTGAATCACGGGGCCCATGTGAAAGCATACGAGATAGTCCTTGAAACTGCCCTCACTCTTCTTCCCTTCGCCCTCAGCCTTGCCGTCTTTGTCGTCCGACTTCGCTCCATCCGGTGTGGGCGAGTCGCTTTCGATTTCCACCGCCACATCTCCGTAGGATTTCTTCGACGAGATAGGAGTCGTTCGCGCCGCGGTCTCTTTCTCGGTGGCGTGTAGAAGCTTTTCGTCCGCTATGATGGGTTCCATTTGGCCTGCCATTCGCTGCTAGGCGCGTGCGATGCGTTGTATATCAGTTGTCTTCAGACTCCGGACGCGTAATTAGGCAGCGAGGCCGCGTGAGTTGGCAAAATTAATCTCTGATGCCTGTGAACGGGTTGTCGTTGATTCAAATCATGGTCTGCGCAGGCTCGGAGGTCACGTGAAAGCGAGAATATTCCTCTCTGAGTCACTCGGTCTTAGTCCAATGGCATCCCAACTCGCTGAAGAACAGTACAACAAAGACTCATAATGAGCAGAGGCCATTCGCCGCCATGACCGCCTGATGTAGTATTTAAGACTCGCTACGACAGCCAAGGTCTGGACCCCGACGACCAACTCCGAATCCGAAAGCCGGTTCAGCCCAACTCCGTACCCCGGCCGCCGACTTCACGTCTGATAAACGGGAGCCTTCCAAACGAGGTCGTACGAGGACGCGCCATCTCTCCCGGGTCCGAAAGCTTGCTGGGCTTGCTAAGCGGGTGTTGCTGCTGATGGGACGGCCTGCTGTTGCAAAGCGAGAGCTGGCGATTGGCCGACTAGGTGACTTTTGGGTCGAGTGTCAAGGCTGCTAGAAGTGGCGGCCGATATGCTCGTTCTCGGCGGCCGGCCGTGCTGTGAGAAGGCCTTACTAAGGTACTGTCGCTGCCGTGGCCCTGGACACGTAGGTGTTTGCGGGATGCAACCCATGGCGTCAGACGATATGAGACGAGGAAGCAAAGAACACGCGTACCGATTTGACGTAATGCTGCACACAGTACCCTCGTCTCTTGCTGCCTTGAAAATTGCACACCTGAACTCCGCGCTAGAACCAAAGACCATGAGAAGGCAGACGCTGCCCTCGGATCATGGATGCTACTCCGCTCCAGCAACGCCATCATCCCCACTCGCCTTCTCCGTGGCAGCCTCCGCAGTCACGTCCTCCGCGTTCCTCTCCATCACCCCTTCCTCCCTCTCCTTGGCGGCGTCCTCGCTCATCTCGACATCAGCGCCAGCTGTGCTGTTGGGAGCCATTTGACCCGTCACACCCGGTGCTTCCGTCGCTGGCGGAGCGTCTGCCGGAGACTTGGGAGGAGTCGAAACCTGAGGCGGTGCTTGAGTAGGCTCCGTCGCGGGCTCTGGAGCAGCCGCCTCCACGGGATCGACGTCCATGCTGTCGCCTGCGGCGTTTTCGTCACCTGCCACGCCAACGTTACTCGCTTCTTCCACCTTTGTCTCGGCGGCAGCCGTCGGGGTTGGGCTCTTTGCTTTCGCCGCGATGATCTCCTCTGCCACTGCCGCGTTTGCAGCCTGCACCTCCGCAGCACCGTCAAGCTGCATGCCATCCGCACCACCATCCTCGTCCTCCGCATCGCCGTTGACGCTTCGTGCATCTTCGGCCATTGGAGTATTTACTCCACTTCCACCCTCCATCGGCGGCGCGTATGGGTTTTGGTAGTCCATGATACCACGACGCTTCGGCCGATTTGGTTGTTTTCTCACCCCATTCGCCTCCGCAATCTCCTCATCGTCGGAATCGGAGAATTCATCATCGCGCTCGACCTTCTTGTCCCACAGGCGTTGCGTGTAGCGGCGATCTTTGCTCTCCTCGAGGTCTGCTTCCTCATCGTCCAGCTGGTCTTCTTCCTCGTCCAGAGTTCCCTCCATACCCATAGGCCCGCGAGGCACATCTTGCATCTGCACCGAGGGCGCGGCTTGAGTCGTGCGCTTCAAGTTCTCAAAGACTTGGTTTCGAATCCTCTCCAAGTACTCGGGGGAGTTTGCATTGTCCATATTGCTCGGGCGCACATCGAGTTCGAAGTCGGGGGCGTAGTATTCGTAGTAGTCCGTGAATGGCAAGTCGGTGCCCATGTCCATATCCACCAGCCGGCCCGTCTCGTACGCCCACGTGCGCGCAACATTACGCATGGTGTATCCTCCGCCGCCGAGGACGAGGGTGGGAAGATTGAATTGCTTGACAAAGTTGACACAGTTGGCGTGGCCTTTCATGCTCAGATTGAAACACCCCAGTCGATCCCCGCTCAGGCTGTCACCTCCGCACTGGAGCACAACAGCTTCCGGCCTGTAATAGTCCATCGTCCATTGTATCACCGGCTCGAAGATGCCCTTGTAGCTCTTATCGTCAATGCCGTCGCGTAGAGGGAAGTTGACCGAGTAGTGTTTGCCGTTGCCCACGCCAATGTCGCGCAGTTCGCCAGTTCCAGGGAAGTATTCACCGTATTTGTGAAAGGAGACAGTCATGACGCGATCGGTGGAGTAGAATGCCTCTTCGACGCCGTCGCCGTGATGGACGTCGATGTCGATGTAGAGGACACGAGCGTGGAAGCGGAGGAGTTCGATGATTCCGAGGACAATGTCTGTAAAAGTCACGTCAGCAATCGGCGCGGATGGAGTTGCAGTGGGAGAAGAGACCAACCATTGATGTAGCAAAAGCCGCTGGCCTCGCTCTTTTTCGCGTGATGCAAGCCGCCGGCCCAATTGACAGCAACGTCGCATTTCTTTCGATTCAACCGAGCCGCACCCTCCATGCTGCCTCCGGCACTGATCCCACAAAATTCAAACAAGCCGTCGAAGACCGGGCAGTCGTCCCCGACATTGTATTTGCCTTGTTCCTTGGCAAAGTTGTCCATGTTGTCGGGAGTGACGCGCTGCAGAAAGTCGACGTACTCGTCGGTGTGGAACTGTGTCATTTCGTGGCGCGTGGCGGGTTTGGCGCGGTAGACCTCGAGTTTCTTGTACAAGCCGTAATTCATAATTAGGCTGTGTGCCATTCGAATGCGATGGGGCTTCATGGGATGGCCGGCGTTGTAGGCGTAGTTGCCCACATCGCTGTCGTAGAAGTAGGCGACTTTCTTGGGTTGGGAGGAGGGGGCATTGATGCCTGCGCCGGGGCCGTCGAGAGGCGCGAGGGCGCTTTGAGAGCCGGACATGGTGGAGGTGTGGGATGGTGAAGGAGGGTGAGACAGACCAGGTCCTTCGCTGTTGAATTGTGATGTGGTTGGAGCAACGATCATCAATACGCGGAGGTGGCCTCGACCGTGAGCATGGTCTGCGGGAGGGAGATTGTCAAGCAGAAGGGGAGGGGTGGAGGAGTATGAAAGGAAGAGGGTGGAAGCTGGCGAGTGCACCGGCGCAGGGCTGGAGAATTCTGCCGCGGAGGCGGTGAACATGCGGCTCTGCGGGCGGGCTTGGCAGACACCCCCGAAGCTCCTACGTCTTGCGCGTGCTGTTGTCGCCTTCACCTTTCGCTCTCATCCACCATTTCAACCATCTCCCACCATCGCTCGTCCGATCGGACACTTCCACACATCCTTCTTCTTCCGACTGGTCTTCTCATCGACAACGCCCACCTGAGCCTGCTTGCTTGATTGCCTCGCCTCACGACCTCATCGTCGCTGCCCATCTACCCTTCACATCACAGCTCAACATGGACCGACTCTCAAGAATGCTGCAAGCCGCCCAAGGCATGGGTGGTGGAGGGGGAGGAGGAGCTCCGCAGGTAAGAAATATCCAGCCATGATCCCCCGTGTTCAACAGCCTGCGATTGCCACAAGTTCAAACCGGTCGACTCGCGGATGCTCTCCCAGGGCAGGCAACTGCCTTTCCATCAGCTTTCGCGAACGCTGGCCCCCCGGTCCTTGCTCTTTCTTGCACTCATCAGTCGATCTGCACAACACACTACATGCATGACTTTGCCAGCGGCCGCTCTCCGCATCATCACATCGTATCATCGCTATGCCGCCAAAACGCAAACGAGCAATTACAGATCCACGTGATGGCCCCAGCACCCCCAGAAGAGCACGTCTCAGCTTCCCGGAGACATCGACTCGTCGTACCGCGCCTCCGCCGATTCTAAACTTTCTCGTGCATACGATACTGACTGCGAAAAATGTTCTCTAATCGAGCAATCTGCCGTTCCATGTGCTAACCAAGGACTGCATTCCAGGACACCAACATCATCGACAACGCCGAAACCGTCTACATCTCCTCCCTCGCCCTACTCAAAATGCTTCGACACGGCCGTGCAGGCGTACCGATGGAAGTGATGGGTCTCATGCTGGGAGAATTCGTGGATGACTACACAGTGAGAGTGGTGGACGTGTTCGCGATGCCACAATCAGGAACGGGAGTGTCGGTCGAGGCGGTGGACCCGGTGTTTCAGACCAAGATGATGGATATGTTGAAGCAAACAAACAGGTGGGCTCATGCAAGCGCATGCCGTTGTGACGACCTGTGCTAACTCTTCCTACTAGACCAGAAACAGTCGTCGGCTGGTATCACTCTCATCCCGGATTTGGCTGCTGGCTCTCCTCCGTCGACATCAACACCCAACAATCCTTCGAACAGCTCACTCCCCGCGCCGTGGCCGTCGTCATCGATCCCATCCAGTCCGTCAAAGGCAAAGTCGTGATCGATGCATTCCGTCTCATCAATCCTCAGACTCTTATGCTCGGACAAGAACCCCGACAAACGACGAGCAATCTCGGCCACCTGAACAAACCCAGCATACAGGCGCTGATTCACGGACTCAATCGTCACTACTACAGCATCGGCATCGGATACCGGAAATCGGCATTGGAGGAGGCAATGCTCATGAACCTCCACAAGACCGTGTGGACTGAGGCGCTTACCATGCCGGACTTTGCCACCGAAGGCACAAGGAACCAAGCGAATCTTGAGAAGCTGGTCAGCTTGGCCGAGGGATACGAGAAGCGGGTGAAGGAAGAGACGGAGCTCACGAAGGAGCAGCTGAAGACGCGCTATGTGGGCAAGGTGGATCCGAAGAAGCACATCGAACAGGTCGGGCAGGAGCTCATCGAGGACAACATTGTGAGCGTGAGCCGGCAGATGATCGACAAGGAAGCGAGTGTGCCGAGCAAGGAGTTCGACGGCGCGGGTCTGAAGTTGAATGGCAATGGCTTGGGCCGGACGAATGGGTATGGAGGAGGGGATGAGATGGCGGTGGACGCTGACGAGGAGCTATAGTGCGCATGGCAGGGTTGTGGAAGAATTATAGTACTTTCCGCATAGCCTGGGCGTTTGGTGTGCGTAGACGGATTTGGTTTCATGCTGGAGGCAGAGAGTGATGCTACCATGGCGCATGTCAAGATTACTTCATGGAAGACAGCCTGATCAAAGGCAGCATCATTTCATTATCACCATAAGGTGTAGCTGTTGGGCTCAGGCTGCATGTGATTACCTAAGCTGTACGCCGCCACTCGCAGCTTGATGTGGCTTTACCGTCCTAAATTTTTGAATGAACAACGAACCTCACTTCACCTCCAGTCACAACGCCGGAAATCACACTCCCCAAAGCAGGAATGATTACTCGGTAACACCGACATCAACCCACGACTCCAAAATGGCAGAGTCCAAAGCGCCCGAGTCGGAACTCGGCGAAGCGCTCTACGACATCTGCAGCAAAGACGCCTTCACCTCCGGCGAGCGCTACAAGAAAACCTTCACCCAGGACTCCCTGCTGGCCCTCTGCACCGACTTCAAACCCCTCATCCACGTCCAGGATGCGCGCAAACTGCTCCCGCTCATCCAGGAGCTGTGCAATCTCGGCCTCTTCATCCCGCTCAAAAACAAGACCGGCACGTGCTGGGCCCTGCGGCCGCGCGATGCCGCCGCCAAAATGCAGAGTCTGAGCGACGAGCAGCGCCGCGTGTACCAGCACATTGAGGAAGCTCACGAACAGGGCATTTGGATCCGCAACTTGAAGACTCGCACTGGGATCAAGGATGGCAAGTCGATGGCGAAAATGCTCGGCCAGATGGCGAATATGAGACTCATCAAGAGCGTTACGAATGTCAAGTCGCCTGCGCAGAAGCATTATATTCTGTTCCATCTTGCGCCGAGTGATGAGCTTACCGGCGGGAGTTTCTACGACAAGGGCGACCTAGATCAAGGATTGATCGATGAGCTGAGCAACCTGATTGTCTTCCACGTCCGGCAAACGAGTTGGGTAGAGGAGAGGAAAAAGCGAATCAAGAAAGAAGCATCACCCGTCCTCGTCCGCGACCACGACATCCCAGCAGCAACCACAGAGGGCGTAACGGACGCAGCCAAAGCGAAAAAGCGAAAACGAGACGCAACCCAGCCCATCGACATCGAAGACGCCCCTCCCGCCCGCAAACACCGCGTGCACAGACACGCCTCCGAAGCGGAAATCGAAAGCATGGCAAGCACGCAACAACCCTTCCCCGCCGGCCACGAGTACCAAACCGCCGCCTCGATCCACGAGTACATCACCAGCAACAACATCATTCGCGCGGGCAAGGCGCAACTCCTCACCGTCGACGAGGTGCAAAACGTCCTCAACGTCCTCCTCTGGGATGGGAAGTTGGAGAAGGTGAACGGCGGGTACCGCAGCGTGCGCGGCGTCAAGTTCCGTCCTGTTGGCGAAGGCCCGGAAGAAGATGCGGCGAGACGGCGGGGTAATGCAATCACCGAAATGCCGTGTGGACAGTGTCCTGTGTTCCATCTTTGTGGGACGGGCGGGCCGGTGAATGCGGAGAATTGCGTGTACCTGGACCGCTGGCTGGGCGTGGGTGTTGCTGCTGAAGGGTGAGGGCGAGCTTCCTTTGATCGTCACAGTTTATTTGAGCGATGGCGTAGGGGTATGGATGAGTCGGTCTCTATTAGAATGCATGAAGCGGGGCGGACGGCCAGGGCATGCATAGATATGTTCACGTACGAATTGGATCTTTTTCAACGTCTCTATGCATCAAGAGCGAGTGGTGCCACATCTGGGAATGCAAGCGATTCCATTTCGTTCGTTTATTGGGTATCTTTGACTTTCCGCAGTCCAGTGCACAAAACAACAACGCCGCGCTAATTCAACACAACCACAAATCATTGTACAGCCGCCATAGCGAAAGGTATGCCTGGTCCTTCCGACTCGAGCAAGGCGTGGATTCGAATAGCCATGTTCATTGCATGAGGGTTCTGGGATGTCTGTTAGCATCTCTTCGCTTGCGATCGAAGCAACGTCCAACTCACCCCAGATAGTCCTCCCGAATACTACCAATGGCAAACATCTGGCCCAGCTCGCCGCGAATGCCCTTGATGCGTAGCCGGACCTGAGAGTTCCGCTGCACCGTCATACCTTCCGCGTCAGAAAAGTTCGGCGTCGAGTCCTCGGCGTTGTACTTCATCGACGGCGGAATCATCTGCGAGCAATCACAGCCCGTTTAGCATGCCGATCGAAAATCTCCCACCCTTACTTTTGTTGATTATTACTCACCGCCTTGCTCACAAACACACTCAACCCCCCAACATCCACAAAGAAGCCATTGTTCACCACACTGCTGACCTCGCCATCGACCACTTCCCCACGAAACGGCCGCCACACGACCGCGCGATACGCGACGTTGAATTGCGCGAAGCCCGTGCCCGGCGCGACCTTGGGCTCGCTGATCTCGTCAATGCCGATGACGGCGATGATCATCATCGTGCCGGTGTTGGTGCCTTCGACATCCTGGAAGAGCTTTTGCTCAATGTACCGCGTGGCTTCGCTGTTGAAGAAGGAGGGGTGCAGGTCTATGCGGTGCTCGAGGGATTTGACGAAGAACATGATTGTGGTGTGTCGGGGGTTCGGGGTTGGGTTCGTGGAGGGATCGTGGGGGTGAACGAGGTGTGGCTAACGGCTTTGCGACTGCTCGCGTGACTGGTGGAGGAAGTTGGCTGGTGTGAGGGATTCCCTGCTACGGAAGCGACTCTGGTCGCAACTTGCCGGCTGCAATCGAGACAGACTCATGCGTCAGTGGATGGGTAGGGATGGTGGTGAAAATCTGCCACTGAGAAATGGTGCGCTCGGGATGAAGGTGATGACCAGGAGGTGGAAGGATATCGCGCGCGAGTGCAACTCGGTGTTTGCGACAAGGCGCCAAGTCGTAAGAGAGAGGGAATGAAAGGCGGCGGAGTGTGGAAGCCCCTCGCAACAGTGAAAGGTCGACGAGGAGAGGAAAGGCAGTCGATTGCATGAAGCGTGAATTCGGTTTCTTGGGCGGGAGCAGCCGGAACCTTATTTTCGCTCATATCGCCTAGTCACGTGGGCGTGACCACAAGTGAGACGGCTAAAAGTCGCAGACGAAGACGCATGACAGTGTGTAGATTATGACATTTCAGATACGTGGTAGGGGCGTGCCTTTCTTGGAGCACAACGCTTCTTTTCTCGTCAATGTTTCATGAGCTTCCGCTGACAGATTGCTCTTCCATATCGCTGGATTAAGCGCACCACGTAGACTCGACGCGGGTGCCTTCTGTCTGTAACGTGGCGAAGCAGCAAAGCCATGGCAGGTTCTGTGGCCATTTGTTGGTGCCATAGAGCTTGAAGTATGTCCACTGCTTCTTCCTCAACCCAATCCCTCGAGACCATCCAACCCAGTCACAATCGGTTCCGGCCGATCAGTCTTCAACCACTCCCCATTGAAAGCATTAACAAGCCAATCGCTAAGTTCTGCACACAATCAGCATCCGCACATCCTCAAATCCACTCATCCACTCAAGAACCAACTTACTATGATAAACGACAGCATTCGCGCCATGAAAGTAGATCGAATGGTCCGAATCCGGGAAAACGTGCACATCGTAATTCCGCACCCCCTTCTTATCCAACTTGTCCAGCAAGCTCAGCGTATTCTGGAAATGCACATTGTCGTCGCTCGCGCCGTGCATCACCAAAAACTTGACATTCTGGCTCAGCGCCGTCACATTGGAGATGCTGGCGTTCTGGTAGCCCGTGGGATTGTGCTGCGGCGTGTGCATGTAGCGCTCCGTGTAGATGGAGTCGTAGTAGCGCCAGTCCGTCACGGGCGCGACGGCCATGCCGTAGTGGAAGGTCTGGCCCGCGTCCGCTTCGAGCACTTTCAGCGTCATGAAGCCGCCGTAGCTCCAGCCCCAGATGGCCACGCGCTCGGCGTCGACGTACTTCTTCTCGCCCCATATCTTCGCCGCGGCGATTTGGTCGTGCGCTTCCCAGTATCCCAGATTGCCCCGGATGATGGTACGGTGTTTGCGGCCCATGAAACCCGTGCCGCGGCCGTCGACGGTGACGACAATGTACCCGAGAGTGCTTGCGACGTAGGATTGGAAGGTGATTTGGAATTTACGTTGCACTTCTTGGGCATTTGGGCCGTTGTAAAGGTAGAAGAGGACGGGATACTGGGTCTTGCCGGAGTCGTCGAAATGCGGCGGCCGTCTTTCGACATAGTTCAAATCGAAGCCGTCGACGTTGATCGTGCCGTAGATTTCAATCGGCAGTAGCGTCTTCTTCGCCAGTTCGTGCAGCCGCGTGTTGTTCTCGATGCTGATGTCGATGTTATCGATGTGGTTGGTGGGTGTGGATTGCACCTTTTGCCATGGAATGCCAGGTCCTTGGTTCGTAAGGAGCGCAAAAGATCCAGATGTGCTGAACGAAGCGTCGTAAAAGGCAATCTCATTCGTGTCGGTCACGGCTTTGATGCTTTTCGGGCCGTCGTGAATGTCGACAGAGTAGATGTGTCGTTGTGTACTGCCATCCTTGGTTGCTCGGAAATACACCAAGTTCTGATCGAGTGCAACCTTTGATGGAGCGTTGACGACCTCCCATTTGCCTTCAGTTAGCATCTTCGGATCCGGGCTGTCAAGAGGAGTAAAGTAGGCCAAGTGGTCGTAGCCGTCCAAGATGACAGTGTCAATGTATCCCTCCTGGTCTCGGCCATTGGCTGGATCGGCGGGCACATAGGTCGTGCTCTCCGATATCTCGAACCAACCGCCGTCCAATGCCTGCACATCCCGTTCCCGGACAGTCCTCCCTGTCCGCCGCCGGGCATCAATCAAGATCATTTTAAGAGAATCAGACTCCCGATTAGTGGAACGAATCAACAGCTTTCCAGTCTCACCAGCCCACAATACCTCCGTAATGAGCCGATCGTGATCCTCAAAGTCGCCGTCGATCGGGACGGCGAACGTCTCGCCCTTGTCCACATCGTAGATCTGGAGATTGACCACACTCATCGGCGCTCCAGCTTTGGGGTATTTGATCCACTTGATCTCGGGGTAGTTCTCTTCACCCGGCTTTGGTTGCTTTCCAGAAGGGCGGTGGAAGTAGAATGAGACAGGGAACTCCGGCACCTGGCTTTCGTCGGTGCGCAGGAATGCAATGAATTTTCCATCCCCGGACCACCAAGTCGCGGTATCACTGGCGAAGACTTCTTCTTCGTAGACCCAATCAGGCACGCCATAGAAGAGCTCCGCACCGCCGTCGTTGGTGATAGGCGTAACTTGCTGGGAATCCAGGCGGCGAATGAACATGTTGTTGTCCCGAGTAAAGACCACCGCATCCCCCTTTGGACTCCAAGAAGCAATCTGAACGCGGCGATTCGGGTGTCGTGGGTCAAGGGGCTCCGCCTTCTGGGTCGCGACATCAAAGATCCAGTACAACCCCGTCCCGCTGTGGCGGAAGTTGGGCTCCCAATCACTGCGGACCAACACCTTTGTGTGCTGTGCATTCGGCCAGGTCTCGTCCGCCCAAATGCTCTGCGAGTCATCGACGTTGAACAGTCCGCTCTTCATCAGCGTCTTCGAATGCTCCTTTTGCACCTCGATGCTGTCGCCCCGATACCTCACGTCTTCAACAACCAGATAATCCCGGCCTTCGCGGCCTCCACTCTCCAATAGCAACCCATCCTCCCCTTGCGGTCCCCGGATCCACCGAATCTCCGCAGTCTTAGCCCTCCAATCGCCGTCCAACACTTGATCCAGCGTCACGCGTTTGCCATGCCCATACGATGTCGTCGCATGCGGATCATGTGGCCGAGCAGCGTTAAGGTGATGTCTGCCCTGCGCGATGAACATCAACAGCGCAGCAACCCATCCCACCAGCCCGATGGCAATGAGCACATAGAACACCGTCCGCGTCTTCTTGTCCGCAGGTCGCGCATCCCGCTTCCAAGCAACCTGCTCCTCCAACTCCATGTCGTCTCTTCCTTTCCCGCTCCCGTCCCGATACGGCGGCATTTCATACACCCCCTCTTTCCCATTGAGCGTCGCCTCGTCACTCAAGTGATCAAAGACGAGGCTCGTCGTGCTCACGCTGCTCGGTCGGCCTTCGTCCTCGGCGTCATGGGCGGCGTCAACATGGTGAGTCAGAGGCTGGGATTGCTCGCGGAGAAGGAGCTCGTCTTCGCCTTCTCTGCCCATTTTGTCGTTCGGCGCGCGGCGTCGCAGGGGGACTTGGAGGTAGTCACATGAACTCGAGAGGTTGCGCCGATGTGTGGACTGCGGGGCCACTTTGGTAGAGGAGGTTGGGAGGTGCTAGCTCAGCATCATCGACTACAAAGAGAGGCGGGTGCTTGTGCAACGACAGTGAGGGAAGATCGTAATTCGGGAATGTATAGTGTACATGAGGAGTGAAGTCGGGCCAGATGGAAGCCTCAGGCGCCAAGCCGCGCCTCCTTTGTCTCGGACTCATTGACCACCAAAAGCAGTCGCAACATTCCTCGCTTCGACGACATTGCACAGACATACACAGTCCGCTCGGTGTATTGGATAACATTTGAGTAGTGTACATATCAATCTACCTCGTTGCGGCCCGTATGCCGCAGACCAGAGGCAGCCGGCAGTATAAGTGGAGGGCCCTCAAACAAACCGGAAAGAACACACACAACCCTCGTTTACAACACCTCCCCAACAATCTTGGCCGCCTCCTTGTACGTCTCCAACAGCTTCTCGCACTTCTCTCGTTCCTGCTTGATCACTCCATCCTCATACAGCAACTCCTCGAACAAAGTCTCCTTGTACAGCTCGCTAACCAGGCGATTCTGCACGACGTCCTTGGAGAAGTTGACCAGCAGGTGCATCACTGCTTTCGGCACCTGGTCGGCAATGGTCTCACGCACAATGTTGAAGTAGGAGGAGATGAGGCGACGGATGAGCTCGGTCTCCAACGCCTCGCGCTCCGTCATCGCTGGGCCTTCGGAGGTCGGATCATGCGGCTGGGCCATGTTAGTGCTGCGAAGTCACGACAATGCGGTCAGTGGAGGACTTACGAATCCAAGATCCTGTGCATCCATTTCTTCGACAGTCAGGCCCGCAACGGGCGGCTCCGGCATGCTCACTGGCCGCGTATCGCCTCTTCTGAAACTTGCTGCAATGCTGGGCTCGAGGTTCTGGCTGACGTGCCTGCTCGCGCTCCCACCAATGCCCTGCATGGCCCCAGCCGCGCTCTGTCCCGGTAGCCCAGAATCTCGAATCCCATTCTCCTTGCCAAAGAAGTAGTTGAGGAAGCTATCCTTACCGCTCGGGGCGGTGGTGCCGTTTGGCGCTGTGACAGAATGCGTCAGTCGGTGTCCATCCCTGCCGACCGCTGGAGACATGCTTCTGCTCTCCTTGTTCCTCACTGCGTTCCGCGTTGGAAGCGCACTCTGTTGTTGCTGTTGCTCGTCCTCGTGGTCTTCTGGCGTCTGATCGCCATTGACAGCAGCAATCTCCTTCCGTCTTCTCGCCTCGCGCTTTCGCTTTTCCTCTGCTGCGACCATTCGCTTCTCCCGGTCATGTTTGTCCTGCATGACATTACTCATTGCCGCTGCAGCACCCAAGAAGTTGGGATGATTGGTGTTGATGTATGCTCGTTGGATTGAGATGAGAGATTCAACATATGTCGAGCATGGTCCTAACCGCTCGCGGAGCAGGTCGGAAACGACCTCGATGAGCTTTCCTTGGAGTCGCGGATAGCGTGCGAGCTCGTTATCCCCACACGTATGGCCAATCTTGATGAGCTCCTCGTAGACAAGCTCGACACATCGCTGGGATGGAATTTCAAGCAGTTTGATCTGCGGCTTCACCAAAAGATCGAATGCTAGCTCAGGTACGAACAAGCTTGGTCGCGGGCCGGTCGAGTTTCGAATCGCGGTTCTAATGTCAAGAGGGGACAGGTTCTGGGTAGGGTCGATGGTCTCGAGGCTGTTGCCGAAGACGGAATTGAAGATGTAGTAAATCCTTGCGCCACCGCAAAGCTCTTTCGTGCTGATCTCGGAAGACGTGCCGTCAATCGAGGAGATGAAAGACGTCGCGAATCGAGTCATCAAGCTCAGGATCAAGCTTCCTCGATGCTCCTTGCCCGTGAAGGAATCGGTGCCGTACGATGCGAGCTCTTGCTGCGTCTGCCCCATGAGCGTGTTCAACCTGGCCTTGATATCCGGCAATCGCTCGCGGATATGTGTCATGAGAGTGGAGTTGAGTGTCTTTGCGAGGAATTGCGTGCCACATCGTGATGCAATATTTCGGTAGGCGGGATGCATGCGGAAGAAGTCTCGCTCGGCCGACAGCGCATCAGCCATGGACTTGTTGCCCTGGATGTCTTGCTGAGAGCGATTGACAACGCCGATGAAGCCGAGCTTGAGCGGATACACTCGACCGGACAGGATGTCGAGCGCGTTTGTCCCATGGTCCATCAGGTCGAGCTTGGTGAGGACACCAATGGTGCGCTTTCCCGTAGGGTCGACATACCGCGCAAGCTTGAGCGCTTCCGAGTTGACAATGTCGACATTGGCAGGGGAGACGGCGAGGATGATGCTGTTGGGCTTGGCGATGTATTCGGAGATGAGGGTGCGCGTCTGCTTCTCGATGTCTCCCGGCTGGTCTCCGATAGGCACCTTGGTCAACCCGGGCAGATCGACCAGCGTGAGGCTGAGCACGTGAGGCGAGTAGATCTTGAGGTTGATTGGCTGCCGATTGATGCCCTTGTTGTTTCCCGCTATCCTCGCCGTCTCATTATCAATCTCCCGCTTCACCTCTTGAAAATCGTAAAACCGCCGGCCAGGGATGTGGTTGAACTCGCCCCATTCGTCTTGACCGGCCACGGAGGCTGGAGTATGCGGCACGTGTACCTCGTCATGCTCAGGCCTGTCGTCTCGTTCGGAGGGCACGTTGATGAGCTGGAGGATAAGGGGTCTTCGCGTGACGATGCCCGAGCCGCGGGGGAGGAAGTCGCGGCCAACGATGTTCTCGAGGACGGAGGATTTTCCTGACGACTGTGATCCAACAACCACCTGCAAGCATCGTTAGCGAAGGTCCACCAGATTCAAGGCGTGCGGCGATGGCATACGATCTGAGGTAGGTCTAGGGAGTCATTGCCAATAGTGTTGAAAACAAGGTCCTGCAGCCTGTTGACCACCTTCAGCAACTCCTCTCCTAGCGCCGCCATGGTCGCGGATATCCACTAAGGCGCCTGGAGCCGAGGATATGGAGGAGCGACTGTCGTGTGCTCGATAAGAGACTGTAGCCCTCCTCGTGTCCTGCTACTCCCACGATTCGGTTGGTTGAATCGAGTTCTGCGCGTCGATCAGGCTCTCGTACACTTTCGACGCGTACTTTGAGTTGGAGGCTGTCGTGTAAGGTCGGAGCTGGTGAGCGTTGAGGGTTTGAAGCTTGTCCAAGGGATGAAGGATGCCCGTGAGACCAGTAGTGGGCAATTTGGCCAACCTTCATGTGATGCCGCGCCGGGTTTTGTTGGGTTTAGAGTTTCGGTAAACACGCCACTGTGACGTTCGGCTGTGGCGCAGGCGTGTTGCAGCCTCAGGCAGCACTCACCGCTTTGCACCGACTCAACTTGCCCACCTACCTTATGATTGTTCAAGACCTCGAAGCTCAATGTTGATATCGCGCCTGGCTACATAAAGCTCTATCTAGCATGAGGCTTCGACATCCAATTCCTGATCTTGGTCGACGCGACCGGCGCCGCACTCACGATCGTGATCAAGCCCGCCAAAGCCGCACACGCGACGGGGATCAAATGGCTATCCCTACACCCCTCCACGTACGCCGCCAGTATAGCTGGCAGTTCATCTGGTGGAAATGTGGACCGCAACTGCGTAACACCAGCATTGATAATCGTCTCGGGGTTAGTAGTTGGTAGTCGAGTCTTGACGCCGTGTACAAGGCCCTTGGTGAATGCGCCGTCGGTGGCCGCTACAAACAGCGTTGTGCCCACGTTCTCGAAGAACAATGCGAGTGCCGTTGCTGCTGGTACATCGTCTATTCCCACTGCGGCATTGTTTGCGGTAACGGGCAGCTGCAAGGCGGCACCTATGCCAATCGATGCAAGTACCTCCGATCCGATCCAGGCTGCAGTGGTGCTCTTGAGGCCGTACGTGTACATCAGAAAGGCGCCGGCGGTGGCAAACACGGCACCAAAGGCGAAGATCGCGTTGTAGATTTTCCAATAGGTGACCAGACCGTTGGAGATGAGCGTGAAGATACTAACACCGAGGAGCAGCGGTATCAGTCGTATTCCACTTTCCGCTGCACTCTGTTGCCCAATTGACTGGAATTGGATCGGGAGAATGTAGATCAGAGGGAAGAAGGCGCCGGCGAGGAAAAAGGCGAATGCACAATTGCGCATGATATTGCGATTCCGGAGCACGTGCATTTGCAACATTGCTTTGGAGCCCATGAGTTTCTCGTTGCCGATGAATAGTGCTGCAAGTACGCAGGATCCGATTAGAGCGCCGGCAATCTTCGCGCCGTTCCAAGTCGCCGCTCCGACCAAGTTCATGGCAAAGACGAAGCAGGTCAGCGAGCCTACGACCAACAGCCCGCCGTTGATGTCCAAACGAGTAAGTTTTTCCTTGAGGGTTCCCTGTTCGGTAGTGACATAGTCTGGCTGGCTGAAGAATACCACGATGATGCCAGCAGCCACCGCGCCGAATGGTAGGTTGATCCTGTAGCATCGGTTGTCAGCTACAATGGTCTGTCGAGTTGACAAAGCGCACAACATACCAGAAGCACCATCTCCAATTAAGCGCATCTACCAACACTCCCCCAAGTAACGGACCAACTACGCTGGAGCAGCCAAATGTCACGCCAGTGATGCCCATCATCATCGCCCTTCGCTCCGGCCGCGCCGTCAAAGCCATGATGATGAAGCTTCCATTCATCAAACCAGCGCCTCCGAGTCCAGATATGATTCGGCCGAGAACGACAACCACACTCGAATCCGCCGAAGCAGTCACTATGTTGCCAATTTCGAAGATGACAATTGCCAACAGGTAGGTTCTTTTCAAGGGAAAGCACTTGTACGCCTTGCCCCAGACCAGACCGAAGCTTGTGTTGGGCAATGTATACGCGGTACCGTACCACTGGGAGTCGTAGAGGTGTTAGCAAGTCGTTCTGCATTCTCGCACGCAGATCTTCCTTACAGTAATGCTTGCTACACTGCCGAATTGCTTGGTAATGCTTGGAATGGCTTGAGCAATGATTGAAGAGTCCAGCGCTACCAGGAAGATTGTGAGAGCCAGGGCGATGATCGTCAAGATAAGTTTGGCGCCTGAAGGATAGACTACCGTTTCCTGCTCGGGATTATTGGTGCCAATCTGATCTTGTCCATCCTGGAGATCCTGATTGCTTCCCTCGCCATTAGAGGCTTCGCCGTGCTGGTGATGGAGAGGTTGAACAGAGATCTTCGCTATTCGCTTTGGCGAGACGTCCTGCAGCTCTATCGTGTCGGTGCAAGACATCTTTGTCGATCGTCACTTGCCTGCAGGTGAATGATCGTTGCAGAACTCGAGAACATTGCTGTCGTGTCGGAGGAGTCATAGCTGTGTTGACAACGGCTGACAATCTTAACCCTAACCCTAACGAGAATCGGATGCCAGGTTCCGTTTGTGAGACATTCTCGCCAGCACAGGTGAGTAGCACAGTACGAAAAACTCAACAATCATGAGTACAAAGGGGCTGCGATGACGACTGCTCACCTACAACCAAGTCGATGGGGGCTTGCTGGATCGCAAAACTCTAGACAAGAAATGGACGGGTTCACGTACGACGATAGGATACAACTCATCAATCTCCAGCTTCCTCACGATGTCATTGCGCCGAACATATGGGGCGAGCTCAAAGCACAGCCGGCGCTCGTCTCGCTCAAATTGGGCCTCATGCAGGGGATTGAGTCGACGGCGAGTAATGATGCACTGGATCAAAATACCGTCCATTACGGAGAATTGGCGAAGCGGATTCGCGGTGGCTGCACCGCCGGCCAAGGGCTTGACGCCCTTTTCGCACTCTGTGAGCGCCAGGTCTTCCAGATCGCCAGAAGGGAGGATGCGTCCTCCAGAATACGTGACATTGAGATCACCGTGACGTTTCCCAAGGCTAGTCTCTATGGCGAGGGAGTAGAGTTGGTGCATTCGATCACGTGTGACGGGCAGGGTGCGCGGAAGACTCACTTCTATACATGGCGAATCAAAGAGATGAAAGTGATGACGCTGATTGGCGTCAACGCGTACGAGAGGAGGGCGAAGCAGCCGCTTGTGGTGCATCTTCAGTTCGTGCCCTCCGCGGAGCCCAAACTAGCGGATCGAACGTATTTGCAACAACTATTCGGGGTGGAGCAGAGCTTTGCGCAGGTATGTCCGAACGAAACCATGCGCAGGGTGAGAGGAAGGATACTGACTCCCATCACAGCTTATCGAAGATTCTTCGTTTGAGACGTTGGAGTCACTTGCCGAATGGGTAGTGAAGCAGCTTGCAGACAGACTGTCGGCTCAGAATATCCCTTGTGAGGTGATAAGGCTGAAGCTCGATAAACCGCGCGCCATTGCCTTTGCCGATCACCCAAGCGTGGAGATTACGCGAATGCTGGGGAATCGACAGCGGTAGATGTCCAGCAGCAGATTGGAATTGGTGGAAGGTCATGAGCGTGTTTGGATTGCAGGATTGTCGATGCTATAGGTTGTGGGAAGCAGCTATTGGAGCATCTTTACAGGCATCAAGCGGAGCATTTACCTATTCCGATGAGACTGGATGGTTCGCCGCAGGTAGTAGATTAAGTCAGTGTCGATCTATCAATATTTCAGAACGTTCAAACACCACCGACGGGGCTGTGTGCCGAGACATGCAGCAAAGTGAACAACTAGAAGCGTGGAACGACACACGTGCGGCATAGAGAGCTGTTCACCACTCACCAGGTGCGTTGGGACCTGCATGAAAGTCAGTTTGAGTTGCCTTCTGCAGCCGACGCGAGCAAGGTTTTCGGTGGGCAGGTTTTTTTGGCGCGTTTTCTGGAGCGCAGCATGGAGAGCGGAGAGGCCGTGGGGATCTCGCCCAGTCTGACGCTGATTTGGTGGGATGATCGGCACTGTGTGACAGCTGGTGGCGTCGCTGTCTGATCAATCGCCCTAAGTTACACCACGGCCGCTTTTGTCGGTGAAGAAGACAAACGCCGAGTGCATCGGGGAGGTCCTTCCGAGACCGCCGGCGACGATTCTGGCCAGCTGGCGAATTCCGAGGTGCAGATACGAGCGGGTGAGCGACGGAGCAAACGCAGCTCATTCCCGGGCCGTGAGAGGCGTCGAACGTGGGAAAAAGACGGGTGTTGGACACGACGTCGCCCAATCGCTGGGCTCTAGCGCACCCAATGATGTCGATTTCCCCAACGCTCCCCCCGTTTGGTCAGGGTTCAGCGGCGATGGTGGGGCAACCAGTCCTGCTCCCTCCAAATGATGTAAATAGCGGTCGGGCTCGAGAAAGCGGTGTTGGATTCTCCTTTTCTCCATACATTCATCATCCCTCTTGGATACTCATCGGCCTCGCGAGGTTTCATTGCTATTCGACCCAGAGTTGCTCCCGTGACGACTCGCACCTTCCTCGCACAACGCAAACCAACCCCGCCGGGAAACCTTGTTTGACGCCATCAACGCCCCGCATTGGGAAGGTGAGCTTCAGGGAACGACGTCCGTAAAAATTTCAGACCCTTCGCTAATCATCTTCTCTTCCTCTTCTCTTCAGACCACCAACGTCTTTGGACATCCTCTCAGAAATACAACGATCACACCACCCTTCGTCGAAACCCACATCCATCCATCAAAATGGCAGCCAAGAGCGCCCTGCCCTCTCACCTCAAGTTCTCCGCCAATGGAAACAGCGACAGCATCGACGGCGGCAGACATCATGGAAAGTCTCAGTCCCATGTGGTACGTTGGACCGTTCATACTCCCTTCTTCATCATCATCCCATACACCCATGTGAGGCGGAAAGAGGGAGGCTGCGGCGGAAGCGGGTGGCGATGGCTACGCCGAGCTTGTCAGACGCATTCACCGCGTTTGTTTGCTCCAGCGTGCAATCACCCCTCCTCCCGTCCTGGAAATCCTAGCGAGACGGCTTATGCCGCCAGCAATGTCGTTGTCTTAAAGGCAACCCCTCTTTCGCTTGGGATAAATACGGCGAGCTTGCTCTCCTGCACGCCTGGCCCTCCACCAACCCCCACCTTACCATGTCTTCACTCGCTCGTGCGACGTCCAGACTAACGTGTCCCTTTCACGAACAGGCTTTCGAAAACACTTCCACCTCCGTTGCTGCCTCGCAGATGCGCAATGCCCTCAACAACCTTGCAGACACCGTCAAGGACCCCAAGCAGAAGCAGGTACATCTTCCCTTCCGCGAGTGTCACCAACCTCTTCACCAGCTCACACATCTCTCCAGCGTTTCGAGACGGAAATGGACAACTTTTTCTCCCTCTTCCGCCGCTATCTGAACGACAAGGCAAAGGGCAACGAGATTGAGTGGTCTCGCATCGCTCCCCCCAAGCCCGAGCAGGTTGTCGACTACAACACCCTCAGCAACACCGACTCTGTCGAGTTCTTGAGCAAGCTCGCCGTGCTCAAGCTCAATGGAGGTCTCGGTACTTCCATGGGTTGCGTCGGCCCCAAGTCCGTCATCGAGGTCCGCGACGGCATGTCCTTCCTCGATCTGTCCGTCCGCCAAATCGAATTCCTCAACCGCACTTACGACGTCAATGTCCCCTTTGTCCTCATGAACTCCTTCAACACCGACTCCGACACGGCGTCCATCATCAAGAAGTACGAGGGCCACAACATTGACATCATGACCTTCAATCAGTCCCGCTACCCGCGTATCCTCAAGGACTCGCTCCTGCCCGCACCAAAGACCGCAGACTCGCCCATCTCCGACTGGTACCCTCCCGGCCACGGTGACGTCTTCGAATCCCTCTACAACTCCGGCATTCTCGACAAGCTGCTCGATCGTGGCGTCGAGATCCTCTTCCTCTCCAACGCCGACAATCTCGGTGCGGTTGTCGACTTGAACATCCTCCAGCACATGGTGCAGACAAAATCAGAATACATCATGGAGTTGACGGACAAGACAAAGGCCGATGTCAAGGGTGGTACCATCATCGACTACGAGGGCCAGGCACGTCTGCTTGAAATCGCTCAAGTGCCCAAGCAGTACGTCAACGAGTTCAAGAGCATCAAGAAGTTCAAGTACTTCAACACCAACAACGTCTGGATGAACCTGCGCGCCGTCAAGCGTGTCGTGGAGAACAACGAGCTCAGCATGGAAATCATCCCCAACGGCAAGAGCATCCCCGCCGACCGCAAGGGCGAGGCCGACGTCAGCATCATCCAGCTCGAGACGGCCGTCGGCGCCGCCATCCGCCACTTCAGCAACGCCCACGGTGTCAACGTGCCGCGTCGCCGCTTCTTGCCCGTCAAGACCTGCTCCGACCTCATGCTCGTCAAGTCGGATCTCTACACCGTCAAGCACGGCCAGCTCGTGTTGGACCCCACTCGCTTCGGCCCGGCACCGCTCATCAAGCTCGGCAACGACTTCAAGAAGGTGTCCAGCTTCCAGTCGCACATTCCCTCCATCCCCAAGATGATCGAGCTCGACCATCTGACCATCACCGGTGCGGTCAACCTTGGCCGTGGTGTGCAGCTGAAGGGCACGGTCATCATTGTGGCTACGGAGGGCCAGACCATCGACATTCCCCCGGGCTCCATCTTGGAGAACGTGGTGGTGCAGGGCAGCTTGAGATTGCTGGAGCATTAGAGACTTTCGGGAAGGATTGTGCGCACGTGACTTGGTGGATGAGAGAGAATTAGCATTGCGAAAAGGCGGCGTCGTTTTAACTACTTGCTTTGAAGAGATGGAAGAACTTTGTCGATGGCGAAAGAAAGCCGAGAACATAATATCTGTATGCAAGTATGACTCTGAACTCTGAGATAATGGAAGGTCGAAGATCTTTTGTCATACACCCGCTATGCTTGAAAGGATATACTCTGCGTCGCGGGTACCATCGTACACTGCTACACTCGTCCCATGCCTGCTCCACCCCTAGCCCATTCGAATGACACCCGCCGCAATCAACTTTTGAACCTTGCCGCGCACGTCGGGGTTCTTCATATGATCCTGCAACGCCTTCGGGTCTCCCTTGGCTAGACATATCATTAGCAAAACGTCCACACCGACACATCGAGATGGCAGATCGAAACTCACCCTGCTGCAGAATGCTCTGCATCACCGGATCCTGCAGAATCTGCATAATCTCCGGATCGCGCCCGATGCGCGCCTGCGCCTGCTCCTCCGTCTCGCCCTCGCGATCCTTCATCATCGCCTCCAGCGCCCGCCCGCTCTGCGCCTCAATCTCCCGCGCATTCTTGCCGTCCGCGTCGTGCTCGTGCGCCTGCGTGCACACGTCCAGACACCGGTTGTACTCCTTCATGGCGAAGAGGGCCTGCGCTTTGCGCAGGTAGGCGCGCACAAAGGCCGGGTCGATGGCGAGCGCGGCGTCGCAGTCCGTCACGGCAGAGGGGAAGGTGAGCAGTTTGATGAGGCAGGCGGCGCGGTTGCTGTAGCCTCGCGGGTCTCGCGGCGCGCGCTTGATCATTTCCGTGTACGCTTCGACTGCTGCCGGCCACTCGGTGTTTTTGAAGAGCTCGTTGCCGCGCTCGCGCGCCTCTTCTGCTTTTTGCGGGTCGATGTAGGACGTCACGTCGGCTTGTTTTTTCGCCTTCTCGGCGGCGCGCAGCTTCGTGAGGATGTCCGGAGTGCGGTGCTCGGTCAGACTGCGGCCGTAGAAGTCGATGGCGTTGGTCAAGTCGCCGAGTCTCTCGTAGGCACTGCCCATGCGGCCAAAGGCCTTGGCGATGATCTTGAAGTCCGCGAGCACCTCCCGCCCGTGCTCCACTGCTTCCTTGCAATCGGCTATGCAGGCTTCGTAGTCGCCTTTCTCGAACTGCGCGGCGCTTCGGTTGGTGAGGTAGGTGATGTCCTTGTGCAGTTCCCAGGCTTTGCTGTAGTGCTGAATTGCCTCGTCGAATTGCCGCTTCTTGTACGCAGCTGTGCCCAATGCCTTTTCTGCGTCTGCGTCTGCTTTCGCCTGCTTCGCCGCCGCCGCCTCTTCATCTTCCGGTTCCGGTTCCGGCTCCGGCTCTGGGGCCTTCTTCGCCTCCGACTTCGACGTCGGCCGCGCATCAGGCATCTGCACATCCTCCTCCGCCTCCTTTGCACCGCCCTGTTTCTGGAAGTCCTCCTCCGTAGGGATATGCATGTCCACCCCCAACAACACACTCATGACCTGCAAGAAGCGCGGATCGGAAAACATCTCCGTATTCGCATTCGGATTCCCACTCATCCCCTTCAACTTTGCCATGAACTGCGGATCCGCCAAATAGCCACTCGTCTTGGGATTCGCCGCCAGCTTCTCATACAACTTGGGATCGTTGAACATGCTGCCCAAACCCCCCGTGGGATCCCCACTGACCCCATCCTCCTTCATCTCCGCCTGGATGGCACGATTGACCGACTCCACGCCCGACTTGGCCTGCGCATTGTTCGGATCGAGTTTGAGTGCCTCTTCATACGCATCCAGCGCATCGACGAGGTTGCCCTCGCCATGGAGCGCGGCGCCCTTGCGGCCCCAACCCTTCGCCCAGTCGGGTTTGAGTTGCGTTGTTTGGTTGGCGTCTTCGAGGGCTTTGTCGAATTGTTTGAGCGAGGCGTAGGCGCCGGAGCGGTTGGAGTAGAGGACGTGGTTGGAGGGGTCTGCTTCGATGGCTTGCGAGAATTTCTCACTGCGGGATACGTTAGCAAATGAGTTGATTGAGACATGACGAACGATGTCACTCACATGGCGCCTTGGAAGTCTTTGGCGGCGAAGAGCTTGTTGCCCTCCGCTTTGAATGCGTCTGCCATGGCTGTGATGTGAGATCAAGACAAGGAGTTTGTTGAGTGAAGGAACAGAGGGAGGAAAGAGGGTAGGCGTGAAGAAGACCAGGCCAGCTGCTTCATCGATTCGTCGAAGTTTCTGGATGAAATGTTGCAGAAGCTATGACCACCTCCAAATGTGGGGAAGGCTGAGGCCTCACTCTCCAGAGTCATGTGATATCACTCGACAGCACTGTATGTACGCACATGAGTACAGCTCATTCTATGGCTTCACCACTTCCAAGCCTCATTACAACACCAAAGGTATATACACTCGCTTCCCAGGGAAAAGAAACAGAAGTGGTATCTCGAAACAAACACAAAAAACACTCCGCCGCCCCTCCTCACCCCTTCCTCTTCCAACCCGCTCCCTTCGTTCCATCCAAGCTCGCCCTCCTGCCAGCCATCTCCCCTTGCTCCCCCTCCTCTAGCTCTTCGACGTCAAAAATCGACTCGGCATCCACACTATCCGCCCGCAAGTACGGCACCGAGCTCCGAAAAGCATCCCGTCCTTCCTGGTACACGCGCAGCATGCCATCCTTCGCACGCGAAGCATGCGCCCGTCCGTGTGGATTCTAGCCGGCGGATGGCGTCACGCTGCGCTCGCGCTTGCTCATGAATCGGCCCAGACTCTTGTTCTTGGCGGAAGGCGAGTCGGTAGGAATGGCGCTCGAGGGGCGTAGACTGGCGGCGTCGCTAGGGGTGAAGCTCGAACGAATGACCACCGTCCCCTCGCCGACTTGCACCTCTTGCGTGCCGGAGTTCGTCTCGCCGAGGGTAAACGCGCCTTCGCCCAGGTCGTCGGAACCAAGCATGTGGCTGTTCTTCACGAGCACTTTGAACGTATGTCCCACGCTTGCGGAAAGAGTCTTCGACTCGTTGTCGAATACCGCCTCGCCAGTCTTCGCTTTGACGGCATCGGTCTTCAAAATCTCCTTGGCCCCACGTCCAGAGTCGTGCAACACTCGAATTTGTAGTTTGCTGTCGTGCGGGAAGCCCGTTGCACTCAGTACAGCAATGTTGGCCCGGCCCGACTCGCCCGCACTGCCACCCGCTGGCGAGCCTTGCTCGTAGCCAGCGGGCGAGCCCAATTGCGTTGCGCTTGTGCTGGCGACCGAGTTTTGCGCGACGTGACCATTCGGCCCAGTAGGATCCGTCTCCATACTCGTGTCTCTGATACTCTCAACCCCACCGGGCACTCCATCCTGCGACGGCGAGGATTGGTGGTGAGACGAAGATGTTCGCTTGAATCCCCTAGTAAGGAAGTTCCCGCCCTTCGCGACGCCCCCCACCGCCGCGCCACCGATGAACGACGCCGTTTTCACAGGTGCACCAATGATCTTGCCAGGGGCGTGGAATGTGCCAGAGAACGTCGAGGTGCCTTGTCGCGAGCGCACCACGTAGTCCGGCTTGAAGAGCATCTTCAATCGGATGGAGCCGCTCTTGCCGTCCAAATTCAGTCGCACCTCCTTCGGTTGGAAGGGCTCCAGCTCCTTGAGGTCGATGGCTGAACCGCCCAGATAGTCGGCTTTACTACCCACATCGTAATCGTACACATCCACCTTCAACCCGCCCGCTGTCCTGCTCCGGATTGGTACTTCGAAGAATTCGTTCCAGGCGGGCGAGAGGGTCTTCTTGATAGTCTTGGTCTTGTGCACTTCCTTGTCATGGTAGCGGAAGATGGAGTAAGGATCCGAGTAGCCGTTTCGATCAGCAGCCGGCAAGTCCGCCGCATCCAGAACCTCAACACGAAGATTGCCCGCGTTGTTGAAGCTTTCGCTGGCATCGAGCTGCATTCGGACCGGAATGTAGCGCATAGACACCGTCACCCGGTCTTCGCGGCCTTGGCCATCCTTCAGCGTGATCTGCGTCGGCGTGTACAAGCAACGCTTCAGCGAGTCCAGGGTTTGCCCAGTGATCTTCGTCTTGATCTCTTCGTCAGTCTCGCCTCCCTTCTGATCCTGCTTCGTGACCAGTCGCAGCGTCATCCGCGACAAGTCAATTTCCCGCACCATGGCGTCTCCAATTTCGTTGAAGGTGTAACTCGAAGAGGTGATCTTCGCGGTGGAGTACGCAGGGTACAGCATATCATCCATCAACACTTCCAGATGAGTGTGAGTGTGGGAGAACGTGCCCTCGATGATCCTGAACACGACAAGTCCGGATTCTGCAACCATATTAGCACGCCAATCGCTAGGTGAAACAAAGCCATCAAACTCACCGTATCTTGCTAGGTCCTCAGCCCCGATCTTGATCTTTGGCACCGTGGGCTCCTTCAGTTCGTCCGTCTCGGTTTGATGCTTCTCGTTCCTGTCCAAAGCCTTCACTGCGTCTGTCTCGGTCTTCGTAGATGTCGCGCTCGCCGCACTGGTTGTCCGGGCATGGTGCGGAGCGTTTGATGTTTCGCCGACAGCAGCAGCTTCCTCCTTCTCCTCCTCCTCATCTTCATCCTCCGGATTGACCACAGCAATGGTCGGGTAAAAGGCCACAGTGAAGTTCAAGGTACCCTTGGGCGCACCATGGCCGATGCGCAGGTGAGCCGAGATGACCCTGTCCTTGGTGTCGTGCACCAGGTACTCGCCGTCTTCGCCCTGTTGGATGAGCTCCGCAGCGCCAATCTCAATTTGGCCAAGCGTTCGATCCTTTCCAACGTTCTCCTCGTCCATGACTTCCACAACCAATTTCTCGCGGGGAGAGTGGACGGGTACGTAGAAGACCTCGTCGAATTGAGGATTGAGGTTGTTCTTCCACGTCACAGTACGCCCCTTAGGTATACCGGACAGAAGAACACGGGCGTACGGGTCGGATTTGCCGACGGTATCGAGATTCTTCAAGTCTTTGGCGGATTGGAAATGGAAGCGAATCACGCCGATCGGCTCGACGTAACCACCGCCGCTCATGGCACCGCGCAAAGCGACCGGCTTCCACTGCAAAGACATCTTCGCGCGTCCCGTCTTGGCCCCAGCAAGATTGTACCACTCCTGGCCTTTGTGCGTAAGCTCCAACAGATCATCGAGTTTGATCTGGTACGAGCCAAGAATCGGGTCAGCGGTGAGATCGCGGTCGTCTTTGATGACCAAGCCCAGCTTCGCCTTCTTGCGATCAGTAATGAGTAGTTCCTTCTTCGCATCCGCCCAGATGGGATTGTTTGTGCGTTTCAATTTCTGCGACGTCGCAACTTCTTTGCCGTTGAGGAGGAGTACGGCGTACGGGTTGAGTTGTCCAACGATTGACTTGGTTCCGTCGAGGTCCTTTGCTTGCTCAATATTGAACTCGGCGATACCCGTCAGGCTCTCTGGAGGTGGCCCTTCGGTTCCATCCGCTAGTTTCTGGCCTTCGAGGACTGGGAAGAAGCGAATGTCGCACAATACGGCGCCGCGCGACCGGCCTCCAGCCAGCACCTCCAGCTGTTGGTTCTCGAAATCGTTGCGCTCTCCGAGCTGGTCGAGGTTGAATACGGCCGTGCCGAGCTCCTTATCCTTGCGATATTCATTGTAGTCGAATACTGCAATCGTCAATGGCTCCTTCATACTGGTCAAGATGACATTGACGGTGTCGTTCCATCTTGGATTTGCACTTTGCTGCACCGTCTTCGTCTTTCCTAGGGCGCCACGATTGTTGATACTGACCACGGCGTAGGGATCAGGCGTGCCAGAGAATTTGTCAGGATTCTTGAGGCCTTGTGCGCCGTGGAACGTGACTTGGAGCACACCGATGGCTTGATCGACAGGATTGCCGGCCAGCATCTTGGCAATCTCGATGGGGAAGACATTCGGGTCGTACATCATCGGGGCGAGCGTGGCATGAATCTGTTCTTGAATGAAGCCTTCCAGGCCCGGAATGAAGTTGATGTCGAACCCGAGCATGTCGCCGCCGATAGGCTTGCAGACATAGTCAAACGTCGGCCGGCCCAAGAAGCAGATCTCCACCCGTTCAATATGAGGGAATTCCAGCTGCAGCTTGACCTTGACTCGCATGGTTCCGGAGCAAGCCATGTCCTCCACGATAATGTCCAGGCCCTTCGAGATCATGGCTTTGCCGATGCGGACTTCCAGCACCACTTTCGGATTGACTTTATTCTTGATCTGCCTCGCAGTCAGATCTTCGACGTCGTTGGGTGTGAAGCTGAACTTCCAGTCCATAAGTACTTCATCATCCTGCGTCTTAGGGTAAGTCTTGACGTGCTCCAAGCGAGGTGGCTTGGTACCCAACGTAAACATCTTCATCTTCATACTGTCCAGAAAGCCGGGAGTAGATGTACTGAGGACCTGATCCACCGAGCTGATGATGCTTGCGCACAGTACCGGGGCGTAGATGGGCCAGAATTTCGTGAGAAAGCTGTTGATCCACTCCAAGGACTCCGTGTCCGTTTCGAGCTTGTTCAACGCCAATTCGCGGGAGATGTCGTCCCGAAAGTTACGCCGCACGCGTCGGAGGGAAGTTCTGTAGTACGTTCCACATGCCGCCATGACGAGAAAAGTCCATCCCAAACCTCCACCGAGCACAGCCACCACCCACGAAGCCAGACAGGCAAAGACGATGACGGCTGCGTTGTGGTACCAGTCGCCAAAGAACTTGTCGTCGAGTTTGCCCTCGAGCATGTCTTGGTGATCGAGCAGAGTGTGTCCTTCTTCTTCTTTCTCCGTCGGGTGGCCGAAACGAGGCGCCCAGCCGGTCTTGGAGTATGGGCTATTTGCATCCTTGCCGACATGACCATTGGCGGCGGTGGGAGAGGGCGGCTCGAGGACTGCGCCGGCCTTGGTCGCGGGTGGGAGGTCGTAGCCAGCGGTCTCACCATCATCCTGGTCAGAGGCCAAGGTTGCAACCTGGTGCTTTCTGTGATGTCTTTGAATTGGGGCTTGCTGCACAGATGGTCAGCTGGATGCGGGGGAGAAAATGAATGCAGAGTCTTGTCATACCGCTTTCATCTGCGCCGCCTTCTCTTCGGGAGTGGCATCGGGGTCGAAGGAGAAGGTGGGTGCGCCAGCAGCTTTGGCGGCATTCATGGCCGTCCGCTCGGCCGCGTCAGGCGTTACACTGCTGTGAGGGTCATTGGCGGCTTCTATGGCGCCTTGAGCCTTGAGATCTGCGACGGAGGTGCTCGTCGCCATGTTGACCGTGTCCTCTCACCGTGCAGTCGGTGAGTTGAGAGTTTCAATGCTGGAGACACCAATGGCGGAGCTCTGGCGGAGGAGCTCCAAACTACCTCAGCTCTGAGCCTCCCACGCAGCGTGGAAATGAACAGAGAGAGAAGGAGTGAAGTGAGTGAGCTTGTCCTCTTCGGAATGCGCGTTTCGGAGGGTGAAGAGGGAAGGATGGCAGAGTCTCGGCGAGGAGGAGGGCGCGGTGCAATAAATGAGCTAGTAATCGCCGTAAAGCGTGGAGCAAGCTCGGTCAATTGCGCGGCTTGAGTTTGCGCTAGCAACCTAAATTGCGCCAGCTCTTGACTCACGGGTCTGTGGCAGTACAACCAAATCGCGTGCTACGAGGGAGTTTCGAAGGAATATAGTGAGCGTGAAGTGGGGGAGAACAGACTCGTTCAGAAGCGACCCAAGCTAGCTGGTTGGCTGTGTCGCCAAGGCACGGTTCCTGGCTCCTGTGAGACACCTCAAAGGCGTGCGGCCAAGTAATGAAGCTCGTTCCAAGATTCCCGCACGCTGAAACGTGCAGGAATCGGGCAGCTGAAAAGGCTAAAAGAGATCGTGCGCGATCTCCTCCAAATGCTGCGCCGCAAGTGGCGCTTGTCCAGATCGGCCCATCCAACCCAGCAGTCCACAGCCTCACCTCGCGCTCTCCGTTACGAAGCTCAGAGCTAGCGATGGAATTGACGGAGTTATCAATCATCAGAGCAATTGCGCGTCAGCCTGCCAAATTTGGCGAGGGGCGGTATCGTGTTCGGCTCACCGCGACAGCATACAACACATTGAGCATACGGGAAGCCGTCAATGACCGAGGCCTGCACGCTCTACACATGTAGCAACAGACCGAAAAAAGGCAGCGTATGTATCGCCCGTATCTGTTCCACAGTCCTGTAATCTTAACGACTGTAGACTTTCAAAGGCGGTCCGAGATCAAAGGATGTCGGTCGATCTAGGCTGCGAGCAGCAACACGACGTGGTTCCCATTGGGCTCCTCCGTCTTGCCGCTGCTCTGCCTTTCCTTCAGCTCTCATGGTGTCTACCCACCAGGAGTAGAGGGAGAGAAGGCCGTTGTCAGCCACTCGAAGCATAGGCATTACAGAAACGTAGCAAATGCAAGATGATAGGTGAAAAGACGTGTCGGTGAAGTTAAACAGCCGCTGACACGGGTGTGGCCTTTGTCGATAGAGCTAGCTCGTCTGCAAACATGACAGTACTGGCCGTCGATCCATCGGATGCCTGTGTGTACCATTAGCCCCTGCCTCATCCTAAGCTCACTTCAGACTAAACACCTCACTCACCTCCCATTGTCATCACTCTCGACCCAGCACACCTCTTATCTGCTCGCGCTCCACACGCCCTTCAAGAACCCGTCCTTCTGCGCCAATCGGTTCACGCAGTCGTCGCTCTCCCCCATCGCCCGCACGAACCCGCTCAGGGCGTACACCTGGTTCTCGCCCGTGTAGCGGCCGTTCTCATCGACTCTGCCGACGCTGATTTGTACCGCCGCGTGGTCCTTGGCTGTGATGATGCGGTTGGTTGCGCTGCACTTGCGGGGGACGTAGCTGCACGGAGGGGGTTGGGGTTAGTGCGATGTGCGATGTGAGGCGTGGGAGGGGGGTCAGGGGAGATTTACAGGTCGACGAGGTCACCGCGTTCGTTCTCCATGGTTGCTGAGTGGTGATGGGAGTGTGGTGAGTGTGGGTTTGTGTATTGCGTGGTGAGACAGTCGTGTGCGGTAAAAGTTCGAAGGTGAAAAGTGCGGAGCGGAATTCGGAAGTCTTGGCGCGAGATTACCCGATTGGGAAAGTTTGGTGATGAGAAGCCCTCTTGCACTTTCGTGAACGCCTTTCTGTTTCGCGATTTCATCGACATTCAATTTATGAGTCTTTCAAAAATCACCGTCCATGCTCCCATGCGCCCCCGCTATGCACACAACCAATTTGACACTCATGCCATCACAACATCAAGGCAGCAGCGACGAAACCCAGCAAGGCAACGATACTGCCAGCCACCACCGTCGAGGCTTTACTAGAGCTCTCATTTCCCTGCACGAAATCTGAAGAGGCCGAGGGCGCGGCAGCAGATTCCGCCCCAGTTTGGCCTTGCAGTCCTTGGTTGCCGATGCCATTCAGTCCAGGCACCGTCTGCTGGGTTGCTTGAGCACCAGACGCGGTCTTGTCGGGATTGTAGTCCGGGTCATCGCCTGAAGCGAAGAGAGAGCCGAGGATGGTCTTGTTGTTTCCGATTGCCACGTCGCTCTGCAGCCCCTCGGAGTTGGTGTAGTAGTAGGCCTGATTGCCATTCTGCTCGACACTCGATGGCGGACTGTAGCATTCCACAGATACCTCTTCCACCACGGCATAGTAATACCCGTTCTGCATGTACGGGCTGCTCCAATCGATGAGACCGCCCGCCCAGTCGATCGTGCCCTGCCCATTGGTAGGCAGACCCGCTGGCCACAGAGAAAGCTGCACGCGTGCCGGCGTCTGCGGGTAGTGATACTTGTTGTCTGTTGTGTTGAATGTCTCGTTCTTGTAGACGGTGCGACCCACCACGCCATCGATCGCCCAGCTCATGTAGTCCGGCTGCCAATCAAAGGTATACGTATGCGAATTCTGCCAGGTGTCGGTGGTAGAGATGTTGAATCCATTGGTATATTCCGTGACGCCTTGCCAGTAGAAATTGCTCTGAGCGATGTCCACATCCGCCCCGACAAACTCCCAGTCGATCTCATCCTTGACATCGCTCATCAGGATGAACGCCGTGACAACGCCTTGTCCCTGGCTGGTGCTCATTGTAGCGCTGATCTTGCCGTACCAAACGTAATGCGTACTCATCAGCAACGTCCCCACGGTCCCCTGCGCCAGCGTAAGAAGCAAGCTGTCCCCTGCGTATGGCACTACTGTGCCACTGCTGACCCAATTGGCAGTACTCGCATCGCCCAGATATTCCGTGTTCGAAACGACGTCGTCGAGAGACGTCAACTTGTAGTTCTCGCTCTTGCACACGGGCTTCGCTGTACATGATTGTAGATCGTAGGAAGACTGAGGATCGCAGCCTCCGAGGCAGTATGCGCCGACTCCGCATTGGCCGTACTGGGAGCAACATGGGGTGCTCGCTGGACAGGGATTTCCCGGCCAGCAGGCTGAGCCCGCAGAGCCGACGCTGAGCAGAGCTGCAGCTGCAGCAAAGCGGAGGAGAGGTCGTCTCATGCTGGCAAAGAACCGACGATCACTGCGTGGAGTGCAGCGTTGTAGTAACGTGCAGACCGTGCTCGTGGAGCAACGTCGTATTCACCCCGTCCTGGAAAGCATATACGAATGGAAATAGACAGATCTGCGTCAAACAGGAAACGGTCTTCCGTACCGACATCTTTTATGTCGCCATCTTCCACCTGCCGAGCCAAAAACAGATCCAAGGTCGTCTAGAAAGTCCAAGGCTTGGAGAGGGATCTGGCTGCACGGGGCAACGACATGACGAGTCTCGGCCAATCAGGTTGAAGCTTGCTAGCGCAAGTCTCGCCAGGCTCGCAGCCTCATGGATCGAGAGGTGAAGAGCATTTCCAAATATGAACCATGAAAAGAGCTACGGTACGGTGGTAAGTCTTGGATACATAGCGTCGTAAAAGGTCGTGAGCATCGTCAATTGTGGCAATGATAAACGTGATGTCGCCGCACTTTATAGCCTGACTCTTCCACTTGCTCCCCTTCCTTGTCAACGATGACAACATAGTCATGCTCCGAAACGACAGAAGAACTGCTCGCGGTGCTCGGTGCGTGTGAAGACGGCGCTCGTATGCTTTCACTCCTCGATGACTCAGACATGTACAGCGCCCTGTCGGGCCTCATCTCCCGCACCCTCGGTCGCTCCCTTTCATAAAGCAGCTCTCGATCGAAAGACGACTGTGGCCTGAGCTCAATCACGTTGTGTCGTGGCGGACCGGATCTTCGCTTTGACACTAGTGCGTTGGGAGTGATTGTGATGGTACGGTAAGGGACTGACTGTGAAGCTGGAGAGTGGGGTCGAATGAGCTCCTTGGTGAAGGACTTTGCCGCGTCGTGTTTGTGTGGTGTAGTCGGTATCAGGTCATGATGACTCGAATGATGGCTGGAGTGGTGACTTGAGTGTACACTCAAATGGTCGATTTCTTGGAGGTCAGAGTGACGGCTCGAATTGCCCGACACTGCCGACCCGACCTTGGAACCAGACCTCGATAGCACAGCAGAATGAGCCGTCGAACGTGCAACTGATGCACTCTCAATCGTCGTTCGCGATTCGGACACTTCTTTCTCCTCGACTAAGAACACTTTGGACCTGGCCTTCGAACCCGCAGTACTGCCGCCCAAGGGCTTCGCGGTCGAGGTCTTGGACGAAGGCGTCGCAGAGCGAGACCTGTGGCTACCAGCATGCGAACCAGAAACCACTTCGATGTCTAGTACTCTGCCTCGACTCGAACGCTCCGTGCCGGCCCGAGAACCGTGCTCGGAGCGACGTGCCGATTCCGAAAATTCCTCCATAACCACTATTCGCGGCTGCTCATCGTGAGCGTGGAGATTGGCTTCCGTGAGCCTTGCTGATCCTGCATGGGAATGCGCTCGGCTATGCTGCGAATGATGGGAGGCCGCAGCCTCAGAAGCACGCGAGGTATGCCTTGACCCAGCATGGCTCGGTGAAGGTCGAGCGCCGACTTGCGAAATGCTGTCGTCCGGATGCACGCTTGGGGCGGAGTGCGATACCGTGGATCTGGACGCAGGAAGGTACTCTTCCCGCCGTGACGCCTTTGAACTGACTTGCGAGACACTGTCGGCAGGCGCGACGCTACGGTGCGCGAAGGAGGCTTCGGACGTTGCTTTTTCGATCAGAACCTCTCTGTAGCCGGCGTGCTCACTCTCTCTCACACTCGCATCAGACCTCGGACGTCGAATGGTGGCGTGAGAGTGCTCCGAATGGCGGGAATGCGCGGAGTGGTGGGAGCGGTGTGAGCCATGTTCAGACGGCGGCGCAAGTCTCGACTCTGTATGGGACGGCGCGTGGCTTCGCGAAGCCGCTACAGACATTTCCGCAAGGTTCTTTTGGGAGGGAAAGAAGAGAGCGGCGAGCGACGGAAGTTGAGGCTGCCAATGGCGTCTTTGTCACCAGGAGCCGCCATGTCACACGCTTCCTCAGCAGTGCATTAGTTTTGCAGCACCAGTACGCGGCGGGATTGGGATGCATTCGGGTAAACTTCGGTCCCCTGCATGCATAGTGTCGGAACAAGCAGGGCGCCTGATAGCATGAAGCCTACCTTGGGGGCGAAAGGATCGGTCGATGCTGCAGATGGGAAATTCAGCCTGTCTCCCGACAGTGTCCATGTCTAAGGGAGGCATGGGTAACCGGCGAGACGCTTCCCAGGACCAACAAGGCCATTCTAGGCTCTGGAACAGCTGGACTGGACGCAGGATCAGCGCTCCACCTAGCAGTCAATGCAGGGCTGTCGGACCGGCTGTCAGACCCACCACTGCGCTCGCCCTTATCTCCATCCTGCGACATGGAGTGGTTGTTTGCTGGCCAGTCTTTGGTCAACCTTGTCTCTAACTCTATACCTCGACTGCGCCACTGGCCGGGAGGCAGCGGGCCCGGAGCGGCAGGTGGCGAGTGGTCGAAATGTGGCTTGCCGGGCGCGCGAGCTTCCGGAGGGCAAAGCCACATGCACAGTCCAGTCCGTGCCAGTCATCAAGCCTCGGCATCCACTTCATTCACGTCACGTTTGCTTGACACCACCTCTTCTTCACATGCTTGCGACGGGAAGCGCGCCCGCACGCACGGCTCCAAGCCCGGTGCAGGGCTAGCGTGGACGAGTAGGGAGCGAGTGGCAGCCGCACAGGCCTCTCCTGGCCCATGGAGCTGAAGCTTTTCTTTCCTTCTGCTGCTCATGGTTGTACCCCGCACATCTCCTCCACCACCCCTCATTCTCCACGAGATCGATGGCGTGGAACGACGTCAGGCTACTCGTGGTTGCATGTCCCCCCTCCACCTGAACCGCCCTGCCGCTCGGCCATTTGCGCCGTGCCCGTCCCTCCAATCGACGCGCCGGCGTGCAACCCTGTTTTCGGCGTCGCCAGTAGGCCGTTGATCTGCGTCTCTCCGCGCCTGCCTATTGCTTGCCCTTTTGCCTGCCGCTTTCCCCTTCTTTGCCTGTCCTGTCCGCTCTTTGCTTCCATTTATATTTCATCTCGGTCGTACCTCCGTACACGCTGCTCGTCTGTTTGCGCCTTCCTTCGCTCCTCCCTGCACATAGCCTCCCGGCCGGCTTGCACCTTAATCAAGTCGCACCTGCCATGCACAAGTCATCCTTGTAACGAAGGCAATGCGCCCCCACCCTCGCACTATCCTTACCTCTGCACACCGCCCTGCTACCCGTCATCCGAGCGGTGTCACCGATCCGCCGCCATGTCGTACGTACCATCCCTCCACCAGCCCTATTGTGGAAGTCAATGGTGGCACCGGGTGCCTTAATAACCCTCGCACCCGCCTGACTCATCAGCCGTTCCTTGACTGACACGCTCACGCTTCCCTTCCAGTCACCCTTCTCCCAACCCCAAGCGGAACATCAATCCCGCCGCTGCAAATCAACACACCTACGCCGCCTCGCCCTCTCAACTCTCCCTTCCCCCAGAGCTCCACTCTGCACCACTTGTCAATCCATACCCCGCTGCATACGGCTACACGCCTCATGACCCTTCGGCCTTCGCTTTCCCTCAACACCCTCCGTACCGACCATCTCTTCAAACTCACGGCCTGACCCAACCACCGCCGCCCCCGCAACCATCCAATGTCTCTCCAGCGAGTTCGCGCAAGCGCAGAGGCTCCGATTTGGACCACCCGGGCTCCGCTTCCAGCACTGCCAGCGCCTATATACATCCCACGGGTCTAGGCCCGCCAGGGTCGGAGGTGGATCTGGGATTGGGGCCGCCGCATGGCCAACAACAGAGCCCGGTCGTCAAGAAGGGACGGACAAACACGCCGTGGACCCCTGCCGAAGAGCAAAGACTGAAAACTCTGCGAGACGCAGGCAGTAGCTGGAGTGAGATTGCGCGGACTTTTCCAGCGCGAACGGAGGGCAGCGTGAAGAAGCATTGGTACAAAGTGCGACATTCCCACTCCCGTCTCACTATCTCTTTCTCCCTTTCGATTCATCGATGGCCGTAATAGCTGACATCTCGTTTCTCCGTTCCACAGGACATGCACTACGCCGAGTTTGCGGAAGATGAGGTCAGCAGTTTCGTTCGCCTCACCACGCGAGACTTGTTGAACGTAGGACACCCTTGCCACTAACCGCTTTGAACAGAGCGCTGCGCTTCTACAAGCCATCAAAGACTACGACAACAACAAGTGGAAGGTGATTGGGGCGAAAGTGGGCAAGCCGGCGAAGGTATACCTTTCCTCGTCCGTGGGTGTTGAGTCGGAGACGCATGAATGCTGACGATTCATCCCAGGCTTGCGAACAGTTTGCAAAGGAGCAGGGTTGGAAGGTGTGATTCACACCAGGTCGGACTGGAACAACGATACCATTGTGGACTGTTACTTATCAGTGCGTCGACTTCAAACGCGTACTCGCATGGCGCTAGGCTGGCACGGGCGAAGGAAAGGAGGAAATGGCCGGTCTGTGAATGTGATGCAGGGATTTGTCCATACCTGTACCTATGGGTTCTTCTCCGGCGTTAACGGTCTGAGCCGCTGGCTGGCTAGCTGCACGGACATCAACGAATCAGAGTCCGTATGGGTGTTATACGACTCAAGCCTTAAGCCTTACCTTATTATGCTCCCGGCTGCAATATCATGATGGAACTATGGTGATGGCGCTTATGAGTGAAATGACCATCATTTCGATCATAGCAGATTCCCTCCAATCCACTGATTGACAGCGTATCCCCGGAACTGCTTCCCAGATGACTGCGATGTACTGTTGAACGGGGAGTGAGGAAGCCGCTCCCACATCACGTGCTCGGCTTCCCCGCGGAAATCGGAAGTGACTTCCCCCACGCCTTCGGATGGCTGTAGAGCCGCTCACCACCATCCTCATGCAACCAAGGCGACGCTACGTCTTTGATTCATGCAGGAACGACATGCTGTTCTCGGGGCAATTGGACCTTTTGGGCGGATCGAGGGATGATCGTTGGTCCCAACGTCTTTGGGCTGATCGTCAACCCACCCCGGTCTATAGCGTGGCCTGCTTCGAGCTTTCTGCTGCTCCTGGCTGCCCATGATGGCGACACTCGCTTGTCGCGTGGCTGAAGTAACGTTTTGTCATGTTCTGGAACGTGTCAGTCAGCCACAACGTTCACAACACTTTTGCAGTACTCTCGAGGTGGGTGCAGAAGACGGCGACCAGCCTCGCCAAGCGGTGCAAGCCACGCAGTCAGGTCGGAAAACCTGCTTCACCAACTGCCGACAACTTGGGCCCCGGTCAGTGATCGGCCTTTCACCTCCCCCAAACCATGCATGTCCTCGCCCTTCTTTTCTATTTTCCGCAGCAATTGGTGCACAGCCTCTTTCGCTTCTTAAGCATACTTGCGAAGCTTGTCTCTCCCCCCCTCAACACTGTGGCGAATGCGATGCATGCTGCTTCCTGAAACATCGCGCTATGCCTCATGCACCTTTGCATGAGCCACTCACCCCCCGGCTCGCGCCCATCGGAAGAGGCTAGTAGTCGGCCGGAAACCACATGGCCGCCACTATCCATGCGTGGGCACCGGCCTCGTGTGGAGCCTGCACGAACCTGCATATCGCCCTGCCTTCCCCCGTCTCCCGCAACGTCACCCACGCCCGGATGTTGCCAGCCCAGGGTAGGCACCGCACACAGCCCTGTCTCGACCGATCTGCCCGCCGGCGTCTGCTTAGATGGCGCACGCAAGGGCGCTGCCCACGCTTCTGGCCAATCTTCGAGCGCCCGCTGCCCTGCTCTCCCCTGCTGGTGTAGACTGTCGTTCTGCATGGCGATGATCCCAACCGGAAACATACTCGTTGCTGTCCGGTATGGTTCGATCCGAATGTCGTCGTCCTCCCTCCCTTGTTAGCGGGTCTAGTATTAAATGCTCTCCGATGCCGCCATTGCTAGTCGGACTGTCCAGATATTCCACCTTTTCATGCTTTCGTCATTGTTACCTCTCTGCTTAATTCCACCACAATCTTTCCCATCCCAACACGCCTCTCACGTCCCTCACTCAACGTCCAATCGCCAGCAACGTGGCGCTGGACGCATTGACTGCACCACCCCCGAGCATCCCCTCCACCACGTCGCCATCACGGCTTTGTCACTCGTTGTCTTTCCTCATTCCCCGCCAGCGACTCCAGAAGAGGCAAGCGGCCTAACTTTTGGCGACGGGCGATTCGAATGCAAAGTTGTCGCGCTGGCGAGACAGCCGCAGTATCCGGATTTTAGCTTCGACTGTGCCGCTCATGCTCAGCAAACGCAAGAGGAGGACGGGAGTCAGGTGAGCACATCTTTGATACGACCGCAGAAAGACCATCATGAAGAGAAGTCGTGCTGATGCTGTGGCGTTGGTGTAGGTGACAACTAGCGACTATCAGCAGCTGCTCACGCAGGGTTTCCAGCCTTCCAACGCGTACCTACAGAGTCAAGGGCAGCCCTCGGCGCCGTTGGGTCAGTATCAACAGCATGGTTTGTCAGGCATGTTGCCGTCACAAATGCCGGCAGCAGAGTCGCAGTATCTTATCGAGCAGCCAATCGTTCCATCGCAGAGGACGAGACATATGTCTCACGTGGTAAGTCAATGTCGTATTCCCAGAGACCCCGTGCATCCGAATATCCAACTGATTGATCGTCGTCTAGTCATCTTCTCACTACGGCACACCATACGAAAGCCCTTCCATGCTCGCGTACCAACAATCTGCGCAACAGCCGTCGCGCAAACGTAGTCGCGCAGAAATCATGGCCACCTACGATTACGCAGGCCTGCAGCAACTCCAAGCGCACGCAGCGGAACAGCTCCCGGTCGAGCTCACGCCGCACGGACACCACGCGCAGCTCCAAGCCGGTGCTGGCCTCTCCTACCCGCCCTACGAGGTGGCGAGGCAATCTACAGAGCACCCCCAGCCCACACACCCAATGCGGCAACACGCCAGCCAATCCCAATCCGAACCACAGTACCACCACCATCGACCTCCAGCTCGGCACCGACCCACATCTCCAACGCCTAATGTTGCCGCCTCTGCAGGTGGCGAGGAAGACAGGAGCGGCGCGCCAAGTGTGGTTGGCCAACCGGGGATGCCCGCGCCGGCTGTACGACCCAAAGGACCGAAGCTCAAATTCACGCCGGAAGACGATGCGCTGCTGGTGGCGCTGAAGGAGACGAAGGACCTGACGTGGAAGCAGATTGCGGACTTCTTTCCGGGCCGGAGTTCGGGGACGTTGCAGGTGCGGTATTGCACAAAGTTGAAGGCGAAGACGACGGTGTGGACGGATGAGATGGTGAGTTTTGCGTGTGGTTCCTTACTTTGCGCGTCGTGGGTGAATTCGGTATTCATGGGGTGACGCGGGCCGACGAGCAGGTTTAGGCGAAGACGACTGGCAACTGACTTTGGGTCTACTTAACAGGTGTCACGTTTGCGAAATGCGATGCACGAGTACGAAGCGGATCGGTGGAGGATCATATCTGCGAAAGTGGGGAACGGATTCTCGGCGGCAGCATGTCGAGAGAAAGCCATGGAGGTGGGAGAGGAGGGCGAGGATAATAATACGCAAGTCGCGAGGAACGTGCGGCAAAGGTTGGACAGCGCGCAGGGGTGAGGGCTGGCATGCCTGATCGGACTGACGCAACCGTGGAATGGGCAGCATGCACGCTGTCGACTTCTTCCGTTGCTGCATAGCTTGGCACGTACCGGCGATTGTGGACTGGCAGATGGAGCTTGTCCGAATCGGGCAGGAGTGGGGTTGCATTTTCTTTTTCTTGTTCGCACTGTGGCGGGCCACGATGCGATATGAATGTACGAGAATTCTACGAATTATGCGAATTATTGGAGCGAGAAACTTAGCACGGTATATGTACGCTCTGAGTGTTTTCAAAGACAGTGGAGGTGAAAGCGCCTTGATAGTCGCATACTCGTGGAGAAGAATTGTGACGTGCGAGAGTTGATGGTTGGGGCGTGGGAGTCGGGTGGGACTGACCCGAACTGTTTGGTGATGTCAGGCGCCCAAATGCACGTGACGAGGAGTTTCTGGTGGATCATAGCCCAAGAAACTCCACCAAGTGCACGATTCCCGAGCGTAGCTCTAATATATTGAGCACTTGTATTGCCGCCCCTCGGCCTGTGCGCTTCCACAAAGATGGTGGACGCAGCACGGAATATCAGACATTCCCCATGGGGAAAATCGTTAACGTAAAAGCGCTACAGCTGTCAGGCGCAATCTGCCGAAACTCAGTGCTCCACCCTCCGCGAGCCTGTTCTCACGACACGCCTAACGCGCACTCTCCTCCACTCGATAGCTCAGCGGAATCATTCCTACAGGCCAGACAAAACTCAAGAACCAAAGACATGACCCCGCGAGGACGGGCGTCTACTCAGTCGTGCCATGAATGGCCGCTAGGTCATTCAAACCCTTACCCACGGATCGGCGGTTTCGAGATGGCGTCTCCGGTGCAGCAGCATCTGCGCGCTGGGCAGCGTTCGCACATCACCAGCTTCCGCGCGCGGCGCAGAGTGGTGGAAAAGTCGCTGAAGATTCCCGGAGGTGCATAGGCCGACTCTGATCGGTGATTGTCCTCCTTCTAGCCATGGATCGTGAGATGCGACTGGATTTCACGCAGTGTTCCGCTTCCTCTCATAGGCCCCGCATTCTATTCGACGCTTCGCATGCAGTACGTGCAGTGCCGTCGCTGAAGACAGCCCGGAGGCGCCCTGGTCTGTCGCATACGGTCCTCATTTCGCCCTTGTGCCGGCTCTCAGGTGGTGCCGCTTTCGCACAGTGTCACATTTTCCCATTTTGGCTCACGCGCTCGCCGGCTCTCCGACGCAGTGGAGTCTCTCAAGTTTCCCGGAAGCGCCAGACTTGTCGCGCTCGGTGGCGGCATGCCAATATAACCAGTAAACACCTGAGCATGTCCGTCCACCCAGCGCGCGAGGGGTCAGCGACACCTGCAGGTTGCCCGCATACTCTCGGCACTCGCGCTCGGGATGATGCACTGACGCTGGCGGCCAACTCTTGGTGGATCCCACACAGTGGGCAAACGAGCGAAATGTTCCCCTTTGAGCTTTGCTCGATCCGTTCGGCAGGTTTTGTGGACGTGGACCTTGGTAGGGATGATGCCCTGTGCCTCGATTGCCGAGCTCCCACACGAGCGAATCTCGTTCCCCCGTCTCCTACAAAAGGAATCGTTTTCTCCTTTCTCTTTTGTTCCTTGCTCAGCTTCGTCCAGCATCTTCGTCACTCAAGACCATCAACTAGCTTCATCAACTCATCCCTTTCTTCCATCCATCAACCAGCTTCATCACCCGATCCCTCTCTTCCATTCCAACACCCACAAACACACATCCACCACACAATGGCTCGCACCAAGCAGACCACCAGCCGCGCAAAGCCCACGCCGGCGGATCTTACGATCTTCCCCAACAACAAAAAACTGTGGAAGCCCGAGGATGTAAGTCGTCTTCCCCGTATGGCGCTGGGGGGTCGCAACGCTCAACCCCTTTGTCGTCCCCATCTTCCCACGTTATGCCGGCTGCTAATCCAGTCAACTCCAGGTCCGCTTCCTCATCGAGCAGCACGCCCAAGAGGTGAAATACGACGACATCAAACTCTGCCGCACAGGCATGAGCATGCGCCTGAAGATCTTCAAGATCGTAAGAGCCGCGGAGAAAGTGTGCGAGCGCCGAATGGGAGTGGCATACGACGAGGACATCTGTCAGGTGGTGTTTGACAAGTACGGCGCCTGGATTCGTGAGTCTCCTCTCTGCCGTGTAATCGGGCCGAGCTAACCTCTCTGCGTTCCAGGCCTCGACAGCACCCTCAGGTCGCCGCGGAGGAGGGCCGTCAGCCGCCACCGCCGCCGCCGACAAGCCACGCCTACCACCGTCGCTCCCACCGAAAGTGGCCCGGTCAACGAGGCCTCTCCCGCCCCGGTCAACGAGGCCACTCCCGCCCCGACCAAGGAGGCTTCTCCCGTCCCGGTCAAAGAGGCCTCTCCCACCCCGATCAAAGAGGCTTCACCCACCCCAGTCAAGGAGGCTTCTCTCGTTCCGGTCAAGGAGGCCTCTCCCGCCCCCGTCAAGGAGGCCTCTCCTGCCCCGGTCAAAGAGGCCTCTCCCGCCGCGGTCCCTGGCAGTTTCGGCATCTCCAGCTTCACGCCGATCAACGCCACACCGGCCAGGGAGACCTCTCCCGCCCCGGTCTATGGCGGCATCCGCGTCTCCAGCTTCACGCCGATCAACGCCGCACCAACCCGCAACGTCAAGAGTAAAGTCTCCGACGAGGAGGCCGACGTCGCCGCGACCTTGATCGCCATGGCCACCGGCGCCCGCGCCAGTGATGCGCCCCAAAACATCTTCGACCCTTTCACTCCGTTTCGATTCCGCCCTCTGCCTCCGCGCTCCCCTCCCCGCCGCCCGAATTGAGCTGAAGAGGCCATGAGCGTGTTCTCGGCCGGCGATCGTCTCATACGAACGAGGCGTGAGCGTGCTGGCAGGCACAGGAGTCTGCTTTGTTTTTTCTTGCTTCGCGCTCGATGGAGATTTTGAGTTTTTGGAGGGGTTGTGGGATCTACAGTACAAACGTGGAGGATGGCGTTCTTGTGGACGAAGGTATCGTATAGCTTAGCACTTTGGCACAACAATCAACAGGTTTCAATCTACTGTCCCTTCCATGACAGTCCTCATCTTGGAATTGTGTAGGAATGTAGGATCGACGAGTGCGTGGGTGAGGGTATAAGAGTCTTGGTCTGAGTGCCAATTGTCAAAGCTGCAAAGTCTGGTACGTTACTGACTCATATGTACAAAGACTCGCTCCCTCTCCTCGAATGTGACCAATGCTTGAGCCAGGAAGAAAGAAATGCACAATGCTCCAAGTGTTCGTTCTCATGACAATCCAGCCGTGACATCGCGTTCCAACATCACATCATCAATCGTGTTCCTTCATTTCGAATCGGCAGCGTCATCGTTTGCGTGCTTTCCTCCTGGCCCACACTCGTTCATAAACGGCGTCAACATCCTGCAAGTCCTACTGATCATGATAGACCCGATGCCCAATCGACTTCCGGATCTTCTCCCGCCTCCTCTCCCTCTCCCGCTCCTCCCTCGCAAGGCGCAGCGCCCGCACCTTGGCCCGCAACCGGCCCGTGCCCACCCAATACGCTCGAGATCCGCCGGTGAAGGGGATAACAAAGTGTCGCTGAGCTCGCACCACACTACGTATAGGAAGCTCTTGTGATCCTTCACGGGGCGAGGACAGGCTTTTCATCAACTCTTGACTCTGGCGCGCTGAGAGAGTCCGCGTGCTGGTACCGACGTAATGCCGACGGTTGTTGCTTCCATGTCGGTCGATTCCCAGGCTGTTACCGACCAGGAAGCCGCCGGCGCCGCGGAAGCCAGGGAGACGTTTGCTCATGGCTCGGGGGAAGACGAGTCGCCGTTCGGTGACGTCAGAGGTGTCGCCGCCCCGAGGGAGCGATCCGCCGGCTTCGAAATCGTCGTAGTCCTCATCGCTGTCGATGTCGTCCCAGAAGCCTTGCGGTTTCCACATGGGCGAGAGGTAAGTGTCTCGCTCCGTGACGCTGAATCGTTGACTTGACCTCCGTAGGCTGCCCAGTCCAGGAAAGATGATGTCGCTATACCGTCGGGCGCGCTGGCCAAGGCTCAGGCGTTTGCGGGATGGACTGCGTTCACGACCCGTGGTCGCGTCTTCCTGCTGCGTACTGCTTTCGTGTCGTTCTAGCAGCTCTCTCACTGGAGTGGGAGGAATGACCTTAAAGATTGGCGGTACAGGAGCTGCCCGAGGGTTCGTCAAAGGGCTGTCGACTTGATGCTCCGGCCTTGTGGTTGCGAGAGTCGGTGTAGGGGGCTCCACTTGTGCCACGAACACCGGATCCCTCAACCCTACATATCCTCCATGCACAAATCCCGACGAATCAGGTTCGAACTCCTTGCCCTTGCTCGTTGGTCGCGAATGATGCTGAACGACCATTAAACTCTCGTTGTTGTGTGCATAAAGTCGGACACCATTCGCCTCGCCAATTTCGATGTTATCGGTCCGGTCGGAGATCTGGCTTATCGACATGGGTGTGGTGGTTGGATATAGATGCCTCGCGTCAAGGCTTTTGCGAGGAGTTGCTGGGTGAAATTCGCGTTCGAAGCCACCCGGAGGATCGATTGGCCGCTCAGTCTGTGTATGCGACCGAGTTGCATGCCCAAGACTAGTACGCCGGACGTCATCGTTGTTCTCCAGTCGTGCTTCGTGCGAGAAGTGGCGCAGTCTCACCGCCGTACTAGCCCCGTCCGGTGAAGGCTGAGCCTTGGATCGTTGCTTAGGTATATGAAGCGGCTGTGAGCCTGATCGTACGCCAGGTACCTTTCCCCGCTCGGTGGCCAAGGACTCAATAGCACGCTTTCCCACATCCGATACGGATTGAGTCCTGCGGTCCGCCTTGGAGCTCTCTGTGTAGGGCCGGGCTTCCGGCGGCGGCGAAACCTCCAGGCTTGTACGCCTCACGGACATATTGTTCGATAGGCGATCTCCAGGAGAAACGTGGCGCAACTTATGCGCAACTTCGGGTTGTTGTGTGCGCGTCCTTGTCGCAGATGGCGAACCCTGCATGCTCGCAAAAGTGAGGGCTGTCATGTCGGATGCATCTGCGCCCAGTTTGGCGGGAGACGACACCTGGCGGTATTTAGACTCCAGAATCGGCGAAGAGTCCAATACGCCATTCTTCTCTGGTGTGCGCAGCTTTTTCGGCCTCCATACAAGTTCGCTTCCTGTGCTGTCTCCGCTGTTTCTGTGACTTCCGTTACTGAGGTCTCCACGGAGCGAGTAAGACTTTGCCTGGCGTTTCAAAGTCTTTGGCGTCAGGTCAAGCGCAGGCATGACGATGCCGACGGGAATGGCCCCGGAGGTAGCGCTGACCGCGCTGTGCCTCTTGACATTGTCCTCTTGGATTTTCTTGTACACCAGGTTGTTGCGCTCCTGCGCATTGTCCTGCAATGATGGGGCTCCGGACAGTCCAAGACCTTTTGCCTCTTGGCCAATTGAAGTGTCAGGTGGTGGAGAATATTCAACTCCATCAGGCTTGCCGGGCTGGCTGCGTTGCTTGTCAGGCGTCGATGCTTGTGGAGACAACTTGCCAGAAGCGCTAGCATCCTGGCTGTCGCCTGCGATTACTGGAGTCTCCTCAACGGTGATGGCGCCAAGTCCAATGCTTGCAGCCTGCAGCTCCCGCGTCGTGTCCAGCCAGTGTTGAGGTAGTCTGTCCTCCTCAGGTAGATGCACGGGAGTCAGGGTTTCTGAGGCAAGCAAAGTTTGATTTTCATGAGCGGTGGGGAGAGAGTCCGCTTGTGCGATTTCTTCCGACTGCACAGCCAAGGGAAGGCGCGCGCCACTCGACTTCCTCGGCGGAGAAGGATCTGGGGTGAGAGGACTTGCTTGTTGCTTAATCGGCGTTCTACTTTGCTCGCTGCGAAGCGCATTCCGAACGCCGTCGGCAAAGATGGGTGGGGGTGTCATGTCGTGTCCATTTTGTAGCTCTGGCTCTTCATCAAGCGCCAGCGCATTTGGTGGAGTGGGCGGCAGGCCAGACTCCTTCTGATCAAGCGCGATAGGTGGAACGGAGGTCGGGGACACGGGCTCGAAATCGTGCGGGGCTGACGGCGAAGAGGGGCTGTTGGGCTCGTCTTGCGCTTCGGAGGGTTCGACGGGCGAGATGATGTCGCTGTATCGCTTGCGATCTAAGTCGCCCGTCTTGCGCACGGGCTGGTGGTTGTACTTCCATCTGGCCTTCTGCAAGGCGCTCTGCACGCCTTCGCTCCCCGCTTGGTAGGCGCCGTAGCAGACGTCGACATCGCGCATGCCAGGCGAGGGTTGAATGCCCGGCATGCTGATCCGCTACCTGTGCCTGCACATGGATGTCTTCGGAGAGGTGCGGCGGCGGATCAGATAAGCATTACTCGGCTCGCAGATGCTGTCGCATAAGCACCAGACACGCTGCGCGGGTTCGAGGTCGTCAATAAAAGCCGTCAGAGCGTTTGATGTCGGTGTAGGGCCAGATGGTGGGTGGAGGAGGGAGGTGCGGTTGGGCGTGGGTTGGAAGGGGGCGTGACCCGGGCGGACGTCGGAAATGAGCCGTGATTGAAGCCCTAAATCACGTGAGTGGCGCACGCTCACCGCCGTAGAGTTGGCCTTACGAAACTGTTCTCTTCTCTGTGGACGTATGAAGCCGATGTCAGAGAGGAAGAAAAAGAAAATCAGATGGACTCGACTCGAGCAGACCGCCTCCAACTCCAATCTCCCTTCCCGCTCGCTTCAGCGCATCTGCTCCCGCATGATCTTACAGCATCCATCATGCAGGCGTACGCAAGTCTGCAGCCTCGGAACCAATCAAGCCATCGACTTGCATCAACGACGCGAGTCTGCATCCTCTTTTCGTAAGACCAACCGCTTGCCCTACATGTACTTGACCATCCACCGCCGCGCAGCGTATTCCGTGCGTCCTGCAGTGTGAAGTGAAGTCGAGCGGACTCAGGACTCAATCGTGATGCCGTTCCCGTACGCAGCTCCAGTCCAGACATATAAGCAGCCTGGTATTGTCCTACTGTAAGATATAGGCAAGCAAGCTCCGGATTACCGGTCGAATGATGAAATAAGCGTCAAGGCCGTGGGTGTGACTTTCGATGCTCAAGTCCTCTGGACTTCACTCCCGGCAACTGCATTCCATACTCTACTCACAACACCACCACCAGGAACACCAACCTCCAGCATGGGCTCTGCTGGACATGACAAGCTCATATCCGGCCAGTTCATGCTGCCTGTCATCCCGTCCGGCATCGAGAACAACGACCCCGGGACTCGCGGCTTCTACGCCCCTCCTCCGTCAAGCGATTACGTGCCGAGAAGCTACCCCTTGACCGATGTCCGCCCTGTGGTCTCTCGCCCCGACTATTCCCCTGAAGACCTGCTCAAGTCGCATGGCTTCGCCCTCGTCAAGCATCGCTCGCCGTTCCTGGATGAGCTTGACGGTCACGCGGACGAGCACGCCGTGAACAATGTATACGCCGCCGAAACAACAGAGCTCGTGTGCAGGGCGGTCGGAGCGAAACGCGCCTTCGCCCTGGTCCGCGTCATGCGTCAAGGTCAACCAGCCTCACAAGACTCCACAGGGCCAACGAGCAACAAGACAACCTCTGACAATCTGTCCGGCCAAAAGGGTCTCTTGGTGTCCAAGCCAATTCGTATGCCACACATGGACTGCACGCCGCTTGGCGCTCGACATATCATCCGCTTCGACAATGAAGGCATCTATACCGCTGCACGGGAGAGCGGCGTCATCGCGGTGGAGGATGCCATCTGCGAGAAGCTGGGGTTAAGCGCAACGGCCAAAGGAGCGACGGCGGCCTTAGCGGAGAATTACAATCAAGGGGATCGTCTTGGGCCGCGATACGCTTATTACAGCATCTGGCGGCCGCTGAAGAAAGTCGGCCGAGACCCATTGGCTCTCGGGCCAAGGAGGAAGGAGGTGGGGGAGGCAGGGGGCGACATGGTGTATTGGACGTATCACAGCAAAGTCCCCGGAGCAAAAGGGCTCAGCGACCGGCCTGATGGCGAGTACTTGACGCAGCGTGCTATGCTAGGCGTGCGAGCGGAGGAACCTCGGGCGGGAGAGTGTCCTGAGGAACTTAAATGGCACTATGTGTCGGCACAAGAGCCTGACGAGGTGTGGTTTGTCAAACTCTTTGACAGCGCTTCTCTGGGTGCGGATTCACAGCATGCCAGCGCCCCGTGGCATGGGAGCCCGGACCTTGGCGACGCGGCAGAAAGTGACGAGCCAAGGGAAAGCATCGAGCTACGTGTGATGGCGTTTTGGTAAGGGTGAAAGGAAACTGAATAGGGAACACGAGGGAAGTGTAATCATTGGAGATCTCCAAGTATCAGGACATTATTTGCCAATCTACATACTCCATCCCATTTCAATAATCGTAGAAGACCAAACACCTCGCCTCAATCGACTCGCGATCGTATTTGTCCTCCTACACAACAGTCAGTACTTGCAGCACTTGCCATCGACTTGCTTCAGGGCAGACCACTCACCTCATCAGGGTTGGTAAACGCAGTGTGCGGAACTCTCTTCGCACGACCATCATCCAAGTTATCGAAGCACTTGATCAAAGTCACCTCGCTGGGCGTCTGGCCATACTTGTAGTACCACTGGTGTTTGTCGTTCGCCTTCACACTGTACGTCTCGCCGCGTCGATCGGGATAGATTAGCGCGGTGCCAACAAGATCGGTGTCGGGAACCGAGTGGGAGTCGGCGACTGCCAGAGGGTCTTTCAAGATTGTCTTGATGGGCCGCCAGACCTGCGTGGAGGGAGGTAATGATTAGAGCCAGCTCAGGGCAATCCGTTGACCCGGATGACACTTACATTAATGATCTGGAAGCGTTTGTTCAACAACCCCTCGGCTTCTTCGGGGAGATGGTGGCGCACTCGGTCTTCCGACGCGGAGTAAGACTGATCGATGTGCACTCTCCTCACTGGGCCACGCAATTGGATTTTGGTGGGATCTTGAGAGCGGTCTTTAGGTTGACGGCGGATAGTGTGGTCAAAGATGTAGACGCGAACAGCGCCGGTGGCATCCTTGAGCAGCTGCTCGGTCTCGGGATAATATTCTGCTTTGATCTTGTCGTCGTCGAGGAAGTCCTTTTCCTTGCTTTCGTGGGTATAGATCTGGAAGCCGTGGCTATCGAGAGTGTATCTGTAACGAGTCATAGTCGGCATCGACTTCAACTGGTAGTCTCTCATCAATCGACTTACTTCTCTTCCTCGCCGGCAATGTCGCGGACAGTCACCTTTTGCGCAACATGAGGCCTGATGTATGTCTCAGGCTTGCCAACGTAGCTGGGAGCCGGCGCGCTTCCATCACCCGGGTCGGCGTAATAGTACAACTCGGTGGCGACGTCGTGCTTCACGAAAGGCTTCGCAGCCTGACGGCCCGGCTCGACAGCCTGGTCAAAGTTGTGCCCGGGGGCGTACTGAACTGCGGCGGTAGCCATGACGAATCAATGGGATGTCAATCAACTGTGCCTTGTGCAAAGAAGAGTGTCGCCACCAACATTCTCCGGACATATAGAGGTATATATGTCCACAACAAGGACACTGCCGAGGTGCCGTCTGCATTTGTCAGATCAGGGTCTTGTCGTTGTGGAGGGCTGGAGCACGCAATTTAGTGAGCTTCCTGCACCAGCGTGCGAGGACAGTCGACGGTCCAATGAGAGCTGCTCACTCATGATGCATGACACCGGATCAGCGATGCATTTGGGGAAGGATGCTGCGTGACACGAGGCGGCTTTGAAATCATAAATCACAGTAAGTTCGTGCAGCCCCAGGCATCACCTTCGGAGAGTTGTAGGACTCGTTGAGCACAGGAATTGTTAGAATGCATGCAATAGTTCTATCCTGTCTATTCATCAGATGCAGCCACAGCCTTAAACTGCTTTGGCGCTTTGATATATTTCGTGACCGTCGTTCCGTCGTCTAATATCGCCGCCTCCTCCTCGACCCGATAGCCTCCCCATCGAGGAAGAAGCTTCGCCCACACATACCAATACATTATGGCAAACAAGAGCCTAGAGCACGTTAGCAGCTTCTCATGGCCATCTTCTGACGAGAATGAGAACTTACACAGTGCTTCCCACCAGAGCGTAGCTAACCTCCGAAAGATGCTCTCGCCAATTCAGACCCGGCCGAGGGGCGAAGGGTGCCAGGATCAAAGACGCTGAAAGGGCAATCCTGATCCACACAGCGGGTAGAAATGCTTTGTACGGGCGGCGTAGATCCGGACGCTGCCAGCGCAGCCAGATGATGCCGAAAGAACTTGCAATCGCGAAGAACTGCGCTGGGAACGCCTCGATGTCAAGGATGAGGGAGTACACGTTGCCTGGTGGTAGGCAAATGACCAGCATCGATGGAATCCAATGGATGAAAAGAGCGCCCATAGGAGCACCGAAGGGTTTGGAAGATGAGGCGATAGGTCCGATTGGTAGGATGCCCTGACGTGCAATCTCCTGGATCATACGTGCCTATGACGGTCAGTTAGATTCGTTGCTCAAGGGGTGCAGCAAGGGGTGCAGATAGACGGTCTTACATGGCTGAAAGTCGTGACCATGACATTACCGGCGGCAGAGAGCGCGACAGCGGCTGGTAGGATAACTTGTCCGGCCTGTGCCCCGAAAACTCGTTGGAAGAAGAGTGCTGCAATGAGCTCGCCTGATCGGGAGATCTCGTCGAGAGGCACAACCAGGAAGTAGGCCACGTTGATCAAAAGATACAGAATGCATGATGTGAGTAGAGCTGTCGACGCCGCGGATTTGAGCGTCTTCACTGGATTCTTGACTTCGTTGAGGACGTTGTTGATGTTCTATCGTGAACAGTAGTCAGCAAGGGTTGAAACGTAGGGCAAGCTAAGCAGTCGTCTCACCTGAAGCCCATTGTAGGAATACCACACTTTGAAGAACGCCGTTGATATAATGCCCCAGTTCCAATTCGAGCCCTCCCAGATTCCTGCACTATGCGCTGGAAGAGACAACGCATCGGCATCCCTAGGTCGCAGAAACACGACAAAAACCCCCGTGAAGACCATGAAGACGACCAAGCCGATTTTGAGCCAGCCAAGAGTATTCTGAATCAGAATGCCAGTTCGGAGGAAAATGGAATGCATGACAACGATCGAGGTCAGCAGACCGCCTGCCAACATCCTCATCTCTAGCTGTGTCCCTTCTCCGCCACGCGCGAACAGCACGTACTCGGCGAAGACAATGCAGTTGGACGCCGTGAAGCCGAGGAGAACCGAGTGCATGCCTATCAGAGTCGCAGCGAGGAAGCGAGGGCGTCGGTATACGTATTCAAGATAGACCTTGTCTCCTCCAGACCTGGGCAGCATACAGCCATATTCGAGGGTGATGGCCAAGCCGAACCACGCGAAGATGGCTCCGACAAGCCTGGGTGGAAGAGTCCATTAGCTGGGTGCGTGCGTTCATGTACTCTTCAGGCAGACGTACCACAAGACCAAACTAAGACCCACGCTTCCAACAGATTGCACAATAACTCCCGGCGTGGCAAAGATGCCACTGCCAATGACTCGTGACATGATGAGGATGTATGCGCTGCTCCAGCCCAGGTTGCGCCCCGTCACCGCCGTTTCCTCCAGGACCTCATTTTCGATGGACCTGTCGAGCACGGCTTGCTGCTGAGTTGGTGCTTCGAGATCCGACGATGAGACCGATCCATAGTCGTTGGCATGATATTTGGCGGGCTGCAGAAGCAGGTCTCGCGAGGGATCCTCATCTAAGGGCGCCATGCTGCCGGCCTTTCGATGAGAAGGCGGGCGAAGTTGTTGACTGCACTCATTCTTAGACCCTCAGCGTAATATAGACTTGCTCCTGGGCGATGAGGTGACGACTTAGTAATTCTAGGGTGAAGAATGGCAATCATTTCCAATCGTCGCAGCAGGGACACGCGCGGAGGGCAGGGGTGGCAAATTCGTCATTCCTCGCCCACGATGGCGCGATTGCGTGCCTGCATAACCAGCCCCTCGCCTTGTGAGACCCTCTGCATTTGATAAGGCCTGGGTGCATACCGCTGCCCTTGTCAAGTAACTTAGCATGAGTGCTAGTAAAATGACATTCAGGTTCGATGGAAGATTCCACGCGTGAATTGCACGACCACTCTATGTCTACCTATAGTCGCTATCCTCTCTCTGGCGAACAGCATCCTCTCACGTCGGTACATCCTCCAAGTTCACCGTCTTCGACATATGGATCACCGTAAATCCATTGGTACTTCCAAGGTGACCCGGCTCATAAAAGATTTCATAATCGGGCGCGAAGCCCCTGCGCGTGTAGAAGCCATAGTTGATCTCCTTCATGCACGTAAGCATCGTCTTCAGAACCTGCGGCTTCTTCTCGCCATTCGCATCCACCGCGGCTGCCTGGAACCTCCGCTTCAGCTCCTTCTCCACCAGCTCCATCAGATACCGCGCGACTCCCTGGCGTTGCGCGTTCAGATCGACGGCCATCAGCGCGAGCTCCCACGCATCCGTGTCATCGGGCACCAGCCCCGTGCGCTTCCACGTGTTCTTCTCCCGTGCCGCCTTGTCACACTTCTCTACAATCAGCTGTCGTCCTTCGTATCGCTTGCCACTCGCCGTGCCGACCGCCTGGTTCGTGCCGGCAAACGACAAGACGTAGGTGAAGGTGCCGGGCACACTGCCCAGCTCGTCGATTATTTGGTTATCGGACTTCAATCGGTCATTCTTGCGTTCCCAGATCCCTTTGCGACCATCACCGTTGCCGAATGCATCGTTGATGATGTGGTGTAATGAGGGCAAAAACGCGGATTTGGCCAGCTGGTCTGTAGAGAGGAGGGTCACCTCTGTCGCGCGGCCGTTTATTTCGGGGCCTGGAAAGGTCTGTGGTTCCTCTGCGGTCGTGAGATCCTGCGATGTTGCAACCTTTTCCGGAAAGGTGACGCCGGGAAGATATATATTGGGGTCTCTCAAGTCCGGACGAACAACGCTGTTCTCGACGATAGCCATGAGCAAAAGTTTGAGCGCTGTTGGAAAGGCCGATCAGCACAAGGTCTTAGAAACGCTGCTTCGTATATTCGTGTCTTGCGACCCTTCCAATGGTCACTTTAACATCAGCTGGTAGATGCAAAGGGCGTGACTTATTGAAATTGCGTGTTGTCCAGCGTGAGGTGGTATTCCATTGAATTCGGGGACTCTCGGGGATTTCGCGTCGGGATTCGAGTGGAGTCTCTTCCCGACGCCCTATCGTTTGACACCGAACACCTGTTTCCGTTCAATCTAGACTCTTGCATACACCGCTCGATACAATACCGACGTTGGCTGAGCAAGAGTCAATTGCTACCACTTAGCCTCCATTGAGCCCGGCAAGTCTAACTATCAACTCCAATCAAAATCTTCACATGCTTCTCCCGCTCGTGCAACAAAGCATGAAACCCTTTCTCTAACCCTTCATCTAATGAGATCCGCGATGTAATCATCCGCTCCGGATTCTTCAGTCGACCTGTAATATCGTCAGTATTACAAGCATCGAGACACCAATCAAGTCAAACAGACCATCAGCAATCGCATCAATAACTTCCTGAAACTCTCCCTTGGTGTAGATATTGCTACCCAAGTAGTTCAGGCTCTTCCGGTTCAGCAAATTCCAGTCCAGCGTCAGCGGCTTCTCAAAAATGCCAATGTTCACAATCGTGCCACCGCCCCGAACACTCTGTATCGCCGCCTCCATAGCCGCCTGGACTCCCGTGCATTCGTACACCACGGCCACACCACAGCCATCCGGCGATATGTCAAGCGTGCGTTGACGAATGTCGTCCTTTTGCGGGTTGAACACATGTCGAACGCCGTTGTTGCGCGCATGCTCGGAGCGGAGTTCTGATATCTCCGACACCGCGATGTTCGTGACGCCCTGTGCTTGCAGGCCTAGAATGACGGCGATACCAATCGGTCCGGCTCCCATCACCAGCACTGCATCTGATGGCTTGACGCTGCTACGCTTGATCGCGTGCCATGCGACAGCGAGTGGTTCGACCAGCGCTCCGACGTCCAGGCCCATCGAATCGGGGATGGGGAGCACTTCGCGGGCATCGATGCAGCAGTATTCGGCAAAGCCTCCGCCGAAACCCGAATACCCCAGGAAGCCCCAGTTTGGACACGCGCCGTGTAGCTCTTCCACGCAGTACACGCAATTCCGATCTCCCAGGACGGGGAAGACGACGCATTTCTGCCCGACTTTTAGCCCGTAGGAGTCGGGGATGTCGCTGCCGAGTTCGACGATCGTTCCGCTCCACTCGTGGCCGATGGTTGTGGGGATCGTTTCGCCAGTGAGGACATGGGGCTTATTGAAGGGGACGTTCTTGCTTGATGGGTTTAGACTCGTACATGCAGTCAATTCATAGTTGCGAAAAGACTTACGGGCCGATGAGATACCTTCATGGTACATTAGTGGGGTTACCACCGCATCTCTAGTAAAGTATTACTTACTCGTGGAGGTCAGATCCGCATATTCCTGCCCAGCCGTTTTTGATCTTCACCCAACCTGGCTTGACTTGAGGCTCAGGGATGTCGTCGAGACGAACGTCCTTGTTGCCATGCCACCGTAGCGCTTTCATCCTGTCTGTCTATAAATTGAGGGCGTTCGATCCAAGTGTGGAGAGTGCGGGCAGAAGGCAAGAAGTCGCCGACCTTGACTTGCAGACCTTCGAAGGAGCCCGATGATTTGCAATTATCGAGAAATGACAGTATCGTTTTACTCGTTCCGACAAATTATGCAAAAGTGAAATGGTAGTTTTGGTCTGAACATTCGTTCTATTATGTTGGTCATGAGGCGGGACAGTCCGAGGTCGGGCTTGCCGCGGGGTTGCCATACGTAGCCGCGGCCATTATCATCTTGCCAGGCTGACTTGATGTAGTTGTACAACAACATTGGCACTGGCGCGGCCGCATGTGTGTAATGCGTTCCGAGCCATTGATGGAGCTCGCAGTTTGTGGCTCGCAAAGCAGCTTCAGTGCCCTTTGATTTCGCAGACCTTGCGTCCCGCCGGGGAAAAGCCGTAAGACATTAGTCGTCCCGGACCTTGTTTCAGCTCACTTTCGATGCGAGTACTTTCTTGCCATGCGCCCTGACAATACCGTCGAGGATGCTTCGAATCTGTCTACATCCATCGAGGCCGACCGAGATCATCGCCTCAAGCCGCGCCATCTGCACTCTGGTCTCCATGATGAGCACGTTCACTTTGTCGTCTCCACCACTCGTGCCGAGAGTAAGGAAGGGGAGCTCTTGCTCTTCCAGGCCATTGAGATCTAGCAATGGATCCGCTTCTCCGTCGTTGGCGGCGTAAGAAGCGGTAGAGCCGGTTGTACATGCTGCGACATAGTCTCGCATGGGGATTCCAGCATCGATGATGGCGAGCGTGGTGGCATTGAGACACGCGGCGAGAAGTGAGCCGTCTTGAGATAGCACATGCAAGACGATGGTGATGGTTGAGTGAGGGAAAAGGTGAGTGAAGACGGTGCCAGTAAAAGCGGAGGAGATGGTGTGGCACATTTCTTGGATCCTTCAACAGACGTGAATTAGCACAGGGGTTGCGTAGATAGGGAGGCAAAGCCATACCTCTTGTCAGTTCGGCCTCGCCGTTTCCTGTCCACACCGCTGAACCCAGCGACGTTGATCTCGCACTCGATATTGGCAGCATTGCTCTGATCCCTCGCGCCCGCTCTCCGGCCTTCGCGAGGCCCATTGACGGTGCAGATGACTTTGGTGTTGCCCAGTTCGAAGTATGAGCTGCCATCGGACGCGCTCTGGGTGGAACATTCCCCGTGGATCCGCCTGAGCTCGTTCCACCTTCGCCCATCGACGCGCAGTCCTGCGAGACTGTACGTACTCGAGTCGAGGGGCATGATGGCGATGTTGCCGCGGTACGGTGTGTGGTCCAGTATGGAACTTCGTTGGTCGCTGTGAATTTTTGCCTTCCTGGTTGGAGGTTGGTGGCGTCGCTGGCGCCTGCGCGAACTGGCGGGGCAAACTCTAACGCGTCCTCTTGCCCCTCCTCGCGTTACACTTCCGTCTTCATTCACAAAATACTGTCATTCACCGCCAAAAGGAGTCCAGGCTCCTTCACAACATGCTTGAACATGTCGCGCAAATCTCATCACGGTCACCGACACCTGACCCTCGAAGACCGCATCAATATCGCAGAGGGCGAAGACGAGTTGAGCGATTCCGATTCCGACTTGGACATGGTCAGAAGCCGCACGGGCGGGAAAGAGATTAGCCTTGACGAATATCTGGACGCCATGGCCTCTCCTGGAGAAGATGACGGTGTCGTCGAGGTCTCGTCGGATTCGGAGGGCACAGGAGACAAGAAGCGCAAACGACTAAAGGGCGAGCGCATAGCCTTCGACGATGAGGAAGACTCCGACGCCGCCTACAACTCTTTCAAAAAGCGCAAGAGCGAAGTGAGAAAACAGGCCATCGCCAGTACAAAGCGTGCAAAAGCCAAAGCCTCCAAAGGCTCGGTGGTGGGCAAAAAGCCAAAGACCGTGATTGCGCTGAAAGGCAAGCGGAAGGTGTACGATGCGCCGTCCGATGACGAGACCGACATGATGGAGCAGACTCTTCCCCAGTACCTACAGGAACGACGGAGCTCATGGGCGGATAGACGGGAGAAACTAGGAAATGCCGGACTGCAGCTCCCTCCTGATTACGACGAGGTCTACTTCTCTGGTGATGAGAAGCTGGAGCTCCTCAAAGAGAGGCCGAACTTCAAGGGTGCCATACCACAGAGGGAATACGCCGACATCCAACTGCCGTACTCTCTCGGTATCATCCCTGCCGCCGTGGCTCAATGGCTACGGGAGTATCAAGTCAAGGGAGCGGCCTTCTTACACGAGCTTTTCGTCTACCAAAAGGGCGGCATTCTGGGTGATGACATGGGTCTGGGCAAAACGATCCAAGTCATCGCCTTTCTCACCGCAGCGTTCGGCAAGACTGGCGATGAACGCGATGACAAGCGCATGCGGAAGATGCGGCGCCTCGGCGATGAAACCTGGTACCCACGAATCCTCATCATCTGCCCCGGCACTTTAATGGAAAACTGGAACTCGGAGCTGGAGACTTGGGGTTGGTGGCACATACAGATCTATCACGGGACCCCGGCTGCGAAACAGGCTGCGCTCGCTGCCGCCCACAGCGGGAGGCTCGAGATCATGATCACCACATATTCAACTTACCGTCTGGATCACAGCGCCATCAATGGCATTCGATGGGACTGTGTTGTTGCCGACGAATGCCACACCATCAAGGAGCGAAAGTCAGATGTCACACACACCATGAACCAGGTGAATGCGCTCTGTCGAATCGGCCTCACTGGCACAGCCATCCAGAACAAATACGAAGAGCTGTGGACCCTGCTCAACTGGACGAATCCGGGTCGTCTGGGGCCCATGAGTACGTGGAAGCAACTCATCTGTTTGCCTTTGAAGTTTGGGCAGAGCCACGATGCGACCAACTCGCAACTGTCCAAAGGTCGACGCACTGCGGAGCGGTTGGTGAAGAATCTACTTCCCCAATTCTTCCTGAGGCGGATGAAGAGCCTCATCGCCGACCAACTACCGAAAAAGAGCGACCAAGTCGTATTCTGTCCCATGACCGAGATCCAAGCCGAAGCCTACAACAACTTCTGCGACTCCGAGCTCGTACAAACCATCTTCCATGCTAGTGACCCCTGTCCTTGCAAGTCAAAGAAGAAACAAGGCTGGTGCCATCACGCTCTGTATGAGGGCAAGAAGTGGCAGGACTACGTCTTTCCCTGCCTGATGATGTTGCAGAAGCTTTCCAACCACGTTGCTCTCCTGATGCCGTCCGGCGAGGCTGACCTAGAGCGGCACGAGAAGGACTTGGAGCTTGCTAAAATGGCTCTTCCGGAGTCGTGGCGGGACTTGTATCGCCACCGAGAAAACATCAAAACCTACGCCAACATCGACTTTTGCGGCAAGTGGAAGATCTTGAAGAAGATGCTGAAGTATTGGTACGACAACGGCGACAAAGTCCTCTTGTTCAGCTATTCAGTCAGATTGTTGAAGATGCTGAACATGCTCTTCCAAACCACGACGACATACAACGTGTCATATCTTGACGGCAGCATGAAGTACGCGGACAGACAGAAGACGGTCGACGAGTACAACTCCGATCCCAAGCAGTTCGTCTTTCTCATTTCCACCAAAGCCGGGGGCGTCGGGCTCAACATTACCTCTGCGAATAAGGTCGTCGTCGTCGATCCGAACTGGAATCCCAGCTACGATCTTCAAGCGCAGGATCGGGCGTACAGGATCGGCCAGACGAGAGACGTGGAAGTCTTCCGCCTGGTGAGTGTTGGCACTGTGGAGGAGATTGTGTACGCGAGGCAGATCTACAAGCAACAACAGGCCAACATTGGCTACAATGCCTCGCTCGAGCGTCGCTACTTCAAAGGCATTCAAGATCAGAAGGAGATGAAGGGGGAGATCTTTGGGCTGGCAAATCTCTTCGCCCCGTTGAGTGAGAATGTCAAGTTGCGGGACATTGTCAACAAGACAAACATCGCCGAGACGCGAGCGGGTGTTGAAATTGCGGGTCTGGACTTGGAAGCTTCGCAGGAAGACGACGATGCCGATGCCGATCAGTTATTCGCAGAAAAGACTCTCAACAAGGCGATAAGTGAATTGGCCGAGGACATTATCGGTGAGCCGAACGCGAAGAGGCAGGCTGCTGCCAAGACGGCGAAGAAGCAGGATGCTGTGCAGGCCATTCTCGCCAGTGCGGGGGTGGAGTACACGCATGAGAATGCGGAGGTGGTGGGCACGAGCAAGATCGAAACGAAGATTAGTTCGCGGGCGCACAAGGCCGGGAACAATGTGGACATGACTTCGGACTTTGCTTTTGCGAGAAGTCAGGAAGGGCAGGACGCGCAGTCTACGAAGCCGCCGGTTGGCGTGTACGATAACGACGACAACGATGATGACCTTGACGGGGGTGACGGACTTGGAGTTGTGCACTACAAGTACCGGCCGCCGGAGGATGTGAGACGGCGGCAATTCTGCACCATGGCGAAACAGTTTGGGTACGATGATGTGACGGAATTCGCGCTGGTGGTGGAGGGGTGGACGCAGCGCCAACGGAGGGACTGTTTGGAGCGCTTCTATCGTGACCGTAGGGCGCGAATCGCGGAGTTGGCTCGGATTTAGTCGCAAGCATACCACCAGGGACAAGGGTGAGTCTTTAATGCCTAGAAATGGGACGAGTGACAAGTCAGATCATAGCCGATGACCCTTGACAGAACGAAGGCCCCTGCTCTGGATATTGTTGAGTCGTTGTTCGTTCTACCGTAATGGACGGCAGAATATCGTCATCATGATCTTACGCTCGTCGAGGACGGCTATCGTTGGATTTCAAAGCAGCCAAGCAATAATCCACGCGTCTGGCGCGCCGTGTAGCCGAAATGGCCGTATGCGATCTCTACTGGGGTCAGCTGAATTGCACTCCACTCATCATGGCGGTCCACTTGCGGCGATGCGTGCGTCGAACGCGAGCATGGCAAAGCGGTGAAGTTCCGACACGGAGCATATGACCGGCGCCATGGCTGAGAGTACTGACTCGCAGCCTCATCCGCGTGCCCTGCGTCGCGAAATACCGCCAGGATCAGGAAAAGTCCAGCCATATTGTGGCGTTGAAGGATTGCCTTGCAGGAGCCTTCCCCACAACGCCCAGCTCGAAGCCATGCTCGCACGCGGTCCAGTCGTGAAGAGGAAAGAAAGCCCTGGCTCGCGTGTGGCTTGCAGCTCGAAAGCTGATGCCCATTCCTGGTCTTTGCCGTGGCGAGACTCGGGGAGAAGCGCGGAAATAGGGCAGCAGGCGAAGCTCACGCATGCAAGCTGCACGCTTTTGCGGCTTATTACCGAGAACCTGGATCGCGCGCACGTGTGCGGCAAATTAAACTCAGCACATGGAGTAGGGTTAAGCTTCGATACCCCGCGGGGTCATGAAAATGTATAGCCGTCACCTTTCTGGGCGCTGCGGCTCGCGCGGACGGTGCTTCCTCGGCGACTTCCATGGCGGCGCCAACATCTCCTTGGCTGGTGAGTTCAAGCCTTTGTGGCTTCAGCCACGGGCTCGGTGTCTGTCCCCATGGCATCAAAGAATATGAGTTGGGGAGAGGGTAAGCAGGGAATCCGGTCTCTTGCAGTCTGGCCCGAGAGGCTTGCGCTCATGAAATGCAATAGCCGGCATCTCACGCTCCTCGAATCTCGCGGGTCACCGATCCTTGCCCAATATGTGCAAGTGGCGCGTAAAGTGTCCGTGGGAATGCAGGACTAGCCGTTTATACAAAGATACCTGCAAAGTTAACGTAACGTGGATCCGCCTGCCAGTGTGGATAAAGGATCACCAGGATGGAAACGCCGACCTCATGGACACCCCCGAGGCTATCACTGGTCAAATTGCGGAGAACCCGGGGAAAGTGGGACGCTCACTACGGGGAAGTTGATCGCATACATATTCCCGTGCCCACTCTCGCGTTGATCACTTCGGTCTCTGCTCTCCCTGCTATCCATTCTGCTGGGCCTCTGCACACCTCCCTCCACTTCCTCCACAGTGATTCCCCATCGAGACATCGTCTCCGCCAACATGGGCAAAGCTCCCTACTTCGGCCTTCGAGGCCATTCGCTGCACCGAGCCATCTGGGGCTTGTCGTGCGTGGCCATCATGATCTTCGCGTGAGTGCAGGCTATCATGGGGAATCGACTTGTGTAGCTACTGACACGGCACCCCCAGTTACAATCAAGCCGCTGCACCCAATCTCGTCACTTTCCCAACGTTCTACAAGCAGTTCCCTGAGCTCAACATCATCACGAGCACTGGCGCCCAGAAAAGCCACAATGCCACGATCACGGGTTGGTACGACGACTCCACGTTCGACGATCGCTGCTGACAGTGTACAGGTACCGTCATGTCGACCTACACCCTGTTGGGCGCGTTCGGTGCCTTGGGATGTACGTTCCTCGGAGACATCTGGGGTCGACGATGGACCATCTGGGTCTCGTGCTTCGTTCAATCCGTCGGCTGCCTTTTGATGGCCACCTCGTATGAGCTTGGACAATTCGTCGTCGCCAGAGTTTTGCTTGGTCTCGGGACGGGAGGCATCATCGCTACCGTCTCAGTTTGGCAGGTTCGTCGTATCCAAAAGCAGGACTTTGTGCGCCATAGAGCCAGTGACTGACACGTATCGAACAGGCGGAGACGGCAAAGGCAGCGACCCGCGGCGAACACGTTGCCAGCTTTGGTATCTACTGTGGACTCGGGCTCGTCCTTGCTCTATGGCTCATCTTCGGCATGTCGTATGTCGACGGCTCCATCAGCTGGCGCTTCCCCCTCGTTGTACCCATCATTCTTGGCATCATCGTCCAGTCATTCATCTTCTCGCTCCCAGAGTCTCCACGGTATGAGTCCCGCATTTCGACGTGCTTGCCACATCTCGCTGACCCTGCATTTAGTTGGCTGGTCAAGAAAGGACGCAGTGCCGAGGCTGTCGAGATCATGAGCATCCTCTACGACGTTGACAGATCGGATGCGGAGCTGCAGTCGGAGATCCGCGACATCGAGCTGTCCCTGGAGATCAACAAGGACGTTTCTTTGATGTCAATGTTCAAGATGGGCCCACAACGAATCTTCCACCGCGTGGTGTTGGCAGGCATCATACAGATGTACCTGCAGATGTCTGGTACCAATGTGAGTCGAAGTCGTAGATATCTATTTCCCCCCGACGACGATGCTGACTGTGTAAGGTCGTGGTATACTACTGCACCACTCTGTTCGAGGTTGAGCTGAAGTTCAGTACGACCGAAGCCGGCATCCTGGCAGCATCCCTCATGTTCACCCTGATCATCGGATCTGTCATTGCATCATTCACCGTCGACCGCTGGGGCCGACGACCGTTGATGTTGACCAGCGCGGCCTGCATGACCGTCTGCATGGCGGGCGTTGCCGGCTGCACTTCCAACCCGAACAACCCGACTGCTTTGAAGGCTGGCGCTTTCTTCGTCTTCGCCTTCGAGACATGCTACTGTATTGGCTTCCTTGGTGTTCCGTTCCTCTGTGAGTTGCTCGCTTCCGCGGTCCTCTAGCGAATTCGCAGTACTGACTAGACTTGCAGACGCCAGCGAAGTCGCTCCCGTCCACTTGCGCGCTGCCGTATGCGGTGTGGCCACTGCAATCTCCTGGTTGTTCAAGTAAGTCGACAATCACGGTCAATCTCCAGTGCCCTATCGCTGACCTCACGCTCTAGCTACCTGGTTGCCGAAGTCACGCCCATCGGCTTCACGTCCATTGGATGGCGATACTTCCTCGTCTACGTGTGCACCAACGCCGCCGCAGGCATCACCGTCTACTTCTTCTGTGCGTAGCCCACATGTCTCAACCAGCCTCAACCATGCAACATCATGACTAACATAATCCTACCAGACCCCGAAACCGCCGGCCGCACCCTCGAGGAAATCGACGAAATCTTCACCAAGTCGACTTCCATCTTCGATCCCGTCAGCGTGGCCAAGAAGCTGCCCAAGCAGCACTTGGCCGACTTCTTGAAGGAGGAGGCCGAGCACGACCCCAAGATCAAGGACCTTGTGGAGCATATCGAGGGCTCCGACGTTTCCATTGATCGCGCCTACGTGGTGGAACCCACCAAGCTCGAGAAGGCTTGAGCGGATGGAGTCTTCTCTAAGACGGACTGTTATGATGCATAATGTTATTACACGCGATTTGCTTTGACGATGTCATGTCTTTTCGGCGGTCTTTTGTTTCTGCGCTTATGCACTGCTGCGGCTAAGACTACCATGTGCTTTCCTCGTACATGAATAGAAAACGCTACAAATGTTCCTGCAGTTCGTGTCCGCCTTTCCCCAGCCATTCACATCACGTTCCGCCTTGGAGCGCCACTCAGTATCGTCTAACTAACAACCGCTCGAGGTGACCGAGACACTGGCGTACACCGTGACGGTTCCAGTGCTTTTCACCGTTTTCGTGATGGTGTTTGACTGTTGTGGACGCGGAGTCAGTGGAATGTCTGCCCGGTCGAGATCTCCCGATGCAACTTACAAGGGTGGAAGTCACGGTCGATGTGATTGTAGGCGTAGTCGTGACCTTGGCTTTCCCCTAGCGCCACAGCATTAGCATTTCGAGCCCAGCATCGGCAGGAAGGGTTGCAGGGCTCACATTCGCAGTCACGGTGCTCGTGACGACCTTGGTTTTCAACACGCCTGCGACGGTGGTAGTCGACGGCTTAATGGCGAGGCAGCTGCAGGAGGAGGAGGTGTATGCGGAGCCGGTGGGAGTGGCTCTCGCCTTGATGAGTTTCTTCGCAGCCGGAGGGGCGGAAGAGTGAGAGGAGTGGCCGCAATACACCGTGTCAGTCAGGGTGGCAGGATTGGTGACCGTCTTGTCGGGCGGGTAGCTGGTGTAGGTCCTAACAAGAGCTTGTGAGCTGGTGCGACATGATGGATCTGTGTTCTATTCCCTGGCACCTACGTCGTTACTTTGTCTGTGACGGTGCTAGTTGCTTGTCAGCAGAGTCCAAATGGACGTGAGTGAGGAAAGGCATACCGAGTGACGGTGACTGTGGTAGGGGACGCGGTGGAAACCTTTGTCGCCGAGTTGACCGTGACGGTAGAGGTGCTAGGAACGATCAGCGTTGGTGCAATGCCGACGACAGCCGGAAAGTGTTGCTCACGAAGTCGTTACGGTATTCGCAGTGACCGTCTTGTCGGTGATGCCTAGATAGCTCGAGCAGAAGCTCGTGGCGGAGGCGGAGTTGGTGATCTTGACGCTGGAAATCAGTTCATGTCCGTCAGAATGGAAGGAGAGCAACGCACCGAAGCTTTTGCGGATTTGCAGAAGCCATTGGCACGCTCCTCCAGCAGAGGACTGGCGGTGGCAAGGGCCAGGCTCGCAGCGAATAGACCGAAGCGCATGATTGCTATTGTATTGATTTTGAAAGACTTTTTCTTGATAGCGCAGATATGTGAGGAGACTCGATGAAAAGCAGAGAATCTGGAGACACAACGAAACGCCTTACCGTGTATAAGTAGTCCAGATCCACAGCGCACACACGCTGCAAGCAGATACAGCCCGCGGAGAGTTACGTGCGTAAGGACGGAGAACGCGGTCTCGCCGTGGTAGGTGTCACCTACTTGCAGTGATGGGCGGCGGATCTAGATCTCCCTGTGTCGCCGGCAGACTTGGCGCGGGCCTTGCTGGCGAGGAAACGTGCAGCACACGTCGATGCTCCGCGGCGTCTAGTAATGCAAGAGGGAGAAAGGGCGGAAGATTGAGGCCAACCGGAAGGGCTGTGCGAGATAAACTCTCCCAATTAGCTGCGGCGGGCTCGTATCGCCAAAACTCAATCTGTTCCGCGGCGGCCGAATAGGGCCGGGGCGAGGCTAGCTGCATTATTCCCACTCAATTGCGAGCAGGGAAGATCCTGGCTCGAGATCTAGAGCGAAATGCATGTGAGCATGGCATGATCGCCGCCCGCGGGCGGTGGAAGTGTAAGGACATGGCCAGCTCTAGGTGTCACGGGGACTCTGCATTATCCGGAATTGACCAACTCGGGATGTGGAATGCCCAATCAATGCGGAGGAGGTCATGCCATACGACTCTAATTGGAAATACTCCGGTCCTTGTGGACTAGCGATGGCTTGCGTCTCGGGTTCCACCGATGCAGTAGACGACAGAAAAGTCCTCCCTTCCAACCAATGCAGTAAACGCCCAAGAACCGCCGATGCAGCAGATGCCAAAAATCAATCTGTGTAATCATACACCATCCCACTCCGCGGCTGCAGCACAGGAGCCTCGCCGATCTGCCTCGCCCGGCCGTCCCAGCCAACGCCTCGGTAAACGTGCTCGACATATGTCTTCATCTTCGCCGCCAGCGACACCGAGCCCCTCGCGGCACGTCGCTTCCCGTTCCGCTTTGCAGCCGTGCGTGCGTCCCAGGAGTACTCGTCGTTGAGTGGCCCTCGTGCGATAGGCCAGGCGGGAGTGGCGTCCCGGTATGTGTGTTGGGCGTGGATGGATTGCTGGGGAGATGTGTCAGCACGTTATTCGCTGGAGGGGGTGTTTGGGCTAAGGTAGATGCGTACTTCTGATTCGCCTTGGGACCACCTTCGCTCTATCTCGTCTAATCGGGCGGGTGGAAGAGGCTTTGCGGTGCACAGGGCGAAGAAGGCTGTTGCCAGCGCCAGGATTGTGAGGAAGAAACGCATGATGAGTTTATGTGTTGTCGTGAGGATTGATGGTGTTGGATTGATGGTGACCCACGCCCGCTGCGTGTATGGAAGTAGGGAACAAATGAGAGAACAGGAAGGAAGGGGAGATATGAGTAGAGGGCAAACGGAACAGGAGCACTTATGACACGCCCGCTACGGAGCATTGAAACACCCACGAGCACCTCGCTCCGACACCCACCAGCCACCCTTCCTTCCGCCGTTTGAAGATGACGAAAAAGCTCCGAAGCTGCAAGGTGCCGCTCCCATTTAGGAAGCACTTGGGGCCATCCATACACACGAACGGCGAGGGGGAGAAACTCCCTTTTGTGCCGCCACAACAGAATGCTGGAGTCGTGGATTGCCCAAGGGAACACGGTGAACTGGCCGCTGGAGAGGTATGCGGAGGGATGGTGTGGCAAGGGAGGAACGCTGGAGGTGTCAAGCTAAAGCGGAACCGAAGAAGGTATGTTTCACCTGGCACGCAGCGCCAAGAAGCCCTTCGTCTCCAAATTTGCATGTTTGACCACCTGTACCTAGGAATAGAAGCATGCCAATGGGCGAGAGTGTGCGCGAGTTAAATGAGGGGGTGATGTATCTTGCTTCAGACATATGCTATCTAATGTCTTCACGTGCGGCAAACTCGCCAGTGGGGTATCACCTTGCTTGCGCCCAAAATTCGCATGCTCCTGTAGATGCGCCCGCGCAATGCTCGCGTGAATGAGTAGTCACTTTTCCAACCGCCAAGTGCTTGGGAATATCACCGGTCTACCGAAGGCTTTCTCCCAAAGCCCCCCAACGACCCAAAGGGAGCGCCGAAATTCGTGCTGACCTTCTTCTTCAACTTGATTCCACCGTTTTCAAACGCTGCTTGAACGGGATCTTCCTCCGCCTGCTCGCGTGATGTATCCTTGGATGGAGGAGACAGCGCTGCCGAGCTGAGAGCATTCGACGACAGCTCTGAAACGGACGAATCGCGGATACACGTTGAGACCGGGGCGAGCGGTGCTTCACTGCCTCTTTCGCGCTCCGCAGTCGGGGAAGCAACGCCCGGGCTCGGCGCCTGGAACACCATTGGCCTCCCTTCCTCGGGATTCCTCTCAATCTGCTCCAACCTTTTGCTCAGCGCCTCGAGAGTAAAGTTGGTTTCGTTGGGTTTGTTGGGTAGTTCGGGCATGTTCAGCGGCCCTTTCAACTCCTTCTCCTCCTCCTCGCTACTGGTCTTCGTCAAGCCGGTGTTGGCGTGCGTGTTGTTCCTCGTGGGAGTGTCTTCGATGCCGTCAAAAGTCAGGCTGTTCAAGGGTGGCGGGGTGAGTGGTCTCGGGGCTCGGAGTGGAGTATGGCCCGCAGCCACACGATTGATGAAGGCGGGAGGTGAGAGTGGAGGGTCGCTGTTGGGGGATCGCGGGATTTCTTCCACTGTAATTGGGATGTTCTCTTGAAATGAGACTGAAGGGCTGGATTCGCCAGGGGCGGCGTTGGCGGAAGAGATGTCGATGGACTGTGGGGCGTTTTGACGTCTTTGAGAGAGTGGAGGAGGGTCTTCGTCTTCGGCGATGCTCGGCAGGCGACACAAGTTCGTCGAGGCTCTGGATTGCGGAGAGGTGATGTTGCTGAGATTCAGCGGGGAGAGGGAAGGCGATCGCGCGGGACTGGCATAGAGCATTAGATGAGCGGAGGGGAACGGAAGGGCATGCAACGGCAGAAGCTCACCTGTAACCATCGCCTGCACGCAAGAGCCTCTCCAGCTTCGCTATCCTCTGATAGAGGCGATCCTTCTCGAGGCTCCAGCATTGTCGCTCAGCTGCGAATGCATCGTGCAGCAGTTGAATGGCGGCAGCCTGCTGATCCACCACCACCTGCCACTCGTGCTCGCTGCCTGCCCGCGGCGGACTGAAGCGGCCCATGACAGAAGACAGAGGGTCGGCGTCTCCCTCCGGAGGCGATGATTGAGATGCAGTGAGAGGGGCGAGAGAGTCGTTAGATGTCTTCTCGAAGGCGAGCGGAGGGCTCTTGGGGCGTTTCTGCTTGGCAAAGTCGGCACTCAGTTCGCCCACCGAAGGTGTGGTGCCGGGCAGAGAAGAGGGCTCCATGATGGGGGGTGTTTTGTAGTAGTGGCAATGCAATCTGTCATGCAGTGAATAGGGACATGCCAGGGCAGTGAGACAGGGTGAGCGGCAGGCACGCGAGAAGAGAAGTGATTGATCGGAAAGTGACGCAGCTGTCAGGGCAAGGCGAGCCGCACGGGCCCAGCCGCATCGGCCCGACCGCTCCGAGGCAACGGCCGCTTTACCCCTGCAGGAAACATTCCCGCAAGCCACCGCGGCCGCCGTGCCACCTTCACGTGCTGCCCCGCGTCCAAGCTCATCACCCAGCCATCTCCTTCTCCCGTCGTGTGAAGACACCTGCGCTATCCACAACCATGCGCTACGCCCATCGTTCGGCAAACGACGCATGAGCAATGTTTCGAGGAAAGTCCCGAGGAAGAGGAGGCCGTGGGCGCGGCGGAAGACAGTCCACGCAACCCCGAGGGCTGTTCGCCGATGGCATCTGGCATTGCGATTGCTCGCCGCGCCTGCCAGCAGAGCATTTCAAGGTGAAGAAGGAGGGCCAGAATCAAGGCCGATGGTTTTACACTTGTCAAAAAGCCGACCCTGATCGCTGCGGCTTCTTTCTGTGGAACGAAGATGCTCAAGTCAGGGAAGAAGGCGCGGTGCTGGGAGGTCGGAGGTCGGAGCCCAGGGCACAGGCGGGATGGACTGCAGGGAGAGAGGCAGAGGAGCGGTCGAGTGCCCTCCCGCCTGGTAGAGGGCTATTTCAACGCATGGATGGTAACAGTGACGATGACGACGACAACGACTCGACCGCCAGTCCCAGCCTGTCGCCCTCGAATCGCGCAAGTACAGCGAACAAACGATCTGCACATGAAGCTGGCATGCATGAGTATGGGTCTGCAGATGTCGATGACGAAGATCAAGACCATCGAAGACACTCAGCCCGCCCCTCCGACCCCATGACCCCACACAAAATGCAAAAGACGGGCGTCTACGCCACTCCTGCAACGACAGCGAGAAGAGCGTTGCCTTGGATGGAACAATCCTCGAGCGTCGAGCCGCAAATCAAGAACGAGCCGGGATACTTCGATACACCCTCAAAACAACCGGTTGCAAGCTCATCGACAGCGCACTTGCGGACAGTGGGCCCGCAGACTCCCGCACCACTGCCCACACCAGACGTAGCTGCAACACCATCGCTGTCCACCCGTCACAAGGATGCGCTTGTCAACCCCGCGGACGATGCCAGCTCGTTGACAGCAGAAGTATTATCTGCGCTCTCCGCCACCCATGTTCCAAGCGACACGCTGTCCAATTTACGAAGCATCCTTACCAAGCACGACCTGCGCAATCAAGGCATCAAAAAAGGTCGCGATATCAGTCGGTTGGCCCTGAAAGCCAAAGACGCCAAGATCACCGAATTGCAGGCCCGCATTGCCAGTCTGGAGGCGGATCGCGACGTGGAGCGATGGCTTGGAAAGACAAAGAAGTGGGACAGTGCGCGAAGTGGCACTTATGAGGAATGAAGAATGAAGAATGAAGAATGATACCCCTGTTGTGCGTTCGTACGTTTCAACCTCTAGCGATGTTCAATTCACGCTTGTACCAGGCCTGCAGTGCCCTTACATCTGCACTCAGCACGACGAGGTCGAATCTCTCCAATGCCTGTTTCGCACCCTCGCCGTCTACCACAACGATGCCGCATTTCTTGCCGTGCAATTTCGCGGATGCAACGACGGCATCAATGGCATTGAGATATGCAGGCTCCGTCCATTTCGCCGGCATGTAGCCCAACAGGGCAAGAGCAAGGTCGTTCGGGCCGATGAGGACGAGATCTGCACAAGCCCATTATTAACGTGGCAACACTAGATGCAGGAACAAGAGACCATCTCCCACCTATGCCGTCCACTCGACAAATTTCATCAATGTTCTGCACGCCAGCGGCGGTCTCAATCTGCACCATGGTCAAGAGGTTCTCATTCGCTTGATTCACGTATTCCGCCGGGGTGGCAATGCCGTGCGCGAAGCAAGCAAACGGCCCGCCCTGCCCTCTCAAGCCTCGCGGTGGGAATTTGGCAAGGGATACTACGCTGCGCGCATCCTCGGCTGAGTTAATCATGGGAACGAGGATTCCGCTGGCGTCGAAGAGAGTCAGTTGGTGGTGAGATGCTTCTCGGGGAGAGGTCTACTGCGCTCCGGTATCCAGCGCCCGCTTGATGATCGGCATAGTCGAGCCCGCAACCCGAATAATTGGAGAGGCATCCGCGCTCGCAATGGCGAGGACTTTATCGTGCATGTCGGCGTCGTCGACATTACCTGTCGTGGGTGGTCAGAGGCATGGGGTAGTCTGCAACGGAAGACAAAGACTAGCCATGTTCGCAGTCGACTATGACGGCCTGTTGCCACCATGTCATTCAGCCTAGTTTTCTACGCACAAGGATCCCAAGCACTGACATCTAATCCCGTGTGCGCAAGCGCTTGGGCCGTTCTGGCGCCTTTGAGAGTAGTGAAGGACGCAAGTGCGCGACCGCCTGAGCGTAGAGTATTGAGAAGCCGAAGTTTCGGATTAGCCATGATGTCAATCTCTCTGGAAACATGCTCTGTGCCAATCGCGTTGTATCTCTTATTATATCGTCAGCCTCTGCCGCCACGGAGCGAAGTCCGATCGCTTTTACGACGCGAGCGGGGATTGGATTTCAGCTCGACTTCACCCGTCATTTGGCCGAGCAGTATACGGTCCTGACTTTGGCACACCGTAGTGATGAAAAGCCACGCGAGATGTTGAAACCACTCCGAAGATCGACGACTAGACTCCCTCATATTTTGAAGAATCAGTTGTCCTCCCGGGGGGCGGCCAGGAGTTTCTACACTCTTACGCAGACGAGAATAACCACGCCTCCGAGAAACCCCGTGCAGCAAATAATTACAAACCCGAGAACAATCGTCCGATCTACTAGCACAATGCCCCCATCACAACAACAACAACCAAAAGACGGCGCCGTCCTCACCGCCACCTTCCAAGTCCAAGACACCGACCTCGCGAGCGCCATCTCCCCCGACCCGAGCGACGTCTACGCCCGCGTCCTCGCCACCCCGCGCCTGGTCTCCTTTATGGAGATCGTGTGCGCGCGCATGCTCGTCCCTCACCTCGCGGACGGCCAGCTTTCCGTGGGCGTGCGGGTGGAGATGGATCACCTAGCCGCGACGAATGTGGGAGAGACGGTGGAGGTCAAGGTGACGTTTCTGCAGAAGGAGGGGAAGCAGTTTGTGTTTGAGTGCGTGATCTCTGACGCGGGTGGGGAGGTGGGAAGGGGAGTGTGTAGACGTGCGATTATTGACGAGATGAGGTTGATGGAGGGGGCGGGGAAGAGGGCGAAAGGGGGAAGTCGACTTTGAAGGATGGGTTGTGTGGTACAGGTGTGCTTTGGAGACCGCTCGTGGCGGGTCTCAGGCATATGATATTGCTCCTAAGTGGTATTTCGACAAAGTGGCAGTAGAACATGCCAGATTCAATCAATGCTCAACTCCCTCCCAATTCGCAGAGTGTGCGCTTATGGGCCCAAACATGCAAGCCAACACCGTCGCTATGCTCCCAAATCCAGACAAGGCTATGCTTGCAAAGTGCCATCTTCGTCCCCCGCGGCATTTCTTCTTCGCTTCCTCGCCTTGCTTCGATCGCCGGTGGTAGGGATGGGCTTCTCGACTTGCAGCACTCGTGCGAGCACGCGCTCTGCCGGCAGAAGCAGCAGCCACACCTTGTTGCAAGTGAAGCAGAAGAGGACCGACAGGATTGCAGCAACGGCATCCAGAAAGTAGTGATTCGCGGTCGCCACAATAACCAAGAGTACCAAAGCGGGGTAGAGGAAGCCGGCGAGCATGAGTCCAATCATGCCCAAAAAGCTGCCCTCTCTCGGCTTCCCGCGCAAGGATTGCAAGAACCCGGAATGCCAGAAAAGAGTAGAGCCAATGATCAAGGCATACGTGAAATGCAAGCTTGGCATGGCAGCGAGTTGGTTGAAGTTACCGCTCTCTCCATTCTCTCCCACCCATACGCTTTCGGCGTGGGCCTGGCGAACCGTGTCTTCGAAGCCGAAGCGCTCCGGTAGTAGCCGGGGAGGCATGCAAGGCCAGATGGCGAAGACGAAGAAGGCGACAAAGTTGCCGAGGGCCATGGTGCGGCGAGCGGTGGAGAACTGATTGAAGGAAGGTGCGGCGTAGTAGTACCAGCAGATGAAACTGATGTGAGTTAGATTAGCTGCCGCGGTGAGACGGGGGATTGAACGCGGGGTACATACGCCACAGTGCCCGGGATGTGAACGAGCGAGTAGATTTGGTTCAACACGCTCATTATGCCCACATGCTTCTGCAAGAAGAACTTTTGGACGGAGATCTCTTGAAGAAAGAGGAAGCTGAACGCAGATTCGTGCTCGAAATCCAGAATGTCGATGCCGTGTTTCTGCGCGAGTTCGACGACGGCATTGCCCTTTTGTCCATGGAAGGCGGCAGCGGCATCCTTGGACAAAAGGTAGGCGACGTAGTTAAGGCCCCAATAGAACATTTCGATGAGGAAGGGGAATTTCTGGAGAATACGACTGTGGACGTGATTCCGGTAGGGACCAGTTTGGGCGGCGCCACGTACACGGGAAGGAGAGCGCTTGGAGGGATGCGGAGAGGGATGCCGGAGGAGGGAGTCGTCACTCTCCGAGGCATACAACTGGTCGTCGGGCTCGACGAGGGTGTCTTCGCTACTCCGTGAAGCCGCGGCGGGACTGGCATTTCTCCAGGTGGTGCGCGCACGTGAGGGGATGATATGATAGCCTCGCTTCCGGGTGATGATGACCGCGGTGATCATGGACGCCACAACGATCGGTGGGGATGTCAGCGATGTCGTGGGTCACGCGCAGAGGAATGGGAAGACTCACGACCGGTTCGATCCAAGAGAGCGCGGCGTGCTGCGCGTGCCCCAGGTCGGGAGCACGTGAGGCCGCATGTTGGCTAGACATCGCGTAGTGAGGGAGGGCAGATGTCAGGTCAGTAAATGGCCGGCGGCATTCCCTTGAAAAGGAAGGAGACAAGGGGGTAATAGTAGGGTTGGAGGTGGTGGGTGCGAGAAAAGAGCAGATGCAGGGTCGCAGGCAGCCGTATAAAGAGAGTGGGTCGGGGTATCAGCCTCGAGGGTTTGGCAATTTCCAGGGTCAGGGGACGGGCAGGCAACCGCGACGACTGCGCGCCTTCGCGCACACTCGTGAATAGCGGTGGAGACGTAGAGAAGGGCAAGGCGAGCAATGTAGGGGTAGATGAGAGAGTGTTGTGGCCAAGGGAGGTCAAGGGGAGGAGCAAGAGGGCAGCGGGCGGCGGATGGGTGCGGTCGCGTGCTCCGCGCTGAAAATTGGACAAGCGTTGGTACCTTATTAGGGTAGGCAGGCGGTTGACGGCTGATGATGAAGCGCTGGCGCCCAGCCAATCACGGGAGCCCGGTAGGAGCCGCGCGGGTGTTCAAATACCTGTAATCCAGCATACACGTCAGGTAAGCATGCATAAACAAGCGAAAGCAACACCAAACGCTTACAGCACTTTACATTGTTATTTGCCAAGCCATTCGAATTGGTTTCATGATTACTACCTACTGAGGTGCCTCGAGGCAACGAAAGATTTGAGTAAGAGCCATCATCGGCGTCACGTGATCCTTCTCTTCGACACGAGGTTATGTAAGCACGAGGTGGGGCAGGTGTGGCGATCAGAAGAAACGTCACCCCGCACTCTCCATCATCCATACCTTAGCCATGCCATCTTCTCTTTGATACCATCCTCATCCGTGTCCCCTTCAACCCCACCGCCATGCTCTCCTGGCTAGGCTTCGGCCCGGCGTCCATCCGACTCCCCAAGCCTGAAATCCACGACGTCGAGGGCAAACCCGACAAGCGAGCTCGCACGCTGAAACACCTCCTCAAAGCGAACCACGCCAATCACAGCGTCATCTACAACAACCTGCGCTTCCACAACCACACCCCTCACGTCCTCTCCTCCTCCTACATCCTCGGTGCCGATTCCGACCAGCTCAACCACGTCTACGATGCCGAAAGCCACAACCTCGAGCCCTGGCGAGACAGCCCCGGCGAGATCGCGCAGCATGACTGGCGTGACTACCTGGGCAAGCGAGAATACCAACGCGCATACCTCGACTTCTTTGAAGACGAGCTCGTCCGCCACGGCTACGACTGGCGCTCTCTGTTGAACGAGTATATGCTGCAGGGCAAGGAACCGCTCATCAACAATCTCATCTCCGGCCTTGGCCATCCCCTCATCCACTACGGATATGCGGAGGAAATGTCCAGCCGTGCCATCGCGCTCGAGAGTCTCGTCCTCGCCGCCTGCTTCTACAACGACTGGCACGTCTTCCTCGACGACCCCTCCTACACCAAGCCCGCGCCCAACCCCACCGACTCCCTCTTCACCATCCTCGACCGCGTCAGCCACGATCCCGTCTTCGACGGCCTCGCCGAATACCCCGGTGCCGACAACATCGAACCCTTGCTCGCCAACGAAGCCATGGCAGCCAAAGCTCTGGAATATTGGAACTCCTGGCAATTGAAGAGCCCCACCGAGCAATTCTCCGAATCACAGAAAGTCGCCGTCGCCCTGCTCGTCGCCGCGCAGACACCCAAAGACGAAAAGCTCTACGACTTCTTCGCTGTCCACCTGCTCACCACTTCCCACGCCGTTCGCGTGCTGCTACCCTCTCTGCCACCCAAATTCCACCTCCCGCTCGTCCGCCAGTGGTGGCTCTTCACCCTACTCGTATACATTGCGCAACTCCGGCCCAAGATCAACATCGACACCATCAAGCTCGTCGACTTGGAGGGACGCGACTGGAGCTACGTGACGGACAAGGCGCTCAAGGGCAAGTACCGCACCGACGCGCACTACGTCAAGGCGCTGCGGAGCATGTGGGAAGCGAGCAAGACGTGGGGAGACGGCAACCAGTACTACCTCAAGGCGGCAGTGAAGATGGCCGAGGAGTTTGATGGCTGGGGCGGGTTCGGACCGCGCGATATGGACTTGGAGGCGCACGAGAATGCTCCTGCGATGGCTGCGGAAGAAGCCAAGGGTCAGGGGGAGGCCAAGGGAAAGCAGAGGTTTTCGGGCTTGGGCATTGGTGGCAGGTTTTGGTGAGGCGTTGGCGCTGGCATAGCATGATAACACGACCTTTGGATGATCACGATGTGTACCTACAATGAACTTCTTTCATCTACGCCACAGTACAACATGACTGCTTTCCGTCAAGTCGCCTTCAGACTTCACCAGAACGGCTTTTCCTCAGCAACCGGTTCTTCAATTTCCGCCCATCTGAACGGCCCGCTGTTGTTCAACCCCACCCCGTCAATCTGTGAGATGCAAGTCGCTGCACACGAGTGTATTCTATCCGCCGTGGAAATGTCGGCAGTCTGTGCATACATCCCCGCCTCCCACCATAGCCGCTGACCCTCGATCATTGTCGCTCGCGGTTGGACGCTGGCTTGAAGGTTGAAAGGAGACATGGTTGTTGACGCAACATCCAGTTGCTGAACTTCAGTGACGTCCACTTCGATTCCTTTGGCAATTGATTTTCTGAAGTGTCGCTTTGCGTACACGTTCTCCACCGAAAAGGAGCCGGCTGGAACGAGTGCTTGAAATGAAGGTGCAATGCCGTTGGTTTGGATCGATGCCACGAAGCCTCGCACCGTCTGCATCAACTCCACATCCACTTCCGGCCGCTCGATGCTGACTTTGGCATCCCACACTCTGAGCGGGTGATGGATGTAAGCAATGCCAAGCGGGTTGTTCGTGTGCGAGACAAGGAAGTTTTGGAGGTCGGTCTGGTCGAATGTGATGGTCCGCTGAGCACCTTCAGCATTCTTGATCTCGATCTCGTATGTGACGGTAGCCCGGGCTTCACCTGCTCCGAACAAATTGAGCATGAAGCGAGCATCGTCATCAGAGGTGGTCATCCGGGGTAAAAAGTTGGTTGTGATCCCGATGCCGTCTTGAAGTTTCTCTTCCACCGCATTGGCGGTATTCACGCCGGTCAGAATAGGCTCGTCAGTCCGATCTTTGACCAGCAGCGTGCCGAATTGTACAATGATTTGGGTGTCGCCAGTGTTGGGCACCAGGAGCAGTTCTTGCATAAGCATTCCGACTGGAGTGGTAGACAAGGAGGAGTCCGCGATGTTCGCTTCTTTCTTTGTCATGCGGCTGTCAGCTTCCACAACAGGTAGATCGGATGGGCCTGCGGGGATCCCGGTGGACGACGACGCGATGGTTTCGCCCTCTAATTTCTTCGCGCCCCTTTTCGGCGCAGGCAGAGGATCGGGCTTTGGCAGATCCGCGTGGGGTTGTGCTGCGCTGCCCTTCGCCCTCGCCGATGCATTCCGATGTTTGTTGCCTTTGCCTTTCTGCTGACGCATTGTGTACTTTTTGAAGTTGCTGGCCAGTTCGTCGTCTTGAAGGCGCTCGATGATGGAATCGTCATCATAATCTTTGGGGCCAGGCTGTCTCTGGTTGTCTGTACGTGACGGCCGATTGTGTAATCCTGACGGTTTCGTAAACGGCCGGCTATTCTCTGGTCCGGAGTTGTAGAGATCGATCAAAGGCTCTTCTTCATCTGGCTTGATATTCATCGAACAAGGCTGCGGCGACTGCGAGGCGGTGAGGGCCATGCGAGGCGGTTGGTCATATCCGGGCGGAGGCTTGATCGACGAAGTTGTTGTCGGCGCCGTGTCATCTATCAGAGTTCCCGTTCGAACGTCGCGGTGAATGACGTTTTGCCACGCTGAAATATCAGCCTGAGGAGCAGATTGCACATCCGTGCTGGCACTTGATGGGCCATAACGGTTCTGGCCGTTCACCGATGGAGCATCTCTTCGCACGATCCCACGACGATTGAGCCTCCTCCTGGGTGACAGCTGGGTGTCGGTACTCCATTGAGCCAGGTTTGTTGCACTGGAAGATCGAGCGTTGGTCTCGGAGCTGCCCGAGGCTTTGTGCGTTCTTGAGGTACTTGCAGAGCCTTTTGTGGATGGACTAGCCTCGGTCGCTGGACGGAGTGGTATAGCCGCCTGTCTTGCGGATAGACCGAGGTCCCAGTTGTGATGCTCTTGGTTGTTTGCCTGCTTCGTCGGAGGCACCCCTGGTTGATTGCGGGCAGGCGGCTGCTTTGCCAGATGTGGAGGCTGCGCGGACGACTCAGTATCTGTATCACTGTCGTCGGAGCTCTCAGAATCCGAGTTGACAGGAGTGGGAACGGGATGTAGAGGCCCTCTTGCTCTCCGCGGCATTGACACGTTGTTTCGACGTTGGAAGCTCTCAGCATCTTGAGGTGGCATGGGCATGTAATCGGGGGTCTCCGGCTGAACCTCGCTCATGCCTTCAAGGAATTGCTGAACTGCCGTCGAGCTGGTGGCGTGGTTGGAGGTGACAGCGAGAGCGTGTTCTCCACGCATGGCACCTCCGTCCACGCTCGATTTGGCCCCAACGAATGTGAACTCTGTTGAAGTAATCACATCGTCGTCAATCAAAGAGATCGCAGTGGTCGAGATGGGCGTGCCAATACGGCCATTGAAGACATAGTCTTCAATACCTGGTGACCATCGCATAGCCCGACAGGTGAGTCCCCATGCAAGCATGTTGTCTGAGGACGGCTGATCTGCCACCAGGATCCGGTCCAGCATACCAGCAGGGAGGTCTCGCGGGGCCCAAAAGGCCAGCGATGTGTTCTGTGCATTTTCGACGAAGACGTAATGAATGATGCGCGGCAAGCCCCGCCTCGGGGTGGGTGGACTCGTTGGCTCTGTCAGTGGCTGGGAAGGCGGCTCGGTCGAAGCATCGAGATTGTCGAATCGGCTCGCTGCAAAACGACGGATACGCGGCTGTGGATTTGACCCGGTCAGTATCAACTCGGGCGCCAGGAAGCAAAAATAACAAGCATCTCACCTCGCCAACCCCCGCCCTTGCCAGCTCGTCCTTGACATATTCCCACAGAACATTTCTCAAGACTTCATCAGCGTGCACGCCAACACCGGTCGGGCAAGTCAGACAAAACAGCTGTTGGTAGAGGTGGTCAGCTAGACGCAGGAGGTTGTGAAGAGCGTATAGCTTACGTCTTGCACAGTGTCGTAATGACATCTCGCCGACACATTCTGCACCTTCGCGCCGAACAAGGCAATGACGGCCTCTCTTGCCTCCCTGTTGAACTGGTAGAGAGTTCCGTGGAAGTAATGTGCCTCTTCCATGGTCGTCTCCGTCCAGTACCACACGCAATGCGGAAGACAGGATCGGGTGGGAGGCGTTGGGTGGAGGTGGAAAAGAGGACAAGGAAGGAATTAAAGTACTTGCCGCAAAGTGTGCTCGTCACAGGCAGGTGCGAGTTTGCTTTGCATGTGAGGAAGGAGCGTCTGACACTAACGCACAGCTGCATCCTCTCCCACAATCATTCACACATGTAGGAGGACTGAGACGCGTCGCATGGCGTTGAATGAGACACGTGCTGCATGCACCAGCTCGTGACACATGTCAATTCAACGGGAAGGGGAGAAGTGAGGTCGTGTCTGGGAGTGACAATCAGCGGCTGCAGCCATAAGTCAATGCAGGGGTAGATGCCCACCCGCCAATGAAACGCTTGCTATCCCGAGATTGATACAGGTATGAAGAAGTGATGCTCCGCGGTGCGCTGTGTCAATGCGTCTTCCCACGACACCGCTACGTCCATTGTCCAGAGCTGGTCGCTTAACCGACAGCACCAGGACTCTTCACATTTTGCTGGACTCCCATTAACCACCGCATCTCGTTGACCACATTCTCCATCTCGTCGCTCAAGAAGCGTGATCGTGCTCCTTCCCGCTCGTTTTCATCCTCCATCCCTTGGAGTCGCGCAGTCTGATCCTCGCGCAATCTCGCCCATGCCTCGACGAGCTCTCCATTGACCTTCTTCGACCTTTCCAGCTCCTGCCGCATTTGATCCGCCACGACATCCAGGCGACTCAGCTTCCGCCGATCTTGCTCTCGTCCGTCCGCAACAGCAGTGAGGTCGTTCTTCCACGTCTCCGCGCGTGCCCGGTACTCCGCCGCGAGCTGCCGATGGCTGGTCTCTAGAATCTCCGCGTGCACTGTTGCGTGCTTGCTGCTCTCCACCAAGCTCTGCATCTCGCGTCGTGTTTGCTCCTCCATCTCTTCCTTCTCCTGTTGTCGCTGCCGTGCCAGAGACTCCGCCGTTTCCCTGCGTTGCCGCTCCGCAGCCAACTCCGCCTTCAGCTCTTCGATTTTGCGGTCCCTTCTCGAGATTAAATTTGAGTCCACGCCCCTAGCATGAGTCAAGTTGTCATTCTCCTGTCGTAGCGCTTCAATCTGCGGTTTGTATGTTTGCAGACTCTTCTCCAGCTCCTGGCAGCGGAGGACTTGTTCGTTGAGATCCCGTTTGAGCTTGTCATTCTCGCTCATCAATCTCTCAATGACCCTGCCGCTTTTGCCGGTGGCTGTGGCGTATCCAATGGCAGAGCTCCATGCTGCCGGAGAGTTCTCGGACGTGGCAGAGAGGGGCGAGGCGGATGGCGGGCTTGTAGTGAGTGCAATGTCCTTGGACGAGTCTGATCGCGAGGGTGTGGAGTGTTGCACGGCCAGTAGTGCCGAGCCAGGCGATGCCGACTTTGTAGTGGTGGTGGTGGTCGTGCTGGACGGCTGGAAGGCGTTCATAGTGATCTTGGGCAGATCTTCAACGCGCAGACCCGGTTGTCGCAGAGTCGACGGGACTTCGGGAGGTGGAGGTCAGCAGTAGTTCGTCGTAGCGGGCAAGAGCGGGTGCGCGAGGAAGAGGGAGAGGAGCAGCTACGGCGGGTTGGGCGCATGAAGAAGGACACACCTGGACTGCCTGCCGGCGTGGACAGACTATCGACCCGATATCTCTTGACGACTTGCGGCGACGTTTGCGGGCTTGAATTGCGTGACTTCATCCCTTCTCGTGGCGGACGCCCCAATCGCGCGGTCTCCCGGATGCTCTATGGGCTCGCTTCCGCCGGTCTCACTGTACGGGTTCGGGCACGGCGAGAATGTACAGCAATGTACAGATAGATGGCGAGATAGAGAGCATGAGGGCACGATATGAGACGTGTCTGAACGTGGCTCAAAATTGGCCCCGTCGTCCAGGGGCCGTGCGGCGTCCTGCAGGAGCAAGCATGATCACGGTGGTGACGAGGGGTCATCAACAAAACAATGGATGCGCCGTCAAGCTTTCCGCCTAAACGGCGTTTTGTGGGGCGGACCATCCCCCGCCGAACCATCGCGCTCGTTCAATCAGCGGGCGCGAAAACGCGTTCACGCGTCCACGCGGCTGCCGGCCCGAACAGTACCTGCATTTGACAGGCCAGACATTTATACAGTAGACGAAGTACAGTCTTTGTCTATTTGACCTCACTCTCGTCCCTCAGGTGGAAGCGCATCTTCATTCCATCCACGGGCACAGTCGTCACATGTTGGGTCCCCCAGACCTCCCGCTCGCCATTTCGGCCAGTCAGGCCGACTTTTTCGAACCTCAGCCCCCTCGTCACGGCACAAAGCACGAGTTTTGCTTCCATCATGGCCAGCTCCTGTCCAATGCAGTTTCGGGGGCCCCTCTCGAATGGCCGGAAAGCGCCAGGGGGTAGTGCACTGATATACGCCTCATCCAACCATCTAGCGGGGTTGAAGACGTGCGCATCTGCACCCCATACCTTGGGATTGCGATGCATGATCCACTGGCAATTGTACACGCGCAATCCGTCAATAGCAGTACGTCGCCCATCGATGTCGATGAAGAAAGGTGGCGTAGAGCTCGAGGCTTCCGGAATCCCGCGGGCAGTAGCTGCCGGGGGATGCAATCGAAGGGTCTCCTTTACGAAAGCGGTGCTTTTTGGAATCTTGTCGCCTAATAACTCATCCGCTTTGCCTGGCTGGCTGAGAACATCCAGAGCAGAGTAGGCTCCCGGCCCGAAAACGCGCTCATGCTCGTCTTCGAGGCTGCTGACAATCTCACGATATCGCGGATCGTGGTCCGCTTTCGATAGCTCGTACGCCAGATATTGGATCAACGTGGACGTTGTATCCTGGCCGGCAAAAAGAAAAGACTTGATTTGGTGCACCGTGTTTCTCAGCAGTGCTGGTGTGGGATCAAGATCGGCGAGCGCTAACTGGACGATAGCTTTCGCGGACGAGTCGGCTTTCTTGGGATGCGTTTGCTCGCGCTGGAGCTTTAGGGACAGCACCGAGTAAAGCTGGCGATCGAAGGACCACTCGTAGAAACGTTCCTTGATTCGTCGTACAGGGTTAAGATATCCAATTGGATCGAAACCCTGACCAGTCGTGGCGACGAGCTTCGACAAGATTCGCGAAGCAGTCAGGACGCCGAACGTTGATTTCGAGCCCGTCCCGTCAGCAACGGACTGAGCTTTGAAGTCTTTTTCCATAGTGAGTTGCGTGATAACATCAGTCGTCAGGTCTTGTGCAAAATCTTTCAACGCAAAGGTCTGACCGCTCCTCGCAGCATCTTGAATGCGGGCGATGAACGTGCGAGTCTGGGCAACGATGAAAGGACAAAGAGCATGCAGATGTGCCGGTGCAAAGCCTTTGTTGAAGCGCTTCCTCAGATCCCTCCACACTTCGCCTTCGGCCATGATCAAAGTCTCCTCGCCCAGAAGCCTATTCAAGGACTGCCGCATGGTGTCGCTCTTGGGCGCCGAAAAGGGGTACTCCGAGGAAGACTGCACCACGGTGTCTGCCACCGCCGGATCAGCGACTATCAAGAAGCCATGGCTGTCGACTGGAGCCAGATCAATGTGGAATGCAGCTGGTTGTCCCAAGTCGTGCCAGATCTCGCTGAAGCCGTAGTCTGGATGTCGATTGAGCTGTGGCGAGCATTTTCGCCCGATCGCAATCAAGTTGCCCAACAGCCAATGCCGCGGCAAGCTCGGGATGTCTCGATATCGTTTTCTAGTATGATACGTAAAGACTGCCAGTCTTGTCGTCTTGTAGATGAGGAAGATGAAAATAGGCAAGACGGCGTAGTATCGGAAAGAATGCGAGGACTGAGGCGTGCGCTGCACTGCAGGCTGCTCGTACTCCATTATCGCGAAAAGAGCACAGCAACGGAAGAGACGTCCAAAACGTAGTCCAGGTATTTACTCAACGTCGCTTCATTCGTCCCATGCCATTGTATGAAGATGTCATTGAAGTCATGCAGGCAGTCGAGACGGTGCGGGCCGCGGTGCCCGGCGTCATTCCGGACCAGACTAGATGAGCCACGTCAAATGGTGCAGCTGGGGAAACCTGACATCACTTTCCGTTGGAACAAATCCACGTTTTGGCTGACAGCCACTAGATAACAGCATCCATGACAGTACGGACGGCGGTTGGAAGCGGATGATGCGATGGTCGGAAGGACACTGCTGCCCTGAAACGGCGCCACACTTGCTTCTACATCAATTCAATCCAGACCAACAGCGTGACTCTCGCGCCTCAGGTGCATCACATACCAACCACTCGCAGCGATCTCGTCGCACACATGGCAGACCTGACACAAGCACGCTCTCAAACTGATCTGCCGGCACCAGAAGACCATCGGACTCAGCGCTCCCATCTTCCTCGCCGTCTTCACGCGCATAGCTTCCGGTCCAAGGGCCAGTGGGGATCCGGTCACCACCTGCTCGGCCAGAGCGTGAAGAGCTCCGTGCAATCCGCCGTCGAGCTGAAGCCAGCGATCAACTTTGAGCATCTACGTCGGAAAGAGCACAAGAGCGCAACAAATGCCAGAGGTGCTGCCACCCCATTGCAAGCATGGAGCGAAGGCCCGAGTGCACCCGCAACAGCCGCCGCAGAAGCGCCAACGCGAACAGCAGATGTCGCCAAGGCGAAACGACACAATGTGAAGAGAGAGGAGACCCTGCGCGCGGATCTCAAGAAGGTCGAGGAGATTGGCCGGGACAGTACAAGACAGCTGGACGAGACATACTATGGCATTCTGGAAAAGGCGTCTCTCCTGCGATCCACCGTCGCAGGCTTGCAGCTGCTGGCACAAGAAAGCAAAGAGATGCACACTGCTTTCAACGACAGCGTGGGCAAACTGGAAAGCGACACAGCGCAGACCATCCAGGGCTTCGACAACTTTGACCCGCAGGAAAAGACGATCAACGACCTCGTGCGCAGCATCGAGCAGTCCAAATCCACGACTGAAGCCTTGAACAGCCGGCTTGAGTCCGCGAGATTGCGCGTGGAGGCTTACGAGAAGCGGGACAACGCAAAGCAGGCGAAGCGTAAAATCCGCTTACGAATGACGTGGATCACGATACTGGGTCTTACGGTGCTCGCCATTGCAATATTGATCGCCAGGGATCGAAAACGAGTGGGCCATGTGGTGGAGCGGCAGCTGCTACGGATAGGAGACCTGGTGGACGATGTGGCCGCGCCCATTCGACTGAAGCCGTCGCCGAGTGAAGATCCCCGCCTACAACGACTGTTTGATGAGATCTGAATGCAGTCGGTGGGACGAGACGAAGCTCAGCGTCTTGTCGAGTATGGCATGTAACGTATCATGCGGGCTTGCGCGCAATGGTGACAGTGAAGCGGAAATGAGTGCCAACTGGGCCTCGGACAAGCCGATCCATCGCTTCCTCGTACACTTCTTCCGGATCCTCGCCTTGTTCCGGCTGCGCCGCCCGCTCTGAAAGCATGCGGAGAAAGACGGGGACCTCCCATTGGAAGCATTTCCCGATCCGTGCAGTCTCGGGTCGCGCAGTCCAGTCCGATCGAAACGGGAGCGGGTATGGTGTGGCTAGCACAGCCTCGAATCCCATCTGCCGACAAAGGTCCGGCAACTCGTCAGCGATCTCAGTATTGAAGCCACGCTCTTCGCCGTCTCTCTTGAAAACGACCGAGAAGCGCCAGTTGTCCGAGATCACGCGTTCGTCTGCATCATACGCCCTATAAGCGTTGAATTCCTGAAACTCCAGCCAGCCCCCTGGCCTCAGTAAGCCGCTCAACATGGCTATGTGGGCCCTCCAATTCTTCACCCACAAATACAGAGCTCTGCCGTATATCTAGGGTGAACGGAGATCAAGCATTAGCAAGTCGTTATGTCGAGGGCAAGTCTTTTGTGCATACAAGATCGAATGACGCAGGCTGGAGCAGGAGTTCGTGCTGGCCATTGACGACGTCCTCGATTTGCCCGAGGATGAACTCGGCGTTCTTTGGTTTTGTCTGGACGTCCGGTACAGGGTTGGGGTCCACTCCTATGACTGTGGCATCGGGGTATAGTTCTGCGAGCAATCGAGTCTGCATTCCCGTTCCGCAGCCAACGTCGAGAATCCTGGCTGGCTTCTGCAACGGGGCCAGCGAGATTCGGCCAAGCATCATCTCGTTGAATCCGCTGCTTTGTGCGTTGAGACGTGTGTGCTCTGCGGAATTCACAATCATTGGGTAGCTCTTCGACCCGTCAAGCTCGAACGCGGCCTGGGAAGTTGACATTGGAACGGGCTCACAGGATAAGTAGAGTGGGAGCACTTCTGGTGAGGATAGTAAGTTACTTTCCATGCCCAGATGATGCTGCTCTTCTAATTTGTACGGCTCAGGCTGTATTTCCGCCGCAAGTCAGCTTACCGGCGCTAATAAACTCTGTTCCTCGTCTTACAGTAAGATGCGATCGCAGATAGCCATGGACCCCAGGACGCGCCTCTCACTCATGGATATGATTGCTCAAGCGGTACCATGTCTCAATCACATCCGAATGAAGAAAAGGCGTTGCCGGAAGAACGAATACGCCCAGGCTGAGCAAGTGCGAAATCACGTGCTGGTGGATTTCTAAGAACGTCAACCCGCGCCACGATATGTGACATATTTAATCGTCGTCGCTGTCAATTCTCCAGCACATGAACCAATGCAACCTTTCCATCTGCTCGCTGTCGACAGATAATAGCACCACTAGCTCCCCACATCGTACTGACCTTTGTGCATTTCGCAGATGGCGCCGATTCGAATTGCTCTCATCGGCCTTTCCCAGTCCGCCAAAACATCCTGGGCAGCTTCAGGCCATCTCCCGTATCTCCTGTCTGAACGCGGCAAAGCACGATATAAAATCATAGCGCTTCTCAACTCGAGCGAAGGGGCGGCCAAAAAGGCCATTGAGGCGTTCGGGTTGCCATCGGATGTGAAAGCTTACGGCACCGCCGACGATCTGGCGAAAGATGCAGACGTCGATCTAGTCGTATGCACCACGCGGGTCGATGTGCATTTTTCGACCATCAAGCCTAGCGTTGCAGCCGGCAAGAACGTCTTTGTCGAATGGCCGCTTGCGGAGAACGCGACGCGCGCTGGAGAGCTCGCTGAGCTGGCGCGCAAGACGGGCTCGAAGACGATGGTGGGATTGCAGGGAAGAGCTTCGCCCGTAATCGTGAAGTTGAAACAGCTCATACAAGACGGGGCGATTGGGAAGGTCGTGAGCGCCGATGTAACCGCCTACACGCCTGGTGGAGGTGGCAGTTCCATGTCAGAGGGACTGGCTTACTTTTTGAAGAAAGAGGTTGGCGGTAATCCTGTTACCATTGCATATGCACACAGTGAGTGGTTGGCTAGCGCGCCCAACTGGTGCTCAATCTGACTCCATCATAGCAATCGATTACATCCACGCTGTCCTTGGCGAGTTCGAATCATTCACCAGCCATTGCCAGATACAACGCCCGGAGCAGACCATCATCAACAAAGAGACCGACCAGACCAGATCGACAATCTCTGACGTCCCCGATCTGGTCTCCACGCATGGCACGCTCAAAGCTTCTGAGTGGGTCAAAGAAGGAGCGTCGCTCATCGTCAACTTTCGGACTGGCCCACCGTTCCCAGGTACAATGCCATTTGTGTGGGTCATTACCGGGGATAAAGGTCGAATTCGAGTTTCCTGCGAGAGGGGCCCGTATATCCAGTCCGCAGCTGCAGCGTTCCCCATCCCGATCGAGGCCGAGGATATCGCGAGCGGAGAAGTCCGACAGGTGGCCTGGGCTTGGGAGGACTGGCAAGAGCCGCTGCAGGCCAGTGGGAGATGCATCGGAGCGCTGTATGATTTGTATTATGAAGGTCGGTTTGCGGAATTCGGGGTTGCAGACTTTGACGCAGCGGTCGAACGCCATCAGCAGATAGACAGCATTCTGTACTGATTGACGCCGATCATTTGCAACGCATCTGACCAGGACTGGGGTGTTGTTGAGTAGCTTTCGTCTGGCCGGCGAGCTTCGGGTGCATATTCGTTCATCCGGACATCTCCAGCTCAATGGGTTTGAAGCCGGCCAACTCGCTAGGATTTCAACAACTTGTTCCGCTTCTCGCGCCTCTTCAATCTCTCCACCCGTTTGCGATGCATCTTCTCCGCCATCTTCTCATACCGCTCCCGCTCTTCCTTGGCCTCTCGACGGTCTCGAATAGCCTGAATTCTCCTCTAGAAAGCAGGCGTGTCAGTGCACGTCCTCATGGGTCAAGACGGCATCCCTCGACCTACCTGTCGCAAAGCCTCCTTCTCCGCCTTCATCTCGTTTTCCATCTTCTTCACTTCGGCCTCTTGCGCTTGCTTGACGACCCGTTTGGCGTATGTCGTTTGGCCAGCAGTGGGTCGGAATGGTTTTCTAGGCTGGTGCCACTGTTTGCCGTTCTTGCGAATTCCCGAGACTTGCGCCGTCTTGCCCGAGACGGCATCCACGGGAGAGTTTGCAGCTTCCACTGCCATCTTGCGATTTCGATGCTCGTTGAGTGAAGCGCGAGGTCAGAATTCTGGAAAGAAGACCGAAATTGTCGCGGGAGGCAGTCAAGAATTATATCGCGATAAGAAATAGAGTTTCCGATAAGCGGGAATTTAGTTGCGCTGACTCAGAACGCGAAGTTTCACGTCTGGTTGTGCAACACACCGCCCACTCCCTCCGCATGCATATTTAGGCGACCTCGCAACTCCACTCGACCGCGTTCACGATCGTATCCTTTGCAGCATATGCATTGATCTTCATCCCCCAATTGGACTTTGCGCGGTCAAACACAACGCCTATCATGCTACCGCGATAACATTGATCATTCGCAACCGCCTGGACAAGCAGTTCGGGTGAAGAAGCGTTTGGCAAAATGGCGAGCGAGAGGATGGACATGAAGAGTAGGACTGCAACAACTACGATGCCCTACGAGCCCACAATACCAACCATACCGGAACCAACAACGACAGCACGCCTTCAGCCAACCAGCCAGGGCGTTGAAGCACTGAAAGACATTGCATTCGGCAGCATTGCTGGAATAGCGGGAAAAGTGGTGGAGTATCCCTTTGACACGGTCAAGGTCCGTCTACAATCTCAGCCGGATCACGTCCCGCTTCAATACAAGGGGCCCTTGGACTGCTTTCGCCAGAGCGTACGACAAGATGGCTTCCGAGGATTGTATCGCGGTGTGAGTGCACCCTTTGCTGGGGCCGCCGCCGAGACCGCCTGTCTCTTCTGGTCCTATCGCATTGCCCAGGACTTTCTCCGCTCCACCCTCTATCCCTCAGACTCCGCACTACCTCTCACCGGCTTGGTCACAGCAGGCGCGTTGGCCGGTGCTGTCACCTCCGTCATCCTCACACCCATTGAACTCGTCAAATGTCGGATGCAGGTCCCTCTGCACTCCCCTCTGGACCCCACGCTTCGTCCAGGCACGAGCCTATCATCTTCCTCACTAAGTCCACTCGCCGTCATAGCCGATGTATACAGGAGGGAAGGCGTGCGCGGCTTCTGGCGCGGGCAAATGGGCACGTTTCTACGAGAGACGGGAGGCACGGCAGCGTGGTTTGGCTCTTACGAAGCGTGCACCATGTTCTTTAAGAAACGACTGCGGGCCTTGTCGTCGGACCCGACCCTCAGCGATCCAATGCTGCCTGTGCACCAGCAAATGGCTTCCGGGGCGGTTGCAGGCATGAGCTACAACTTCATCTTCTACCCGGCCGACACCATCAAATCCAAGATCCAGACCGGCGAGCTGACGCACGCTCGACCAACCTTCCTCAGCACCGGCAGGGCTTTATGGCGGTCTCATGGCTTGAAGGGGTTGTATCGAGGATGCGGCATCACCGTTGCGAGGAGTGCACCTAGCTCGGCACTCATCTTTACGATTGTGGAGAATCTGAAGCGGTGGTTTGCTTGACGACATGGAAGTGAAGTCTGCATTGGTGGCACTGCATGGATACCCCGAGCAGCATCGGCGTTTGAGAGCGTAGATATGATTAGAGCTTTCGATAGAGACGACGTCTGCATTGTGATTGTCACGATAGCCCAGAGCCCTTGGCAATCCAATGGCTGCCGCGTGCTCGTAAACGGAGGTTGAAACGTCGAAGGATCTTGCGAAGGAGCGGTCCATGCGATCGAGGCCCGAGGCATTTCCACGCGAATGATGTATCGGTCTTGGAGTACATGGTAGGATTTCAGTCACGAGGGCGATGCGTACTTCTTCCTACTCTCATCCTTTGCTGCTCACTTACGATCGGACGCAATGTCCGGGAAGCGGAATGATGAAAGCAGCGATGCATGCGAGCTGTGTTCGCAGCGGAAGTCCCGCCCCCTGTACCCCGACGACAATGCATCGAAGATCTGTTTGATGACAACTGCCGTGCCTGCTTGACTCGCGGTCGAATGACGGAATACCGGGCAGGGCCGTCGCTTGCCGTCCACGTTGCACGCGTTGTCGAAGCCGAGACGCCCGACGACCTGTTTGCGGCGTCAGACAACCAGTCTCCGACCTGCTCGTTACCAGATGCTGTCGGGCGAGGTGTGTAAACAACAAACGCGACTCGGGGGCGAGGGAGTCGCGTCAGGCTCAAATCAGAGGGCAGAGCCAGAGTTGGATTGGGATCACCCCGCGTCCCGAACCGAGACAATCAAACCGTAAAACGCGCCCGGGCGTGACGGGCCTCGTATCCTTGTCCGTTCGGGGGTGCTTGTTACGTCAGTGTATACCAAGTGGACATCTTGATGCAAACGACCGCAGAATTGGAGTAGCTGGTGAGCATGAGTGGAAACCGCACGACGTGGACAGGTCACGATAAAGCACTGCTCCGAATCTGCAGCGTCGCAGGCCAGCATGCAAGGAGCTGCCCTGACAGTCCTCCCGACAGCGGCATGTCCAACAGGGGCAACATCTAGCGCGAACGCGCCCCCCGACTGCCCTTCCGCATGCGGCAAGTCGGTGGATCCGCCATCTGGTGTGGCGTTGGGATTTGCTAGAAACAGCGTTTGACGGATTGGAGTTTGATGGAGTTGGGGCTTGCTCGAGCTCCCTCTTCCTCCCCTTCCGCCGCGGGTGTCAAGGATCCAACCCGACCAGCGCGCGCGACCGTTGGATGGGCAAAAATCCGGGTGGCTTGATGGGTTGCGAGGTAGGTGGGCAAACGCGTAACATCCATCGATACAGTAATCTTCCTTGTTGCTTCTTCTGCTCTCTTTCTTGCTTCTCTCCGTCTGTCTCTCTCTCCTCTGACTCTCTGGCGCGTCGCTGCTCCCTGCCTTGGTGTCAGCTTCGCATTCGCAATGGGTCTGATTTCATTCTGGGCGAGCCTCACTGCGCCACGGGTCCGCGAGATCTCCAGCCCGACCGAGGACTTCTGGCCGGAGAGAGGCCGACCAACGACTGCTTCGGCTGTACGTGCATCTCACGGGGACAATGCTGCTGGCGCCCAGCGGCCTCGAACATCAAATGGCGAGAGGAGAATCGGGCGATTGGCGCGGAGTCTGAGTCGACCGCGGCGGAAACACCCTGCCGCATTGAAGGCAGAGGACCGCTCACACACCTCCACAAGTCATGTCACCTCAAGTCAAATCACCAAAGACCTGCCCCCCGTACCCACTCTCCCGCCTTTACCCATCCTCGACCCCGTAGACAGCGACGCCACTCCGCCACCCCAAGACGTCGGCCAGCCAGGGCCGGCCATCTCCCCCGAGGCCCTCCAAGCCTTGCACATCTTCGAGCTCGCCGCCGAGCCCATATCATCCGACGAAGAACGGGAGGCCTCCTTCGAGAACCCCCTCATCCGACGCCGGAGTCTATCCAGCGCCACTCCCGACAGCAGGGCCCCTCGACCTCTGTCGAAGAAGGCATCATGGTTCCGCGTGGGCACCGGAAGAGACAAAGCACTACCTCCCCCTCCTCCGCCAACTGGCCCACTGCCGCCCGTTCCGGGCCCCCAGCAGCAGCAACGACAACAAGAGTACAAAAAACCCGGCACCGCGAGAAGCGACACCTCCGCCCCCGACTCCTCCCCCCAGGTCCCCAGCCTCTTCGACGGGAAGAGCGACACCTCGGCCTCCAGCATCGCCACCGCCTCCGAAGCCGGCAGTTTTCATCAGCCTGCTTCCCCGACCATCGACCAGCGACCGGGGTACAACGGCCGCAACCGAAAGGTCCCATGTCCCGTCCAGACCATGCCTGTGCGCGGACACCGCTACAAGGACTCTGCCATCGTCACGCCGAGGAGCCCGCACACTCCGCTGACGCCGCACACGCCTACAGGCATTATGCGATGGACCAAGCAAACGCATGAGGGAGAGCAGGAAGGGCTTGGTGTCCACATGCTACCCGACGAAGAGCAACAGCAGCGTTCGGTGCCGAGTTGGACGAGCAGTGCGCCGCGGATTGAGATGGACGAGACTACTCTGCCCTCTTCCCGCTTCGAGTAGGACTGGCACTTGGTGATTGACAGGGCTGGGTAATGTGTTTTTTTATGGCAACGCGAGCTTTATGAGAATAGCTTACCGGACCGCCGATGGAATACCTGTATGCGGTTACTGTGACGACTAATTATGTAGCAATGAAATGAACAATGCCTTTGACATTCGTCTAGCTCGCATGAAAGGCATCCATGATTGGAAGTACGACAGATCCACTATCGCTGCAGGAAGGACTCGTCGTAGCGCAAGTCAGAATGAAGGGAAGGCATCTTAAGACTGGACACTCCGCTCCTCCTCGCCGAGAACCACCTTCTCGGCGCCCTCGGCGTCAGCTTGATCAAGCTTCACCGCCTCCAGATCTTTGGTAGTTTCCTCCAACGCTTGGTCCTCCGCCGGATGCTCCATCAAAGCATTCTCGTTCTCATGCTTCCGGATTTCCTCCACAGACGCAAGCCTCACCTCGCTGCCACGATGCAAGCGCACAGAGGGCGGCTCGCCGGCCTCATCTGGAACTGATGAAGGAGACAAGCGGTCGGCGGGAGGCTGTCCTTCCTTCGCAGGCTCGTTGGAGGCAGCAGGGGCACTCTCAGTCTTGTCCGTAGGTGCAGACGGCACGGTCTCCACCGCCTCTGGCGACTCCACGGCGACGCCAGCAGTAGGAGATTGAGCCTTGTTGCGAGCAGCAATCTCCGCCGCGCCGGGCAGCGCTATGCGACTTGATGAGTCGAGCAGGGCTGATGCAGTTTCGCTCGACGATGGATGTCGGACGTCCACAGATTGGCTGTCGTCGGTCTGTCGTGGGCTCGTAGATTCCACGGGGCGAAGATTCACGCCTTGTCTGGCGCCGGCTGGGGGAGGGACACTGCTGGAGGGGACGTCGCCGATATTCTCCTTTAGCTCCCCAAATTCATTCCACTCTTCGATTTCTTCCAAGTCCTGCGTGTATTACATTAGTCACAGTGCCGTTGAGTGGCGAATGGGCGAAAGAAGGAAGAACACAAAGAGGTAAATAAATACACACCCCGAGCACAAAGCCATCCTTCACCAAGCCGGGCAGCTTCTTCTTTCCCGCGCGTCGCTGCCACAGCCGTCTCGCCTTCTCATCAGTGGCAATGTCAATGGCCTGAAAGGGAATTTTGTTGGCCTTGAGAATCGTCTCCAAGCGCGAGGTGGCGGTGATGATGTGGGAGGAGCCGGCGGTGAGGGAGGTGAATAGGAAGAGGCGCGGGTCCTTTTCGAATTCCGACAGATCCATGGCGGCGGCCATGGCCTGGCTTGCGTGAGACGACGTCGAGTTCCCCCTTATTGCCTCTCGTAAGCTTGACCGGGCGTGAGACAGAAGTGGTGAGGCTGGTGGAGATTGGAGTGAGGTTGCGCGGGACCCGGCGTTGGGGGTAAGCTTTCGGAGCTTTCCTCCTACCGACGAGTACTAATGAAGCAGAAGCAGGTACAGTAACTGCACTGGATGTAACCAATGGCATGGCAAGACAAGTGTAGCGGTCTTTAATGTGGTAGTGACATAACCGGAATAGACAGCTCGTAATCTACATGCGCTTTTGAAATGTGTACAATGCTCTCGTCCCCAGCATGCGTGAATCGTCCGTCTCCATATGCTCATATCATCGGATACTATGCCTTCTCTCCATTGGGATATCAATGCAAAATAGACAAATGCAGTCAAATCAAACCACAAGAAGCGAGGGAATGTGCAGCTTAGAGGCCAGGATGCCCGTCGTCAATGTCCCCTCAACGAATTCCACATCCTTCGAAGCCCGCGCGGATTTTTACCATGGCCCACTGCAAAAGCCCCGTGCGCCCCTGTCGGATCGTCACAGATGGGGAGCGGCTCCAGCGCGAGCGGGTCAACTCGCTCGACATCCAAAAGATCGCGCCGGGTGAGCGTCATGTGAATCGTCATCTCTCGATTGCCCACACTGCCCCACGGACTCCGGGATTTGGGGGGCGTCATGGCGGTCAATGAAGGCTGCCGAAGCGAGCTTCTTCCATTCGAGTCGAAAGATGGTCGCATTACAGTAGGAAAGACGTTGTCGGCGACAGTCGTGGGCGTTCGCGGCCCTGCAGCCTCGAGAGTGTCAGAGAAATCTTCCTCTCCCTCATCGCTGGTGTAGCACAGTGCCGGCGGCTGGGATGGTGACGACTGCTCCGCTGCCGCCGACAGGGCGCCATGCTCACGGTCCTCGGGAAAAGAGAAGCCGAATTCAAGAGCCTCATCGAACTTTTCGGGAGAGAGGTGGTGGCGAAGCTGCTTGCGGACGTCTGGTTGTTGGTATGGCCGATTTTCGTTCATCCGGCCTTGTGCTGTCAGGCTGGACTCGTTGTCGGTGACCTCAACCCATGATGTAGGCGAGGCGAAGCTTTGTGGGTGGAGGGCGGGCGGCAGTGGAGGGATGGCAGGGACGGGTGCGAGTTGCGGGGGTGGAAGCGAGATGGGAGTAAATGTGGCTGCTCGACTGAACGACGTCGTCCGCCGCGGCTTCCCCGCCGACGCTGTCACCGGGAGCGGAGGTGGAGGGATGCTGACCGGGTCGGTGGCTGCATGTGGGTCAGGGTTGGCATACAAACTGAAGATCTCGATCTGGGTCGCGAACGAATCAGATGGACGATGGCCTTGAGACTCGTTGAGCGTGTCCACGTCGTCGATCAAGATTTCGGTGTCGACTGTTGCAAGAGACTGCCTCCTTCGCTGCGATGTAAGTCTATCCAAGTTATCCTGGCGCCTGCCATTTAAGCAGCGGCGGAGTGCATCGTCGGCAAAGTCCGGAGCGGTGTCGTTGAGGGCTCTCTTGCATCGCACGGCCAGGGAGATCTGCTCCTTCCGGGTGAATTGTTGCCTCCTGATCTTCTCCGGCAGGCCCAGATACCACCGAGCCTGTTCCTCGGAGATAGCATCGGGATCCAGGGCGGCGGCCAGGGCCGAGGGGTCGCCATGCTCGGGGCACTGAGACGGACGCCTCCATAGACTCACGCCAGTCGAGGTGGCGGGTCGAATGTCAAAGTCGGTGTTCTGGAAGGGCGAAGATGGGCGGTATGGATCGGCGCGGGTCCGCTTTCGCCGCCTGGAGCTTGCGGTGCGCTGGACAATGTGCAGTCGCTCGGCTGGCGAGAAATACTTTTTCCTGTTGTACGTGGTCAGCGATCGGACGTGGAGCTGACGAGATGGGCATAATGGGGTGGAGGTGGCGAAGAGACAGTATGGGGGATGTGACGACTGACTTGATCGATGAGGATAGACCGTCGTAGTCCTCCACTGACAGCATTGTTGCATTGGAAGTGGAGTGGGTTCGTCGAGAGCGGGGGTTTGGCAGAGAGGAAGAGGTCGAGGCAGCGCGGTCTGCACTGTTCCGGCGAGCTGCATCGCGGGAAACGAAGATGGCGTTGATGGGAGCAACCAGCGCGCCCAGGGAACCCCGGGTGGCGGCTTTGGTGCTCGTGTCGGAATAGGCAAGAGACATTGAGGCAGCGGTGATGTGGCGTTGGGTGCAGTGTGGAGAAGTGGCTGTCCCAATGCAGTCGCTTTCGGGGAAGAGCTGCCTCAGAGTTGCGCCTTCCCGAATCGTGAGCGGGCCATACACAAAGCTTGGTGAGTGGCAGTGACAGGCAGAATGGAGGTGTAAGGGAGGTCAATGGGGAAGGCAAGTGGATAGTATGTCAGCAACGACAGTGACGAAGAGAAGTGAAAAGTAGAGTAGAAGAAGATGGACAACGAGAGAGAGGCCGGCGGGATGTATAAGTCCCGGGCGGGTAGAGAGGAGGAGCAGGCCATGCAGGCAGGGCAAGGGTTGGGGCGCGTGGAGTCGAGCTGGAGGAAGATCGGGTTGTAGATCATCATCATGATACTGCAGCTGTTGGCACGGACGCGCGACCGGGGCCTGAGGAGGCATAGGGCGGCAGGCGTCGTCGAATGGGCGTGCGGCAGGCACGTCCGTAAGCAACAACATGCCCCCTTTGCCGGCGTGGTCAGCGGCGCAGACACTGCCCGTCCTGGTAATGGAAGCCTGACACCCCGTCACTCCCGTGCCTTCCGGCAGAGACAGTGCGCACCCACCACGCAGGAAGCAGGGGGCGTTGCTGCTGAGACGTTACGACAACTCCTTCGAGGCTTCATCATCATCATCGGGTATGCACAGTCGCGCCCATCTTCCCCGCCATGTGCGCCCAGGGCCACGTTTGGGGCCGGGGGGAGTGTCGATTGTTGCCCGAGAGAGATGGCACGCGACCGGGTGGAGTGGTTCACCAGGGCAGGCCCGTTCTGCTGCTTTTCTCGGCGAGCCGTGCTACCCATTAAGCGCGCCAATCAACGCCTCCCCCCGCCGTCGATCATCGACCCTCTCTCTCGCGCCCTTGCACTAGCCCGACCTCTTTACGCACCACGTCGAGAGGTGCAAGCGATGTTGCCTTGCATGATGTGCGGTGCAGTGCAGCGGATATGGCGTGGTTGCTACGGTGCACTCAATTTGTGACGCTATCGTCTGCCTCTACTCCAAACACCGGTGTCTCTCGCAAAGACGCAACAGCAAAGTCGTCGTATCGCCGCGAAGGATCCCTCCCTCCCTACCCATACCTTGCCCTGCCTTGCCCTAAGAAGCCCTTGCTTCCATCTCGCCCTGCTTCTCGGCGCCGCCTCTCCGAGTCCACGCCGTTTTGCGTCAGCCGTCAGCCGCATCGGGCCACCCCAATGTCCAGTCTTTCGGATAATATTACTTCAGCTTCTTGGGACGACAAGCTGTCATCGACCGGGAAAAGAAATCTTCCTATTTCCACTCATCTCCAGTTTTTCTCGTTGCAGGCATGCAAGCTGCACATCCATAGATAGCCCACGTCGTACCAAGCTTATGCACAGCAACCACTTCGGAACCAGTGCTGGATTGCGGTGTTTTGGGCAAACAAACACAACGACTATGCAAGCTGCACGTCGCTTGCGCCGCGGAGATGTTTGGCGATGGCTTGTCGTGTGGCTTGGTTGTCGCCATCTGCAGGGGACCTCCTCGCTTCGATAGCCTGCGTTTCAGCAAGTGGCGGGCGAGATGGAGGCGCCTGTCAGCGGGGTTTCGTGGTGGCCCGTGCCATTGGAGCAGTCGTGAACTATAGTTCACGGCGCCATGGCAGTGAGAGATGTTGGCCAAGGTCGCCGACCATTACCTACGCCAATCCAGGAGCTGCGATCGCTGGACGATCGCCAGGCACCATCGCTGAGGCCAACAAGCCGATGAAACAACGCCAAATGCGCGAAGATTACGCGCGCGACCTACTACCTCATAAGGCTACGCTCCTCCAATAAGCCGCCAATCCTTTGTCCGAAGACGGCGAATCAGCATCCCTCGCCCTACTCCATTTCCAATCGTGCGTGGCCGAGTCTGACAGCGATCACCAATGGCTCTTGATATCATGTCTCACACTCGCTATGTCATCGCGGCAACACCACGCCTCGAGATGCGTCAGCTTCCCTTTTTATCGGCTCGTATTCCACGTGTGTCGGAAGGATGCACACCACACACGTGTTGCCCGCGGCAGCCCTAAGGCCTCTTCAGGGCCTCCCACCCTCCCATGTGCGGAAAGCAGCCGGATCCGCAGACTTGGGGGCACCATGATTGGCCTGGATGAAATGGCTGTGTACTCGTCATCCTGATAGGCGTGAGTGTTCCAGGCTTCCCACCGCCAGCCCTACGGTAAGCCGTGCCCTGTAAATGGGTTGCACGGCACGCTCGGCCGAGCCCAATTTTCTGTGCTCCACGTGCTATTTTGCGCAAAGAACCCTCTCCATCCTGTCAAGGACGGACAACCGCAGCCTCATGGTAGACTCAAGTCTCCGGTAAAGCATACCTTGAGCGCCATCAGTCAGCCAAAAGCATTCTTCCTCCACGCGTGTCATCATTCGAAGCGAAAGAAGGATCAACATACCAATAATCATCGTCCAGTCCCTCCCTCGTCGGCACCTTCCTGTTGCCCGCCTCAGCCCCACCCTTCGCCCTCTCCTCCATGGCCTGCCAGTCCACGTCCTCCCATCTCAAATTCAACATGCGCAGCCGCACGCCCCAATCCTCCATCATCTCCACCAGTCTCGTCGTGTCCTTTGTGATAGGCTGCTGGTCCAGGAGCATAAGCAGCCCGTCCAGCCACTCCGACGCCACCCAGGACGCCTGCGGGTAGAGCTCCAGCAGCGGCGTCTCCACCGGCTCGGACTGGACGGGTGTGAGCTTGTACGTCTTGGACGGGGGGTGGTGGCCAATGATGGTCACTTTGGTCGTCGGCTGTGACTTTCTCTGCTTCGCGGTCAATGTCTCCGTGCTGCCGTTGCTGCCGTTGGTGAGTGGCGCCGGTTTCTCGGGCGGAGACACGTTGCTGTCCACGGACGTGACAAAGTTGAGATCAATCTTCTCCGTGAGCTCGTCCAACGCAGGCGTGTTTGCGCCATGCGAGGGGTATTGGCCATAATGCAGCCATCGGCGGTTAGGGTTCAGTCGCACAAAGCGCCATCCTGCGTTGCCCGCTGCGGAAGTCGAGAACCACGAGCCCTGCAACAGCCGACGTATCCTCTGCTCCTTCATGAATTGTAAGCTCTCGAGATGCAGCTGCTCGCGAACTTGGCCCAGATGATGACCCCACGCGTCTTCGTACACCTCGTCGAGACCTTCGATTTGCCATCGGCGCGCCTCCTCCAGGGTCACGGTTCTGAGCTCGTCCTCGACCTTTGCAACCTCCGTTCTCCGTGTAGTCGCGCCCACAATTCGTTCGACGATGATTCGGATCGCCTCTTCAACCTTGTAGAAATCGTCCATGTCCGCGCCGGATGCCTTCCAAATCCGGAGCCAGGTATTGAGCGCCGCGGTGTGCAAGCGCGCCCATTGTAAGAGCAGCGGCCGATATAACCGATCGATCGTCCCTTCGTCCTGAGCTTCCAAGACACGTCTCTGCAGATCGTTGCGACGGCCTGCGTGCTCGAACTCGTCCGCCATTGCCTCGATGTCGAAGTGCTCATACAGAATTAGAGTCACGCTAAGACTGGCCCTGGCGAGCGGACATCGCTGGCGCAAGGGATGAACAGACTGCTCGAGGATGATCTTGTGGTATTGGTCCTCGTTCCGCTTGGCAAAGTCCACGAGGTCCATCATTCCAAGATAGCCCGTTTCCTCGAATTCCCACGCCGGGCTTTCCGTTTCAAAGCCGAGGCGTCGCCATTTCTCCGGGTGGTGTTTTCGAGCGGGCTTCCGCGGGTTCTCTTCGCTCGGCTCGGGTGGGTTGTATGGCTCTGGCCTACTGAGAAGATGAATGGTTTTCAAAGCCTTCTTGTGCTCGTGCATCTCCACGTGGACTGCAGCCTCTTTCCATTTCTTCAGCAAGAGCATGGTGAGGCATTGGAACTCGAGGATGGCAGCCGCAAGGGGGCTGCCGGCGTCCGTAGTGGCATCACCGCGCATTAAGAGCCCGACCCCTCCAATCACACCCAGATCTTGTAGTCTTTTGATGAATCGCGGCCATTCGTGCGTCCCACCATTAACGATCGCGTCGCGAAGAAGGGCATTGATTAGTTGCAACGCATTGGCGCACAGGGTGTGGTCTGAAGCGCTCAGTCGCAGCACCAAAGACTCGAGGAAATCGGGATGGTGGTCCAAAGCCGGTTTAACCGCGCGAAAGCCAAACAGCCCAGAGCTCTCCTTCTGTGATCCACTCAATGGTCGGGAGACGACATGTACTAAGAGCGTCAACGCGTTGCGCACGATGTTGACCAGCTGCTGATCAATGGCCAGCGACACTGCCTGCGTTCGTCAAACACATGAGTCGCGTCGCAGACGTATATTGATACCACGAGCAATAACTCACCTTCTCAATGACGTGAATATCCACACACTCCCACCCCATGTCCAACTCTAGCAGCCGGTCTAAACTCCCCAGCGCATATGCCTGTGTATTGCCGGACGTCTGCATGACCGCATCCCTCAACGCCAACAATCCATCTCCTTGCATAAAAGCATCGGCGAAGTCGGGGTCGCCGAGCAAGCTTTGTAGGCGGAAGACGGCGTATTTGCGCGCGCTTTCCGATTGCGACATCAGGCCCGAGACGAGCGTCTCGACATCCGGGAGCTCGTCCATGGTGCGGGGGATGGGAGACCGGAGGGATCGTGATCGTTGTCTCGCTCACGTGATCCACGGCGCAATGGGTGCAAACGCCGGTGTGGCTTATTCGCTGCTAAAAAGACACAAGAACTCGCTAGAAATGCGCCAGAGAACGTCAGATATACGATAGGGACATGATTAAGGGATGAGTGGTGGAGTGAAGTTGGAGTGAAGGAGTACAGGGCAAGCCGTCGGAGCCCAATCAAGACTAGCGTGGGCGGGGATAACTTACCCTGACTCGACATGATCACAAGCAAGCAAGGGCATGCATGCATCATCAGTACGAGGCTGAAACAGATGAGTGCATGTGAGAGGTGCTGTGTCATCGTTGGTGACGCCTCGACGACATACATGACAGTCTCTGGCCGAAGAAGTGGATAGCTGACTCGTCAATTCCCTTCCATATCAACAACATGATAGATTATGGCGAATGCCAAACCAGCATTCGATTTTCGCTCGCTAGAACGCAACGAACACCAAGCCTCCGCCCATGCAGCATCTCTTAACGCCATCGCTCACGTTCGTCGGGAGCGTCGTCATAGCCATCGCCCGGGAGGTCCAATGATGGCTCCAGACCGAAACTCTCTCTCTTATTGATCGTGGATCGTACACACAGCGCCTTCATTTGCGCCAGCCAACATTCCAGATGACGTGACTACGACACGTTAGCCTCGAAGCCACCAATGGCCTTCAAAGTGATAAGAACTTACCCAATGTCGCGGAACGTATTGAACGTCTCACTGACCCTGCCGAACAGCCCGTCGGCCACGATATCGTCCTCGTCCTCGTCATATGGCATGAACATTCCACTCTCCGTCCGCCGCATGCCCTCGATCCCGTCATACCCATCCGTGGGGTTGAAGTCTTCCGACGACATCATACTGCTCGACGGCTGCGAGCCAGCCGAGGCACCGAGTGAGGACTCGGGATTACTTCTGCCAAACGACCAGGTAGAGGAGATTTCCGCTTCGACGTCTTCGTCATCCTCTTGCGCCAAAAGGAAGTTGCGTGAAGGTCGGCTTGGTCGCAGCGTTTCGAGCGAAGGAGAAGGAGAGAGCTGCGATGTTCCCCAGTTCTTGCCAAAGACGTGGTGTTGCTGTGCCTGTGCCTGGGCCTGGGCTTGTGCATCGACATCGGGACTGGGGGTGCGAGACTTGAGAGTGGTAGCTGGTAGTGTTTCGATCATCTGGCCGCCACTGCTGGAGTTGCTCCGACTTATCCTGCCGGCCTTCTGAGAGGCCTCCTTCTTCCGCTTACTTCGGTCGGACATGAAGAGGCCCTCATCGCTGTCGGAATCCATGAGTGCACTATCGTGCGCGTCATATTCGACGTCGGACCCGCTGTCGTCATCGTCGTCGAGCCCGCTGTCCTTGCAATCGACGGCGATGCATTGCTCCACCTTTTCATCGAAGCGGAGGTGCTTCTGTGTTTGGCCTTCGGAAGGTGTGCATGTCTCCGAGGTAGTGGTCCGACTGGTGAAGTAATCGACCTCTTCACGACTCGGTGGGTTTGAGGGGAGGGTGGAGGAGGAGAAAAGGTCGGAACTGACGCGGTCCAGATCTCGGCGTGGGGATTTTTTGCCCTGTGCTTGCACCGAAGCAGCCGCTTGCTTCACGAGGGATGACGTGGATATGGATTTCTGTAGCATCACCTCGGACACGCTGCGCTTCTTGAGAATGGGCTTCTTGGCGATGAAGGAGCTGTTCTTCGACAGCGGGGTGGAAATGCGGCCCGAGTCGGTGGAGGTGATGGGGTGGGATTGCGCGGGTTTCAGCGGGCCATACAGCCAGGTGACGTCGGATTCTTTGAGCCTGGAAACGAATGTTAGTGTGGGAGACACGGGGGGCTGCCAGCGTGCACGACACGCACCAATTCAATCTTTCGGGCGAGACAGTCCGTAAGCGGTATTTGGACTTGGCCCATGTCCTCCACGAAGCATTCTCCAACCGCGATCGCTGCCCGTAGACGCTCCTCTGCGACACAATGTGTCTCCACGACGCCCAGATGTCTTCTTCCCGCCACTCGTGGCTGAGGTAGTCAACATGCCTCGACGGCTGCTGCTTGATCATTGTGTCATCGGCGACGACGGGAGTGGGGAGGGGAGAATCGGATTGCGTGGTGTCGGTGGTGGTGGAGATTTCGGGGACGTCGAGGTCGTCGTCGGAGGGTTTGGCATAGCTGCGGTGGTGGGGGGAGAGGGAGAGGTTGGCGTAGTTGGGCAGATCAATATCGTCTTCATCACTCTCGCTGTCGAGGGAGAAGCCAGCGGAGGTTGGAGTGGAGGTGAAGGAGGAGGTCTTGGAGAGGTCGAGGTTGGAGCTCCGCGGAGAGGAGTTGAGGGAGGAGGAGCGGGGAGAGGTGGAGATGCTTTCCCAGGGTTCGGAGGAGGTGGAGGGGAGGAAGTGGGCGCTGGACGAGCGGGGTGCGACGGGAGCGGCGCGAAGGATGGTGGAGGAGGAGGAAGAAGTCAGGCGACGCGAGCCGAGCTGGTGGAAGAGGGGAGAGTCGGGGCGTTGGGCGGAGATTGTCTCTGTGGCGGCCATTGCGGGTTGTGTAGAGGGCGTGGAGGGGCGATGTGGGTGGACGGCGGGCAGGGCAGGGCCGGCGGTGCAGGAACGAGTGTGGCCTGCACCACGTCCAAGAGGGCGTACTGTCGACGCAGGGGTGTGCGGCAGGCTCACGCTGCCCAGTTCATTGTCGCAGTGGGTGCCACTGGCGCGGGTGTCAGAGCAGTGGAAGGCGAGGCGGTGGCGCGAGTGAAAGGGGGAATTGCTGGGATGCGATGGGGCGCAGGCGGGGTGCGGTGTGGTGCGGTGAAGGGTGAAGGGCGATGAGGATGTGGTGGGTGTGCGAGAGGGTGTTTTTGACAGGGCGAAGTCGGTGTGAGAGGGGATGAGGGAGTGGTGGTTGGGTGGTGGAGGAAAAAGTAGTCTACGCACCTCTCACGTAAGTCATTCGGCGGGGGCTTGGAGTGGACTGGAGCGCGACGCCTCTCCGCTATTTCCCTTTCCGCTCGCTCCTTCCTGATTCTCCCGCACGGCGGTGACGGCAGCGCGGACGACACGCCGCAGCACGACCAGACACGTTGGAGCAGGCAATGGTGGCGCGGAGGGATTGACGGCTGGCACTCGATCAGGCTGTTCGCCAGCCTTTTCCAATACACGTGGATGAGTTGCTAATCGGCTCATTGTCGTTCGCTTCCATTCTCCTCGATCCGTGGCCCATCACCACCCGCCGCGGCCACTCCCGCTCCCTTCCCGGACCCTGATTTCGCGATCCGCATGCGTCAAGGCAGGTACATCACCTAAGTACATCCCGGCAAACTTCCCTTCCACACTTCCGTGCTCGTCGTTGAGACTACGTCTACATTCCCTGTCCTTCCTCAGACGCCGATGGACGGACAATGGTAAGATCTCGATGAGGCCGAGGAGTGTTTGCGGCATTTCCACCGTGCAGCTTCGTCCATCCACTCCTTGGCGCATGTGCCAGCAACGCCGTTCGGCCCGCAGGTGGGCGTGTCAAAAGGTGGAGACGCAACCCAACGCTCTCGCAGGTACCGCAGCCGTGTCTGTCCACCACTTCTCCCCTTATCTTGCCCATCCATTCCATCTTTGACGCGAACGCAGAGCTTCGTTACGCCATTCCCCACGCTTATCAGCAACGTCGTCGCAGCTCTATTCGCCACACACGCATGCGAACGTGTGGCGTGAAGACTCAACCTGCCTACTCTGATCCTGATCATTCTCCTCGTCTCCCTCAAGCTCCACTAAATCAGGACCGTGGACTCCCGCTGCCTTCCCGCTCCACTCTATTCTTTCAACCGCATATCTCCCCACATCGTCTTCCCCAACCTCGTCTCTACCGTACTTATGTACCTCTTTGCCAGCGCCTAACACCATCTTGGTCCTTGGCCCTCCCCAGGCATGGCAACGTAATCTACTCTTCCTACCCAGCCACGCAATTGTCCATAGCTCCTCGGATTCGCGGACGCTTTGTGCCTATCGCTACCTCACCTGCCCAAACCATGCGCCTGCCGATACACTCGGGTACCTCTACAGTACTCCGTTCGCCCAATCACGCAATCTCCCGCGCTCGCTGTCATCGCTCGATGCACTCCCCGTCTCGGCCATCTCGGCTCCAATGGATAGCTGCCCTCGTGTGGCACAGCATGCTGCAGAGGAAGTGACGTGCCATTCATCAGTTGACATGTGAACGCCGGGACTTTGCGGGCATGTCAGGGAATTTTTCGGATGCACTCTCTTCTATGTCTGGCCCATTTACCCCTCGACTCCATCTTGTCGTCTCCGATATTCACCCTACTGCTCGTTTACTCGTCATTCTTCCCGCTTTGGGCTTCAGACGCCGACAAGGAGAGGCGGAGCAAATATGATCAACCTCAGTGACCAGGTATTCGCGCCTCCCCTTCCAACGCGCCACATTCGGTGGTGATGGCTTAAGTCTCTCTGGCTCCGCATTTAACAGTCAAAGAAGGCCTGCTTTCCTCCATGGCTCGCCAACATTGATGCTTTGATATCTAAAGTCACACCAGCCTGCGGCCCCAGGCAATCAACTTGCTGGACATCGCACGCTGCGGTTGATATTGGTGATACGAAGCGACGACGTGGACGTTGCCCGTTTCTCGCCTTCTGGGTATAAGTTGCTCTAACCTCCTCATCATCTCCACTCCTCGAGTTTCTGTCTTCATATTCCCCCTCTTCAATTCACTATTCACCGCAAGACAACATGCAGTGATCCCTCTTTGCTACGCTCTGTTTTTCTTATACAATTCAAAGCTTCGAAGAGCCGCCACCAACCTCCCCTCCATCAAGCATCGTCTCGAACCTGGTCTTCCACTGCTCCACCCGACGAGGATCCATCGAGTTCCCGTCTATGGAGCAATTTACCCAGATTCCATCATAATCGCCGCCGACTCCCACCAGGAACTCATCCTCACGCGGCCGTACGGAGGCATAGATGTTGCGATAATCCGCTACGAATGGCTTTCCATCATCCTCCAAATCATACCTGTCTCGCTGGATGAGATTCTCTCGTCGTCCCACAGACGACACCCCGCACGTTTGCATGGTCGCGTTCGGTCTCATGGGAAAGGCGCCTTGTGGGTCAACTCCTCTGCGATGTTGCTCGGGCAGATTCGTGTCTGCCCGAGCTATGGCTGACACGTACAGGATGGGCAGCATCCGACCAGTCCCTCTGGCGCCCATGTATTGCAGACTCGCCTCGTCTGCGTTGGGGTTCGGCCGCTTCTGGTATGTGGAGAGTTGCCGGTGGGCCTGCCGGGCTAGTATTCGTAGTCTCCCCTCGACGTCAAGGTGTGAAGGCAGGAAAGGAAGCGAGATGCCGTCGCTGAAAGCCAACATCAGACTGTCCGGAGGGACGTTGTGGTTAAAGAATGCTCGCGGATTGAGAGGGAAGCCACTGATGAACGGCTTGCGTTCATGCAAAGGCACATGTGGCTCGCGCTCCTCGTACATCTCCTGCATAATCAGCGCGGCCAACGCAAAGCATCCCGCCCCAATGCTCGCTTTGGCCGAACGGCAGATTCGGTGCAGTCTTTGTGTGCCTTTCAGTGGAATCCCGGCGAACAGGGAGATGGAGTTGAGCATTGGTGGACTGCTGTAATCGAGAATCGGGTGATAAGTCCACGGGAAAACAACGGCTTCAGAACGTGGCTTGTCTTTTCGGAGAGGATTGTCGAATCCCGCCGGGAGAGGCTTGCGCACATGTCGGAGGATGCGAGTGAGGAGCCAAAACCATCGCTGTCGAGCTCTGTTGCCCCGAACGGCAGGGTACTGCGATTCTTGTGGCGGCGGTAGCCGTCTGTACAAGTCCTCGGGAAGGAGAAGCTCGCGTAATCGCTGTCGCAGCTCCGTCACGGGCTGATTGAGGAAGTCAATGAAACTTGTCATCCAGTTGTACGTGGTCAAGCCGTCTTCAATCTGGTGCGCTCCGACTTTGAGGAAGCGCAGCACATGTCGTCCATTGGGCAGCGGCTCGAGAGGGAAAACGTAGAAGCGAGCCAACGCTTTCTCGGGGTCGAGTATCCTTTTTGTATTCTGGCAGTGGACCCAGAAGTCGAACGGGTCTACGTGGTCGAAGTGGTCGTTCAGAAAAACTAGATGCTGGCCCGCATCCTCAATCGCCTGCGTTACCGTTCGCCCTGGGTCGACTGCAAAACAGATGTTTGATGAAGCGACGTTTTCACGCTCGTAGAACCGCTTGGTCGGCACCGCCTTGGACTGCAAGAGGAGATGTTTGCATCGGAGACAGGTCCAGGCGAAGAGCACTCGTTCTCGAAAATCCTCCTTCGACAGCGTACATTTGACCTCGAGGTCCAGTTGCGCGTTCATGTCCGCTCGGCCTTCGTAGTATCGACCGTCGGCATCGAAAGAGAATTCCACCAGTCCGAGTGGGCGGTAGTATGTCGTTCTGTTGCCGATCTCGCGACTTCGCCACTGATAGATGTCCTGGTTGCCGTATTGATCCAGCCAGTGCTCTTCTTGCGATGAAGACATGACGATGATGGTGCCGACGATCAGACTATACGGTACTCAATCGTCGTAGAGCATGTTTCAATATAGTTTGCGCTGGTCAGAGGTTGTAGAACGGTGTTCACTCATACCGAGGTTGCATGAAGTTGCTGCCGCTTTGGGCAGGCATGACAAGCATACCAAGGAAAGATATGAAGACCGACGGCGCCCTCTTCTGCCAGGCACCTTCACCGTTGAGAGACAATTGAGCCAGAGTTTTACAATTAATACAAAGCAATGAGCGTTGCACTCAACGGATTGGGTATCACAAAACAAAAGAACCAAAAGTGACCGCCAATGCAACCTCTTCTTCTTCTCAGCCATGACCTGCAAATGCAAGCTTTATCCGTGCGATGCCAATGCGATGCTCCACTCAGCATATTGCCGACCATCCTACTCGTCATCATCCCCATCTCCATCAGACGACTGCGTCGCACTACGACTGCTTCCCCCAAACGACCGATCAACAGCCCAAATCCATTCCGACCGTTCCTTCTGATTCCGACATGCAAAGAGCCAGGCCTTGTTCGTTGCGTAGATTGCCCACACTTCCATCCGGCCGTTCGGACGCTGCAGCAGCTTCGCCACCTGCGGCGCGGAGTCGATGCGGGAATTGGTAAGATTGATGGCACCGACTTCGTCTCCTTCCGGTGAGTAGAGATGCATGTATGGGCGGCGGAGTTCGGCGTAGCGACGCACCCAGCGAACTCCAGATGGGTCGGGAGAGAGAAGCCAGCCGCCTTTGACGCAGATGGTGGTCTTTGCAAGCTGCTCGACGATTCCTGCGAGGGGTTGAGGCTTGTCGACTGCCATCTTGTCCGCAGAGCTGCTCGACCGAAGCCGTTCGAGTCGGGGAGCATTGGTGTCGGTGTGGGCAAGCAAAGAGTCCACCGCCATGTGTGATTGCTTTTGCCACAGGCTCACGAATTTCTTCAGAAGCATGCGTTGTCTGTCGTCCAGCGATTCAACTTCTCCATCTTGCTGAGGCCTGATGGGTGGAGAAAGAGCGGCTACACCAAACATCCCTCTGGCCGCCTCCATCTCCGAGATGCGCCGTTGTCGAGATCGGAGGTCGATGAAATCCCGTAGCAGGCTCACACCTCGCGGAGCCCAACTGGAGAGCATTTCCTGCCCAGACACGTACTCGCCCGCCGTATCCATGCGCCACAGGTCTCCCATCCGCTTGGCAATGCTCGGCTTCAGGGTGATGGAGTAGTTGCTGGCAGTGGAATGCACCACCCGTTGATTGTGCCATAGTTGAGCGAGCAAAGAATTTTGTCGGAACCACGTTCGCGGACGAATGGTGACGGCGATGTCGAAGGAGAATTTCATAGGTTGTGTCACACGGGAAGAGGAGATTTGCCACATGAGGGACACCTGGATCCGGCGATCCTCGGTCGTAGGTCGATCCAGTAATATCGAGCCATGGGCACTCGAATCCCACTGGCCAGTCATTCTCACACTCGTTGTGCCGTCCTCATGCACTTGAATGACGGGCGGCGCAATAAGCGGAAGCGTTGTATCGGCCTGACGGTCGTCTGCAATCTCGGTACCGCGGCCGGTGGTGTCTAGCAGCCGTACGTGTCCAGCACGGAGAGCCTTTGCTTCATGCCATGGCAAAGCATCACCCGATGAAAGCAACAGACTCAACGTCACACGGCGTTGCAATCCTTGATGCAGCTGATAGGCACCCTGGTCCAGAGTGGAGGCTTGAACAACTTCCACGGGTGAGTACTCCCCATCCTCCGCAATCTCCAAGACCTGAACGCGAGCGAAGACGTCATGTCTCTCCTCCGTGTAGTACTCGCTTTCCGGCAGACGAGAACCGTGTCTGGAATGGCCACTCTGTCGTCCTTTTCCGGTTTGCTTGCTCTTGGAAATCGCAGAAGAATCCCGGATATCGTCCCAGCTCAGTAGCCGATCCAAGTGCATGACATCAACTCGCGCAAAGAGGCTCACTCTCAGGCTTGCCTCGACAGGTGCAGAGAGCGGCAGACTCATAGAATGCACGCTTCCAAACTTGACAGCCCCTTCTCCAAATCTTCTTACCAGGGACGTCGTTGTTGCTCCGCCCTCTTCAGAGACTCCTGGGATGCACAGCTGGGCATGGACATCTGTGCCTTCTCTTTCGGCAAAGCCAAGAAGGTCGTGCATCACGACGTTGAACTTCAGTGTCTCTTTCGGCGCTTCTGCCGAGCTGGGCTCCAAGCTCAACCGCACGATACCAATCACGGAAGATGTGTACGGAGACCAGACATCCAGCGTGAAATCCTGAACTCTACACTCAAACACCGCGGCCAGTGGAATATCGGCGTCTCCGATTCTCGTGTACTCCGGCCTGCATGGATCCTCAAAAGGGTTCCCCATGTCGAAATGCTGCGTCTGGTCTGGTCCACGATCCAGGAATAGGTTCATTTGTCGCATCTGCTTGACTCGCTCCTTCAGCTTCGATAAGCTCCAGAGGCGAATGACGGAGTCTCGGAAATCGACCAAACGCACGCCCACGCAAGGCTTTGGTGCGCTTTCGAGGGCAGGATCGTCGCTTTCTTCCGCAGACACACCGTTAAGCACCAGATCATAACTCGAGCCCAAGGTGTGTCCGAGGTCGATGATGGCAAACTGGAAGACTGTGTCCCTCTCCATCGTTTGGCTGAACACCTGAGCTTCCTTGAGTAGTGAGGCGTGTTTGAGAATGTCGGCAGCCATGGCGACGTATCTTTGGCTTCTCCACTGGTGCAACACCCATTTGGCCAGATAGATTTCCCCTTCACTAAGGCCGGTCTTGTTTTTGGACGTCAGACTTTGGGTCCTCTTCCGTTTCGGCTGCATCTCGGCCACGAGTCTTTCGTGATCCTTTCTCTGTTCGTCCAGCTGCTTCTGGTGTTGCTCTTTCATCTCTCGCAAGCTCGCTTCCATTCTCAACTTCTCTTGTTTCAACTCCTTAATCTCTGCAACCCCTTGCCGAGGCGGAGGCAAGCCATCTCGTGTTGTAGAAAGCTGGCCTTCCATTTCGTCTCCCACCATCTTCATTCCTTCCGTCTCCTCCTCCGCTTGTTCCGAAGCTTGCGGAGGAGTGGTCAGAGCCGTGTCGAGACTGAAGTTATCCATGGTGCTACCGTTGCTGAGGTGTTTCTCGCGCTGGAGGGGATGCGATGTCACAGATTCCATGTCAGTGTCGAAGCTCATGCCAGCGTCCGCAAAGAGCCTGCTTTCCGGTCTTGCCTTGCGCACGGCACGAACACGCTGCACATCATCGAGTAGCACATCGAGTTCGTCATCGGTCATGCTGGCGATGTTGCGATCTGAGCCAAGGAGTCCGGAAGCGGCTTCCCGCCGTGCGAACGCCCAGTCGCTATCTCTTCCAGACGTGCGCCATGGTGCCGGTGATGTGGTGCCTGAACTTGGAAAGTCGCTGTCTGGAGACATGGGCCGACTCAAGATACTGGAGTGCCGCTCGTGCGTCGGAAAGTTAGGTCGTTTGGAGGGCGTGTCGTCAATATCATCTGCAGTGTACGAATACTTGAGCAAGCTGCCACGCTCCTGCTCGACCGTCATTTCACGTTCTTCTCGAGCCTCCTGGGGATGATTGAAGCGGAAGATGTGGAAATCTCCGAGAATAACACGGTAACCCGTTCGCAGACGTTTGGGAGCTTCGATTTTGACGCCGTTTACCATTATGGCAGCATTATCTTTGGGAACAACCGTCACAATGCCGTCGACGTTTTCGAAAGTGCAGTGATCACGGAGGATTCTCGATCCGTTGAGCATAATATCGGGCTGATGATGACCATGTGTGTCGTCTCCGTCCACGCCACCAGCTGGAGGAGATGCCAACTTGTTCTCGACATTGCCGAGAGTCGTTGTGCCGGGCTTGAGATTGTACACCAAGCAGCCTTCCAGAAGCGGATCGTCGGAGAGATTGACCAGATGAGGCATTTTCTTTGGCGTGCTGAGACCAACGTTGCCCTTCTCAATGGAGATGCCAAGCTCTTCGAGTGCGGTTTCGCGCTCTTTATGAATGCGTTCGGTCGTCTGAAGCTTCTGCTCCCACGTCTGATTAAGATCCGTGTACAATTTCTCCGATTGCGAAAGCTGTTCTGCGATTTCTGCTTTTGACACTCTTTTCAAAGTTCCGTCGGGGTTGATGATTGAGACGAACTGCTGGTCCAATGGTGTTCCTGGCGGGTATTGCTCTTCGCCTGCAACGGCACCAGTGCCACTGCCCAGTTTGGCGCGCAGTTGAGCAAGTTCTTCCTTGAGTTCGCGGATCATGCGGGCATTTGGGTCTTCGTTGACAACAGCGTGGTTCTTGATTCTCTTGGCTGAATCGGCGTAGCGCAGGGTGGAGAGCGTCTCTTCGAAGTTGATGTCGGCGGGCGAGATGGCAGCAATCATGGCGGTCAGACTGTTCCCACCCAAGCTGTCTTTGAGCAACCAGGTCAAGACACTGTCTCGGTAGGGAACCTGCATGCCCTTTGGTTTTTTGGTCTTGGGATCGGAAAGGTCTGCGAGGGCGGCAATGACACGACCGAGGGTACTCAGTGACCGGTTGATTTCCGCGCCTTCTTTGAGCCTTGCGCCAGTCGCACCCGTGCTGGTGGCACGCTCGGAGCCTGCCAGATCAACCAAGCTGATCTTGGCGACCCTCTCGGTGTCCATATTGGTCTCAACATCGTGGCGTCGTTGGGTCAATGTGAGGGTGAAGACGGCATGCGAACGAGACGAAGTCTCATTCATGTTTGTCGCCGCAACCGTGCGTGCCTTGTTGCCCTCGTCCATCAAGTGCTCGATCTCGCCAAAATCCCGCACTACCAACTTTGCCAGATCCTCCACGTACGGTCCTGTTGCCGGGTGTTCTCGCACCCTGAGATTGCCCTTGGTCGCGGGATTGAGCAGATCCCGAACGCGCTCGTTGTAGATCTCCAAATATGACACTTCGACAGTGTTGGTCAGATTTGCATCGGCCGCATGTCCCTTGTCTATCCGCTCAAACATGTCGCGACAGATCCGCGGAATGACACCCTGCTCTTCTCCAAACCCCATCATGCTATAACTCTTGCCAGATCCAGTCTGCCCGTACGCAAAGATGCAATTGTTGTATCCCTGAAACGCGTTGTCCAACAGCGGTTTGCCCAGGTCGGTGAAGACATCTTCCTGTCCGGCGAAATGGTCGTCGTCACGATTGAAAGACCAGTATGACTTGTCGAAGGCGAAGGTCTTGGATCCTTCCAATACCGCCTTCGCGGATTTGCCCTTGGCTCCTGCATCGGGGCCAGCTGGGGTCAAGACGGTCTGGTTGTCTTTCATGGACACGATGCATCTTGCATTCCGGTCCTTCTCGCGATTGTTGAAGGGGCGTACGCGCACCACCACCTTGATATTGCCCGCATCTGGCGCCATGTCGGCGGATGGTTCGGGTGCTATCGATGCAGCGTCATATGAATGCCACAGACTGCCACGGCGGCAGTCTGCGAGAGGTTGAGCGGGGTTGACCGGCGTAGGGAGGTGTGCGTTGCAATTGCGATCGCTGATCGGTGAGGTCACTCTATTGATTTGGTTCTGTTTAATGCTCGGAATTGGATACGCGTCGAAGTTCGAGGCGATGTGTGGCCTGAGGCAGCAACTTTAACTTCACTTCTGCTCGAAGATTTGCGCGCAGCCTTGACGGCGCTTAATACACCAAGTACGAGACACGAAGACAGCACGCAGCGGCAAATGACGATATACCAATAAAGCTCAATACGATTCTCAACCAGGACCATGCGCCGGTGACATCTGTCATTTTGAGCTAAACGTCTCGACCCATGGCCTCCGCCGACATTGACATGTTCCGGCCACCGATCGCGCGTGGAATGAAGGTGCTCGATCGCTCCTTTTTCGAGAAGACTGTCCCTCTCAAAGCGCTCCGAATCTTTGACAATAAAAACATCTCGAAAGTGCGATCTCAACTCGGCAAGGACGTTCTCGTGCAGGAGCGACTGGCGAATGTGTATTCCGACCCCGATCCCGAGCGTGCGCGGTCTGGGAAAAAGTGCATTCTGCTTCGTCCCGACATACAGGGCGGCGAGAATGGCGTCAGTGACAATCTGTCAACAAAGAAGGATCCACCCGCCTCCCCAGTCCTTCGAGCGCTGCTGGATCAACAACTCGTCTCGCTCATTCCCTATCAGCTACACTTGGACTACACCTACTGGACCTACCACGACGTCATCTCATCCATCCTTCCCCTAGAAGCTCAAGATGAGATACCGTCCGGATTTGCCCAGGTCGGCCACGTCGCTCATCTCAACCTCCGAGAAGAATACCTACCATACAAACATCTCATCGCAGAGATACTTATGGACAAGAACCCGAGTGTGCGCACGGTGATCAACAAGATAGACGACGTGGGTCAGGAGAACGAGTTCCGGACGTTCAGGTATGAAGTTTTGGCGGGCCCGGATGACATGAATGTCACGGTGTCCGAGGCGAATTGCACCTTTTCTTTCGATTACTCAAAAGTATATTGGAACTCCCGCCTGCAGACGGAACACTCTCGTCTCGTGGCCTCTTTTACAGAGGGCGAGGTGGTGTGCGATGTGATGGCCGGCATTGGTCCGTTTGCCGTTCCTGCCGGCAAGAAAGGTGTCTTTGTGTGGGCAAATGACTTGAACCCAGATTCTCACGCCGGCCTTGTGAAGGCGATTGCGAAAAACAAGGTGGGAGAGTATGTCAAAGCCTTTCACGCCGATGGCAGGGAATTCATTCGATCAGCGTCTTCTCAGCTTCTGGCGGATGAGCACAAAGTTGAGATACGAGGCAAAGCTTCAAGGACAGAGGGAAAGCAAAAGCCCGTTGTTCTGAAGACGCTGGTCCAGCCGAAGACGTTTCAACATTTCGTCCTGAATCTGCCGGCCTCTGCCTTGACTTTTCTGCCGAGCTTCATCGGCCTCTACCCACCTGGACTGCGCGAGCGGATACCCGTTGGAACCGAGATGCCCATCATACACGTGTACTGCTTCAGCGTCAAAGACGAGCTGGTTTTGTCAGAGTCGCTTAAGGAAGAAGGAACGGCAGATGAGGCAATCGGCAGCCAAAGCGGTGCAATTGAGTCGATATGTGCGGAAATCAGCCAACAGCTCAAGTTCGAGATGAAACCGGGGAGCATCGAGGACAAAGGCGGTGTGGCAGTGTATGATGTGCGGGATGTGGCTCCCAAGAAGAGAATGTTCTGTGCCAGCTTTCGATTGCCGGAGGAGGTGGCCTTTCGGGCGGAGTGACAGAAGCACCAGCAGAAGTATGGAGCAGAAACACGGACCCGAGAAGATGCCTTACGCGGCAGCAATACGCTGCACAAGTTGTCAAACACTAGGCCGTTCAATACCAGATCAGTTGACAGCGAAGCCCCAATGATCAAAGCCAGTCCCGAACTCTATCCAGCCCAGCCTCCAATCCATACTCTATGTCTTTAGTGTATGCATCCCTTCCAACCTCCCGGACGCCGTCTAGACTTTCTGTGGACTACAAGCCTCACGCGGCAGTCTCCGGCATGCCCGGGAGCGCAGGCTGCTTGTATTGGACGATGTAAGAGTTGAAGTCGTGCCAGTATTCGGAGTTGCGGAAGCTGAGAAGGACAGAGTCAGTGATATGATCGTGTAGATGCAGCCAGTATGTGTCGTATCCAAAACGCGCTATGGGCAATTTCAATCTGTGCAGAAGAACGCTCAGGTATGCAGGGAGATGCGCGCCAAAAACTATTTGTGATGCCACAGGAAATTTTGCATCGAGTCCCACTCATCGGCCGACGTGTATCTACGTACAACATACCAACGTCAGCCAGAGTGAGTACGAGAAGAGTCGACGAGGCGGTGAAAAGAGATGGTGAAAAGAAAGCAACGTACATATAAGTCATGCTGCTCCGCAGGCTTGGCTGTAGCGTTTCCGGGTAGTAGCGGAAGAGCCACATGACGCAAGCCCAGCTGATGGAAGCAAAGGCAGGCCAGCTGTACTTCTGCACGAGCTCGCGTTGCTCTTGGTTCAGATTCAGAAGGCCCTTGCCGCCTCGCCCACCGTAGGCGCCGCCGACAAGGGAATTGTCGCCAGGAGGAAGGACGGCGAGCTTCGCAAAAGCCAGCATTACGCGGGCGAAGACGTAGACGCATATTTGCTGGTTCACCGAGCTCGTGGCGCCTCTTCCGTGGCCGAACACCCAGTATCCGCCGTGAAGGCCGGCGAGCAAAGAGTGAAAGCTGTCTTCCTTGCCACCATTCATGTTCTTGAGCAGCAGACAGCCGCCCTTGTACAGCAGAGCGAAGCGGGCGAGGTTGGAGGCGTGTTGCCGCGTGGCCTTGAAGATGAGCCACAGCTTCTCTCGAAAGGTGCCGCTTCGGAAGAGGAAGACCATGACGAAGGCATGGGGGAAGCGGACTTTCGTCCCGTAGACGGCGCCATTGCGGATGGCCTTGAGGAGGATGAGGGGTTGTTTGTAAGCTGGATTGAGGAGGATCTCGCGCTCGACGTAATTCTGGAGGGATGGTTAGATGGGTGGTTGGAGCCAACGAACGCACGCGAGCACACCTGTAATGCTTTGAGTTGATCCATGCTGCTTGGAAAAGATGGGGCGAAGATGGTGCCCGTGGGTAATTGATTATGAGCACGTCGCCAGCTTGCTCATTGGGGGTGATGTTGGTGACGTCCAGGGTGTTGTTCGGCAATGAGCATGACCTTGCTGGGATCCTGTGCCAACCGAAGCCGGCCAGCCAACCTCGGCACCATCCGAGCATGTGAATGTGCCTGACTAAGCAAGTCGGCATACACAACCAGTCCTATGCGCTGCATCCAAGACGATTCGTCCTCGAACAGCTGACCTGTTCCCTTGCTTCTGCCGATGTGTACAGGTACGTACTCCAATCATGAGCTCAGCCTAGACGCATCCATCCGCCCACTCCGGACATGCGAGACGCGCCGAGTCTCGGACAGAGAGAGGCGACATGGATGCGACGCGTTGTCTTGCATAATGCTTGTTGCTCTGGCGGCCTCTGAAAGTGACGGCCGGTGAGCACATGACGCATCGTTCGTCCACTTCCCAGGCACTCCTGCAGACCGGTGACGGGAGGTCGAAGGCGGCCTCATCTTCCGGCCAATTGGATGCCGGCATGCACTGCGCCCCCGCCACGCCCTCCGAGCTTGATATCGCGGGTTGTCTGGCCTCAGGACACAACCTCGCTCGTCAATCGCCAATGATAGCCCGCATTTCCCTCGCATGCTACCATGTCCGCTCATCTGACCGGTGAGATGCAGGGCAGGCAGAGAGCTCCTTTGATGGCGCGGCAGCCACCTGAGCTCCGCCTCATTGCATGCCAATCACCTTTCTGCCGTACACCCTCCCAAAGCCTGCTGAACAGGAAGTTTACGCATTTGTCCGAGACACTCTTGCATCTCCTTCCTTTTGCTTGCTCAATTACTCGCTCTTGTTTTGCTTGACTCGCTTTGGTTGGGCGTATGCACCGGGGGAAATCTGGTTGTCGAGTATCAACTCTTTGACTGGCCCGCTGTCGGGCGATCCTGCGGCGCGCGCTTTCATTCTTTCGACTCGCATTTCGCTCTTCATTTCTGATTGATTGTTCCATCGCGGCCAGTCCCAGCTGGTCAAGATGGCAGCCTATATCCCTCCAAACCCGTCCCCACCTCGCTCTCCGTCTTTGGATTGGCACAGCACGACTGACGGTGGTGGTTACGTCTCGGGCTACCATCATGATGCGCTTGACAATACATGGTCGCAAAGCCAGTCCCAGCAGCACACCTCCTTCGTCTCTAGTCCCTCCTTTCCATCTTCGCTATGCCACGCTGCTCTCGACTCCGCACCGGCGTACAGCATCCAGCAAGCCGCTACAAGCCACGTCAATCCCGAGGAGCTACAAAGACTTTCCCGCTCAGCCCACGAGGCCCCCTGGAGCGATTCTGCTCTGCGCCGCACACGGTTGCGGCAGCACCCACCACATTGGCCTCCTTACAGAAGTACTCGGAAGGCTCACACTGTAGCTGGCGGAGCCATGAACCCTCTCTCCCAGCGTCCGGCCTCGGTCCACTATCAGGCCTCGCTCATAGACTCTGGCTATGAATCTCGATCTCATGATACCACTACCCTTGCCAGTTTTTCAACTCAGTTGGAGGCTGGCGAAGCACCAGGAGCTGCCCTTAATAGATCAGCTTCGCCATCGAGAAGAAAGCAGTCCGAAGCTCACTTGAGTGGCGACGACCCTTCGTCAAAGCGAAAACGCGCGAAGTCGTTAATCAGTCCCTGCTCGACTTGTGGACTGGTATCGAAGAATCAGAGTGATGCAAAGTGCGTTGACAATTGACCAGGCTAGCGATTCGCGCTGACAGGTGACAGGAAGCACCGCGACCATCACACCCGGCCCTACATCTGTCAAGAACCGGCATGTCCGCGCAAAGAAGGATTCGGCACCATGAATGACCTCCAAAGACATAAAAGATGTGTTCACGGTGCTCTGCCAGACGCTGGGGATAGGCTTGGACACAGGTGTCGAGCTTGTCCGAAGCCTCCATTCGGCGAGCCTCCGAAATGGTGGCCTCGGTTGGACAATTTCAAGGCTCATATTACTCGAAAGCACCAGGGTTGGAACGTGAATGAGCTCGTTGCCAAGTAAGTGTTCCACTGCGAGTCATACTCTGTGTTGCGCATGTCTGATTTCGTGTATAGCTCGGAAGTGGCAAGATCGATGATCACCGTCTCGGACCCGGGTTACGTCTCGAATCATCCTCCTTCACAGGCTGCTGGCGAAGAGGAAATTCAGTTTGATCCCTTTCACCCGCTGGATACGACCATGTCGAGCCACGAGCTGTTCCAAGACGCGATATTATATATGGAGGATTACACAGACTTTGCGTCACTAGCTGGGGTCGGTGAGGGAACGCTCGGTGACGATTATCAGGACGACCGTGACCTGCTTTCTGCCATTCCCGGCCCACCTTACGAAGGTACTGCAGGTGCAATGGATCTCCTGGGTGGCGGCAGCTTTCAACAAACCGACTCCGAGCAGCCAATGATGGATGATTGTGGAGTACATGACCAGATCGGCCATCAGCCCAACGTCCATGACCTACCGTCTTCCTACGACAGTGGCCAATGGATGGACTACGCAATGCCAATGATCGAGGGCAAGTACTCAACACAAGCACCCTCCGTCGATCCGTCTGATGCTCTTTCGGCTTGCCGAGATGAGAGCGGGAGATATGTGTGCCGCGACTGCGGCAAGGAGTGGAAGCGGGAGTGTGACCTTCGCAAGCACCTGAAACGCCATCAAAAGCCGTATGGCTGCACGTTCCCAGGCTGCGACCGAGAATTCGGAAGCCGCTACGACTGGAGACGACACGAAAGATCCAAGCACTCTCTCAACGAGATGTGGCGATGCGAGCTCACGGGCGACGACGGGAACACGTGTGGCGAGGTGTATCAAGACGAGGAGCTTTTCATTAACCACCTCCACACAGAGCACGAGATGGAGCCCGGCGATCCGGTAACTACCCGATGTCTCCAAGAGATGGCATTTGGTGGAGAAAGCCATTGCCGAATCTGGTGTGGGTTCTGCAATGCTGTGGTTATGTCAGATGAGACTCGGCCGGCAGGTGGTGCGCGCGGATGGGAGCTGCATTGCAGTCACGTTGGTGACCATTTCGACAAAGACAAAAGGCGCGTTGACGAATGGATCTGCATCGAGGTGGCTTTGAAAGAGAGTCGCAGACAAGGGAGCGATCTATCGACATGGACAGAGAGGAATGATGAGAGTGGTTTGGTAAGGGGACTGTCCTCTGCGATCAAGCGGAAGATGGAGGACGTTGATCTCGATGCCGAGGGCTTCACTGAATCCGAGTAGGGAATCAAGGTTGTACATTTCACGAGTGACGCATTGTTAAGTGTAGTACAAACAGACTCCTTACCCAGCTATCTGACAGATCGACGAGGTGTGTGCAGCGGCTGCTTCGACGTTTCGATCAGATGCCGGCGGACTGGAGTGACGTCTGCTGGGTTGTTCTCAGCATTGCGTGCCGTATTGTACGCAAGCGGAGCATATATTATGACTCCCACTTACACTTGAATTGAGCACCAGTAGACTCTTGATACCTTACACTCTTCACCTAACATGAATTTACTGGTAACGGGCGGCAGCCGAGGCATTGGCCGCGCGGCGTGCGTTCTCGCCGGCGCGCGAGGCTGGAATGTTGGCGTAAATTACACGCAGGATGCCACCGCCGCAGACGCTACCGTCGAGGAAGTGCAGAAAGCCGGCGGAAAGGCCATCACGTTGAAGTGCGACGTCACACAGGAAGACCAGGTGACGGAGATGTTTCAGGAGTTCGAAAAGGCGTTCGGCCCTCTGACGGGTGTGGTCATCAATGCTGGAGTGACGGCCCGGGCACTTCCTCTGGCGGAATTCGACACCGCTCGCATAAAGAAAGTACTGGACACCAACATCCTGGGCGCGTACCTCTGCGCACGCGAGGCGGCAAGGCGACTGGGTCAGAGCAAACAAGACAATCGCAACATCGTGTTTGTCTCCTCCGTCGCCTCGAGACTTGGATCTCGTGAGATATCCCGTGCCCCATCTTCTGGAGCACGTATGAGCTGACTGTGGACCACAAGCGTTTGAGTATGTTGACTATGCTGGTTCTAAAGGAGCGATGGACACCTTGACTATCGGCTTGAGCAAGGAACTTGGACCGCAGAAAATCCGTGTCAACAACGTGAGACCGGGAATTATTGCCACAGATATTCATGAACATTCCGGAGATCCAGACCGGGTGAGTCGATTGGGCAATGCTTGCCCGCTTGGGCGACCAGGAGAGGCGAGCGAAGTTGGGGAAGCAATCATTTGGCTACTCAGCGACAAGGCTAGCTACGTTACCGGAGCCCTGCTTGATGTGGCGGGTGGTCGGTGAAAACGACGCTCTACACGTTTGGAAGAGGTCTCTCCAATTCTCATTTCCCCCACGTCACTTCCGTATCAACAAGTCGAGACCGCGCGGTCCACTGCACTTCCATGACTCCCTGCTCCACAGTCCCCCGAGACGCAATTGCTGCTTGCCATCCCTTGGTGGTGTAATTTGGCGTTTAGCTGTGAGAAGTCGCCGGTCCTCTGCGACTCGTGCACGTTTCTTGCTTGACGTAGTTTGTTCGACATCCCACGGAAACTTCCTTTTGCGGACGATGTTGTCCGATCCCGTCGATGGTGCTGGGTTATCATCTCGTTTGGTGTTCAGATAGGCGGTCACTTTTTTGCGTAGCGCGTGAGAAGAGTCCTGGAGGCGAGCGTGGTGCAGACCCCCAGAACGAATCTTTCCTTCGAGCTGCGGATCCGTTCCATCCATGGGAACTTCACCCTGGAAGGGACCATGATCGGTGGGATATGTGAGAGTGACAGCTTCGCCTGCATTATCAGGAGTGATCGTCTGGCGAGCATTCCCATCTGATACGCCGGGAGTGTTGTCCGATGAATCGTGACGGGTACGTGCCGCGAAAGGCTGGCGCACATCCGGTCGAGGAATTTGGCTATCCGTTCCCCCTGGCTGCCTGATTCGTTTGTTCGGGCCATTGTCCAGGCTTTCAGGTGCTACTCGCTTTGCAGGGACGAGAGTTGCCGGAGCTTTTGGAGTGTGAGTTGCAAGCACGGCGCCCGCAGCCTTGGAGGCCGGCACAGCGGGTGCATGCCGAAGACCTGACCTTTGTGGGATGGGTCGGATGGATCTGACAACCGGCGACGTGGGAGGAGACGGTGTCTGCTGGGGTTCTGTTGAGGTTTCAAACCAACCAGCTATCCAGTTCCTGACGGAAGACATACTTCCCAGTATGCAGGTGGATTGGCCGGGGAGTAGATCATGGTAAAGAAGAGGGAAGTCGACGAACGGACGGAGTAGAAAGAAGGAGAGTGACGAGATGGTCGAATGCATAACGCGTTCATTCACAGACGAGCATTCAATGCAAAGTCCACCTTACCTTCACGGATTGACAGACAGACCACCGTGAATTTGGCGGCACATTCAATGCTACAAGCAAAGCGCCGCTTGGTACAAGCAAAGCAGCGGTGCATGGCTGGAATGGCAACATCTCGCCGCAGTGGTGGTCTCAATATCGTTGGGCACCTGCCTCCCCGACTAGCCGAGGTGAATGGCCCACGACTGCGCAGCCGGAGATCGACATCATCTCCAACTCTCTATTAGAAAGCAAATTAAGTTTAACGTACTGCCGGAGCTCATTGTGATACCGACTTCCTAACCATTCATTCATATCGACAGAGAATTCTGGCAGGCATGTAATTCGTCCAACATCCATCGATGCGCATATTCGCTGACTGTCGGGCAGTACACGAGACTGAGAAAGCAGGCCATGGCGAGTACATTCAACAGCCCGGCGCCCGGCGTCCCGTTCTTCACACCTCTTCACCATAACTCCCCTGGAACACCGGTCAAGCTCACGGCCGAAACGCCGACGTTGTTCACGCCTCTCAAGATCAGAGGCGCCACTCTCCGCAACCGCATCGTCGTGGCCCCAATGTGCCAATACAGCGCCTCACACTCCGGTCCTGACGTAGGAGCCTTCACGCCGTACCACATCACGACACTAGGCCATTATGCTCTCAAGGGAGCCAGCTTGGTGTTCACCGAAGCGACTGGCGTTCAACCAAACGGGAGAATCAGCGCGAATTGCCCGGGCTTGTGGCAAGATGACCAGATTCCCGGTCTCAAGGCCGTCTGCGATATGGTCCGGAGCCAAGGCGCGTTGTGTGGGATTCAATTGGCGCACGCCGGACGCAAAAGTAGCACTGTTCCTCCTTATATCGCCGCTCAGTTTCGCAAGGGAAGCGTCAGGGCGACAAAGGATGTTGGTGAGTCTACCATCTAGTCATGTCATGGCCTTCGCAACAATGCACACTCGTGCTGACTACGATCAGGTGGATGGCCAGATAACGTGGTATCAGCAATGGTGAGCACCTCACCCTCCATCACAAGATTCTGATCATGAGATACTGACGTCGCTGACAGGGCGGCGAAGACTACACCTGGGATGGCAAACGCAGCGACGACCCTTCTGGTGGCTTCTACGCTCCTCGTGCACTCTCCACTCAGGAGATCCATGACATGGTCAATGACTGGGCGTCAGCCGCCGCTCGCGCAGTGAAAGCAGGCATCGATGTCATTGAGATACATGCCGCTCACGGTTATCTTCTCCATCAGTTCTTGTCTCCGCTTACGAACCGACGGACAGACGCATATGGTGGCTCCTTCGAAAACCGTACTCGGCTCCTGATCGAGATCGTCAAGGCCGTACGTGCCGCAATTCCAAAGACAATGCCTCTGTTCTTGCGACTCAGCTCAACTGAATGGATGGAGGAATCTGACCTCGGGAAGAAACTTGGAAGCTGGGATGTCGAGAGCACAATCCGTGTTGCCAAAATTGTGTCTGATCTCGGGGTCGACCTGCTGGATGTTTCCAGCGGGGGTAATCATCCCTCGCAAAGAATCAATATGTTTGATTCAAAGGACTATCAGGTCAAAATTGCTGCTCAAATTCGACGCGAACTCCGAGCGGAAGGCAAGAAGATGCTCATTGGCGCTGTTGGACTCATTACGGAGGCCGACCAGGCTCGAGACATCGTGCAACAAGATCCGAATCTCGATGAGGAGGCAAATACGGCCAGAGAAATGACCGACGATGCTAGCGGCAGCAAAGAGCCCATGGCGGACTGCATACTCGTTGCGAGGCAGTTCATGAGGGAACCGGAGTGGGTACTCAAGGTTGCGTGGAGGCTCAAGGTTGATGTGGCTTGGCCTCTTCAGTTCAATCGAGTCCGATTCCCGAAGTTATGAGGCCGGCGTCATACAGTAAAGACAGACTATCTAAAGTAGTAGATGTGAACAGCCCACTCCCACCCACTACTTCTGCGACAGCCAGAAGTCGAAGAAGCCAATAATGCCGATCAAGCTCTGCTCCTTGGTGTATTTCTGCCAAGGATCGTTCAGATCGCAACGCAAGGCGAACCCGTGCTCCACGCCCTGGAAGAGTTGAACTTGGAACCGCTTCTTCTCTTCTTGCATGATGTCCACGGCCCGATTACGAAACTCGTTGGGGAAAGTAGAGTCAATCTCCGAGCATGAGAGGAACAATGGGCCTGTGGTTAACCGTTAGCATACATGTATCTGCGAATGGCAGAGCTGAGATAAGGCATACTCGTCAGGTTGTAGAAGTGCGACTCCTTCAGAAACGCCGGATGGGCAAACGCGCCGGCCGCACACACTCCGTCCTTCGCAAGCTGCGAAGAAACAAAAGGGGCACCCCAACAGTAGCCAACGCAGGCAAACTTCGCACCGTCCTTGCCGTACTGCTTCTTGACCTCCGCAACCCATCTGGGGACGTCTTCGTTGGAGACGGGGAGGTGCTTGTTTTTCCACACCTCGAAGTCGAAATCTGGATCGGTGGTTGTGTCGTCTTTGCTCTTTCGATGCTTCCATATCGCATCCTTTGTAAGGTCACATTAGCCAATTGCCGTCAAGGGGCGAAACGACATATCTCACTCACGCCATGGAAGTAGTCCAGCCCGAGGGCAAGATAACCGGCCTCGGCGAACGCGTCCATAATCAAGAGAGCGTTGTTGAAGAGTCCAAAGACATCGGGAACTGATGGAGGTCTCTTATCAGCGAAGGAAAGGGACTTGGGGGAGCACGCTCTTTGCCAAACTCACAGTACAACACGACATTGCCATTCGCCGCTCCTTCGGCTGGCTTTGCGATGTACGTCTCCACGCCAGCGATGGTTGTAGTCGTTCCTTTTGCTTGCCCCTCATGGATGTTGCCCTTGAGACAGCACGCCGCAGAGGGCTTCGCGATGGTTGCATCTCTTCCAGACATTGTGATTGCTATCTGACTCTTTGCAGTTGGATTGTAGATGAGAATGGATGGATCTTGGTGAGTTCACTGGAGGGGGTGACGTGTGACGGTCTACATCCTCCTTTTTAGTTCTGGGATGCATGCAGCTGCACTACCAAACTCTGTTCGTCCTGAATTCTCAAGGCGATTTCGGGAAAACTGACTCTGATGTCCATCGCACCTGCTTTGCACTGTGTAAACATTTCAATGCCTAGTGCTTTGGCCATTCACTTTACCTCTGTGACTCTCACTATGAAGTACGAAGGTTATCGCTACATCAGAACTTCGACCCAAAGATACCGTCGTAACCCACAACTAACCAGGCTTTTCCGCCCGTATACATCCGCGGCGAACTGATAGGGTCGTGGGACTGTCGAGTGTCCATGCAGATCAGTCCTCTCGGGAGAGATCATTACAAGTTCGCGATTTCACCATCCATCCCGTTGGGGAGAGCAGCAGCAGCAGCATCCGTTGAACCCCGTCCACAACGCGTCCATACGTCGACTACAATGCCGCAGACCGTGTCATGCTTGCGGTTGACACCATATCCGAGATTTGACCATCAGCCGGCCGCAGACATTATTATGTGCGGGGTGCGCCTGCCTTTTACACGTTTTAGTTTCCCACCGCAAGACACCATCGCCATATAACGCGATGCATTGCTCCAATCGTTATGCGGCAAGCATTCGGGGCAGCCAATGAGCCAGTTTTTGCAGCACTTGCGCGCTTTCTGCCTACTGCACATAAACGCGGGCGGTCACTAGACAACGCGCTGTTGCCCAGCCACGCAACGATAGGTCAGCGGGATTCGCGCCACACATGCAGTGGAATTCCTGCTTATGTCACCCAACCTCCGTCTGCTGCCATCGACAGCCTTGTGAGCAATTATCAATACGTTGGAACCCATTCTCACGCGTTCCATATAAATATCTAGACTGTGCGTGTTCCAGACTCGGCAGATCACGGTTGCGATGCTTCTTCCATGATTTTAATGCGTTCTCCCCGTTCTCGGAGGCTTTGCCACACAAGCAACCAAGCACGCCATAGCTGTCTGCTTCAGCTAAGCATATCGAGATATGTCAGCCTTTAACACTTCGCATTCAACCTCAAATTATTCAGTCTGTCGTATGCTACTTGTAGATGGGCTCTCCTCCGTATAAAGTCAAATCGGTCGCTGTGATCGGGGCCGGGGCCGCTGGTCGGTCTACTCTATACCGCTCTTTGACAAATGTGCCCTGGCTGATCAATATAGGTGCGGCGTGCGCAGCGGCTCTGAAAGCCGAAGAGTGCTTTGAGACGATCAAGGTCTTCGAGCGAAGGTCAGGCGCTGGAGGCACCTGGTGCGATACCGATACCACCGTCCGCGTTCGATTCTCGGCCTCTGCTGTCTCTAACTTACCCTGCAGGATCTACGACCCCGACCCGGAACCACTGCCACTGTCCCCAGGATCTTTACCTCCCGTGCTCGATCCGCCGATAGCACTTCCAAATGGTCCCTTCCCACAAAGGCTGCCGCGTCCGAAGCGCCAGCAACGATTTGAAAAAACGCCCATATACGACCTGTTGACGTGAGACTGGACTTCAAGACCTGTCGCTCCGTTGTTGATATCTAATGGAGATTGATGCAGGACCAACGTCCCCGACATTGCCATGTCATTCACAGACCTGTCCTTCGCATACGGCCCATTCGCTCCTCACTACATTCCCAGACAGTATATCGAGAACTACTTCTCCCACCATCGATCAGATGGTTACCTGGTTCTCGACACGACCGTGGAAGACGTCAGCCTGGTCGATCGCACGTCCAGGCGCTGGAGACTGACGTTGAAAAAGACGGATGGCGATCACGAAATCTGGTGGCAAGACGAGTTTGACGCGTTGATCATTGCAAACGGTCACTACTCCATTCCGTTTGTGAGTTGTATTGGATGACGCTCACGAGCAATGCGTTGATTGATACCTAGATTCCTGCCGTTGATGGGCTTGCCGATTTCATTGCGAGCTTTCCCGGGAGAGTCGAACACTCCAAGACGTATCGCTCCCCAGGCCGTTACGCTGGTGAAAGAGTCCTCGTGATTGGGAACTCGTCGTCAGGTCACGACGTTATCACGCAGCTGCGGGAGTCCGGCGTCTGCAAGCCACCCATCTACGTCTCGCGACGATCACGATCACGCTGGGACGGAGAGAAACCGCCCCCTGGGGTTGCGTGGAAGCCGATCATTAGGAGATATCACGCAGAAACCGGAGATGTGGAGTTTGTGGACGGCACGAGGCTGGCGAATGTTGGGCGCATCATCTACTGCACCGGCTACCGGGCTTCGTTTCCATTTTGGAATGCAAAAACCAACGGACGACCTCTCTTCGACTACGAGAAAGACCTCCTCATCAACAACTTTCAGCATACCTTCTTAACAGACTTTCCTACGCTGGGAATCGTCGGAATGCCGCGAGTGCTTACTTTCCGGTCATTCGAGTATCAAGCCATCGCGTTGGCTCGACTGTGGTCCAATCGAGCCGCCCATGCACTTCCTGATTCAGCTGAGCAAAGGAAGTGGCTAGAGCGGCGCGCCGACCTGACACGCCAACAACGGAGGAGGTTTCACGTAATCGATTGGGATACTGGAGAGACTATGGAGTGGTTTCGATATCTGTTCGAGCTCTCTGGTCTGCCGGTGTTGGAAGGAATCGGGCGCTGTCCGCCAACACTGGGCGCCGCTACGAGATGGGCTATCGAGCATGTCAAGAAATATCCGGAACACGAGAAAGACGAAGGTGCTGAAGGCTGGGAAATGGTCAATGAAAAGGACACGCTGTGGTTCATATAGAGTAGAGCGCTGAATCTATGCATTTTTTTTTTCTTAGCAACCGACGACCAACTCCATAACGTGCTCATCGAGTGCTTGGTCTCTCACGGCCGAGAAGAGAGCCTTCTGCCGGGCTCGCCGCCTCTCATACGCTTCATGCCAGAGCGCGCTATGGGAAGGCATCGCCACACCCGCATCGTCCACCATTTTGACGAGATCGTTCACGTAGCGAATCTCATCCCCTTCCTTCTTCAAGGAGTGAAAGGTGCGACCTACGCCCTTTTCGTGTATCCGATCTTGATACTCTTTCCGCATGGCCGATTTGGATGGTAACGGCACCTGGCCAGAGTACACTGCAGCCAATGCCATGGCTTGAAATTCGAAGAAGGAAAACGTTGCAATGTGGTAAGGTCTTCCAACGAATCCCAAGGTCGGATCTTCAATATGCCAAATGTCTTTGTGCAAGTTGTGTGTTTGCTGGCCGTTGGTGACCAGCACGTTCTCATCGGCGTCTTCCGGTTGGACGCCATCTGCGTGGTGGGTCTTCATAAAGGGGAAGCTGACGTGGTAGCCTGTGCAGAGTATTACGTGGTGTATGTTGCACAGCTTCCGGCCGTCTTGCAACGTGATTGTCCCCGGTATGCTGCCATCGAGAGATTTCTCAGTCGATAAAGGGTCGAAAGACTTGACGCCGCCAATTCGCGCCGCATTCTCAGGGAGGAGATGCGACGGAAGGTCGTACATCCCCCCTCTTGAGGATTGATAGACCGATCTGGCGACAGGACCCAGATCTTTGGCAATATCCATCGAACTTACCCCAGCTCCAACCAGAAGAACATTCTTGCCTTCAAATCCAGCATTCGAGCGGTAGAGCTTGGAGTGTTGGACTGCGTCGGGGAAGGCTCGTTTCCAATCGGCGAGACCTGGTAGACTGGGGATATTCGGGGCATGATAATGTCCAGACGCAACGACGACACTGTCAAATTGTTCGACGCTCTCTACGAGCTCGACCTGTTGATCTCGTTCCTTGATGTGAGACACGTCAAGCTCCCACTTCTGACCGACCTTGCGCACTTCGTTGACACGGGTATTAAATCGACAGCATTCGTCGACGCCGTTATTCATCGCACCAGCTTGGATGTAGTCGGCGAGGATGTGATGAGGAACAAACTCGGCTGTGCCTGGGTTCCAAGCTTGACAGGTCATCTCCATCTCGATAGTGCTAACATTGTTGCGGAGTGCAGCGTAGCATGGACTTTGAACCTGTCAGTATTTCTGCCTCATCTTGGATGCACTCTCGACATACCCAGGCGGCGCAAAGCTAGTTACCAGGTCTAACTCCCGCTGTCGATTGATGAGATGGTCTCTGGGCATTGGACTGTCTTGTCGGGCATCGTGCTGAAACCGCCTCGACACTTCTGCGTACTCTGGCGAATCTCCGGTGGATGGCAAGACTGATGGGTAGGCCGCATCTTTTGCTCGTTGCTCATTGAAGACCCTTCACTTGTCAGCTGAATGTAGCTTCCAAACTATAGCTAAGCAAGTGATTTGATACCAAATGCCGCCGGCTCGTTTGTTTCGTTCAAGGACGGTCACATCCAGGCCAGCGCGCTTGAGACTTGAAACACTGTCAGAATTTGCTCATGGTGCAGTCATTCAGGAGAAGTAGACATACTGGATTGCGGCAGCGACACCGCTCACGCCTGCTCCAATGACCGCGACGGTACGGACATCGAGGTACTGCTGGGCCATAGTGGGCGTGACTGAGGAAGCGGCACAAGAAAGACAAAGTTTCAGCCGAGATATTCATCTCACTAAACGCCACGTGAATTGAAGGGCATGTGCGGCCTGTTTGAACTCGCTTCGGCCATTAGATCAAGGGTGAGCATGGCGTGGGTGGCTTTGAGCGTCTGCGGCATTGCACAATTTGGTGGTGAGATCGCGCCACTGCTGCCGCACCAGCCTTGTGGGTCCGTGCGCTCCTGGACAGCCTGACTACACCTGCTTGCGATATTGATGATGTGAAGACAACGACTCCATGCAATATAATACGCTATAGATGTACGTAAAATTCTAATCAGAGCGCTTTGGAATTGCAAACTGTGAAATACTCGTGAATCGTAGACTTGACGCAACCTAATCTTTCTTCGGCACATTGACTTCGATCTGAGCCTCCTCAGAGCTGTTTGTGTCCGTCCGTTCAAATACTTCGCCAGCGAGTTGTTTCCTGTGAATCTTGTCAGCGTACATCGATTTTAATAGCTCCGAATCAGCCACTTACAATGCCTTCTCCCGCTCATGCAGGTGTCGGGTCACCATGGTTGCAATGATCAGAACGACCGAGAAGCACGTCGCGGTGATGAAACCTTTGTGATATCTTGGCGCATCGACTTGTTCCCACACTATCAGCGGGAGCCATCTGATTTTTTGTGATTAGCAAGGCTTCGTCTCACTTCAGGGGTGTCAGGTAGAACAAATCCAGTGCTCTGAGATCAACTACGCGAGATTGCTGCGGGTGGCAACGACATCGCTTCGACCGATCTCGAAACGTCTGGACGGGTTCTTCCAGGAATTGCTTACGCTTGGAAGACGTATGCCAGCTCGTTGATCGTTGCGCTGACAAGCGCTCGCTCTTCTAGGTCGTCTGAGCAGATTTCTACGCCGTAATCAGTATCTGTGAAGGCGAGCAGCGTTCTTTGGCCATTCGACGATAAAACTCACCTGCCGTCCAGGCGTAGATAAGGCCTGACAAGCCTCCACCGAAGCCGGCGAGGATATAGCATGCAAATTTGAAGGAACGCGAGATATTCCATATCGCGAGCGGCACATAGCAGAGAATATTCATTCCGGCTCCAATGAGTATAGGAGGCCATCGTTTCCCACGGAAAATCGTATCGGAGGACCAGGCATAGAAGAGCGTCGTCACAACTTGTACTGCGTTCGTAGCCGTGCTGTTGTAAGGCGAATTAGTATATAGTCCCATGGAGGTGATCTCTCGAGCCACTTACGGATAAACGTTGACCTGCCAGATCTTGTATACCGGATTTTTGTGGTAATGAAGGTACTGAGCGAAGACTGGAGCCGAAAGGCCGTTGTTGTTGAAAGTGATGTAGACGATGCTGAGCATGTAGATGTGCCAAGATTTGAAAATCTTCTTGATCTTCGCCCGGGTGTATGGTTGTCTGCCCTTTCGCCCTTCCAGCTCCATTCTCTTCTGGCCGAATGCTCGCTCATCGGGCGTGAGGTACCACACTCTTGTCGTCTCGGGAAGATCGGGAAGACAGACGTAACCGAGGAGCGCGATGGGGAGGGAGATGCAGCCGTCGATGATGAACAGCCACTGCCAGCCTGCCATGCCGCCGATGCCTCCAAGATGGTAGACAGCGGCCATCAAGTAGCCGCTAAACATCGTGGCGATCGCGGACGCGGTGTGGAAGATACAGCTTCGCTTGGCGAGCTCGTCTTGTCGATACCAGCTACCAATGAGGAATTGCATGCCGGGATAGAAGCCAGACTCGGCCAATCCCACCAGGAAGCGCACTCCGTAGATCTGTCCCGCCGTGTTGCATTGGGAAAGGCAGAACGTTAGGATAGTCCATACCAGCTCGAGTGTTGGGATCCAAATGGATGGTCGTACGCGCGTCAAGATGATATTCGATGGTATTTGGCCAATCACGTATCCCACTGTCCAGCATGTTTGCATGTAGTTGAGTTGATTGCCGTATAGGTCGAGGTCTTTCTGCCTGTACGTCACAGGATAGTCAGTCGGCCTTCTGATGCTGCAACGAGAAAGAATCCGATACTTACATTCCCGACACAAATGCATTGTTGATATTTGACTGATCCAGGTATTTGATGAAGTATCCTGCAATCGACTGAGTTAGAAACGCGCAAAGCTATCGCAGGGGGCGGCTTACCAAGAGTTGCAAAGGTTAGCACTGCAGAATCGAGCTTGAACACAAAGTGCCGCTCTTCTGGGCTCTTGTCGAAACTGTCCCAGATGTATGACTTCCAAGACTGCTTGGGTTTGACCTGAATAACATCCTCGGCGTGGTGTGCCACGATGGGATCTTCCAGATTGTCGTGGTGCTCCATGTCGTTTGACGACCGAGGAGGAAGAAGAGACTCCTGCTCTGATTGCTGAATTCGTGACTCAGAGAAGAGAAGAGACTCTTGTCCCGATGGTTGATTACTTAGAAGAGACTCGTGCTCCGAAGGTTGATGACTTATGAATGGCCCCCGCCCGGCGTTGAGAGTCCTCTGGCGGCTGGCGTCATTGGGGCGGCGGGACAAAGGCATACTTCGCCGTCTGCAACCGGGCAGCAGCACATCGGAGACGCGGGAAGTGAAATTGCGATTTCTTGCGTGCTCACAAAGAGGCGTCGAAAAGCGAGAAAAGACCTACGATCGTGCTACCGGATTGACGTGCCTATCTGCATGAGCGGGGATCACCGACGATCACAGTGAGACGCCGTCCATGGCGTGCTCGAGGTTACGAGTACTTTTCCCCTATACGGCCAACACGAGATTCTTCTGTCAAACCTCGGATCGCATCGCGGGAATAACAAAGGTTGCGTCGGGTTGGAAGTTGAATGAAGCAATGGCATTACGGACTAGCTGCTCAGTGCTGCAACCAATACCGAACACAGTTTTCTTCGTCGTTGGTGCTGGCATGTTTCCCCGCTACGTCCTTGCATGTATCTGATCTGTGTTTCGCCCATTGTAACGGCGAGTGAGAACAAGCTAGCCGACTGCGATCCGTAAAAGTTGGCATCCAAGGGACGCACGCATGCGGACCACGCGAGGAACATGCGGTTGAGAGCAGTTAACGGTATGCTTGCATGCAACGGTGAATGGATGGCAGCATGTGAGAGGAGGAGGAGGTGATGTCGTGCTTCCACCCCACAATGATGCGCTCGGGCCCGCGGCACGCTCGCCGCAGGGTCCAATCAAGCAATGCCCAACTTCACCTCTTCCCCGCCCTGACGAGCTCGCATCGGGGGATCAGCCCTAGCACATCCCGCCACCCAGCTATCAATCCTCCAATAACCTTGAAACAAAGCAGAGCTCTTAGACTGGAGGAGGTGCAGCTGCGCCGTCGAACGTAGCGACGAAGCGGTATCGGACGACCAGTCCTACTTCGGCCAGACCGCATGTAATTATTAATCTACAAAACAAGTACTGCTATCCTTGTTCTTAATCCCCCACTCCCGTATAACAGCGCCTCCATTCAACTCCACTCAGTACATTCAAACGCGCATCGAACATCCACCATGGCTCCCATTGCCGTCGACGACACCCAGCCACTTCCCATTGACCCTCGTATTAAGGATGTAGCTACGCCTCGGAAAGACACGTTGAATCTACCGGCTCCAGCCCGCGAGAGGTTGACAAAGGCCGGCATTGACCTGTCTCGAGGCTATCCATACCGCCCTGCCCGTCCACTTTATCTTCAGGACGCCTTTGAGATTCGCAACGAACCTTGGGTGCATGACGATGCCGGTGCCCGCGCCGCGAGAACCGATCAAAGCAAGAGCTCGTTGCTGAATGCCGCCACCAAAGTGACGCATCTTACCGGCCACATTGGTACGGAAATCGAGGGCCTTCAACTCAAGGACTTGACCAACCAACAACGGGACGAGCTTGCGCTGTTGATCGCTGAGAGAAGTGTCGTCTTTTTCCGGTGGGTTTACCTCTTACGAGCTGCTAAAAGTGTACTCTTGGCTGATCAAATACAACAGAGACCAGGATCTTACTCCTCAGCAACAAAAAGAGCTTGGTGAGCATTACGGCAAAATCGAGGTCCATCCCCAGGTTCCACAGGTCCCCGGCGTTCCCGGAGTCACTGTAATCTGGCCTGCTCTCCAAGCTACCGAAAAGGCTGCCAATTTCCGCAACCCGGGCGGTGCTTCGAGATGGCACACCGATCTTGTTCATGAAAATCAGCCTGCGGGGGTCACGCACCTCCATAATGACACAATTCCGACCATCGGAGGTGATACTCTGTGGGCTTCTGGATACGCTGCTTACGAGAAGCTCTCTCCGGCCTTTAGAAAGATGATTGATGGCAAAAAGGCCATTTACAAGTCGGCACATACTTACTTGGACAAGAACGATCCAAACTCCGGCCCGAAACACATTGAAAGGATTCATCCGATCGTGCGCGTCCACCCGGCCACTGGCTGGCGGGCGTTGTGGGTGAACAGGGCCTTTACCAAGAAAATCGTTGGACTTGACCAGGCCGAGTCAGATGTCATTCTCAACTATCTCTTCGATGTTTTCGAGAAGGTAATGGGAATCCGCAACCATACCTGCATTATGCGAGCTAATTTGATTGCTGCAGAACATCGATATTCAGGTCAGATTCCGTTGGACGCCCAGGACGAGTGCTTTGTGGGACAACAGGTTCGTTATGGCACTTGTGACTCCCGGGACATTACTAACGATATAATAGGATCACCATACATAATGCTAGTTGGGATTAGTTCGTTTTCACTCAAAAATTGAAGTGGTAGCTGTCCTGGGACGTCGTTCTCGTGTTTGAGCTCCCAAACGGGGGATCGGCGTGGACGGACTCTCTCAGGACGGCCTATCACACTCACTTGCCCCTTTCAATGTACTCATGCTGACTCCAGAGCTCTAGTGAGGGCGGAGAACCTCGTCACGGGACGAGAGTGACCTCGTTGGCGGAAAAGCCTTATTACGATGAAAATGCGCCTTCTCGCAGGCAGGCACTGGGCCTCGAAGATCTTGAATGAACAAATCATCAGAGACACTCATGGAGATAGGCACCCGTGTCGGTGCTTAGGCGGGCGACTGATTGCATAGCAAGCCGGCAGGGGCACGAATAGGTGCAAGACCAACGTTCGATTACAGAGGTCACGTGACCAAATGTCTTCATACTATTCACTTTGCTGTCTTCTCTCAGCTAATTACCCGCACATTGCGCCTCGGTGTCCATTCCAGAAGCATTTGATACGGCTACTGCAACCTTGCGAGATGCCTCCTTCCAATCGCCACGAGGCAATGCTGGAGCTCGGCGCGGTCATCCATGGTCGTGCTGGGAACTGGAGGCAGCAGAATTGCAGGCACGGGGATTGGTGGCCTGTTGCCGGATGCAGTGCAATCAGACTGCCCGACTGGGTATGCAATAAGGTGGCCTGGTGGTCTCCCCGTGCCTCGCTTCTTTGTCGGGGGAGCTCGAAATGTGGTTATCCAATACACCAGCCGTTACAATACGTAAGCGAGCCTGCCCAATTCGGAAGGTACCTTATAGATGTATAAAGCCTTGTGAGCCGTCCGCATGTCCACCTCACTACCACTCACGAACCTCCTTTGCTAACCCCTACTCTCTTACAATGCCTCTCTTCCACCCTACTATCGCCGCCATATGCATTTACATTGGCGTGGCAAGCGCAAGTTTGATCTGCCCAACTAATGTCAACTTCAAACTCGAGGCCGCGGGGAAGTTTCTCACGCCGGGTTCCCCCTGCGGGCAATATGGCTGCTATGCCTTCTTCAGCGTTGATATCACTACCGGCTTCGAATATACCATCGCCGAAGGCACAACCAGCCTTATGATCGCCCAAGTGCCTGCGGGTTCGCAAACGCCAGCAGGGTTGTATGTCGACGCCCACGACTACGTTGGGGACCAGGTGCTCGCAATCTCGTTTCAACATGGCCCGCCAGTCAACATGAATTGCACTATTGTGCCCACTGTGAGCCTCGATGGATTATCGTGCAATCTAGAGTGTCAGGGGAGATTCAACGACGGTGCCACTTCGGATGGGCAGAGTATCGACCCGAAGGATTCGAATCTGTGGTTCTTGGGGGGCTCGAAGCATGACACGAAGGTCACGGTCCAGGTGGTGTACACGTGAGGGAGGGCTTGGGCTGGATTTAGCATACTGGTTGGTGATGATGTTGAAGGGGAACGGTGCAGCTGGAGCAGTCATCGTACATACACTCAATGACATTGACTTTCCGGTTCCAATGCCCTGCTCAATCGTAATGCCGGTTCAATGCTCTCATCACGGTTTGCTGATACGGCTGGGGTACCTTCTCCTTCCTGCTTTCGCATCTTAAGCACTGTAGAATCGGGGAGCCCTGGTACCAAGTGGATCCTGGGCTTGACTGGGAGCATAACATCATCCAGGCCGTGGAGCTTGTGGCGAATGGGCGAGAGACGCTCATCCTATTGGCCTGGGTCGTAATTGAAGGTGACAAGTTGCCTTCACCCTTCACAGCTTCGAGCCCGTCCAGTTCGGTTTCCGCTTCTCTCGAAATGCAGACAAGCCCTCCTGGGAGTTGGCACTCTTCATCAGCTTCTCAAAATATGCCTCGTGAGTAATCTGAAAAGCCCGCTCCACAGATCCCGTCTCCCATGCTTCCCTCAACGCTGCTCGAGTCACGATGATTCCGTCGGGCGATATAGCAGCAACTTGCTTCGCCTTCTCGATTGTTTCCCGTAGACACGACTCGGGAGACTTGGAGATGGCGGTGATGAGGCGCAGGTCGAGTGCTTCTTGCGCGCTGATCCGCCTGCCGGTCAAGGCTATGTCGCTCGCGGCTTGCATGCCTAGATTCCTCACCAGTCGCGGGAGGCCGCCGCTCCAGGCGTATACGCCGACACTCGGCTCCGGCAAGCTGAATTGAGCAGCCGGTGATGCAATCGCAATATCGCTGTGCACCTCGTCAGTTAGTCGAGAGCGCACCAACAGATCCGTACGACCAACCTATTCAGAACAATCTCAAACCCACCCCCAAGCGCAATCCCATTCACCGCCACAAGAACAGGCTTCTTTCCAAAGCGTCTAGCCAATCCAGCAGATGCGCTCGGAGGGTTGACGCTCTCCCACGGCCGATCTTTATTTTTCTGTGCAGCCTCGATTTCAATGAGATCTGATCCGGCGCAGAAAGCCTTCGTTCCTTCGCCGGTGATGATGGCTACTCGTAGACTTGGCTCGTCGTCAAACCACTTCCATACGGCGTCGAGTTGCCAATTCAGCTTTTGGTTTGTCGTGTTCATTTTCTTTGCTCGCGTGATGGTGACTAGTAGGACGTGTTGGGCGGGATATGAGATTGCAGCCTCGTCGCACGAGGGCGGGTTGAGATCCTGATGGAATTGATCCCCCATTGTTACAAGGCTGAACTGACTTGGTTCGATATCCAGTATTCCGTTGGTCAATCGCTGTCGTTCATGGAATGGCGTACATCTGGTGCATCGATGTACAAAGAGGGGAAAGCCAACCAACACCCGACATCGGCTCGCCACATCAACACGTGCATGACAACGCGCGCCCCTCCTTCCCCGACATATACGCCACGCGTCTCCCACCTCCCACCCCCAACAACCCTCACTAGGTCATCCACAATGGCAAGCCCTAGCACAGCAACACCATCGCACCGCAATAAACGCGTGAGCGAAATGACGCCCGAAGAGCGCCTAGCCAGCCTAACCGCCTGGGCCGAAGAGCAGAAATACGTGCAGCCGGGCGAAGGCGGGACGTTCGCGGTCGGTGAGTTCAACTACCCGACAAAACCCCCTCGTCGATCGGAGTTAGATGCTAACCTCGCCGTGTTTTCGCTGGACAGGCCCCTGGGGTATTCGAACCATCTGCGCCACGCCATCTTACTCCGGTCCAGTCAAATATGTGCCAGGGTACACTGCGCCTCTTGCGCCTCCTGCGTATGAGACGCCGCCTTCTTACGAGAGCGCTGTGCGGAGCGCGTCGGAGGGGTCTTGTTCAAAGAAGCCTGGGCGGGTGAAGCAGTGGATGGAGAGGCGGAGGCAGAAGTAGGGCATAGACGTGCTCGACGACGACGACGAATCACGAAGACATGATGCAAGGAGGATCAACGCAAAGGGCTTGCAATTCTTCAACCAGAGCGAGTAAGCGCGTACGATATGACTGCAATGCCAAAACACCACCGCTATGCCATTCGCCTCAACCTAAACTTAGTACCCCAATTTCTTCTGCTTCTCCTTCCCAGCCATCTTCACCCCCGGCTTGGTATACGAGCAAAACCGATCCTTAATCGACACGACCTCATACGTCCCCTCCTCATGCGCTCGGATCCTCAACGAGTGCCCCTCCGAGTGCTCCGAGCGCGTATCCAGCACCTTGCCCGACCGCCCATACTTATCGGTGTTGGCCGAGCGGGTATACGTGAACTCGAAAGGCGGCACGCCGCCAAACTCGAAGAGAATCTCCGCCTCGCCACCTTCGTGGATGTCGACGTAGGAGTCCCGGCCGTTGGATACGCGCACCGAGGGCAGCGAGTGGATGTTTTTGGTGATGTTTGTTGTTGCTTTGCACTGGCTTGCGTCGTCTTGGACGCCGGTGACGACTAGCGTGCCTGGCTTCTCCGCGAGGCGACGGAAGGTGGCGCTGTTAGCCACGGCCTTTCGAGCAGCGCCTTCAAAGCTGTAGAAGACGTTGAACGGCGCGACGCCAGAGAGAGCAAAGTTGATTCGGTCTCCGACGCAAAAGTCCGTCTGCGCTTCCAGCGGGCTGATCGTCGGGGCATCGTGGACGGATATCTGGACGTGCGGGGTGGTGGAGTCCAGGCTGCGAATGCATCCTCGACCGTCACTCACTCTCCTCAACGATACCGCGGACTTGCCTTTTTGCAGACGACTGTGAGGGATGCGAATGTTGTGCGACGTTTCCGTGATGCCGGTCAAAGCCACCGTCTCTGGCCGTGCGGTTCCATGATGCTTGATTTCAATCTCGACGTCGAACGGCGGCACGCCATACAGCGTGATTGGAATGACTTGCTCTCCGTCCGACTCTGTCGAGCAGAACCGATAAGTCTTCTCCGGGCTGCTGAATGCCACCGACGGCCGAGGCTGCACTCGTTGCCTCACTGTTAGTGGGCTGAAATGCTTTGAGCTGTGCTGGTAGTGAGAGTCCTCCAGTTTGTTAAACCGGTACTCGTACAAACCAGCAAGCTTCGTATCCATTCGCAGCGTAGCAACGTTCTGTACTGCACGCAGCGAGAGGTCCTTCGGAGACATGCTGCCCTTGAGTGGCTGCACATGGAGCTGGTAATTCGCACTGTAAGGCGGCGAGCCTTTGAAGAGAACCTCCACCGCATCTTCGTCACCCTCGCATACATCGGCTTTGACGATTGTGCCGCCTTTCCGCTCAGCAATGTCCGTAGACGCGATGCGAAGCTCCGGCCGAGGAATCCACGACACTTCGAAATCTTTCGCGGCTTCGTCGACCACACCTGGACACGTCCCGTCCCGGACACTAGTCAGTTCGTAGGTGCCTTCGTGTGCGACCGTGACACGATCGTTTGCGTTTTTGACATGAATGCCGCGCTCATGGCCACTTTTGTCAACGTACGTGACACTCCACGGACCATCGCCACCTTCCAACCGGAGGGGGAGATCAACTGCTTTTCCTTCCAACGCGCTGATCGCACGCTGTCCGTCGACGGCTTTGAAGCCGACTCTGGGCTTCTGATGGCGAACGCTGATGCGAGATTCACTTTTCAAGAACTCCTTGCAGCCCGATTGATCAGTAACACTAACGAGTGCCAGAGTGTAATCTCCGCCCTCAGTCAACGGATCGGTGCTGATCTTTATTTGTTGCTCGGTGACGTCGCTCAACTCTCGTTTCACCCGCCTGCCATTATGGAGAATCTCGTATTCGATGTGGAAAGGACCGTCACCCTGCAAAGCGACATCCAAGGATACAGCTTCGTCGATGCAGGCCAATTTCCGCTCCGAGGCATTGACAAAGTCCGCAGAGGCTGACGGCTTCACCGTCTGGTCGAGAGAGATGCCAGACAACCTCTGTCTCTGGTATACCGCGTCGCTAATCTCCAAAAAGTCGTATCTGTGCTGGCCCGCCTGCTTCGGGATGAGTTTGAACTGCGCCCGTGATTCGGGGAACCTCAAGACGTCTTTGGTTTCGACACCGGAGCCAATACGGGTCATCCGGTAGTGGACTTCAAACGGAGGCGTACCCACGAGATCGAGGTCCACTTGCAGACCAATAGGACTGCCGGCGCATTTGTCAAATATCTCTTCGGTCGTCAAAGCCAGCTGTGGTTGGGGCGGGACCTGCAGAATACACGACGCAGGCTCCAGCACCTCGCCACTGCAGAATCGGGTGGAGACACCAGTGAGAGCATAAAGCCCAGGTTCTTGGATCTCCTGCTGGTTTGCGCCCGTCACGCCCTTGAAAGACTTTTCCTTGGCCGATAACTTGTCGTCATCAGGCGTGAAGACGTAGTCGATGTCGTATGGTTCGCTAATCTCGCCCTTTCCAGTTGATCCAAGCCGGAGTGGCAGTTTCGTCTTCTTGCCCTTCGCCACCTTCAACGGCCTCTGTGGACTGCAGCCGTGTAGGGTGACGATTGGTCGTTCGTGGACGTTGATCACTTGATGCAGGACAGATCCCTTGGCAAGTTGACGCTGCTGCTCTTCGTGATCTTTCCGAGTATATGTCACCGTGTTGCCGAAGGCGTCGCGAACCTCTTCAATGGAGTAGCTCCAATTTCCAGCGCTACTCAAGCTCTCGGCGAGAGGTACAGAAATCTGATGGCTCTTCGCCCAGATGGTATCGACCTTGTTAGGTAAGATCAAAGCGCCTTGGTCATGCTTTGCCCAAGGTGAGGCGTAATCGTCGGGAAGAATGTTCTCAAGCGTCGCGTCTTGAGGGCTCCTATTGACCACCTTTCTGTACTTCAACGTCAAGGGCGGTGCGCCAGTGACCTCAATCTCGACCTTTGACAGCTCTCCCTTGCACTGATTGGGCGTTGAGGGGCGGACTTCGGCCTTTGGACACGATACGACAACGGTATGCGCGAGTTGCTTTCGAGCGACTTCCAAATTCGACTCGTCGATGACTTTGGAGAGGACGTACAGCCCGGGCTTCTTCACCGAGAAGTAGAGAGTCTTTGGCTCAAACTCTTTATCGCTGTAAGAATTTAGCCGCGACGCTTCCTTGTGCATCGTCTTGATTTGCGCCTTGGTGATGTGGATGGTCTCGTTGGCTTGGGTGTCGAGGTCGGTGCGCAGCAGATCCATGGAGATGGGATTGGTCGAGTTGATTCGGATGGGTAACTTGGCTTCGGTGCGAGTGGTGTCGATGCAATAGACTTGCTTGTTGGGGTTCAGGATGGCCGAACCTTCGGGCAGAATGTGGATGATCTGCCGGCCGAGGATGAGGGATTCGTTGAACTTCACACTGTCTGGGTTGACATTGTGCTCGTTGACTGCCAGCTCATACGCACCCCATACGCTTCGACCGACCGCTGCGAAGGCTGGGGCTATGGGGAGCGGGATGCGGAACATTAACATGCCATCCACCAATGCGTGCGAGCCAAAGAGCATGAGCATGGTGGACGGACTCCACTCCAGCCATGGTATTCTCAAAGCAGGGAGCCCAAACAAAAACAGCCCATCAATAATGACCCATTTCATGAACAGCCAAAGACTTTGCTCTTCTGCTTCACTTAACGTGCCCCAATCGAAGAGTCGCCATGTCCACAAGGCAACTGCGGCAGAGACGACAAACAGTCGCTGTGTGGGGGCATCGAGGATGTGTTCAGGAATGAGAGGGTCGACCGAGGTGGATTGGGAGAAGGCGGGTTTGACGGGGGGGATGTTTCGCAGAGGGGCGCTGCCTCGCTTGGTGTCTTGAGGAGAGCCGAGGAAGCGCGGCGGTCGTCTGCTCGTCTGCGGCGTGGCCGGGTATGCGCTGCGCAGGCGCGGGGTTTGATCCATGTCACCGTTGCCGTGGTCGTTGTTGAAAAGTCATAGCTAGGAGGATGTCGAGGCGGAAGGCAGTGGAGGAGGCGCACTTTGTAAAGCGCAGGAGGCCTCGGTTGTCACCTGGTTGAGGTATCGTGAGGTGTGTTTGCGGCCACCAGGATGCTCGAGGGTGAATGAGGTGTCGTGTTGAACTGTTGTATGTCCAACACAAGCAGTTCCAAACTTCCACGCGACTCGCGCTTGATGCCTTGAACTCTAAATGCACGGGCCGCGCCGGAGCTTCGAAAAGGCTGCCTCACTGCCCTGCTTTGCCTTCACCGACTTCATCCCGCCATCACTTTACTGAAGATGATCGCGATCTCAGGGGGGGGATTGATTGTGAAGAGCGATGGCAGAGAAGTGTACAATGCTGTTTAGCGTGTCCTTTGTGTTTGATGTTTTTGCAATTCTGCTCCCAGCGTGCCCGGTGCCTGGACACGCAACGTTGTCTCCGTCTCCTCGATAGCCATCTTGCTTCCTGCATCTCTCCCCCATAATAACCGCTGAGACTCCTGTCATTTCCTCCACAACACCACAATGCCTCCCAAGCGTGGGAAAAAGCGAAAAACTACTCGTGAGCCCGGCGCCGACGAGGCGAGTCACGAAGAGCCGTTGTCGCTGCCGGACAAGACGACGTGGCCGGGATGGGTGGAGATGGAGTCCGAGCCTGTACGTGAATGATCTCAACCACCCGCCTTGGATCCCCGCTGACGTACGACGCAGGCCTTCTTCAACGTTATGCTTCGAGAAATGGGTGTTCGCGGCGTGAAGATTCAGGAAGTGTACGGCCTGGATGAAGAAATGCTCGCCATCCTACCGTGCGTTGCCTGCCACACCCTGCATTGCTCATCCGCTGATGGTCCTGTCCCAGTCGACCAATCCATGCATTAATCTTCCTGTTCCGCTACAGAGACACCGACCAAGCCGAACAGCAGAAAGCTAGCGACTACCCTGAGTACATCTGGTTCGCTAACCAGATCCCCGACTTCGCCTGCGCCTCCGTCGCCCTACTCAACATCGTGAACAACATCAAAGGTCTCCATATCGGCAAGGAACTGCGTGACTTTCGCGACTTCACATCTCCCATGGATCCCATGAGTCGCGGCGATGCCATTGACAGCTTTGATTTCGTGAAGCATATTCACAACTCGTTTGCGACCGAGACGGACTTGCTCATAGCCGACATGCATGCCAAACAGAAAGCGATGCGTGCAAAGAAGAAGCAAGCGCTTGCCAAAGCACGGCAAACACGAGAAGCAAAGAAGGCGGGTACCCTGCCACTCGCGGAGAAGTCTGCCAATGCCTCATCCATCCCAACTCGAACATCCCAGCGTACACCAAAGAAGAGCCCGCAGCCTGCTCCCACCGCATCAAACGAGTCGAGCCCACTCTCAGACCCTCCCGACTCATCGTCAGAATTCGAAACGCCAAAAAAGCCAACCACAACGAAAGACAAAATCACAACCACCCCCCGCCGCTCAACTCGCAAAGCCAAAACCCGCCAGACCCTGCAAACCTCCACACCCGAAGATGACGACGACGACAGCGAAGGCTTCCACTTCATAGCGTACATGCCCATCCAAGGGCACGTCTGGAAACTCGACGGGCTCGACAGCTTCCCGCAAGACATCGGAGCGATCGACGAAGCGGCTGGAGGCGATTGGATCAACATTGCGCAGCCTGCGCTGCAGACTCGTATGGCGATGTATGAAGGCGCGGACATTGATTTCAACCTCATGGCTGTTGTGCACGATCCCGTGCTCAAAGATCGCGCGGAGCTGGCTGAGAATGTGAAGGCGCTGGAGACGGTGGAGAAGAAGTTGAACGCCGCATCAGGTGACTGGCGAGCTCAAATCGGCATGCTGGACGACGAAGGCGTACTTTCAGGGCCGTCAGCTGCGCTTGACCTATCGCGGGAAGACATTGATGCGGTACGAGATTCACCGCCATTCACCAACGAAGAAATCGGCCTCGTCCAGTTACTCGAAATTCGGAAACAAGTGGTAGCACAGCAAGCACCGCTGAGAGGAGCTGTGAGGGACGCAATGGAGTCTGCAAAGGCGGACGAGGAGAGGGCGAGGCATCGACGACACGATTACGGCGCGTTCGTGAGGACCTGGCTGGGTGCGCTGGCGGAGGAGGAAGCTCTGAGCGGTCTTCTGGAAGACGCTTGACCGGAGGCGGGCGATTAGGCGCGAATAAGCACAGAGTAATCGAAGTAATGTGGAGAGATGCAGGAACAGCTTCTGAGGAAGCGAGCAGTGGATTGCAATTCCACTGCTGTCATAATCGATATCATCATCAACAAGAGAATCAACTCCACGCGCCATGCTGTACTTCAAAATCGCTTCAACCTCCCACACCTTACTTACACCTCTTCTCGACGATACTCGCGCCAAACTCAGCATACTCCTGCTTGCTGACCCACATTTGATGAAAAGTGCCCAAACTGCCCAGCACCGACCCGCCAATCCACGCGCCGTACTTCCTCTCGACGGAATTGCTGTTCGCAATGACACGAACCTTGGGGTTGGGAATGAGCGTTTGGAGATCGCTTTGTAAGCGGTCTGGTAGCTTTTCGATCAGACTACCTGCACCGGTAAGGATGACGTTGTGCAGTAAGTGTCCGCGGGTATCCACGTCGCAATTTTGCAGCGAGCGATGGGCGGTCTGAGCGATGGTGCTTGAAGCTTCTGGTTGAGGATGCTCCGCATCGGTGTAGGCAGCACGGTGGTCGAACAGGCCTTCGGCGACTTTGTATCTCTCGGCGCCAAAGACGGTGTTCCACCCGTCGGGCATTTCGAATGGCTTGGGTGGCAAGGATTTTGCGTGATCCATGTTTGTGGCGGGCACACCTCCATGACCACCCGCAGGACCCTCGAGTCTCCCGGGACCTTGCCAGGTCTGGACAACGGATTCTTTGAATGAAAGAAGTACCCGTTCCTCCTCTAATCTGCGGAAGGAGTCTGATGGCGCCTTCGCGAACTGCGCGTACGTGGCGTTGCTGGGAGAGTTGGCATCCACGGCTTGCTTGGACTTGACCATGTAGTGAGGTACGAGGGGAACGGGTGGGTCGTGACTGGCGAGCATAAGGCGAATTTGGTCGTTGATAAATGAGCCGGCCAAGGGAGTGTGAAGGATACCTGTTGTAAGAGTTCAGCATGCCTTCTACCATCTCGTTTGTCTGGAAGAAATTTGGCGGAGAAGAAGGTGGTAAATCAGTATAAAAGGCCGTGTCAGGGGCCATTCTCATCAAAGCCGATTTGGCTATGTCGACCGTCGTGAGAAAAAAATGTTCATCATAAAAGGAGATAAAAGGCAGCGAGATATGAGAAGCGCACTCACTCTTTCGCAGAACCATGCCTTCCCATAGGGCGGTGACGGATGTGTTTTGATGGCCGACATCAATCACCAGTGCGGTGGCTTTTCCTTGAGAATAGCTGGGTGTTGTTAGTGGGCATGATCAAAAACGGGGTACATGATCAATCACTTACGCAGCCAGCTGTCCGTTCTTTGCAAGGAAAAAGGCAGGGACACCCCACTCTTCCATGGCAATCTCCATCGTCTTTTCTCTCGCCTTGACGGGGTTCCACGACGGCTCACTCATGAGCAGCGGGTATTCCGCAAGCGGACTGTCCTGTTGTTCTTCCACGCCATCTTCCATCGCCACATCGCCATTCTCATCTTTCTTATCATCGTTCAGGCCGTTGCGGGTTGGATGCGTCGGTCTCGCTCCCGTGAGGCGGGATGTGATGGCGTACTCCCACAGACGCGACGCAGTCTCCCAGTCCTCTACGATACCCTCAGAATTGTATGGATTTCGGATGTCCATGTCCGGACGCGCGAGGTGGATGGCATTTTCGCCGAACAACCGCTCGCCAGAGGGGAGGTGGGCGTAGTAGGAGGGGACGACGGATTTGGGGGTGTCTTCGCCTGCGAAGCCTGCGCGGGTGCAGTAGCTACCCGGGTCAAGGACGAGGGCATTGATTTCATCTGTCAGAAAAGATCTTTGGTAAGTGACATTGGCCTGGGTGAGTTTGCGCTTGAGAGGCTGACCTCCAGCATAATCCTGATTTGCCGGTGCTTGTGTTGGAGGGAGTGTGGAGGCCATTGTAGAGGTGAACCGACGCCCAAACGCCGGAGAGAAGGGAGGAATGGAAAGAAGAAGCGAGTCTTGAAATGAGGCCTACCGCATGATTGGGCGTGATGGACGTGAATGTCTGCAGACGCATGGTTTTCGCGAAGTCGAAAAACAGCCACGTCTGCAGTCAGGAAAGTCGTGGGACTCTGCCAAGCATTCTGTCACCAATTCCAACTTCACCTTCAGGAGACGCCCGCCTCATCATAGGCATCGATCGACGCGACGAGACAAGATGCGGGAGAGATGAAGATCACCAACCTCTACAAAGTCGAAACACTCGACCATCGCTTTGCTCCTCCCGGACAAGCAGAGCAGAAGCCTCTCGCCGACGCCCAGCCGTCGAAATGGAACACCCCCGAATACTACATCTACTACCTCTTCTTCCTGACCATTCCTCCGTTGATGTTCAAAGCGGTTTATGATGTGTCACAACCGTCTCACCCCAACTACGCCCGCTATGAGCAACTACTCTCTCCAGGATGGATACCAGGCCGCAAAGTCGACAACTCCGATGCGCAGTACAGGGGCTTTCGAGACAACATCCCCTATATGGCGGTTGTATTGTGTCTGCACCCCTTGCTCCGAAAAGCGTATGATCGCTGGGCTGGGGACTCGGTTTTTACGCAAGCCAATGGTTCCGCAAAGCAGAGACCCGAGGAAGGAACGGCAGCGGATGCACGGCTGGCGAGACGTATTCGATTCGATCTGGGCTTTGCTACTATCTTCCTCCTGGCCCTGCACGGCTTCTCCGCACTGAAGGTGCTACTACTTGTCTACCTCAACTACCAGATAGCGACTGCGCTTCCAAGACGCTACGTTCCCATCACCACATGGATCTTCAATATTGGCTTGTTGTTCGTGAATGAGCTCTACCACGGTTATCCATTTGCAAAACTTGCTGGAAACACCTCTACCTGGGGAGCTTGGCTCGACAGCTATGGCGGGCTGATACCACGATGGGAAGTCTTGTTCAATTTCACCGTCCTCCGACTTATCGCTTTCAACTTCGACTATATCTGGATGCGGGATCGTCGCGAATCCAGCCCAGTGGAGGTATATCTTTCTTTACCATTGTCTGAACAGGCAATCTTTGCTAATACGCTTCAGAAGAAGAGCATCGACCCCTCAAATCTACCTGAAAAGGAGCGACTCAAATATGGAGCCACGGTCAAGGACTTTACCTTCCACAACTACCTCGCCTATACCCTCTACTCACCCTTGTATCTCGCCGGACCCATCATCAACTTCAACGACTACATTTGTCAATCCCGCTATCAACTTTCCACAATCAGTCGATCACGAATCGTCCCCTACGCCATCCGCTTCATCATTTGCCTGCTCACAATGGAAGTAGTCCTCCATTACTTGTACGCAGTCGCCATCTCCAAATCCAACCCAGACTGGACAGCCTACACGCCCTTCCAACTAAGCATGCTGGGCTACTTCAACCTCCACGTCATCTGGCTCAAACTACTCCTTCCCTGGCGCTTCTTCCGCCTTTGGGCATTGCTCGACGGCGTCGACGCTCCGGAAAATATGGTGAGGTGTATGAGTGACAACTACTCTACCATGGCTTTTTGGAGAAGCTGGCACCGCAGCTTCAACCAGTGGGTCACGCGATATATCTACATTCCTCTCGGCGGCAGTCGAGTCGGCAAAGTTCGCGCCGTCATGAATTTCCTCGCAGTCTTCACATTCGTCGCAATCTGGCACGACATCAATCTGCGGCTACTGATCTGGGGCTGGCTTGTGGTGTTGTTTGTCCTGCCGGAAGCCATCGCCACTCTCCTGTTCCCCCACAAAGCATGGAAAGATAGTCCCAACGCCTACCGCTGGCTCTGTGGTATCGGAGCCGTGGGCAACGTCCTGATGATGATGGCGGCAAATCTGGTCGGATTCGCACTTGGCCTGGATGGCTTGAAAGGTCTCGTCGATGGAATTGTCAGCACCCTTGGCGGACGAGTATTCTTGCTGGCCGCGTGCATTACTCTCTTCGTCGGTGCGCAAGTCATGTTTGAGGTTCGCGAGGCGGAGAAGAGAAGGGGGATCAATATGAAGTGCTAATTCTACTCATCTCGAGCAGGCATCGATACTTGGCTTCGAGTCAATCTCTGCAGCTCAATTCATTTCAATACCTCCATGGGGCACATGGCGTCCGTCGCTCGCTCGTCCGTCGTTCGCTCGTCTGCCACGCAGCTGACCGCGCCCGCACCCTCTCACATCCCCAGCCTCACATCTTTCGTCCTTCTCCAAAGCCTTCGCTCGTTCTGAAACATTGCGCCCAAGAGATTGATGCGAGGAACCGCGCCTCTTCCCCTGCGTCCTCCCACGAGACAGCATGTCCACTCCAGGACGAATCTTGTCGTCTTCCCGCAACCGCGTCCCGCTCTCAACCGAGAACAAGGCTTGATTGCAGCATGGACACCATACGAAACGACAATCGCAGTCCACCAAACCTTTCTCATCGCGGAGCCTGTCGATTTCGCGTTGGACTTCGTTCGAAGCTGATTGATTCGTTGAGTTGTGTATACTTCCACTTTCGGAGGCTTCTTGAATCGTGGGTAGCTTTTTTGGACGCATTGGTGTCTTTGACATCGTTGTAACTGGCTGAGAGAGTCGTCAGTAGGTGGTAGGCTGCTGGTAGAGTCGCTGACTCGCCTTGCACTGTGGATATCTATTTCTTCTGTTCCCGCGTTGGTTCCCTGCGTCTCGTCTGGCGAGGCACGCTCTTCTTCAGTCGGATGCTGGCTTCTTTATTTCACGGCCCTCGTGTTTGCTGCGACGGCGAAGGGAGCTTCATTGTATACTACGGCAGACACGACATTACATGCCAGTTGAGACGCATTGATATCCTGGAGCCATCACTGCATGTGTCACAAAGACTGCATTGACGGAGCAAACGACACTCGCGCAGCAAATAATTGCTCACAAACACCAAACACCGCAGCCAACACCATCGCCGCTCACAAACGCCCATCGTTACACCAACACCCCGCCCTTCCTCACCCACAAGCCTCCCCATCCGCATGCTCATGGTACCTCACACACATCCCACTGCCCGCCCACGGCTTGCACCCACTAGTATCATTAGGCAACAGTGCCCCCTTCCCCTGATGCCTTAGACAAGCAGCGCAAAACACTTTCTCACACGCACAGCACTTATCCGCACTCACGCCCGGCTGCAACACTTCTTTACACAGCTCGCACGCTTTACTCGAACTCCAGTTCGTCGGCCGCCAGGCTACCAGGGAGTGTCGCTCGATGGCTTCGGGGCCGGGCCGTTTGAGCTTGACGCACAGCTCGCGCAGGAATTTGGGGTGCCACTCGTCTTTGTGCGTCTCGAGGAGGCGGTCGGTCTTCTTGTAGGCGAAGAGGTCGAGGATGAGGGCGCGGATGGGCGCGTTGTCGCGGATGGTGTCGTAGAGGATCCACGTGTCGGAGGGCGTGGGGACGGAGTTGGTGCTTTCCGACAGCCGTGCGAGGTTGGAGAGGATGTGGTTGCTGAGCGGCGTGGTGAGCAGGCGGTCAGAGAGGGCGTAGAGCTCGAGGAGGAGGAAGTATTTGGGGCTGCCTTGGGAGTTGCGCAGATCACCGTCGGTGCGGATGTCGTATTCCGTCAGCTCGGTGAGAGAGTGCATGGAGGGGAGGACGGGGGCGGTGACGATGCCGTTGGCGGCGAGGAAGTGGCATCGCGGTGCTGGCGTCTTCAGTGTGCCGGTGTAAAGCCATTGCAGGAACCATTCAAAGATTTCGGGCTTCTCTTCCGGCAGTCGGACTACCTGGTCCAGCCCTTCTGCGAATGTGCCATTCAGTGCGGCGGCGAAGAACGGCGACGCGGACGTCAAAAGTTCTTTGTGAATGAGGTACTTCGTCTCCGACCTCGACTTACAACTGGCCTCTCCCACGATCACACTAGCAACGCCGGAGAAGCTGCGGAATCCAGTTCGCAGGGGAAGACGAGAAGGGGATCGTCGCGCCCTACTTCTCGTACGTTGCGAAACGTCTCCGTCCATGTCGGGAGGCGGACGGGCTAGCATTGAGGAATCAGAGGGGGAGGGCGAAGGTATTTCGGTTGGCGGAACGGCGTTGGGTTGGATTGAGACGGCCATGCTGCGTGGTCGCAACGACGGGGGCGTTAGAGGATGGGGAGGGAGGCGTCGATACCACACCGGGGTCAGTAATGGATCCAGGGTGGGCGAGAATGGTGCCGTAAGTAGGAGGGATGGTTGTGCGATGCAAGTGAAGTGCGACGGGAAGGAAATACGAAAAGAGCAGTCTTTGAAGGGTTGCCCGTCTGCGCTGCGTCGTCTTTGTCGCATGCGGACAACCATCGACAAACGAAAAGGGAAGTGTCGTGGTATGTTGCAAACAGTACAATGAGTGACCAACACCTACCTGCCTTATGCATGGACGTCTGCCGAAGAAAACTTCACATGACAAGTCGAGCGCACAGCGTACGAGGAAGTTGGTTTTCCATCTTGTAAAGGTACTGTGAACGTATTGGTCGTGAGAAGCGTTGTGATTGCTGTTCGTTCGCCTGTCCAAATGCATTTCCCGCTTTCTCCTCTGGAATGCGGCTTATTCCATCGCCCAGTATGTGGCCAGCCACCGTCAATCTCTCACACATGCCTCTCTTGCCCCGTGCCAACGCCTGCCTGTTCCGGCCCATTCCAGTCGTCGCGCGAAATCGGTTACTCGATTTAGAACATGCGATCATGCTTGGGGTTGTTCTTCACCTCGTCTGCAGAATCGGTTAGCAATTTCTCTCCTCAACCGCATGGGTAGCGGGTCTATAATACAAATCTGCCGCTGTCCACATATACACTCTCCATCTATCTACCAGGCATCATGGTGTTCGAATTCTTACTAGACTCACCCAAGCGCGAATACAGCATGTACAACGCCATTTGATTGCACTCCTGTGTGCCGGTGATGGTGACGAGACGCTCGTTGTTGTTGTCCTGGGGCTCGTTGATCTTGATGACACTGCCGGAGAGCTGGCGGATTTCGTTGATCTTGGCACCGCCCTTCCCGATAATCGCACCGACCATGTCGTTGGGAATGAAGATTTGTTGCGTGATTGGTTGGCCTGCGACCATGCCTTGGGCGGGCTGCTGCGGCGGGCCGGCGTGCGACGGTGCTGGGGTTCCGCCGTATCCTCCGTAAGCCTGGGGTTGCTGAGGTCCGGCGCCGGCGTAGCCAGCACGAGGGGAGCCTGCACCGTACGGCATGGCCGCCTGTGGGTGGTGAGGGTGGGCGGGCTGTCCTTGCATGTAGGGCGCGCCGTATGCATTGGAGGGAGCACGACTGGGAGGACCGCCATGCTGACGATACTTGTCTGGATGGCCCATTTGGCCACCAGCATGCTGGGGAACATAGGGAACGACTTGCATGCCGCCCGGCACGACGCCTTGAGGTCCACCGTGGCGAACGGCGTACGCGGAAGCTGCAGGGCCACCGAAGCGATCCGTGAGCTGCTCCACTAGGGTACTACCCACGTAGTAAGTAGCAATGTGCACGGCATCAGCGACGCCCAGAACGACCAGGGAGCGCTCGGTGGACAGGGGTAGGCAGGACTCGGAGGCATTGAGGCGGGCGCCGGAAGCTTCTTGGATCTCGCGAATGCGCGCGCCCTGCTTGCCGATGATGGAGCCGATCAGGATGTGGGGGATGAGCAGACGAAGCGGGTATGTCTTGGACTGCGGTGTGGAGGAGGAGTCGAGAGGCTCTTGGTTGAGGGTGCGGATGATGAGCCCAAAGGCTTTGGCAACGGCATCAACGGCGCCGGAGACGGTGAGGATACGCTCCACGGCGCCGCGAGAATATTCACTCACTGTGCACTTGGCACCAGCCATCTTACGGATCTGGGTGACATTCTCGCCGCCCTTGCCGATGACCGTGGCCGCCTCTGCACTAGAGATGATGGCGCGGACATGAAGCCAGTTGGTCTCGTCTTGGGGTTGGTAGGTGGATGGTGGGAGGGAGTTCACGCCGCCGTCCGAGGGTCCATTGGAGATGGCTGCAGGGAGATCCGATGGCTCGGACGAAGGCTGGACAGACGCATCAGCATCGGGCACGACCGTGTCGCCTTGCTTATCTGCAGAGGCGGCGTCAATGCCCTCTGATTCCGCATTGGCCTCGCTGCCCGCTCCCGCACCGTTGACTTCTGCAACTTCAGTAGCAGTAGTGAGTGGCTCCTCGCTGCCTGCATCGTTGGGCTCGCCCTTCAAGATCTTGTCGAGAGCGGGACGCTTGGCTTCGGGTTGGCCGGTGGGACCGGACGGGGACGAGGGCTCCTCCAGTGGGCGCTTCTGGGTGGCCGAGGGGGGCTCTTGTGTGGTGGAGTCGGCCATTCTGAGCTGGGCTGTGGTTGGTATGAAGGTGAAGGAGAAGGGCTCGGGGGTATGTTGTACAGAGCCTGCTGTTTCAGGGTGAATTTTCTTGATTGCTGGACTGTCTGCCTGTAGCTACGCGTGACTGGCGAAAGAGAGCGGGCAGGTGAGTGATTGAGGAGGGGTTGTGCTTGTGCTTGTGCTCGAGACGGTCTTGGCAGTGCTGTGCAGGGCGGAAGGTGTTGGAGATTGGATGAGGTGAATGGTGGTCCGAAGGGTGGGGAATCCGCTGGAGTTCGTGAAGGTGGTGGTGAAGGAGGGTGGAAAGGAGGCGGTGAGCAGGCAGGGAGTGACGTGAATGTCGGTGGGTATGAGGAGCAAGCAAAGAGTGCGGTGATGAGGTGGTGCCGGGTGAGAGAGTTGAGTGTGTAGAGCGGGAGGAGTGAAGGTAGGTAGGCTCGGGTGAGTGAGGAGTGAGGAGGTGGTGATGGTGGTGAAGATCGGGGGGTAAGAAGACGACGCCTTCCTCCGCAGTGCTGTACCTAGCCTTGAAAGTGGCTTTGCTGCGGTGCAAAGGCAGCAGCAACCCTATGGTCTTGCAGGGGGCGATGGAATGGCGATGCTGCACCGATCAGATCGTCAGTGCTGATGGGGTTTGGGGTAGGAGGAGGGTCAAGGAAGCATCCAAGCATCACCTCACACAAACCCCAAAAAGCCTAATAAGCTTTGCGGGACTCTGGGGCTTGGCATCACGCCTGAGGCAGAAAAAGCAACGGAGAGAACCAGCCAATGAAAGTGCGCGAATGCAATAAAGAGCCCGCCGTCCCTGGCATGCAGAGAGTGTGCCAAGAGGGAGATGACGAATGAACTGCAAAGATCCCTGCAGATCTGGGGGTGGAGAGTTCCCACCTTCCCTGTTGGGGGCGCCCCTGCAAAATAAATGTCCTCCAACTTTCCGAACCCTTCCCACTCCCATCTTTGCGCCGCGCAATCGCTCTTCGCAGGTCCAGACGTGCAATCTGCACCAGTCCGTCCACTCCCCTCGCTGCTCAATTCCACAGCTGCAGTGCCATTTCTGCAATCTCCACGCCGTACCAAACGCAATTGATCGCGGGTGAATCGGACAATTCCCCGAGCCTCCTTATCAACGCCCTTCCAACTTGCGCGACCAGACCTCAACGGCCTATCGTCACTCTCCCGCATCGCTTGAACACGTCGCAGGCGGCGCATTCGCATCACCATCACCCACCCATCCATCAATCATGGCAACAACAACACCCACCGCCCTCTCCACCTCCCTCCCAACACCCCCCAACTTCGCCTTCGCCCACGCGCCAGCACTCGAACTCCGCCAACCCGCCGCAGCGCACGACGACCCCGCCACCCTCACAAACACCGTCTTCTCCCACACCGGCATCGCCAGCTTCAGCAATCCCCTCACCTACACCTCCGCCGGCACGCCCACGCTGACGACCAGCACGAGCGTCGCCATCAGCTCCGCGACAACGCTCAGCTCCTCCCTCACAGACGTCACAACCGTGTCGCATTCCTCCGAGCAGCATAGCAGCAGTTCTGCGTCGTCAGCGGGCACCGCGAGCGCGACGGCCGCGTCGACATCGGCGACTACGACGGCGGGCTCGAGCAATGCCGCGCTAGCGCCGAGTATTGGTGCGGGCAAGGCGGTGGCGCTCGTGTGTGCTCTGGCGGGACTGGTTGCGTGTGGATTTTAGATTCCCCCCTTGTTTGCTTACTTGATGTTTGACTCGGGCCATAGACTTGAAAGGCGTACTAGCGATGCTTCGAGCAGATGATTGTGGAAAGAGACATGCTCCAGGACGGGCAATGTTAGACTTTCGTCGTCATGTATGGATTAAAATACAAGCCGTGCTCTTCCAAGCGTATCTCGTGGCTCCATTGCACATCCGTAATCGCAAGCAAGAAATATCGATAGTGAAGCCCACGCACACCAAAAGCCTCGTCACAACCGCCCATGCCTCGCCTTGAAAATGGCCACCTTGTCGTCATAAAACAAAATCTCCCGCAATCGCAACCTCGCCGCTCCCCGCGCGCGCGCTGGCCCCTCCGCATCGCTTTCACTCTCGTCGTCGTCATCCTCATTCTCATCGCTCTCCGTATCCACGCCAGCGTCATCGACGTCCTCCACCTCCTCATCTCCCGCCTCCTCGCCCTCTGCATCCTCCTCTTCGTCCTCGCCCTCGCTGCCCGCAACGCCATCCTCCTCCTCAATACTCCCTCCATGCATACCCAGGTGCGACTCGGGTCGCGCGTCCCAAGAGTCACTGTGCCGACGGCTTTCCAGGATTTCGAAGCATTTGTTCGCAATGCCCATGTAGCAGAGTTCAACTTCGGGACGGAGAGCGACAATGTCGACGATCTGCAATGCGAGTTCGCGGGGATCGATGTTGCTTCCGTGTACGTGGTCGGCGAGGAAGGGCATGCTGAGGGAGCGCAGATGCGGAATTGACGGCAGGTGTTGCAGGAAGAAGTGCTGAAGAACGTGGTCAGTACAAAGATCGCCGACGACAAGGCCTCCCTTTCACTCACCCAATCTCGATAGTCAATGGCCATTCCCAACTCCCTCACTGCCGGCATTTTGCCACTGCAGATGAAACTCAACACATCCCTGCTCAGCATCCACCGCTTCCATCGGCTGGAACTGGTAGGTAAGCCATCCGGGCCCTTCTCCGAGCTATCAATCAGAATCTTCCGCAAGCTATTGCGATGCCGTCGCAGGGGCCCCTTGTAGATCTGATCTACCGTCACGCTGGACGGATAAGATCTGGCTTCTTGCAGAAAGAGCACTTCAAGGCTGTTGGGAGCGAGAGTGTCTTTGAGGAAGGAGATGAGGGCAGGCGAGACGGTGTTGGTGTGTATCTTCTTCAGCTTCAGGCCGTACACGAGCTCAATGTCGCTGCCGGCATACGGCGGTTTGACGGATTTTCTTGGAGTCGAGGCTGATGTGCGTCGTGAACACGGGTAAATTGGAGATCTCGGAAGGGGTGCGAAAACGCGCCGTAGTGTCTTCCAGAGTTGTTCGTGGTTCTGGCAGCTGAGAAGGGTAAGCGATGTGAGCCGTGTCCAGTCAATGGCCTTTTGCAGGACGTGAATGGAGAGTGGCACGCGCTCGAGTTCGAGACTTTCGAGCTGCAGCATGTGACTGAGGCGGGGACCATCAGGCTCGTGCACGGACAGCTGTGCCATGGTCGCATCGAGCATATCGGCCTGGCGGATGGGATGTACATCCTCCGGCTCCGAGACCGGTGTTCGCATTGGGCTGGTATGAAGGCTGCTCTGCGCGACAAGAGGGTCGTTCTCGAACGCAGCACCAGAGGTGACAATCGGCTGCAAAAAGTGGGGTGATGTTGGAGTGTCAACCGGAACTTCGCTGGAAGGTGCCTCGGGGATGGAGTCTTGAAGGCTAATGCCGGCAGTCAAATCGTTCGTTTGTTGGAGTAGTGTTTCGGCTGTACTACTCGCACCCACGGTCGGGCTTGTCCCCGGACGGACTGGCGAAGTGGTCGACATGGACGAGCTGCGTGGCAAGCTCCGCTTCGTTCGTTCGGGTAGGACGACCGGTGCTTTTCTCATGTCGTTGATGAAACCAGTCACTGTTCCCAAAACTCCACCGAGTCGTTTCTCTCCGATGGTGAGCGAACTCGCCGTGGGGTAGTCTGGGTCGATTTGTCCCAAAGACTCCCCCTCCCAAACGGTTGTCCAAAGCCTGTTAGAGGCATGGCGCGCAATCCCTATGCGAAGCTCGCGCAACTTATCGAGCGACTTTCCGATCAGCACAGCCATCTCGTCAAGGTACGCCAGCTCGTCGATGTCTAGAACACTAAGACTCTTTAGAGGAGGAAGCGCGGAGAAGGAAGGGTGCTCCACGCGATCGAGGGCTGCGGGATGTATCTGCACGGGTAAGGAGGGGTGGAGGACGGGATATGTGGTAGGTATCGAGTGAGGAGACATCGAAGCCGGGTCGAGAGGGGGAGGAGGTGGAGGTAGGGGGGCAGTCGCATCGAGAGCAGAATTGTCATGCCAGCGGACCCAAACCTTCTCCAACCGGCAAGGCCTGCCGTCGTAACAATCTCCGAGGGACGACAAGGCCAGCCAAACGTCCCGCAGAATGCCCGTGGGCATGTCCCAGATGAAAGTTTCGAGTGAGCGCATGCGGGCAACGGCAAGTGCGACCAAGGTGCCGAGCATTTTGCCTCCTTCTTTGGTGATGAGGTATTCCTGGACCCAGTCTGATGGCCCGTTGCCGAGAGAGAACTTGCGTGTGTAGCGAGCGTAGTGGTTCCCTCGTCTCCGCCGCACCATCATCTCCGACGCTGGACCTTTGCCGGATGGGATGAAGCGATTGCCTTGGTGCAACCTCTGCTCAGGCGCTTCGCCAAATATCTCCTCCGCCATGACCAGCGTCGCCAATCCATAAGTCAGCGCATCCACGCCCGATCTCGGCTCGGCGTGAGTGTTGGTATCGGGCCAGACAATGTCGAAGCGAGAGTAGATGTGAGGGGTTGTGAGCTGGTGCAGAGCGCTGTGACACAGGGCTAGGGAGGTCAGGTCGTTGGTGTGCGTGACTTCCTTGACAATGTCTTTCAAAATGTCGAGCGGCAAGTCGAGTAGGGTGAGCGGCTTCTTCCTCTGCACCTCCGCGGCCACACCATCTCTGCCCTTGCCCTTGAACATCCTGCTCGATTTGAGGCGGGGGCTCGCCAGATCCGTCTCATGGCAGTCTTCGTGGAAGCGTGTGCCATGAACCCGCGCATCTTTGGCGCTGGTGTCGGAGGTGGAGGAGGAGGGTGGAGTTGGTAGAGGGGTAGTATTGGAGGAGATGTTGTTGCTGCTGGTTGGCACCGGTACCTGGCTGGCCGTCGTTGCAAAGTGTCTCGAAGCGGAGTCTTCTTCGTAGGGCCCGGCAGCACTAGAATCAGCCGATGGAGCGACACTCGTGGCGTGCTGCACACTGGGCGTCTCCATCTCTACGAGGAGCGGCGGGGGAAGCGAGAGCGGGTCAGGACTTCACGACTCGAGGCACGCTTTGCCGTGGCTGCCTCGACATGGACTGGCGTCTAGGGACTGGGCCGGTTGTTTAGCGATGGCGAGGAGAGGCGGAGGAGAGATAGTGAAGGGCGAGGAAGGAAGCGTGAGGTGGTCTGGGGGTGAATTGGTGGCCTCGCTGGTCTCGTTGGAGGCCGCTCGAGTGAAATGGCGGAGGAGGTGGCCGGTGGCTTGCAGTTACAGCCGCCGCGGGTCCAAGCGTTGCACCCTTCAAACCTTATTTCCACGCCTTCCTCAGCTCGGCTACGCCCTCAGTCACATCTGCGTGTATGCGGACGAGGAAGCCAGTTGGAAACAAGTAGAGTAGAGTCGAACCTTTCGCATACATGAGTACCTGTACCCGTAGCGATTCCAGGGGCAATCGAGGTATGGAGTTGCAGCAGCAGCGATGGTGTGAAATGGGAGGGAAGCAAGCTGCAATGGTACATGCTCAATACGATCTTCCAGGCACCGAGGATCGGCGAAGCAGAGGCGCAGGTCTAATAAAGCTACAAGCACAACTCGACGACCTCGTTCGAAGCAGTTGGTATGGCACGCCGATATGCCATTCAGGCAGAGCCATCCTCCCTATCCCAGCGCTACAGTCTTTGACGCCTTTCGTTTCACTTCATCAAATCTGCAGCACACACACCTGCATGAGACAAGACTCAGTAGCCTCTGCCGCGAGACCTGGGAGCGCCTCTTCCACGACCGCCAAAGCTCGATCCTCTCGACGCCCCACCAAACCCTCTCGACGCCCCCCTCCCACCGAAACCTCCAGCTCCTCTGCCCCTCGGTGCACCTCTGCCACCACCCCGAGAGAACCCTCCTCCTCGTCCACCCCGTCCCCGATCTGTCTTGACCTTCTTCACCTTAGCCGCACCAGGCGGGGGCTTGGGCTTCGGCAGGAACTTCTCGAGCGGTAATAGTTTGTCCCCACCGATGTAGAATTTGTCGCCTTGCTTGAAGCTCGTAGCTTGGATGCCCTCTTGGGGCTTGATGGTGAAGTAGACTTGGTTCAGCGGGCCGAGGATTTCGTCGACCTTGCCGATGGACGTCTTGTTCTCGAGGTAGATGGGCGCATTGAAGTAGGGGACTTTGGTGTTGATGCTGCTGCAGACGAGCTCGCCTTCGCAGGCGTGCATGAACTCGCCCATTTCTAGAGCAGTGTCAGTCGATGATGAGATGAGGGAGGTCTGGTGAGAGAGAACGTACCCAACACCGTGGCTGGCGGGCCATAGTTGGACTGGAAGCCTCCTCGAAAGCCGCCTCGTCCCCCGCGATCGCCGCCGCGGAAGCCACCACCGAACCCACCGCGGCCGCCGCGATCACCGCCTCTCCCACCTCCACGGAAAGACATGCTTTAATTTCTCGCGCTGCGCATCCACTGCAAACGGCAGTCTCTCGCGCCCAAGTGCTCTGACAAAGCTTGCGCAGCTGGGTGGGACTGATGGGAAGCTATACGCTTGGTAACGGTTCGGGGGTCGCGAGAGGAGAATCGCCTGGAAGCCGAATGTGGAAGGTGTGGTAGTGGTGGTGGTGGTGGTGGTTTTCAAGCCTGCGATCCAATTTTCAATTAGAGTTCATTGCTGGAGGATGCTCGGGGCCGAGCTTGGCGGCGTGGATGCCTCAGGCACGCCAGGCACACCGCGACAGGCCTGGGCCAGACCGTCGACCCTCGAACTCTCGTCCCTTTCGTTCATGGTCGACCCGACGAGTCGTTGCTGATGCCACGAGCGATTATTGACCGCACGGCCACGACTCTTGCTCGCCATTGGCTCTGCAGCGCGGTGTCGGGTTATTGTTGGTCTGGCGGGACAGACAGAGTTTCTTGCCGAGGGGCCCAGAACTAATGAGCCGGCCGTCGCTCTCACCTCCGCCACATCACGCCCTTGCAAACCCGGTACCAAGCATCACGACAAAGCTTGTTGTAGACGGTAGAGGTCGACTCCGTCGCATGCCGCCTCACTTGACGGCCCTCACCGTCGAAGGACTATCCTCATTTGGAGAACCTTGGACTGCTGCTGCAAGTGATGTTGATCAGATGCAGAGCGCGTGTAGTACAAAGGATGAAACAGCGTGCCCACGTTTCAGAGCGTGGCAGACAGCAGCGAGAGGCAGTCCTGCTCATCAGAAATCTAGACGGATGGGAAGGCTGAAGCGAGAAGCGCGCCGTGACAGGAGTGGATGAGACTTCGGTTCCTGCCACCCAGCGTTCGGCGCAGGTGATCGACGTCTCCGGTAACCGTGTGAAGTCTAACTACTCTCCGGCGCAAATCAGGCTGTGGTGCCGGCATATGTCCGTCAACTCGCAACCATCTCGCGCCTTGCGTGCTCGGCTAGACCATCGACATCGTCGGTTCGTTTGCGCCTGGCCCAATCTCGCCATTGACGCAGGTGGTGTGCCAGCTCCACCGCTATCGAGTGGGTTGACGATGCAACCAAGCCAGCTCCTCGCCGCCAGCGAATATAAAAAGGTGTAGCATTTCCCGTCCGTCACCCTCCTTTCCCCAGCATCCTCCAACTTTCCGATCAACTCTCTCCATTCCTCAAACCCCAACAGCCACCACCCCCACCCTCCATCTCACCTTCATCATGAAGCTCTTCGCCCTCCTCCCCGTGGCCTTCTGCCTCGCTGCCAACGCTCTCCCAGGCAAGCACGCCTCGCACGCCTCCACGGCCAAGACCATCAAGAAGAACCTCGCCACCAACAACCTCACTCCCTCCGACCCCATCAGCGACCTCCTCAACGCCTTCGACCTCAGCGGCTCCAGCGAGATCAGCGGGCTCATCGACGGCCTCACCGGCGGCTCCTCGAGCGTGCTCTCCGAGGTCGAATCCATGTACGTACTCCCTTCTACTCTATCGCTGATTGTCTGTGTGCCTCCGCTAATACCTCCATCCAGTATCGAAGGTGTCTTGGGTGAACTGGGGTTGTTGGGCGGCCTCCTCGGCGGCCTTGGTGGCTCGGAGTCGGGCAACTTGACTGCGACCATCGACCAGATCGAGTCGGAGCTGGGTCTTAATGCCAACAGCACCATCTCCTCTTTGTTGTCGGGCCTTCAACTCCCGTAAATCGACGATAGGGAGGGCCGGCGGTCTCGGCGTCGAAGCTGAGCGGCGTTTTGCGCGCGAAGTGATTGTTGCCAAATGGACTTCAGTCGATCGGATATGTTGATAGAAGGAATTGCTCAATGGAAATGCTGGTCGTTTTCTAATCTATGCTCCGCTCCTCGTAAGCCTGATTGCCGAACGTCATCGCCGGCAGAATCTACTCCTTCGGCATGATGAATGATACCCGCCTGGTGCTTTGCACGCTGCGTTGAGCATTCGCTATGTCGATCATGGCCTCGAGTCCGTCCACGGCTAGTTTCGCAGCATGCAAGCTCTTCTCCACCCGTTTCCGCTCATCCGGCGACCAGATGCGCACAATGAAGATCTGCTCCAACCGCTGCAGAGCAGCGTGAAGCTTCTCGAACTCCGCAAGCTGCGCCGCATGCCACGCCTTCATCTGCAGCACGCCACATACTGCGGGAGGGGCAATTTGCTGAGTCTGGTCCTTTGCACAGCTAGCAACTTCCTCCGTGTTCTGGCAGAGGTTGTCCAAGAAGCTCTCGCCCAATCGCTTTACATCTGATAGCGGCAAGGCGCAGATGAAGAGGGAAGGAGCGCGCATCTCTGGCCCGGTACATCCTGCCTCGATGATCTGCGCATCTGGCAGATCGGCGTGCCAACCCTGGATCGTCGTACTCGGCGTGTATTCCTTCTCCTGAATGCGGAGCCAGGCCTCTTTGAGCTTCTCATAGTGCTCAACGGAATTGAGCGCCGTGGAAGTGTATAACATCGGCGGGACTTTCAAGCTGTGAAAATACGCATTTGACGCGCCACTGAGTCCTAAATTGTCCCCTTGAAGGTGTTCGTTGACGGATGGCACGAACTCGATGGCCGCTGTGTCGTACATTTCGGCTCTCATGCCGTTCGAGCGCCAGAATTTCTCCTTGAATCGTGAGAGGCAGTTCCACACGCAGTGCGTGGCGAACCTGGACGAAGCTTCGTTGAAGTTCTTGAAATGCATATCGAGAACCTCCTTGCTGCATATGGCCCAGCGAGCAGTGTTGTAGGCCTTCCTCAATACCGCCACGCGCTCTGTCTCTGAATCGATGGCGTGTTGGCAGCATACGGGAGCGCAATGCCACGGGAGGTTCAAGACGTGCTCGCTGTCGATCTCCACTCTCCCGTGTCGTGCTGCGTCTCTCGAGTCTGCGTCGGAAAGTAAACATTCTTCGCCGTATTTGCCTTGTGCTGGAGCATTGTCGCAATGCACCCATGCAAACCAACGGTGCCGACATTTCCATTCTACTCCTATACGGCGGCACATGTCGAGAATAATGTGATGATCTGATTGTTGAGTCGTAGAACTGGATGTGCTGCAAGTTCGAAGTTGAACAGAGGAGGAAGAGGCGGTGTTCTGGTGCTTTAATAACGTTATCCTGTGCCATGTGATTCTTCTATAATGTATAGGAAATGCAGCACTGGTCAATGAAGCCTGGCGCCCATTGTACGTGCACTTAGGCTCTGTCGGCGTGGTACAAGTACAGCAAACATATGCCATATTGAATGCGCATGTGTCCTCGGCATTTGCACCAGTCTGATGATGTTGTAAGACGACGAAGACATTGCTGACCGCGGAAAAGATGTCTGTACAAGAGAATGTATCATCGAATCAACACCGTCCTCATATGTATCGCTTGTTCGGGTCGGCCCAGTCCAGAATTTCCATGGTCTTCTCGTACATGGTAAAGACAATGCCACCACTGAACATCAGCCGCCCGAGTCGCGGAACAGCGCCGGACCAGAGCTTGAAGAAGCCCTCTTCACGGAAGATTTTGACTCCGCAGTCGATGCTGTTCCGATACATGCCTTTGGAATCGATGGCCTGCATGCGCGTCTTGACGGTGTCGATGGGCTGCGTTGCGTAGACGGTGACGGTACCTGCTATCGCACCGATGGCAAAGGTAGCAGGGGATGACAGCTTCTCGCCAGGAGCAGCATATGATTGGGCGGCTTGTCGAAGGGAAGTGTATGCGCTGAAGCGGACACCTGAGTTGGCTGCTTGGCGGGCAGTAGTCGGCACAAAGCCTTTGAAGAAGCCACGCAACCCTTGTTCACGCCAAATGACCGCGCTGCCATGCAAGAAGCCGCGCAGCCGTGGTTGGGCTCGTTTTCGATCATCGATCAACTGTGTCTTGATGCTCTCAAATGGTGTGACCGCCACTAGACTCTCCATTGCTCCTGCGAGAAAGCCGCTCACGACCGTCATGGGCCCGCTGACGTTTCCTTCGACATCGGCGAGGAGTCGGCGGTATTGGTCGAAGGCTACGAAGCGAACGCCGGCCTTGATGGAGTTGCCGATAACCAGAGTGGTGCATCCTGCGTACCATTGTCGGCCGAAGGGGGGAAGGGGAAGCTTCTTGCCATCGGCAAGTCTTTGATTGAGCTGTGTTCCTGACGAAGTTATCAGCGGACGACGGAAGATGTGGCGGAGGGGATGCTTACTTGTCTTGAGGAACTCGGCAGGGTAGAGAATTGCAATCTCGACTGCACCTCCAATGGACCCCGCGATGATGGATCGCAAGGGACTGGGCTTGTTGGTGATTGTATTGGAAGCGTTCTGTTGCGAGGATGGAGATTGGGTAGGAATTCGCGGAGGGGCAGCGGTGGTCATGATGTTGAGCCCAAGGGAGGAAGAGCGGAGAAGCTCTTTTGTGATGTTCGATGGAGTCGTAAGATCATTGGGTCGTGAAGGGGTCTGCTGCGGTGGCCAAGGGATGCGGTCAATGGGCAAGAGATGAGAGTGTAGGTAGAGTGGAAAAGAAGAGCGACGTCGGTCGGTCACCAACATCTGATTCGCGCGGTGATGACATAATTCTTGGAGCGCGGGGTGGTCCAAGCTCCATCGCTACTTTTCCTCACTCCTCCGCCTCGTCTAATAAAACAAAAGACCGACATCTCTCACAGTCCACTCTCATCATCATTGGACTCTGCGCATTCGCCCATCATGCTTTCCCGCGCCGTCTCCCGATCGCTTCCCCGCGCGACATCTCGTCTCGCGCAGTCCACCACCACCCGAACCCTGCTTCAACCCACCCTCCGCGCATCTCTCCGACAATCCACTTTACGACCACAAGCGATATGGCAAGCCGGCTTCAGCACCAGCCTAAAACACTTTGACGCGGTCTCGCAAGAGCTGTCGGCGAAACTGGCAAGCGAAATCTCGTTGGAAGGCGAGAATACCACCGCGCAAACCGATAGCGATGCGGGCGCAGAAAGATTTCTGGAGGAGAATTCGCAATGGACGCTGGAATCGCCCGACGGAGAGCAAAATGTCGTTCTGCGAAGGGAATTTGACGACGAAATCATCACTGTGGCGTTTAGCATCGTGGACTTCAACACCTCTGTCTTACCCATGGATGGCGAGGAGGGAGACGAGGCGTTCATGGACGAGGAGGACGAGATTAGGGATCAGAGCGGTGGCGCCAATACCAAAGGAGCCATCAACCAGGGCGGCACGAAGAATGACAACTTTAAAGTTGCTCCAGAGGACAGCATTGCCCCGGCAGATCGCGAAGAGCTGATTGATGAAGTAAGTTTGCCGCCGGCTTTTCGATGGGGATGACCCAAGCTGATTGGAACGAACCGCAGGACTACGATGATGACGGCCAACAAGCATACCCCGCGAACGTCAATGTCCTCATCCAGCGCGCCGGCAAAGGCGCCCTGCGCATCAACCTCGTCACCGATAACGGCCGCTTCACCATCCACGGCGTCACTCACCTTCCCGAGACCACTCCAGCTTCTTCGGTAGCCGATCTGCTCCGCAACACCCCCGACCACATCTACACCGGCCCTCCGTTCCAGCAGCTCGATGAGGAGGTGCAAGGCCTCTTCGAGCAATATCTGGACGCGCGCGGCATCAACACCGCCCTGGCACTCTTCATCCCCGACTACATCGATGTCAAGGAACAGAAGGAGTACGTTGGCTGGCTGGGACGGGTGAAGGAGTTTGTAGAGTAGGGCGCGGGGAGGCGATGACGCGATTTCGAGACTGTACTATACCGACGACGGCCCGGCAGGACCTTCTCCCCTTATGCATCTGGGTGGTGTTCGACTGGGCGTGCTACGTAGGTGGGTAGATTTACCGCGGTAGGATGGAACGCAGCTGCAGATCCCGTTGATCAGATACAGAACGCTCCACGACGGGATCGATAGATCGACACGATGGAGTCACACCTAAAGTCTGGGGTTGTCGGGTACGGCATGTCCGTGAACACGATTGTGACTTGGCTGTATTAATTGTGCAGAGATGATTGTTCCGTAGGCAAGCTGACGCGAAAGCCTCACGCTAGAAGCAACGACCGAGGCCGAGGGTAAGGTGGGAATACGCTGATTGGGCGCCGATCCCTCTCGACTCGTCTGCCCTTTCCGACTTCACTTCCATCTCCATATCAATTGCCGCGTTATCAGTCACCTGATGAGTAAACGGCGAACCTGATCGACGCTTTAGCGCCGTGAGGCTCTCGGCAGAGCTCCGCAATTTGCATAACTTGTGCCAAACGGCTCCTGCTGGGGCAACGTCACCTCTACTCTTCCCCCCCTTTGCCCGTCTTGAGGAAGGCGTCGTCTCAGTATCCTGGCAGTCGGCCCGTCGAACCTGCTCACTAGCGCTGCCTTATCATGGCGATGCCCTCCTGACGCCGAGTCTCGATCCGTCGAGTGCCGCGGATGTGCTCCCGCCGCCGATCTCGAGTGAGATCAGAGCACCTCCTCGGTAACGATGATACGCTTTGAGGAAGCGTCGACTCCTCAACACCCTGGCAGCGAGCCGTAACATTGAATGCCGGCACCGCCTTATCAATGGAGAGCTGGAAGTGACGGTACGCTGACGTGATGGACGTATATCACGCCGATCTCGAATGGACGTGTGATACGATCAAGTCCCGTCTCCAAGCCAGCCAAGCATAAATAAGATGCTTCCTCCTCGGCGGTCGAAGTCATCGTTGTCAACGTTGAACGTCTACCATCTTCCCACCCTCTAAACAAGCTTTCCGTGCCCAAATTCACCTACCTCACGCGTCATCATGAAGCTCTTCGCCCTTCTTCCATTGGCCTTCAGCCTCGCTGCGCAGGCCATCCCCGTCACTCAACCCGCGCCCAACACTGGTTTGGAGAAGCGCGCCTCGATCATCAAGAGCATCGAGAAGGAGCTCAAGTCGCTCGATCTCGAACTCGACTCGACCGTCGACGAGCTGGTGAGCGCCCTCGGGCTCAGCGCCGAGGTCGACGACGTCGATGATCTTCTCAAGGGGCTGGTTGGCGATGTTCAAAGTGTCGTCAATGAGGTGGACAGTGTGTATGTTCTCTCGTCTCCATCCACTGTCGATTGCTAGGGCATGTGCTGACTACTGCTTCTAGAGTCGATGGGTTGCTGGATGATCTTGGATTGTCAAGCCTTGTCTCCACCATCGATGACCTCGAGAAGGCTTTGGGCATCAATCCCAACAGCCCCATCACTTCCTTGTTGAACGGACTTGGAATCCCGTATTAAAGGCAGGGAGGCCAACGGCAATAACGTACATATGTAGTCATCTACTGTACACTCTCACATGCAAGCCAAGTATCACTAGCACAAAACGCCCAGCCAGGTCAGATAAGGTCGGTCATCTTCTGCCTCCGTATCACAGTAAGCGCGTCATCAGGAACCGCAAACCCCAAGCACATGGGGCGCCGAGCGGTCGATTTATCTTTCGGGTACGGGACAAGCCGCGGCTTTGTGCACACTCGTCCAAGGCCAAGTACTTAGCAGAGTAGGTGGCTTGCTCTTCCTGCAACATGAGGTGGCTTTGCTTAGCTTTTGACCCTCTCGGCGCCCATTCGGCACTTCGCGTTCCGTCTTGCAGATCAACAGACCTTTCCAATGGCAATTGAGGCGCTGCCAGACTCTGCGCTCAGCCCAGCCTTGCCAGCTGAAACCGTCCAGCCTTATCAGCTTGGAAGCCATGGCACTCCAACACATTGGGAAGCTGCTACGCCGATCTCGAACCCATCCACGATGCAACCGGGTAGACAGCTCGTGCATAATTGCGAGTAAAGGATATAAAAGTCGTTTCGTCTCTTCCCAAATTGATTATACCTATCGTATCCATCCATCCATCCATCCGCCCAACCTTCGCAAACCAAATTTCCAAATCTTGTCTTCCTCCACCATGAGAATCTTCGCCCTCCTTCCCGTGGCCTTCACCCTCGCGGCCTACGCTATTCCCGTTGCTCAGCCAGATCCCAACGCCCTGGCCGCCGGAGATGCCCTCCCATCCCCGAGCATGAACTTGGCGAAGCGTGCCCAAGACCCCACCGTCAAAGCCGTCAAGAAGGCGATCCGCCGCCTCAATCTCGACCTAAGCGACACCGTCGACGACCTCTTGACAGCGCTAGGCTTTGACGGCACGGTGGCCGATGTCGACGATCTACTCGCCGGTCTGGTGGGCAATACGGAAGACTTGGTGGGCGAGGTGGAAGCTCCGTACGTCTTTGTTCACGCTGGTGATTTGTGCTTGTGCGCTGATTTGCTGTGTCTAGTGTTCTTGATCTAGTTGATGATCTCGGGCTGGGAGGCCTCACCACAGCCATTGACGATCTCGAGGAGGCGTTGGGTATCAACCCCAACAGCCCCATTTCTTCCTTGTTGAAGGGGCTTGGTCTCTTGCCTCGATAAGCTGGAAGCGGAATTGCCGGGCGGTCTCGTCATGTCCCGGACGAAACTGCAGTCCCTCTGTATTGAGTGAAGGAAGCTGGACGACAGTGAAATTGTCCGTAAGGCAGGGTTGGCGGAGGTTCGCTCATAACCTGGCAGCTAGCAGACACGTTCAACGACATTTAAATTGATTATACACTCACTTCATTGCTTCTCATATCTACTCCACACCCCATCAAATACTACCGGATAGCGCTTCATGCAAGGCATCCCTTCCGTCCCGCAACCATGGCGCAAGAACCAAGCTCCTTTGCGCATCACTGATCGTTCCCACGCCGGCAAATGCCGTCGCAAGCCCCTCTGCCTGCACATCTCCCCATGGTGGAACGGTCTTCTGCGCCGTCTTCAAAGCCATCCTGCTCGCATACACATCGCCACTGAGCTCAGCCAGCTTGCTCCAAGCATGCGTGCCATCCGGGTGCAAAGCAATGGCAGCTTGCGCTTCCGCCAGAGCCCTGACATCGCCGTCAGCCGGAGAATCGACGGAAAGCGCTGCGCATGCTGCCAGCAAGTTCTCGATCTCTCCGCGTTCGCTCATAGTCAGACCATGCTTCGTGCGTAACGTCACCAGGTCATCCTCAACGGCAGCCATCGACTCTGCATCATCTTCCAGAGCGGAGATGGCGCCGAGGAGGGTCACACTCCTCACATGCTCGGGCCAGCTCTCCACGCATTCAAAGAGTTGTTCGCGCGCGACAGTCTTCTCGTCCTCTCCGCCGTGTGCCCATAGAATCTGCACCAGCGAACACACCACATCGGGGTCCGCGTTGCTTTCCTGAATCGCCGAACGGAACATGCCAATGGCGTCTTTGTGCTTCTGCAGGTAATGAAAGGCCGAGCCAGCCGTGAGATGCGCAGACAGGCGAAGCTTCGTCCGAGCTGAAGCTTCCAGTCCGCTGTTTTCGGCATCGGCGCTGAGGTCGAGCGCCGTCTCTGCGTTGTCCGCTGCGGCTTCGAAGTCGCCTGTAGCAAGCAGATTGCGTGCGAGATCGCATTTGGCATGGGCGAATCGAGCAAGGGAAGGCAACGACTCGTTCACTTCGTACTCGGCTTCTGCCTCAATGCAGAGTGATGTGAGGGCTGCTGTGGCAGCTTCGTGGTTGCCCACCCGTTCGAGGAAGAGTGCAGACAAATGCTTGTAAGGCAAATCGGCGGGTGCCTGTCGCGAGAGCTGCTCGAGCGCGAATATGGGCTGGATCAGCGTGGTCAGGTCGTTGGATGCCGTCGGAGTTGCCAGAAGATGATCAAAGATCGAAACGGCATACTGCCGCTTCGTGATGAGAGAGGACGATTCGGCGATTTCAAGTGCATGGGTGAAGTGGCTGAGAGCCTCGTGCGAATCACCGAGCAAGAGAGCGATGAGCCCTTCGCCCAGCCATGCGTGGGCGTAGGTAGGGTCGGTGGACTGCGCGCGACCAAAGGCTTGGTGCGCGAGCTCATGATCATTTTGCGACAGGTATAGCACGCCGAGGTTCGTCCACACTCTCGCGTTCATTTCGTTGAGATGAAGCGAGCGGATGAGCGAATGCTGCGCCACCTTTGGATTCAGGCTACTCGTGACGACTCCCAGAGCATTCCAAAACTCGGAGTTACCGGCTTCCAGTTCGATGGCTCGTTTGAAACAACGTACCGCTGCTTTCAGGTATTGCCTTCCGGAAGATGCTGTGCTGTAGCTGTACGCGCGTTGTTCCGCCCAACCCAGGTTGTACCAAGCAACCGCTTGGGCATGAGGGTCATGCGTGCAGCAATCAATGGCACGTTTGAACGCGAGAATACCGGCAACGATGGCTGCGCTCAGATTGGAAGTCTGTTTCTCGTCACCGTCAGTCGCGAAGGTCTTCAGCGTCACGGAGTCGACCTCTGCAAGGGCACGAAACGACGAGTCATCCAAGCTGATGTGCAGGAGCTGGCGTAGCTCATCAGTCGGAAACTTCGCATCATCAGACTGCACCCAGGAAAAGACCACGCAAGCGTCACCCACAGCCTTCCACATGTTGAAAGATGAGGGATGCTCCGAAACGATATCCACGGCAATGTGAATCGCATTACGAGACTCCGCAATCGCTTGGCCGAACAAGCCCGTCTCGAGACATCTCCAGGCCTTCTCCACCAGAGTCTGCAGAAGCGAGGTCAAGACTCCAAACTCGTGTGGTCGAGGCTTCAAAACATTGCGCAAGCCGGTAATAGCTTCGTCGTACTCGCCGAGCTCACGGTAGACGTTCGCCAGCATGTACTCTGCAAACCACGTTTCGCCGGCAAGGGACACTCCATCCTGTCCGCGGAGATTCAGGGCGTGATTGAAGGTACGCAAAGCCGAGTTGTATCGCCCCGAGTTATGATAGCTCTCTCCCAATCCAACATATGACTGATAGTCATCCGGGTTGATTCGGAGAGCGGCTAGGAAAGAGGTGATGGCCAACTGATATTCCTGCCGGTTCATCTGGACCACACCAAGCGCTGAGTACGGCCAGCTCAGCCCTTTTCTCTTAGATCCAGGCGGCGGCTTCGCTCTGCCAGTGTCGACCACACGCTGCGCAATGACCTCTACAATCTCCCAGTCGCCTTGATCTGCGAAAGATTGAGCAAGTCGCTCTGCAGCTACCGTCTCGTTTGGCGACAGTTCAAACGCTTTTTGAAAGCATTGGCGACCTCGCTTGCGGTCTTTGGAGTAGTCGGTGTAGTAGATTCCCAAGCTCGTGTATGCCGGGGCAAAGTTGGCATTTGTCTTGATGGCAGAGAGGAAGGAGGCATACGCTCCTGTCCGACTTTTGCGTGCGGTCTTGGAGCTATCGAGCTGCCAGATGCACACTCCGATCCGATACAATACTTGTGCTCGTAGTTCTCGACTTCGAGGATTGTTCGCGCTGAGATCTGGAAGATAAGCCTCGAGCTCTTGCTGTGCTTCTGCATAGCTGCCATTTTGTGCACGACACCATGCAAGTTCTGTGCCGACTTGCACGTTACTTGGCTCTTCTCTGTGCGCTTGCGAAAGGAAATCAATTGCACGATCATATTCTTCATTCTCTTCGAGGATGAGGCCGAGGCCGATGAGTGCTGGCGTCCATTTTGGCTTTCGCTGCAGAATGTCTTCAAAGAGTCTGCGCGCCTCAACGTGGTGTCGTGGTGCCTGATGGTAGACGAGCGATGTGGCGAGGACACTGTTCAAGGCATCTTTGGTATTCTGCATACTCAGCCCCATCTTCAAAGATTCGGTGGCGACCGCCTGTAGCCCTTTTCGGGAGGTATCGGCGGCGCTCTCGTGCTCCTCGAGGTGCAACAGGTAATGAGCCACGAGTCGGTGGGCCAATGGAGAAGCCTCAGTTTCGGCAAGTCCTTCGGTCATGACCAACAATCGATCCTCGGGTGCGAGTGGTTTTGCAATCTCATCTCCGTCCTTTGACTGCTCTTGGATCGGAAACGGAGAGATCTCGCTGGTGAGCCAGCCTTCGAGAACCTTTCCCAGCCCAGAAGACGGAAACAGCGCTGTGTACTCATACAAGACATTGCTGTCCAGTTGCTGTAAGTCGCCAAGATCTCGCGATTCCAGCACAAGGTCCCATGCCAGTTTGAACTCGTGGTGGATGATGACCATGCCTTCCGCGAGGGTCAAGACGGTGTCAAGTTGATTGGCCTTCGCTTCCGGCGGACAGTTGACCAGAATGTCGTACGCGCGTTCGAGCAGCTTCTCCTCGTACTGCCGCCGCACATCATCTGCGGTGGTCCAGTCGATGATGTCTTGATATATCCGTGACAGGTTGCTCTCGGAGTAGACTTCACGTTTGACATCTGTGGTAACCTGGCCCAGTTTGGCGCCTATTCTGGTGCGACGGTTTGCGATTTCCTGCTTAATCCTTTGCGCTTCCTCGGTTTCGGTCATATCCGCCAGTCGAATGTAGGTCTGCGAGGGATGAGGTAGTCGGCCTTCGAGGTATTCGTAGATCGGAGTGCCGGGGAGAAGACACTTGAGGGCTCGCTTGTACTGAGCTTTTGAGCCATGCTTCTTGGCGAATGAGATGAATTTATCGATAGCGGTCTGAGAACGGTGAAGATCGTCTGCTTTTGCGAAGAGGAGAGCGACTTTGATGACCGCCTCACGATATTCGTCGACGCGCTGCGAATTTTGGCTCTCGTAAACGCTGCACAACCCGAGCCATGCTTGGCTGTCGTCAGGCTTTGATTTTGCAGCGGCGTCGTATGTACTGGCCGCCTCGTCGGGGTTTCCCTGCAACTCATATGCTCGAGCAAGGAAGAGGCGGGCAAAGTAATTCTGCGGATCTGATGAAAGCACCTTTTGTGCTTCGGCGATGGCTTTGTCCTGATCTCCAGCATCCAGAGCAGCCTTGGCAGCCTTCAAGGCAGTTTTGGTTGACATTGTGGGAGACGTAGAAGGCCCTTAGCCATACCGTCGACAGTGTTGTTTGTAGTATGAAGGCAAACGGAGCAACGATGGCGAGGAACAAGACAAATACTGAAGTCATGAAGCACACCTGCATGCCTCCAAATCTTTGACTTTGGCTAGCGCGAACTCAAAATTGGCCATGGTATCAACATCTTGCCATCCACGCGGTTCTTTGACTGACGAATGGCTGACTAGCCGACAATGGACCAAGACGGTGAATGGGCCGCGGAGACATTATTCTCGCCTTCCAAGGCGCGCGTGCAACAGGCGCAAGCGAAAGACTGGGCGGTGGTGGATGCATGGCTCTCCAAGAAATACGCTTCCAAGCAGCTGCCCGCCTTCGAGAGGAATGAGGAGACGTTGCAAGCACTCCTGACCCTGGCAAACGTACACGAGAACGCCGATGAGCAGCGCAGCTATCTAGATCGCATCGAAAAGGCCGCTCTGGCCGCTTACAACAAACGCAATTCCAACACGGACGAGGTCTACCAGTTGCTGATGAAGAGCATCGCTGGCAAAGGCCCGGAACTCGGCATCCTTGCGGAGTCTGCAGTCACTCTGGATTGCCCAAATCTCGAAGTTTCGACCATGGTGAACTCAGCGGTGGACCTTACTGCTCGCGCCTTCGAAACAGAGCAGCAAGTGCGGCGGGTGGATGCTCAATTGGAGTTGTTGAAGGTGCAACATGACCAAGCGACAAAACAATTAGGCAATGTCAACAATGATGCCTTCTCCGTCGGTTCTGAACTGGCAGAAGAAAGTGCTAATTGGGCCCGCAGCGCCAAGAACATGCGTGCGAAGATAGCGGAGTACGATGAGCGATTGCATGGGGTTGCATCTCCTCGGTCTAGCCAGGCTCAGTTTGACTCGCTGAGAAAGGCAGAGGAGCAACTTGAGGAGGAACGCAGACGGCTTGGTCAACTAGGCGCTCAGTTGAAGGCTTTTCAATCACTTCCTCCAGATCGCGCGGCATCGCGGGCAATGGTCGAAAATGCCAGGGCGCGCCTACACGCTCTGACCGAGGAGCGAGACCGACGATTTGAACAGCTGGCCGGTGCGGACTGACGCTTGCGCTCTGGATTTCGTCTATATGGTGCAGATGCGCTACAGAGAGGAACAGAAGCCGGCGATGGCTCGGCCTACTTCTTCACCCGCCTCGATACAATGCCAGTGACCAACTTGCTTCATCACCCTGAGCTCCTTTCGCGAGCTGCCGAGATTCTTGTGAATGAACTCGCACCCTTCCATCGGCGCCGATTTGTCCTCGTCGCCTGCGAGGATCAAAGTGGGAATGCGGATGGAGGAGAAGTCGGGCTCCTTTGCATCGACGATGACCTGGCAATGTGAAGCGTACGATTTGGGATCTTGGCCGATGATGAGCTCGCGGATGATGGATTTCTGCAGGGCGGTGCTTTTGGCATTTGTCGCCGAAGTGGGGATCGCATTGGCCAAAGACTCCATGCCATCTGGACAAATCGATTAGAGGCAGCCCAAAAGTGAACAATCTTGGCATGACCGACCTTTCATTACCATGTCTATCCGTTGAGTAAATGCCTCCGGCTTGACTGTGCGGGGATTGACAGGCCCAATGCAAACAATGCCCGCCACTCGCTCGGGATGGGCAGCTGCGATTGTGCACGCCATGGTACCGCCCATGGAATGACCCGCAATGATAGCCTTAGAGATACCAAGTTCATCCATAAGACCCACCACATCTTCCCCAAGTCCTTCCATGGTCAGTCTCTCGCCGTTGGATTTCGAGCGGGCGGCGCCGTAGGTGTCCATTGCAATGCATCGATTGTCAGTCACTTCTGGGATGACGGACATGTAGTAGTTCTGGGAAGAGCCAAGACCGTGAATCATGATTACCGGTGGCCTTCCTTTTCCATGGTCTGGATGGGCATCTTGGGTGTCGAAGTAGTTGAGGCGGTGCTTGTTGACCGTGATGTAGGGCATGTTGACGGTCTGCAATTCGCGAGATTGTGTACACACTGAGGAGGCTCGGTCCTAGCTACAAGGCTGCCGGGGATTTGGCTACGATGCGGTTGATGAGGTGATGTGGTCTGGCGTACTGCACGTGCACGTGGGGTTCCTCGGCTTAGTGTACGCTTCAGCCAATGGCAATGCGCGGGGACAGCAATCAAATAGAGTTTCGTACCTGCAGCGCCGCGGTTTCAGGGGGCGCGACTTCATCCGCCCGACGACATCGTGAGAAATATCCCGTCCTGCCACCCCCTCCTTCCTTGCGTGCGCGCACCCCTCGTCCCTCGTCGTTCCTCACCTCCAGTCGCTCATTCAACCTGTACATATACCACCTCCGCCAACACCACAGGCCGGTCCTGTGTTGTATCCACGCTCATTTACCCCCCTTGCAAGTCCGTGCTCTTGAAACACCTCCCCGCGACAAGATGTGGACCGGGATGTCTCGTCTCGCTGCTCGACTGGCGCTTGGCCTCTGTCTCGCCACTCATGTCGCCGCCCAGACCTCTACCTCGTGCAATCCCCTCCACAAGACATGTCCCGCCGACCCCGCCCTCGGCACCACCTTCGATACCACCTTCAACGAGTCCACCACCCAATTCGACCCCTCGCTCTTCAAGGTCGTTGCCGGCGAGGACCTGATCTCGTTCACCTCCGAAGGCGCCGAGCTTACCATCTCCGAGCAAGGACAGTCGGTCACCGTGCAAACCGCCTTCTATGTCTTCTTCGGTCAGATCGAGGTGCTCTTCAAGGCCGCTACCGGTCAGGGCATCATCAGCACCTTTAACATGTTGAGCGACGACTTGGACGAGATTGATGTGGAGATCATGGGCGGCAACACTTCCTACACCTCCACCAACTTCTACGGCTGGGGTAACACCAGCCAATTCAACACGCTGTACATTCCCAGCACTGGCGGCTCATGGGGCACCCAGGGTGCCATGGGCGCCATACATAACTACACCGTCAACTGGACGCCTCAGTCTTTGCAATGGATCTTTGACGGCCAGGTCGTCCGAACCGTCGCCAACGAACCCGCCGGGCAATGGCCGCAGACTCCATCTTACATGAAGTTTGGCATCTGGGCCGGAGGCGACCCCTCCAACCCCCCGGGTACCATCAAGTGGGCTGGTGGTGAGACGGACTACAGCAAAGGGTGAGTTCAATGCTGCGACGACGCTTTGGTGGCAGTAGTCTGACGTGGTAGTAGGCCTTTCACAATGACTGTTCAGAGTATTCGCATGATTGACGGCCACCAGAATGCCTCGTCGTACACCTACGGCGGCAATTCTGGATCCTGGCAAAGCATCGATGTCGCCGCGGGTGAATCGGCAGCCTATAAAGCGATCAACCACAAGCAGACTACCGCAATCCAGAATGCAGAGCAGAAATGGAATGGTCTCTCAACCACCGCCAAGATTGGCATCGCGGCCGGAGTCGGGGGCGGTTTCGTCATTGCGCTGATCGCCTTCGTATTCTACTGCATTAAGCAGCGACGTGCGGGCAGGCGAGAAAAGGCTCTTGCGGATCAGGAGTGGGAGAAGCAGCAGTCGGAGCTGGTTCAGTACCGTCATCAGATGAAGAGGGGCTATTACGCTGTTTCTTCGTCAGCACCGGTAAGTTGAACCGCTACTCAGACCATCGACTGGACCTCACGCTGACGTTGTGCAGGGTCGGAAGTTTTGATTTGAACGCGGCTGCTTAGAGTGACGAGGTCGCTGATGATACCATTTTCTGTTGTTGCGCTGTCTGCATTGGATGCTTTGCTGTATTGCCATGTGTGTACATTTCCGCTCGAAGCGAAAGGCAGCATTTTCCTGTCGGAAACCCGGCGCTGTGATCGCGGGCATTGCTTCATGGCCTCCGCAATGTCGTGGGCTATCCGCAGTCATTTCCAAGCGTTGTCACGCTCTCTGCCACCTGAAAGCGATGGAGCAGTTCTTAGTATAGGTCGAGGCCCATACGATCGCGACATGGCAAGCTGAAGGTCTCGATGCTTCACCCATCCTCGCCGCCCAAGTCCGCTTTTCCTTTCAGCGCCGCCTTCCTCTCCGCCTTCCATTTCGTGTCCCACGCTTCGACCTTGCCACCTAGCACCTCTACACCATTCGGCGCAAGCAACACAACGCCCCGCGCCACTAGAAGATCCCGAAGGACGAGCTTCGCTCCGATAGAGAGCTTCTGCATATTCACATTCGCCATGGGCGACATGTCAAACGCGAACGCCTTCGTCCCCGCAGCGTCCTGCAGCAAGAACATGAAGGGGCCAGAAGCGCCGGTTGAGGTGTTTGCTTGCGCGCCAGGCTCACCATCAGTCGTCGACTCGTCCGCTACGACGCGAATGATTTCCCGTCCCTTGGTCATCTCGCCGCGTTCCTGCGCTTCGATGGCTTCGACTTGCGACCATCGGCTGCGGCCGATGTCTTCCACGTCCAGGACTTGCACAGCGACCGGGCCCGTAAGTTTCCGTTCTTTGATCTCTGGATTGGAGATGTCGGGCGGGAAGATGGAAATGGGTGGCGTTCGCTGCACAGAGCTTGTCAGGTCGCTCGAGAGCAGACGGAATAGCGCCGTTTGTTGCAGAGCGGGCATGGGGGTGTTCGGTCGAGTGCTGGCCATGAAGCTTGCAAGCCATGCTGGGGTTGGATAGAAGTGCTTGGCGCGGAGATAGTCGGCTATGGCCTTGATGACTTCTGGAGAGGCTGCAGGGCCTGCCATCGTGCCTTTGGGTTACGATGCGTCACATTGTGCGCACATCGAATGAGGTGGTGCATTAAGTGCGGTTCAATTTGAGAGAAGACAGCGGGAAGACGCGTGCCGCGTTAAAGTGCCCCACGTCAAAGGGTGCTTACTTAATCAATGAAGCGCCGCGACTTCAACGGCACTTACATTCCATGTTTCCCTCCCACTCTTCCTCCACTGCTTACACAACAGCAGCAGTGTAGGTGAGAAGGGACGGGATAATCATGTCCACCATTGCTTCCCCGCGCCCTTCGATCTCCTCCCGCCGCACCTCCACCTCGGTGGGAGATGCAGCACCAGCGGAGAGGAGTAGTCGCCGCAACAAAACCTCCGCCCTGCGCGACTACTACGGCTTGAAACCCGGCCTACCATCCGACACACCACCCCGTGGAAGCCTCGACGTAGACATTGAACAAGACAGCGAGATCGACCGGGCGTCCTTCTCGCCCGCCACACACGTCGAGAAGGTGTTAAAGGAGCAGGATTTGGCAGGCGTGTTGAAGACGGAAGCGAATCTCGTCAGAGAAATTTGGGCGTTGGATGGAGAGAAAAAGGCACTGGTGTACGACAATTACAGCAAGCTGATTGGGGCCACCGAGACGATCAAGAAGATGCGCGAGAGGATGGAGACGCGGCAGATGGAGACGAGCACGCTTACGCCCGCGATTAGCCATATTGCCGAGACGGCGGCGACGCTGTCCGCGGAGTTGTACAAGAAGGCGCCACAAGGGAGAGAGACAGCGGAGGGGAGTAAAATCGATGAGAAAAGAAGGGAGGAGCAGGCTACGGTACGATGGGCACTCTCCGCTCCACAACGGTTGGCGAGGCTGGTGGAACAGGGACAGCAGGCGGAAGCGGAGCGAGAACTGAAGGATGTCTCGTCATTGCTGCGGCATTGGGATGGTGTCGAGGGCGTGGATGAGCTTCGTTCGGCTTGCACTGCAGCTCTCGGCGGGAACACGTGAAGCTGGATTTGCTACCTCCGGGTTTCAGTATAACCTTCCGACGATGCTCCAGGGATGTAAACACCTATCAAGAACCAGATCTTACGTCCAGCTCGCGCACGACAACGCTGGGCGCGACATACGCTCGAGGAACAACGGCGTGGCACGGAAGCAGCCGCCCTTGCGAGTTTGCAGTCGATGGAGTATGGACTTCCAGATGGCCAGTGTGTAAGGAGACACGGGACGCATCGACAAGACTGAGCATCGAAGACGGGCGTACGATCTGCAAGAACTATACAAAGACATGACGCATATCAACATGACTCGACCGACCAACAACCGTAAAAACACGCTCGCTACAACGCACAAATCGACCACGATTCGACTCAAAGAGGCGGCACGTCGTTGTTAACTTTCTGCATCCCGCACCTCCACAAAATGTCGATAGCGTTCAAGGGTGCGCCGGCGGAACGACTTGCCCCAGATTTGCATGGGGATTGTCAAGGCCTGAATGAAGAAGTCGATCACTCCAATCGCGATGAAGGTCGGGCCCACGCCGTCTGCTGCCAACCAAAGGCCTGGTGAGATGCATTAGCTTACACGGCTTCACATTGCCTTCATACTGGCGGAACTTACTGCAAGTGAAGGTGAAAATCATTGCCAGGGTATTGTTGATGACAGCAACGCCTACCATTCCCTCCAAAATTGTGTCGGGATAGGCATCCATCAGATATGCCATGGACAAATCGCCAGCGCAGCCCCACCCGAAGCCGATGAGACCCAGCCCAATGTATGCGCCGGGATTACCTTTGGACCACTGCCAGCCATCCCCCGAACCGATGCCGAATAGCATCAGGCCTGCTGGATTGAGGATGGCGGAAGGGTAGAGAAGCCATAGTCGGTCTTCGGCCTCGGAGATGCCGCCTCGTCTCTTCGCCATCCATCGAACGAAGACATCGGAAAACCAACCGCCGTAGATACAGCCAATGACTGCGCCGATGAGCGTGGGAATGTTCAAGATGGCGACCGCGTTGTTGCCGTAGTTCCATGGAGCATCGTAGTAATTATCCTCTTCGATTGTGAGGTAGAACGTCAACCACGCATCCTGACCGCCCCATTGCAGCCCCGCGAAGATGACAGCCGGGAAGGTGAAGATTCTCATCAGATGCCACAGTCGGCCAAAGTACTGCTTGATGCCAGTGCCAACCATAGAAGGAGCTGGGGTGATGATTTGGATTCGCTGCCAGTACGTCCTCTTGCGGTCGGCTGGGGAGCCTGTGTCACTGCCTGAAACAGATGGCTCGACCTTGAATTCGGGGTTCTCGTTGTGGATCTTTTTCTCGTCATCCGAAGGCGAGATCGAGGTCTCCACGGCCGGTGCTAGACCCGGGGCTTCGCCGATGTAATGGTCACGATAGAACATCGTCTCCTCCAAGCCAAAGAAGGTGACAATGATGGTGACGCTCGTGATGATGGCGGCAACCCACCCGACCCATCTCCAGCTCCGATTCGCGATGAGGCCTGCGAAAAGAGGGCCGAGAAAGGTACCGACGGAGGTGGCGAGGACGTACAGGCCGAGGGTCAGGCCGCGCTGGTGCTGGAAGAACAGATCGGACAGGGAGAGCTGGACCAATGCTTCAGCACAGCTCTCCGACGCGCCCACGAACAGCTGGTTCCAAATGGAGTCCTGGACGTTTTGAACATTGGCGAACCAGATGGCGCCAATCAGGGAAAACATGAGACAGATGAGGTATTGGACTCGACGACCCCAGAGCCAGGGCATCGGAGAGGCCAGAAGGGTCCAGTAGCCAATGCCGATGAAGAGCACGCCGGCTGCCGTATTTTCAACGGCGTAGGAAATGTCCAGATCCTTGAGCTGGCCGTCGCCCGCCGCACCCGCATCGTTAGACGTGGCGGCGGTGAAGCCGGTGATGAAGAGCACAAGCGCCGCGTGCCAGTACTTGCGCCATGGCGACCAGTTCAGAGGGTCGTTGGGCGAGTTGGTCGGCTTGGGGTTGAGGATGATTTCCTCGTCGTGCAGGACGCCGTCGATGACCTGGAAGTAACGCACCGTGCCGGGCAAGAAATTTTCCGTCTCCATCTGCCCAGCCATGGCCCAGCCGCGCAGACCAGGCAGTGTGTCGAGCGAGATCAGTCAGGTATGAAGGGGGGCAGACAGAGAGTCCGAGGACGGAGCAAAAGATATACTGAGGCTGCGTAATGGGGCACGAGGGCAGCGCGCCGCTAGCTCAATCTCCTCTTTGCTGTCGCACCCAGCTGATACGGTGCGAGTGCGTGCGTTGGGCGGGGGAAGGCCAGGGTCCCTGCCGGCCAATACTCGTGGCGTGAGAACCGACTGATAAGGGTGGCGTTGGGCTTCGTCACGCAAATCCGGATTGGGAAAGAGGGAGAGTGAAGATTCCACCACCGACATTCCTGCAGCGTGCGCCGCCTGTTCATCTATTTCCTACATCTTGTCACTTGATGGCCTTCTTCCATATCACTCTCCGTCGACACCGACGTGTCCGCGACTTGTTTCCATCCCCCTGTGCCTCGTGGGGGCCGGCGAGTCCCCCGCATGCAACTGCTCAACGCGGCTAGCCCGATCCCACCCTGGACCCACTCGACTGCCCCGGATGCGAGATGATAGACGCAATCAAGGCCGCTTCTCCTCCCCTCTCTTGTTTTGCTCTTCCCATCTCTGCTACACGCACGACACTCGCCCTCCAGACCGCCCAGCGACGCCCGGCTGAGTACTCCGTACCCCCTCCACCACCGTCCACCAACCCCCCAGTGAATGTCGACGTGTCAGCACAACATGGCACATCTATATCACATGACCACCTCGATATTACCCAATCATTCAATGAGTAAACCTTCAAGTATTGGCTCTGGCCTGGAGGGGAACTCGATCCCAGTCTCCGTCGGCGGCGTGACTTCCGCCGACGAGATGCCAGTAGCACAGGCTGGCGATCCAGGACCAGAGCCCAAGAAACAAGTTGCCATTGTCGGCGCCGGCATCGCCGGCCTCCGCGCCGCCTCCGTCCTCCAGCGCCACGGCGTCGACGTCGTCGTGCTGGAGGGCCGCGACCGCATCGGCGGCCGCATTAACACTTCACGTACAGCAAAGGGTGTCCGAGACATCGGTCAGTCTGCAACATGAGCCACCCCATCCCAAAAATTTGGGCACGCTGCCACCGAGCACCCAGACCTGCGTTGGTCCGTTGATCGCCGTCGATCGTGTTCCCAAACCACATCTGATCGAGCATCACACCTCCAGGGCGCTGATCGCTTGATCTAACATGCTCTCCCTTGTAGGTGCCGCGTGGATGCACGAAACGAGCCAGAACAACCTCGTTAAACTGATTCCCAAACTCAAAATTGACTACTACTATGATGACGGCATGGCCCTCTACTACACCGAGCACGGGCGTGCCGGCGCGCAGTTCAAGGCGAAGAAGGTCGCCGACGAGTTCGCCGAGTACTGTGAATGGTACTACGAAATGCACCCCAACGCCCCCGATCAATCCGTCGCCGACTTTGTCGCCAGCTTCGTGAAGAACCACGAGCTGATTACGGACGATGAACGCAATTGGGCTCCGCAGGCCGTGAAGGAAGTGGAGCAGTGGATTGGCACCAGTGTCGACATGGCCTCTTCGAAACATTTGAGCTATTTCATCACCGAGCGCAATCTCTACATGAAGGTTGGTGGCGTCGGGGGATGCTGAGCGTCTTCATCCGCTGACATTCAAGCATCCAGGGCGGGTATGACGGAGTGGTGAACTGGACCGCCCAGTCTCTCTTGCAGAACCCCGAGACCATCCGTCTCAACCACACCGTTCAGGCTGTGAATTGGAACGAGAATGGCCCATGCTCCGTCGACGTCCTCGACGAGCACGGCCAGGCACAACGCATCGAAGCCGATGCGGTCATCTCGACCCTTCCCCTCGGGTCTCTGAAACATGAGCTCGTGGCTTTCCAGCCCGCCCTTCCCAATGATATTCAGCATGGCATTGCCAACTTTAGCTACGGCGCACTAGGCAAGGTCTTTTTTGAATTTGCAGACGTTTTCTGGTCAAAGGAAAACGACCAGGTGCGTCTTATACCTCACCAGAGTCCTTGCTCGCTGCTGACGTCTTCTCTAGTTCATCTTCTACCCCTCGCCACCCGAGCCAGAAGACGACATCTCCTCGGGTTCGCTGACTTCCAGCAGCTCCACCGAAATGGACAACATCCTCAACTACTCCACCGTCACCATCAATCTATGGATCATGACGGGCGCCAAGGAACTGTGTGTCCAAATTGCTGAGCCTCTGACTCAGCGCATCGAAGCCATGACGGACAAGCGGGCGATTTACAGATTCTTCGAACCGCTGTTCAAGCTTCTCCGCACCGAGCCGTACAAATCCCTGCCGGCTCTGGTGGACATTGAGACGACGAAATGGACGCAAGATCCGCTTGCCGGATTTGGCAGCTACTCTGCCGACAAGGTCGGAGACGACCCAGAGAGCTTCGTCGATGCACTCGCTGCTCACAAGAGCAGTCGCCTCCAATTTGCCGGAGAGCACTGTACCATTATCGCCAACGGCTGTGTCCATGGGGCTTTTGCCACGGGCGAGACGGCCGCAAAGAACCTGCTGGAAAGTTTTGAGATCCAGTACGATGGCGGTGACTTTGTCAGTTACGTTTAGGTAACGAGCCGTCGTAGCTTAGCAGAACGCATATTTCCATAGTTTTAAGTAGAATGCATGACACAATCGATGGGAGCCAAGGAAACCACATCTCTCGTATTCTTGAGTTGATTGAAACCTTGGCCAAAGCTTGCCGAAGCCAGTCCAAGAAACGCCTAGAAAGTGCTTGCCTGAACGGCTCTTTGCTGACCCTCATCAGCCGCATGAACCATCATGAGTCAGTCCCTTATATGGCGGCCTAATAACTCCCAAATGTGACAAGTAAGAGCCCCCAACATACACCATTGCACATCTCCAGTCAAGACAAGATGGACTGGTTCAAATCCCCCAAATTCGCGCAACATGTCGATGCCCTCATGCAGGAATGGCACGTCCCTGGACTGGGCATAGCAATCGTCCAAGACGACACCATCTTTGCGCAGGGTTTCGGAAAGGCGAATGTCGACCCCCAAAATCCCAAGGCCATCACTGGAGACACCGTCTTCGACATTGCTTCGTGCTCGAAACAGTTGACGGCCGCGGCTGTTGCTCTACTAGTCGCAGACGAGGACTTCCCGCAGGTGCAATGGGACACACCGGTGTCGAAGCTGCTGGACGACTTTGTCCTCGCAAAGCCGGAGTACACCGCAGGTGTAACGGTCGAAGACCTCGTCAGCCATCGCTCCGGCCTCCCGCGACATGACTTCTCCTACCTCAGCCCGCGAGCAAAGCACCCCGACACCCTGCAAACCATCACGCAGAGTCTCCGGCACTTGGAAATCGTCGCGCCGATTCGATCAAAGTACATGTACAACAACATGGCCTTCTCCGTGCTTGCGTATCTCGTGGAGGTGGTCTCTGGCCAGTCCTTTGAGGACTTCCTGCGGCAGCGAATCTGGGATCCTCTCGACATGAAATCGACCAACATCGCGCCAAAGAACGCCATCAAGGCCGGCTTGCCCCTCGCGCAACCGCAGAGATGGGACGGCGAGAAGTTTATCGCAGTGGAATCGCAAGACTCCCCTGAAGCTGTGGGTGCCGGCCTGGTCGTCACTTCTGTAACCGACTACGCCAAATGGATCCGCGCACTCATGCACCAACAAGCGCCCATCTCGCAGGAGGTATACGAAGACCTCACGCTCCCGAGATCCATCGCCGACTGGGATATAGACGAAGCGGCCCCCTTTACCTCGCCTTCCCTGTACTCGGCGGGCTTGGAGTCCTATCACTACCGGGGCCATCAGGTCATTGCCCACAACGGCGGCGATCCAGGCGTCAGCACAATCACGTTGTGGCTTCCGGAGCAGAAGTTTGGCGTCGTCATTTTCGGCAACGCAGGCGATGCGTACTACCCCATCAACGTGCTGCGGCATGAACTCGTGGACGAAGCTCTGGGTGTTCCGCATGCCGACCGTACCGATTGGAGAGCGAAACAGCGAGAAGACAAAGAAAAAGACGAGGCTAACGAGGCGGAGCAAAAGGAGAAACGGAGGAAGGAGCTTTGTCCCGAGCATGAGGGGAAAGCGCAGCCCCAGCCTGGATCTCTCGAGCCTTACCTCGGAAGATATTGGAATGATGGGTATCGCGGGATTGAGGTGGTGATCAACGAGAAGCAAAAGCTGTTCGTCGACATGTCCGACCGGACGATGGGCTTCACGATAGAGTTCGAGCATTTGTGTGACGGGACCAAGTACATTGCGCATCAATCCGACTATTATGAAGATGAAGAGGATGAAACGGCCGCCGAGTTTGTCTTTGAGGGGGAGCGCGTGGTCAAGATAGGCCTGGATCTTGAAGAGGACCTGCCGAGTAGGAGGATCTGGTTTGACAGAGTCAAGGAGAGCTCGCTCGCCGAGAGGCCAAAGGCTTCACGTTGAGTTTGAGCAAGAATAGTCAATTATTGAGCGCCTGATCCGACGTCTCGTAGCAGTAATCTCGCCCCGCCAATCGAGCCCAGAATTATGGCTCTGGCGTTCCGGAGGCTGTAGGATCACCAGCGCTCGTGTACGATCCACACCCGAGATTGCCAAGTGTTCGTTGAGGAGTAATCATGCTGATCGTATCTGCCATGAAAGGAGTCGTGGATTGCCCGTTGGCGCACGTGTCGGAGTAGAGTAATAGGCACCGGCTGTTTGTTGCAAGCCAGGCCCAGGTGGCGGCGCCGAAGGTGTCGGAGTTGATGGCTTGGACGCAGCCTGTCGCCAGATTAGCCATCCGCTTCAGTACTTGGCTTGCAGCGGGAGGCAACAGTTCCTCCGTCGTCACTAGTAGGCCATCATCGTTGTCGACAACAAAGGGCGAGTGCAGAGGGCGAGTTGCCTCATGTATTTGAAGCCTTCAGGTATGGCCAGGCTCAAGAAGAGTAATGTGGAGTGGAGTCTGGTGGATCTCAACTGGTGCTTACATAAGCACATGCAACTGCGGCCGAGAATTTCCTAACTCGGTAATTTCTCTCGTAGCCTCGTCTTTCCCTGCAAACATCTAAAATTGGATATTACATTGTGGTCCTTCTTCGCTCTTCTCCGGCATCGCAACTTTGATGTCCTCACAGACAACGCGTATGGTGGCTGACGAGTCTAAACTCTGACCGCCATAGAAAGCATGATTGTACAGCATGGCACCGCGCAAAACTTGCCTAGATTGGGAGTGCACGATGTCTTACACCTCGCGTTTTTCCTCTCCGTCAGCTGCAGCAGGCTGGCGAGTCGTTGTTTATAAGTTGTCCTCGTGTCGTCTTATCTGGACATTCTGCGAACCACTCATGATTGCCTCCCTTACTACACCATGTTGCTCAGCCGCTTCTCCTTCCTTTTCCTTCTGTCTCTTACTCCTCTAGCAAACTCGGCCAGCATAAAACGATGGCGAGAGAGCGAGACGAGCCATGCCACAGTCGTCCTACAAAACAACATCACCGTCCACGGCGCCTCGGCCAACGGCACAGAGTCATTCCTCGACATCAGGTTCGGACATGACACGAGTGGAGCGAACCGCTTCAAAGCCCCTCAAGCCTTCCAATACCCTCCCAATGCGATTGTCAACGCCAGTGCTCCCGGCGCCGCATGTCCCCAGCAAAAAGTGCCCATCCCCGGCCTGCCCCTCTTCGATAACGTCACGAACATCTCCGAAGACTGTTTGACGGTGAGAGTGGATCGGCCAGCAGGTGTTTCGTCAGGTGCAAAGTTGCCGGTCATGGTCTTCATCTACGGCGGCGGCGACACGGTCGGCCAGATCTACGATGGCGCCTACGATCCCTCTGGCTTGATCCTTGGTGCTGCGCAAAAGGGGTTTCCCATTATTTACGCGGCCATGAACTACCGAGTGGGCGTCTTCGGTTTCGCCGCCTCGGATGCTTTGAGAAAGGAAGGTTCGCTGAACGCTGGTCTTCTCGATCAACGCCTTGGATTAAAGTGGATCCAAGAGAACATCGCTGCCTTTGGCGGAGATCCAGACCAGGTGACCGTCTTTGGCGAGAGTGACGGCGCGACGGGCGTCGGTCTCCAAATCACCGCCTACGGCGGTCAGGGGCCGAAACCCCCTTTCCGAAGAGCCATCATGGAATCCGGCGGTCCTACTGCCGACGCGGGCACGGCCAGCAATTTCTCGGCTGTCCATACCGCCGCTCTCGCAGATCTGCTCAACTGCTCGTCGGCCAACAGCGTACCAGATCTGGCTTGCTTGCGGAAGGTTCCTTTGACCAAGCTCGTCAACATTGCCTACCAATACGAGGTGAAGACGGAGCCCCCGTCGGGCCTGGATGTTTTCATTCCCACTGCCCCATCGACTTTCATACCGGACAGCCCATCGAGGCTTCTGTATCAGGGGAGATTCAGCAAAGACATCGATATCATCTCAGGGTGGAACGAGGACGATGGCTCTTTCTTCGTGTCTCCCACGATCGACTCCGAGGCCAAGCTTCTGGAATTTTTCGCCTTCTCCTTTCCGAATCTCAGCAATGCCACCACAAAAGAGGTGCTGAATTTGTACCCTGTCTCGCAGTTCGAATCGAGCGCCACCAAGAACGTCTCGGCGCAATACTTCCGAGCGAGTCGGATCATGCGCGATGCGTATTACGCGTGCCCGAGTGTGTTGATGGTCCAATCCAATGGCAAGTACTCGAACGCATCGACAGCGAACTACCTGTACGTCTTGAACCAGACGATGTTTACTAGCGTGTTCGAGGAAGCCGGCGACGCGTATCTGGGCGTGTCGCATTTCAGCGATATCCCTTTTGTGTTCAACCAGGCCAGCACGCGCTACGCTCAAGTATCCACGTCTTCCGACGTCAAGTTGTCCAGCTTAGTGAGTGGCAGCTGGGCGGCATTTGCTGCTTTTGGAATCCCATCTGGTAGGAATGGGACATTGACGACGTGGCCGAGGGCTGGGAACAGCAGTGGCTTGGAAATTGAGATTATCGGGGGACCAGATGCCGGCGTGCAGAGCAGCAAAGAGTACGAAGAGCTGCAGGAGCGATGCACCTTCTGGAACTCGCCCGTTGTGACTCAGCAGCTGCAGGTGTAGGCGGGTGGAGGGTGTTGTTGTGGCCGTGAACGTGGTCTGTAATGCTGCTGTGAGATTGTCGGGGCGTCTCATCGTGTAGGCACAAAGATGACGTCTCTTTCATCGTAGACTCTTTTCTTTTGCCTCAGCTGGCCCTCATGACAATTCTACACCCCTCATGCCGATGTGGTGGAACCATAGCCATCTCCCATCGGTCCACCGCCATCGAAACTCCGCCATTCCAGGGATCGTGACGGTCTCCATCCCCGCGATATCAACATACAGGTGTACACTCGCGGTTCTGCCATCCGGGTCGATGGTGGTGGACATGGCTTTGAGGTCGCAATAAGCCTGGGGGTGCTCGAGGAAGAACTGCCGGCGCTCTTCGATGAGCTCGGCGAGGGTCACATTGCCCAAAATGCCGTCGGATGTTCCCGAAAAGTCGGGTGCAACATGTTGCAGGACTTCTTTCGCTTCTGGGGTCTTGTTCAAGGCGAAATCACGCTGATTTATTGCGTACACTGCAGCGGCGGACAGACGTTCCAGCTCGGCTGCGACTTTACTGGCAGCTGCGTCGGTGGCCATGACGAGGCACGAACGGTACTCCTTGTACATGGCGAATGGGTGGTCTTGCAGTCAAGGAAAAGGACATGAAGTATTGTTCAGCACCAAAATGTCTGCAGGCTTCATGCTGTTCGAAAGATTACAGCCGCAGCTGCTGCATGGTATGAAAACCTTAACTCAGCCTTGTCGACGTCTTACCTGTCTGCATACTGTGGTTCAGGGGCGGCTGATGCCGCCGCTTACACAGTGATCGATCGATCCGAGCACGCGGTGCCGGGTGAGGGAGGCATGGAAAGCGCGCGAAGCAGACGGATGTCAACGGGGGAAATTGTCGAAGAGGTGGCACGGCGCAAGAGATGTGGCTTTGCACAGCAGTGCACAGTATGATCAGTGATGGATGAGGCGGCAAGATTCGCCACCGACGTCGGTACTATTACGCGATTTGTCATGGCATCAAGCTAACCGTGGCGGAACGCGGGGCGCTTGCGATTAGGTACCCAGAGCTGACTTCACTGCACAGCGCCAGTCCAACTAGATGTTGGAGGAGGACGTGAACTCGAGGACGGCCGTGCGTACTGCGCTGGTTGGATTGGATCTAACTTGCGACAAAGTCCGCCACGAGGTACAATGTTAAACGAGGACGATGAGCCGCGGCAGTGCGATATGGCACTGCCTCGATTACCCTCACAGTAGTGGCAGTGTGGAGATCACCGCGGTGCTTCCACAACTGGTGCGGTCGCCGGTCGACAGCGAGGCGATGAGTATGTATACGGGCGGTGGACGACGGGACATGCCGTGCGGAAGTTGGCGCCTTATAGACGATGCTCGGAGCAAGTACAAGAACGGGGTGGTCCGCGATGCCAAGGGTCCGCGTGAGGTGTCGAGACGATCACGGGGAGCAGCGTGTCCAATTGCGACATGGACCACGAGCGCCGAGCCGAGGCACCCCTCGTTGGTACTTCGGACGTGGTTCCAGGTTCATCGAGGGTAAGACGACGCGGTGGCAGTGGTAGCCAACTTTGCTGCCGCCTCCTGCCACTCATCTCCGATGATCCCCTCTGCAGGGCCAGCATGTGGGGTGTCAGGTGGGGATTTTCAATGAAGCCTCGCAAATTAAGCTTAACGCCGATCACTGCTTAGCGACGGAAAGGGGAAGGTGCACTCGACCAATCACACCGCCTACCGCTGTCGCAAAGCCGAGGCCCCCCTTGTCTCTTCACCACATCGTCGCCCATCGGTACTTGCGGCGGCTCCCCCTTTCGCTCCAAGCGCGCCCAATGCGGCGCGCCGTTCATTTCCGAGCCTGATTGCTCCTCCACACGCCACCCCCGGAGAAGGGCGCTGGGCGGGTGTGGGCCAATAGGACGTGGCGCATTTGTTAACCATCGCCCAACGGCGCCTCCGCATCATCATCATCGACCTGCCCCCTTCGCAGCGCTCTCCGAGCCGCGCTAGTGGGTGGGTGTATGGGGTAGATGGCTTGTGACGGAGACGACACGGCAGTAGGTACCATCCTTCCATATGGGGATGTTGCGCCGAGCAGACATTCCCCCGTGACGAGTTGGCGCTCCCATGTGTGCCAGCCTGGGCAAAACATACATATATCCCCAGGAATTTCCCCATCTTCTCCATCTCCTCTTGTTACCCATTCATTACCTTCTTACCATCACTATGAAGTCTGTCATCTTCACCCTCATCGGTGGCGCCGCCGCCTTTCCTTTCGTTGCAAACGCCCCCGGCGTCAACTCACCATGGTCGGGCTCCGGCCTCCACCGTTTGAGGGCTCGCCAGCAGCCCGGTGGTGAGGGAGCAGGCTCCGAAGCGAACTGCCCCTACAACCCCAACCACGTTCCCGCCGCTCCCTTCAACCCCAAGTACCCCTACAACAACGCCAAGAATGGTCAGATGGGCAACCAGAAGGGTGGTTACCTCGTCCCTGCCAAGGGCGACACTGCGCATCAGTTCGTCGCGCCCAACCCCAAGACCGACATCCGTGGACCATGCCCGGGTCTGAACGCTGCTGCCAACCACAACTTCCTTGCCCACGACGGTGTCACCACCTTTGTACGTATATAGGATGCCGATGGCTATCCATCGGCACAACCTTGCATATGATCCCACGCTAACAAGGAATCGACAGGACGAACTCGTTGATGCTCAACAAAACGTCTACAACGTCGGCTACGACCTTGCGCTGCTGCTCGCTACGCTCGGTCTCACCCTCACTGACGGTGATGTGGTGACGGAGAAGCTGTCCATCGGCTGTGATGCCACCAGCCGCACTTCCTTCAACCCCGCCCTCACCGGCAGCGAGCCCGGCCTCGACGGCCACGACAAGTTCGAGGCCGACTCGTCGCTGACGCGCAACGACTTCTTCCTCGACAACGGCAACGACTTCTCGTTCAACGGCACGTTGTTCGGGTACATGGCGAGCGTGGCCGAGTCCACCGGGGGTGGCAACTTCGACTTCAACGCCATGTCCGCCTACCGCAAGCAGCGCTACGACCAATCCCGCGCAGAGAACGGAAACTTCTACTTTGGCCCCTTGGCCCTGCTGCTCTACGGCGCCTCGTCGTTCGTCTACGAGCTCATGCCCACCGCCGGCGGCCCGGCCGACCTCGCCACCGTCTCCTCCTTCTTCGGCACCTCCAAGAACTCCGCCGGTCAGTGGGTGTTCAACAACAACGAGCAGATCCCGCCCAACTGGTACGCGCGCGTTGAGCCCTACAGCAACAACGATGTGACGACCCAGATCCTCGAGCAGTACCTCAAGTACCCCGTGCTCTTCGGCGGCAACACCGGCAAGGCTGGCGGCAGCTTCGACGCAGTCAGCTTCGGCGCCATCCAGAACGGCACCATCTCCTCCAGCATCTCCGCCACGCAGACCTCTTGCTTGCTCTACCAGCTTGCCACCGGCAGCGTGCCCAGCTACCTCAACGGCGTCCTCACTCCCAGCGTCAAGGCCCTGTCCTTTGTCCTGGAGAAGCTCACCTCCAACCCCACGTTCAAGAACTTGGGCTGCCCCATCCCGTTGACCTAGTTCGTCCTTGTGAACTAGAGTTGAACTCAAGCGGAGGAAGACTTGATGATGATATCGAAGATCTATGTAGACAGGCAGATGGAATTGTCAAGCGAAAGCTTATGTATGAGAATGCACAAAAGAAATGCCTTATCATCACTTCATCCCTTCACCGAGCGTTTGATTCTATGCGAATAGCATTCTCAAGATGCTTGGGAAGAGACTGGCGTACCTGACGAAAGCCACTAGAAGACGCACCGGAATCTGCGCAGGCAATAAACTTGATGATGACTAGACAGGGCTCTGTCAGGGAGACGAGCCAATCGAAAGGCCAGTGGCATTTATTTTCCCTGGATCCACCACACCATTGTCTACACAGTGAAGTACATCGAGGCGCTCTGATACAGACGGCCTCGTTTTGGTAGAAGTCCAAACCCTTCCTACCTACTAGCAGCACATGGTGGGCAAGCAAATGCCCTTCCGTCATCTCGTCACGTTGCATTGACATGCAGCATAAGCGGAATGGAGTGGACGGGGAAGAGATCCAAATGCAGAATGCTTTGTATTGCCAGTCCGACATGCAATGCAAGATATAAGATCAACACTACAGTCGTAAATCATGCCATACCACAGAATTTGACCATACAACACACCAGCAATCAGCCTACCATTGCTCATGGTCAAAAGACGCCAGAAGAAGCCTCACAGCGCCACGCCAATACGCTCTCGCTCACCCCCGTGCTCCCATTTTTGCACTCTCGCCAGCATTTGTTCGCGCATGACGTCGTAGAGGAAGAGGAACTGCGACTCGCCCTGCACCATCATCATCCGCTGCTTCCGCAGGAGGTCCACCGTCTCCGCGATCGGGTCTCTGTCGGGTGGGACATGGTCGAGTTGTCCGGAGTGTAGGAGGGATAGCAGGTAGTCGAGGGCGATGAAGGTGCCTGATCGCCCGACGCCTGCGCTGCAGTGGATGATGCGTGCTGTTATGGACGACTCGTCCGGCTGTTCGTTGGATGTCGAGGCGGTAGATTCCATCTCCGCAGGCTCGCGTTCGTGGTTCAGCTCGGCAGAGAGCCGCACCAGTTCGATGAGAGCGGCGCGATCGTCTCCTTCGGGCACAAGAAAGTCGGGCCAGCCGGAAAAGAGCAGATGCTGGATTTCCATTTCGTGAGGGTCGGAGCCGGCTTTGCTCGTTCGTAGTTGCAACGTGCGCAGCTGACTTCGAGTGGTCGGATCGTCTCGGACACTCTGGAGACGGACTTCTCCATGAAAGTCGTCGTGGAAACCAGGGTCCGGAGGGATGGTCAAAGGTGATTCAGCGTTCGAAAGTGGGTAATATTGAAAACACTTTTCCCGGCCAGATTCGTGCGTCTGGGTCAACATCACTACGACGGTCGGATGGGTCGTCTTCGCTTCGCCGGCGACCATGCGATAGAAGTGGTTGACATTGACTTCTTTCGGACCCTGGGTGGCAATATATCTCCTTCGCCCAAGTTGAATGGGAGAGGCGTTGATGTAATCATTCGCGCCATCGACGACCTGCAAGTGGATTCGGTTCTGGGCAAAAGGCTCGACGTTCACGTATCTGTTGCGGGTAGAGACGACGTCGCCGGGTAGTCGAGACCAGGGGGATGGCGTATCGTTGGGAGATGTGGGGGATTGCGCGCCCTGCAGTAGTCGATGGCGCTGTTGCCATTCCAGATCAACGAATTTGGCCTTGATGTCTGCAGCATCGTCAGTCGTGTGCTTGTAGCTGGAATCGAGGAAAAGACGTACCTGCTTTGGTCTGGCGGAGGAATGCGGGAAGACGGGAAGCATCAGACGTGGATGAGGAAGAGGAGGGAGAAGAGTTGGCCATGCTGGGCAAACGCCGGGGCGAACGCACTCGAGCGGAGAGTCAGGCGAGCATTGGATTGAAGCTGCCTGCGCGAGATGGCCGACAGGGCAGAGGTATAGATCAATGCAGAACCGAGGGCAAGCGCAGACGTTGGATTGTTCCTTGTATAGGCGCCAAGAAAGGAGGAAAATAAGAGGGCTAAGAAGGGGGAAAGAAGAGCGGTCGAGGAATGTATCACACAGACGCCTCCCGTCTTCTGTCAGCACTTTGCGTGGCGATGTTGGTTGCCGGCTCCGTGAAACATTTCGCCAGCAGACGGGGCTGATACCAACCCTAACCCTAAGCATCGCAGCTTACATAACGATGATTCCTCCAACTCCAACGTCTTACATGTCTCTCAACATTCCTCTGCATCGGTCCCGAGTCTGTCCTCACCCTCCTTCGTCCACCGTCGAGTACGCCTGCGAGAAGCAGCCCATGCGTTCTCCGTCCACATCATGGCGCCCTGGCTGAGGGTTTTGGAAGCATACCTCGTGCAAGCCCTACTACGCACTCCGGCCTTCCACCGTGGCGTCGAAAAGGTTGTAAGAGGAGTTAATCGCGTTCGACACGGCATTCCTCCAGAGGAAATGGGCGGCACGAAGCTCGACCAGCCGGGAGAAGGTGGTTTCCTCAAACACTTCTCCGAAGAGATCCAGACGCAACTTGGAAGGGCTGAAGGCGGGGTGAGCCGGGAGAAGGTGGCTGTCAAGAGCAAGCCGGCGGCGGCGCAGCAAGAGGCGGAGGATCAAAGTGCGGACACCGTGTGGCGGACAGCTCGCAAAAATGTGGAAGATGGGCACCAGCAAGAGGGCCAGCAAGGTTTCATGGGAGAGTACATGGCAGCTTTGCGCGAGCAAGTCAAGGGAGGCAAGTGAATATGCTGGGAGCATGGAAAGAGTCAAAACGGATTCTGGAAGCTGCGCTCTGCGTTATAGATGACAATCTGCCTGGAGTGTCGATATTGATGGGCTTCATCCTCCAACCGCAACGACTTTCGAGAAGTGGCCAAGGCGGCATTCTATCGAGAAACACCCAAGGACGCACCTTTGCTGAACGCGGCAGACCAAACTCGCATGAGAGACCCCATCGCCACTCCAGTTGACCATCTACACCATGAAAGCGTTGCGTGAGCACAGCTTTACTGCTGACTAGAAGTGGCAACCCGGAGCCCTCCGAAGTTCGACCCACCAGCAGAGCTCCCCCGGTCGACTTTTGTTTTTTAACAACCACCTGGATGTTTCTGGCATGGTGGTCGATCAATCTGCTACTCCGCATCAACATGGCGGTGTGCGTGGAGCTGTCCAAAGACAATTACGTCACCGCGCGGCAACGTAGCCTCATAGCTCTTCACGGCATGGAGCTCTGCATTATGTGTTCAACTTTCTTTCTTACTCTGTTGCCTTGACGGTAATTACATCGAGACCACATTGGCAAGATGCCTACCGCGCTTGTCACCGGTGCCACGGGTATCCTTGGTCGTGAAATCGTCCTCGCTCTCGGGCGGGATAGTCAGACCTGGTCTACAGTATGGGCGCTCTCTCGATCCAAAAAAGGCCAATGGCCTAGCAATGTGCAGTCGAAACAACTCGACCTGCAAGCATCCGCCGAGGACATGGCGAAGGAACTGGGCGACGCGCAGCCCGAGTACATCTTCTTTACCGCCTATCTTGAGCAAGATTCAGAAGAGAAGGCTACGCAAGTCAATGGCGCCATGCTGGAGAACTTCCTCAACGCCCTCGAGATCACCGGTGCTAGCAAGAAGGTCAAGCGTGTCATCCTCACCACTGGTGCCAAACAGTACGGCGTTCACTTGGGCACCTCGAAAATGCCAATGGAGGAGTCGGACGCCCGGCTCGCCGATCCCGACCGCCCTCCAAACTTCTACTACAAGCAGCAAGACATATTAAGGGAGAAGGGTGAGAAGCAAGGCTGGGACTGGGTGGTTACCTATCCCAATGAAGTGGTAGGCGTGGCCAAGGGCAACTTCATGAATCTCGCCACCACTCTCGGCATCTACTGCGCCATCACCAAAGAGCTGGGCGAGGATCTGATGTGGCCCGGGAGTCCCGACTTCTACTCTTCGTTCCTCTGCTACACCTCTTCCAAGCTCCACGCCGCTTTCAATTTGTGGGCCGCGCTGGAAGATACGCCGGCAGTGAGCAATCAGGCTTTCAATGTGATCAACGGCGATGTCGAAAGCTGGCAGAACATGTGGCCCAAACTTGCGAAGAAATATGGATTGCGAGTGCCAGAGAAAATGTTCACGAAAGACGAGGAGCAGGGCAAATTCGACGAGGATGGGGCAGGCTCTGTCATGAAACTGATGGAGCGTCCACCTCTTGCGGAGTTCGCTGCTCAAAACGGGTTAAAGGGCTCGAAATGGGCCAAGCAGTCGCAAGTGGAAGCGAAGATTAACATGATGAAGTGGTCGCAGCGGAAGGACGTGCGAGCGGCGTGGGACCGACTGGCCGAGTCCAAGGGGCTGGAGCATGAGTCGTTCGAGAAGGCTCCGTGGTGTAAGTGCGACGTGGGGTATAATTGATCATGGACAAACAACTGACAAAAGACGCATCACAGGGTTCTTGTGGTTCGTCCTCGGCCGCAATTACCATGTCGTTCTGTCCATGTCGAAAGCGCGAAAGGCGGGCTGGACGGGGTATCAGGATACATGGGACAGCATCTCGGAGACGCTGGACGAGCTGGTGGCGGAGAAGGTGTTGCCCAAGTTCCCGTGAGTGGCTGCTTCTCCAAGGGGGATGATGGTTGCCCATCTAACAGATCATGCGTACAGGCCGAAACGGAAGAGCTCTGCGTTCATCAGCACAGAGGCCGACCAGGCGGTCAACCGGTTGAGGGCTCGCGATGTCGAGAGAAGATGACGGTGATGCCAGAATGAGACGATGGCCATATTTCTAAGCCTTTCGACAAATCACATGAAACGAGAAGAATGGAGGGAGCGAAGGCATGTGCGTGGTTGGTTAGGCCTTCCCCAGGCCGGGATGAGCCGCGGCCCGGTAGTTAGTTAGCGTCAACGGGGGATCTTCACCATCGTGTGCCTCAACGTCATCCACCTTCCAGCACCTTGTCCTCATCTCAGCGTTCGTTTGGCCTCACCACTCGCTCCAGCTGTTTGGATTCTCGTGCTGTGCTTCCTCTCGACACTCCCTTCGCAATCCACCGCTGCATCTCTTCCCATTTCCAGGCGTCCAATTATAACCGCCCGCGTGCATAGCTCCTCGATCGAGTCATATCATGGCCACGCAGGCACACTGTGCCTTTTGCTTCGAAACACTCGCCGCGAACTTGGAACGCCGCAAGCCGCTATCTCTCGCACAGGTGGAAGAACTGTGGACGCGATACCACGGTAGCAAAGATGACCCGGCAGCAGACTCGGAGAATGGTGAAGAGAGCGAAGATGCGGAAATCACCGATGCTGAAGAAACGGTGGCGATGACAACGACATCCCCCTCTGCACGTCCTGCCGCCATCTCGCGCCTCCTCAACCGCGAGCCCAGCGCATCCAGTTCATCCAGCAGTCTCCCCTCCTCCACCAAATCCTCTGCCGACTCCTCGACTGCGCAAAGCCCCAAGAATGGATCGGGAGCAGCTACGCCGGCCAGTTCGAGCAGTTCGCGCTCGTCTCTTTTCTCGTTTGCGAAGAAACGGCGCAGTGGTGGAGCCAGCAGCAAAGCAGACGAGTACCCCTTGTTCGTCACGTGGAATGTCGTCTCACGAAGCGGACACAAGAGTCTACGAGGCTGTATCGGAACGTTCGCGGCGCAGGAATTGGAAGAGGGATTGCGATCGTACGCACTTACAAGGTAATAAACTCATGCCCTTCAATTGCTCACGTGAGCACAAGTGAGCCACCGCACTAACTCCAATATCGTACAGCGCCTTCGAAGACGTCCGCTTCCAGCCCATCCCCGCCTCCCTCCTCCCATCCCTCTCCGCGCACGTCACGCTCCTCACCAACTTCTCCCAGCCAAGCAAAGACGCCCTAGCCTGGACGTTAGGCAAGCACGGCATCCGCATCTCCTTCACCCTCGCCGCGCGCCGCTACGGCTCCACCTACCTGCCCGACGTGGCGGTCGAGCAGGGCTGGACGAAGGAGGAGACGCTGGTGTCGTTGATGCGCAAGGCGGGTTGGAGTGGGAGTAGTTCTTCGTGGGGCCGGGCATGGAGGGAGGGCAAGGGCGAGTTGGTGACATATGAGGGGCAGCAGGTTGGGTTGGGATATGCGGAGTGGAAGGAGTGGAGGGATTGGGTGGATGGGTTGGAGGGGAGGTAGTTGGCCTGGATATGGAACCGTATGAGGCAGCAATAGAGATACCCCATGAATAATGCAGCATTGGACTGATTGTTTTCCCATTTCGGCGAGCCAGTAACTACAATAAAGAATCGCCCATTGACAAGCCCACCACCCTGCTGACGGTGTTCCCCAAGATCACTTTTACACTCCCGCCTTCTCCGGCGCCACGTTCAAATTCCAATCAATCGGCCCCTCCTCCCCATACCTCTCCCTCAACCACTCATTCGCCTTCTTGAAATGCCCGCAATCCAAGAAACCCCGCATAGCCGACAGCGGACTAGGATGCACAGACTTGAGCACGAGATGCCTCGCCCCGGAAATCGCCTTACATCGCTGCTGCGCTGGATTTCCCCAAGCGAGAAACACGACTCCCGCCTTGCGCCTCGCAACGACGGTGTCGATGACTTTCTGCGTGAAGCGCTCCCACCCTTTGCCCGCGTGGCTGTTGGCTTCGTGCGCGCGGACCGTCAGGCAGGTGTTGAGGAGGAGGACGCCGCGGTCTGCCCAGGGGGTGAGCAGGCCGCCTTTGTTAGGTGGGGGTTCGAAGGTTGGATAGTCTTTTTTCAGCGCGATGTAGATGTTTTTGAGACTTGGAGGGGCGGGGGTGGGCGGGCGGACGGAGAAGCAGAGGCCGTGGGCTTGGTTGATGTTGTGGTAGGGGTCTTGGCCTATGATGACGGCTTTGACGGTGTGGAGGGGGGTGTGGCGGGACCTGTTGAGGTGTTGTTAGGGGTCTTGTCCGAAGGGCTTTTGGGGGTCAAGGGGAAGAGAGCGGCATACCAACTATACACGTCTTCACTGGGCGGGAAGATTTTCTTGCCCGTCTCAGCTTCCTTTTTGAGGAATCTCTTCAAATCTAGGAATTCTCTGCTCGTGACTTCGTCTTTCAGCACAGCCAGCCAGGACTCATCGAGCGTATTGATCTCGAGCTTGAGCAGTTCCTGCTGTTCGGGGGAGAGCTTGGCCAGCCACGCCGTCTTGTCGAACTTCGGGGTGGCAGTAATCTCGGCGACTGGGAAAGCGGTGGTGGGCGATGAAGCGGGTTGAGATGAACTCGGTGCTGAGCTGGTGATGGTGGCTTTAGTCGCGCTCGCTGCTGGGCTGGAGACAGTCGGCTTGGGTTGGCCGAAGAAAGCGGTGATTGAGGCATTTTGCTTCGGCTTCTTGGCCGCTTCGAGGGCGATGTCGGCCGCTTTACGTTTGAGAGACATGGTGGGTGATGGCGGAAGATGCGAAGGTCTTGTTGGAATGCGGTGTTCTCGATAGCCTACACTTTCACTTTCGAGGGGATGCCCGCGACGCGATTGGGAAGCATGACGCGTGCATGACTAAGCGCTGACCTGAAGAAGGACGACGAAGCCTTGAGGTGAAAACCTGACATCAATGCACCGGTCTGAATGCACCGCATGGGACGAAGAACAGCGCAGGAACGAGATATGGATTGTGAATGAATTGCAAAGACTGAAGCAGCTCACGTGATAAGAGTTCTGCAAGGCTGCGCCGAGCTTTGGCATCATCATCGATTGGCGCGCTGTGGCTGAGTCCAACCACCCCACGCTGAGGAATCAAGCGGGCCGCATTCGTGGCGTCACACCTCCCCCTCCATCCTCCTCTCTTCCTACTTCACTCTTCACTCCCACCGTCAACCTTACTCTAACCTACACTCTCTCCACTGCACTCACAGCATCCGCCACAATATGTCGGAAAAGCACATCCCAGCGGAGCCTCCTCCGTCCTACGTCCAGGCGACAGGCAGCTCATCCTCCTCCCGCCCACCCGCCAACTCCTCCTCCTCATCCTCCTATCTGCATGTCCCCCGCAAAGGCAGCTCAAGCGGCATCTCCCCCGAAGCCAGACGCTCAATGGAAGACGAGCAACGCTCCCTGCCTCCAGGCTGGGTGCGAACATTCGACCCGCACTCCAAACACCACTTCTACGTCGACACGACCAAAGAGCCGCCGCGCAGCATCTGGATCCACCCCTACGACGACGAAAAGTACCTCTCCACCCTCACCACCGAGGAGCGCGAGCGCGTCGAGCACGAGAGTCTCAATCGTGGCCATCCGCCTAGCAAACACGACATCATCGCCGCCCACAGCGATGACGAGGCCCACTCGCCCCCGCACTCTCCTTCCGGCGGCATCCCTGACGAACTGCCCCCCCGCTCCGACGGCAAAGGCCGCTCGTTCGGCCGCAAGTTCAAGGATAAGGTCACCGGCTCCACGCACGAGGAGCGCGAGAAGGAGCGTGCGCAGCGCGCCGAAAGGGAGCGGCAGGCGTATGAATACCACAATCGCATCCGCCAGGCTATGGCTGTGGCGGAGCAGACCGGCCAACCCCAGCTTCTCGGCAAGGATCAAGATGGGAAGGATGTCTATGTTGAGCCTCCTAACTATCGCGGAGGATACGGAGGTGGGGGGTATGGGTACAATCCTTATCGTGGCGGGGTGTACACCACGCCAAATGCGAGGTACATCCGTCCGCCAGACCCGTATGCTCGTCCCTACGGATACGGGTACGGTGGGGGGTATGGTTTGCCGCTAGGGCTGGGGCTTGGTGGTGGATTGCTGCTGGGTGGTGCGTTGGGCGGCTTTGGTGGCTTTGGCTTTATTTGAGATCACAACGGTGGACGGGGAGCGACGACGTGTTTTCCATACTTCAGACATACGATACCAAGGCATGAATCGAATCAACATCATTCTGAGTTGTTCACTTTTCGTGAGATCGAGAACGAGTGGCGAATCTATATGGACTATTCAATCAACAATGCCAATCACTTCAGGCTGGCCTCGACAATCGAGAAGCCCGACTCATACCCCGACGGATAGATGGCATCCAACTCCCATCCCGCAGCCCCAAGCACTTCCTCAAAGTTCTGCTTTGTGCGTTCCTTGCCACCAATACAAAGCATGCCCAAGTCCATGAACGCCGCCATTCCCCCGAGCGGTCCTTCAGGCATGACGACATCCGCAATCAGCACCTTCGAGTCCTTCGCCGCCGCGTCAGCGAGATGCTTTAGGATCTTGACGACCATGGTGTCACTCCAATCATGGCAGATGGCTCGCAGGTGGTATGCTTTTGCTCCCTTGACGGGCTGCGGGAGGAAGAAGTCATGCGCTTGGAGGCGCACTCCCTTCTGCAGCCCTTCGTTCTTCTTCGCCAGCTCAATCACCTGCTCGCGATCTTGCACCACACACTGCTCCGGTTTAATATCCGGATGCGCCTCGAGAATCTTCGCGACCGTCGTGCCATCCGCCCCGCCCACATCGACAATCACCGTCCTCCCCTCCTCGCCAACCAACTTCCCAAAATCATAGAAGCCAGTATACGGCCTGAACCGCGTCGCCATGACCATCAACTTCTGAAAGGCGCGCAGGTGCTCCGGGTCCTGCTCGAGGATTTCAAACACCGTCTTGCCCTCCTGCCGCGCATGCCAGGTGCGCGGATTATGCGTCGTCGCTAGCTCGCCGTCGGGCTCGCGCGCCCCGCGCTGCTGGAAGTACTCCGCGAATCCCGTTTGCACCATCGCTTCGTCGAACATGTAGTTGTACAGCGAGGCGACGTCGCCTTCGTCCCGGGCGTACACGGCGGACATGGGCGTGTGGGAGTAGGTGCCGTCGGGGTGGAGAGTGATGATGCCGCCTTGCACGACGGGGCGGAAGAGGCGTTTGAGAAGCGAGGCCTGGGCGCCTGTTTTGCTTTCTAGGTCTGCGAGCGTGATAGGGTCTGTTGGGGGGATGGCCTGGATGGCGCCGAGGGAGAGCAGGGCGCGGAAGGCGGAGCTTTCCATTATTGAGCGCAGGACAGTGGTCATGTAGTCCCGAGGTGTTTGCACGGCGGCGATGAGTTCGCGGGCTTTCGTTACGATTTCCCGCTCCAGGTTGGTTTGTTTCGCGGCCGGGTCGTAGCTTTTGCTTAGTTCGAGGATCTGCGTGGCTAAGGCTGTGAGGTCTTTGGTTGGGGGCTGGGAGGTGGCCATGTCGGTGGAGGGATTGGAGGAAGGAAGAAGTGAGATTATTGGAAAGTATGTCAGATACCTTTCTGCCTGTTGAAGTGAGGTGGAAGCACTTTTTCCGTTGCCTGCGCATCGCGACGGCTTTATATACACCATCGAGCTGAAGTGTGGGTCGGCGGATACTCCGCGGACGCTCCGATGGCACGCGCCGATACGCCGACTCCCGTGGAGCGGCCGTGGAGTGGAGCGCGGACAATTAGAAATGAGGTTCGGAATGACATCGGAAACATCGTGTGCTGGATGGAATTGCTTCCGCGTCCCGAGGAAGTCAAGAGTGACTGAGAAAACCGTCGGGATTGTTGATATTGGGGAAGGCGTCATACCCGCACCGGGCTGGAGATTCGCATTCGTTTGAAGACAGTCTAAACAAAGTGAGCAGCCCGTTAGATGTGTTCTGCACACAGAGATGCCTGCATTACTGAATCTGGCCATTCATAGATCCTCACTGTGATGCGTTAGTAGATCAAAGGTAGCAAGCCGATTCAAGGCATCCTCACACTTTATACACCTCATACGCCGCCGTCTCATACGGATGTGCCCTGTAGAACATCAGCAAGCGTCAAGCCTATCAAAAGAGAAAGAGAGGCAACGACTTCTTCAAAGCAGCAACAGCCTCCCTTGCAACCTCCCTCCCCACACAGATAATCTCACACCTCACCTCGCCCACCTCCTCCACCTTGCCCGGTTGGCCAATATGCGGCTTCGCCGAGTCGCCGGGGAGGAACTGCCCGATGCCGGGCGTGGTGAAGGCGCATTTCGTATAGTTGCCTGGGCCCGGGTAGTGGCCTGCTCCCGTGGCGAAGATGGCTTCTTTGATGGGGGGAAGGTCGAGGGGTGGGGCGAAGAAGACGAGCTTGTAGCGGTCGGTGGGGGCTGATGCCATTTTCGTGAGGGTGCTCTGGTTGCGGATGACGAGGGTGGGGGAGAATCTGATGGCTCGTGATGAATGGATACGGATGGAGAGCATTGAAGTGTTAACTGATGGGAAGTGGGATGGTCGGGGGGCGTGTGAAGCCAATTCTTGCCCCTCGCATGTCGTTCAAGACGTCCATGGTATTCCACATGAGTTACATCCAATCTACTAACAGCGAACAACACGGACGTAACATGCTTCACGATAATTGTTCTGTTCTCCGGGATCACGTGAATGAAGAGAGTCAACCCTGAATGTACCTGACCTGACAAGGCTGTTGCGCCAGGGTACAGAAGCAATGCAACGTCATGGTTAACTGTTCCAATGTACGTCAGAGCATTCGTCCATCATCCATCAGCCAAGCCAAATCCTCGCTACAATGCGACAAAGGCCAACACCACAATAGTGGGGGAGAGAGTCAGGGAGTGGGAAGCAATGAGCGCGTCACGAAACGTGAGGCGTCATTTAGCGAAGGGAAAACCGGATTGCTGTGGCGCATGCCCGCCTTTTGGAACTCTCCCATCCACAAAACACTCCCTCCACAGCCAACCAGCAGGCGGATGGGATGTGGCGCCGCTCTCTCCAAGGACACATGCCTGCTCGCTTTTCTCACATGTTGCTTCCCCATTCGGACGTTTTGTGGGCGGGCAGTGAGGCAGGCACGAGCAGGCACAGGTAGGCATGCGCTCATCGGCGCGTCATTGCTCTCGTCTCATGACTGGGAAGTCGCGTTGCTACCACGTAACCCGTGCTTCCCTCTGCTTATAAGAATCTCTCTTCCTCTTAGAACTCTTCCTTTCCCTTCACCCGACTCTCATCAAACCACATACCAACTCCATCAACCAAACAACCACCAAACAACCACAGCAATCATGACTGATACCGGACGCAAGGGTGTTGGCGACAGTACGTTGCCTTCCCTCCTCTCACCTCACTGCCACTTCACTTGATGCTGACCATCTACTGCAGAGGTGGGCGATAAGATGACCCCCGACAGCCAAAAGTCCACCCTGGACAAGGCAAAGGACACCGTCACCGGCGCCGGAGACAAAGCCCAGCGGTTTGCCTCACCACCCTCTCTCCCCATCTGCTTCACCCACTGACACTGCATCCCAGCGACGTCATCCCTGACAGCCAAAAGTCGACCAGCCAGTCGATGCAGGACAAGGCATCGCGCGAGAAGGACTCTTCTCACGGCAGCAGCGGCGGCCACGAGTCGGTGCTCGACAAGGCCAAGGATGCCGTGGGCATGAACAAGAACCACTAGCTGTCGCCATGGCGCATCTGCCCATCGTCTCACTCACGTGATTCACCACGGCGAGATGATGGGGCCAATGGTTCGGTAACGATGACTATGATATCAAACGGTCTCATCAACCTCAATTCAAGCTCGTAGGAGCACGTCACCTGCATTGCACTGTTTATTTCTCTTGTCATTGAATTTGTTGACCATGAGTCATGCCGGGCTGTCGAGTGTTACTTGCAGCAATCACCACTGCAAACCATTGCGAATCTTCATGTACATCCATCGGCACCACATCCGGTGTTAACTTCAATGATCCAGGGTCCAGATGTAACTGGTACATTTCAAGCGTGTGGAAAGACCAAACCCCAGATCCGAAGTCGGAGTCGTCACTCATCCTTCTGCGGGGTGATGATCGATTACCTAGGATAAATCAACATCACAACGAGAGTGGCGACATTGCCCATTCCATTCTCAACTACCATTTAACCATCACATCTATCAATCGTCTCAATACACATTTCACTCCATTCTACTCCACTGTTCCCCCACCGCCCACCATGGCCCCCCAAGCAATCGAAACGCGCACCCGCCCCGTCGACCAACTGACGGGCGAAGAACGACACAAACAACTCAAGTCCTCCATCGGCGACCGCCCGCTCGACCGCTTCGTCTACGGCGCGCACCCCATCAGCGGCAACCAAGTCGATCCCGTCAAGCAGATCCGCATGCCCACCTTCTCCGAGCTGCTGGACGAGCGGAATTTCCGCAAGATGCATATGGCTGCTTGCCTAAGGTGGTTGGGCGTGAATGTGAGTGTCTATCCCGGCATCCATCTGATGTGTTGTACCGTGCTGATGGTGAGCGTAGGGCTACAACAATGAAGGCGCTGGCGGGCATGTGACTGTTCGCGACCCCATCAAACCGCACCTCTTCTGGATCAATCCCTTCGCGCGCTCCTTCTCCCACATGAAGCCCGAGGACCTATGTCTCGTGGACGAGGATGGAATCGTGCAGCCCGAGGGCAACATGCACGCCATCAACCCCGCCGGCTTCGCCATCCACGCCGCCGTCCACAAGGCTAGACCGGATGTCATCTCCGCCGTGCATTGCCATTCCATCCCTACCAAAGCCTTTTCCGCGCTCGGGGCGAGACTTGAGCCGATTAACCAGGATGCCTGTCGGTACGTCGTCCCTCCCCCTTCAGCATGGTAGGAATCCAATCCAACTAACAGCCCCAAGCTTCTACGAAGACCACGCCATCTACGACAACTTCGGCGGCATCGTGCTCGCGCACGAAGAAGGGCGCAAAATCGCCTCCGCCCTGGGGCGCAACAAAGCCGTCATCCTGCAGAACCACGGCATCCTGACTGTCGGCAAAACCGTCGACGCCGCCACGTACCTCTTTGGCGCCATGGATCGCTGCATCGAGGCGCAGCTGCAGGCTGATGCCGCTGCTGCGGGTCGCGGGACGAAGACGATTAAGATTTCGCATGAGGAGGCGGTGTATACGCGGAGGGTGTATACGGATGAGATGGAGTATGTTATGTTCCAGTCTTGGTGAGTCGTCGCTTCTGGTTCAGTTTGTGGAATGTTGGGGATATTTGCTGACGTCTTCAAAGCTTCGAGGACATGGTGAAGGCTTCGCATGGCGAGCTGTCCATGTTGACGGGAGGGGAGAGAAATGGGTTCGACAAGTTCCCAAGGGATTGGTGATGTGGTCTTTACCCCCCGCAAACTACGTAAAAAAGTCGCCCAACATCGCTATTCAAACTGCTCCATCTTCAAACTCGCACCCACCCTGAGGAAATGCGCGCATCAATTCGCGCCCGTGGATGCTCCCGCGCCATCGGGATTAGCTGCACCTGCCCCTGCCGCCGCGTTGCGATTCGCTCCGTTCCCAGTAGCCTCCGACACGCTGTGCGCATGTGCTCCACTAGGCGAGCCACCGCTCGCAGCGACCGCTCCCGCGTCACCGTTCGGATTGTCGAGCGTCTGGGATTCGGTCTGCGAGGTATCCGCGTTGTCGCCCGCGTTGGCCGGTGCAGGCTGCGCATTGGCAGCGGTTGCAGCCGTTTGCCCGGACGACTCGGCCGGCGGGCTACCATTCTCGCTGCTAGCGCCACTTGCTGTCGCCTGGCCTACGGCCATTGTGACGGTCATGTTCGTTTCCATGGGGCCAGTAAGCGGCGTATCCGTTTCTTGACCCATAGTAAGGCTGTCTGCCTGATCGCCGTTCGCATCCGTGGCCGACGCCTCCGCTAGAGACTCCGACTCGGACACAGGCCCAAGAGGCGTATCCATAGTCTTGGACTGGGCGTCCGAGTTCGCCACGGACTCGGCGTCCGTGGCGTTGGGGTTGGTGATTCCTGCTGCCGCACTTGAGCTCGAGTCCGAGGGGTTGGCGCCGGTGTCGCCGGCTGAGCCTGTGCCGGACGCAGCTGATGACGCTGTCTTTCCATGGTCGCTGCAGGCGGAGGAGTTGCTTTCGTCTTGCGCTGCGCCAGGGCTGGTGACTTCGTCGGTCGCTTGATTCGCTTGGGTTGTCCCTTCCGATGCTCCGGAGCCAGCGGCTTCGCTTTCGTCCCCGGGCTCGGCGGTGCCGGGTGTGAGCCCTGCGGCTGAGATGGGTTCGGCGACGCAGTTGACTAGCGTGGGTTGCGGCGTAGGGGTCGAGGCCGACGTTGGCGTGACGGCGGTGGTGCGGGCGGGGAGTATATCAGGGATAGGCGCGGCGGAGATAAAAGTGCCTGCAAGAGCGAGCAAGATGGAGTAGGAAGTAAGCTTCATGGCGAAGGGATTGCCAGGTAAACGAGTGTGTGAAATGGGGGCAATGTGAACGAGAGAAACTGCACCGAAGAAGAAAGAACAGGAGCCCCCCTAGGCAGACCTACGTAGGTATAAGAATACACTTTTCAAACCGTTGCGAGCGCAATGTGCCGATCGAACTAGCTGCAACAATCCTGATCCAAAGCCACGCACGTTGGATGTGCAATCACAGCAAGGGTGCGGTGCTTGTCTTGAAGCAATGGCTTTCCGCGGAGCAACCAAACGTGGGGAGAACGCGATTGGTTTAGGCGGAGTATTTAGATCAGGATCGACAGCGCTATCGGAATTTTGCTCGAATCTTTAATCGTTTCTTCCCCTTCCGAATGCATTAGAGATGACGGGATGGCCAGTTTCCGTGGCGAGCATGCATGGGAATACGGAAAGGGGAAAGGCTGCGTCGGGGTAAAACGGTATTTGAATCAACGTTTTTGAAACACGCAACTACTCCTGCTCTACTCTGCTCGATCCTCGGATATCCAGGCTGCCACACCAAGCGCATAGACATGACACGCCCACGCCCAGCTCGATCAATCAATCACCAATGACTTCCCACATCCTCAGACTTGACCATTGACGGCATTACCCTGCTGCTGCTGCTGCGGAGTCGGTGGCGGCTGCCCAATTCCATTGACAGGCGTTTGTGACTGGCCCCCATAACTCCCCGGCGTCGCCACCCTCTCCAACCCAGCCTGCTGGCCCCCAAGCGGCGGAGGCTGAAACTGCTGCTGCGCCCTCGGCACAGGCGAAGGCTGCAACGGCGGCTGGTAATTCGCGGGTTTCAAGGGCGAGGCGGTGCGGTTGTAGGGGCTGCCCTGTTGGCCTTGGGAGTTGGATTGATATGCTACCGCGTTGTGCGCGGCGGAGTAGGAGCGTTGCTGGAATTGGGCGAGGGGTTGGGAGGAGGTGGAGGTGGGGTAGCTGGGTCGTGATTGTTGTTGTTGTTGTTGATGCTGAGGAATGCCGGGTGTGGTGGCTGACGGATACTGGGCGCCGTATTTGCCGTACATGGATGGTGTTTGCGCGAGTTGACGACCGCCGTAGTACATTTTGCCGCCGTTGGGCTGGTTGTAGCCGGACTGTTGCGCGGTGTACGTGTTCGACTGGCTGTATGCTGGCTTTGGGGCGGATGCGGTCGGGGTGCCGTACGATTGCTGGTTGCTGAGTGATCGGTTGTATTGCGGCTGAGACATGGGAGTCCTGCCATACTGCACCGACTGCCCATAACGAGTATTGGCTGCTTGCCCGATTGCAGGCGTGCGCTGGTTTGTACTGCTGTAGTGCTGGTTGGCGGAACCCGGTCGGGTGAGGGCGGCGATGCCGTGAGCGGTGGCCGCTGCGGTGTACTTGGCCAGCCGCGCCACTTGGTCTTCTTCCAAGGTCCCTTGCACATTCCTCCCTTCTAGAGTGACCAGTTGGCGTACTCCGAGGTCGTCTAACTGATCCCCGTTCAACTTGGCCACCGCGTATGGAGGCAGCTTCAAGATAAGATATGCAAGCTCGCGACGAAGGGCGTGATATGTCGAAATCTCCTCGTCGCTTGGAGAGTCGGGACGACCGATGCGCAACGCAAGAGATGTGGCAGGACTGACGGGAGTTCGAGTTGTCGAGGATGAAGGCTGCAGCGAAGCATTGCGGAGACGTTGGTGCGAAGCCAGGGTTTCGAGGAGCTCAGAAATGTGGTCCAGGACTTGATCGACGTCAGCCTTGTCGCGAGCCGAGTCGGCCTCGGGCAGTTCCTCGTCGAATCCGTCGTATTGTTCCACGACTGCGGCGAAGTCGTCGTCCTGCTCCTCTGGCAGTGGTTGTGGCGGAGCGATGACAAGCCCATCCGCAAGTGCCGGATCCAAAGCGAACGTTTCTTGATATTTCTTCTGACCAATTTTGTGCCACCACACCATGCTCTTGACCTCCTCCGGCACGAGCGCTTTGCTGTTGTCACACGATGGGGCGAAGCTTGAATAAGCCTTCCAAAACAAGGCCTCTTCTTCTTTAGCCAATGCGTCCTCTTGGGCCGCTTTGCTGGGAGGCGGCGCTGAGCCTTGCCCGCTACTCAATGCTCGATCCCGCTGTTTGCGCTTCTCTCGCGGCGACGTCACCTCGTCTTTGGAGTCAGGGCCTCCGTAATCCAGCCATTCGCCGACCGCCAGACTTTGCACAGTATATCCGCCCTTCTTATTCCTCGCGGACAGCGGATTCTGAAACTCCCACTTCACCACCTCATCGCGAGCAGCCGAGCGCCGATGCGCCTTTGGAGGGTTGAGGGCAGGGAGGCTGTAAGGAGGTGGGAAAGCTTCCTCGAACGTCGGACCCTTCTTGCCAATGTTGGCTGGCACAGACATGATCTGCGTGGCTGAAATGCCGGCGGGCAGGCTCATTTCCTCCACGGGCAACTCGATTTTGATTGAAGTGTCCGCCTTGCCCGGCGGTGCGGTCTGCATGGAGGAGAAGAGTTGTTTCGGGGTCGGTGCATTGCCGAAAAGCGTGAGAACCGAGCCGTACCTCGCCGCAGCTCCAGCCGCAGTATTGTTACTAGGCGGATGACCATTAGGCGCATTTCCGTTCTCCTTCTTGGGCTGCGAATCACGCTCTTCGTGCATCGCATTGTATCGAGTCTCCTGTTCGACAACATTCTTGACGAACTGCTCGAAGGCTTGCGCGCGTTGGATCTGCTTCAGATCATCGACGAGAAGACTTCCACTCTTGTCGTCGCGCTCTTTCGCCCTCGACCGGATGACTGAAGTCAGATTGGCGGCAACGTGTTCCGCATCGGATCGTAGCGCTTGCAGCGATGTGTAGGAGCCACTCGATAGTTTGGAGGCGATGGTGTTGTTGCTGTCGGGATCGGAGAGGCGTGCTTTCTTCGGGGATCGCTCGCTTGTCGCGCTGCTGCTATCGAGAGCATGATTGAGGAAGGAGGGGGACGTATCACGCCTGTGCATCGTCAGCTATGGTGCGCAGGAGACATTGGGATAAGTGGTCACACACGGTGTCAAGATGTCGAGGATATCTTTCTGAGCATTCACGCTTCGAGAGGCGCGCGAGTCGAGGGTGGCAGATGCACGTGCATCTTCGTCGCGTTTGCGCTTCTTGTCTGCGGGGTTTGGCGACGTCTTGTCCCCCATGGCGACGTCGGGCGGCGTGCGGGTGCCATTCGCGGAGGCCATGTCGTCCGCGCTGCGACTCCCGAACTCTTTTTTTCGAGCGCAGAACGCGACCCTGCGCGCCCGCTGGCTGCTCGGGAAAGTCCCACGTCAAGCCCGCGAAAAAGGCAGACACTGTTGAGCAAAACCCAGCCAAAAAAACTGCACGCGCGTTTGAGGAGACTGCCGTGCAGAAAACAGAGAGGCAGAGACGGGGGAAGATGGGGAGGAGGAGGCGTGAGGAGAGGGATGGCGTTCGCGGACAACTCCACTCCCTCCCATCCATCGCCTCCAGCCCGTCCACCGCGAATTGTCCTCGGCCAAAAGTCTTGGCCGCAACAATTTTTGTCATCACCAACCAATACATTCACTGGACATTTCAAGACATATGGGATAGGTATGATTGAGACGTATTACAATACCCAAGTCACATGTGGTCATCTAGCAATTCATTCTGCTCCTACCACGCCACCAACCATCCGTCTGCCATCGGGCATGACCCTCGTTGAGCATCCTTTCGAGCAAAGTGTCTGGGTAACTCAGGATGCCGTGGCAGTGATCAATCCAACCAATCTTCTGCATGTCGAGCATAAAGTGTCGTGAGGCGTGTACTCCGTTTTGTGAATCGTTGGGCTCGCTCGGAATGGTGTCGACCGCCCTGCCTGCCAGGCCTGCGTGTCGTTCTCTTGTCGGCAAGAGTCCAGCGATATTGCTCGGTGTTGACAGTCAAGCCAGATGCGTCTCAATCTCAAGCATCGTAGCCAGTCCAGTCAAGTCGCGACCCCACTCTCCCCCGTTGCATCGACCATTTCACTCTCAACCACTCCCTCTCGTTTGCCATCACCGGCACCCAGCCCGCCAGCGGCATCGGCTTCCTTCTGGCTGTAGGGCTCCTCCTTCAACAGTCTTAGACGCCGCTTGTGACGGCTGCCCTTGACGTGCCTGGTCAAGTTGGTCTCGGATTCAAACCACTTCGCACACTCCACGCAATACCATTCGCCAAAAGCGGGGAGATCTTCAGGCGCTTTGGTGTCGAAGTACTGCTGGAGATGCTTCTTGGACGCCACGTCCGCGTGGATCTGGTCGAGATCGCGAGTGTAGCGGCGAGTCTTCTTCTTCGATTTGGCTCCACGAATCGCCGGCATGATGGGCAGCGTGGTCGGGGGGTGTGTGTCCGATTTCGCTGATTCCTGCGTGCTCAGGTCGTCCAGTCAAGGCGCTCGTTCCTTCCTGAAGCGGATACACAAGGTCTGGAGACCTTCAAGTTTTCATCTCCGAGATCGCCCGGCACAAAAATTGGAGGTGTCTGCAGGTCAAAAAATTCCCAAAGCGGATGTCAAAGCTCGTGACGTGGGATGCCAAAAGTCGTGGCTGCCGCAGCCCCGGCCAGCTCATGCACGCGAAGGAGGAAGATAAGAAGCGCGAGATCGCTCATCAACATCCTCGTGGTGCTTGCTCGGATACGATTGTTGTGCAGCTTCACCTCCCCTCCTGTCCTCCTTCGCAGTACTGCAACTCCTCCCCGTCCAGCCTTGCACGCTCGTGGTCGAAGCCGACCCTCGGTAATACCGCTATCGCTATTGGCCGAGAGGACCCGGTCCAAGCTCACCACAGCTCCCGAACCTGACGTTCAACTTTGTTTCTTCTCGCCAGCTCCACCAAACATCCTCTCCCCTCCACTCCCCTCCCCTTCCCGTACGCTTCCACCCCTTCCTACGAGGCTTCATCGCCAGGTTTGCCGCTGGTCCCATCCTTCGCCTGATCCGAACGACACTCTCCAATCGGCAGCACAGCAGTCTTCGTCAAGATGCTGTCTGCACGTGCAATGGCGGCTCGGCAGCTGGTATGTGCTCTCGGTGCTCCTCGAGTACCCCCGACCCATTGCCCATCCAATCGCGGATGTCGAGGAATGTGTAGCTGACAGCTTGACAATAGCCGAACATGCTCGCCCGCCGCGGCATGGCCTCCGTGCAAGACAGCCCGCTCTCCAAAAAGGTGGAAATGACCAACTGGGAGAAGGGCCATTACATCGACTACCAGACCATGTACGAGAAGCTCGGCATCGTGCGCAAGCGCCTCAATCGCCCCCTCACCTACGCCGAGAAGATCCTCTACTCCCATCTCGACGATCCCCACAACCAGGACATTGAGCGCGGCAAGAGCTATCTCAAGCTCCGCCCGGATCGCGTGGCTTGTCAGGATGCCACGGCTCAGATGGCCATCCTGCAGTTCATGAGCGCCGGCATGCCCGCCGTCGCCACTCCCACAACCGTCCATTGCGACCATCTTATCGAGGCGCAGATTGGCGGTGAGAAGGACTTGGAGCGAGCGCAGCAGATCAACAAGGAGGTCTACGATTTCTTGAGCACCTCTTGCGCCAAGTACGACATTGGTTTCTGGAAGCCCGGATCCGGCATCATCCATCAGATTGTCTTGGAGAACTACGCTTTCCCCGGTGGTCTGATGATTGGCACCGACTCGCATACTCCCAATGCCGGTGGTCTCGGAATGGTCGCCGTCGGTGTTGGTGGCGCTGATGCTGTCGATGTCATGGCCAACCTTCCGTGGGAGGTCAAGGCGCCCAAGATCATTGGTGTCAAGCTCACGGGCAAGATGAGCGGGTGGACTGCACCAAAGGGTGGGTTGTCATGCTATCCCTCTCTAGCTACAAAGCCGCTAACGGTTGCTTAGATATCATTCTCAAGGTCGCCGGCATCCTCACCGTCAAGGGTGGAACTGGAGCGTAAGTCAGATGAGCATTCACCGTAAACCGCTCCCATACTGACGTTGTGGGACCAGCATCGTCGAATACCATGGCCCTGGCGCACAAAACATCAGCTGCACGGGTATGGGAACTATTTGCAACATGGGGTTCGTACTTTTCCTCGCCTATCGTGTTGGACGGCAGCTCACATACCTCACAGTGCCGAAATTGGTGCCACCACTTCATTGTTCACCTTCAACGAGCGCATGGCAGAGTACCTCGCCGCCACCAAACGCGCTCCGATTGGCGATTTCGCCCGTGCCTATCAACAAGAATTGAAGGAGGACGAAGGCTGCGAATACGATGAGCTCATCGAGATCGACCTCAACACCCTCGAGCCGCACATCAACGGTCCATTCACCCCGGATCTTGCCACGCCCATCAGCAAGTTCAAGGAGGCGGTCAAGACCAACAAGTGGCCGGAAGAGTTGAGAGTCGGCCTGATCGGCTCTTGCACCAACTCCTCCTACGAGGACATGAGCCGCTCTGCCTCCATTGCCCAGGACGCCCTGGACCACGGCATCAAGGCCAAGGCCATCTTCACCGTTACTCCGGGCTCCGAACAGATCAGAGCCACCATCGAGCGTATGTCGAATCTGCCGAGACGGGTTAGCAAAGACTAATGGATTGCGCAGGTGACGGTCAACTCAAGACCCTCGAGGAGATGGGCGGATTGATTCTTGCCAATGCATGCGGTGAGTGCAAGCCTTTCTTATGTTGATCGTTCCTTAAGCTGACAGACATCCAGGCCCCTGTATCGGACAATGGGATCGGTAGGTGTTCATGCGTACATGGCATGAATATTCCATTCGCTAACCTTATCATCTAGTCGCGATGTGAAGAAGGGCGAGCCAAACTCCATCATCTGCTCCTACAACCGCAACTTCACTGGCCGCAACGATGCCAACCCGGCTACTCACTGCTTCGTCACCTCCCCGGACATTGTCGTCGCCATGACACTCGCAGGAACGCTGAACTTCAACCCCCTGACCGACAAGCTAAAGGACAAGGACGGCAACGAGTTCATGCTGAAGGAGCCTACGGGTGATGGTCTTCCCGCCAATGGCTACGATCCCGGCCGTGACACTTACCAAGTCAGCCACTATTACATCATTTGACTGTGACAATGATGCTAATGCTCAAATTTAGGCCCCACCAAAGGAGCGCAGCTCTGTCGAAGTCGCCGTCGATCCCAACTCAGACCGCCTGCAGATCCTGCAGCCGTTCGAGCCTTGGGATGGAAAGGACGCGACTGACATGCCCATCCTGATCAAGACGAAGGGCAAGACCACCACTGACCATATCTCCAGTAAGTTTTGTCGGAATATAATGCACCCAGAATCTTGCTGACATTTGTTATAGTGGCTGGGCCCTGGCTCAAGTGAGCATCTCCAAACAAATCTCATGCTATCCATGTATATGCTGACGAATGACAGATACCGTGGCCACTTGGACAACATCTCCAACAACATGCTGATCGGTGCGATCAACAGCGCAAACGGCGAGGCCAACAAGATCAAGAACCAGACCACCGGTGAGACCGATGCCGTGCCCAACACCGCCCGCGACTACAAGAAGAAAGGCATCAAGTGGGTTGTCGTTGGCGACTGGAACTACGGCGAGGGCTCCTCGCGTGAACACGCTGCCCTTGAACCCCGCCATCTCGGCGGCTTGGCCATCATCACCCGCTCTTTCGCCCGTATCCACGAGACCAACTTGAAGAAGCAGGGTCTCTTGCCCTTGACCTTCTCCAACCCCGACGACTACGACAAGATCCAGCCGGACGACAAGGTCGACTTGATGTGCACGGAGCTGGCCGTTGGCAAGCCCATGACCATGAAGGTCCACCCGGCTGACGGCAGCAAGGCCTTCGACGTCAAGCTCGAGCACACTTACAACCAGGATCAGATCAAGTGGTTCGAGGCTGGCAGTGCTTTGAACAAGATGGCCAAGGATGCTGGTGCGAGGTAAGCAGTCGAAGTGGAGTTGCGGAGGATGAAGCAGAAGAATGGAGGGCGTGGGTGGGAATGTGTACATTTGCATGAGTTACTTTGATCGGCACGTATCTAGTCTGGATGAAATTAAAGGCGTTGCAACTGAATGCTTCTCGTCTCTTGCGTGCATTGATTGTACGGGCGAGCCTCATGCAATGGTAGTCAAAAGTCTTGGCATAACGGGAGCGGCCGCCGCTAGCGACCGCCGCACATTCGGAATTTGGCTTCACGACGACTTCACAGCAACAAGCCCCAACCTTTCTGCATTTCTCAGAGCCTTCTAAACAGCCAGAGACATTCACAATGGCCAGTACGTGAAGTATTCTCGAATGAGTATCTGTCGCGCGCTAACAAAGGCCAGAATCCAAGAACTCGTCGCAGCACAACCAGTCCAAGAAGGCGCACAGGAACGGGTACGAAAATCTCCTCCCCATTCTCCCAACGAGCACGAGACGCACCATCATGACGACAAGAGACGGCGGAAGAATGCGGTGAATAACAAGGAGCAAGTTACTGATGGCCTGTGTGTTTGTGTAGGATCAAGAAGCCCAAGACCAACCGCTACCCTTCGCTCAAAGGCTCGGATCCCAAGTTCCGGAGAAACCACAGACATGCGCTGCACGGCACGATGAGGGCCTTGGTATGAGACGGATCCCTTCGTCAAGATCTGGTTCCGGCTGGAAGTGCTAACTTTTTGCGCAGAAAGAGGCGAAGGAGGGCAAGCGTGATGTGGTATGAGCGTGGATTGGTGGAGGTGGAGCAGCATGCGGTCGATGGAATGCCGGGAGCTTCTTCCCTGGCATCGGATCTTCTCTGAGCAGGCCGGCAGGTAGCTGAGAGAACGAGAGGAAAGTTGCAAAACTACACTGCTGGAGTTTCCTTTCAGTCCCTTCCTTTTCCCTCTCTGCGATCTAAGAACGAACCACGGCATTGTGTGTACAGCGCCTCGCCTCCCATGCGAGGATGTCTGAAGGAATATTCTGAAACGTGCCAAGATCAAGACGGGTTCTGCCTGTCTGCCTTCTCATTACCAAACACTGGCGCTTCGCTCTGTGAGCTCCGGTGCATGAAGAGGTGGTAACATCCATACCTCCCTCACCGAGTGATATTCACTTTTCGGTGTTGCGACGGCTTAGGCCGGAGAAGCCGTGCATTTTCACTTGTAGGTTTGCGAGGCAGGTGCGAACCGTAGGTCGTTTCGTTTGCATCGTGCCTTCCTTGTGTATCTCGGCCTCGGTGCCTTCCTCTCATTCACAACCCGACGTCACCTGCTTTTCAGTTTCGCCCATCTTACTCCAACCTTGTCTCTTGGGGCTTGTGCTCGCGATCAAAATTCCTCGTTGAGCACAGATGAGTTCCCCAACTCGACGCACCCAGAGCACCTCGCCGTTTGGCGGAGGGCTACTGAACCCGCGGAGGGAACCATGGATGCTATCGCCGCCCAACCCAGACGTAGATGGCCTCATCGACGCGATCATGACGAGGCTGATGGCCAACCCGAACGACGGCCTTGGCCCTCGCTTCAACACGCAACTCCTGCAGATCTTCGAAGGCTTCCGCCATCTCCATGACGAAAAGTATCAATTGCAGACGGACGTTCAGCAGGAGGCCGAACGTCGCGCTGCCGTGGAGCGCGCCATGTGTGAGTCTGCGGAGCAGTGGGAGGTGGAAAGGCAGGAGTTCAAGGCGGAGGTGAAGAGGTTGGAGCTCATTCTTGCAAAGGGCGAGCGCGGCTTGGCCGAGGTCACTCTTGCTCGGCAAGACAGTGTGTTGCGTCGGGGACGTGGGCGTAAGGACAGGAATCGGGATACGACTTTGGAAGCTGTCTTTGAGTTTCTCGAGCGATCGCGGCGATACGAAGAGCATTTGTGGCATTCACAGCGAGGTGAGTCGGACGCATATGTCCCTTTGCACACGGAGCTGATCAGAGCCGTAGCGACGATGAAGAAGAGACCCGCGTCTCCTTCCGCAGAAATGAGACGTCTATCAACGCGCATGACCCTTGCATCATCCAATTCCAACCTCCACCTCAACTTCGCTGTAGGCACGCCGCGAGACGTGTCAATTCTGGAGCAGCGAACGCAGCATTCCCCGGCCAGAAAGAGCAGCGCCGCCCTTCCCGAGTATCCCCCAATGCAACCAGTGCCCAGCTCGTATCGAACCGAGAACGACATCAGCCTCTCCAATGCCAGTGTCTCGGCTTTCAGCTGCGATGGTGACCTGTTGCCCGACGAGACCTCCGACTTGAGTCTCATTCAAGCTGCAGGAACGGACAATGATTTGGTGGCGATGAGTCGTATCGCGCAGATTCTCGCGAAGCGCCGCAAGGTTGATCCAGATGCGATCATGGACAAGCTCACCAAACTCTTCAACGATGAGCCCCTGGACAGCGAGGGTGTAGGCGAGATTCAACGTTATGGTAAGAGAGCTTGACACCCAATCTGCTGTTGTTGAGACTGCAAACTGATTATAGATCTCCTTAGGCACACCTCGTCCCTCACGCGCAGCGACTACTGTAATCAGACGAGCGACCGGCGAGCCAAGCTTAGTGAAGCAGCCTACATTAAAATCGAAAGCATCCAGCTTCTTCTCGAGATGGAAGCCGCAGCTTCACATCGACACCGCATCCCCTTCAAAACGCCGGTTCTCCTTCGAGCCCGGCGACGACATTGACGCCAGTTTGAGCGCACCTGCGTTGGAAGCCTCACCTGCCTCGACTACCCAAGGACGTGTGCTTCGCAAAAGCGCGTCTACCTCTGTACTGTTGGGTGGCGGATCTATCGACGATGCACAGATTGAAGCTTCCTTACCTCCCCTTGCCCAGAGTCCGACAACAGTTGTATCGTCCGATGAGTCTCGAAAACCATCGAGGATCCCCACTCCCGTGTACAGCTCAGCATCACTTGCACAACCACGAGCGGAGCGCGACAGCTCGCAGTCCAGCTTGCTCACCGCCATCAAGCATACAAGCCAGCTGTCTCAGAGAAGCGAGTCGTCATCATCTTCAAGCTCGGATGCGAGCCCCGCCGCACATACCCACAGCGAGATAGCGAGAGCGGTGGGGGGTCTGGGGATCAGGCAGAGCCCAGCGGGGAGGAGTGTATCAAGCAATCAGCTGCTCGAGCATACGAATCTGCTGCGAGGCAACGCGTTTGCTGCAGCGGCTGCGCGAGCCGCCACCTCTGCCAGCGCCACAGTGAATGGAGACGATGGCAAGCCAAACGGGACATATCATGCACGAATGCGCGGACGCCGCGGGGACGCATCATCGCAGTCTAGAACGTCACGGTACTACCGAGACCTGCTGACCATGTACCCTCAGTCGCGGGGAGAAAACGACGATCCAATGGGAGGTGCAGACAGGAATGCGACATTGTGAGGGATCACAGTCCACGCAATCCGCATTACGTCTCGCGGGCATGTGGTCGATGTTTCAGACGAGCTTCTTTGTGCCTACACCGAAAACATCCACGTGCGATGCTTGCCACTCGTTACCTTGGCTGTTCATCAGCATCGACTTGCATTAGTGTCTCCCTGAGGATACGTCAGGTGCGTGGCTTGGTAACGAGCGGCGGGAGAGCACCGAGTGACCAGATCACACGTCGAAGTCGATGTACGGAAGGCACAGGTCCGTTACTTGGTGACGGCATACTGGCGATCAATGTGCTGCGGTGAAGTTGGGCAGCCGCGGCCTGTCATGGGATCATTCTATTCTGAGGCTACATTCGCCAATCAGAGCACGATGCAGCATCCGTGGACCGTGAGCGGTGGACATGGGCGGCACGAGTCAATCGGCAAAAGTATGTGAAAGTGCACAATGTTATCGACAGGGATGGGGTAATATGTGGCCTGGCTAGGCGTTTCAAACACTTTCATACACTCGCGGCAGTTTTTTTTTAGCGCACCCTGCGTCGCATTGCCACGTCTTGCGCCTTTACAAAGAAGCTCACAATCGGTCGGCATCGAGACTTCGGAGCACGTTCTCATCGCCGAGGGTATTGTTGGGCATGGCGAGGCGAGCAGCGCAAGGCCAGTCAATCCCGCGTAGTGTCGGAGAATCGCGTCCAATTTCGAATTGAGTTTCCCGCCGTTGGGAAGCGTAACATGACGGCAGTTGACGCAAGGCAATGTGGCTGATGCCCGATGACACCACCCATCACGGTCAGAACGACGACAGCAGTGGAGGGGCGCGAGATGGATGTGCAGCACCATTACCCAGGAGGTGCAAAGATCAGCGGCGACGGCGGCGAGTACTTTTATACGGTTCCATCCGCCGCCGTGGTCTGGACTGCAGAGCTTCTCCTAGTCGGGCTGGTGGCATGCTCTGGTGCGTCTGCTGCGCCACGCGATCGGCGGTCGGCGAGTGAAAGCTTACGCGGGATGCATCTGCGGTAGCTGCCTGGGTAGGAGGCGCGATGATCAATGATGGAATGGAGGTATGACTACTGCAACGTGGAAGAGATCGGCCAAGATGGAATGCAACTGAAATGCGTCAGAGCAACGTGGGAAAAATTTGTAGTCGGCGATGTACACGAGGCGGGATTGCTTGGCGAGCAGCTGAGGACGAGTATAGGCCTCGTATCGATTGTATCGGCCGTAGGTCGGGACACTCGTCCGTCTCGGCACGACTCGGACATCACGACAGAGTATTGAATTTATTACGTGCTGGGCGGGATGGATGGATGGATGGAATGCCATGTCCCGAAGAGATGCAGTTGCCCGATTTCTGATTACCGCTGCAAGATGAAACAGAGGCAGGCACAGTGCAACGACGTCTCATCAATCCGAAACAGCAGACAATCTCCGACATGGCTAGGAGGATGATGGGAAGGAGGGGCGGGTGTGGCTAGTGAGCAACGAGGGCGAGCAAAACGGATAGATAAGCCGAGTGGGGACAGGCAGAGGGCGCGTGCGTGCGTGGCCCCGCCGCCCCGTGCCACACTTGCGTGGGTGGAGCTTGGCGCGCGAGCCACATTCCTTCGCCGATCGTTGCCGCACTCGACACCTGAGGCCCCCACTTGGGCGGGCGTCAGGGTGGAGGACTGTGGCGGTGCAGGTGTGGCGCTCGGCTCGAACTTCGCTCGATTCGCCGATGGCCTCGATTTCCCGCGACACGAGGGGTTGCAGCGAGCAGGTCGAATGGCGCGGCGGGTGTGCTATTACGTGGAGCCACCCAGCATCGATGCGCGCGTGGTGCCAGCGCGCACCCGTCGCCCTCGCCCGTTCGTCGTCTTTCATTTCATCACCAAGCGACCCTCTGCCATTAGCGCGCCAGAGCTGCAGAAACATCCCTGCACCACCACTGCTCACCCTGGTTGTCCTCCGAAGGGCCTCCGCGTGCAGTTTATAGTGCGCCCGGTGCGCCGCATGTGGCTCATCGCTCCCTCGCTCTTCACACTACCCCGTCCGTCCATACCTGACCCTACCTGACCTCTCTACCTGTCTTCCTTCTGCTCCTCCTCCCACACGCCTTTGCTCCTCCTACCTATGGTCGATCTGACGTGACCTCCTCGCCCTTGCGGTGCCGACCATCTCCTTCTATCCCCCTCGCCAACCATGTTTCGCAATCGGTGAGTCTTCTTGCTTGCGCCACAGATCAGCGGTGAGGCTGGGCGCGCGCGCAACAACGGCGGAAGCTTGCCCTCACCACCCACCGCGCATTACTGACCGTCGACCGCAGGAGAAACTCGCAAAAGCCCACCGACGAGCTGCTCAAGACATTCAAGGCCTCCTACTCCCACCTCAACAACACCGCCGGCGGTGACGAAGGCGCCAGCGCGGTGCAGACGGATGGCGCGGCGCTGACCGACGCGATGCACGACTCTCTCAATCCGTCCATGTCTCAGTACGCTCTGCCTCCTTCCCCGTCTCCTCTCCCCGTCTGGCGCTTCGCGCATGGTCATGACAACTTGTTTTTGTCGTCGCCTGCGCCGCTATGCCTCCTCGCTGGAACGAAGACTGATCTCCCTCCCAGACAGAACGAGCCCGCGTCGCATGGCATCAAGGATGGCGATACCACCCCGCGCCCACCTAGCGACATGTGGACTCTGCCTTCTTCTGGTCTGACGCCCTCTCTCATGGACCCCAACAGTCACGCGTTCTCCATGTTTGCCGGCCACGGTTACTACACCCCGACCCCCGGCGGCACCAACACTCTCTTCCACCCCCAGGCTGGCGAGCTGCACACGCCAGGCCTCAGCATGAGCCTCGCAACGCCCCTCTCCCTCCCGACGTCTGAAGGCGCATTGCACGCTGGGCACCAGGCGCCGGAGTTTCACCATGGCTTCCAAAACCACCTCCAGCAGCACCACGTCCAACAACACGACTTCCCTCCCAACGTCAATCCGTACCAGATGCACCATCCTACCAGCTTCCCGCCCCACCAATTCTCCCACCAACACTCCTTCGAACACATGGACGGCACAGGCGCCGACTCGCCGGTGGATGACATGGGCATGGATGTCAATCTCCACAACCAGCACCACTCACCGCACATGATGTTCAACTCACACGCGCTTCTCAACGTCATGCGGCCTCCAAACATGCATGCCTCCGGAGAGAAGTATGTCGATACTGATTCAAAAGATTGCGCGACGAGGCTAACAATGTTCAGATTCCGATATCACGTCACGTTGAATGCGCCGACCGCGATGATCAAGCATCACGACGAAATCCCAATTACATATCTCAACAAGGGTCAGGCCTACACGCTCAATGTCGTCGACACCTCGAACAAACAGCACGCCATGTCGCGTCGCTATCGAACGTACGTGCGTGTGTCGTTCGAGGACGAGCAGCAACGACAGAAACCCGCGGCGTGCTGGCAGCTCTGGAAGGAGGGTCGCGGCACGAACGAGGCCCATCAAAGAGGCGGACGACTGCAAGCGGTCGAGTATGTCGAGTCTGGGCAGAGTGAAGGCGTCGAAGATCCGCGCAAGCCACGCGTCGAGCTCGAAAGCGCGTCGTTCGATGGCTTCTGCGTGCAGTGGACTCCCGCCCCGGGCGCGCTCGACTGCCCCATCTCCGTCCGCTTCAACTTCCTGTCGACCGACTTCTCGCATTCCAAGGGTGTCAAGGGTATACCGGTCCGACTTTGCGCCAAGACGGAAGCCATCGACGAGATGCACGACTCTGCAGCCTCGGGTCCTGAAGTGAGCTACTGCAAAGTGAAGCTCTTCCGCGACCACGGCGCGGAGCGCAAGCTGTCCAACGACGTCGCTCACGTCCGCAAGACCATTGAAAAGCTGCAGGGCCAGATCGCGCAGATCGAAGCGGGCGTCAAAGATGGGAACAAGCGCAAACGCAGCGGATCCATGGCCAAGCTGACCGGCTTGGACCATCGGCCTGCGAAGATCTCCAAGCACCGCAGGACGTGGTCTATTGGTTCTTCACGATCCAACGAAGGCAGGGGCAGTGCGGAAGACGAGCTACACAACAAACTCACCATGCTGCAAGACATGTTCAGCTCCACGCGTCCGGCGAGTGTCCTGCATCTTCGCGGCGCCGAAGAGGACGACCCGGATCTTCATCCCGTCAAGCTTTCCGGAGAGATGCTGGAGCTCTTGAGGAACGACTCCACCGAGACGGCTGACGGTGAAGAGCGGCAGAGCTCGCAAGCCGGCGCCGATTCTAGCATGACTTCGCGCAGTCCCAGCGCAAACTCGGCCAACGAGACCAGCCGGAAAGAGTGGAGGATGCAGCAGCCCGCGGCAATCGCGAGCCTGTCAAGAGACAATTCCAACGACTGGCCTCAACGGGCGCAAACAGCCACCGAGGACATCGACTTGACACCCCCGGCACAGCCCCAACAGATCATCAGCCCATCCAGACAGCAGGCCGTCAGAGTTCAGACTCGGCCGTCGCCCAGCGGCAAGACATCAGGCTGGATCGAAGCACTGGACATGGACCTCGCGTACCAAGCGCCCCCCGATCGCCCCGCCAAACCTGTAGCCTGTTTCTACGTGCAACCGCGCGTGACCGGGCGCAGCACCAACGACCACTTCTACCGCGCCATATACCTCTACCGCCACACCCTCAAAGACTTTGTCAACGCTGTTGCGACGAAGAGCGACATTGAGCCCACGCAGGTCCTGCGCACCGTGCACATGAACCGCTCAGGCATCCCCGTCCTCTTCGACGACCAGTGCATTCGCGAGCTCCCCGAGGGTCAAGATATGACGGCAGAGTTCAGCGAGGCGCACGTCGATGGCTCCTCGCGCCCGAGCCGCGAGTGGAACGCCAGCTCGACGGACGTGCAATGCGACGGGGACCTGTCGGCCACGGAGAACGTGACGACCACCGGCTACGAACTGCGATTACTCTTCTGAGGGAACACATCACGCACTACTCTTGCCTTCTTTTTGCAATCTCTTCACTCTACGAAATCCTTGGACCTTAGACTTTTTTTCACGGCCGTGCGAGTTCAAGTTCACACGACGAACAACAATGAAGCGGTTCGCATACACGTTTTCCACGAAATACTACCACCCCTGCCATCACGACGGCGAAGGGGATGCAGGGATAAGGCGCGCGCGCGGCAAGCATGGATGGTACACACACCCTGGACCTTGATCGATATTAAGGCCCAGGCCTCTTTTGACAAGCAACACCACGGCTCGTCAGTCCTGACTGATTGGAATTTTTCTTTTCCCTTCCTTTTGGAACCAATACCCCAATTTTTTCGCAAAGGGCGGGCGGCGCGATGGACGCAATAGGCGATTTTCCGCGAACTACCCGCTCCCCCATGATCTAAGCAGTCAACGAAGCAATCAATCGAAATTGATGCCCTTACCTTAATTCATCATTGCTACCACCTTCCCATGTTTCACGATGGGCCAGCCAGCCGCGTGCTCCACTTCGCAATCACCGATCCAGTAGAGAGGATCAATTTTCATTGGATGCGCTATTCCCACCCCCATCAACCAGGAAATGCAATGCGAATGCCCACCCCCAAGCCCTTGCGAGCGTTGTGGTAAAAAGAGCAGCTTCAACCGAATGGCGCGGATGCGTTGCTTTCCGCGCGCACCATTCTTATTAGTCTCCTCGTGTTTTTGGTTCCCGTTCTTTGGGCTTGGGAGTTTGCGCCACAGGGTCGTCGGGGGGTCTCATGATGAAACGGGGCGAGGAAAAGACCAACCACTGCCTGCTGTGCTGATTTCATAGTGAAGGCGAGCAACCTACTCTCGTCTCTTGCGCGATATTACGTGCGTTTTCGCACAGCTGCGGCCAGGCCTCTCCTCCCGCGCATTACGCATGCTGCTGCAAGTACTAAGCGCACCATCATCCACTACCGTCGTATGCGCCGGGGCCTCGGCCTCTCGCGCCCACCCGCGCAGTGATTACGAACTCCGCTCACCCCCTCCATCGCCGAACTTCGATCACGAAACCACGGCGCTGACGCGTTGCCACACTCTTGGCCCCCGCCGTCCCCCTTCGCTCAGGCACAAAAGGGCAAAAGATCAACACCCTACCTTCGCCACTTCGATGGCGAGCGCAGGCCACGTGTGAGCGGGCGCCGATCGCCTTGCCTCGAGTTGGAAGGCGAAGCTGCTGATCCGCGGTGCGGAAGCAGTTCGAGCCGGGCGTCGGTGCGTTACCCTGGCTTGCTGCATGTGGCTACTAGTGGCGCGGACTAGTGGCTTGAGAGCGGGGTTGATGTGGCTAGTGGGTGTGGCGCTGTTGATGATTCGCTGGGGGAGGGGAGATTTGAGTTTGATTACGACCCACGTGCAGTTTGCACAGCCACAAGGGCTCGAGAGGGAGGGGTCGGCGGTCTGGCTGGGTCGATGCAGGGTAGGGTCATGGGGCTGCCGTTGCGTGCTTGCTGGGGGTGACTACCTAGCTAGAGCTGCAATCTGCTCTTCTGCTCACTCTTCGATCCACATCTGAGCCGTGACGACGTATGGATCGGCGGCGAGGGCAACGGCTACGGACGTACGCGCCGGGATGCCTCGATGGAGGGCGAGGGTCAGAAGACGGCGGCCGTATTATTGCATCGTCGATGAGGACTCTGCCAAAAATAATGTACCCTTGCCGATCGGTATGTGCGTGATCCTGGCGGTATTGATGGTCTCGATTTGCCGGTGCAGCATGTGACTGGGGTTCGTGGGTGTGTCCAGCTTGCCTCCGCTGGTCTCGGCCGTACCAGCTCACGTCCAGCTCGATGGGAGGACGTCTAGACCGTTTGCCATGTTCATCGACGTTGAAGATGGGGAGCTTCGTTCCGATGGCAGGAAAGCAGAGCGGTTACACATCGGTTTCATCTCCGGCTCGCCTGGTGAGGAGGGGTCGTGATGTCTGGCCTCTTGCTCCACCCTTCGTGCCACCCAAGGCTGTGGACTGCAGCGCAAAAGTGTCTGCTTGCGACAGTCGTACAAGTTGATTGGATTCTGTAAAGACCGCCACTATGCATAGAACTTGAGACATCGATGTTCGTCATGCGTGTCTTTGCACAGAACACTGCAGGTCATGGCGCCGCACTTCATGCACTTTGCCCGGCCGAAGAAGCCACATACTTCGCAAAACCTGCGCGGCGGAGGGGCGTTGGACGGTGGCGGGGCGGATCGCGCTTGGTTGTAGGTGAGTGGTGGTGCTTTGAGGAGCACGTCAAGCTCCGCGTCTGTCGGCAGGGTTGGGATGTCTTGCTGGTCTTCATTTTGTTCGTCAAGACGTGATGCACCAGGCGTGCTGGGCCGCGAGGAGTGGTCCATGGAGCGTCGGGCATTCAGTGATTGAGGAATGGGAGTGCCGCCTGTGCTACTGCCGTCCTCTCCCAGCGTTTTCCGCCGAGCCAGCGGCGTCTTGCTCGGCCGTGGTTGAGCAGCGGGCATCTGCACCTCCAAATCGCCATCTCGCCTTCCCGTCCTCGCAATCTCCGCCTCTTCGTCGTCCAAGTAATGAGCAAACGTCTTGCCCGAAGCCAGAATCTTCTTGGTGTTGGATGTCTTGCCCGCGCGCGATGCCCCGCCGCCAGTGCCCTCCCTCTTGGGAAGCGGGATTTGCACGTCTTTGGAATTGTCGCTGTTGAGCTCTTTGATCTTGCGCTCAATCTCACGCTGCTGGCGAGCGGTGATGGCCTCCTTTTGCGCTTCTGTTTGCCCTCCTCCTTGCGCTCGGGCTCGCTTGCGATTCGCTGTGCCCCAGTTCTTGCTCGAATCGTCTTGCGCCCCCGAGACTGCCACCCACGCGAAGCCTGGAGCTTGGCGTGTGTGGGTGGTGGGAAGTTCTTCGATGTGCGGAGTAGCGAAGCGCAGAGGACCCGTCGCCATCTTTGCGAGGGTAATCTAGGGGAAGAGACGTAGACACACGATCACATGCAGCTCTCCCAGGAACGTGAACTTTTTGGAAGGCGGCAGGTCCGTGCGGGAATCTGGGGAATCGCTTACATAATCGAGAGATCGACCGAAGCTCTCGCCCACTTCTCCCCACCGTTTCAATCCACAATCCCCAAGCCGAGGAAGTGTTGCATCACGACATGCTCCGCTAGACCGATCTTCGACGATAATATTTCCGCAGAGTGTCCGGTACGAAGGCATCTACGCGACAGACAGCTGCCTTCCACGGCTGGCCGTTCACTCCGACATCTGCTCCATGACCCTCCGTTCTGACCTCTCCTACAGACCCCGACACTACACCAATATGGCTGAGAGACAGCGCCGCATGACGCTTCCCAGCACTCCTGGAAGAATAGACCCCATTCACAAACATGCTGTGAAGCCGGTCGAGGATCCTGCACACGGCGCTGCCTTCATCTTCGTCCACGGCTTGGGAGACAACGCGGAGGGGGTGCAGAGTATGTGTCGAACTCCCACTAACAGGATTACGACATGCTGACTGAAGCGTAGACGTCGCCGAGCAGTTCCAGCAAAACCACAAACTCGACTACATGCATTGGATCATCCCGAATGCGAAAGAGAACCGGGATGCAGGAGATACAGCTTGGTAGGGCATCGTCATCTTCCAGCAGAGGACCGGCCATCTGACAGACGACTAGGTACACACCCAACAAACTCGAAGTCCACCCCAGTCGACCCGAGCTCGAAGACGACGAAGACGAGGATGGCATGTTCGAGACGGTCAAATACCTCGAGAGCCTGATTGAGGCGTGCGAGAAGAAGGGCATCCCCTCCAACCGCATCGTCCTCGGCGGCTTCAGCCAAGGGTGTGCGATGAGTCTGTTGACCGACCTGATCAGCAAGCGGTACAGCGGGAGGTTGGCGGGGATTGTGGGCTTGATGGGCTACCTGCCACTGGCAAGAGGGCAACAACTGCAAGATCTCCGCTCCCACGCAGGTCTGCCGCCGGTGGTGGGCGAGGTGCCGGTGTTTATCGCGCGCGGGTTGAAGGATCCTTTGATCCCGACCTCGGTGTGGAAACGGAGTCTGGAGAAGCTGAAGCTCCTGGGCCTGAACGAGGAGGCCATGGAGGTGCACGAATATGAGGGCCTGGGCCACACGTTGCATGGCAAGCTTTTGCAGGACATGTGCAACTGGTTAGAGCGAGTCGTGCCCAAGTTAGAAGACTGATAGCCCGGGGGGAGCTCAAGCCGCATCAACTCGGCAGTGGAAAGAGAATCCGGCAAATTCTATCCACATCTTGAAACAATCTCTCTTTTTCAAGCCTGTTGTGACTACCATGAGATCTTGTTGAATTTTTACCGTTGATGATTCGAATGTCAGACCGAGAGCCTTGCGAAAGCCAATGGCTCTCGCCAAGCCTTGCACTTCACTTCACCTCCAGCTCTGCCAATGACTCGACCAACAGCCGACAGTATGCGCCAGTAGCACCGTCGATCAACATGACTCACGAGACACTCCCAAAGACATAAAACGACGACGACAATAACCATGCCATCAACACCGGATCCCATTGCACCAACATCGCCAAAATGACAACAACGGAAAAGACCTTCTTCAAATTCACCGCGGAGCAAGCAGCCGCCTACGCCTCCGGCCGCGGCGGCAGCTACCCCCTCCCCCTCTACGAGCGCCTCCTGAACTACCACCAAGGCGCGCGCAACCTCATCCTAGACGTCGGCACCGGGCCCGGCAAAGTCCTCTTCGACCTGCTCCCGCACTTCGCCTCCGGAATCGGCACAGACAGCTCCCCAGGCATGATCGCGCAGGCGCAACACGACGCCGCAGCGCGCGGGCTCGCGGACAAAGCGCGTTTCCAAGTCTACAGCGGGGAAGAAAGCGACAAAGCCGTCGTCCCGCCCGAAGCAGCAGACGTAATCACCGTCGCCATGGCGGCGCACTGGATCGACATGCCCACCTTCTACACCGCGGCGGCGCGCGCGCTTCGCCCAGGCGGCACGCTGGCCATGTGGACGTGCTCGTCGTACTACGTGCATCCCTCCGAGGCGAACGCGAGTCTCATCCAGGCCGCGCTGTACGATTTGGAGGACGGGATGTTGGCGCCGTATCGCCATGCGGGCAACGTGTTGACGCGCAATGCGTATGATGCGCTCCCGCTTCCGTGGACGATTGAAGGCTTTGAATCGGCTTTTGAGAAGGCGTCGTTTGAGCGGAGGGATTGGGACCGCGGCGGGGTGCCGTCTGCGGCTGCGCAGGCGGATGGCTCGCCCGGCCCGTTTCTGAAGCATGAGGAGGAGAAGCTGGTGGATCTCGAGGCTGGACTAGGCTCGGCGAGTATGGTTGTGCGGTGGCGGGAGGCGAATCCCGACAAGGCGTTGACCGATGAGGATCCGGTGGTGGTTACTATGAAGCGGCTGAGGGAGCTGGCTGGGGGCCGGGAGGGATTGGTCTTGAGCCCGAGTTATTCTTTGTTGTTGATGCGGACGCGGCGACCGTGAGGGTTCATCTACAAGACACGGATAGAGATAGACAGGGCGATGTGGGGAGTCGTCGACGAGAAGAAGTCGGTCAAAGTTTATCCCAAACAAATGCCGCTCAATGCAATGCAAGCATAACCCTCCTTCCACCCATCCTCACCAATCCATCCACGTCCAGATAGAGAACAAACTGTTCACGCTTGGGTATACGCTCTCTGGAATCCAAACACAGACGCCTCGCTTCAATGCATCTCTCACGCGCCCTCGGGAACCACAAAAAGCTGGCACCCACCTCGCAGCACGTTCTTGATGACATGCGCATGCGCCACCTTCGCCCCCACGCTGCGGCCGGAGTAGTAGCCCTCATCCGCGCCGCTGCCGCTGCCGAGTTGACTCCGGAGTCGCGAGATCATATCCGGATCGGAGGTTTCGGGGTTGGCTTTAAGCAGGCAGGGAAGGTGGTAGATGTGGCCGCAGGCGAAGCCGACGAGGAAGTCTGTCTCTGTGGGGGGTGGTGGTTAGCATGAAGTAAGCGCTGCAGGGAGGGATGGCATACCGTCTTCCTGGAAAACATCTCCACAGCCTACACACGCCCCAGGCTTCACATGCTGCGATGCCGACGTTTCTGTCCTCTTTGGCTCCACCGACGAGTTCTCTCCTGCTGCTTGCGTCAAGGCATCCACAAGCGTATGGTCGATCTCTTTCGACGCCTCGTGAAGAACCTCAAACCTGACACCCTTCTTCTGTCCCGCACGCAGCGCATCCATTCCCACACCCACCTCGCCCCTCAAAACCGTAGCGACGCTCTCCGAAATGGAAAACTGAATATCATACACCCGCAACAACTTCGCCACCGCCTCCTTCAACCCTTGAATCTCCGTATTCGGCGGGATGCGCCTCACGAGATCAACAGGATCAATCGCCGTCCCGACCTCCTCCAGCAATTCCTTGATGAAGGCGGGCCTGTTCATGCTGTACTCCAGCAAATCATCCCACAGCTCAGGATTCTCGGGGTTCTGTTTGGCGAAGTCGATGGCGTATTTGATGTCGCCTAGCTTGTTGATGATGAGCCGCAGCGCCTCCTTCGTCTGTCCCATTTTGGAAAGCATGTACACGAATTCCCGCGTGTAGTCGCGCTCGTTGCAGATGGCTGCCGCTTTCTCGTAGTTGTACACTTCGCTTGCTTGCAGGAATTCCATGAGAAGGTCGCGGTCGTAATCGGCGAATAGTTCGATGGCTAGGTCTGCGTGATCTTCCACTAGTGGACGGCCGGCGTCGATGTGCTGATATGATCGTCCGCGAGGTGCTCGACGCGCAGCCTCTCGCTCGGTGGCCTCGTACCACAAAGCGCGGAAGTAGAAGTACAAGAAGGGTCGGTACACGCGGCCGGCCGCGAGGAGTTCCTTGATGATGGTGGCTGGCAGCAGGCTGCCTTTCAAAGCTTCCCCAACCAGCAGCTTCACGACTTCACTGCTCGCCTCGCGCAGCTCGTCCAACGGAGCGGAGCGCATCTGCTCTTTGCTGAGCTTCAGCATCAGGAGCCCGGGAACGTCTTCGGCGTCAATGATGTTCATCAAGCTGTCCTCTTGGATCAACTCCATCGCCTTCTCCGCATTTCGCACGCTGATGTAGCATCGTAACGCCTCCTTCGCCCGGCCCTCGGCGAGGTACAACTTCGCCAGCGCCTCCGTCAATATTCGCCAGTCTTCGGAATCCTCCACCACATCCTCGCTATCCAGCTTGCTCAGGATCGCTGCTTGGATGCTGTGGACGTCGTACAAATCTTTCTCCGGCTCCCAGAGCTCAAGCAATTCCTGAAATCGCGGCACATCGGCAGTAAGGTAGTGCCCGAGGACGATCTCGTATACTTCGCTCGGTAGATGTGCATCGGAGGGGATGAAGGGGGTGATTTCGTCGAATTTCCCGGCTTGGGCAAAGGCGTACACCCAATACTCCCATTTTCGACTTGTGCCCAGCACTTTGCTAGCCACCTGGCCGGCTTCACCCCATTGATCGGTAGTGACGAGCTGTTGGATCCACAGTTCGCCTATGCGCTGCTTTTCTCGCAGCGCGTTCGAGTCCCCTCCACCAGCACTCTGGCGTGAGGCCGAGTCGTCCGCGAAGAAGTCGGCCAAGCTGCCTCCACCATCTCGAGCAGAGCCCACAATCGGGCTTCTAGGCTCTCTATTGTCCGGAGGCGGACCAATGTCATCGATGAGTTCCGGGTGCTTGTCCACCAGCATCCAGACCTGCTTGTAGTCCTGCTGCTGAAGCAAATACTCCAAATGATCCTTCAGATCGCGTCGTACCGCAAGAATGCAATCGTAAGGGCTGTAAATGAAAAGCTTCAAACCGGCGCTCGCGGCAAATGGATGCGCATCGGTTGCTCCTGCTTTTCTAACGGGTGGCATAGGTGCACCAACCACCGAGCTCCCTGGAGACCTGATTGATGCTTTGCCTCCGTTTTCGAGGGATTGACTTTCGGCGCTGCGATTGCTGAGAATGCTGGCACTCGAGGAGAAGAGACGAGTGGCGTTGCGCGTGCTCTCCCACATCCCCTCCAGCGCCCACCTATCGGCAGCTTGCTGCGCCTTCACCGACGCCGGGGGAATCCAGAGTGTGCCGAAATGGTAGTCCTGCGCACTCAGGGTTTCAAATCTAGAGATGGACAGCTCATCAATCTCATCCTCGGCGCCAGTCTGGACGTTGATTAGGCGGAGCTGTGGGGCCAGGCCAGTCTGACGATTGTTTCGGCCTTTTCGACCTGTCTTTGCCTCGGCGCCGTTCTGAGAAGATAATTGGCTGCTCTGTGGTGCGTGTATCGGGCGGTCGTCATCGTCGAGTGTTCGATATGCCAGCAAAGCCAAGAGCGAGGGCGTATAAAGCGAGATGCCAGCAATGACGCAGTCGTCAAAGATCAGTTTGCGCATTCTCTCCGCCGTTCCAATAACTCTCTTGCCCCCGTTGGCCGGGGTCGAAGTAGAGGCAGGACCACCTTCGGACACGTGAAGAATCCATGCGGTATTTCCCCAGCCCACCACCAGCTTCTCCACCTTACTCCTCTTACTTCGTTGCTTTGTCGGTTCGGAGGGCTTCCCATTCGATCCACCATGCGCTCCTTCCACATGCTCATGATCATCGGCTTCGAGATGCCTCTCATCAACCCACTCGGCCCTTGCCTTCCACACTCCCACCATATCTTCCCACTCTCTTCTATTCGGCCGTGGCTCATGCACGATTCGCTTCCATGCATCATCTTCATCCTCGCTCCCCAACTTGTAATGTGACCGCATGATTTTGATGCCCTTTTCGGTAATCCACACCACCCACTTCCCGCTCAAGCTCCATTCGATACAACTAATCGCACCCTCGCCGCTGTGTAGTACCGTGTCCTTTCCGCGATCCGTGCCCGCAAGTCCAAAGGCCCCCAGAAAGCCCGAGGAGGCAGCTGCGGCGGCAGAATTGGTGTTGGCGTCTGTTGTCACGCCCGCTTTGCCGCCGACAGTGAGGATAAGCTGTCCTGCAAGGCCGGCCGAGAGGTATGTCCGGTCGTTCTTGTAGTCTGGCGACAAGGCGACAGCTTGTACGGGGCGGGCAAAGTTGCGCAGTTGCACGTCTTTGGGATCGATGAGGGAGGAGATGCAGACGTGGCCGTCGAGGGAGGCGGTGGCGATGTAGATGGCGTTATTTGGGGTATTTGGGATGGCCGGGGGTTGAGGAGATTGCTGTGATCGAGGAGAAGCTGTACTGGTGGTCTTCGTCTGTGTAGTGCGGATGGAGGAGGGCGGGGAGCGAAGACTGTCGGTTTTGCGTTTCTCTTCCTCCGGCTGTCCGCGCGATGCGACTTGCGCTGCTGGAGGAGGCGGAACGGGAGACACGGACACATTCGTAATAGTCGCGGAATGCGCGTGATACGTCCTCAGGCTCTTGAGAGTGGGCAAGGACAAGACGTGGATGTTTCCATTGTGCGTGCCCAGGACCAGCTTGTCGCCGGCGATGGTGAAGGCGCTGGTGGAGTCGCCATTGCGGTAGACATTCGTCAGACTGCCCGTCAGCTTGGCGTACTTGAGCTTCGGCTCGTCCTCCTCGTCGTCCTCCTCCTCTTCCTCGTCAGCCTCGGAGTCGGGTTGGGTTGGCGCATCGTCGGCTTTGGCGTCTGTAGCGGCAGGTCTGAGAGAGAGATGCTCCGTCGATGGGAGGTCCGTGGACATGACGAAGACATCGGGAGCTGCTCCAAGCGCGTCGAGGGGTTGAAGGAGGGGAGGTAAGAGGATGATGGTGGAGGGAGGAAGGTGATGTCAAGCTTGGCTCCATCTCCACCCAAACCTTAACGTTAACCCTCCGGAATTCTCGACTTCATCTACGACATCACCCTTCAGCATGATTGATTGAGAGAGAATTCCGTTGGCTAGGCTAATTGGAGGATGACATCAAGGACGGCGACATATCTCGCCTTCCACTCGATCGTAAGACGAGGCCTAACAACCATCTCGCCCACCCGATACTCCCCTCGCCCCGCCCTCTCCTTCCTCCCCCAACACCAAACCATCGTCTCAAAGGCCACCGCGCACAAGCAGAAACTGCCCAGGAACCACTTCACATCCAACACGACCCGGCGCGATCAACAACACTCGCAACACGATATCAAGTCGCAATCCAAAACCCCCAAGCGCAAAGCCGCGCAACGCATCCAAGCGCCTTCCCTTCGTCGAGTTGCCGTTGAGGCGCAGCGGTCCAAGGGAAGCTTGATCAAAGGACGAGGCAAGACGAGACACGTCGACCCTGAAGTTGAGACAAAGGATGTCACAGCGTACTGCGCCGCGGAAACGTACAATGTGCATGTGGCGCGAGATCTGCTGCGCAGGGAAGGGTGGGATGCCGATCCCATGGGCACCGGCCTGTTCCCTCAGGTCCTGCATGTGAGAACACCAACCTCGACGACAAACTGGCGATGGAGCGGCTCCGGGACAGACGGTGATGCGGTCGGCGACGTCTTCATCTTTCCCTCCGGCACGGTAGTAACCTGGAACGTGTCAGAGAAACTAGGCCGCTATCTCGTGGAAAAAGTGCTATCCCCCGCCGCAGAAAACAGCCACCCGGACAAAATCGAAGCCGAAGACCTCGAATACCTCGAGGACCCGACGAGAGAAGACAGCGAAATCATCGGCGACACCATCATCCTCGGCACCCGCACCGACAATCCAACCCTCGACTCCGCCGACCCCCACGCCACCGAGCGACCCGACGGCCAGCACGAAATCGACACCATTCTCACCCAAATCGCCTTCTCCTCCGCCCTCGCCCGCTCCACCAAACTCGCCGTGCTAGAGAACATGCTAGCCCAATACTTCCACACGACGCACGACATCCCGCTCCTCCTCTCGCGCGGGACGAAACCGCGCTTCACCCGCGCCTTCATCCTGCGCAAAACAGGCGAGCTCCTCTCCATCCGCGCGCAGCTGAACCTCTACAGCGAACTCACCGATTCCCTCCCCGACTTGTTCTGGGACTCGCCGCACGAGCTGGGGCTGGAAACGTACTACGATGCCGTCGGGCGGGCGCTGGACGTCGGCGCGCGCATCAGGACGCTGAATGAGAAGATGGATTATGCTAGTGAGATTGCGTCTGTGCTGAGGGAGCGGTTGAGCGAGAAGCATTCGCATTTGCTCGAGTGGATTATTATTTGGTTGATTTTGATTGAGGTGGCGTATGGGAGTTTGCATCTGTGGAGGGATCGGCAGGAGAGGCTGGATCCGGACAGTGATCGCAATTTGATGCGGAGGTATTTGTTGCGGGAGTTGGAGAAAGGGGGTGGAAGGGGGAGGTGAAGGGAGGTTTACACTGTGGCTTGTTTGTGATACCCAATCTCAACTCGATTCATTGCTCCGCTACATTGGACATTCATGAGGAACGGTGGATACTGATACAGTGTCATTCGAAGTGCCTTTGTCTCACCTGACGAAAGCAGGTGTCGATGCTGCTCTAGAGCCCTCGAACATGCATTGGTATCTCCCACGCCTATACTCCTGATTCGCCAAAACGGACCGCCCTACGCAACAACGCAGCGATGCCAATAGACGACGTGAGCTCAAGCATCCGGGTCCGGAACTTCTTCAACCGCGACCGCCTTGCCTTTTCCCTTTCCTTGCTCGGCTTCTGCTTCCGGCGGCTGCCCGTTAGCTGGTTGCTGGGCAGTCTGGCTAGAGCCTTCACCCGCCGCGCCATTAGGCGTATCGCCATTCGGGGGATCAACGAAACTCCACCCTTCTGACTGCCACGGCGTCTTGCTCTCGCCAGACGAGTGCGTTTCCTGGTTCGATTCGGCCAGTGGCGCAGGCGCGACTGGAGCAGGTGGTTCCTGTTGTGTGGGCGCAGCGGCTGTAGTGGTTCCACCTGGCACAGTCGGCACGAACAACGGAGAGCCACTCTCGTCCGTCGGGCCTTGCGCTTGGCTGGCGGGTCGTGGTTGGGAGGACTCAACAGGCTGTCCTGATTGCGAGTCGGCTGGCTGAGCTTGGGCTGGTGGTACGCCTGGTGCGCCAGCTCGGTGCAATGGGATCACCGTCCATCCCTCGGGTAGTGTCATGCCGGGCGGTAGGTCTGCATGCCCGCTGGGCAATTGTTGGCCCGGTTGGCCATGCAGTACACCGGTGACGGCTGGTGGCATGTGGTTCTGTTGGAATGGCGGGTATGATAAAGGCTGCCCGGCAGCTGCGCCAACATTCTGATGCTGGACGCGCAACTGTGCAAGGTCCTGCTGCATCGCCCTCAGCCGGTACAGCTGCTGTTGCTCGATACCCAATCTTTGAGCCTCCTGCATCAGCCGCTGCTCAATCTGAATGATCTGGTTCTGAATGGATGGCTCAGCGCTGGTGGACGATCGCTGTCCCTCGGGGAGATATGGAACTTCCAATCCGAGATGATTGGGTCCTTGCTGATTGCCATCTTGGACCGGAGCCTGTCCCGGCGCAGCTGCTGGCTGGTTTTGCATCTGTCGTACCAGATTGGCCAGCGGATCCCCCGGACCATTCAAGAATCCAATCCGTACCGGCCCGAAATTGAAAATCCGCGGCCGGCCTTGTCTGGGTTGTGCAGGCTGTTCGCCCTGTGCACCAGCCTGTCCAGCAGCGTTGGCTCCACCCGCTGCACCAGCCTGTTGCCCCTGGGTTCCAGTCGCACCCTCCGGAGCGGCAATGACCGGCTTTCTGCACGTCGGACAGACTTGCTGCCGCTCCAACCAAGCCTTTAGACATCTCAGATGTAGGATGTGTCCGCAAGGTAGTTTTTTCGCTCGAAGGCCTTCATCTCTCCTTCGGGAAGGCGCCACCGCCTGTGCAGCTTGCGGCGGTTGTTCCGGTACAGGCTGGGCCGCTGCTCCGTTTTGTCCGGGCACACCAGCTGCAGCAGGAGTGTGCTCCCAAGCGACCATGCTCTCTCTGCACACTATGCAGGCATCGTCTCTGATTTCGGCAGTCGTCGCATCCGGATATCGAGTGTTCATATCGCTTGTTGCCTTCCTGTACGCGTAGTAACCGGCGATTCGTTTGCTAAACGAAGCAAAGGTCAACCACACATCGCGGAAGATGTGCATCGGCAGGCCGTTAAAGGTGATGCTGACGGTGAAGAAGGCGCAATAGATGATGAGCTTGATCAAGTCGGTCAGAAGCTCCAGGCCGAAAAGCCACCTCCTCTTCTCCTCCCACCCAGGCACGTCGACCTCGTTCTCATCGACCTCAATCGGCTCCTCGTTCGCGGGTGAGGCTGGGGTTGGTTGAGTGCCGTCTGCGGTTACGTTTTGTCGTGCGGCAGCCCTTTCGGCTCGGATCTCGTCTTTCCGCTCCTCGATTGCCCTCGTCATCTGCAAGGCCTCAATCTGCATCTGCGCAACGGTCAAGATGAACCTCGTGAATGTGAACGTGGACTGGACCAATAACACGGCAAACTCAAAGGTGAAGATGACCATCATGCCCGGCTTAGGTTTGGCAAGGATGGTCCCAAGACAGTAGTCCAGCATGGCGATGTCGAAAGCAATGCTGACAAGCAAGCTGGTGCCCAGGCGTAGAAAGGTGTAGCGGCCGGTGAAGACCTGTTGTTGTTCCAGCACGTCCACCTTGCCTTCTCCTATCCAGACCCACACTTTGCCCGCCAATAGCATGGTGAACATGGCCAACAACCATCCTCCCACATCTTCGCGGAAGCTGGGCATCGCCAGTAGCGTATCCAATACAGCGTACCATGCCTTGTCGCTGAGCTGTTCCACCTCGATGGGTCGTAGGGGGCCGTAGAGGAGACGCTGTAGCCCATACACGATGGAGCATACTAGCACAAGGAGGAGGTTGGTGAGGATGAGGAGGCAGGCGTTCGATTCGGACAGGTAGACCGTTGCGCTGTAGAAGTTGGGCCGTTCGTGGAAGGCCTTGAATAGGCAGCATGCGGCGGCGGCCGTGGAGGCGCCGGCGTAGTAGGCGAGACGCATGGCTGAGGTGGGATGTGAAGGAGGATTCGTAGTTGTATTATCCGTGAGGTGTCATGATGGGCTCCATGGTTGTCGGGGATGGACGCATGGGATGTGAGTTGGAAGCGTGCATGTGAGTGAACAGCTGTCTGCGATGTCATAATCGCGTCTGAGGCCTGAGGCAAAAGTTGATGACTCAGCGTCTGATGGCTTCATAGACGTGTGAAAGGCTTCATGCCTTTAACAAAGGGCGAACGAACTCGTTCAGGTAGTTACTGTTTGTCTCTTTGCACTACAGATATATGTACACATTCAATTTCTACTTCTTTGTAGCCTTTCAAGATGACGGGTAGTCCGTGTAGTTGCTGCCAGGAATAGGCCGAGTGGCATTCACAGGCGTAGTCATCAAAATCCGCCCCTGGTGATCATAGCCCATCTTCTGCGCACGCACCGTCCTGATATTTGGCCCACCAGTGAAGCCGGAGGCGTTGTTAGTGGCACCGTAGGCAAACCAGACGTCATTGTCCGGGCCGGTGAAGAAGCCGCCGGAGCCGGGGCCGTAGGTGTAGGAGAAGAAGTTGGAGTGCAGGATTGGGTTGTACGGGGATTTCGTCCAGGACGATGGATCCAGCAGATCGGAGCCCAGCGTCGCGGTTGTGATGAGGGTGTTGTAGGCTAAAAGGGACATGAGTAAAAAATATAGGAAAGGGGGAGTTTCCGAGAGTACGTACTGGCATCCGCGTACCAATTCGAGGCATATCCAAGATTGATGGTATTGTTGATCACCCAAGAGCTAGGCGCTTCGACTACGGGCGCGTTGCAGCACGGATGGCCTGGGTAGGTGTAGTTGCCATTGGGAATTTCTAACAATAATTAGTACTGTCAATGGCAGTCAAAGTCGTAGTCTGCTCACCATTCATCTCATAATACTCGGTGGGCGTAACGATGGCGCTCAGGGGAGTTCCCGGCACCGCATCCGTGATGTTCTGGAGTTTGATGATGGAGATGGAAGGCGGAGCGTGGAAAGACGTCGACCAGACGAGGTAGCGGTCGCCGTTGGGCAGGTTCAATCCGTGAGCATCATAGCCAACGATGTCCTGACCATTATGCCTGACGTTTCCGTACGTTGTCCAGCTACCGAGAGGGTCGGTGGTGTCGGACTGGATGACGAAGATGGTGTTGATCGAGACCGCAGAGATGTACATGACCCATTTGCCGTCGGCAAGTTGACTGAGATCGGGAGCTTCGGTTGCGATGTTGTCGGCGAAGGTGTAGATTGTATGGTCTGTGAGGAGGTCAGTTGAATGGTAATGCATGTGCAGCAGGAAGTATTGGACTGACTGTTCGACTCGTCGTATTGCACCTCAGACAGATTGCTTGAGACGCGCAAATACACTAATTTCCCGAAGTTGATATCAGGGAACAAATATACATCCTGGCCGGAGGAGGTGTTGTGCCATTTCACCGGCGCGGGACTGTGTAAAGGATTAGCATTGCTCGTAACCATCCTCCAGAACAACAACTCACTCTTGACCAAGGCCTAGTGGATTGAGCACGCCTGGTGCCTCTGCTGGGTACGGCTTGTGCAAGGCAGAGGCGAGGGGCAGCGCCGCGAGCAATGAAGAGAGTAGCATCTTCATCTTAGCAACTATCAATTGCTTGATTGGGGCAAAGTTGATGTCAAGGAAAGGTAGAAGAATTAGGTGCAGGAACGTCCATGTATAATACCTACCTCCAGTTACATCGGTCAAACCTTGTTTCTGCGGATGCCATGTGGTCCCAGTGCCGCCTCCCGGCGATGGTTGCGCTCATGAGTCGCATTTTCAGCTTGTATGCGGCGATGATTGACGTCAAACGTCGGCTTGTGGAGGAGGCGCCACGTGATTCGACAGTTCCCCTCCCGTCACCGTGCATCGGAGGCCGGAGAGGCGCTGCGGGCCGACCCCGCATTTTACCCGCCCGCCGTGCATGTTCAGGTACCGCGAGCGCGGATGCCAAGGCCGGTGTTTCGATTCGATGATGGGTGAGTGAGCGAACGTTCCGCCTTCCCACCACGCCACTCTACCGATCGGGGACCATCGGGCTGGAAACTAAGAGGTGGACTGGGTCATGGACTGTCATTGAAAACAGACGAAAGTGGACGCACCAATCGTTGGAGTGGCAGCGGAGCACATGGCAACCACGACGCTGTCGGAGGCGCAGGCGTCTCCCAAGTTGACGAAGAAGGACGGCAAGCCTTCGAGTACCTCACATTACACCACCTTTGGCTGTCGTGGGTCTATCCCGTTCGCTTGACGTGGTGGAGAAGCAATGCTGACCGCAGTGGTGCAGAGCATACCAAATCCCTTCTATCGGCTGCTCGCGAGCAAGCGACCAGCGGCTACACTCGCATTATCCAATGCATCCAGGACGACAGAAACTACTCCAGTCGGGCGTATAGAAGAGCAGACAGCACGGGCGTGACGGGGAGCTCGACGTTACTATGTCTACAATGTCCAAACATCACTCATGCACGGGTCAAGCACAAGAAGGATCATGGATTCGGTAAGGCATACCATCGCCCTGACATACGTACACTTCCATGCTGACACCTTCGTAACAGCTGCGGAGTCGGAAAACGGTTTCCTCTTCTGCCACGAGTGCAAAGACTTCGTCTACGACCCTACCTTCGAAGACATCCGCTGCGGCAATCCCAGAAAGCGAAAGCGCATCGAACCCCAGCTGGATGGCGAGATGAAACGGCTCATTGCCAACAACTCTGCCCCAGCTCCCTGCGCCGCGACTGGTCTCCGAGGCTTCTACAACATGGGCCAGACGTGCTTCATGTCCGTCATATTACAGGCCATCGTCCACAACCCTCTCATCCGCGCCTCCTACTTGTCCGAGGGCCACCGAAAAGAAGAATGCGAACGCGAGGCCTGCACCTCCTGCGCCCTCGACGACATCTTCACCGATTTCTTCAGCCAAGAAAAGCACGAAGGATACGGGCCGGTGCACATGCTACAAGGCTGCTGGAAAGGAGGTGGCGGGCTGGCTGGGTACAGCCAACAAGACGCTCACGAGTATCTGGGCTTCATTCTGAACAGCCTCCACACGGCCAATACTGCGTCGGACGAGGAGGAAGCCAACGGCAGCTCAGGCGGCAAGGACAGCTTCACCAGCTCCGATGACTGCGACTGCATCGTGCACCAGACCTTCGGCGGCCTGCTAAAGAGCACAGTCACCTGCGCCACATGCCACAACACCACCACCGCCGTCGACCCCTTCATGGACCTCAGCCTCGACGTGCGCAGCGGCGCAATCAGCGTGAAAAAGCAGAAGCTCAGCAAAGACAAGCTCGCCAACGGCGCATCCGACGGCTCCAAAGAAACAGCCCCAATGGACCTCACCGAATGCCTCGACCGCTTCACCTCCGCCGAGCTGCTGAGCAGCGACTCCTACTACTGCAGGAAATGCGCCGCCTCCCAAGCCGCCACCAAAAAGCTCAGCCTCGCCCGCCTGCCCCCCGTCGTCCCCATCCACCTCAAACGCTTCTCCCATTCCAAATCCCTCTCGCAGAGCAGCAAAGTGGAGACGAAGATCCGCTTCCCCTTCGCCGTCGACTTGACCCCTTACTCCACCGCGTCGTCTTCGAAGAGTAAAGAGAATGGCAAGGTTGCGAACGGCGATGTACCTGCCAAACTCGCGGCGGAGTCGACTGCCCCGCGCATCTACGATTTGTCCAGCGTGGTCGTGCACAAGGGCAAGATCGACAACGGGCATTACATCTCGTATGCTCGGCAAGGGGATGAGTGGTTCCGCTTTGACGATAGTATGGTTGTCGAGGTGCGGGAGAAGGAGGTGCTGGACGCGGAGGCGTACCTGCTGTTCTACGTCATTCGGCAATTGGATGAAGACGAGTGAGGTTGAGGGATAGCAGCTTTTCATTTCCATTGGTGGGCGTCACTGGCATTGGGAATTGGGAGACAAACAGCAGCGGATAGATGCATATATAAGGGTAGCGGTGTGGCATTGTGGGAGTTCGGATGGGATAATGCATATATACAACTGCGGCTTCTACATGTGCTCTTCTTCATCTCTATTGGTCGTCCAATACATGCAGATATTTCTTCTCCTCGCGCTTCTCCTTCTCCGTCATGGGCGGCAGGTCGAAGTACGAGCTGCTGCGGTACATTTGCTGGAGTGAAGATCGTAGCGTTAGCAATGTGAGCGAGGAAAGCAGACTTGGACCGACTCACGAGGTATTTGAAGGTAAAGTTGGAAATCTCTCCCGCTTCCATGCCCAGGTCGGCGAAAGTTTTTGCGTTTTTGTCGATGAACTGGTCGAGGAATTCCCGCTCCACTTGATCCTTGCATCCGACCGGGAACCACAGGAGCTTATTGAGCACTTCCTGTGCGTTGGCGGCCACGATCTTGGGCAAGTTGATGTGGCGTCGCTTCTTCATAATCTCGCGGTCCACGAGCTCCGAGATTTCCTTTAGGCTGTAGTTCTTCGGCCCGTAGAGCTCGAACGTCTGCCCGGCGGTGGTGTCGTCGGTGCCGATTTGCTCTAGCGCGGCGCCGACGTCGACGACGTGCACGGGCCAGAAGCGCTCTTGCATCCAGTTGCTGGTGAAGAGGTTGGAGACCGACGCGAGGCGATGGAGCAGCTGGTCCTCGAAGCCGAACATGGGCGCCGGGCGCACGATGGTCGTTTCCGGGAAGATTTCCCGCGCGACTTGCTCGCCTTGCCACTTGGTGCGGAAGAACTCGGACGGCGACTCCGGGTGGACGGAGTGGGAGGAGACTTGGATGAAGCGGTCGATGTCGTACTTCGCTACGGCGGCGGCGATGCGCCGCGTGCCCTCGACGTGCACAGATTCAAAGTCGAAGTTCTTGGTGGGGTAGTCGCGGCCGATGAGGTTGTAGACAATGTCCGAGTGCCGCACGCTCTCCTCGATGCTGTCGGTGTTGCGGAGATCCGCCTCCAAGAAGACCACGCGGCCGAGGTCGCCGGAGACTTTGAGATGGCGTTTTGCCATTTCCTCCCGGTAGGGAATGACAACGGTGTTTCCGGAGCGAGCGAGACGGTTCACAATGTACCGGCCTAGCATACCCGTTGCTCCGAAGACGGTGGCAGTGTGACCGCCGAGACTGCTCCGGCCGCCCGCCACGCGCAGGATGGGCTTACCGGTTCGAGTGATGACAATGTCTTGGTTGTATTGCTGTGCATATTGGCGTCTCTGGCAGGCGGGGAGGGCGGGTTTGGAGAGGAGGAGGGTAGTGCGGGCGAGGGGCCGGTGGAGAGCCATTGATGCCGAGGGAAGGGCGGCCATGGCGGGCCAACGCAGAGGTGTGTGATTGATATTGGCCTCCGGTCAGTCTCGACTGCGCTGCTTCATCGGGGTGGGCAGGAGACGGGAGTGGGAAGGGAAGTCAGTAACGTGGAGGGGAGAGTTGGCGAGGACGTCGAAGCCAAGCTTCGCGAGCTCGGACCACGTTGGAGAAAGGTTAAATTGCGGCAGGCACGAGTGGAAGTAGACAACGACGACCGAGCTGCCTTGCATTACAACATCTTCACCGTTTGCCATCCCATCACCACCCTCTTCTCCTTCTCCCTCCCCCTCCTCAATTCAACATCTCCCCCCTTCTCAGCATCCCACGATGGACAACGAAAAGATCTCCAACTTCCTCGCCTCCCAACGCGATTCCGCCCCAGACAACCTACAACACTACTTCCTCACCTTTGAAGACTACTGGGAGCGGAAGCTATGGCACGAACTCACCGACATCCTCGTCCAATTCTACAACGAGTCGCAGTCCGCCGGTCAACGGATAGCAATATATGAGAACTTTGTGCGCACCTTTGCCGACAAGATCAATCAGCTCAAGCTGGTGACCATCGGTCTGCGGACGGCGGGGGAATACAAAGGTGCGGCCCTTGCGCTCTGGTTTGAACATGAAGACTACTGACCGGTTTCATGATGGCACAGATGACAGCGAAAGACTCCAGTTCCTCACCACGCTCGCGAAACGAGTGGACAAACCCGGCTCCCAAGACGCCTACGTCTACGCCCTCACCTCCGAAGCATCCGTGCGACTCAGCCTTTCCGACTCCACCGCCGCACGCACCGACCTCAACAAATGCGAGACCATCCTCGACACCTTCGACTCGGTGGAGACGGTGGTGCACGCCTCCTTCTACCGCGTGAGCGCCGACTACTACCAATCCCAACACGAGTTCGCAAACTACTACCGCACCACCCTCCTCTACCTCGCCTGTGTGGATGTTGAGGACGTAGGACAGAGCGAGAAACAGCGCATCGCATACGACCTCTCCATCGCCGCGCTGGTGAGCGACAGCATCTACAATTTCGGAGAACTGCTCCTTCACCCCATCCTCGACTCGCTCAAGGGTGGCGAACACGACTGGTTGCGCGAGCTCCTCTTCGCCTTCAACCGCGGCGACCTGGGCGCCTACAACATCCTGCAATCCCATTCTCAAGCCAACACCCTCCTCCAATCCCATCAGCAATTCCTCTACCAGAAAATCTCCCTCTCCGCCCTCACGCAGCTCGTCTTCTCCCGCGCCCCGCAAGACCGCAGCATGACCTTTACCACCATCTCCGAAGAGACCAAGGTGGCCATTGACGAGATCGAGCATCTCATCATGAAAGCGTTGAGTTTGGGGTTGTTGAGGGGGAGCATCGATCAAGTGGCGGAGGTGGCGAGGATCAGCTGGGTGCAGCCAAAGGTGCTGGATCGGACAGGTATTGAGGACATGAATACGAGATTGACGGAGTGGAGCGGTGGGGTGGAGAGACTGGGCAACTACGTGGAAGGGGTTGGGAGGGATGTATGGGCTGCGTAGTAGAGCTCGGAGCTCGCAAGGGTTATTGGGCAACACGCTCAGATGATCAAGAAGGAGGGGAGAGTATGCACGCACTGCTGGCACAAGCGACGCTCTGATTCTGCACCATCGGTGCCCTGCATTGAGCGGCTGGCATTCTCCAAACTCGGCTGAAGCAAGGCTACAAAAAGGTGACTGTATGATACATCATAGATAGGTAGCATCAATCGCAGGTGTAATGTACCGTTATCCCAAACCATGACTGTATCCTACTTTTGTAGTTCCACCCTGTATTCAATGTCAATGATCGCCGACAAGGGAAGCATTCACGGCGCGTTTTCTTCACTGCCGGAGTGCGGATCTCGGATTTGCAACTACACCTCCTCCACCACACTAAAATGCACCATATCCTTCCCTTCTCCACATTCCTTCATCACATTTCCAACACGACAACACAATGACCGAATACCGCCCCACGCCCCTCTTCGGCGGCGCGATAACCACCTCCCTCCCCTCAACCTTCGCAGACGTAAGGTACACTTCACCCCCATACCCCAACCCCCCAAACCTCCACTAAAGCATGAGAGAGAGCAGCGAAATCCGCCAAGTGCCCGACAACCAAGAAGTCTACCTCGACCCGCACGGCACGACGAGCATCCTCTTCGACATTCTGGAGCGAGTGGAGAAACCTGACGTCGAGGCGCTGCATTTCCACCTTGAGGATATTGTCGATGACGATGCGCGGGTGAAGGTGTGGGGGAGTGGGACGGTGCATTTGGCTAAGATCCCGTTTGTTTGCAATACTCTTTGTATGGATTTGGGATTTTGTTGCTAATTGTGGTTAAAAGGCGAGATGTACAGGCGTACGCTTTACTAGCTACCTCCCCTACTGCCGGGAACAGCAGCAGCAGCAACGCAGCGCAACGCAGCGAAGCCGATTTCGTCGGCATCTTGCTTACCATGGTTCGACTCGAGGAGCAGAAAACAGACTTGCTTATTGTTATCAACGTCCCCCATCTCGAAGCGGACGGGTACAAGCCTAGCGATGTGGATTTGGAGAGGGGTAGGTATGGGCCGCTGCTGGAGCGGGCGATGGAATTTCGGGCGAAGATTTGGGAGACGTTGGATGTTAAGGATTGGGGGTTATTTGGGGAGGGGTGAATGTAGAGTCTAGAACTGGCTTTTTGCTTGCGGGCTAATGAAAGATGGATAGCGAAGAAGGGAGCATTAGCGATTGGAGCCGCTGCGATGCTCAGAGAGCGCGGTGCAAGCATCAATCGTCCAGAACGACGACCTCCAGCTTCTGCACAACCGAATCGAGATCATCCGCAACCGCATCTCCACCAACCTGGTGCTTTTCCACCCCTTCATCGGCAGCGGCCATCTTCTCAGCCCGATACTTCGCCCCAACCGCCTCCATCACCTCCTTCTGACTCGCCCCCGGCATCCCCTTCCTCACCGCCGCAAAATGCATCTTCACAAACCCCGCATACCCGCCCCCACCGCCTCCCGCCACCCCAGCATCCCGTCGTGGAACAGGCTTAATCTGCACCAGCTTCCCCCTACAGCTCCCACAGCTTTGCCGCGCGGGATCAATACTCTTCGAATGCCGCTTGAACTCCGCCCCGCACTCTTCATTGCTGCACTGCCATACATACCGATAGTCAATCTGGTACGAGTGTTTAGTGGTGACGCGGACGCCGCGCTCCGCAAACGCACGAGTGCACTTCGCGCCCCACAGTTGGAATTGTCGGCCGTGCGGCTGGTCTTTGATGCCGGAGAGCATGAAGTTGCACAGGTGGCAGAATTCGTGGGCGATGACGTTGAGCAGGCGGTGCGCGTCGTTGATCACCTTCTCGGCGAGTTCGATGGAGGCGAAGTGTTTGTATGTTGCGTGGATGCTGCCGTCCGGGCTAGTGGTTTTGGTGGTTTCTTTGCGCCAGTTTGCACGGCCGGCGGTGGTGTTGAGCGTTTTGCTCCAGATGAATTTCACGCCGCCGGTGGTGCTGGCGAGGCGTTGGATTTCGCCGTCTGCCACGACGCGGTCGAGTTCTGCTAAGAAATCTTCTGCCAGACGATGTTTTCTCGCTTCGAAGGCTTTCTTGGCCTCTCGCTCTGCACGGACGGCGTCTTTTGCAGGACTTTGCAGTTTCCTCGGAGATCCAAAGGGCGACACCGAGCGCTCATCTACCGTGAATTTGAGCTTCCGGGGCGACTTGAGGACCTTGTGCGGAGAGTACTGATCGTTCCAGTCGTTGACTCGGTCTGCATCCCAGAAGGCGTCTAGACTCTGACGAATCTGTTGTGAGGGGACTCTGGGTTTGGATTTGGAGGGAGATTGAAGACGGGATTTGGATGGCGATTGAGGTGGAGTTACTGGTCTGTCGCATGGCCCTTGCTTGGCTGGACTGAAGAGTCGAGGGGGAGAGAAACGAAGGAGGGCGGTGGTGTTCTCTTTGTCAGAAGAACTGCCAGGTCGTGATAAGATGACGGAGGTTGAGTTCGGTATCTTCTTCGTTTCTGAGATGGCGAGGTCGTGGATCGCAGGATCACCAAAAATACTGAAAGGCTTCGCTCCCAGTCGGCGAGCGGTTGACTGTGCAGGACGAGGTGGAAGTAGTAATAACGTCCTCAGGTCCGGCAGGTCTTCGTAATCAGACTGATCGTAAGAATCGGCAGAACCGCACCACAGGCTTTCCTCCACTTCCGCTTCCGAAGACTCATACTCGGCGTCTGGCGCCTCCTGTCGCACGGTATGCGCAGTGTCCGTACACTTCAGCGTTGTCGATGCGCGGGATCCAGTATGAGCGCTCCCAGTCGGTCTCTTCGACTTTCTCGTAGCGACAGCTTGCTCCTCAAACGGCTTCACGCGTGAAATCGAGTCCAACGGCGCCAGGCGGATTTGCCTGCCTCGTCGCTCACTTTTCGGCGTAGCCTTTGCTACCAGCTTCGTCCCTTTGTTTGTGCTTTCGTGACTCGGAGTTGAAGCATCGCGTTGTAACGGAGGAGCCCTCTTCCGCGGCGAATACCTTGTCTTCACCGGTGTTGCCGCCGCGGAGCCCCATCCAATCGGACCGAAAACGGAATCGTCAGAATCTCCATCTCCAGAAATTCTGCTTGTGAGTCTCGCCATCTCTATAGCCCTTCTTCTTTGTCCTATCCTCAAACCGCGATGAGTATGGCAAGGCAGTGTGAGAGATGGAGTAGTCGTGGAGTTGCACCGACGATCGATTAGGGTTTGGCGTTGGCTGGACGACAACCCTAGCGCAAGCTTCCGGAAGTGTCCTGCAGCCGAAGCGAGCCTCAGGCTTTGAGCGTGAGGCTGTGCACGACTCTGCATTCATGATGCACGCGGTCAGAGGTCGACCCAATGGTCGTGGCGCAGGGTGCGACGGCGCTCTCAGGCCTCCTGCGCCATGACGTACGAGGACTATCGTTGACCGATCGTCCTCGTGTTGCACAATCTCTGGTGCAGCGCATGTCAAACAATCCGTGCTACCCGAAAGCAATGACGACAAGACGCGCTCGATTTCAGTGGCAATCGATCAGCTATCATCGGGGTTCAGAAGCCCGGCAGGGCTCGCCTGAGCAATGGTACCGTGTGGGTGGCAGACGCGGCGCAAAGATTCTTCCAGTTTCTGCAAGCTTTGCTTCGCCGATCTGCTCGGCGTCTATCTATATAAGTTCCTGGATCCAGATCCTCGTGCTGCGCCTCGTGAATGAATGCTTGTATGGGGGACCGACGGAGCCTCTTCGGCGCCGACATGCGCGTCCACCACTCCCATCATCGAGACAATGCGCCTGGGTGGAAGCTCCCATCTGCATGCCATCGGAGTAGTCCTCCCAATGCATGATCGTGGCCTGCCAGAGTGAGATTGTTGCCGACATTGACGGGACGACTTGTGTAAGGCGCCGTCGAAAAGCGTGAAGAGAGGCCAACAACGCGTGCTTCCTAGCGCCGAAGGAGCAAATTGTTTTATCCGTGCGCTGAAACGAGCTCTTCTCTAGTCTTCGTCATGCTGAGGAGGCAAGTGGCCCATGCTGCGGCGACGGAGGAGTGGAAGGAATTGTGGTAATGCCACAGACATTTCTCATTTGGTGAGCATGCGTCGGAACAGAGGTTAAAACACTGATCGTGAACACCCCAAGGCGAATGAGTGCGTCAAGTCTTCGTCTTGTGCACGCGACGCACATGATCTTTCTGTAGTTATCCATTAGCCAAACTCGTCTTCCGAATCATCGTAATCCACGATAACGAACCATATTATCCATCCGCGAGAACATCCGCCCGCAGCCCGGAAACTCGCACACAATAGCAGGATTATGCTTCGCCTCGTGCCGCGCGCGGTCCTTCTTGCTCGAGAAGCCGCCTTCCGTCGCCTGCGGACAGCCCTTGTGCCGGCAGAAGAGCGTCTTGGTGTGCCGCTTGTAATGCTTGCGCAAGTCGCAGCCTCTGCTGAACGTGGAGCGCGAGTAGCAACCCGGGTACGCGCAGCTCCAGGTGCCGTTGGTATTGAGATGGCCCCAGCGCGCCATTTCGCTTGCTTTGGGCGATGCGTTGGTTTCTGATACATCGGAGGGGGAGACGGAGCTGGTGTTTGAGGTGAGGGATGCTGCGCGTGACGATCGCGTGCCTTCTGCGAGGTTGGGCGAGAGGTAGTAGAGCGATGTGCTTGACGATGGCCCTGCGACTGGAAGCTCGGGGGACCAAGCCATTGATTCGGTGTAGGGTGGAGAGGATACGATGTCTTGTGGGCGGTGAGGGTCGTTGGACGGCACGATTGGTGTCGTCCATGGGTGTATCTGAGGAGGAGCGTACCCGTATGGCTGTTGAAATTGTGGAGGCGGATAGAATGTCTGTGGAGGGGGATGATGCATTGGCGCCGGTAATACCAGCGGTAGCATGAGTTGTTCCGCGGCACTTTGTTGAGGCGGCTGCGGAAGTTGCTGAGGGTGCCAATGCGGTGGATTCGTCGAGACTGGTGGTTGCTGCTCCGCGTACTCGATGTATTCTTCGTCAACCGCCTCAGGCGGCTGACAGTAGTAGCCGGCCATGCCGAACGGCGTCGCGATCGATGAAGACGCTTTGGGAACGTTTTGCGTGTTGCAAGGGTGGAGGTGAGCAACGAGTTCATCGAACCAAGCGGAGGAGTCGATGGGAAGGGGTTGAGAGTCGGCGTGAGGGCTTCGAATGCGCGGGCTGGACAACATGTACGCGTGAAATGACTAGGGCAGGAGGATCGATAATCAGTTGTAGGTCGCTGTACCACGGAGGGAACAGATGCGTCCAGCTCATGCCGCCGTGCGAGTATAAATGTCGTCACCAAGACTGGTCTGCGCCTCTGCAAGCGTCACCCAGACACTTCAGCTACTCAATCAGGGAGCTCCGACAACGACAGCCGAGCAAGGCTTGACGAGGTCGGGCGACAGCTGTTGCACGTTCGATTGGTCGTTCAGTCCCAGGCTGGAGATGAAGAAATGGCCCCTGTCGAAAGCCAAAGCGAGCGTGCGCGGTAAAGGCAGTGCTGAAATGATGTGCTCTTGCAGCGGAAGGCTACAGAAAGGGGGCCGTGCGTCTTCATGAAACCGACTCAGGCCAACATCAAGGGCATCGCGTTGGTGACATCAACAGGGCTGAGCGGGAATAGATTGAACGTGCCCGCGTCAGAGCCACGGGCAGAGCGCACTATAGCGGAAAAGAGAGAATCCGTGGGGTGGGAGTTGAACGAGGTGAATGCGGATTGGTCGCGACGGAGGCCAGAAGACAGGCACCTCGCGTTGCGATGGTGCATACTGCCGACGATTGGAGCACTTACATACCGTTTGCGAGCGGAGACTACGGCAAAGTGACCGAAAGCCCTGAGGCTTCATCTGGCAGTTATTTCCAGGACGGGAATGGGGGCCAAAGTGATGGGCAACGGCCTCGAAGCCCTAGAAGGGGCGTAGACGGGCTCTACGGGGAGCGAGTCCGAGCGTGCTGGTGCGGCTGAGAGGGCATCGAGACATGCCGTGAACTTAGTCGTAGGGCTCGCCAAACTAAATGTCCGGGCCGGCCGACGTGCATCATAACTTACTCACTCATCACCGGGCGGCATGCACGCATCGATTGCACGCCGCAGCAGCCGCTGCTGCATGATCAGTCCGTCCGTTGACAGCCATTGGACTGAACTGCAAGCTCGATTATGGTTTCTGATGTGGTTGATCTTGCAATGCTGGGGAAAATACGGTTCTCGAGGTGCCTGGTCTTGACACTAGCGTATCGTCACGATGCTCCGGTTGCACGACACGCCTGCTGGACAGATGACGACGACGGGGAAGCATGCGAGATTGGGCATGTCCAGGCGCAGACCCCCACGCCAGTGGAATCGAAGACCGCGACCGGGCCGCACCTTGCGCCATGATTCCCACATCGCCGACCTCTTCAGCCCGAGCAGCCGGACATTCGGCAGCAGAGACGGGCAAAAGAGGTTGCTGGTTGGCAGGTGTGGGGAGGATGGGCTGAGCTGGGGAAGACAGATGGCGCCGTGGCGGGCTTAGTCGGGCTTTGCGCAAACCTTATGTTTTCCCGTGTCTCAAATCTGCAGTGACAGAGTGATGCCTCAGGAGGGTTAGGGTGGTGGAAAGACGTGATTGTGTTTGTGAGTCCCGTTACGAATGCTTGGGCCAATAATGCGATGGATGCTGTCGCCTAGAGATGCAGCACGCTTGGGAGGTGCACTTCCTCTCATTGGCATCGACGAGGTGGGGTGAAGATGTTGGTGGCTTCGCTTGCCTTTACGACAAACGCATCAACGGAATCGCCGGTCTTCCACCTTCGTCTGCGGCTTGAGGGGGTTCTGTTAGAGTTGTTGGTGTTTCAAGTTCTGCCAGAGAGTGTCTTGGGCCGATGTGGCTTCGGCGTGGCCGTAGGAGCGTCCTCGACGCTGATTGGCCAAAAAGTCTCGACCTTTACTTTCACACATCCCGAAATTCCCACACCCAAACCCAACATCACCTCTCCCTTGATCCAACCCTGCACAAACCCTCCAGCCGTAATCATGGGAATCGCCTTCGACGTCGCGCCCGACCGGCCAGAGAACATCGACACCATCTTGAATGGCCTCGACCGATACAACCCCGAGACCACCGCCGTCTTCCAGGAATATGTCGCCCAGCAGTGCGAGAACCAGACATACGACTGCTACGCGAACCTCGCCTTGCTGAAGCTGTAAGTGACGCCTTCCATTCTTCGGAATCGCGAGACTCGAGAGGACGAGGGGGATTACCTGATGAACAACATACCACAACGTTTCCTATTACCCGACAGGCCTTTTGTGCCTGGCTGAAGCAACGTTTTATTAGCTCTATCTGAAACCCACACATCCCCCTCACTCTCATCTCACGAGCACAAGTCCCCAGTGATCACAAAAGCTAACGCCAGCTCCTGCAAACAGCTACCAATTCAACCCCCACCTCACCCGCGACGAAGCAACCACCAACATCCTCGTCAAAGCCCTCACCGTCTTCCCCTCCCCCGACTTCCCCCTCTGCCTCTCCCTGCTTCCCCCCTACGTCCTCGCCACCACAAAAACCACCACCCAATCCGGCCCCCCCGCCGCCGGCAGCCTCGCCGAAGCCGTCCAACACCTCACAACCCTGCACACCCAGCTCATCAACGCCGACTACGCCGCCTTCTGGTCGACGCTCGACAGCGACGACCTCTACGCCGACCTCGTCGCCGACGTCCAGGGCTTCGAGGAGATGATGCGCGTGCGCATCGCCGTCGTCGTCAGCCAGTGCATGCAGGAAGTCGACCGCAGCGTGCTCGAGAGCTGGCTCAATCTCACCGGCGCAAAGTTCGACGGCTTCGTCAAGGAAGTGTGCGGGTGGAAGATGAACGAGCAGGGCAAGGTGGCGATTCCGCTGAACAAGGAGAATGAGGCCAAGGGCACGGTGGTGCGGGAAGACGTCAAGTTTGAGCAGTTTGGCCGCATGATCAAGCGGGCGTATGAGGTGGGTGCGTGATGGAGTGTGCCTCGATCACCGGGTTCGGCCTTTCATTAGCGTGGCGTTGGGCGGTCCAAAAGTCTCGGAGGCGTAGCTTAGAAAGAATGCAGCGCGATGCGTGCGGTCGAAGGAGAGCCTCCTTCGTCAAGATCGTACATTGCAGGGCATGCCGTGGGAGGAGCAGCTCGCGAGAGCATGAGGCGGAAATACGGGATCCTGTCATGATCCCAGAGGGTAGTACAGTCGCAGTCCTCTGTATAGCTACTTGGAATCTAACTTTCGCCAACCCATGCGAATTGTCACGAATACATCATTCAATCGTAGAGGTAGCCAAGCCATATCCCAGCACAGCATCCCTCAAAGGCCAAACTTGGCCTTGATGACTGCGTCACACGTTAGCGTGTCCCAAGCAAACCGGAAAGAGACGAAAAGAACTTACTACTCCCCGCGGCATTCCTCTTCTGCCGATTCACAAACTTATTCACATCCTCCAGCCAATTCTGACTCGTCTCCTCCAAATTGTCAATCCCCTCGCCCGCGAACCCCAACCGCTCCGTCCGCTCCTGCACCTGCCGCTGCATGTACGCCCAATACCCCTCGTCCTGTTGCATCGTCGCGCCCGTCGCGCCACTCCGCCCGGCCAGCTTGCGCTGCGCCTCGTCCGCACGCTGCTGGTCGATCATGCGCTTCGATGGAGGCCGCGTGGGCCCGCCAATGAGAACATCCATATCGGCCGGCGTGACGTATTGCGTACCTGTGATCCATTGGACGTTGGAAATGGTTGGGCGAGGCGGGATGAGCGCCTCGGGGTTGAAGAGTTTGTCCTGGCTGCGGACGAAGGTGTTGCCGGCGCCCCAGACGTTGAGGACGGCGAGTTCGGAGGGGCTGGTGAAGCCGAGGATGTTGCCTGTCGGGGTGATGACTGCGTCGCCTAGCCGTCGGACGTCGAGGATGTCGTTGATTTTCGTGCTGGCGATTTCCTTGATGGAGGGGATGGCGTAGGCGCGCGCTGTGCCGTCGCCGAAGAGCCCGAGGATTGCGTGGCCCCGGTCTTGATATCGGACTATCGCGGCGGCGTCGCAAAAGTAGTTGTCGAAGGATTTGTGCGCGCCTTTGGCGCTGGCGGGTTTGAAGATGTGGATGCTGCTTGGGGTTACTGCGACCAGTGCGCCGTTCACCCGGTGGCCGCTTCGGAGAGCAGCCATGGTGATCTGCGTTGCGCTTGCGGGTGAGCCGTCGTCGGTGTTGATGGGCGCGATGTGGATCAGCCTGCTGTCTAGACTGACAGCACCGGCGTACTGCACGGTGAATCTCCCGCTGCTGTCTGGGAGTATTTTGAATGTCGCAAGCCTGCCTGTACTCGTTCCAACATGGAGCAGAATACTGCTGTAGTTTTCCCCCTCCAACGTCATGATGCTAAACTGCATGAATGTGACGTGTTCCTGTCCTGACGATGGGCTGCTTGCGGTGATGCTACCCATCCTCTTTCGAAGGCCGCCGCCCTTTTGATTACCGCCAAGCTCCTGCAGGGAAGTATTGTAGATGATGGCCGGTCCTCGAAGATCGATGACCGCGATGCTGCCGCCTTCAAAGCCAGCGGCTACGAAGCCAATCTCGCTCATGCAAACTGCTCTCACGGGGCCATCTCGCTGATCCAGCAAAGTGAGCGGGATCAGTCCCTCGCTCAATGAGGGTTCGATCCGATCGGTGACGCTGGTGAGTGCACCGGGCTGGTTGGGTCGACTTGGAGGCGGATCCCTGCCGGCATTCCGGTTCACACCCCATCGGAAGACGATCAGTTCTCCGCTGGCGAGGCCGACGGCTAGTTCGCTACTTTCCCCGGCGAAGGAGGTCTGGGTGACATCCACGCCATCTGAGAGACCCACTGCGCGTGCCACATCCACTTGAAGGATCTTGTCATTCTCAATCTCGTCTCCATAGCCAAGATCCCAGATACGGACCGTGCCATCGGCGTGAATCGTCTGCACAACCATGCGGCGTTCATATCGTCTTGTGGAGCGCGGTAACTCTGCACCGCCCTTCAGTATCGCAGGACCACGTGACCGGCGCTCTTGCAAACCTAGCCATTTCTCCCTGCCGATTTGCGCTGAGCGGATGCCCCTCACAAAGGGAGATACAAACGACACCGATACGTGGAGTTGGTTCGTCGGACTGACCGGTATACCCGACGGGAATGTCAAGGTCAGGATTTCACCAGATGCCATCAACGCAATCAGTGCAATGGGGTCGTGAGCGTTATTGAAGTGTGGCGTTTCACGAGGGATCAAGCAGAAACCGATCACTTCCGCACCAGGAGGGGTCGGCAAGATGCGCTGTCTCTTGGGGTTCTCCAGGTAGGTGGCAAGGTCCTCCCAACGACTTGTCTGATAGACGGGTGTTCGGCCCATCTCCAACAGACATAGACCCTTCTGAGGCGATTGTGTCGAAGAGCCGCCTGCTATCAGAATGGCTGTATCTTCAGGGTCTTTGTTCGCACACCACGCCATCTTGAACAACGGCTCCTTGACGGCCATTGATCCTCCCATGGCACTACTCGTGTTGGCACCTGGAGTAGCAACATTCGTGTCTGTCAGGGTTCTCGCCATGAGCATCCTCCCGTCCTTCACCGTGTCCCAAAACACAATCGAGCTGTCCTCATGTCCAGTCATGATGAAGGTGCCAGTCGGATGCCACACCGCTTGTACGAGTCTCGGTCTTCGAACAGTGTGTGCTGCGGCAGGATCGCCATCGCCTCCTGGCGCCCCGCGCGGGACCTCATACAAGAAGCAGCGCAAGGATTTGTTGGCTTTGAAGCTGTAAATGGCCGCTCCATGAGTATAACCGATGAGCAGCTGGCCTACGTCTCTCGGATGTAGCTGTAAAGAGACGATGGGTGAAACTCTCGCACGGGGATCCATCTCCTGCCACAGCAGTGGGATTCTAAATGGAGCCGCATGTTCTCGATCGAGATCGTATGCGAGGACCTCGCCCGTCTGCATGCCAAGGAAGGCATAGTCCAACATAGGATCCGTACACAAAGCAGTCACGACACCGGGAGGGGAGTAGCTGGTAATCAGTCTCTTGAGTTCCAAAGAAAATATAGAGACATCGTGCTTGGTATCCAGCGCAATCAGCTTGTCTGCGCAGAACTGCAGTTCCTTCACGCTTGCTCCTGTGACCGGAAGTTGAAGGACCACCTGGATCCTGTTGCGGCCGAATACGTAGATCTGTCCCGGCCCGAACTGCGAGCTTTTGGTGCCGATGGCGAGCAGAGACTGCACGGGGTCATAGGCCAGAGCAGAAGTCTGCGAGTTGATTCCATATCGAGCAATGTCGTCGATTTTGAAGAGCGACCCGTCTAAGCCTGCGGATAGATCGTGCTGGATCCCGGACTGTTTGCCTCGCAATAGATGTGCCATGTCGGGTGGATGGATCGGATCAGGCCGCGCCCAAGCATACCATCCAAGACGCCCCTATGCTGTTCTCTCGATTCTTCCGGGGTTTGGTTCAACGTATCGAAGTCAGCGTGAAGTGGTGGCCTTCACGTGTCAGGCGTAAGACAGTTGACAAAAGTCCTGACCACCGCGCGTCCCACCACTTATACGCGGGTGCCCCATCAATTTACGAGCAGCGCGTTCTCGCGTTGTTGGCTCTCGAGTCTCGCCCGCAACATTACCCTCGACGAGACGACACATCACAACAACCCGCGCCCCTTACTTAAATCAGCCTCAACCCTTTCGAGTCTTTATTGCATCTTCTTCCTCTTTCACATACGCCACATCTACACATCAGCCTTCGACATCCACCTTCCAACCTGATCTTCATCATAAACACCGCACTCACCCCAACATGGCGACAGTGTCGCTGCTCAACGTGACCGTGCGCAACAATCCCGCCCCATTCGATGCGCCCTACGAGTTCGAAATCACCTTTGAATGCCTGGAGCCGTTGCAAAAAGACCTCGAATGGAAGCTAACCTACGTCGGCTCTGCCACATCGTGAGTGTCCGCCTCCTCGTGCAAGCGCCCAGGCAACCAATTCGCTAACCACATGCCGCAGATCCGAACACGATCAAGAGCTTGACTCGCTGCTCGTCGGCCCCATCCCCGTAGGCGTCAACAAATTCGTCTTCGAAGCAGATCCGCCCAACACCGCCCGCATCCCCGCAACCGAAATCATCGGCGTGACCGTGATCCTCCTCACCTGCTCCTACGATGAACGCGAGTTTGTGCGCGTCGGGTACTACGTTAACAACGAGTACATGGACGAGCAGCTGGCCGAGGAGCCTCCCGTGAAACCGGTGATTGAGAAGGTGCGGAGGAATATCCTGGCGGAGAAGCCGCGAGTCACCCGCTTCGCAATCAAATGGGACAGCGACGAGAGTGCGCCGGCGGAGTTTCCTCCTGAGCAGCCGGATGTCGATGCGCAAGACGATGATGGTGCTACGTATGGCGCGGACGAAGAAGAGGAAGAAGAGGAAGAGGCGGAGGCGGAAGTGGTGGAAGGCGAGGGCGCCGCTAAGGCCCAGGTGGAGACTGCTGTGGAGGTGGAAGGCGAAGGTGTTAATGGCAAGGAGGAAGACGAGGAGTCAGAGGCTGGCAGCGAGGATATCGAAGAAGAGAGCGAGGATGATGAGGAAGAAGAGCTCGAGGAGGAGGAGGGTGAAGGTGAGGGCGAAGCAGAGGGTGATCAAGAGATGGAGGTCGATGAAGCGGAGCCAAAGGAGAACGGGACGCTGAAACAGCAACAACATCAGCCGGATGTCATGGTGCATTAGGAGGGCAGGTTTGGAGACAATAATGGGGGGTGGGCACATTTTCGAGCTCTGTGAGGATGCGTCGGTATCGATTGCTGGAGTGACGGCCTTCTTCTCCCAATAATGGCAATGGTTGGACGATGCGGCCTTGCCATGCTTCGTGAGTATTTTGCAGCTGAGCAGAGTGATTCAGATAGACATGACCCTTACGGTATTGAGGCCAAAAAGCCAGTATTTTGAAGTTCCAATACGTCTTTTCGACGTCCAGATCTTGATTTCTGTCCACGCGCCATTGTTCTGCGGTCGCTCTGGAGCGATGTACGCCTTTTGCCCATGCTTCATGGCACCGTGGCTGAGACCGCGCAATGCATACAGCGTGCCGGACGCAGCATTCTGATGATTGAATATATGCAATCCGCAGATATTGCTCCGTTCACCTAGAATCACCACACCTTCCACCACGGTCTTGCACCCGCCGCACTCCCCTCTCTCAGCTTCGTATAATGCTGATCGAGATCCTGCTCCTTCAACTTCCTCCGCTCTTCTTTCTGCTTCTCCTTGTGCGCCGCCCTCGCCTTCTTCTCGGTCTCTTTGCGATTCAGCAGCTCGACGGCGCGCATCATGCCCTCCTTTTCCGCCTGCCGTTGGTACAGGCAGTACTGGTATGACACGCCTGAGACGACGCAAGCGCTGGCGACGAACCAGCTGCATGCAGAGAAGACGCCAGCTTGGAGGGAGTCAGCCCATGTTCAAGTAGTACAGCGAGGGTGTGCTCTACTAACCTCTGAAGATGAATCTCACACCACCCAAAGCAAACCCGCTTCCCAAGCCCGTCAGGAAGGAGTCGCGCACACAAGGCCGTTTAGGCAGTTCAGTGAAGTCCGACAGCTTCAAGCCGCCATCAAACGCCGCTGCGATCGAGACTTCAGGTATCTTGCCACCTGCGGTGTTCTGTGTTCCGCCCGCGAGGACATTCGCAGCAGCGCCGGTTCGGAATTTGCTCTTGGCATCTTTCCATTGATCGCCGGAGAAGGCTTTGCGATTCGGATCGACGGTGAGCGCTTCTCTGCTGAGATCTTCCCGGATGGGTGGGTTTTGGGGCGACTGTCGGGTGTCGTCTGCCATTTCGTGTGTGGATGGTGAAGGAGTGAGGTTGGATTGAAGATGTCATGGAATTTGAACTCGGCGGAAGCTTTCCGAGTTTCCGGCGGATCCCACATTTAGTCATCCGTAGAGCGCGTCTCACTTTACGCGTGCAGCTTCGCGGATTCGGCTAGACATTCGCGAAACTCCCATAGCTGCATCTTGCATTTGTTACCGTGCGCAGCAAACAATGACAAGCTGAAGCATTCACGTCTGGCCTCGCTGGCCATAAATACACATCACCATGCCCGTCCGACGAAAAGAAGGGCCCCGCCGGTTCGCCAAACAGCCCGGCCAGCTCTACGACAAAACCCGCAAGGTCAAGACTGTCGATGCCTCGAAACTACGCTCCACCGAGCAGACTTCTCAGAACGAGCGACTCGAAGCCACGCGGCTGGCCAACCGCATTGACGACGGCCAGGGCTTCGAGCGGTTCGAAGCTGGGAAGAAGCGCGTGGGATGGCTGCTGAACATGCATAGCACCTCGCTCGAGGACTCCAAGATTCCCGGCGGTCGAGCGGCAGTCGACTACTACTTCATTGGCGACGATGGAGACACGTTCAAGGCGAGCGTGACATACGATCCCTACTTCCTCATTGCGGTAAAGAAGGGGCGAGAACCGGAGGTGGAAGAGTGGGTGCGCAGGGCATACGAAGGGCTGGTCAAGAGCGTGCAACGAGTGGAGAAGGAGGATTTGAAGATGCCAAACCATCTGCTGGGATACAGGCGGACGTTCCTCAAACTCGTCTTTGCCAATGTCAACGATCTTCTCGCGGTGCGAAGGGAGCTCATGCCGATTGCCGAGAAGAACAAGTCCAAGGTCAGCGCCATGGATACGTATGCCGAAGTCGCGAGTGCCAATGCCGGGTTTGATCTATTTGGCGACGAAGAGGACAACGAGAGACGGCCGACCAATGTTGCTGACGCCAGCGATTTCGTCGTCGACATCCGAGAATACGACGTTCCATACCATGTCCGAGTGGCCATTGATCTGGATGTGCGAATAGGGAAGTGGTACACTGTCGAAGCCAAACACGGCCACATCACTCTCACTTGTATCGAGGAACGACTGCAACGTGCCGACCCAATCGTTATGGCTTTCGACATTGAAACAACGAAGCTGCCCTTGAAGTTTCCGGACGCATCCTTCGATCAGATCATGATGATATCCTACATGATTGACGGTCAAGGCTTCCTCATAACCAACAGAGAGATCGTCAGCGAGGACATCCAGGACTTCGACTATACCCCCAAACCGGAGTTCGAGGGGCCTTTTCTTATCTTCAATGAGGCGAATGAGGAAGCCGTGATTGAACGCTTCTTCGCCTGCATCAAAGAAGCACGCCCAACGGTGATTTCCACTTACAACGGAGACTTTTTCGATTGGCCGTTTGTGGAGGCTCGGGCGAGCGTGCACGGTATCGACATGTACCAAGAAATTGGCTTCCGCAAGAACAGCGAAGACATCTACCAGTCCACACACTGCGCGCACATGGACGCGTTCGCCTGGGTCAACCGAGATTCTTATCTACCACAAGGCAGTCGTGGTCTGAAGGCTGTCACCGTCGCCAAACTGGGCTATGATCCGGACGAGCTGGATCCCGAACTGATGACTTCATACGCCGCTGAACGTCCACAAACGCTTGCAGAATACTCAGTCTCCGATGCTGTTGCGACCTACTACCTGTACATGAAATACGTGCACCCATTTATCTTCTCCCTCTGCACAATCATCCCTCTGGGACCGGATGATGTGCTACGGAAGGGAACGGGCACGCTCTGCGAGATGTTGCTGATGGTGCAAGCGTATCAAAAAGAGATTGTGCTGCCAAACAAGCACGTCCAGCCTCGAGAGGCGTTCTGGGAAGGCCACCTGCTCGAGTCGGAGACCTACGTCGGAGGCCACGTGGAGAGTATCGAAGCTGGCGTATTCCGCAGCGACATCCCGAACAACTTCGCCATTGATACAACGGCAATCGACGAGCTTCTGAGAGATCTGGACGCCGCGCTTGCCTTCTCGATCACGGTCGAGGAGAAGAAAAGCATGGACGATATTGAGAATTACGAGGAGGTTAAGGCACAGATCGCGGACCGGTTGATGCAGCTCAAGACCACGCCGAATCGAAGTGAGAAGCCTTCCATCTACCATCTAGACGTGGCATCCATGTACCCGAACATCATGACGACCAATCGTCTCCAGCCGGACAGCATGATTGACGAATCCGACTGCGCCGCCTGCGACTTCAATCGACCGGGGAAGACGTGCGATCGACGCATGCCTTGGTCGTGGAGAGGCGAGTTTCTACCCGCAAAGAGAGATGAATACAACATGATCCGGCACGCTCTGGAGAATGAAAGATTTCCAGCACGTTATCCCAACGGCTTGGCTCGCACATTCCAGGAACTCTCGCTGGATGAGCAGACCGGGCTGGTGAAGAAGCGTCTCACCGACTACAGCAAGAAGATCTACCACAAAATCCACGATGCGCGAACACTCGAACGCGAGGCCATCATTTGCCAACGAGAGAACCCCTTTTACGTCGACACGGTCCGTGACTTTCGTGATCGACGCTACGACTTCAAAGGCAAGCAGAAAGTGTGGAAGGGCAAGACGTCGGACTTGGAGAAGGCTGGCGCCAGCGCAGGCGAGATTGAAGAAGCAAAGAAGATGATTATCCTCTTCGACTCTCTGCAACTAGCCCACAAAGTCATTCTCAACTCCTTCTACGGCTACGTGATGCGGAAAGGATCACGCTGGTACTCCATGGAAATGGCCGGCGTGACCTGTCTGACGGGCGCTCACATCATCCAGATGGCACGACAGCTCGTGGAGCGTATCGGTCGTCCACTGGAACTGGACACGGACGGTATCTGGTGTATTCTTCCCGCCACATTCCCCGAGAACTTCGCCTTCAAGATGAAGAACGGGAAGAAGCTGACCATCTCGTACCCCTGCGTGATGCTGAACCATCTCGTCCACGCACGATTCACGAATCATCAGTACCAGACTCTCACCGATCCGGCCACATATCGATACGAAACGCAAAGCGACAACAGCATCTTCTTCGAAGTGGATGGCCCGTACAGGGCCATGATTCTGCCGACGTCCAAGGAGGAAGACAAGAATTTGAAGAAGCGTTATGCCGTCTTCAACAATGACGGGTCACTAGCGGAGCTGAAGGGGTTCGAAGTCAAGCGAAGGGGAGAGTTGAAGTTGATCAAGATATTCCAGCAGCAGATCTTCAAGTTCTTCCTTGAAGGGTCGACGTTGCAGGAGACGTATGAGGCGGTGGCCACGGTGGCGAACAAGTGGCTGGATGTGTTGCATTCGAAAGGCAGCACGTTGGCTGACGAGGAGCTCATTGATCTGATTTGCGAAAACAAAAGCATGACCAAGACGCTGGAGGAGTATGGGGCGCAGAAGTCTACGGCCATCACCACCGCGAAGCGTCTGGCCGAGTTCCTCGGAGAGCAGATGATCAAGGACAAAGGCTTGAACTGCAAGTACATCATCTCGAGCCGGCCGAAGAATGCGCCTGTCACGGAGCGAGCCATTCCCGTGGCCATCTTCTCTGCCGAAGAGTCCGTCAAGCGCCACTACCTCCGCAAATGGTTGCGAGAAGACCCGGGCAATATGGATCCTCGAGCTGTCGTGGATTGGAACTACTACCTCGAGCGCCTTGGATCCGTCATCCAAAAGCTCATCACGATCCCAGCTGCGCTGCAGAAGATCCGCAACCCCGTGCCCCGAGTGGCCCATCCGGACTGGCTGGACCGCAGAATCCGGACGAAGGAAGACAAGTTCCAGCAACGGAAGATGACGGACCTCTTCGACAAGAAGCCACTCAGCGAGATCAGTGCCAACAAAGTGAGTGGGCTGGTGGCCGGCGATCTGGAAGATTTTGGCGCGACGCCCATGTCGAAACTCAAGCCGGCGCTCGCGGCGAAGATTGTCAGCTCGCAGAAGCGCAAAGCCATCGAGCCTAGTGCTGCCGTCAATGTGAACCCCTACGATGCTCTGCCAGCCGTTATGCCTTCCATGTCGGAGGACTACGTCGGCTGGCTGCAGTATCAGAAGCAGAAGTGGAAGATTCAACGGCAAGCGCGCAAACGTCGACGACAGCTGTTCGGCGAGAAGCGTGTGGACGTCACCGACGCGATTGGCACGTTCTTCCGCGCCCAAGCGGAGCTTGTGTATACGGCCGACTGGCAGATTCTGCAACTCCGCGAGACGGAGACGCCGGGGGAAGTGCGGGCTTTTGTGCTCATTGACAAGAAGATCCATCAGCTGAAAGTGATTGTGCCCCGGCAGGTTTTCCTCAATCTGAGAGAGCCAGCCGCTCCAGAAATCGCAATTGATGGAATGTCGATCGAGAAGGTGACGAACTTCACCCTACCGAATGGACATTCGTCGTCGAATCTGTTCAAGATGACCATGCCGGAGCAAGTGTACGTCAAAGAGGCGGAGCAGTTGTCGATGCTCTTCAATCACGAAGGTGTGGAGGGTGTGTACGAAACGCAGGTCCCGCTCAACGTTCGCGCCATGCTGGATCTCGGCTGTGTGTGCACATTCGACGAGAGCCAGCGAGGCGTGCTGGGCAAGGGGCTAGAGCAAGGGTTCGATTTGTCCGCGCTGAGAACTGTGCCGCCCAAGCAGCCGTATATGAATGGTGCGTCGCTCAGCTACCTGGCTCTGTACCACATCAGCGCGGGAGATCGTCAGATCTACGGTGTGTTCTCGTCGAACAAGGCCGAGGCGAAGATCATCATCCTGAGCCGCGCAAGGAGCGAGCAGAGTATGCCGAATGTGGACCGCGTATACCAGGACGCTCTTACTCGCAAACTCGAGGAGACGGCCGGACAGCCATGGCAGACTGTCATTGAGTACCAAGACAGTATCCACTTCACAACCGTTCAGGTCACGACACAGCGACGAGCGCTGCAAGAATTAGGTGATGTGGTCAAGAAGATCCAGAAGGAGGAGACACAGCCCATGATACTCGTCTTGCAATCCGCGAATGCTTCGATGCTCTTGCATGATCTTCCGGCTCTGCAGGCTATGCCTGTATTGAGACTGACTCCCGACGAGAACGACAAGCAGCTTCCGCCCCTCGGATGGCAGTCGTTTGTCGCCAAGAGGCTCGTCAGCCACTATCTCGACCTGGGTCTCTGGGTTCAGCATTTGCTGGAGTTTTCGCGATACGGCAACGTGCCACTGTGTAATCTGGAAAAGGACGACCCCCGGTTCTTGATCGACATTGCGTACGCCCGACGACTGCAGAAGGAGCGCATTGTGCTGTGGTGGTCGGAAGATGCGCGGCCTGATCACGCAGGGTATCAGAAGGACGACATTATGGGCACCATGGAGACGATCGAAATGCCGTCCGTCAATCATGCTGGCACCTACTCCTCTGTCTGCATTGATCTCAGCGTTAAGAATCTCGCCATCAATACCATCTTGTCCGCCGCGGTGTTGAATGATGCCGAAGGCAGTGATCCCATCGGCATCTCTGGCGCGGGAGCACAGGAGGATGCGCTCGACGACACGACCCAGACGATTCACGCGGAGAATGAGTTCACCACCGCCGGTATTGGAGCTCTCCGGGAGATGGTGCGAGGCTGGCGGCAGGAAGCATGCAATGGTGCAGGCGGGAGCACTATGGCCGATGTCCTCGTGCAGCACCTCGTTCGCTGGATCGAAAGCCCGAGCTCGCACCTCTTCGATCGCAACCTGCACTACTATGTGCAAATGATGTCGCGCAAAGCTCTGCAGCAGCTCATGTCCGAGTTTCGACGCGTCGGATCGCACGTGGTCTTTGCCAATGCGGGTCGCTTGCTGCTGCAGACATCCAAGGCGGAAGTTGGCAATGCCTACGCTTACAGTCAGTATATCCTGAAGACGATCAGTACGAAGCCGGCGTTCCACTTCTTGGATCTGGCCATTACAGAGTACTGGGACTACCTCGTGTGGAACGACGAGTTCAACTACGGCGGCAAGGGGTGCACGGAAGTTGTCGAGGCGGAGAAGCAGGTGCTCGACACCATTATGCATTGGCAGATGTCGACGTTCCTGCCGTCGATCTTGCAGCCTCACTTTCACGACTGGATTGTCGAGTACATTGAGCTGATGCATCAACGGAAACAGCCATCTGGATTGTTGAATGGGACGCTCAGGTTGACACAGCTGCCCATTCACGCGCCAATCTTCAACGCCGAGAAGGACGATCAGACGACGCCGGGGAACGTGCTGGCCAAGTCTTTCTCCAAACCGCTACAAAAGCAGATTGTGAATTTGATAAAGCGACAACGGACGGAAGCGATGCACGAGGATCTGGTGCAGGACTGGACGTTCCCCTCCATGCCCGGCTCACACTTGTCCCTGCAAAATCCGGTGCTGGAGCTGGTCAAGAGCGTGATGCAGGTGCTCAGTCTCGACAAAACCATCACGCTCGAAGCACGATTACTGCGCAAAGAGCTGCTCCAGCTGTTTGAGGTTCGCGAATTCAGCAACGACGGCGCATTCGTCAACCCGAGCACAAGTCTGTGCATCCGCCAACTCAGCTGCACCGAGTGCTGCTTGCCCAAAGACATCGACCTCTGTCGCGACAGCGATCTCATGGCCGACGACGGGCAGCAGCGCCACTTGCTCCCACGATGCGAAAACTGCGGCGCCGTGTTCGCCAGCTTGTCCATCGAGGAGCGACTTATCGGCGATGTGCAGCGCATGCTGGTGCAGTGGATGACGCAGGATGTCAAGTGTCGGAAGTGCGCGCGCGTGCGGACAAACGATTTCATGGAGCATTGCGCTTGTGCGGGCGAGTGGACGACGACGGTCAAGAGGGAGGAGGTGGGGAGGTTGTTACGGATTTACGAGAAGGTCGCGGCGTTTTATGGGTTGAAGATGTTGGAGGTTGTGCTGGAGGGAGTTATGACGGGTGGGGTGTGACGGCCTTTTGCCTTGCATGAGAGTAGAGATTTAGAAAAGGGAACTTGCATTGAGTGTCTTGTACAGTGAACGTTACCTGAGTTGTGTATGCCTCCTAGAGGCTGCATAATTAGAGTTCACGCTAAGGCGCATGCAGGCAAGCAGGAAGGCTACGTCATGCGCTATTGGTCGGTGGAAGTGGCATGTGTTTGGAGTAAGGACGCATCTTTGTTCCTCCAACCACGCACACCTCCCCATACCGCACTGCACTCTCTTGAAACCGTTCAGCCGTTGTCTTTGTTCGATACTGACTCGTCCAAAGCACACGCCTCGCACCGCCTTTCCTGCACCACGCGCAAAAGCGCAAAGCAACATTTGTTGCAGTGTCGCCTTCAACAACACCCTCGACTACGCACCACTCCTTTTGCTGCTTGTATACCTTCACCACCTCATCCAGTAACAATGTCGAACGGACCGACCCTCCTCAACATCCCTCCTCCCCCCTCAGACCCTGTCACTCCCTCAGATGTTCCGTATGCCCCTCCCTCCCTCCCCACACCTCGACAGCTTACGCTAACCTCGAACCGCCCCTCATAGCGGCACACCCACCTCCACCACCACAAGCATGTCCGAGCTCTCCACAGTAGCAATCAAAGACGGCCACCGCGGCCACCTCCCGCACCACGGCCAAGGCAGCCACGGCCCCTCCGGCCTAGGAACGAGCCAACTCGACGCCGAGCGCGCCGACCGCATCTCCCGCCTCGCCGGCATGGAACGTGTCACCGCCCGCACCCCCTCTTCCCTCAGCAGCGGTAACCTCACCCCTGGAGTTGCTGCTGCTCCTCCTACCAACCCCCATCTCACTCACAGCTACTTTGACGCCACGGGTAATCCTGCTATCGGCCGTGAGCGCAGTACAGTCGGCAGCGCGTCTGCTACCGGTAGCGTTGGCGCGCATACCACCTGGGCTGGGAGCGAAGTTGGCGACGTGGACAAGATGAGCGAGAGTCAAGACATGGACATGGATACTTCGAGCGTGGGCGGCATGTCGGAGGAGGGAACGGGGAGTCTCGTTGCGTTTGGCGAGGGCGCGCGCACGCCGGCTCGACAGAGCACGGTTGGGAGTCCGGGGAAGACACACGCTTTCGGTGCGCGCGATGCCAAGATCATTGATGGTGTGACGTACGATCGCAATGTCGTCGATACTACCATCACCTCCGACCCGCGCCGTGGGGCAAACAGCGCTGCGCCGTCTGCTGGTGTGGAGGAGGCGGAACGGATTGTAAGGGAGATGAACACTACGAGTGCGGATCGGATGCGCAAGGGCAATCCGGCGAAGCCTGGGTTCGAGAAGTAGCGGGCACGATGCCTTGCTCACCGATATGATGCGATGACCTCTGTGGATTTGTGTTACAGGCAGGCTCTTAAGCTAGCTGCCAGCGATCGGCGTCGGAGAGTGGACTGGTATTGAAAAGGTTACGGGCATGGAAACTGCCTCGATGGATATGCCCTTTACTTTGATTGAAGGGAACGTGATGTGATACCACGAGTGACAAGGTTGCAGAGCGTTGCGGTGATTGTAGCATTTGCAGCACGACCGTCAGCTTTCTCTCTATTGCTCTATCTTTCTTTCTCACTCCATCCTCATGACTTTCGTAAATCGACCAGCTCAAATTTCAACCCGGGCCCCTCCACCACATGCCCAGGCTTCACGGCATCGGTGTAGAGATTCGTCTCGGAGTGCGGATGGAACAAGCTCCGCTGCTGGCAATTCAACACATGGCTCAACCCCGGCGGATCCGTCAAGCGAAACACACCCCAATCGGGCGTATGCCGCGGCGCACACACAATCGCGATCGCCTCGGGCAGCATGATCTGGTACCCCGAACTGGTGTGCAAATCCGGCGATGAAAGAAAGCACGTCTGCGTCGGGTGCGTATGGATCCAGCCGCAGACGAGCAATTCGTTGGCGTCGCAGTAGTCGAAGAGCGCGTTGTCGCCCTCCTCCGTCGTGTCGCACGTGTCGGACGTGCTGGTTTGGTCGGGGATGATGAGGTGGCTGATGAAGAGGGCGTTGGAGATCAGCGTGCCGCACAGGATGCCGCATGTTTCCAGGTTGCGGGAGGTGTTGGGGTGTGCGTGGTTGAGGAAGGCTTTGCGCAGGTCGGGGGGGAGGAAGACGGGGCGGAGCGGGGTGCCGGATTCGGTAAAGGCGGTCGGTTTGAAGGTGTATTTGGAGTGTGGGGATTGTGGTGTTGGGGGAGGGAGGGAGTCTCTTGATTTGGGTGGGGGGCGGGGAGGTGCAGTGTCTGTTGTGCGGGAGCTGCGGTCGAGTGATTCTTTGTCCGGACGTGCGGGTGGGATGCTTGTTGTGGGCGATTTGAGACCGGTGGCTGGCAAGGGCCAATCCATGGACTCTTCCCTCGCAGGAACGGTCGGGTAGTTGTAGGTAGACTTGGACGTTCGACGATCATCTGCCTGCGAGGACCTTTGCGAGGGCAATGAGTGCAGGTACCGCCCAGCGTCTCGCACTCCATCTCCACGCTGGTCCGCCGCCGACCCAACAGACTCGACATCGCCATCATAGTCGACGACAATTCCTCTTCGCCGCGCAGCAATCGTGTCCGGCGATATACCGGCCTGCCGACTCGACTGCCGAGTAGCATCTCTGCGTCGCAGCTCCTGGTGCGCCAGATCGACAGCCAACTGCCGGTTCTCTCCGGCATTCAACGTCCGCGCGGAGTCTTCGTACCCACCGTACTCCGAGTCGAGTGAGCCCCGACGGGAATCGTCATAGCTCCCTCGCCGTTCGTCCCTCCTCCCACGCGAGTCTCTCGTACTCTGTCGCTCAGCATTCCGCCGTTCCATGGCCGCAACGTAACGATCATAGTCCCGATTAATCCGCGGTTTCCACTGTTCGAGTTTCGACAGATTCCTCGCTACGGTCTTTTGCGCCGCAGAGATGTCAGCTTTGAATCGGGGATCATCCAAGTCATGATGCGAGGGTAATTTGCTGAGGATAAGCATAGCATGTCGATATAAGTACAGATACGCCATCTGCAAGTCGCCATCCCGCTCGCAAATGGCCGCTTCGGTGAGCAGCATCTGGCCCGCTCGCAGCCAGCTTTTGAGAGGCCGGTTGGTGCTGAACTCGAAGTCTTCGGCCATGCCGACGATTTGCTCCACATTCATGGGCTTGGAGATGGCGTGGTGATGTCGTGAGAGCGCCATTTTGGCGGTGTCTTGAGAGACGGGGAGTGTAGTAGCGACTCAGTCTACGCCCGGATTCGTGCGAGACGCAATCATCCAAATGTCCTGTCCTGGTCGTCTCAGGGGTTTACCATCGGTAGTAAGCGATTTGTTGAGTCAATGAGATGAGGTTCAAGTGAGGCCAGCTCTCGGCCATGCAAGCACGAAGACGACATAAGGTTTAGAGTTCGGCACGGCCCGACGCCACCGCATGCCGCCATCCTCCCTCGAACACGACTTCGACTCTCCTCGACATCCATTCCTTTCGCGCCGCGCTCATCAATCTGCGCTTCTCGTCAAGCTCATGGTGGGAGTGGGTAAGGCCGGCCGTCACGATGCTCACGCCTTGGTTAAGCAGCTTGTGGGCGTCACGCCCGTCATCCGCCGGGTTGCGAAGAGTCGGATCAACCCTCGCATTCCCATGCCCCGTGTAGATGTCGTGAGCGAGAGTCTTTGTGGTGGGTTGACGGACTGTGCAAGACTGGAATACCCATCGACTAATACGATCTGTTCCAGACGATGTAATCAGCTATCTGGCGCCTACGCTTGAAAAGCACAAGGGCTGCACTCTGGTGGACCTGCAGCCTGGCGCATGTCTCTTCTCCTCCAAACTGCACGATTTCCTGCAACCAAAATGGCATCTCCTGATCGAACCAGACGACCACTATTACCGGCCATTTATCAAACCGCTGTTGGACCGCCCTGGCTCCACCTACCGCTACACTCAACTCAACATCCACCACCAATCCTCATACTGGCACGAGTTTAGTCGGATACTACGAGACCCAAAACTTCTTCCACCTCGGACGCCACTTCCTCAAGGAGATCCCAACCGACGACTTCTGGACCCGAACGTGCTCATAATTGGCAACCTCGCGAGAGAAACGCGAGCAAAAACCGGGACTCACTCTGTCCAGCAAGCGCCCATGCTACTGCGCGAATTCAGTCTGCACGCACTCGCGAATCAGTTCTTCCACGAGGCCGGTCTGGTCCGTATGCTCTTCTGGCTACCTGAGAAGTTCAAGCCCGACATCTTCTCGCTCGTTCCATGGACGCGCAACGGATTCAACGTGGCTTTGGACATGGGCTTGCACATGTCGGAGGTGGCCTCGGTGCAGTCGACTGAAGCGGTCTATCAGTCTCGCAGTAAAGTGTACGCGCGTCGGACTCGTTCGAAAGAACTGGTGGCTTCCAATGCACGGCACGTTGCTGAAAAGATGCGAGAGGCTGGCATGGTGGTCCCCGCGGGACGAGACGCTCAGGTTATAGATCAAGCTGGTTCGGCGCCATCAAAGCGCGCAAATCTGCTGTCATCCCTTCAAAAGATCGCAGCCACGCCGACTGAGCTGCGGAAGACGATCGACCAAACACGCACTCGCTTGCGCGAGCTATGGCCGGCAGCTCGGGCAAAACACCAAACCAAGGCGGTGACGCTGACCTACCCTCAAGTCCAGCCTGCCGTAGACGACTACGGCAAGGGTCTGCCGGGGAACAAGCTGAACTGGTGGCGCAGTAAAATCCTCATCGACATTGGTCTGAGCATGATCAACATCGAGGCCGGCTTCAAAGCCATCGAAGAAAGTGTAAAGTCAAGCCCAGAGCTCTATGATCTGCGCAGCGAAATCTTCGCGCTGGATTCAGAGTTCGTCGATATCTGCGGCAAAGTGGCCGTTCGCACTCGCTCGTGCGTAAGCGATCTCCTCGAAGACCAGATTGCTTTCTTTCAGCATCCACCCCTTCTCAACGTCGACCAACGCGCCTACGAACCGCTGCAAGCCCAACCCTCCGACTTCTGGCCGTCGCAAAACAACCTCGCCTTGTTCGACTTTGTTCCCAAGGGTAGAGATCTGTCCGTCCCCGATCTAGCCAGCACAGACGAAGTCGTGCGCTTTTGTGCAGACTTTGTGCAGGAAATCATGTCGCATAAGACGCGCTCGTTGCCGCGCGCCCTCGACGTCGTGGGCGTGAATGCGGCCAAGGATCTCATCCCCATGGTTCCGGCTATCACTGATCCGCGCAAAGGAGGCCGGTTGAACCCGCATAGTCTGCGAGCGCGGATGGTGACGGCGGAGATGCTTGAGGGGCTGGTCAAGGCGTATTTCGAGTGGCCTTTTCGGCCGGTGTCGTGGGAGTTGGCCCTTGCGGAGAGTGCAGGCGGGCATGCTGAGGCGGAGGCAGAAGGGGATGACGCGGAAGTGGACGAAAAGCCGGAATCGTCGTGAATGATCACTGGCGGCGGATTCAATAGCAAACACCATAGCCTCACGATCCCGATGCATGAAACGACTCCGCGAACCTCACAGCCCTCCTCTCCCCATCCTCCCCATCCACCACTCCCTTCCCATTCCCATTCCCATTCCCACTCCCACTGCCACCCCTCCTCCTCTCCAACCTCCTCATCCGCGCCTCCCTCGCCTCCCTCACCCTCCACTCATTCACCTGCTGCCTACGCCTCTGCTTCCTCGACCAAGCCATCGCAGGCGTAGGCCGAAAGCCAATCCCATTGATCCCCTCGCCGTCGTCGTCCGCGTCGCTCGCGTCGATGTCGTAGCCCGTGATTTCGGAGTCTTGCCATGTGAGCGCTGTGCGGTCTTGGTCGGGGGATGATGTGGCGGGGTTGGAGGCGATGCTGTCTGTTGAGAGGGGTGGGGTTCCGTGGCGGGGGGTTGGGGTTGGTGATGTTGTCGTTGGGTTGGATTCGGGGGGAGACTCGGGGTCGACTTCCTCCTTAGGTAGCTTGCAGTCATCGGCAATTCCTCCAATCCGCTCACTCAAAGGCGTCTCCACCACCACCCTCCTAGCCCTCTTCCTCGGACTCCCCGCCTCATCCCCCGAAGACTCCCGCTGCGCAAGAAACTCCAGCTCCAACCGCCGGAACTGCTCCGCGACTTTCGTCCGCGGACTCTCGTTCCCCGCGGCTCCGCCAGGCCCCGAAGACGAGGGGCCAGACTGCTGCTGCTCGGTTGCAAGGTGAAGATGCGCGAAGGCCGGACTCCCGCTTCGGGACATGGAGATGTGTTTGCGCTTTGGAGAGGTGGGTGGCGTTTTTGGGGGTGCTGTTGTCGGAGTTGGTGTTGATGTTGAGTCCTGGTTTTGATTGTGGTTTTGATTGTGGTTGGAGATTTTGGGGTTGCGGGTAGGCGGTTTGTATGGCGGGTTGGTGTAGGGTGAGAGGATCATTTTGAATGACGGGGGTTGAAGTGATGTGATGTGATGTCTTACAGGTGTCTTTATCCAATTTGCTGTTTGAGAGTGGGCGGAGGTTGGTTTGGTCGATGTGGGGTTTTGGTGTGAAGTGGGGAGTGAGGTTGTTGGCGGGTGAGGTTGGAGGTGGGGCTGCTTAAGCCTCCAGCCAAGCACATCATCAGCTCGTGGGATTGTACAGTCCGGTCAGATGCGAAAAGGACAAAGGCAAAGCAGTATTGACCGCTGTCTCGTGCGAGGCAGTACGATCAATTTCAAGGGCTCGACGTATGCAAGACCGGCCAAAAGCCAGGGCTACCCACTCCCATCCTCCTCCCTACGTAAACCACGTCCATCCTCATATCTCACTCAATGCCAGCCAGCCGGCCGCAAGGCAAACGCCACGCTATGTGTCCAACAATGAAGCACCAATCCCCATCTACTCTACTACCCAAAGTAAGCCCGGACCGTCTGCTGCGTCTCCGCCGGCAGGCCGGCGAGCAGCTGATTGGCGTCCAAGCCCGCCGTCTGCACCAGCTTCCTCGCCGTCGCGACCGCCCGCTGCGCCGAATTGCCCTGCAGCGTCTCCGCCTCGAGCGCCTGGGCGATGTACGTGAAGCACTGGGGGGCCTTGGCCATGACTGCCGCGCTTTGTCTACATCATCACATGGTTAGCAGGGTTGCAAGTCTCGGGAACACAAGGGCCAACTCACTCATCCACCAGCTGTCCCAAGAAGGCATAAGCGTACGGCGCCGCCTCCTCATCATTCACCACCGGCAGCGTGTCCACCCACAGCGCCACCACCTCGCCCACATTCTCCACCTTTGCCCGATTGAAATGCAGAATCTTCGCAATGCTAGCGCACGCATTCTCCGTAGCAAACGCGTCGTCTTCGCTCCGCGCGTTCGCGCGCTGCGTCACCTGGAAGAGAATGGGAAGGCTGTGGTTCGCGAATTCTGCCCAGGCATCCCCGCCTTTGTGCGCGGCTACACCTGCACCGTAGCAGGCTGCTTGGCGGTTGGCGGGCGCGTCGTCGCGCATGCCATCTAGTAGCGGCTGGATGATGTGCGAGCTGTAGTGCCACGACGTGGCACCGCAGAATTCGAGAACGTCGTCGAAGATGCACAGGGCCCATTGGCGCTGCGTGGCGTCGTGGCTGGTGATGAAGACGTCGTAGTAGTTGAGCAGACGCTCCCAGTGCGGCAGGAAGGAGGGGCCTTGGTGCTTGAAGATGGTGTGGAAGGCCTTATTCATGTCGGAGAGCAGGGTTTGGTCGTCTTCGATGGCGAATTCCTCGTCCTCGCCCGCCTCCTCTCCATCCTCTCGCTCCTTTGCTTCATCTTCTCGCTCCTTCACCCGCTGCTGGTAGTCTTTGAGCACGCTCTCTGCGGAAGTAATGAAGATGGCCATGTGGTCGTTTGACAGGCAGTCCTTGCCCGTCACCTCCACCGACTCGTAGAAGCACTGGTACATTTCTGCCAGAGTCTCGATCGCCGGCTCGGTCTCCAGCACTTCCAGCACCTTTGCAATCGTCTCCTGCCAGAGCTTGACGTATTCCTGAGAATTGAGACCGTGCGCGGCCTTGAAGGAGCTGAGCAGCTGCGGAACCGCCTTAGCCGAGGCCACGCGTACAGGGTCGTGGAAGAAGAAGGCGAGGCCAGGTATGGCCACATTCTCCATAATCTCAATCACGTACGGCGCGAAGCCGGCTTCCAGGTACTGCGCGTAGATGGTGATCAGCTCGACCGCCATAAACTTGTCCTCGAGTGTGCTCGTCTTGATGCCGATGTATTTGCCCTTGAGCGGCACCAGCTCCCAGCCTTCTTCCTGCTCGAACTTGGCCACGTTCTCCTCATCATCCAGCAATTGGATGTCAGCCTTCGCCTGCGCCAGCTTCATAAGAGGCGGCATAACGGCTGGGAGGTATGGGACAAAGTCTTGACCGAGCACTCTACACATTCGGCCCCAGCAGTGAAGCAGATAGCTCTCTTGAGGATCGTCGTCATCCACGATGCCGGCTTGCACATTGCCGAGGGTCTGGACGAGGGTGAGAGCGTCTTGTCCCATCTTCTCCTTTCCGACAGCCAAGGCGATAAGTGTAGCGCATTCCATGGCTTTCGCGCGGAGGGGTCGAAGTTCGCGCTCGTTAGGCTGTTGGAGGACATTGAAGAGAAGAGGCATCAGACTGCCGTACCACTTGCCAAATGTGCTCTCGGCCGAGTCGGCTACTGTGGCGATGGTGCTCAGAGCCTGCTCCTGCACAAATCGCTTGGGACTTTGCAGTAATTGCATCAGATTCTCCAGTAAAGTGTCGAGGTAGGGTTCGAGGATCTCCTTTTCTGCTTCTTCGCAGAAGTTGACCAGGGCCGCCGCAGCATGTGATTGCACTCGGGGTTCGGGAGCACCCAAGACAGGGATGAGGGCGGGTAGAACGATGCCGTGGTATTTTGTTTGCATGGTCCCCTTGAAGTCGGTGCTCATCTGTCCGAGGGCATTGCATCCCGCCCATCGTACCCGGGGGTGTGGATCGCCGAGAGCAGGCACGACGAGATCCAAGACTTTATCCAGCTCGCTCTCCATAAGCTCCTGACACCCTTCCGAGATTGCGGAAATCGCCATCAATGCCGCGTGTCGGTCCCTCCACGCACCGGAAGCGATCATGCGCGGAAGCCAGTTGAATGTTGGCGGGAGCACGATCTGCCCGCCCAGCTTATTCGCCAATCGATCCATTGTCTGCTCGCCGGCCACGTGATTCGAGTCGCTCTCATCAAAGTCCAAGTCTTCTTGCGCGTTCCACTCTTCTGCGTTGTCATCATCCAGCCCGACATCGGTCATGAGCGACAGGCACTGCGTGACCATATCGTTCGTGTAGTTGGGGTCTTTCTTGCACATGGCGGGATTGTAATCGGCAAAGGTAGCCATGAGTTCCAACGCATTCTGCCTCGCCTGGTCATCCAGCTCTTTATCCTGCACCATACTAATGCACAGCGTGACGAGCTGGGAAAAGACGTTTTTGAACATCTTCGACGCCGTCTCGGTAAGCTCGATGATGGCCATCAACGCCTTGGACAGCAAATCCGACTCTTGAGACTCTTTCAGCGGGACAAGGGTGTTGAGAATGTCCGGGATGAGGCCGTAGTACTTGGGCTGTGACTTCTTGGTGAGTGAAGCGAAGAAGGAGGAAAAGGCGGACATGGTGGCCAGGCGGACGTCGGCGCTGTCGTCCTTGATGCCCTTCTCGAACACGCCATACGCCACACTCTCATGCTGCTTCTCGATGATGCCCGGGGTGGTCTCGAGAATGCGGAAGGCGGATTCGCGCACGGCGGGATCGGGGGATTGGCTGGCCTGGAAGAGAGCATTGAGCAGCTCGGGCCAGGTGTCCCGCGAGCCGTCGGGGTTAAGGACTTGCTCGTCTGTGTACTGCCGCGCCACCTCTGCCACCGCATCGGACATTTTGTTTCTGACGGCCGCCTTGGGCTCTTTGGCATGGCTCTCGAGCAGCTTCGTGCGGATCTGGCCTCGCTGCGCATGGCCCAGGTGTAGGAATATCTCCTTGTTCTCGTTGGTGGAGGGGTCTTTGGAGGTGCGGGTGGAGATGCGGCGGAAGAGGACAGCGGCAAAGGAGCGAGACTGGACGTGAGTTAGTTCTGGCCTCCGAGCCTGGATCGCGCGGCGCGTAAGGGGGGTGGTATGCTTACCCCTTCATCTGGTGAATCGTGCATCTGCTCCGCCAGGCCCATTAAGAGCATGTCGGGGCGTTGATTGACCCATTCTGTCGTCAGGCGCTCCTCGGCCTGTGAGCGAGCGGAGTTGTCGGTGGACTGGAGAGCCTGGAGGAGTTGGGTGAGAGCGGTATGCGCCTCTGGCGGGAGTAGCGACATTATGGGCGTGGCATGCGATTTGTGTGTGCCAATTCGAGGGGGTGTGATTGGTGGGATCGGGGGAGTCCAAGGAGTGGAGGTCGGTAGCAGTTCAACAACCACGGCACAGGGGGTGGTATGTGTTGGTTGGAATGGGGGCAATAAAAAAAGTTGCTGTCGTGAGCCGCAAGCTGGAAATTTTTGGCCGGGGTGTGGCATTCAATTGTGTGGGGAAGGTGCGACGCGCCCTGCCTGCGCACGGACTTCCTGGCCCAGCGCCCCGAACGCGACCGCGACATCATCTCTCTTCCCTCCCCTTCATCTGATGAATAACGCCAACACGCGGAAACGGTTGCATATCACGACAATGTATCTGTCCTACTGCCCGTCTAGTCCAGTATGCCCGGCCGATATCGAACCCACCGACCGCCGTCGCGAAGGATCGAGCGGTCCTTCAACGCCTGCAAAACCGTGTCCCAGTCGCGGCAGCGATGCGTGTTGCCCCAACCGCTCGTCCCCTGCGGCCAATGATGCACATCCATCGGGGGCTCGAGGGTCAGGTCGGCCTGGCACATGAACGATTGCCTGAAGTACTCCACGCAATGCGGGATATGCCCGCTTCGTTCATGATCGAGCTTCTCGCCCTGCTGGAGGAGGTGGAAGGCCGACTTGAGTGTTCCCAGGCAGTGGATCTGATGCATCAGTGTCGTTGCCCACGCTTGCGTCCCCTCTTCCCACTCTTCGTCTTCGCTTCCCCATTCTGATAGGAGCGCGCCACCGCTGAGCTCCTTGCCAGGTTGACTAGTCAATGCAACCCAGCCGCCTGGCTCGGGAGTCAGCCGTCGGTGGATATTTTAGTCGGGAGTGAGCAACTTACTTGGGTAGATGTCGGCCCATATCGAGTGTTCGTCCCCTGTGGTTTGATTGTAGAACACCTTGGGGTTTGTGTCGACGAACCGGTCGTCCTGCTCCCAAAGAACTTGCCTGTATGGAACTGGTCTAATCAGCGAATAGCTAAACAATATAGGCCGACATCAGCAACTTACTGCTTCCAAACCAAGGATCATGATCCACACTCGAATCACACAGCTGCCACGGACGGGAGACGTAGACCGCGAATCCGACAACAAGCGTGCACACGTTCGTCACAACCAACAAAAGACAAATCATCGGCCAAGGGAAGCGGCTCCGAGAACCATCATGCTTCTGCCATCGTGTTGAGATGGGTGAATCATCCATCAGAGGTTGGCTCGAGCTGTCCTTTGACGTTGATTCCATCGTGGAGACGACCGACTCAGATGTCCTGGCTGTCCTGTACGGGCAGGCGATTGAACCAACTCGGACGGCAGGCATGAGTATTCGAAATGACCGCTTATACGGCTCCGCCGTGCGAAAAGCGCGCGCCGCTCATTCTCCCACAACGATCCCTTCCATCGATGCAACCCCGCAGGTCATCATCCCGTCCATACAGCCGTGGGAGTGCCGCACAAGTGCGATCGGCGTCGATGTCCTTCTTTTAGGCAGCTCTTGATTGTGCTAGATGGGCATTGCTTTGTCTGGGAAGCTAATTCATCCGCTTGCACAACTACTGCACCCTGTATATCTTATGTACGCTAATTGCGGCTGAGGTTTGGCCATTTACCCACCGACGTCATGCTCTTGAAGTGTCTGTTTGAGAGTGCTGTGCACGCTAGGGTGGATCCACCCGGAGCCCTATCGTCTTTCAGCCGGTTATACTGATGTCCCTGTACTCTGAAGAGGTCGTAGGCCATGACGCGATTTGACTTCAGTTATGAGAACATATCGATACTATGTACATCTCTGCAAGTCGGGAAGCCTGGATGCAGTGGAGTCGTCGCCGCAAAGATGGAATACTGCTCCGCCTCCCCATCCTGGGACCGTTGTAGACTCTCAACCACTTTCCGGTGCATCTCGGCGCAGTGAGTGGTATGCGCCACCTTTCCGACGGCCTCTTCGACTGGTCGACCCGCAGCAACAGCGCGATGGAATTTGCGCACGGCAAACGAGCAATGTGCGACGTGATACTCCAACGTCGTGTACGCTACTGGACTCCTCGAGAGCTGTTCTTCGTTGATCGGTTGCGTTCGCGCCTCATCTGCCCAGAATGACCATGGCCCCAACGCCTTGAACTCATCCAGCAGTTCTCTGTCGATGCAGCTCTCCGGTAGCCACTCGTCCATCATCACGTCGAACGTGCAATTGGCCGCCTTCGCCTGACCTGGTGTTCGTCCACATGGGAATCGTAGCGGCTTCACCTGTCTGGTGGTGGCATGTGAATGTCTGATTGTTGCGTAGACGGCAGATGCGAGAGCGAGCAGTGTGGTCAGCAGCGCGGCGAGGGCTCCTATCCGGTACAGGCTGACTCGCTTTCGATCCGAATGTAATGCCGCTGTGTCCAGTGATGAGCTTTCCGTGTCCACGGGCTCATATTTGATGTCCTCGGCGCTCCACATCGTTCAACAGTCGAGCAATGGGCGGTCCTGCGAGGGAGACAAGTCGAAGAATGTAAGACTCGTGCTGTAAGATACGGCCAATCGTTCGCGGGCCCCCGTCCGTTCCTCTCGATCGTTGATCGGTTGAGAGGCATGGAATGGCCCAGTGTCCCAAGGAAAATTGCTGCCGGCTACGCAACGCCTCGTTCTACCGACAAGCAAACAAGTAATCGAGATCAAGGAGCTTGCAGCTTTCACAAGCACACCCTTCGAAGCGATGATTTCATCTCGCAGTGAGCGAACTGATCACCACAACCCCCGACGATACTTATGCCTTGACTTGGCCTAGTCAATACCGCTACTTGACGATGCACAATTCGCCCCATGGCGTCGTGTTGCAAGGATGGAAAACCTTGGTTATATGCTGCATACTCTACGCTACTGCAAGGCTAAATCCTTCGGGGATCGACAGCCTTGAGTGGAGACCCCCTCCCTCCGCAAGCCTGACTGTGGGACGTCTGCGATGTTTCACTCCTCCATCTGTTTGGCAACATCGACCGCCTTCCATCTCGACGATGTCCGAAAAGTTCAAACCGCGATACGACGAGTTGGAGCAGGAGGAAGATGCCTCTGATATTTCGCCCCGAACGGCCGTGCAGCCAACCACCATCGGCTGGAGAAAGACAATATTTGCGGCGTTCCTCGGCGCCATAATAGCCAGCGCAATCGTCTCCCTCATCGCCCTTCAATGCTACCCCCAGGTCCGCTACAAAGCGCTCAGCGAAAGGCCGTGCGGACACTCGGCCGACGAAGCAGAAGCAGCGGGATGCATATTCGATCCCATGATGAATTCCTGGCTGGCTCCAGACTGCTACGACGAAGAGCTCTCGATGGAATTCCGCAGTTGGCGAAACTGGACCTTCTACCGGGATGAGAATGCAACGCAACCGCTGACGTTGGAGGAGTTCTCGCGCGTCGGTCAATGCTGGGGGACATGGGAATTCCACATTGCTCACTGCGCTTTTGCCGTTCGCAAACTGCAACGTGCGGTCCGGAATGGGTGGAAGCTGGAGAGAGCTGTGGCTTCGGAGGAGCATGCCGCGCATTGTTTGCACACCGCCAATGTTACGTTTACGCTGATTGAGCTGGCGAAGGAGAGAGGGGAGCATTTCTCGATGCAGGACATGGGCACCGTCTTGCATACTGGTTTCCCGACTTGTCTTGAGATGCGGAACTACCTCCCTTACAAAGGTGTTGTTTTATAGCGAGGAGGTTGGCGAATTGATTCATATTCGACGTGAAACACATATTTACCTGTCGCGGCCGGCACCATAGCGGCTCAAGCTATCAGGAAAGCCTTTGAGAGTCATCACAGATGAACATCACCCCCCGTAGGAACGAGAGCCACACATCCACGAGTTCGCTATCGAGGGCAGCAAACATGACGGCTTCCAAATCACCCTTCTACATGCCTGCCTCTGCGTCATGGAAGTATTTAGCCGGCCGTGAGCTAGCAGCCTTGCCCTGGACAATCCCTCCCATCGAAGCCGTCGATCTCGGTAAGTAGTACGTGCGCTCCTCCACCCCATTCACGAGTATTGTCGACGGCGCCCGATGTAACCTCAAGCCCTATCTCGATGCCTCTGTACTCTGGTATCGTCTGGCGTCCGTCGTTTGACGTAGAATGGAATGCACCAACGCTTCAACACCACCGCTAGGCGTACCTAGCGCTCAAGCTATGATGACAACCACGCATCGCCTTGCCAACTTTGCCAATTGCACGAACGATCATCGCCACGCGTAGACCCAGCTCGCTTCCCCTCTTTGATCAGCTGCCTCTTCGGCAATGGTCGTCTGCAAGCTCTCGAGCTCCCGGTGATCTCATGGGATATCCAAATGGAGATCAGCGAAAGGACACTCAGTGCAGTAAGGTATACAAAGTGGACACCGCGGTCTTTCAGGGGTGCTCGTTGACCAATGGCTCGACACATACCGTTATAAAGGTATACTAAGACAGCTGCCCAGCAATTCGCTTCAATCAGCCTTGTGGAAGCCATATCAATCGTTTTCGTCCAATCCAAGCCCAATACATCCGCTATCAACCAACATCCCAAGCAAAATGCAGCTCTCCAACATCGTCCTCCTCGTCGTTGCTGCCTGCAGCTCGACCGTCCTCGCCGGCCCGGCGCCCTTCGACATCACAAAGAGGGCCGACAGAGCCCAGGCCACGGCTCTCAACATCGTGCCGCGCGATGTCACGGTAAGCGTCAACAAACGATGATGGGACGAATGCAGCACTTTGACTGATATACAATCCCTACAGATCACTTGCAGCGGCTACGCCGTGCCGCTGTCTAGCTATCCCTCGGAGTGCTCTGCCAACGACAACAAGTGTGCTTGCTCCCACGATATGAACCCTCCGACTGCGTCGTTGCCTCCGGTTGGGAAGTAGACTGCAGTGCCTGGATCAGGGTCGACTTGACCGAGCTGTGGACGGCTGTACTCCACACATATACAGATAGCTTCGTATTCATACACTCGCTTCCGTTGTTCAGTTTGTCTTGAATAAGTCTACTGGGGCTACAGAAGCTACAGCTCAGTCTTCTCAGCGCCTTTCGCAACGCTCGCTCCGACCCGAGGTTTCTGCACAGCCTGATCGATGTAAGAAGTAATGTCCGTCGACAACGATCGACCAAGAACCAATCCATGAACGTCGAGAGCCTCAACAAATACCTTCCCATCAACGTAGCCCCGAGCTTGCAATCTCGTCTCAAACCCAGTACGAGCCGCACTACCAATCAAAACTGCGTCTCCGCTTCCTTCGCGGTAGAAATTCCAGGACGACACCTCGGTCGCGCCATTCCAGCTAACGTAGTAGACTGTGACGGCGGACTCTTCGTCGAGACCGTAAGCAAATGCTTTCATCGCCGGCGGTTCCTGAGGTTGCCCGGTGAAGTTGAATTTGTAGGCGCGGTAGGTTACGAATCGTTTACTCGCAAACTCGGCCTCCATCAGGAGTCGACCGTCGGTGGCGTGCTCGGAAATGTGGCAGTTCTCACTCCATCCTCCGAATACATGACCGCTGGGTAATCTTTGCAGATTGCCTCGGGCTCCGGAAAACCGTTCGCCTGGACGGACGATGCGCTTCGTGACGTGAGCTGACATATTCTTCTTGTCTAGTCGGACAAAGAGGGCGGAAGTGTAATTTGACGTTCTGACAACCTCGTCTCCGCCGTTGTCGAGGAAGGAGATGGTCTCGTAGTCGTCGTTGAAGTCGATCCATTGAGCATCGTGCTGCCGCGAGAAGTTGAAGCCTTGCAGGGCAAAGTCGGAGCGCTTGCCTCCCAACCGCCATAACACGGAGCCATCGCGGCCAGATACTTTGTAGATTGCATCGACGTATCGGCCTGAGATCAGGTAATCGCCATCTGCATTCTTGTCGACAGAATTCGGGTGGAACCAATTCCACGTGTTCTCCTTGATGTCGTCCGCCAGGGGAAGTGTCGATTCTTCGAGAGACACATGAGGGTACGCATGCCATCGGAAAGTCACCTCACCCGTCTCGAGATCTAGCTCCTCAAACCCAGGGTTTTGAATCCATCCTGCTCGATGCTGGCTGCTGAGGTTCGTAAGGTCAGCACGCTCCGACAAGACGGTGATGTACAGCGCGGCCTTTCCGTCGTCGATTAGCTTCAATTCATGCATGTTGAAAATATCAACCGTCGGAGGAGCTTCAATGGTTTGTTGGAAGTTGTAAGAACTGTTCATAATGACCCCGCGGCCAACTGGATCGTTGGTATGAACGTTGAAATTGACAATGGCGGAGAGATAGGAGGTGCCATTCGGCGCCTCATACGCTCGGAAGTCGCAGGTGTTCTGATTCCGGAATTGACACGCACCGCTCCAGACCAGATTGCCGTCGCCGTCGAAGATATGCGGTCCGGTTTGGCAGGCTTGGTAGTACTTTGCGGCATGGTCCTTCTGATAGATGTCGCCGTACGGGCCTACGAACCAGTATCCTCGATCCACTTCGTCCGGTTCGTACATGGTGACCCGGAACTTTGGTGCCTTGAGTTCGGGGCGCTGCAATGGTCATGAGCAAAGCGATCTTGCGAGGCTGTTGAACAACTTACCGTCACGAAACTCTCGAGATCTCCATCGTCTCCCATCGCCAAATCAAAGGCGGCGTTGCAGAAGTGCAGAAGGGAGAGCACAACTGTAAGCCATGCCGCCATTCTTTTGCTACCACTGTGCATCGTGTCGATTCGGACGGCGGTGATATTAGCAACTAGCATACCACAACTGGCAGGAACGAATATTGCAGTCACACTGTCAAGGAACTTCTCTCAGCGAGACCGCACTGCGTACGATATCCTCGGGAATAAACATCCGCCATTCCCAGTGCACGTGTGGGAGCACGCGATAGCCATCGATGGAACAAGCAACGCTAAGAGGCCGGGGTGTCTTGGGGAGCAGGTGCTTGGGTTGCCTGTGCGTAACGGTACGGTCCACTTGGATAACTATCCCACTTCGAGTAAACCGTGCCATTTCGAGTAAGTCGCTGGCGTAGCCTGGAAGCCTGCAGCTGAATACACTAAGTTAGCTTTCCAGCTACTTGTAGCCTGAGACTAATGCATTGCAGATCTTCGACCAACTTCGACGTCAGTCGCCGAAGACGATTGCATGGGATTTGGAAGACGAGTAATATTACCCGATGATGTTGGATGCCAATTAGCCGGCCATGGCGATGTCGAAAGCCAATGACCGACGATGCCTCTTGCACGCCTGATCCAGCTGGGTGCCAGCAAAGCCGTCGGCGCAAAGGTCAACGTTGGCATCGACGCAGCTTGTTAGCCGCAGGCTTGCTTCCCCCCGCCGATTCGCCCTTGGGGCCGCCGCAGTAGTGGTGGCAGGTAGGATAGACAGAAACCCAAGGCAACGAGAACAAGAGGGTTCGTAGACGCCATGCTCTTCAAGCCATCATAAATGTCGTGGGATGCAGCCTGCGGTGCACCATCTGCCATTCGCTGCTCACTTTCGAGAAAGTACGCCGTCTCAAGCGAGCATCCAGCGTCTTGCCAAATCGGTGCCTCGATTGACGAATTTCGAATCGGAGTTCCGTCGATGGCAACAGCTTCTGCAACGATGCACCTGGAGGCACCGCCGTATGAGTAGACCGTCTCGAATCCTGTCTTGTTCTTTCTTCCGGAGTAGACGAAACCTTCCGGCTCGTTGTGTTTCGAAGTGTAAAAGTTCCAGTAGGCAACATCGGTGGCACCGTTCCAACTCACGTAGACGAGAGTAACACACTCGGATGCTGACGTCGAGTGCACTATGGCTTTGACTGTGGGTGGATGTTGCGGCCTCCCTCGAAATCCGAAGAACTTGTACGCCCGATACGTTGAAAGTCGATCCGAGAGGAAGCGAGCCTCCATCAGAACATCGCCGTCCGCGGAATGCTCCGACACGTATCCGTCGTTTGCACTCCAGCCGACGAAGATGTTGGTATCGGGCAAGATTTGCATGTTCCCTCGCAGGTGGCTGAGTTGTCCATCTGGGCGGTCCCACTTTTGGATCAGAGAAGCCTTCATTGTCGTGTGGTCCAATCTGATCAATTGGGCTGAAGAGAGATCTGCGGTCATGTCGATGCCGTCGGAAGCGTTGTTCAGGATCGAGATTCTACGAGCATCGTTCAGTTATTACCGTGATTGCTAGGACGGAGGCATGCGCGGCTTACATTGTCGTTGTGCCGTTTGCATCAACAAACCTGGCATCGTGCTGTCTGGAGAAGTTGAAGCCTTGCAATTCAAATGATGATCCGACTCCTCCCAGTTGCCACAGAATGGCACCCGTGCGTCTCGAGACTTTGTAAATGGCGTCAGTATGTCTTGCGGTAACTAAAAAGTCGCCGTTCGCATCACGATCAACGGTGTTGAGGTGACTACTCGGGGTGATTGTGGTCAGCTGCCTTGAAGCTGGATATGCCATCAGAGTATACGTACATCCAGTCCCAAACAGAGCGATCGCCGGGCTCGGGCTCTGGCTTGGTGGAGGCTGTGAGAGGAATGTGGTCGGAACAATTCCACATGAATCGTGGTTGACCGGTGAGAAGATCAATCTCTGCGAATCCCGAATCGACGAAACCCCACGAGAGATAGGGATCGTTTGACCATTGAGTGGGCGTATCGTATAAAAGTAGTGCGGATGAGCCATGGTCGGTCACTTTGAACTCGTGCATATTGATGCTTATGCCCGGGATCGGGGTGAAGACCTCGTTAACAATCGAGTAAGTGTCGTCCAAGATAAGAGCGGCGCCCTGGGGATATTTTGCGGACGATCGTGCAGTCACGATGAAAGAAAGCGCCGGCGCTCCGTGATATTCGATCTGGCGAAAGTCGCAAACCGAGCGGGTTGGAAACATGTCAGCCCCACTCCAGATCAGCGTCTGCGAAGTGAATTAGTGTGACTGTTTTCGTCAATGCCCGGCCGTGAAGACTGCAAATACCCCATCGTCCGCGTAGATATGAGGTCCGACCTGTGCGGGTACGGCGAGTTTGCCGGGATCCCGCTGGACAAGGTCTGCGTACGGAGCAACAAACCAGAAGCCCCCGGGAGTGGTTCGTGAGGCATCGTGGTTTGTGACATTGAAGATTGGCGGTCGCAAGGATGGTTCCTGCCAATTGAAGTGTTAGCATTGCGTACGTTCGGCGAACCTTTGGACATCTTGCTGAACAATTACCGAGACGAAGCGCATAAGATCGTTGTCTGCTGAGATGCAGTCGATCATTCTGATCCACAGGCATAACAGCGAAGCGCCGGCAATTGACCGCTTCGCTCCCATAATTCAATGCGCAACGCTGCGAGTTTTGTATTGGGTCGGCCGTTCATCAAGTACAAGAGTACGTCCTGCGATAGGCATGAAGTCGGCGAGATGCGCTAAAGTGGGTTAAGCTTCTCACGCACTTCCATCAAGTTGCCGGTAACGTTACCTTACCTTACCTTCTCCCACGCTTGCTTCTCGATCCATTGCTGTGGTTCAAGGACACAGTCTCGCGCCAATATGTACAAGACGGCAGTGGCCGTCGCTGTCACGGCCATGCTTGGCTACAGCATCATATCTCAATCCAACCCACTTGCGGCAGTGCAACAGTTTACGGAAGCCGCCTTCTACTCCGGGTTCCACTGTCAACCCGCACCCTACACCATGCGTATTCTGATGCTTGACCCATTGATCATTCACCTAGAAAACTTCATCACGCCTGAAGAGAGACGGCATCTACTCGAAATCAGGTGAGGAACTCCGATCATAGTCAGCAACACAATGCTCACTCCCTGACTCTGCTCAGTGCGCCGACATTGGAGCGATCAAAAGTGGCAGCCAAGAATGGATCGGAAATCTTCTCAACCTACCGAACGAGCTTGAGCACATATATCGATCGAGAGGATGCGGCCGCGCGCTGCATTTACGACCGCGTCTCGGAATTCCAGGGCTACGAGCCTGTCGACAACGTCGAGTCCATCCAAGTGACGGCGTACGCAAAGGGACAGCAATTTCGAAACCATTTCGACTGGTATGGATCCGATGCAAACGTCACGAAAGACCGCATTACCACCTTCTTTGGCATCCTTGAAGCGGATTGTGATAATTGCGGCACTCATTTCCCCGACATATCGGCGAACTGGACGGGGCTGGACGAGAGATGGTGTCGCATCGTGGATTGTGATGCAGAGGCACTGACTGTTTTGCCTCTTCCCGGGAGTGCGTTGTTTTGGCGCAATTTACACATGGATAATACGGGAGATCGAAGGACAAGACACGCTGGCTTGCCTCTATCACGCGGTACGAAGACTGGCTTGAACATATGGACACTGCGGGAGATTGAATCTCATAGCCTTGTAGCCGACCAGCAATGATGCGCTCGATGTGCAGAGCATCCTTTCAACTGACTTCTTCTTTCCCTCCAACACATCTGATTTGATGTGCCTCTCGGCGTGGGAGAAGATTTGTCACCAATTTAATGACCATGAAGATGTCCGGATGAATCCCTGAAGCTCATCGAGAGGTAGCCAGGGCCGGTCGGTAAAACCATGTCATGCGACGCACCAAACAGCAATCAGCTCGGCACCGATTGCCATCCATCCATCCTCCATATCATGGTGCAGTACATCTGCGTCATCTCTTCATCATCGCATACCCTCGCCCTCACTCGCATCCCTCGAAACGTCATGTGAGACAGCGTGTCGTCTAGCGGGTACAGCATCTTGTTAGTACAGTGCAACGTCGACGATCAATCGAGTCAGAAGAGATGCAGCCATCAACGAGCCGATCAACGAGCTCAAAGTGACGATCTTGATTGGTAGAGTGGCTTGCCCTTGGTAGCGCCATCAGGCATCCGGGGTAGGCGGGCTAAGGCTGTGGCTAGTTTGGGAGCTGAGCTGAAACGGCCCACAAGGCTCGCGCGCTTGGCTGGAAGTGGAAGGAGTGGATTAAGCGGGAGGGCAGGCATAAAATGCGTATAGCCGGATCTGCGGGCGTGGACATTCCGCGTGCTAGCTATGCGTTCCGCGCTTGACGTCGTCGGTGTAGTTCGACCTCTGCTCTTGTGCGATTGCTTCTCCGCTTGTGGTGATGGACGTGGAAAGATGGCCAAAGATCAGGGATCGCTACCACGCCGGCTTGTATGGCTTGGGGTAGCCTTGCTGGGTCTCTGCATGCTGAATCAACTGGGCAATGTGCAGGTTCTCAGCGGACTCCTGCCCTTCGCTGGCCTCACATTGTGCGAGAATCCCAAGTACACTGCACGAATCCTGTCTTACGACCCTTTGATGATTCATTTCGAAGACTTCATCACCCCGGCTGAGAGACGACATCTACTCACAACTTAGTACGCCCTTCTCCTCAACCATTCGTCGTCATATCAATGCTCACGGCAGACCAGCAAGCCAAATCTGAAGCGATCGCGAATGCAACTCCCAAACGGCTCGCACGTCGTAACACCTCGCCGAACGAGCGAGACAGCCTGGGTCCCGAAAGACGATCGAATAAGCGAGTGCATCGCAAACCGCGTCGCCGAGATCCAAGGCTACGACACCCTACCCGATATTCAAACGCTGCAGCTCGTCTCCTACCAAATTGGGCAGGAAGTGCGGCCGCATTGGGACTGGAGAAGCGGGCGGCCGGATCTGCCTACGACGTTTTTTGGCATCCTCGAGGCGGACTGCGAGCATTGTGGGACGCGGTTTACGGAGTTGACGGCTGACTGGCAGGGGGCTGATCAGAGGTGGTGTCGCATTGTTAATTGTTCTGCTCCGACGGTTGAGGTGCTGCCCTTGCCTGGGAGTGTGCTGTTTTGGAGGAACAATCATAACAATGGCGAGGGCGATTACCGGACGAGACACGCTGGCTTGCCGCCTACTCGGGGATCCAAGGTGGGGTTGAATATATGGACCAAGGTGGACATTGGTATGGAAGATTGATGCTGTAAGCTTGCGGTTCGTAGATTCGTTGTAGCATTATGAGTGGATGGGGTTCAAAGGTTTGCTTCTTGCACCTGCCTTTGCTCGCTCCAGAATATCTTGATCCAACACCTTTGACTCTTCCGCTTTCAGTGTCATCCATTCCCCTTTCGTGGCAGAGGTCAGCAAGTCCGTCAATACTAGAAGTAGGGCGACGTACGTATTGCGGAGAAATCTCGACAGGTGTGAGTGTGTTCCGAATCGACGCTTTGCTGGCCGGTGATGGGATCGAAGCGGGTGACTGGTACCGGGGTGAGGTCGGAGGAGCATTGGATTCCCTGGCGGATGATGTCGATGCAATGGTCTTTGCCCGTGGAGGAAGAGTTAGCGAGCGCTGGAGATCACGACCTTCAATGACTTACCGACGTGGTAGAGCTGCAGCTCGGCGGTGAGGCCGTGGTATGGTCGAGCGCGGTAGTAGTCACTGTAGACTTCCTTGCGGATTATGTTCTTCGGGCTGCTTAGCTGACTGGACAACTTGGAAACGTTCTCAGAGCGAGGCTGGACAAACCAAGCAATGCAGTGTGTGCAGGACATCGATCCTGCTCGATTGTGTTAGTTCAAGGGCATATACCAAGGCGCACTGCTGGATTGTGAGTACGCACCCGACTCTGTAATGTCCAGTAGCTTCATCACGCCAGTACTTCTGGTAGTCCTCCCCCCATGTACTCCTCGCTTCTTGCTCGGTGATGTAGAAGTACTGGTTGTCGAGTAGATCGTCCCAATTACGATCCAGCGCGGGACTGGGCTCGCCAACGTAGATCCGAACGTCCTCGCGAAACTGCCGTGGTGGCACTGCAGTGAAATTGAATGTTGAGGACTCGGTGAAACGGACGTTCTTGACCCGGGCGGTGTCTTTTGCAGGGACTGTGGATCGTCAGATCGAAGGATGGCAAACGATGTTCTTGCAGACGTACCAAACTCCCCGGCGCGAATGGCCGAGATTGACGACTGACATGCTGGTATCTGGAGCCAGTGTACAGTAATTAGAGTGATCAGAGCGGTTGCCAGAATCCAAACGACAGAGAAGATGAAGATTGCCCGGTAGGTAAGGACAACGAGGCCATTGGCAAGAGAAGTAGACGGTGCGTTGTCACATTTGTTCTCTTCTACCTCTCCTCCTTCCTGAAGCGGAGTGTAACGAGGGAGACTCAATGGGAACTTCAACACCATGATAATGCGCAAGTGAGGCGGAGAAGACGAGAGTTCCGACAGTGGCCAGGCTAGCAGCTTAATAGTTCAGCTCGAGGGCGATCGTCCATCCGCTAGGCATTTGAGTTCTGCGGTACTGCGCGACATCATACCTGCTCTGAATAACGCCGAAAACCGTAGAGATCGATTTCTCATTCTCAGAGGACATTCACTTGATTTTAAGTGAGGGTAAAATGCGTATAGCGTTGATACAAGAGCTTCGACAGTGTGCAAGTGTGTAAGAGGATCCAACATCTCCACAAGGCTGCAAGAGTGGGCGCAATCCAGTATACTTGTTGCCAGATTGTGCAAGATCGAGCAAAGTAAAACACGTATTTTCGGTACATATCACTTCGTCAATCAGTACGTTTCTTCGTCTCTTCCTGCCCATCACCCTCCTTCACGTCCGCGGCAGTGTCCTCATCATCCTCCTCCCAATCCTCCGCATTCTCATCCCAGTTGTCTAGCTCTTCGGTGATGCTTGCCTTGGGTACCGCCACCGCTCCCGCAATCGAGTCTCCACCCGCCTCAACAGGCACCACTCCGCCGGCATCTTCATCCCTCACCAAACCCAGCTCCACATCCTCTTCGTCCCCTTCCGGCACATCGTCTCCCGGCACAATGTCATAATGTCGATTCTTTCGTTTCCGCTCGAGCATGCGTTTGTGATACCAGCTGCACAACGCCAGCGCTAATGCCGATCCGACGACATTCGCGACGATGTCAAAGGGGTCGAATTCGCGGCCGTTGTTGGGGATGAGGCCTTGCACCACCTCCGAGCCCACGCTCAGGCCAGCGGTGCAGACGACGAGGGTCAAGTGGATGCAGCGGCGACGTGAGGTCTCGATGATCCAGTAGAAGGTGGCCTGGTAAAAACATGTCAGAGGGTTCTGCCGGAAGACATCATTGCATGCAATGCCGAATGCCAGGCACCAGCCTCTCGCAGAGTCTGCTGCCATTGTGCATCGACAGCGGGGTTTTTGTGCTTGGGAATCACGTACTGAGAGTAAAAAGAACGTGACAAAGTGTAGGCCCTTGTCGCTGCCCAGCGGAGTGGGTATACGGGTGGTAGAGAGGCCGAGATATGCAGCGAGGAGCACGAGGACAGCAAAGGCAGCTGGGTTTGCTGGTTAGCACTGGTCATTGCCCTGGGGGATAGTAGGCGATTCACCCGCAAACGGTTGCCGTATACGTGCGGCCGGCATCACCGCGCAGTATTTAGCATTTTCTCACACCCATTAAGGCAGTGAAGTGAAGGTGGTGCAGTGAACACGAATGCCACCTGAAACACGTCGATGCTTACATAAGCGCGACGTGACGCCCGCCGTGCTCGAACCTCCGCACGTCGGTCTCAAACTTTCCACCAAACCTCACTCCAACTTGCACGCGGAGAAGCCAGAGCTGAGCGACCGCAAGCCCACGAGAATCATCGAACTGCCACGCAACCATCGATTCTCATCAATCAAGTGACGTTTTCATCATCCTTGAGTGTTGCCGCTTTCGATGAGACCAATTTCAGCCCGCCAAACCCCAAGTCTCGCCGGGCGCGCACCCTTCCCCTCGCTTGTAAGCGGGGAGAGACGGGCAGCGACGCGGGGATGACCTCGACGCCTCAACGCGCCCTCCCCAACGGCCATCATCCCCGACCCAATGGCATCAATGGCAGCGCACGTCGCGGTGTCAGCATGACAAGAGATGGCACTGCAGGCTCCAGCCTGGGCCTGCCCCCAGCCAGTGAAGTCGGGGAGGAGATGCGGGAGGAGGACGATCCGGTGCACGCTGCTCTGCGGGCACGATGGCTTCAACAAGAAGACACCATTACCACACTCTTCAGCGCCGATGCTCAGGCAATGCGCAAACAACTCAAACGTCGCACTCCCCATGACGAGTCCACCACTGAGTCCGCTCAGCGCGAGTACGATGCCAAGACTTCAGCGCCGCCTCGAAAGGCCGCTCGCGTAATCGTGGAAGACGACTATGGCGATGACGACAGTGACGAGGAAGATGACACTGCCAAACAAAGCCCGCTCAAGTCCAAGGGTGCTTCTACCCTCACTACCACCGCCACACGCTCCCCCGCACCATCAACCATACCCCCACCTCACCGAAGCAATACCGCCACTTCCACCGAACCCGCCAAAAGCTCCGAAGATGTGCGCAAACAGTTGGAGGAGGACAAGAAGTTGGCTGCAGAATCAGCGAAGCGCACCTTTCAGGGCATGTACTTCACCTTTGAGTATGATGCAGATGCCATGCTTGAGCAGCAGAAGTTGGATGAGCTGGATCGCGAGGTGGAGAATGAGATTTCAGGTGGGCCCAACACCTCATCAGGGGCACAACAAGGAGCTGGCTCATCATCGGGTGCCGCAGCCACACAAGGCACGTTGGGCAGTGCAGATCTCGGCGCATCGAGCCTGACCCTCAAGCACCTCATCGCACGCATTGACTCAAAGCGCTTCCTGGTCAAGGCTTCAGATAACCAACTCAGAACGCTCATCTCGGAAGTTAGAAAGGGTCGCAGCAAATGGGCGTCGGAAGATCGAGTGGGGCAGGAGGAGCTCTACGAAGCGGCGGAGAAGGTTCTCATGGAGCTCAAGGCCATGACCGAGTATGCTCAGCCCTTCCTCCAACGCGTGAACAAACGCGACGCTCCCGACTACTTCAACGTCATCAAATACCCCATGGACATCGGCACGATGCTCAAGAAGCTCAAGTCCTTTGCGTACAAGAGCAAGAAGGACTTTGTGGACGACCTGAACTTCATCTGGAGCAATTGTCTCAAGTACAATCAAGACCCCGCGCACCCGCTCCGCAAGAAAGCACTCTACATGCGCAAGGAGACGGACAAACTCACCCCACTCATCCCCGAGATCACCGTGCGTGACCGGGCAGAGGTTGAGGCCGAGGAACGCCGACAGCATGCCCTGGATGCGGATGAAAGTGACGATGATGACGCCCCCATCATGGCATCGAGAGGAAGGACGGCTCCCAAGAAAGGGGTAAAGGGTGGATCGGCCTCATCAAAGCGGCCGCCTACCTTGGCTGTGGATGAACTGTCATCTACGCCGGCGCCCGATCCCAAACCAGCAATGCACCCTCTGGCTTCCGGACTTCGCAATGGAGCTCTGCGTGCGGACTCTGAAGTTCACGACGCCAGTTCAGCAGGCTTCAATACCCCGCCCCCGGGAAACGCCACGCCGTTGGGCTCGTTAGGCGTTAACGGCGTGCATGGGAGCGGCGCACCAGGCAGTCAAGCCGATATCACGGAAGTGGATGCTACCGGTGCATCAATCGTGAGCTCAACGGAAGACGCAGAAGAAGACGACACGGAATTCAAGGGGTGGAAGCAGGTCACGAAGAAGGACCGCGCACAGGCCGCCGCCGAGCGTCACCGTCTGTTCGTTGGCGAGCAGTTGAAACACATCAACGTCGACGAACCTGCACTGCTCAGAACGAAAGCGGGCATGCGCAGGTGGATGCGACAGCAGAAGATGGCGCCATCCGAGCGACCGTCCGCAGAAGGAGAGATGGATGAGGGATTTGGTGATGTGGAACAGACCGCGCAAGGCGAGACACTTGCTGAAGGGATTGAGAAGGACGAAGATTCCACCCTTCCCGACTACTACACCTCCCTCTCCGCCATTCCCGACATTGACGCGAAGTTGAAATGGATTACCGACTCTGAAGGCTACGCCGTGCCACAAACAGATGAATGCATGCGCATGTTCCCTCGCGAGCAGTTCAAGTCTCCCGAAAGCACATTCACGAAGAAGATGGAAGCCAACATTCGCCAAATGCAAGAGACGCGGAAGATCTGCTCGAAGATTGGTGTCGTGAAGCAGATGCAGATCCAGGCACAGGTGAGTTCTTCCTCGCTCCTCTCACACACTTGACGGTACTAACATCATGCAGACCTACCAGAACCAATTCCAGAAGTACGAGCCTCAGCCGTTTGTCGAGCAGGACGTCGGGCCTGTTGTTGTGTCAGACGACGGACCCATCATGGCTCCGTGGGTCTGCCGCGCGGCATTCAAGCGCAGTATCGGCAAAGTCTTCTATCAGGCTGGCTTCGAGGAATTCCAACCCTCCGCGATGGAGGCCATGACCGACATTGCATCCGACTACTTTGGCGCGCTGGTGAACAGCTTCAAGAAATTCCGCGAGCCGAGCAAAGACGACGAAGGTCGCCCTCGCTTCACCTTTGAAGAGCAAGTCTTGCATGCTCTACATGAGAATGGCCTGGATATGGAAGCGCTTGAGACGTACGTCAAGGACGATGTTGACCGGCTGGGCTCGAAGCTGGGCGTGGTGCATGAGCGGATGAAGTCGCATCTTGCAGACTTGCTTGTAAGATTGACTCCTCCCTCCTGCAATCTGATCGTAACTAACAGTATCCTGCAGCGCCCCGCACTTGGCGACAGCGCAGGTGTCGATGGTGTCGGCGCCTTCAACGACGGCAGCGAGCAGTTTGTGGGTGGCGACTATGCCGAAGAAATTGGAGAAGACTTTTTCGGCTTCCGCGAACTCGGCCTGGCCGACGAGCTTGGCTTAGAGTCGCTCAGTGTGCCTCTCCACCTGCTGCAGAACCGCGTGCACAGCGCCTACCAATCGCAGAATCAAGGTCCTGTGGCTACGACCGGCCTCACCTTCGAGCCCCCGCCTGCCTACGAACCGATTACAGTCGACAACCTGTCCAATCAGATTGGCTTGGTGCACGACTTTTTTCGCGAGAAGCTGCGCAAGAACCACGACGAGCCTTTGGTCGAAGACGAAGACTTGCCGCAGAAGCAACGCTTCCCGAAACCGCGCCTGCCGCCTACGGGCAAGATCAGCTCCCCGCGGAAGCGTCCGTTGCGCGAGCAGCAGCAGGCCGCGAAGAAGAAGCGTAAATTGGAAGAGAGCGGGCTGGGCAATAATCAGAAGTCTCAACAGCCGCCCATCTCGAAGCTGAAGTTGGACTTGCCGCCTCCTACCACCACCCGACATGCACCAGACGATTCCAATTCCGCGGTCGATCCGGAGAAGGATGGCGATGTGGGGACTGCCGACAACAACGCGTTGATCAGTCCCGAGAGCATTGCTGCTAATTAGGGGTCAAACTCCCTTCCACTGACCGGCGCGGAATTGGCATCGAATGGCGCAGGGAAGAAGCGTACATTGGAAGAGAGCGGATTGAGTGAGGACCAACAGCCGCCTGCACAGAAGCGGAAGCGAGGGATTTCGCCTCCTCCGACAGCACGGACGCTTGAAGCGTGGAGGAAGCGCAAGATGCAGGAGGCCGGATTGCTTGGTGTGCCAGCATCTCAACTGTTGCCTGCGCAGAAGCAGAAGCTGGACAGTATCCTGATGCCGCCTCCGAGATGGACGAATCGCGCGGACAGCGGGTTGATGCCCACTTCGACAGACGAGGAGGATGATGCCGAAGAGGAGGACGATCCGCCCGATGAGGTTCCCATGAAGAAGTACAAAGGATATTCGAAGTCGATTCGAGCGTTTGCGATGGGTACGCCGGGGATGGAGGAGGGTGGGCCAGAAGACGACGAGATTGAATTGTCGCCTGGTTTGAAGAAGATCATCGACGGGGTGCTGATGCCGCCTCCGGAGTGGACGAGGCACGAAGACAGCGGCTTGCCCGAATGGAAGCCTCGACAGACGCCTGCTTCGAAGCAGCAAGGGCAGAAGAAGATACCAATGTCCGCCAAAGCGAAGAAGATCCTGGACACGCTGCTGATGCCGCCTCCGAAGTGGACGAGGCACGAGGACAGCGGGTTGCCTGACCGGAAGCCTCAACAGAAGTCTGGTTCGAAGAAGACGCACAAGACGCCATCATCGATCACGACGACGGAGGGCGCAGGGAAGAAGCGCAAGTTGAAGAGCCAGATGGAAGAGGACGACGAAGATTATGAACCGCCCTGGGTGGAGGAGTTGGAGGGGCCGTGGGTTTCGGCAGCGAAGAGGCTCAAGCTGAACAATGGCTCTTCATCGTCTTTTGGTTTCCGGAGCCCGGGGACGCAGCGGCAGACATCGAAGAAGCGCAATCGGGTCATGGACGAGGACGATAATGGACTGGATGAGTGGGCTGCGGATCTCAAGAAGGGCAAGCCCAAGAAGACTGGATCGGGGAAGCAAGTATCTGGTCAGTCGTCACTTTCGGGGCGTAGACTGGAGACGCCACCGCCGACGTCGCGGACGCGCAAGGCGGAATTCAAGGACAAATTCGACCACGACTCCGACGAAGAATTCGACGACCTAGATCTTGAACTGCTGGGGATGCTGGGGACGCGGCATTCGAAAGGGAAGAAGCGCAAGCTGAAGGAGACCGACTTGGGCAATGAAGAGTCTGTCCAGCAGCCGCCTACTTCGAAGCCGAGGTTGAGTTGGTCACCCACATCAACCAGCCCCCGCGAGCTCAAGGGTTACATTTCGCCCCCTACCACGAGCCCACAAGCGCCCGAGGGCTACATCTCCGCCACGGAGCTCCAGAGGAATGCCAATGCTCGCGCTCCGGACCCTCTCGATGTCGACGCCATCACCGCCGAGGATTTTGAACTTGATGAGCGCCTCCTGGATGCCCTGCTCGCGGACTTGCATGGAGATGACCAGCAGCAGGAGGTGAACGTGAACGACGGCAAGATTGGAGAGAAAGTATGCGACGAGGACGACGGGTGGAACTCCGACATGGACGCCCCGTCTGTCGACGACGATTGATGGGTGAAATTCCCGACGAGGCCGAGGGGGTTCAGGTGCCGGGTCGTGACTCCTGGATATCAACTCTTCGGCTGGGCTTAATTCGACCACCACGACTGTTTCTTTCCTTTTTTGGGTTTGGCGTTTGGGCTGGGAAAGGCACCGGTGGAGCGGGACTGTTTTTCATACCCACAGCTTTTGCTGTCTGCTGCTACTACTGTTTTTTTGCATCGAGGCTTTTCGCACGAACGGGAAGAGAGTGCTGAGCCGCGGATTGTGTATTTGGCTGGGACCGAGACGGGACAGCGCGGCGACGGACTGCACATGCCACGTACGGCACATGGGAGGAGAAGAGAAAGGGAGAATTTCAGAAAAGGGGCAAGCAGGCTTCGTTGGATTTGTTACGCCAGTTGGAAAGCACGCAAGGGGAGAAAGAAGGGGGCGTCGGCAGGGCAGGCTGGACGAGCGAACATGGGTATGCCATGGTGCTGGGTTACATGGAGCGGGCTTTCGGGCTTTGCAACCATTTTCCCCATGCTACCGTGCATCACTCGTAGTGAGTTTGGCTTTGCGTTGTTGGTTGGACTCTCTGATTTTTTTGCTTGCGTGCGAGCTACCTAGCTTAGTGGATTGAATGACTTGCTTTCCCCGTCTTGTTGTCCTCGTGTCTCACTGTGCGCTCTCATGTGAAGAAGTGACGTTTGCGGGTATTCAATGACGTAACATTCGCCTGTCTCAATGATATTCAACCTTCCAGATCCTCCGCACAAAGATAGCAATACATCGAAAAGAACTTCATCAACATTCGTACAAGTCATGAACATCCCTTCCGCCTTCACTTTTCGATATCCGCCAAATCCGCTTCCAGGCCCAGCCAGGCACCCACAGCACCAAGATATAAGAAACCCCTTCCAAATGTGGAACGCCGCCAGCTCACAGAGCACCCCGAATCTTGGCATACAGCTCCGTATCGAGGAAGTTGTAATGCGGGTCGGAGATGCAAAAGGGCGCCGCGAGCAGCGTTTCGGCAGTCGGGCGTTCGCCGGGATCACTGTTGTCCACAATTAGCCACTGCGTCTCGACATCCGGCGCAAGAAGAAGTGAACACTCACATTGTAAAACAATCGTACATGAAGCCCAACGCCGCCGGCCCGACGACAGAACTGACGTCGTCGGGGATAGGCGGCGCCTGGTTCAAGCTGCCAAGTTTGTAGATGGCGCCGATGGCTTCTTCCTTGCTCCACGGTCGCCGGCCGGCGAACATCTCCAGCACTACGCAGCCCAGCGACCAAATGTCCACCTTGGCACTGTACCCTTTGTTCATCGCGGCCGCGGGATCGCCGGGATCGATGCCGCTGCTATCATTCAGGACCCCGCCCGGCTGCGACTGCGCCCGAATGACCTCGGGCGCCATCCAGAAGACGGAGCCCTGCATACTGTTAGTAATGTCGTTGTTGTACGGGTTGGCGCTGCGCTTCGAGATGCCGAAATCGGAGATTTTGCACGTCCCGTCGAGGTCGAGGAGGATGTTGTCGGCTTTCAGGTCGCGGTGCAGGATGCCCTCGCTGTGCAGGTAGGAGAGGCCGTTGAGCGTTTGGTGCGTGAGGGAGGAGACGACGGATTCCTCGAACTTGCCGTGCTTGCGGATGCACGAGCCCACGCTGCCGCCCGAGATGTACTCGAGGAAGATGGAGATGCTGTACTCCTTGCGCTCGCAGCCGAGGTATTGCACGATGTTGACGTGGTCTAGATCCTTCATCGTGTCGATTTCGATGTCGAGGGCTTTGACCATCTCGCGGATCTTGGCGGGGTCGGTGTTGGATGCGGTGGGGTTGACTTCGACTTGCTTGACGGCCAGCAGTTCGCCGGTGGTGGTGTTCATGCCGAGGTAGACACGGCCAAAGGTGCCCTTGCCAATCAGTTGACCGCGCATCCATTTGAACGTAGGCTGGCGCTCGGGATGTCGGTGATGCATGTTGCCCCGCGGTATCGTATCCTGCGGAATAGTCTCGAGATTGTGAATCAAGCGACTGCCACGCTGCGGCTTCACCTGCTCAATCCTCGCGCCAAACATCTTCGTGCTCTTCCTCCGCCCAATGCCGCCCTCGTTCTGCAGCATGGCAATCCGCGGCGTAGTCATTGGAGTTCCGCTCGCTCGACTGGATGCAAACGAGGAAGTCGAGGGGATATGCTGCGGCGGGCCGGTCGGGATGTTGTAGTTTTTCTTCACGACATCACGGATGCTCTTCGTCCTGCCGAGTCCCACGGCTTTGCGCATGCTCTGTTGAGCGACACTTGGTTTGCGGGAAGCTGCATCGCTTTCGTCGGCGCTCGAGGGTGGTGTCATGCTCCTGCCACTTCCCTTTGGATCCTGAGACGATGAATTGGGCCCGAGTGTGCTGGGCTGTATGGAAACAGGACTGGCCTCTGGGTGCTCGGCTCCCTCCTCCACGACCGGCTGATCGAGATCAACATGAGGGAAGAAGTCGTCTAGATGCTCCACAATGCCCTCAGCCGGAGGACGATTAGCCCACATGTCACTGGCAAACGTCTGCGAGCCACGACGAAGCGGTTCATCCGGGGAGTCCGTGGAGTACGAAGCCGAAGACGGGACTGCTCGATCGGTAGTATCGTCACTGCCTCGCTTCTCGGACATCTGCGCCGCCTCAAACTTGATATTTGCCTTGGAAGTCTTGAGCTTCAACTCGGGCTTATTCGGCGAATGAGTTGGGGACTCGCTGCCGATCCCCAGCACCTGTTGGGCTTTTGCCATGGAGCCCGATCGGGCGGCAGCAGCCTTTTGCTGTTGGTGTTTGAGAAGCGGGACAGCAAAGAGTCCATCGTCGGAGTCTTCACTATCTTCCTCCTGCACAACCGCCGGGCTGCGCTGGAAGTCTACCTGCTTCGCGGGCAGTTCAAAGCTCGGCCCCCGACGAGTGCTGTGTCGATTCAAGCGATTCACCATTGGCTGCGTCGTGGCCGGACTCAAGTCGGGCGTGGGCACGGGCTGTGTCGACCTGACCTTGTTCATAGAGGGGTTGGTAGGGATGTCAAGTTTGAGCGTCGGTTGCTGGCTTGCTCGCAGCGTATCTTCATCTTCATCCCGATCTTCGTTGTCGGCGTTGTCCGCATAGTGAGGAATCTTGAAGATTTGGCCACCTTTGGAGGCCGTAAAGGGGCTACGAGGCGACGCGCGATTCTGGGAATCGATGCGGCTCAGGTTGAGATCCACCGCGCTCGGACGATGAGCCGGTTGCTGCCTCTCATCAGATGGCGCGGCTGCGCTCGAGGGTGTACCAATGGCTCGTGCGGCCATTCCGGCACCGACCAAGGCCCCCGCGATACCCGACGGCTTCCTACCACCCTCTTCCGCAATGTAGCCATTCGAAATCCTCTTCCACGGCTCGTCCTTGCGATTCGGCCAGCTCGTCCGGAGAGCGTTAGCAGCGGCACTGTTCTTCTTCACACTATCCGCCTTCCTGACAGTATTGGTCGGCTCAGGAACCGGAGGCGGCCTACGCATCGGGACCAAGTTGTCGGTCTTGCGCTCCGTATCCGCACCACCGTCTAGCAATACTGGGCGTGGACTGGTCGCCAAGGGACTGGGGGATCGCAGTTCGTCAAAGTCATGCACGCCTTTGCCATCTGCGAGTCTTGTCTTGCGCGCTTCAAGGAATGCACTTTGCTTTCGCTCCGTATCCCGTCGGTGTTCCTCCGCTTTCGCCTCCAGCAAAGCGCGGCGTTCCTGCTCGGGCATGTCTCTGCTTCCATCGACAGTCGCGGGGGGCTGGTTGCTCGATGAATCGGTTGCGTTGGGGAGATGTGGCGGCGGCGATTGCGTAAAGTGCAAGCCTAGACCTGCACTTTGCGGTGCGGCATTTGGCGCGTTCGGTGCCCTCACAAAAAGCTTTAGGCTCCCCAGACCATCCGCTGCGCTTCGCTTCGCATTCAGTAATGCTTGGTCGTTCAGAGGCTCCTCGTGCTCCGTCTGTCCGGGACTTGTCATGTGCATGGAAACGTCGGGACCCTCGCTCAAGCCGAGATTGAAGCAGATGACCCTCCGCAGATGCTCAGCGCTCTCGACAAGCGTGATGTCCACCAATCTGTAATTCCAGCCGTCCGGGGTGACGAAGACAAACTTGCGATCATCATCCTGAGGCACTTGTCGGGCACTGTTTAGGGCTCCGTGCGAATTGACAGCATCGACATTCTGCCCATTGGCTTGCTTGCCGAAGAAACCGGCATCACTGGGTCGCGTGGCGTATGGAGAAGCGGGACTGTGCTCGTCTTCGGGAGAAGGATGAGCATCGTCCCTCTTCGCCGTCCGCCGGAACTTGTCGAGGAAGCCTCGTTTGTGGTCCTTGGCACTAACGGGGTTGTCTTGACTATTCCGCTTCTCCAACATCGGCCGCCCGCCTTCCGTCGCATGTCGGCGCCTATCATCCGCAGGCTTCGGAAATGGTGCATCGCCGTCAGCCTTGTGTGGATCACTTGTCCGGCCCTGTGCAGTGGCCGGGGAGATGGAGGTTTTGGCAATGTTTGTCTCGCTGCTGACGCCTCGACTATGACTGAAATAGCGGTAACCCGCGCCAGCGCCGGCCGGCTTGACATTGGCCAGGCCTGGGCTTTGCGCAGGTGAGTTTGACATTGTCCGCGTAGCTGCTGTGCCTATTTCGCCGCTCGCACTGGGAGAGTGGCGCTTGGGAATGTCGCCGACGGAGCTCCAAGCATCTTTGCCCAAGTGACTCCGGATACTGGCGACGTCGTTTCGCATGCTTTCGCTGACTGCGCTGTCGTAGGTATGTGCACGAGGATGAGAAGTATTTGCCGGCCTGGGCGGGAGAGGAGGCATGGATTGGCCGGGGGATTCCTCGCCGGTGCCTCCAGCAGTACTTGGCGTCGATCCGAATTGACCCCCGTGCCCTCGATTTTGCAGATCGGGTGAATTTTCCAGGTTGCCCTCCGTGCCCCCACTGCCCGAGAACAAAGTAGATTCACGGCGCCGATCAGTTCGCGTTGTCGGCACGGCGGTCGAGCTGGCCGGGGCACTCCCCCCACCCGTACTAATGACATCCCTCACCAATCTCCGCAATCTCCGGCCTTCTTCTCGCTCGCGGTTCTGGTCGTAGACTCCACCATTCACCGTGTACTCTCTCGACACCTGCGGGATGGCGGTCTGAGGCATGAATCCAATATTCCGCTGCCCTCCACTTCGGCCGATGTCGAGGAACTGCGCGCCGTGAACATTCAGATGGCGAAAAGCGGCTTGCCACTCTTTGCTGAACGAGTTCGCCTGAAGCCATTGTTGCACCCGGTCGATTGTCCAGTGCTGGTCTTGCGGACTGCCTGGCGAGTCTGACGCGTGCTCGCGCGGACCCACGCGCTCACTGCCGTGGCTCGATATGGGTGGTATCGCAGGCTGCCTCATCTGATCTTGCGCAGGCGAGGATTGGTATTCTTCTCTTTCTTTGGCGGGAGGCAGCATGACTGTCTTCTGGCGCGACGTCGGCGTGGGGGGAGGGAAGGTGGTCTGTGGTGGGAGTGTCTGATGCTGCATCTGGAGATGCGCTTGATGCTGGGAAGGGTGAAGATGGGATGCGGGGCCGGAGAAGGTATTGTTGTTGCTGAGCCACTTATTGTGTTCCGCGTAAGCATCGTAGTTGTAATTTGTAGGACGATTTGGCTGCGAGCGCTGCGGATCCAAGGGTGGGTTTCCCACGCCTGGACCCCAGCTGAGACCATCTGGGATGTAGGTGGCGGAGGTAAGAGGTTGGTTTTCGGGAGGCAAGGGTGGGTATTGCATGTACTCTGCGTATGCCGTGGGGGCGTATGCGCGCGGTTCTCGTGGAGGAGGGTAGGTCTGCTGTTGTTGCGGCTGGCGAGGGTACAGGCCGCCCATGTGCCCAGGCGGAATTGGAGGAGGGGGCATGTAGGAGCCATGCGGCGGCGAAGCATGAGGCATTGGTCGAGGCGGCGGAGGGGGGAGCTGCATTCCTGCACTCGGCGGCGCAGATGGAGGGGGAGGAGGAGGGATGTAGGAGCCGCTGCCAGAAGGGTGGCGCTGCCCTGGTTGCCCCCATGGACTCTGCATGGCTGCGGGGTGTGGTGTCTTCTCTTATGGCGAAGGCTCAGCGCGGGAGGAGTGCGGAGGAAGGGTTGGGAGAGTATGCCAGATGATCCCCCGCCCATGCGCGCATGCTATGTCGAGCTTGCGCAGAGCTTCTCATCCTCCTCGTAGGCAGCATGCGTGATGTCGCAGGTCCGGGGCGTGCGATGATGCGATGAAGTGTAGTTGGCGCGGGAGAAGTCTGCAGGAATCGGGGGGAGTAGAGTCGCGGCGACGAGCAGGCTTTTCGACACGCAGCGACCAGGTGTGTGTGGTGTCAACAGTGTCGAGCCAAGACCGCAGAAGACCAGGAACGTCGTACTCCAAACACTCGTCAACACACCACGAGCCGCCGTACGTCGACCATCCCGCGCCGTCCATCAAGCGAATGCCGTCAAGTGGGTTCCAAAGGCGCTAGTGAACTCTATTTGGTGGGAATACGAGGTCGAGCTAGAGAATGTGAAACTCTAATTCGACGACCGCGTCGACACCCAACCAGCCCTCTCATATCATGGACGAATGGTAGGCAAATTCAAAGGCTGCACGCGCAACAATTGATTTGACAAATTACATGACGAAAAGGGAATTCATAGGCCAGACTCCACTCCGAAAACCACTCCACCCTCAACCCGAGCCTCCCGAGACCGTGTCACACTTGTTCGTCTGCGTATTGCAGCTCACCACCAGCCCAGGCGTGATATCTGCAGTCTGGAATGAATACGTATACCCCACTTCCGTGCCTGCAGAGTTGACTGTTCATCAAATTAGCCTGACATCCCATCGGCAAGACGGGTGAGTACTCACCACCCTGCATCCCAACTGCTGCATATATCCCGCTATCACTCGCCCCGCCCGTCTGATAGTACGTGTAGAGGAATACTCCCGGCGTCGTGATGTTGTACGACACCGTGAAATGGAACGTCTCGCTCGCATTCACCGTGCCTTGAGTAGTGCCTCGATTCAAATAATACTCATACGTCACGCTGTCGCCCGACGCCGGAATCTCGTAAAAGATGCCATCCTGTGGCGTCGAGTTGCCGCGCAGGTACATGTCGTCGAAGAAAGGCGCGACGGTGTTGTTGGGGATGTTGTTGGCGGGGAACTTCTGCACCGAGTACTGCGAGCTGCCGGAGAGGATGGAGATGTAGCCGTTGGTGCTGGCGTAGGTCGTCATGCTCGACTTTGAGTAGATTTGCATGGCAAAGGGGAGGGTGATGGGGCAGTAGTTGTCGTCTTCGTCGGAGCCGGCGGGATCGTCGAAGGAGCAGGGCGTTGGCGAGGCGAGGACGAGGTAGCCTGTGCGGGTAGAGGAGGAAGAAGTGCTTGTCGTGGAGGCAGAAGACGAAGACGTTGGTGCGGATGTCACACTGCTGGAGCTGCTGGAGATAGAGCTTGACGTGGCAGTAGTACTCGTTGACGTGGAAGTTGACGATGCCGGAGTGTAAGTGGCTGGCGTAGCTTTGATGTACGATGCAAGCACTGCTGCATCAACACCAGTATCGTTGGTCTGGTCCGTGAATCCGAAGTGGAAGTAGCAAGGGCCGTCCGTGTACGACACCGCAACGCAGGGACCGTCTGATCCGGCACTCTGTTCATGGCAGGCATCGATACATGCGCCAAGGGTTGCAAAGCTGCTGTCGTTGAATGCTCCAGGTTCGAAATTGGTGTTGCAGAGAACCTCGTACAGGTTTCCCGCAGTGTCTGTGAAGCCAGTTCCGTTCGCTGCGGGACACATTGGATCAAAGGTGGAGGGCGTTCCGGATGCTGTTGTCGAGGAGGTGGTAGATGAGGTGGTGGACGTTGATGTTGAGGTGGGCGATGCAGTCGACGATGAAGAAGTCGACGTCGTGGTTGACGATGAGGAATGAGAGCTCGTGCTTGATACTGAGCTGCTGGCAGAGCTTGAGGAAGACGTCGTCGAGCTTGTGGTAGATGTCGTAGAAATGGGCGTCGACATTGTCATGCTTGAACTGCTGCTTGGGGTGGAAACCGGCTTAATAACCCCAGAGCTCACCGTAGAAGTCACAGTACTTCCCATCGTCGACATCGGCGTGGTCGTAGTCGTGGGCGGATTCGTCTTCTGAGCCAGATCCTGCGGAGGAACAGCGGCAGCGATGGCGCCCGGCGCCTTCTTCTGGCTCGTCACCGTGCTGAGAAGAGTACACTCATCACTCGTGTGGTTGTAATTGAATGCAACGCAGGCTTTGTACCTATCGCAGAGCGTTTGACAGTCGCCGAGAGTGTACTCAATGGCACGCTTCTGGGGTGGCAGGCCGACGATGCCGGTGGTGTTGATGGTGGTGCCGCTGTATTCTACGCCGCAAGTCGTGTTGTACGTGTTGCCTCCGGCGCTTGAGCAGGTAGTCGAGGTGGTGTTTGGTGAGGTGGAATTCGAACCGCAGAGGGCAGCTGATGATGTAGGGCAGGGAGGTGCTGCTGGAGAGGTGGTGGTAGACGTAGCGGTAGATGTAGCGGTGGAATTGGCCGGCAGAGTGTTATTGACAGTAATGGGATTATTTGGGCCGATTGGTCCGTTGGGAGAGGTGAAAGTCGACGTTGGCATTGATGAGGTGTTGTAGAATTTCGAAACACGAATCGCAGCAACGAATCCAGGAACGTCACGCGTGATGTGGGGGTTGGTACTGTTTTGGAATGAACAGATGCCCGCACCGACACCATCGGCGCCTCCGGCGTAGGAGAAAGCAGTGCAGTGTGGCTGAGCATCGCAAAGAGCGAAACATTGGTCGAAGGAGTTGGGAACGGCAATGGAGTTGTAGGCCATGGACGTAATCTCCGCGTTGCAGCTGATGTTGTATTGGACGCCGTTATTATCTGTCAAGACCTGTCCGTTGTCGGTAGGACAAGTGAAAGTCGGAGGAGAGGTGTTGGTGACCTGCATACTGCTTGCTGTCGTGGTCATCGTTACGCTCGTGCTCGTGCTTGTGGAGTTGCTGAAGCACGTCCCGAACTCTGGGTCGCAGCCAACACGCTCGGAGCAGTAGTTGTCGCCAGTACCGCAGAAGCCGTACTTTGAACAGCAAGGCCCAAAGTTACCGCCAGTGCAAGTGTAGCCAGTCACCCCTCCACATTGGCCGTTTGGGGTTACTACCAAGCTTGTGGGGGAGCCTGCAGGGCCTGACACACTGGTCGTGGAACGATTCTGGTACATGCCCGTGGATTTCGAGGAGATTATGGTGGTTCCGTGACCAGTGCCCAGTGGAAGACCAGGAGTGGAGATGGTCGCCGAGGAAGAAGATGTCGAGGATGTAGAGCTGACATCAGTAGTGGTGACAGGTCTTACAACTAGCACCACAGGAGTCCAGTCCTTGAATAACGGGCCGTAGAAATATGCGAGGATCTCCCCCGCTCGAGCACGTCCAGCGGGGAAGATTTCGTAAAAGTGGGCAATGCCATTGGTGAAGTTGTCGTTCTTCCACTCCAAGAGGCCGTCTCGGACATGGAAGGTGGAGTTCTCGGACTGAAGATGGCCTTTGATGGCGAAAGAGTTGTGACGAACGCCCACGGGCTCAGAGATGTAGCCGCCGTGGACGGTGGTCAACATTCCGTTTTGGATGATGTAGTGACCCGCCGTCTCCGTCGAGCGAGTGGTGAAGCCGTTGGCACGGACGTACATGGGGATGTTCGCATTCCTCTTGCGCGTGTTGCCGGAAGATGTCTGGACCTCGAGCAAGAAGGGAGTGCCATGGTTGTGACCGTGATCGGGTGCGGGCGATGGAGTTACTGTGATGGTGTGATGGACGGTCTTGGTGTGTTGAGGCCTTGATTTGGAGGTGTAAATGGCGGAGCACGTGCTTGGGTATGCGAAGACGGTCACGATATCAGCGAGCGCAATGTCGAATGTTGCCAGACCGGCCAGCAAAGTGGCGACGCCGTTGCGCCAGTTGACCATCTTGTCGATCTCGCCTGAGACCGTTGGAAACGAGAGTGCTGTTTTCTGCCTCTGTGAAGCGGAGGAGATATTGAAGGAAAAGGATCAAATGAACGACGGTAGTTGGACAAAGATGGGTGCGATGAAGAAAAGGAGAGGTGCATTTGATGCCAGACGAGCCTTCATAAGTGGAGTGCCAACTGGAATGGAATGGAAAACAAGCACAGATGTTTTGCAGGGGCCTAATTTGTTATGAAGCGGTGGAATGCAGGGTCAGCCACCCACTGGACATTGTCTGCGAGACGGATCATAATTAAATGACCTCGAGGCTGTCGGTTTCTTCATTGCGAGGTGAAATAGGAAAGCCCAGCGGATGCTGGACTTGCTGGGCGGAGGAGTGTCCGTTGGAGGCAGTAGAGAAGATGGAAGATTGGACGCCGTTGCAACACTGCATGTGATAATTTTCCGTAGGAGCGATCTTGGAGAATGCAAGACATGATAACACTGATGAGCTGGGCAGATGATGATGGACCAGACGCGGATTGTTTTGAGCACTTGTGGGCGCCTGAGGCTCAAAGCGGCTGCCCGCTTCTGATTGGTCAACTCGCGTTATCGGCCCTTCACAAATCACACTTCATCTTGTTCAGCACGTCGCAGAGAATTGGCGATCCACCAGCGCCTTGTGCTACGACCTCGATCTACCACCTTTCCTCCGCCCATCAGGTGGAACAATTGCAGTTGAACATCACGCCTAAACCTTTCCAGCAGGTCCGACGATATAGAGTGATGGATCTAGCAGACGCCATAGTCTATCTCGTTGGCCACGGCATGCGTGCTGAGCTGCGTGAGGTTCTCCCCGACCCCCCGTTTTGCCTCCTTCAACAACAAGCCCAGGCAGTCCTTGGAGTGCTCGTAAGATATCGACTGAAAGTCCAGGCGCTGCCCGTATTCGAGCGCGTGGTGCACTCGCAACAGTATCCACATGCAATGGGTGAGATACTGGTCGTAGGTTGCCAGGTAGAGCGAGCCAGGCGCAAGGTAGGCGAGCGATTCGTAATGCCCGAGTTCGACCAAACCATTTGTGCTCTTCTCCCAATATCGCCACGTCTCATTGCCGGCAGCGTCCAGGAACTCTTCGTTGCCGTGCTGCGAACATTCTGGACGCAGCCAGGTGAGCGTCAAGGCGTCAAACCTGCAGCCGTGAGCGTGTGCTTCCTCGAACGTCTTTCCACAGCTGACGGGTTGAGATTGCACGCCTCTATCCGATAGCAGCGATGCGATGCCGAACGTCGCCGCGCTCGACAAAATAGCTATGAGGATTGCTGAGACGATCTCTCTCCTCCATGATGAACACCAGTGCCCTTGCCGCGTTTTCGACGTGTCGTCGATGCTGGTGTATTTGTAGTCCATCGTCTCGAATACAAGAACCCCGGAGCGTTGCTAGATGTTTCTGTCAATGCAGAAGATCTATGGGGTGAGGAGCCTGTGGATGACTGTCGGAAAGAGCTTCTGACGTAGGTGGGATTGACATTCCGCGATTGCGAAGCACAAGGCTTTGAGGTGGTAGTTGAATGACGTGATTAATGCTTATTGGTGGCGTGGCAAAGAGGCGAGCTGCCCTGCATATTTCCTAGTTAGGCAGTAAGCTGACGCTAAGTCGCGCAGCCTTCTCCACATCTTAATGATCCTACATATGCATGCACGAGGTCAGCAATCGCCACAACATGCATGCGGCCTACTTCGACTATCAAACGATCGATCGGAGGTATAGGGTTCCCCACTTCCCGAGGTCCACGTCTTTGGAGCAGATGATACTACACGATGTTGACTCCATGTCTGCTCACAGATGAATCCTCAACAGCTGTGTTTGACCATGGAGAAGCTTCGATCATACATCAATCCGGACTCACGATTGAGACCAGAGTACGCCAAGCTCACTCAATCCGCTGCCGATGAGCATGATGGCTATTGCCCTCACTGCGGCCATGTACAGAACGAAGCACCACAAGCGCTTCCGTCAAGCATCGCACGGTCGTGGCTGGCTCTTTGGACAATCGCTACCCTCCTCTTCGGCGTCTTGATAGTCTTCATCCTGCTGCTGGCGAAGCAGTATACCTTTCATTGCTCACTGGTGACCGAGTCTTCTTGTCCCAATTCTCCCAGCCTTCTGTCCGATCAAGCCTTCTCCGAAAGTGCGTTCAAGTCCGGCAGAGGAGATCGGGACATGACTGACACGTTCGCAGTTCCCCTCCGCCGAGTCGTCTGGAAGGTGGAGCAAGGGTTCGTGGATTCAGATCCCTTCGACGGTGCGCACTGGGGAAATTTCGGTGACGAGATGAATGAAACTGCGTGGACGCCGTGGGACGATATCTATGACGGTGAGCGACTGCACATTTTTGACTCCCGTAGTGAAGTCTCCAATGCTGATGCTACGCTCCGGACAGGCTCGTGGGTCCAGATCGAGCCCGACGAAATGCTGGGCATTCCCCCGGGCGTGCCAATCCAAGAGTTCTCCGTGGAAGCTGGAAGAGCGTGGAACACGCCCAAGCACGGCTACTCTCCCAGCATCAATCACCAAATCCACTGCCTGGTGAGTAGTTCGTTCACAAAGTGCCGTGGCGCAGAGGCTGACGTTCTATCAAAGGGATGGATCAAGCACTATCTCATGCCCAGCGGAAGCAGCGAAATAGACTACGAGCACGCAGGGCATTGCGTCGAGTACATTCGTCATGTACGTTGATCTCCAAACTCGCTCTACCGCTTGATGCACTGACTCGTAGTAAGGCCATCATGTGTGCGGGCGACCTGACTCTCGAGGCGCCCGAGAATCCCTCGAGAACGCATCTCGAATCTTTTGCGTACGACGAGACCGTACATCTGTGTCGAGACTGGACGGCCTTGTCAAGTGCTCTTCGACGGACGTCTCTGGGCTTTGAAGTTGACGAAGGCCGCGGGCTCGTGCCTTTTGATCATTCCGATTGGCAGCCCAAGCGGCCGGTGAATCCATTCGAAGCTGTCTAGATACTTTGTTGAACTCGCATCATTGAACAAACGTATCCATCCCATTCCCATTCAGCGAGGGCAGTGGCTCTCCGAGCCAACACAACGGTACTTCGGCGGCTTGGTGTAACGATTTGCTTCACCGCCATTCCCCCAATTACGCCATGACCGAGGTGAGCAGCTTTGTCCGCCTCAAGCTGTTAGACTCCGATCGTTATCTATGCCGTAGAAATCCGGACAAGCACGGCAATCATCAAGACGTGATAGGCGGGCAACGAATGCTGGAGCTGATGGGGGTGTCAGCACCTTCTCCGCTCGATAGATAACGACGCGGTGAAGCCCAAGGTGGACCATCAGATCAATGACACCATTTCGCATTCGCATGAAACCCGGCGACTGCACTGTGGGGTGGTTTAGCCTTGCTGACGCAGCCTTGCCGACGTGGCGTATGTAGTAGCGTGGAATCCTTCGGGAGAATCCTCCGGGGGATCCTTCGTGTAGATCTTTCGTGGAGATCCTCTGTGGCATTCTCCGTGTGGGTGCAGAGTGGGGAGCCTGCTTTGCAATATGCTTCGTTGGATGTGTGGTTGCATTCCATCCGCGTTTGTTGATCGGGGTCCGGCTTGAGTCCTCGTTGTCTTTTATCCGAGCGGGACTTATTTCGTGAGCCTCAGCAAACAACTCCACCACGACAACATGGCCATCTTCTCGAGCGTCTTCAAGTTTGGCAATCGTGCCTCTCGGACAATGGTTGCATCGCACGACGAGGACGGCAGCCCTGACAGCCAGGTTGGCGAAGCTCTGCTCAAAGGCGAGCACGATTACAGCAGCGGTGAAAGTCCGCCACCGTATCGACGCAAACCCGGGCGTGCCGTTGGTTTTGCAGGCTTCGCTGCTGGCATCGCCGTTGCTACTCTCCTCTTTGGCCTTCTCACCCTGTGTTTCTCCTGGCACATGGCCACGCTCAAAGCCCAAAACTGTCCAACGGAAGTGCGGGAGATGCAACAAACGAGCATCATGGCCACTGGGACATCGAACTTTGCGGAGGATCCCGAAACTTCCGAATCGGATGTCGATGTGGCCATTTTTGCCGGCTGGAAAGACTGTGGCTCCAGCGTGGAAGAAGCCCGAGCAAAAGGCTGCTTCTTCGATGTCATGCTCCATTCCTGGGTCCACGAAGATTGCTTTGACAAGGAGCTCATGGACGACTATCTCACCAAGGTCCCCTATCATTGGTATCGGGACTGGAGGCACAAAGAAGAAATCACAGTGGAGGAGATGAGACTCGGCGAGCATGGCAGTGCTGCGGTGAAGTTGGAGGAACACGGCACGCACTGCGCCTACGTGCTGGAGAAGAATCTGAGGGCCATTATGAATGGAAAGGCTGTCGCTCGTTCGATCTATTCCGTCAAGCATGCGGTGCACTGCATTGGGCTTCTGGTCGACCCCAGTAAGATCCCAGGCATCTACACGGAGGTTGTCGTGGAATACGATCAATGTGGCATTCCGCATTTTGACTAGAGTAGTGGATGAAAGTCGATAGTCGGTGTTGAACGAAGGATGCGGCGTAGGCAGAGTCTCAATCTCAATCAACTTGCGTGATTTTCACAATAGAGACTACCAAACCATCGCCAGTCAAATTGAAGGAGGCGTAGCTAGTCCCTGCATGTAGTCATGCGGATGACGGACAAGAATGCACCGGGCAAACAGCTTATAATCCGAGCGATCGCCCACAAAAAAGCGAGGTTCTCGTCTTTGCGTCCTTTCCACCAGTGTTCGACTGTATGCTGCTAAGATGGATCATCTCCTCAACAGTGATCGCCGAGAGTTCACTACACTTCGAATGGTCGGTTTGACATGTGTAGTGGGCGGCATTCAAATCATCTGGGCAATTCTGATGGGCAGTACATCTGTGAGTTGCGGAAATGGCATTCCAGCGGAACGGCATCTGACACGGTACGCAGCTGTATCTGACATCCCTTGGATTTTCAAACGCTGCCATGGCAATGATTTGGTTGATGGGCCCACTTTCTGGCACCTTCGTCCAGCCATTGATGGGTGTGTGGAGCGATTCAGTGACCTGCCGATGGGGCCGGCGGAAACCATTTGTCCTTGGAGGTACCATCGGACTGCTGGCCGGGCTGATGGTGCTGTCCGAAGCAGAAGAGCTTGCAGGCCTCGTGGGCATTTCAAGCCAAGTCTTTGCCGTTGTCGGAGTGTGCACCATTCTTCTCTTCGTTCAGCCACTCCAGATGGGTGCCCGCGCTCTGATCGCCGAACAGTCGCCACCTAACCTCGTTGCACAAACAAACGCTTGGGCAAGTCGCTGGGTCGGATTCGGATCGGTGTCTGGCTATCTGTTGGGCGCACTCAACCTGGGGGATTCAATGAAGGCCCTGTATGCCATTGCGGCGGCCTTGCTCATCCTCTCGGTGCTGATCACATGTTGGACTATACGAAAAGCTCCTCCCCCTCTGACTCTGGACAAATCCCGACCAATCTCCGCTTCTGGCAAAATCTCTCCGGCGATCCAACAAATCTTCAAAGTCCAGCTGTTTGCCTGGATGGCCTGGTTCCCATTTTTGTACTATGGCTCGACATACGCCACGGAAGGGGATGTCCTTGGCACTAAAGCATCGCCCTTCAGTCGTGGGAGCTTTGGCATGTTCCTCTTTGCACTGGTGGCTCTTTGCTTCAACCTCCTTCTTCCGCAGGTGTTGTCGTGCTTGGACACCACGCGAGGATCTGGAAAGAAGACCCAAAGACGGATGCCGCTTGTCATCTTGTGGATGATTGGACAGCTATCATACTCAAGCACCATGTTATGCGCCTCGATCGTGAATGGAGAGGACCGAATTCTTCTCGTCGCACTCGCGGGACTCAACTGGAGCCTCACACAATGGGCGCCGTTCACACTCATCAACGAACACATGCTTGATGACGGGTTGGACGCCGGGCTTGTGATGAGTCTACACAACGTGGCCATCTCGCTGCCACAGATTCTGTCGGCACTTTTGACCGGCTGCATTTTGTGGATTCTTCGGATTTTGGACGTCGCTGACGAATTGGGGATCTTGCTGAGTCTGACGGCCGTTCCAAGTCTGCTTGCGGCATACCAAGCCAGTTGTATACTTCCTTGATAGCTTGAAATCAATTTACTGAGCACAGAACTCGTTCACCACTGAGGATACTGAGCTGAGGCACCCTCTAAGCCTACCAGATGTTGTGAAAGAAAGGTGTTTCAATTCCATGGACCATCATTTCATTCTGTACGGTGTCGCAAATACGAAGCTACAGAATCCGTAGAAACTCGCCCCCTGTGCGTTACTTCCGACCGCCCCCAACAACACCACTCCGCCTCTCCTTCACTTCGCCCAGAAGGGAATGGGTTCTATGACTTTTGCCACGATGTCAGCTTATGTACTCAGACCAGGAAGGCGCGGTGAGAAAAACATCGCGTTTCTTGTAGGATTGGCTTCACAGTTGAGCGGGTTCGGGCTCACGCTTGTAGGATTGGCTTCCCAATTGAGCCGGCTCGGCCTCGCGCCTGTACGATTGGCTTCCCAATTGAGCGGGTTCGGGCTCACGCTTGTAGGATTGGCTTCCGAGCTGAGCAGGCTCGGGCTCACGCTTGTAAGACTGACTTCCAAGCTGAGCAGGCTCGGGCTCGCGCTTGTACGACTGGCTCCCCAATTGGGCAGGTTCGGGCTCACGCTTGTACGATTGAGAGCCAAGCTGAGCAGGCTCAGGCTCACGCTTGTAAGACTGGCTTCCAAGCTGAGCAGGGTCGGCCTCGCGCCTGTAGGATTGAGAGCCAAGCTGAGCAGGCTCAGGCTCGCGCTTGTAAGACTGGCTTCCAAGCTGAGCGGGTTTGGCGACTGGAGCCGCAACGGCCAGCGCGACGAGCGCGGCGAGAGCTGCAACCGTGAACTTCATGTTGTCAGCGAGAAGTGATGTTGGACTTGAGAAAAGAATTTGCGACGGAGAGAGTACGTGTAACGAAGAGGAAACCGGTCTCGCGGCTCGGGTGCTGAGTATTTATGTCCAAGGCAGACCTTTGTAGCGGGTGGAAGCTTGTCCGAATCTTGTCTATCACTCCATTTGCATGGAAAACGGTGTAGCGATGCAGATCGTTTTCTAAGACGTTATGACCTTGCTGACGGAGCTCCGCCGACGATCTCCCCCAGAGATCCAATCCTTCTTGTGTTCCTTTGCAGGATTCATGGTAGAAAGCTTCGTGGAATTTTCCGTATGACTGCAGGACCCATCGTCGAATCCTTCGTGAGATTTTCCGTATGACTGCAGGGCCCCTCGTAGAATCCTTCGTGAGATTTTCCGTGTGATCTCCGTTCATGGTTCTGTGTGTCATTCAATATCTCACCAGTCTGGAAACGGAAGTTGTTTGAGACTTATCTAGGCAAAGACATTCGCTAACAAAGACGAGATGCGTTTCTTGCATTGCCACTGCCGCCCCCATGTCGCCACGTATCCCCGTAGACGCTATCAGCTTGAACCCAGCAGGCATAGGGTCCCCACAGTCTAGCACAAGCTGCACATTTGGAAGACTGCCCCGCAATAAGCGTGACGAGGTGAGTAGTTGCGATCTACAACATGCTCTCTTGGACGGGGACGGAAAAGTGGGATTGCAGGTCCCATACCTGCATTAGCGATGAGCACGTCAATTCGATGCCCGAAATGCGGCCGGTCGTGCTCGTGCAAGGATTCCGGCAGTGCATGGAGGAGGTGAAGTCGGTCAAGGTGGAGGCGGCAGGATGTGGGGCCGAGCTCTTGGCGCGGCTGAGTTTGCCCTTTCGGGGGTCGATCCGCGACTCAAGCCTTGCGGTGCGCCGATCGACCTGGGACACCAGCATTGCCACCACGCGGTGTTATCCGGCGGATTCGTCAGATTCGTGCACCACAACACGTCACCAGATGTGGACCTGGAACCCTACTGTCAGACGAGCTTGTCGATCAAGCCAAGCACATTCTTCTTAGATTACCTGCCCCCGGAACAAGTACAGAGGACTGCAACAACATTGGAATCTATCGACTTCTCACCCCTTCGCAACCATGGACTACAAGTATACCAGCATCGACGAAGACAGGCGAGCACGCTCGCACTCCTGGTCGTGGAGAGCGGGAGTCATTGGAGCGGTACTCACGGGAGCGGCGCTCATAGCTGCTGTATCAAGCCTGACGACTTTCGTGATCATGACCTCGGCCGGGGTTCAACGGCCTCAACAATTCTCTTGCGGAGAAACACTCGACGAAGTTCCTTCAACTCCACGGTTCTCTTGCGGAGAAACGTTTGACGAGGCTCATCAACGGGGCTGCACATTTGATGCCCTCACTCTCACCTGGTTGCCTCCCCAATGCTCGACATACGGTGCAAAAGAGTTTTTGGAGATTTCAAAGAGTTCCGGGAATGGCACATGGCAGTATTGGGAGGAGAAAGGCGGCTCAAATGAGCTTGGGGGCTTCGAAGCATTGTCGTACCTTCCGACTGGATCCTCCTACTGGACGACGCAGGAGGAGCACTTGCACCACTGCATGTGGATGCTGATGCGGGTACATGACGCTGCAACAACGCCCGGCAAACGTTTGGATTCGAGGTCTTCGTCGTACGAGCACACGAAGCATTGCTTGGATATGCTGGTGGAGCAGGCGAGCATTGGTGCGGGAGAGAAGCTCTCACAGGTTATTGTGAACGGACGTTCGTTGGACATCGGATGGACTGCGTGCTAGACCACCGACTGCACAGTTCTTGTGCCATGTAGCAGAATGCAGAACGTGTGGCTTCGCAACAGTGATTCACATTACAATTCCACAGTTTCTACTCACGGTCGGTTCCCCGTACTACTGTCATGCGTCAGGTGTTTCAAGAGGCGTGAGAGTGTCTCAACGAGGGAATCGATCGCTTCAGGACTATTGCTGCGATCCTCGCATCAGATGATGGCATGATTGAGGGGAATCGGGGATGCAGGGATCGTGACATTGCGGCATAGTGGTATTGCACCATTCCGGTATTTCAGGAGTGTTACCCTATTGCAGCGTGGTAGGGTCGGAGAGTTCTAGGAGTGCCCTATTGCAGCATAGTGGGGTTGGGGCACTGCAGGATTGCGGGGCCGCAGCCTTGCCACCCGTTGCCAAATGTCCGCAGATCAGAAGCAGGGTTACTAGCGTCTGAGTGCTGCCACCCGCAGATGTGACGTGCTTGATCGTCGGAGGCTTGATCGTCGGAGGCTTAATTATCGGCGCTTGATTATCGCCGCTTGATCGTCGGAGGCTTGATCGTCGGAGACTCGGCGCTTGATCATCGAAAGCCTGCTCTTGCCGCCTGCCGTCCTGCTCTCGCAACCATGCGAGCCGAGGAGAACCCGAACACGTTAGGTCTTCTTACAAGCATGGTGGGGCGAGTTGGGATCAACCAATCAACGTGGGCCGGGACAGCGCTGCTTGCCTTCCACAGACTCTCCCACCCCCCTCATTCTATGTTTCCTTTCGAACTCCTCCCTCACTGCACTTGAGCACTGTGAAGCCTGCACGATTTTAAGATGAAGTACGACGTCCTTCCTCAAAAAGAGGCCCAGTCTCCTGCCTCCGAGGATTTCGAGCACGACCAGCATCACCCACCTCAGAGACGCGTCTCGGGTCCTATCGTCACGCAAATTGCCCTGAGTGTGGCAACACTGGTCTGTGTTCTCCTCTTCTTTTCAGTGTTCATGTTGCAGGGAAGGCCTCAATGTGCAGCACAAGACAACGGTTGGAATGTAACGAGGCCCTACGGGAGGGAGAATACCAGCCGAATGAGCCTGGATCATGAGCACGACGACTTGTGGAGTGCTTTCGAGCTGATGCCGGCGTTTGGAGCCATGTCCAAGGATAATCCAGACACGTCAGGCATGATCAGCATGTACGTTTTCGGAAGATGGCCGGGACATGCGGACGGATGCTGATGGTACTCTCAGGTTTCACCAGATACAATGCCTCGCTTCCTTGCGATCAGCTCTACAATCGGCGCAAGACGGCAAAGATATAGGAAACAGCGAGAAGGAGGGTCGACATTGGTCACACTGTTTTGACTATCTCTACCAGGTATTGCGGCCCTCTTGCAACTTTGGGGCCACTGTTCGAGAAGCTGACGAGATACCAATCGTACAGACAGTGCGCTGCTACGGAGACGACACGGATGAATGGGAGATCTTCACCCGGCCGCGGTCGAAGCAGAGCTCAGGCATGGACACCATGAGAACATGTCGGGATACTTCGCAGCTTGTCAAGCGGGCCTGTGACGCTCGGAAGTTCTATATTGACGTGGGTTGGATAGATGGGTCTCTACCAAGCATGTGTGAGACGGGAGAGATGCCGTGGTGATGTCTCGACTTTAGATACCGTATGAGAGATTCGTTGCCAGTGTCACGGGAGTGGAACAGCAGACGTTCTCGAGAAGTGGAATAAGAACAGTCAGTGCGCTCTGCACCCCGTCAGCATATGCAATCCACTGGAACTACACAGGGACTGTTAGCTTTTGATCCTCATAGCGGATGGCGAGCTGCCGCCGCCCATACAAAGTGGTGGGACCGAATGAATTTCCACGGGTCAGCCGCGCCCCGGGCCGCAGCCTTGCGCGTAATCAAGGTCCGGGCAGAGCCGCGGCCCGTGGAATTGGCGTGCCATTGCCCCGGGTTTACGTACATCTGGCGGACGTGGAAGCGGGAGCGCTGGCGGGGTTACGGAGTGACGTGGGAGCCAGAGCGCCGGTTCGACGACATGCAAGAGAACACCGCCGCGGTCGTCGGGGCGGGCGGAGGGTGATGAATTGCATGGTGGCGGGCCGAGTTTTGCTGTCCAAAGATTCATTCAATTGGTCTGGGAAGAGGACAGAGCTTCATACTCGTGCTGCATACTTGGGCATGATCAATAAGGCTACGATGCCACCCACCCTTCGATGCAACGGCCCAAACGTTGATAATATCGATGAGTTGAAGACTTGATTTTGAATCAGGTAGCATGCTGCTCCCTGGATAAGCTCTAGATGTGGTGCCTGAGGCCGACATTTCCATATCGGGCTGGAGCCGTCTGATTGGTCAAATGCGTTATCAGCTCGTTTCCGATCAGACTTCATCTTGCGTTCGTTCCCTGGCAAAGGACCGGGTATCAGCCCGCATCATGTGCTCCGCGTCCGATTGGGCTTGAATTCATCGGGCGTGTCGGGAAGATGCCTCCAATCTCGTTCACATGGCCTCTTGCCATTGCGAGCAATTGCAAATACGCATTCCGCCTTCTGTCGACTCCACCCATGCGCACCGCAATCCCGGATGGCAACAGATGTCATCCGGACAGAAAGATGCGCATCAAAGGCTAATAACATGTCGTAGGCAAAGCACAGCCACGGCTTCTCGAAGGTGTGATCGACAATGCCTCTCCGGCACGTGCTTACCGTGATAAACGCAAGGCTTCCTATTGGGGTTTGCTGCTATCTATACTCAGAGATAAGCCAGGCTGCCAGCCTCTCATCGGCAGTTTCCCACGCGCCACGAACGTCAAGCATACTCCTGCATCACTTCTGGAGATTCCCAGCCCGAGTAGGCTGTGTTGAGATTGTCCATGCTCTGGTTTGATTGGACGACATCTGGCATGTCGTGGCGGTGTTTCTTTTCTCCCTTCACGCCCCTATCAGCGCACCCGAGGATGAAAACGATTGTGCTCCTCGTGCTGGCCACTCCACGTCCAAGCGTACACGAGGACATGGCTTTGTCTCCGCAGATTCTCCTGCACATTCGACATCTCCGCGGGTTTCCCCCATGAAGCCCTTTCTGTCGCCTGTTATCTCCGCACACGTCAGCCTATCTCTCAGCCTTTCTTGGGTTCTTGTGCGTTTTCATACTACATCATTGAGATTTTTCCATCGTGAGAGTCTTCCCTTCATCCAACACAAGGTCTCACACCGCTCAAGCCCATTATGTCGGGTATCAGTCTTCTTTGGACGGCGCCAGAGGTGAATCCAATCAACAAGAAGGCACGGTCAATACCGCTCCTCAACCCGATCGGCGTATACGGCCGCGTCTTTTTCTTTTCGTGGTTTGGCTTCTTTGTGGCATTCTGGTCATGGTATGTGATTTGGCCGGCTGGATGACTTCCGTTCTTACACCAGCATCAGGTACGCGTTCCCGCCTCTGCTTCACGATGTGATTGCCAAGGACCTGCACATCTCCACGCATCAGATTTCCATCTCCAACATCATCGCACTGGTTGCGACTCTGTTGGTACGACTAGTTGCCGGGACTGCTTGTGACTACTTTGGACCCAGGTAGGTTGTGTATCCGAAGCCAGCCCACTCGCATCCACTAACATATGCCGGGCAGATGGACCTTTGCTGGATGCCTGCTCCTCGGCGCCATCCCGACTTTCCTCGCTGGAACAGCATACACGGTTCATGAGCTGTATGCTCTGCGCTTCTTCATTGGGATCCTCGGAGGGAGCTTCGTCCCGTGCCAAGTCTGGACGACCGCCTTTTTCGACAAGAACGTCGTCGGTCGAGCAAACTCGCTCACCGCCGGTTTCGGTAACGCTGGTGGAGGCGTGACATACTTTGTCATGCCCGCCGTCTACAAGGCTCTCGTCAATGACGATCTGACTCCGGATGTTGCGTGGAGGGTGGCCTTTGTCGTGCCCGGCATCATCATCATCGCCGTTGCTGCAGGTCTCGTGCTTCTGTGTCCCGATACTCCGACGGGGAAGTGGTCGGAGCGGATCCAAGCAGCTGATTCCAATCTCCGTCAGCACAACGTGCAAGCATCCATCGTGGACGTTCCCGGAAGCGTCACAGCAGAGCGCAAAGCCTCGGAGAGCGAGGAGGGGGAAAAGTCCAAGAGCGAGAGTCTCGCCGACGAAGAGAAGAAGCTCGACAACACCCGCGGCACCTTTGAGGACAACGAGGCGCAAATCGGCGAGCAGGAAATGCTCGACACTGCCCGAGGGGAAATCATCGTCAAGCCGTCGTTCAAAACCACGCTCAAAGTCATGTGTTCGCCGCAATCGGTCGTCCTCGCCCTCTGCTACTTCTGCACCTTTGGCACCGAGCTCAGCGTCAACAGCATACTTGGGACCTACTTTGGCGCCCGATTCCCGTATCTTGGCTTGCAGGGCTCAGGCAACTGGGCGGCGATGTTTGGGCTGCTGAATGCCGTCTTTCGCCCCTTGGGTGGCGTCCTGTCGGACTATGCCTACAAATACACGCAATCGCTGTGGGCGAAGAAGCTCCTCATCCACGGGTACAGCATTCTCGCCGGCGCCTTCCTGGTTGCGCAGGGCGTGACGGACTCGCCCTCGCTCGGGCAGATGATTGGTCTGATTAACGTCGGGCTGGCCTTCTTCATGGAGGGCGCCAATGGGATGAACTACGCCCTTGTGCCGCACGTTCACCCTTATGCGAACGGGGTGGTGTCGGGCTTTGTGGGCGCGAGTGGCAATCTCGGCGGGATTGTGTTTGCGTGCATCTTTTTGAAGGAGGGCAAGGACTACGGGCGGGCGATTTGGATCATTGGCACGATTGTCATGTGTGTGAATTTGGCGGTTTGCTGGATTCGACCGGTGCCGAGGGGTCAAATTGGAGGGAGATGAGGTGTGTTCGAGATGCTAGATGGATGAGTGGCAGGATAGACAAGATGAATAGACGTGATCGCCGGGCAAAAATGTCGTTGTGCAGTGAACAAAGTAGAGGTACTTTTGCATTGTCTTGCTACAAAACTCGACCTCGTCTATGCAGCAATGGTCACCTCAACCTCCACACCAGCCTCAATGTTGATGATGATCTGCTTGACCACCTCCGTCGGCGCATTCAAATCGATCAGGCGCTTGTGAATGCTGCAACAAAATCAGTCTCATACTCTTGCCTCGCCGCCAACAAGACGTCGTAACTCACCTCATCTCAAACGTATCCCAGGTCTTGCTGCCCTCACCACAAGGCGTCTTGCGCGTGGAGATTTTGAGGTTTTTGGTGGGCAGGCGCACGGGGCCCTTGACGCGGAGGTCCTTGGTTTTGGCGCGCTCGATCAGCTCGGCGCACACCTTTTCCAGCGCGGAGACTTTGCGCGAGGTGAGGGTGATGCGGATCTTGTGGATCTTGGGCGCGTCGAGCTGCGACGGCTTCTTTGCGTCTTGGAAGGACATGTTGGTGGTGGTTGAGGGGGGGTTGTGAGGAGTGGTTTTTGAGGGGAGGTAAGGCCAATCACGACTGGAATGGGGGGTCAGTGGTCTGGTGCGAAGATGGCGTGCACGCACGATACATACCTCGGTCAGTTCGACACGGCAAAGTGATGATCGGTGGGGAGCAAAAGGTCGTGATGGAAGCGTCGGCGTTGAATTTTGAGATGGACGTGGTGGGCAAAATCTTGGCAGTTGTCGTGCTGAAAGCTGCGCAGGGATCACGCTTACGCGTGACTGCCATGACTTCACCTCTGAGTGTTTGTGAGTGCAGATGAATCATCACCAAACACGAGGAAGTACTTAACCACGCACGCTTCCCCAACGACAGGAAACATGATACACAGCGAATGAATCAGATACGACTCCCCCGGCAAAACCATGGCCCTTCCCGCCCTTGCTCCAATCCCGCCTGCCAGCATCAGAATCACCATCGCTCCCGAAGAATGGGAGGCGTGTCTGGACAGTTGGCTCACCGCCGTCGATCTATACATTCGACTGCCACTGCCGAAATTAAGCGCAGCAATCACTCATCACAAAGCTGCTTCTCTCGGGTTTCTCCGTTCTTTCTATGGTGAATATGCTCGCACGGAAGAGCAGATTCCGCACAAGCTCAGACATGCGTGCTTCGCCTTCACGCGCCGAATCTGTTTCGAGACTGATATAGCCACTCCTCTAATTGATGCCGACTTCCTTGCCGGTTTCTGCCATGTCCATGCTCGATCCACCGCGTTATCGAGTTTCATGGCCGAATTGTGGAAACAACACGGGAAAGTCGTGGCCGACTCGATGCAAATCAAGAAGGCCGCATTAACAACCGCTCTTGACTCTGGAGCCGCTCAATCCGTGCAGGAAGATCTCGAGCATCTCTCACGCATCATATTGGCATCGCCGGACATTGCCACTCTATTTGTCACTGGCTCCGACTTCCTCGACGCTCTCACATCAGCATACGCCCCCACAACTTCTACAGAAACACGGAAGAGTCTGACCGCAACGGCGTACCTCAGCCTGCAATCGCTTCTGAAGATTGAGCATCCCAACTTGTCCTTACTTACCGATCACCTGTACAGTCTGAAGACGCAGGCGGACTCCCAACCCACCTCTCCATCTCTCCTGGCCGACCTGGTTACGAACACGCCTCTGGTTCCGAAGCTCCGCCGTAGCGCCAATGTATCCGGGGGCGAAAGACTGGTGAAGTTACTCGACACGCTGTCAACTTATCGTCTGGCCAGCATTGCTCGTCCACGGCGCCGAGCTCCAAAGAAGTCACGCATGACTCTGGGTGGAGGCACAATCCCCGGCGATGAAATGCACGTGCACCGCATCAGCCTCATCACCCAAGTCCAGGATCTCTTCCCCGACCTCGGCTCCGGCTTCATCCTCAAACTGCTAGACGAGTACGACGACAGCGTGGAGCAAGCTACCGCCCATCTGCTAGACGATTCCCTCCCCCCACATCTCCAATCCCTCGACCGCTCCGAGCAAGTGCCCGTCTTCGACACAACATCTCAAGCCCAAATCAACCATCTCTCCCCCAACTCCACCCCTCCCCTTCAACCCACAGCACAACCCTACATCCCCGCAAGACGCAACGTCTTCGACAACGACGACTTCGACCGCCTACAAATCTCCGCCACCCGTCTACACAGAGGCAAAAAGCCGGAAGAAGCGGACACTCACCCCCCAACCAACAAAGCCGCCATCCTCGCCGCGCTTGCGGCCTTCGACTCCGACGACGACGAGCGAGACGACACCTACGACGTCGAGGACGTAGGCGGCACAGTCGACAACGCCAACCCCGCTGACGGGGAACCTGCTCCACCCCAGCGCACCGCACAGCAACAGCACGCAATGGACGCCCTGCTCTTCCAAGCGTACAAATCTTCCCCCGAAATCTTCGCGCGCGGCACGGACGTGCGCCGCACACAGCCGAGACAGAGTCTCAAGATGGAAACGGGCATGACGGACGAGGCGATCGAGGGGTGGGCCGTGATGTTGCAGCGGGATGGCAAGCGGCTGCGGAAGCTGGAGATGGAGTTTAGCGGGGGTGGGGACTTTGATGGGCGGCAGAATGAGATTGCCGCGACTGCGTATAGGGATGGGGGGACGGAGACGGAGGATTCGGATGCGGGGCCTGCGGGTGGGAGGGGTAGAGGTGGAGGCAGAGGGGGAGCGAGAGGAGGTCGAGGGCGCGGGAATGTGGCGGGGCCGTCTGGCGATGCGAACACGCTTGCTGCGCAGAGGAGGAAGGAGGCGAATAAGGGGAGCAGAGCGAATCACAATCGAAGGGATCAGAGGGCGCGAAAGATGGCGAGAGGGGGGTTTGCTGGGTAGATGAGAGCGGTCTTGGTTCGATTAGTAGTACCGCCTGACCAGCGCTATGCTGCAAAACACGTAGTGTACAATGCCGTCCTGTCTACTTGTAAAAGTCGAACTTGTCCGACTCTCCTCCGCCCTTGACCTGACTGGTATACGCATCCTCCAAATCTTGCTGAATGATGTTGTACCGATTCTTCCTCACCGCCCGAAGACCCGCCTCTTGCATCACAGCCGCGATAACCGCACCGGAAAGCGGGTCGTTGCGCACAATCAGAGAGTCCAAATCGACTTCAGGGCTCAGGCTCATTTTGGACGCGATGGTGGAGAAGATGAGTCGACGCTCGCGGCGATCGCGAAGGGAGGGGAATTCAATCTTCCGATCGAGACGACCGGGGCGGAGGAGAGCGGGGTCGAGGGTGTCGGCGCGATTGGTGGCCATGATGACTTTGACGTTGGACGTTTGGTCGAAGCCGTCCATTTGGTTGAGGAGTTCGAGCAGGATGCGCTGCACTTCTCTGTCTGCGCCGGTTTGCGCGTCGAAGCGTTTGGTCGCGATGGCGTCGATTTCGTCGATGAAGATGATGGCCGGGCTGTTTTCGCGCGCCATGCGGAAGACGTCGCGTACCATGCGCGGCCCTTCGCCGAGATACTTTTGCACGAATTCGGAGCCTACGACGCGGATGAAGGAGGCGGTGGTGTTGTTCGCCACGGCTTTGACGAGCATGGTCTTGCCGGTGCCAGGCGGGCCGTAGAGGAGGACGCCACGGGGCGGATCGATACCGATTTGTTTGTAAAGGTCGAATTGCGAAAGGGGCAGCTCGACGGCCTCGCGAATCTCCTGCTTCTGCATGTCAAGTCCGCCCACGTCGGCGTAGGTCACGTCCGGCTTCTCATCTGCACCGAGCATGGCGATGCTGCTGTCGGCTTCTGGGGGCAGGATGTCGACGAGACTGTTGGAGTGGCGGTGGAGGGCGACGGAGGAGGAGGGCTTGAGGAGTTCGCGGTCGAGGGTGCTGAGGATGCGGACGACGTAGTTGCTGCCGGTGCTGCTTTGGACAATGCCGGTGTTTTGGTCTATCGCCTCCATGAACTGCCCGATGACGAGCGGCACGCTTTGGATGCGCTTGATCTCCTCCTGTGCCCGCACCAGCTCGCGTTTGAGACTCCGCTGCTCATCTTTAATGTACTCTTCTTGCAGTTTGATGTACTCCAGTTGGCGCTGCAGCTTCTTGTACGTCGCGTATTGGTCGTCGGAGTCTGCGAGGCCTTCGATGGTGTCGATGTTGGCGATGGCGGAGGAGGGGACTTGTCGTCTGTGAGGTGCTTCTGTGGTGGTGGGAGAGAGGACGTCGGCGGCGGCCATGATGGCGGGTGCCAATGGTGAGAGGACGAGGGACTGGGTGTGTGAGGGTTTGAACAGCGGCAAAGAGCGGATGGATGGGGTTGATGTTGATGAGAGGGTGAAGTTGATTGAAGTGTTGGCGTGGAGGCAAGCAACGTTACGAAAGCGCGGCGTCTTGATGCCTGAGGCAGCAACTCTTACACAGCACTTCATCGATTAACAGTCACGTCTATCTAGCAATACTCTGCAGACGAAAAGCAAACTCCACCTCCTCGCACTTGACTTGCACATCCTCTCCAATCCCCGGCCCACAAGCTCCCGTTCCTACGCCTGAAGTAGCAACATCCAATCTAGCCAAACACACTTGCTCCTCCACCAAATCACACGGGTGCCGCGCCTGGTCCAACACGGCAGGCGAGTAGTAGCCCGCGGCCCAGGAGAACTCGTGCACATCGTCTAGTCTGGTGGCTCGCACACCAAAGCCGGATTCGTTCACCAGCTGAACCCATCTCGTGTCCATCCGGTTGCCTGATTCTTGCGGGACTTCGTAATTGGTGAACAAATCTTTGACCGGCGAGGTGTAGATTCCCATCTTCTGCGAAGCTTTCTTATCAGGGTAAGATTCACCGGGTCCGGGGCCAAAGTACTTCGCTTCGGCAAGCTTCTTGTTGAGCTTGAGATCCAGACCGATGCGCGGCAAGGTCGCTGGATTGGAGCCATGGGGCTTGAGCTTTGCCTTGATATCGATGGCGCCATCTGCCGTTATGTTGTACTGCATGATTGCATCAAAGCCAGAGTACAGGATTGGCGGGCTAAGGTACAATGTGCTGGTGACTTGCACCTCGTCTGGGGAGAGGCGCTTCACTTCCATCGACCGGAGTTGGGAGGTCATCGAGTCGAGACCGAAGCGCTTCCAGTATGGGTCGGTCGTAGGCCGATCATTGTCGGTCGGTGCTCTCCAGAAGCTGGGGATGAGGGCGGGCAGGCCTGGCGAGTCGGACACGAGAACGTCCTTGCCGTCTACCGTCCATGATTGTATGTGGCCCCTGGCTGCGTCGAAAGTGACCCGGAAGCCGTCGTTGCCAATGACGCAAACGGTCTGAGACTGGTGGATATTGAGACGGTGTGGCCAAGCCCTGACAAGCGAGACGTCCTTTATCGCTGGATCGTGAGAAAGCGCATGTTGATGCCATGCAATCTCGTGACCGGCATCGGCCCAGGCTGTTGCATTTGTTTGACGAAGACTGACTGTCAGCCAGACTTCTCCATCCACCAATGTTCCTGCTACGTTCGTGGGCAGAGAGATGGAGCCGCATTCGCCAGGTCGGATTTCTGGTAGCTCCAAGACTCCGGAGGAGATCAGGGTGGCACTGCTTCGTAATTAGCTCGGTCCAGCTGTCTTCTTGATAGATAGCACTCACTCATCTGCAAACTTCTCGACCTTGTAGATCGCGGTGAGATGATCCAGTCCGATGAAGTCGTAGCAGTTTTGCAGATGAAGCTTTTTTCCGATGACTTCTATCCTCACAGGCTCAATGACCTTCTTGAGCTCCACCAACCCCGGCGTGGGCGTGTGGTCGCTGAAGCAAAGACCGTCCATCACGAAAGTGTCGTCGTTGGGCACATCACCGAAATCTCCGCCGTAACCGTAGAATTTCTTCCCGTCCTTGCCCTCGGTCAATAGCCCGTGATTCGCCCACTCCCAGATGAAGCCGCCTTGCAGTCGAGGATGCTCACGGAAGGCCTTTTGATAGCCCTCGAGATTGCCTGGACCGTTGCCCATGGCGTGAGCGTACTCGCAAAGCACAACGGGTTTGTCGTACTTGCCATCCACCACCCCTTCTTCCTTACACAACTTGATCAACGTCTCGACGGAGGGATACATGTAGCTGAACACATCTGCGGACAACGCCTTCGCATCGCCTTCATAATGCACCGGCCGGGAGGGATCGACAGACTTGACATAGTCGTACATGGCCTTGTGGTTCCGCCCGTAGAATGATTCATTCCCCAGCGACCACATGATGACCGAGGCGTGGTTCTTGTCGCGCTGGACAAGGCACTTCATGCGGTCGAGGTACGCCGCCTCCCAGGCCGGATTGTCAGAGGTGAAACTCGCAGCCTTGGGAAAGGTAAGCTTCTTCCTCTCTCCGTAGTCCATGCCTTCTGGGATGTCGAGTGGGCGAGCAACGGCGTCGTAGAAACCATGGCATTCGAGATCGGCTTCGTCCATGACCCATAGTCCCAGCTCGTCGCAGAGGTCCAGCATCCGTGGATCTGGGGGGTAATGTGAGGTTCGAAGGGCATTGATGTTGTGACGCTTCATTTGGAGAAGATCCTGACGGATGAAAGAGAGTGGGACAGCGCGGCCAAAGTGTGGGTGGTGGTCGTGGCGATTCACGCCCTGAAGGAGAATGGCTTTTCCATTCACCCGCAGCAGGCCGTTCTTGATCTCGACTTGACGGAACCCGACTCGCTGGTGGAGCTGTTGGATCTGCTTTCGATCAGAGCGGGATGTGAGGGTGATTTCCAAGTCGTAGAGGTGTGGGGTTTCGGCAGTCCATTTCTTTGGATTGGAGACATGAATGCTGTGCGACACCTGGCCAAGCTTGGTGGATGAGGAGAATGCGGTGTGCTGCACAATCTGTGAGTTCTTCGATGGGTCTCGTAGCGAGAGGGCGATGTCGGCTTCGTGTTGTAAGTTGACCTCCAGGACGACTTCAAGCGTGGCATCCCGGTATTCCGCGTCCAGATGGGTCTTTACAAAGTGGTCTTCAATTCTCGAGGATGGCAGCGCTAGCAAGTACACATCTCTGAAGATGCCGGAGAGCCACCATTGGTCTTGGTCTTCGATGTACGATCCATCGCTCCACTGATAGACTTTCACGAACACTTCATTGGCGACATCTCCTTGCACAAGATCAGTGATATCGAATTCGCTCGAATTTCGTGAGCCCTGGTGGTAGCCGACAGCCTGGCCATTTAGCCATAGATGGAAGGCGGAATCCACGCCCTCGAATCGCAGGAGGATTGTGGAGGACGGGTCCCAAGTGTGGGGCACGGTAAATCGCCGCCTATAAGATCCGGTGGGGTTCTCGGTCGGCACATGTGGCGGACATACTGGGAAGGGATAGACGACGTTAGTATACTGTGGACGTTCGTAGCCTTGAAGTTGCCAGTGACCGGGTACATCGATGGAACGCCACTCAGCCGGAGCGTCGGGAGTCAGATCAATGCCCTCGAGGTCGGAAGAAGAACTTTCCGGCGTGAAGCTTGCCCGCGATGTTGTGACAGGATCTGGGGCGTGCAGAGGAGTGGAGGCGTAATGAAAATCCCACGTGCCCGTCAGCAGGACCCTGTCCGGCGGGAGGTGATACGCTCGAGGAGGCAGGCGGTTCCTCTGAAAGACTTGTTCATTCTGGTAATCTGGGGGCGGCATGGCGCCGGCGTGTGAGCAGACGGGCAAGGACACCGATGCTGACGCGGTGTGCATACAAGGGCAGAGGCGGTGATCTGCTTATGCAAGGGGCCCAGGGGAATTGTGCTTGCCACGTGGACCGTCTGATTCCGTCCGACTCAAAACAGCCGGATGGAGTCCTCAGCCTTGAACTATTAACTGCCGTGATGATGGGACCGCATCCGGAAAGAATCGAGCGTGCGTGAGAGGGTCTGTTGAGGGTGTGGAGTCACTGGCGGAGTCGTGGGCCGTGGTACTGCGCCTCGGTATTTGTTGCTGGGTATTAAGCGGTCTCGTTCCAAGGCTCGACCAATTGTGTCAATGATGAAATGGAGTGTGGCACGGTGTTGCTCAAGTCCTTTCCGAATGCGGTAGTCCTCGGGTCGGCTGACACCGCGCAGATCATTCCCGATTAGGAAGTCTTCATATATTTCTCAACCTCAGCCCTAAACGACGCACCACTTCACTCTATCACACGAGGCTAGCAGCTGAATAATTATGAGGCCCACGGTCGTGAGATCATAGGCAGCCATGGGGAGACATAAATGGCCGTCGTAGCCCGCCATTTGTCTCCTTTCGATCCTTCAACGCGCTTTCCCATAATCCATCATGCTGTTCTCAAAGTCTTTGCTCCCCGTAGGGGCTTCGATGCTTATGGTACGCAATGTCGGCCACACAAGTCATTCCACCTACTAACAAGTCTCCTCCCCAGCTCTTCAGCCAAGCATATACCAAACAAGTCGAGTCCGAGACGTACGATCCAACCGACTATCCCATCTTCCAGCTGTCGGCCGACTCAGATCAAGCCTTCTTCCTCGAAATCCCCCTCTCTCTCGCCGAAGCAGAGGGCTCCAACACCGGCGAGCTCCTGCGCATCGCCACGCAGATTGTGCCAGGCAGCGAGGAGAGTGTATACCCCGCCTTCTACCCGTTTGCCGAAAAGATCAACGCTCTGGCCGAGAGCATCAATGCGACTGTTGACCCTGTTGGGGCTCGCGAGAACTACTTTCATGCCTCGACGTACTATCGCTCGTCGGTCTATTATCTCGTCGCCAACCAGAGCGATCCGCGACTCGTCTCTGTCTGGCAGCAGGCGATTACCGCCTTCAACAAAGCCATCGCGTTGCTGCACCCGGCGCCTGGAGAGTCTTTCACTGCACACCAAACGAACAGCTCCATTGGAGCGTACGATATTCCTGGCTATTTCTACAAGGGCTCGGCAAGCAACACCACCCAGCTGCCCACCTTGATCGTCATGACGGGATATGATGGCTCCCAGCAGGACGAATTCCACCTTGCTTGTGCGGAGGTGTTGCGTCGCGGCATCAACTGCGTTACACTGGAGGGGCCCGGTCAGCCGACTCCGATTCGCTTTCAAAAGATCGGCTTCATCCCCGACTACTGGACGGCGCTGACTCCGGTCGTGGACCTAATTACCAACCGCACCGACGTCGATACGTCCAAAATTGTCCTGCTAGGCGACTCATTCGGCGGCACGCTCGCGCCCATTGCCGCTTCTCGCGAGCCCCGCTTGTCGGGCGTGATTATGCTCGACGGCCTGGTGAACTTGCAACAGCAAATCGGCCTATCCCTTGGCAAGCTAGAGGATCTCTTCAAATCGGGCAATGCGAAAGAGTTCAACGCGGAAATGGAGGACGTGCTGATCAACAACCAATCGCAACCCATCGGCGACCGCTACATTTTTCAACAGGGGCTGTACACGTTCAATACCACGTCACCCTTTGAGTGGTTCACGCAGCTGGGTGACATCAAGGTGACCCCGGAGGTTGTGGAGGGCGTGGGAGACAGGCCCGTCTTTATTGCTCGAGGCCAGGTGAGTGCTGTGCGGGCTTTACAATGTGACACGAAGTGCTGACAAGTCGTGTGCTCCCAGGACGACAATCTCACCGGCGTGCAAGCCGTCTACGCCCGCGACATGTTCATCAACAACCGCACCAACGGCGTCAATCTCACGACCTACCAGGAGTTCTTGACCGATTTGGGCGCCGGCGAGCATACGTCGATTGGTGCCGAGACGCAGATTTTCACCGCTTTTTCGGCGTGGCTGAGCAAGATCTGGGGTGATTATTTGTTCACCGACGAGCAATCGTACTGATCGGGACGGACACGAGGCTGGAAACAACGATTGTACACATTCCACGCCCGACTAGACTTTGCGCAGATTGTACGAATACTCCGTCAAGATAGATGTGCTCGTTCAACAGGAATTATATAATCATCAACGTGTACTCATGAAATGTTCGTAATCACGACCTTTTGCGCGCTCACGCCCTTTTTCTGCGCGTCCAGTCCGGCTTGGACTGATCGGAGTTCCTCGCCCACAATCAACGCGCTTGGCTCCGGGACGAGCATGCCGCTTTCGAGGGCTTTGGGCAGGAACTTCCGCCAGATGTATGGGCCGATTTCGTTGGTGAAGATATTGGCCGCCGCGACTGTGGGGTTGTTAGGCAGACTGGTAGCCGCGGGGTTTGGACGGCACGACTTACTTTGCTTCACACGGACGGAGTCGGGCACGCCCTTCTCAGGGGCGCCTCTGACGGTCACAACGATGGCTTTGCCCTTTGTCCGGTCCACGATGCGCGCGCAAGACTCCACTGCACCGTCAGCCCCAACGGCGTGGTATGCACCCGCGACTGTTCTCCCATTTAAAGCTTCGACAATTTGATCCTCGACGTCCTGGCAAGCATTAGCGAAGGCCGGGTTGTCTGGAGGGAGTGTATGCTTACATCATCGTGATAATCAAAGCATTGCTTCGCCCCGAGTCGTTTGACATAGCCAAAGTTCTTTGCGCTCGCCGTCGTGATGACTTCCGCGCCAGCGGCCACAGCGAGTTGAATCGCGCAGGATCCCACACTACTCGAGCCACCCCAAACAATTACTACACGACCCAGATCCTCAAAGTCTTCTTTGGGGAATGGTAGAGCGAGGAAGTCCTTTTGAAAGAGACCTGCGGAAGCGGTGGAGATTCCAAGGGGAAGGACGACGCCTTTGGATGTCGGGATGGAGTAGGGGAGTTCGGCGACGGCGTTTTTGTGTACGAGGGCGTATTTTTGGAAGCCGCCGTAGAGAGCACCACCGCTGCCGGTGTTTCTACAATCATTTCATTAGCAATTACCAGTACTTCCGAAGACATTCAGCATACGCAATGACTCTCTGTCCAACGCGGAAGTCCTTCACATCATCCCCCACCTCCAGAATCTCACCCGCAGCATCGCGGCCAAAGATGGCGGGGTAGTCAATATCAAATCCCGGCGGTGGCGAGTCCTGTAGAATCCAGTCGATCGGATTGACGGCGACGTCGATGATTTTGATGGTGACGTGGTCCTTGGGCGGGGAGATGTATGGCGCTTTGCTGACAACGAGCGGGCGCTGGGCCTTTTTGAGTTGCCAGGCCGCGACGTTCTTGGGCTTGAAGATTTCGTTCATGATGGGGAGTGAGAGGGGGAAGATAAGATGGACTTCTTACCTCTGACTAGGCAGAAGGATGGCAGACAGCTCTCGATTGATAATCAGGCGGTGATCAATGAGGTGGTTGGTCCCGTACCTGCAGCCTGAGCCAGCATGTGGAGGCGGGGTGAGATGGATGCCTGAGGCAGTAAAGATGCCCCAGGCTCGTCAAATGCTTGAACGCACGTGGTCGACTTCAATCCGTCAGCAAGCCTTGCTTGGCCGCCGCTACTTCCACGCTATTCCCCTCTCCCTCGACTTCTGCTCGGCCGAGCTTTCTGCATCAAGTAGGAGGGACAGTTTCTCAGCTTCTGCAGGGCCGATCGAATGTGTTTTTTCCCATCCATTGACGCCATTGCCTTTCACTAGGCATCTCCTCCGAGCACGTTGTTCACTCATGGCCTTTGAATGGCCTCAAGAGTCGTCTTTTGACATCCTCAACCTACGCTATGCATCTTGGCATCTTTTAGACACCGCAGACCCTGACTCGTTCACGACGGGCACTCTGCTATATAACATGACCGCCATGGCGCGGACACCGTAGGTTTTCTTGCGTAAGTCTTCTGCTTCGATCTCTTACACAATGGCCGTCTTGTCTACTATCCTCGCTCTCGCCGCTCTCGGCGTCCCCTACCATGCTGCCGCTGCTTGGGGAAGCAATGGAACCTCGAGCAACGGCACCTTCAAACATGTCATGATGATTAGCGTCGACGGCATGCATCCCAGCGACGTTGCCAAGTGGATTGCGCTTCGTCCGCAAAGCAATATCTCTCAGTTGATTGAGCATGCCTACCAGTATACCGATGCGTACACCTCTGCTCCATCCGACTCCTTCCCCGGCACTGTTGCCCAGTACACTGGCGCAACGCCGAGGACGACGGGCATCTGGTACGATGATACCTGGGATTGGACGTTCTGGCCGCCTTCAAGCAATTGCTCAGGACCCCCCGGAGCGAATGGTACGAAGCCTCATGAACCATCAAAGTAGGCTTTGCTAATTCCTGCACAGTGCTTTTCGATGAGACCATCGACTACAACAGCACCGAGCTGTTTTCAGGCGGCATCGATCCGGCCCATCTGCCACAGAGCCTCGTCAACGGCACGTGTCAACCCATCTACCCGCATCAACGACTCCGCGTCAACACCATCTTCGAACTCATCACTGCTGCTGGCTACCAAACCGCCTACACTGACAAGCATCCTGCATATGATGTTGTCAGAGGCCCCAGCGGCACAGGGCTGACCGTTGGCTACTTTCCCGAGATTGCTGCGGTCAATACCACTCTCTCCGAAATCATCCCATACGATCAACTGCACGTCAACGCCTGGCTGGACTGGATCAATGCAACCACCCCCGTCAACACCACTATTTTCAACGGCAACCTGACCGAAGTCCCCACGCTATTCGGCGGCAACTTCCAATCCTTGTCGGTAGCCCAAAAGACCATCGGCTACGACAACGACACCTCCAACTCCCTCAGCGCCGGCCTGATCGAAGCCTTTGAATTCGTCGACAGCTCCATCGGCGCCGTGATCAACGACCTCAAAGCAAAGAACCTCTACGACGACACCGTCATCGTCGTCGCCTCCAAACACGGCCAAGCACCCATCCAGCGCTCCCTCTACCGCGCCATCGACCCCACCGCCGTCAACAACAACACCGGCGTCCCCTACGCCTGGATCACCACTGACGACATCGCCCTCATCTGGCTCAACAGCTCCTCCGACACGGCCAAGTGCAGAGAGAACTTGTTGGCCAACGCCACCGCCGTCGGCATCCTCGATGTCATCTACGGGCACAACCTGACACACTCTGGCTTCGGGAATCCGCAAATCGATCCTGCTGTACCGAATCTCATCGTCCAGCCGGACTTGGGCGTGGTGTACACCACTTCCGTCAAGGATGCGGAGCACGGTGGGTTGAGTTACGATGATCGCGTTGTCGCGTGCTTCCTTAGCAACCCGAGCTTTGAGAAGAAGACTTTCAACCAGACTGTTTATACGACGCAGGTGGCGCCGACGGTGCTGGGGTTGTTGGGAATTGTGCATCCGCTGTTGCAGGGTGCGGCTTCGGAGGGGGTGACGACGCTGCCTGGGTTTACCTCGTTGGCTAGTTAAGGTGTAGTCGACACAGGAAGTATGATTGAGATAGACACTCCTTTGAAAGGATCAAAAGCTAGTGTAATAAAGATGTGGTGCGATAGGGACGAGTATGTACAGACTACACCTCGTATCAGTACAAATGCAGGCTGCCATCACCGCCCCTTCCTCACCCACTCCTCCACCGATTCCCGCGCGCCCTGCACCTTCTCCTCCGCCATGGCCAATCCCATCTGCGAATGCGCCTTGCCCGTCTCAATGAAATGACGCACCCCACCCACAATCCGCAAATGATTATCCCGGACAACGGGCCACCGCTCCTCATACTTCCACACCAAATCCCCCACATTCCGCGTCGTGTGCGGCACCACATAGTACGCCGTCGTGACGCCCGTGACGAGCGGCGTGATGGCGCGCAGCACAATGTTGCGATTGCGCGACAGGATGCTGCCGGCCATTGTGGCGACGAGAACGTAGATCCCACCAGGCAGGAGTTTTTCATTACTCTCTTTCGGCGGCGCGAGGGAGGCGATGGTGGAGGTGAAGTTGTGCTCGGCGTGCATGACGCGGTCCATGCCTGCGTTGACGGCGTCTTCGGTTTTCGCTGCGTAGCCGTGCAGGAAGACGCGGCTTTTTTGGATTTGAGTTGCCAGGCGGTCGGTGGGGGACGGGGATGGGGAGGAGGGGGTCTTTTCTTGCGGGGTGGAGGTTATGCCTGATGCTGGGGGTGGTGTTGTGGCGGAGATTTCGTGGAGGGAGGGCGTTTGGGGTTGAGAGTCGTAGATGGGTTTCCGGCGCTGGGGGTCCGCGTTAGTGGGGTGGATAGAGTGGAACGGTGGACTTTGCTGCGTACTATCACTGCTATCGGATCTGATGAGGGTTCCTCGGCGTAGACGGATCGCCTGGGGTAGAGGGCCAATGCCGTGGTGAGGCCGGCCAAGGGTAGGATGTGCTGGGGTGGGTCAGCTCGATGTCCCTCCGTGTGACGGTTATTGTGAAGAGCACTCACCTGCCGTAGCAGCGGAGCGGCGGCCATGATATGGGTTGACAGGTTGAATGCTCGCAATGAGGGGAGGATGTCGTGCGGGAAAAAGTAGGGACGGAGGAGCTGCAGCTCCGGCGAGCATTGATGAAGAGTCGGCTAACTTGCCGCATGTAGTTGCTGCCAAAACATTCTTGCCTTCGACAGCGATGCTGGACTTCTTCAGACTACAATCACAATGGTCTACAAATCACCTGGAGCACTCGATGGTACAAACGTCGTGAAGCCACTTGCTCTTCATGTTCCTGAAGGCGGAAAGACTGTGACGAACCAGCCAGCTCGACGTCTCGTCCCGGATCGCATGGCCTTGCATCCCGGCAGTGAAACTACATGGTTGCGGATCATTGAATCGCCCTCATAAGAAGAATATCGGCAGGAGCCATTCGCTGTATCTTTGCAAGTCCGTCGGAGCCACTGCGTTGGTTAGAGACATCGGCAGTCACCTCGCGCGCCCTCGACACTGCCTCGGACGTTAGAAAAAGCCGAGCTGAGCGTTCGGAAGCTTGAACTTTCCGCCCACCCAATCTTTGCCCTTCAGCGCGACTCGTGTGTCCAACTAACCTCCGAAGAGCCAGGATATAAATATGTAACCGTTCCCCAGATCAAGGTAGGTCTCCATATACCCTCCTTCATCATTCTCATCCAACCTTGTCGAGAAGAATGCCAACGGCCACACCCGCAATCGCCATCCTCGGCGCTGGCCCCAGCGGCCTTATGCTAGCAAGACTGTTAGAAGTGAAGCAAATCGACTACGTGGTCTTCGAACGCGACGACTCCGCCACAGCCGTCGGACAAGGAGGCACTCTCGACATCCACACCGGCAGTGGCCAGACTGCCCTCCAGAAAGCCGGGCTCTTCGACAAATTCAAAGCTTCGGCGAGATATGACGGCCAGGCCTTCAAGGTGGTGGACAAGGATGGGAACGAGGTGTTGAACATGACGCCTGACGGACGTGAGGATAGACCGGAGATTGATCGGAAAGAGTTGCGGCAGTTGCTGCTGGACTCGGTGCCTGCGGGGAGGATTCGATGGGGGCATCGGGTGGAGAGTGTTTACCGGGATGAGAGCGGTTCGATGGCCGTTCGTTTCGATGGTGGGCGTGTTGAGGAAGGATTCAGACTTGTTGTTGGAGCAGACGGCGCATGGTCGAAGGCCAGATCGTTGGTTCGTATCATTCTCTTCATTGACTTCATCGCATACTTATTCGACACTTCCAGATCACTCCGGCAAAACCGCAATACTCGGGCATCAGCTACCTCCAAACATCCATCCAAACATGCAACCCCAACTACTTCCGGGTGAGTCGGCAGTGCGGAACGGGGATGTACATGGTGATATCCGACGCGAAATCCATCATCGTGCAGCGCATGGGGAACGGGTCCTACAATGTTTACGTCTCCCTGCATCTGCCGGAGAACTGGGCCAGGCAGGAAGCGCAGCTGTTCAAGTCTCCCGACTTCCGAACGCATGTCATGACGCAGTACTTTGCCGACTGGTCGACACACGTCACAGATCTAGTCAGGCACAGCGACGGCGAATTCCATTCCTGGCCGCTGTGGTCGCTGCCGCCCGATAGCCTGTCGTGGGAACATGTACCTGGCATTACTTTGCTCGGCGATGCGGCACATCTCGCCCTGAGCAATGGAGAGGGAGTGAATTGCGGGATGTACGATAGCCTGCAGCTGGCCGAGGAGATTGAGACGTGCGGGATGGCGAATCTGGACGAGGCAGTGAAGCGGTATGAGGAGAAGATGCTGCCGCGAGGAGTTGAGCATATCGAGGATGGGAATCAGATGCAGGGCATGTTTCATGCGCAGGATTCGGTGGTGCAATTCAAAGTCTGGGCTCAGTCGATGGGTGCTTGAGAAGTGTAGCGATTAGATAGATCATACAGTATAGATGCATTTCCGATGCTCAGCCTTTGGCGTCAAGTCGTCGCCCCACCTCCGATCTTCGGAAAGTTTAGTCAGATCTGCCAGCGCCACCATCGACATTCAACCTCTCATCTACATCCACCTTCCAATGGAGAGAGACACAACAGGAAGATGGTCTTCCTAGTTCGTATGCCCCGGTCATGCTTATGAGGAAGTCTGCCGTCCTGATCAACACTCTTGCAACCATCAACGCCGTCCCCTCCTCGGTGTACGGATCGTCAACGTCATCATCCAGCCGGCAGAGGAAGAGCACACGACCACGACAATGTATCGCAAACGAGCGAAGAGCATACGCGACGATAGCCGGTGACAACGGCAGTCAACGAGAACATGTCGACCACGAACCCCATGCCTGGCCGAAAGCGCCAAAAGGCCAGCCGCATCCCACGCCGTATCAGATCCTCGCGATGAAGTCGACCGCTACCTACTCCAAGACTCGCTACTACGAACTCGTCAAACTCTACCACCCCGATCGAGGCAGTAGTGCGCCATCATCGCCCTCACACGATCTCCCTCCTGCGGTGAAACTCGAGCGCTACCGCCTCATCGTAGCAGCGCACACCATCCTCTCCGACCCCACCAAACGCAGCGCTTACGACCGCTTCGGCGCAGGCTGGAACGGCCGAGCAGAAGTAAAAGGAGCAGGGAGCAGCGGATACACATCCAGCGCAGAGAATCCCGCCGGCCCCTTTAGCAGAAGCTGGAACGACCCAAACGACCCAATCTGGCAGAATGCAACGTGGGAAGATTGGCAGAGATACTGGGAGTGGCGGGCGAGTCGCGAAGCAGGAGGCAGTGCGGCACGTCCTCGCCCCGCGCAGGCTCCCGTGTACTTTCGCAACTCCTACTTTGTCGTGCTCGTTGCTATTCTGGCGATGATTGGGTCGACGGCGAACTCGAAGCGCGCACACGACGCCGGGACGTATTTTATCGAGCAGCGGGATTTGATGCACGATCGGACGGCGAAGGAGTTAAGAAGGGTGAAGCGAGAGGCGGAGGGGAGTAGCTCGCGGCAGGACCGGATTGATTGGTTTTTGAGGAATCGCGATGCCACGCTGGGGTTTGGGAGTGCTGGGGAGGCGGAGGCGTTGCGGGAGGAGAAGGCGGAGAGGCAGTTGGGGGAGCGGGAGGTGTGTAATAGTGAGGAGATTGGGAATGAGGGGGGTTGATGGAGATGGGATTGAAGGTTTACGAACATTGAACGAGTGCCATGGCTGGCTGGGAGCAATCAGGCATTGGCAGGTGACGAGCTACCACGCGTCGATGTCTACAGGAGGCGTGGTGCAAAGATAGACAAGCCTTGCATATACACACAATAGAGTGAATGCAATGATCACGTGCAACGACCGCAAAAGTCGAAGCTGACATCATCACCCCCATATCTCCAGTCCGACTCCAGTTTCCCAATTCCCGGGCGATCGATGGAAATTAGGCCCAGACCAGGCCTTGCTACCCGCCCCTCGGCAACGCGCCAAAAGGAAAACCGAGGCAGCGCGCTTCGTCATTCGCCAGCGCCTCCGATCCACCGCGAGCTCTGGCGTCACCGTCTCCAGACGGAATTTGTCAATGGGCGGGCCTGCGATGGCGACGGGTATACGGGGGGAGGGGCGGGCAAATGAGGTGCCCGCGGAGCAGCACGACATTACGGTTCTGGGCATTGAAGAGGTATATAGTTGGTTGGTCGGGCCCGTCGTCATTTCTTTCCTCTTGCAAACATATCCATCCTATACCTATACCTATACCATATCCATCAACCACATTACACAACATGGCCGACACCGCAACCGTGCTGGGACTGGGCAAGGTCCTGCCCGTCACCGCCTCCTTCGCCATCCCCCTCGTCCTCACGCACTCCCTCCTCTCCCTCAACGTCGTCAAGACGCGCATCGACCTCAACACCTGGCAGGGCGACAAGGTCATCACCAAAGACGGCAAGGCCGCGCAGGGCATCACCCAGCCCGACGGCAACACCTACGACCCCCTGTTGATGGCCACGCGCATCCACTCCAACTTCAACGAGAACGTGCCCATTACGCTCGTCCTCGCTGCGCTGGCGGAGATTAACGGTGCGGATCGGAGCAAGTTGGCGGGTTTGTTGGCTGCGTTTACCCTCATTCGCGCGTCGCATGCGATTGGCTTGGGCAAGGCGACGCAGCTCTTCCGTGCTATTGGTGAGTTGGACTCTTTCCTTTGAGTTGTAGAGGTGAAGTCGATCATTTAGAGTGACTGTCTTGCTGACGCACGATTTGTAAGGGTACTTTGGCACCCAGGGTGTGCAGATTGGTTTGGCCAGCTGGATTGGCCTGTTGGTCAAGGGCTACTGGGGATTCTAGATGGTCAAGAGTGTGACCAGAAAGAGATGCAATTGTAGGATGAACAAATTGTGAAGAAGACTGTACAGAAGCTCGATATCAAGATACACACACCGAATTGCTCTCATCTCCAACAACTCAACTCCAGAACCTTGCGCTACTTGTCAAAACGAGTACACTGCTAATATTGATACAAAGGTAAGCGTACTGCAGACAACATACAATAGACCCGACCTGCGCTGGCACGAATACTCCTCTTTTCCCACCGTGTGCCGATGGCAAGGCGACGAGAACCAGGCTGTGAGGGTCACCAGGGCCAATCACATCTCAATCGGCATCGACACACTGCGCCTCCACATGGGTGACGGTGTTCTTGACGTCTCCAAGAAAGCGGAGTTTGCTCAAGGCCTCGTTGACATCGCCGATGACGCTGCTGCAGGCGAAAGACTCTTCGCCCCCCTCGGAGGTGCCGCTGAAAGTCATCTGCGACGAGAGGCCGATGTTGGAGTCCTGTCAGTTTGACGTTAGCGTGCACATTGGAGCTCTCGGATGTATCCTGCTACTCTTACGTCGGGGCTTCTGTTGTATAGCGTAGCCTGGATAGAGCTGACTACATGGCATTGAGGTCTGATGGACAGTTAGAGACACTCAGGACGTATCGAGCAATGGCTAACGCACATGGGATACCAGAAGAGGTCAGGCGGAGGAGGATCAATCTCTCGCCATCGGATGGGGTCGTGGAAGAATGCCGTCGCCACCTGAGTGCATTGACTCGTCTTCAACAGCGCAGTGTTGACGGCTGTCATGAGAGCTTGCTCCGAGACGCTGTTGCCCAAGGTTCCCGTCATTACAACGGTGCTAGTGGCAACGCTTGATGAGCCTCCAGAATGCGTCCGATTGAACTTGATGTGTTCTTGCGTCGCAGAGTCGCAGACCAAACCGCAGTCCGATTTCATCAGCGGGAGGAAGTTGGTCTGGTCATAATCGCCAATCATGAACTATCAAGCCGTGAGTGGCGTTCTCTCACATTCGCGCTGGTAGTGGCTTACCTTTTGAACCCCCAAGAGGAGCTGCATAACCAACGTCGTTGTCGGCGCCGCTTCTTCTGTACTGATAGGCATGGGCGTGCTCTTCGCCGCGCATTCCCATGTCGTCTTGCCATCGGGTCCGACCGTTCGACTCGCGCCGGCTTGTACGCCCCCGTTGCAAGTGCAGCTGGAGGAGGCGGGATACGTTCTCCCACTGATCGTGAATGCCGGTGCACCCACCAGAGCGCAGCTGGTGACTTGTCTGGCGAAGACGGGACTGGGTGTGATTCGGGTGGACGGTGCTAGCGTTGTCGCTGGTATCGTGGGCCGTATGATTGCTGACACGGCAAAGCCTGTGCTTGCTAAGATGCAAAACCACCTCATGTTACTCAGGGTTGTTGGCTGGAGGCTTCGTAAAGTATTCACGGTGTCAGATCGTACGACTGCCGCTGGACGACACACCGTCTTTTCCGTCGTTGCTGGAATACATATACGATACAGACTGTAGCGCCCAAGGTTATCCGAAACACAGCGGCACGCAATGCACCGCCCTTGAGCATCTTCGAGACTCAGCCTTGTCGTTTAAAGCCACTACACAGCCTTGTGAGATTAAGAATTCTCTGTCCCAGCGCTTAGACGGTGTGTGTGTAAGGCAACAGAGCCGTCTCCCAAGATGACTGTACTGGTTGTCGACCTTGAGCCGGCGTCAAACGAAACGTTGGAAGCCGGGCAGGCCTGTCGCCTTCAAGAGATCGATACAGCGTTGCCGCGCCGGCAAAAGGACAGCAATATAATTAGCACAGGCGTCTAGCGCGCGGTCTCATTGGCGAGAAAGCTTTGGAAGAACGGCTGATGCTAAAGGCATTCTATTTAACGCGGCTCGGAGGGAGTGAAGTCGAATGCGGAAGGTGTGAAGCCCCACTTTGCGCTGCTAGCCGCCCGCAGCCTCACGCTGAAACTCAGAGACACCGGACGATATCTAGATGCGGGCCGGCGCTTGTATGATTAATATAAGGGGAATCTTTGCTCTGGACTCAAAAGGTAGCAGAATGTCAGTCGTGTAACGATGCTCGCTCAAACTGCATACTTGGCGGCGTTTCTGATCGCAGTCGGTGCTCAAACTCCAACGACGAGCAGCAGTCCTTCGCTCTCGGCTCAGACGACGACGACCTTTTTCCTTCCACCAGAGGCCACGGATAATGGATTCGCAGCAACGATAGTCAAAGCCGATGCCTGCGCAACAACAGTGGGCTTGGTGTGCACCTCTGGCAGCGAAGCAGGGGCTTTTGTCCTGTGCGGACCTGATGTCACGGTGCGCAGTTCCGTCATGCTCTACGTACCTCACCGTCCTCTCACTAACAACCCAGCAGGCTTACGCAACATATCTCGGAACGACCAGCTTCACGTTTTTTGCGCAAGCGAGCATGGGCCCCGACATAGGGACGTACATGCAAGGCTGCCAAATCGACGGGACAAAGAGGGCCGTGTGCAGCACTACCACTCGAGTCTCAACGCACGGCAAGACTTTATTGCAGTCTGCGACGACGACGTTGACGGGGCATGAGGTTCACTTCGCGCAGGTTCTTGTTACCGCGGGTGCTGCGAAGCTGCGGGGTTTGTCGACGGCAACATCGTCTTGCGCCGCCGCGTTGACTGCAACATCTGCGGGGGCTGCTGCTACGGGTGTTGCTCGGCAAGCAATCATGGCGCTGGGAGTACCTGGGGCGGCGGCATTGCTGGTGGGTGCAATCGTGTAGCACGGTGAATTCACGGCGAGTCTAGAGGATCAGCGGCAAAGGAGAGTTGAGCCATAGCAGAAAGATGTAGCACCAGTACCGTAGCGTATGACTGATAAACGACAACATAACGCTCAACGCAATCCATCTCCCAACGCCACCCAGTGCTCAACCTCCCTCCCTCACGCACCCTCGGATCCAAACTCCGCCGTCCATTCCGTATTCCGCACCAAGTCCGACTGACTGACCGTCGGCCGCGAAGCCTTGATTGCCTTGACAAAGTCTTTGACGAGCAGCGGCGGCTCGAGTAGTTGGTCTGTCTCGATCTCCGTCCAGTTCATTTCGAGCGCGCCGTCGTCGCCGGGGGAGCAGGGTGTTAGCTTTTCTACTCCGTCGACGGTGACCTGAATTCACTCTCGTTAGTAAATGGCGTCCCTTCGATGCGCGTCCACCGCTCACCTTCTTGTAATGCGTCGCCGTCTGGATCTTCCGCACCGGCTGCATCAACGCATCCTGCACTGCAATACTGATATCACTCCCAGAATACCCCTCGCTCAGCTTCGCCAGCGTCCGATAATCCTCCGCTTTCAGCTCACACGGCGTGCTGCCCACGCTGAGTTCAAACATCTTCATGCGCGCCGGCATGTCGGGCAAACTGATGTGCACTCTTCGCTGGAAACGACGGCGAATGGCCATGTCGAGCTGCCAGGGGATGTTGGTGGCGCCGAGGATGAGTACGCCGCGTGAGTCCTTGCCCACACCGTCCATCTGCACTAGCAGCTCGGTTTTGATGCGGCGGGAGGCTTCGGATTCGCCTTCACCACGAGGACCACAGAGGGCGTCGATTTCGTCGATGAAGATGATGCTGGGTTTGTTTTCGCGGGCGAGGGTGAAGAGCTGCTTGACCAGTCTTTCCGACTCTCCCATCCACTTGCTGACCAGATCGGACGAGCTGACGGAGAAGAACGTGCTGTTTGCTTCCGTTGCGACGGCCTTGGCCAAGTACGACTTTCCTGTCCCCGGAGGTCCGTACAGTAGAATGCCCTTCCACGGCTGTCGCTTGCCCGTAAACAAATGCGGGAACTTTGTGGGCAGAATGACTGCTTCCTTGAGCGCCTCCTTCGCTCCCTCCAACCCAGCCACATCCTCCCACTTGATATTCGGCTTGTCGGTCAGAATGGCCCCGGCCAATGCACCCCTCAACTTCTTATTCTCCGGATCCTCATCCTCATCCTCCTTGCCCGCGCCCCCGCTACTCTTCCCATTTGACCCCATAGCCGCCGGTTTCCGCTTGCTGCTCTTATCGTTGTCGGCCAGGTGGTTCTTCAGCTTCTCCGCGCGCTCCATGTACTCGCCGGCTTTTTGGCGGATCATCTCCTTGCTCTTGGCGTTCTTCTCCCATTTTAGCGCCAGCATGAACAGCTCGAGGGATTGATAGTAGAGTTGGTAGGCTTTCTCGTACTCCCCCGCGGTGTCTTGCTCGATGGCTTTTTTGACCACGTCGATGGCGCGGCCGAGGAAGTCGGTATTGGACATGGTGGGGGGAAGGTGCTGCTGTGCGCAGCGGTGGGTGGGGGTGTTGGAGGGTGCTTTGGTCGTCGGTGTTTGCCTCCGGAGGGTCAGGTAGATGCGGGGTGCTTGGTTGTGGGCTCGATCGGGGAGGGAAGGGTGGCGGGAAGGATGAGTGGGAGAGTTAGATCTCAGTTTGCAGCATCGCCAGTCCGCCCGTCGAGTGTGGTGGATCGTCTGAAGTGGGTGTTGTGCAGGTGACGTTGGTGGAGGTGACGCGGGATGTGTTGGCGGGGCGAGGCCTTCTCGGCGGAAGCGGCCGACGCTGCGTTTGGAATATCGCAGACTTCACCTCCTGCCCGATGCCAAATCGTCTGCCTCTTCAGCTATCCAGACCGCCGCTTCAAAATGTCCGACTCGCAGAACCTTCGCGCCCTTTCGGATGAATACGAGAAGTTGCAAGGCGGTGTGTTTCATCTCCTCTGCCTACTTGGACCCCTCGCTAATGAATACGCCAGATCTAAGTGAAACCGTCCAAGCACGACAGAAATTGGAGAGCCAGTATACCGAGAATCAAGGCGTTCAGAAGGTATGTGAGTATCAAGCTGGCCTGGTTGGCGGGGACTGACCATTTCCTCAGGAATTTGCAGGGTTAGAAGACGACGCCAAAATCTACAAATTGGTTGGTCCTGTATTACTGAAGCAGGACACGGTGGAGGCGAAAAGTACGGTTGATAGCCGACTGCAGTACATTGACGGAGAGATGTAAGTGTGCTTATGTTATTTGTCGTGATACTCTGGCTGATTGAGGCGATAGCAAACGAGTGGAAGTCAACATCAACGCACTCCAGAAGCTCTGCAGCGAAAAGCGGGATCAGGTGAGCAATGGTTTTATCATGAGCTACAGGAAGGTCAATCTCTAACTGATGGCAGATTATGCGAATCCAGTCCCAGCAGCAACAGCAGCAAGCACCTCCCGCGTAGTATGCGCCAATTCGAATGGAATACTGCTCGGCATCATCGCTTTTTCTCACTCACCACCTCCTCCCACTGCACGCCCACCCACTCCTCCACATATCCCACTTGGCCCTCTTCTTTGCCCTTCTCGGTGCAATCCGAGCTGCACACACATACAATGACAGTCCCCCACTCCATCCCGTCCACGCCCATCTCATCCGCCTCCAGCTCCGTGATGGCATGCGGGGTGAGTTGAAGCTCAAACGATCGTCCAGCTCCACACGACGGACATCTAGGCACTCTCGACACGCTCGAGCCGTTTAGCGTGGACGACGTCTGCACTTTGGCCTCGGAAGCATGCGAGAGTACCCTCCCAGCCGCGTCCGACTTGGAGTACAGCAACGGCTGGCCGCCAAACTCATACCGAAGGATCTGCTCGGGATTCTGCGAGAGTCGATCGGCGAAGTGCTGGAATGTTTTGTCCATGGCGCTTTCAAACGCAGCTTTGTCTTCTGCTGCGCTGCTGCTGCCACCGCTTGCATCTTCAGTGTCGAGTCGAGCGTTGCCGGGGACTGTGGCTGGTTCGGGTTCGAGGTACTCCTTGTCTGCGTCGATGTGGTAGGATGGATAGGGAGATGGATCTTGTTGCCATGGGGTTGATGGGATCTGGGGTGCTTGTGGAGAGGGTTTTGTAGTTGTTGAAATGCGAGCCTTTTCGGCGAATGTCTCATTGAGGCTGGGTTCGCTCTTCGCTGTGGTTGTTGCATTGGATCCCGCCGCTGCAAACGGGTTGTTGCTTGCACTGGATGAGCCTGTCGTACTGAAAGGATTATTCTGAGCCGGCGTTGAAGATTTGGCACCAAACAGTGTTTCCCCAAGGTTGACAGCAGGCTGTGCGCGTTCCTCTGCCTCTGACTTGGTTTCGTGACGTTCAGCAGTGGAAGCCGGGATCGCACTCGCTCGCACCGCCCTCAATGCCCGGACACAACCAGCCTTCCGCCTGCACGGCTTCCTCCTGCATCCAAACACGTACAACCGGCGCTCATGGCCCGGGAACCACTCTGGAAGGTCGGCATACAGTTGCAGCAATAGACTCATGACCCCATTGCAAATCTTGCAGGTTGCGTAAGCGTCCGACGGGGCAGTCGTACCGTCGAGCCAGACCTGAATGCTTCGATTAGTACGTGTCGTTCATCCTGCGGGGCTCGACATACAGGCCGTCCGCCAAGTTGGCTGAAATCATCGCTCGTCGCCTCCTTCGATGCGTAGCCGAGCAGCACGTTCGTCTGAATGTCGTCACCTCGCACATCCTCGTCGGATGAATCTGAGTCGTAGTCTGCCATGATTGCGCCTGATATTATCGAACAGCCTGGACGTGGGTGTCCTTGGACCAGAAATCCGATGCAGGGAAAAATGGACGGATAGAGTTTTGGCAAGTCAAGTCAAGCCAGGCAACCACAGGTGGGGGAGCTTCAGCCGTCTTCTGTCCGCCCGGCGAGAGAGCGCTGCTGGCTCTCTTTTATATCATCTTATCGATCGAGGACGAATCATCGTCGGCATCGCATTCAACCACAAGGCAACAAAAGCAGCTCTGAATATCTACGTCGTCGCCCGACGACAACACTCCGACTCGCCACTCCACGGCTTACAACATGACAGGCCTCCTCTCGCTCCCACCGGAACTCCGCGACGAAATCTACACCTACATCGTCGACACCCCCACCGACAACATCGCCGCGTTTGAAGGCCAACAAGAACTTGCTCAAAGCCGCCATCTTCGAAATGTAGCCGCGCAGCCCGCCATTAGCCGCGTGAATAAGGAGATCCGCGCGGAGGTCCTGCCGCTCTTCTACAAGCGCAACGACTTCCTCGTCGAGCTCTCTCAGCCCGCCGACTTAGAGCTTGCAAAAAGGTGGCTACAGGCTATTGGTGATGCGGACGTGAGGAGTTTGAGGTGGCTGACGCTGTGTGGGTGGGGTTTCGTGAATCTGGGGTCATGTAGACGTGCGAGGAGGATCAGGTGTAATTTCTGGGTGAAGGTGCGCTTTGATTTGATGCAAGGTCAGCTGGAGTTTGACGACGAATCGGAAGTGTCGGATGGAGAAGAGGGGGGAGGAGGGAGGAGGTTGCGTAAGGATATAAGGCAGCTAAGGGAGTTTTACCAGAGGATGGTAGAGGAGAGGAGGAGGGAGGGTAGAGGGTTTACCAGGGAGGGTTTGAGTGGGTTGATGGATATCTTTCAAGCATTTCTGTAGGCAGCGGTAGGTCGGAGAACTCGCTAGCTAGATTGCAGCATGATACTGATGTCCTTGTCTCTTGATGCAAAGCACCAGGGTGTCGCCAACGGACAAGAGAGTTTTGGCAAGTGCAGCCTGTCCCGCCGCTTACCCCTCCCCGCCACGCTGCGTTTCATAGACGGAGGAGCTTCTAATAACTCTAGGATGAACAATGTAAGAATCATCTGCTTCAAAGAAAAGGTCGTGAGTCGCTACCCATCCAAATCAGTCACGCTACGACACCCCTCCAATATGACAGCTCTACCTAATGGCCTCCTCTCGCTCCCGCGTGAACTCCGCGACCATCTCTACACCCACCTCGTCGACAAGCGCCACAACATCATCACCATGTGCAAAGAGCACCGGCACAGGGCCAGTGAGATCAGTGCCGCGCAACCCGCCATCAGCCGCGTAAACAAGCAGATCCGCGCAGAGGTCCTACCGCTCTTCTACGCGCGCAACACCTTCTTCGCTAATCTGTCCTTGCGCGAGGAGTTGGAGATGACGAAGAAGTGGCTGCGCGGCATCGGGGATGCGAATCTGGGGTGTCTGAGGTCGCTGATACTGCAGGGGACGAGTGTGCTTTATACGTATGGAGGGTGTAGAGGGTCGTACTCGAGGTGTCAGGTCAATTTCGCAGTTCAGGTGTCCTTTGACTTGATGCGGGGTGAGCTGCGGATTGAACGCGAGTCGGAGGCGTCGAGGGCAGAAGAGTCGGGGAAGATGCGTAAGGCTCTGGGCAAGTTGAGGGAGTTTTATCACGGGATGGTGGAGGAGAGGAAACGGGAGGGGAAAGAGTTTGGTGTGGAGAGTTTGAGTGGGTTGGTGGGTGTTTTTCATGAATTGTGTTGGGATGATTACCTCGGAGAGTCCCCGACGGAGTGGGCGAATGATTGATACGGGTGTCCTCTCAAGTCGCTTTGCCCTGTACTCGGGCATGGTGAATGCGACGGCATTGTCGTGCTGCGATTTGGCAGACACCGCTCGTGGTGGAGTTGCAGAGCTCGCCAGGTTTCGGTGATTGAAGGAGTGATAGCGCATAGCCATCCATCACCCAGCCCCTTCATCCTGCACGAGAACATCCTGAAGCAGCTTCTTGGCCTCCTTCACCAGCTCATTCTCCTTCTCCGCCCCCACCTTATTCCCTCGACTATTCAGCCACCCGACGTCCAGATTGCCCAGTCCAGCATTTGTAATGCGTTGCGAGTCGTGCGCTGTAGTCGGTGCTGACACACCAAGGCGCTGCTGCTGGGTTGTTGAAGTGATGGAAGAGGCCTCGGGGGCGATGATGCCTGCTTCCTCTAGAGCATAGGTTTGTCGGCGAAGTTGGGCCACGACGGATTGTAGTCCCGTGTAGTATGCTTCCGTGTGGTGGGTGAAGGCTTCTTTGCGCTCTTCCAGAGAAGGCGAGGCATTGTTCTCTTGAACAGGCCGAGGGGTCAAGGCGTTGATTGCGTGGCCAGCCGATTGGAGGATTGCCGCTACTTCGGCGTTGATTGCCGCCAGTTCTCGGATCCGGTCTGCCGGGGATATCGTTCTTGAGGCCATGGCTGAACGATAGTGAAGTGAATGTGAGATCAGGAAGTGAAGCCGAACTGTGAGGTTGACAGTCCGTGCGTACTCCATATCACGTCAGGCGTTGACTGCCTCCTGTGCTCTAAGCGACCCTCCCCAACTCCATCTCTTCCCATCTTCACTTCTTCCGCCCCGTGCACCTGCAAACATCACCACCGTCGCTTCCCTCTCATCGCATCGTCTGCACCAACGCGACTACCGCATGTGACACGAATCGCACCAACACCATGGCGCAACCGCCTCCGCCTCAGCGGACGGGGAGCGTGGGCCCGGCAAGCGCAGGAGGGATGGGCGCGCCGCAGTCTGCAAATACGCCTGGCGGGCAAGGACAGGGTGGCCAGCAGAACCTGAATCAGATTGTGAGTGGCATTTCTTTCGTCCGTTGTCTTCCCACCACGGCATGCCCGTAGCGACGTTGAGATCGAGACTCTGCCCTCGATCATGGATCCGTGCTTAGTTCCGATCTTGGACGCGATTGACCATGGCTTGGATACTGCGGTGTGTTTGCTTTTGGAGCCTGGCTGGCCGGAGCATGCACCGCAGACTCTGATCCTTGCCATGAGCGCATTCCTTTATCACCACGCTGGACTCAATATCATGCCATTCAAGTCCTTCCACTGACATCATGCTGCAGGTCCTCGAATATCTCTCCAAAAAAGGATACAGCAGGACAGAGGCTATGCTACGGCGCGAAAGTGCACACACCGATGCCAACGGCCAGCCTATCCTAACACGTTTCGACGACATCGGCGGCAGGAAATACACCAAGGCCTTCACCCTCGTGCAAAACTGGATCGACAACATCCTCGACATCTACAAGCCCGAGCTACGGCGAGTCCTCTGGCCCATCTTTGTCCACTTCTTCCTCGGCTTAATTGCCGACTTCTTCCCCCGCGATGCCGAGGACTTCTTCCAAACTTTCAAAGGCCCGTTTGAGAATGAGCATGAGGATGATTTGCGTGCTCTCGCTCCTCTCAATCTACCCGAACACGTCCAACAGAGCGAGATTGGCAAGCTCTACCGCGACAACAGATACCGCATCACTCTCAGCAGCATGGCTTACATGACGCTCATGCAATTCCTCGAATCACACGACCGGGAGGGTGGAAGCTTGATCACCACAACCCTCAACACCCACTTTGACTTACGTTCTGTAGATCGTGCGAACGCCGGAGGTGCGCGTGGGCTCGCCAAACTCCTCGCAGACCGTAATGGTGACGCAGACGAGCCCGCGGAAGACGAAGGCATCCCGGGACACAACGCCGGCTCCGCCAATCTCGATCGTAATGCGCCGACCGTCCTCTCCAAATTATCACTCGGTCCGATGCCGATGGAGAGTGACCTCATGGAGGATGTCAAGGCCGAGCTGCAGGATCTCGATGCATCTAATCCGCCCAAAGCCGGGCAGAATTCACTGATGGACGAATTTGAGGAACGCATCAAACGAGAGCCCATGGATGACGTCCCGAGTCGCGACACCCTGCCGTTCCCTCCATCCACCGCCAGAGATGTGGCGATGGAGGTGCAAAAGGTGAAGGAGAATCGAGATCGCTTCCGTATCGAAGGTCGTGATGGTCGCTCTGGTGGGATTGGGCCGGGGGTCAGTGTGACCATGTTTACATTTCACAACACCTTTGACACGGTGAATTGCATCGAGTTCTCGGGCGACAATTCTCTGGTTGCTATCGGTACTGCTGAATCCTACATTCGAGTCTGGTCGCTCGACAACCAACCACTCGTCACCGCCTCCGATCCAGCTGGCACACCACCTCCCGCCTCGCGCCGTCTGATCGGACACTCTGGTGCCGTATACGCCATCTCCTTTTCCCCTTCGATCGCAATACCCACAAACGATCACGCCGACTCTCCCACATCCCCAGACTCGCGCCCTCGGTACCTCGTCTCTGGATCTGCCGACAAATCCATTCGCCTCTGGTCCCTCGACACGTGGACCAACCTTGTCGTCTACAACGGCCATCAATCGCCGGTTTGGGATGTTCGCTTCTGCCCTCACGGCCACTACTTTGCATCCGCTTCTGCAGACCGTACGGCGATGCTATGGAGCACACCACACATTGCACCCCTCCGCATCTTTGCTGGCCACGATTCCGACGCTGAAGCCCTCGCATGGCACCCCAACGGCGCTTACGTCTTTACTGCATCCGGCGGCGGCGACAAGACGGTGCGAATGTGGGAGATTGTGCGGGGATCCGCGGTGCGCCTCTTCACCGGTCACACGGGTAATGTCACTGCGCTGGCGTGCTCGCCGAGCGGTCACTTTCTGGCAAGCGCTGATGATCGCGGCGAAATCATCCTCTGGAATCTGCCTACGGGCCGGCTGCAGAAGCGGATGCGCGGGCATGGACGTGGTGGGATTTGGTCTCTCGATTGGTGTGTCGAATCCACTCTGCTGGTGTCTGGCGGTGCGGACGGGACAGTGCGCGTGTGGGACGTGCAGAGCAATAAAGAGACGCAGGGCAAAGCCATTAGCGAGGGAGGCGCGGGCGGTGCAGCCAAGATGGACGGGGCTTCTGGTGGGGGTGCCAGCAGCGGAGTTGCTAAGAGCAAAGCGAAGAAGGATGTGGTGGTGAGTCCGGATCAGATCTCCGCTTTCCCCACGAAAAAGAGCCCGGTGTATAAGGTGCGGTTTACGCAGATGAATCTGGTCGTGGCGGGCGGGGCATATTTGCCGTGAGTGCATTTGCAATAGTATGATCTTTTGGACCCTGTTCACCGCCACTTCCACTCGTCGCACTCAAAGTTTGCGTAGCAGCGGAACTCGTTGCTCAAGCCTTTGCTATGCTCTGGCTCGAATGTGGTCGTTTTCGTTCCCAGGGGCCCGTACAGCTTCAACACCGTTTCTTCCATTCGTTCGCCCGTGCACGCGATGAAGCGCACACTGTCGTCGGAAGGCTGTCGCCAACTGCGCGCAAGCCATCGCACCGTCAACGCCGTCTTCGTCTGGCAGTCTTCGGATAGAAAGGGCGGGTCGCAGACAATGTGGCTGAATTTGCCCTTCAGCTCGGCGGGGAGGCGTAGGGGATTTTGATAGTCGTATGGGACGTAGTCTTTTCCGAGGACTTGGAAACGAGTGTCGAATTCCAAGAGGCGGACTGTGGGTTTTGGGGTTGTAGATTTGGCTTCGAGTAAGAGGTTATGCAAGGCTATGTAGATGCTTGGGGCGGAAACGATGGCGATCGCATGGTCGTTGTCGCTGGGAATGTTGGAGAGGAGTTGCTGGGCGAGGATACGGGCCGTGCTGTCCGTGTACCAGAACTGACTCGCGTTCCAGTCTTCGGTGAAGAGGTCCATGGAGAGTGGTGTGTTTTCGAGCGAGCCATTGTCATTGTCGTCCTTTTCGAAGGCAGCCTCGGAGCGGGATTGCAGGGCTTGGAAGCGTTGGGTGTGGGCTTCCTTTTCGGACTGGAATTGCTGGAGCAGTTGTAGAGTGTCGGAGGGGAGTTGGAGAGGTTCATCGTCGGCGTCCATACTGTCACTCATTCCTGGAGATTCCCAAATGGAATTTATTTGGTGCCTTCTGGTTTAGGAAGGTATGGTGAATGCCAAGTGTTTTGGCCAAGGGACAAAAGTCTTGGGGGTTGATGATTGGCGGGCTGCGTTTGTCATTCCTCGGATTCCAACCACGAATGCGGAGGATACTTGGCCTAACGATTGCATTTCTTCACGTCGGCGTTTTACGGCCACGCCAAGGCAGGAGAGGAGTCTACCAAAGGAACGAGACAAAGGCAACGGAGAGAGCCGGACATTCTCGGCCGTGCGCAATTTCCAGCGTCTCACCCCGGAGTGAGCACGCAAGATCCGGCCGAGTCGACGCTACTGCGCCACGCCACCCTCTCTCTCTCCCGCCGCGGCCTGACTTGACTCCGGTCGGCCTTCTATCATCACACCCACACGCTTCGCCGCTCTTCCATCCTCCTCTTTGCCTCCCCCTCCCCTCGACACCATATCTACCGCTGCATCCGGTGATTGACGCTTCCCACACTCACCGCCTGCAGACTTTAGCAAACCGCGACCGGGGCCATGGGCTCCCGCCAGCGCTACGAAAGGGTACGTCAGCACGACCGTCGCCGCTTCCCTTCTGCCTTGCACACCGCCATCACAATCCCTAACATGACCATCACACAGATTGCAGCCGTTGACCATGACGACTCCTCGATGACCTCTCCCTCCGCCGCTGTCCCCGCCTCCCCGCCACCCTCCTTCCGCTCTCGCACCAGCTCAAGGCGACCATCACGCGATCAGACTGATGGTCAGACGCTCGAGCAGAGGAATCTCAACGATGCTTTCGATGCGCCCTCGGACGATGACAGCGATGCCGAAGATACACCCGACTCGCGCCGGTTAATACACTCCGCCCAAACAAACACCGATGATGGCACAACACAAACAACAACATCCTCCTCATCTCCTCCTCCCGCCCCCACCCGCACCGTCACCGAAATCCCCATCTTCACCCCTACCGGCCCCGGCGGACGCAGCAATGCGGCAGCCAACGATGGCGTCTGGGCAAATCTAAACGCCAAACCGCGCGCCGGCGAAGATCTCGAAGAGAAGCCGCCGACCTACGAACAAGCAGCTGCGGACGCCACCCCACCCTACTGGGAAACGACAGTCCTCTCACCCTACGGCACGAGCAGTAACCCCGACGACGTCTTTGTCGACGGCCTCCTCGTCGGCTCCCTCTTCTCCTTCATCTGGAACGCCCTCATCTCCATGTCCTTTCAGCTCATCGGCTTCCTCCTCACCTATCTCCTCCACACCACACACGCTGCTAAACATGGCTCTCGCGCCGGTCTTGGTATTACCCTCGTCCAATACGGTTTCCAAATGCGCTACGCTGTTGGGGGTGGCCAATCACCCATGGATGGCGTCGTTCCGGGTAGCGGTGGTGCGCCCGTAGACGGCGTGCCTTCGGATCCGAACAAGCACGATTTCGACTCGGGGAAAGTTGGCACCGGAGGACCAGAAGCCGGGAATGGAGGCATGTTTAATGCGATGAGCACGACGGATTGGTTGAGTTATGTTTTGATGATTGTGGGGTGGTTCATTCTGATTCGCGCCGTGAGTGATTTCTTACGAGCGCGGCGGCAAGAGGCGTTGGTTCGCTCGAGTCCGAGTCGGGGACTGGGCGTGGCCGTCGTTGCGGAGGGCGAGGCGGTGGAGAGTTCGGTTTGATGACCTTGGGACACCTGTGATTTGAGGCATTCTTCATGCATGAAGCGATGGTAGACCTAGAATAGTAGGTATCACGACGGAACTAATTGTCCAATGCTCTGCTCTCAAACGCCGCGCTAAACAACTCGCGATATGCAAAATCAAACCTCCCATCCAACCCACTCGCGTCTAGGCGGCACCTCCGGCACCGGCACCCCCGCTTCAAACCGTCCATTCCCCCTCACATATTCATAAATCTGCTTCAACACCTCGCCCAGCTTCCCACTGTCGTAGACGGATGGATCCGCCGCTTCGGCATCGGGATTCGGTCCCGGCGGGCCATCCGGGTGCCAAATTCGTTCCGGGCGGCGATGGTGCGGGTGGGTGTAGTAGGAGGTTTTGGTGGTGGGGTTGGTGGTGATGGGGTGGTTTTTGAAGGAGGTCGGGGCGAGTTGTTGTTGTTGCTTTTGGGCGAAGGGGGATGGGGCTGCTGGTGTTGTGGAGGCGAAGGGGGAGGGTTGGGAGGGTTGGGATTGCTGGGCGAATGGCGATGGGCTGGGTGCGGATGTGCTTCCAAAGGGTGATGGTTTGCCGAAGGATGATTGTTGGGTGTTGTTGGGGGCTGATGGCTGGCCGAATACGGAGCCCTGCTGTTGCTGTGTCGATGCCTGGCCAAAGGGAGTCGGGGTAGATGCTTGTCCAAAGGGTGTGGTGTTGGATGCTTGACCAAAGGGTGACTGTTGTGGCGTGTTGGATGTTTGGCCAAAGGGTGATTGCGTCTGTGCTGGAGCAGAAGGCTGTCCAAATGCAGAGCTGGTCGTGGGAGCTGCTGCCCCAAATGGAGTTGACGAGCCGAATGCAGGTGTCGTAGTGGATGATGCGGCGGCGCCGAATGGAGATGGCTTGCCGAATGTCGAGCCTCCGGTGCCAAGTGATGATGATTGACCGAATGCAGAGCCTTGTGCACTGCCGAGTGATGATGCTTGTCCAAAGGCAGAGCCTTGTGTGTTTGACGCTGCCTGCCCGCCGAACGGTGAGCTACCTCCCATAGCACTCGGCTGACCGAATGCAGAGCCACCAAGCGGTGAAGGTTTGCCAAACGCAGATGTGCTGGAACCGAGAGCAGAAGGCGCTCCAAATGCCGAACCACTCTGGCCGAGAGATGAAGGCGCTCCAAATGCAGAGCCTCCGCCAAATGCTGCAGTCTGCGGGCGCAGGTTTGACGGCTGCCCAAATGCTGAAGAGCCTGTTGCTGGCTGGCTCTCCATGCCTCCGCTGGATCCAAATGCTGCAGGCTGTCCAAATGCCGAATTGGGCTGGGCATTCGTTTGCCCAAAGGCTCCAGTACTGGCTGCTCCGAAGTTGGAGCTCTGTCCGAATCCACCACCTCCACCCGGTGCACCCGACACGACAGCGCGACCCATGTCTAACCTTTCCTTTCGAGGAAAGTTTCCTACATTCTTCACGACTGAATCATCGCGGTTGGGATGAATATCCTTTCCGTCAATAATGTACTTCACCGCACCGTTGAGATCGCTTAGAATCTGCTGGGCTTGTGCATTCGCCTGACTCAGCGCTTCGGTCTCGGTGAGTTGGTACTGTTCTGCGGCTCCAGTAGCGGCGACCAGGTAGTATTGCACGCGTAGCTCCTCCGGACTCTGTTCGAGCGCGCCTTCGAGCAGTTGGCGAGGAGCATCTTTGCCTGGACCATAAGCGGAGAGGGGCCATGAAGGGCGCTCATCACCAGGAGTGAGGTCTGATTTGATGCCTTCGACGCTGAGATGATAGGGGAGTGATTGGCCGGGGCGGGTTGTGTTTGAATCGCGAGGGGGATGGTAGAAGCGGCAGTTGTCGCCGAATTTGCAGCGGCCTTCGAGGTAGAAGTTGCATACGGGTTTGTTGCCGGGGTTGGCACCGGTACTTGGGCCTCGAGGATTGCTGACTCGGTTGAAGAGACTCATGGTGTTGGGGTGCGTGCGAGCATTTCATGAATCTTCGTCTGGCGGGAGGTTTGAGTCTCGAAAGGTTAGTCAGGGCGAATAGAGTTTCCGCGGCGCGACCAATCGGCGACGGCATGATGCAACGTCCACCGACGACGCGGCCGACAGTTGCTTCACTTGCGAACGTCTTCCCAGGCACGATGAGTGCCCTCCTTTGCTGATCCCCTGCGCGCGTCTCTGGTAGATCTCGAGGGCTGATATGCGCAAATCCCTCGATGCACCCCGTCTCCATCCTCACCTTTGGCATCTTCTTTGCTGGCTACATCACTGCTCGCTGGGATCTCGTCACCCGACTCTATGAACTTGCAATCTTCGCCTGGGATCGAGGTGTCATTGTATGTTTGCTGTAGTGATGGGTATTCTCCAACAGCTAATACCATCCCAGACACGCGCAGCCAAAGGCTTCGGCATCCTCTCCATCTTCTTCATCCTTCTTCTCCTCCCACTCCGTTGGGTCGCTAAGAAAGAAGGCGACCTCCATCCTCGTCCCCCCGAGAGCGGCATTTCTGCCCGCGAACAGCTGAGACGTCGCGGGTCTTTTTGAGCTATATGCCCCCTCCGCCTCGCAAGCATGCCTTGATGCGTGTCTTCTGGCCGTCCGACGCGCCAAGAGATGATATCCCAGGGGTCCTGGTGGGCTGGAGGAATTCCGAGCTGGATGTGTTGATTGTGGGAGTGTTGCAGGGGGTGGAAGTGCACAATGTCGAACATGCCCTGCGTGTGCGCTCGCTCTTCCGCGGTTGCGCACATCCGCTGGAGAATATCCTCGAAAGGTGTGGAGGGCATCCCATTCAGGCTCTCGGCACGCTGAACCTCCCCAATGCCGGCAAGCCTTTCGACCCAAAGGCGTTGTCCATGCATATCCTGCCACGGACCCAAGCTCCCAGAATCGACTACCCAGAAGACATCAACGTCACCATCCAGATCATCACCTTTGATCGGCCGAATCCGAAGCGCATGCAGTACTTGTCGCTCACGCAGATTCCTCTTGCTCTGGGGGACAAACGAGGCGTCTTTGGATCGGTCCCACCCTTCGATCGCATCGATCGAGAAGAGGAGCTGGAGACGGCGCGCAAAGAACAGTTGGTGGAGAAGTTAAAGCGACATACCGTCATCCACCACCCGCGAACTCAAAAGGAGCTTGCGCTCGGAACGATTATCAGTCAAATCAATTGCTCGGCGGAGATGGATTGTTTGATGCAAAGCAACATCAGCCTTGTGGGCATCCGACAAAAGCGGAGCGTCAGTGTTAGTGAGCGTTTCGTTGAATCCGCCACCAATTTTTGGGAGATTGTGCTGCTGGGGCTCAAACAGGCATTCACCCATCACGTCTTGCCCACCGCCACGCAGCTGTTCATCACGTACATTATGATCCACCGCTACATGGCCGAGGGAATGCTGCGTGTTGTGGAATGGCGGCCAATTCCGGGATTTGCGGCGCTGAAGGATGTCTCCGCCACGGGTCAACAGGTCGACATCCGACTGCAGCAATTCTGCTACTGGCCGGTGCAATACGTCACGCTCCACCGTCGACGTGCCGATTGGGAGAGCATCACAAACAGCCATCCGGAATACATTCGCTTCTTCAACAGCCTCTGGCTCGTCGCCAACGATGTCATTATCGGCATCGCCCTCGGCTCGTACATTGTGGAGAATGCAGACTTTGTCGCGCAGCACATGAATAATATCATCAATACGTACTCCATCGAGGGACTGCGGCGGATGATTGAATGGCTCATGGGCTCGCCTGCTGGTCTGAAACTCAACACGGATCTCGCCGATTTCCTCGGCCAACTCTTTCGCTGGGTCATTACCGCATGGGATGGCTGTATGCAACACCTACGCCCCGCCCTTCCACACATCATTCGCTTCATCGGCGTCAGCTCCTTTGCCGGCGCCAGCATGCCCATTGCCATGTTCTCCGACCTACTCAGTCTGCTCACTATCCACATCTACAGCTTCTACATTGCATCCGCGCGCATCTACAACTGGCAGCTGACCATCATCATCTCCCTCTTCCACCTCTTTCGCGGCAAGAAGCGGAATGTGCTGCGCAACCGCATCGACCGCTGCGACTACGACCTGGATCAGCTCCTCCTCGGCACCATCCTCTTTACCCTCCTCTTCTTCCTCCTCCCCACCGTCGCCGTCTTTTACGCCACCTTTGCCGGCGCCCGCATCGCCATCATCGCCCTCAAGGCCGCCCTCGACACCTGGCTCGCCTGTCTTAATCACTTCCCCTTGTTCGCGCTGATGTTGCGGCTCAAGGATTCCCGGCGTTTACCCGGCGGCATCCGATTCGAATTGCAAGATACCCCTTCTGCATTGCTTTTTGCCAGCCAGAAGCAGCCGGTGACATCGTATATCAAGCTCAAGGTGTGTGTGTTCTTTCCAATTGCATGATCTTGCTAATCTTCCTAGTCTATTCCCCTTCCATTGACACAAACCTTTACGCAATATTCCCACCTCGGCCATCGGCTGCGCAAACACTACCTCTCCCCTCGCGTCTTCCTCTACCTCATATCTGGCCAGTTCGTCCCGCCGATTCATAGAAAGAATTTGTACAGCCTGCAGTATTCCATGCTGCCTGCCCACCGCGTGAGCATGGAGGAGTTGTGGCGGCTGTTGACGGTGGATGACGGTGGGGATCGGAAGGGGTTTACTGGGGAGGTGGGGGGTCATGTGAATGGGGGATTGAGTCCGAATGTGGGCAGCGGGAAGAAGTTGAATGGGAGGAGTAGATGATTGGGTATATGATATCCTGAACGCCGTCCCTAATCACATAACAACACAATCGCTATCCTGCTTCGTAGCCGGAACGCCCATCTCGTCAAACGTCTTGGGTCCCTTGCCCGGCGGGCGCGCAGCTGCACTCGTCTTCGCCGGCGCAGTGGCAGCAGGCTGGAGCCCCATTCCGGCTCCAGGTTTGGGTACAGGCGGCATGGGAGGTCGTTGTGCCGGTCGTCCCCCGCTCGTCGAAGGTCGGGATGCCGTTGCTGGCATGGAGCCTATTCGCGGCGGGGGTTTGGCTGCAGAGGCAGGCGGGAGGGAGGATGCGTGCTGGGGTTGAGCAGGGCGAGTGGCGGGACCGGATGGGCGAGCGGCTGAATCTGGACGAGCGGGACCGTAATGCCTGCGTCGGGGATCTGCGTCTGGGGCAGAAAAGCCTATGTCTGGTCTTTGTTGCGGTTGCTGGGGGATAAAGGGTGGTGGAACGTTGTCGTGGTATTGGAGGTTCGCTGGGCCGGAGACGATGCGGTTGTTGGGTCCTGGTCGCGCTCTTGGATCTGATTGAAGTGGTGGAGGAGGACCGAGCGATTGGCCGGCGAAGAGAACTGGGCCGCCGTGCTGCGGGGGAGCACCTGAGCTGGAAACGGGGCGTCGGTTCTGGTAGGCGCTGTTGGGTCGCACTTCAGCGTTGAGCACTGTTGCCGGTCGAGGGGGCTGTTGGAAAGTGTTGTAGGTTTGGGGAATCGGTCTTGGTGGTCCGTCGTCCAGTGGATACGGAGTACTTGACGCCGCTCGAATGTCCGGCATGACAGCGGGTCGAGAATCGTCGGGATAAGGAGTTCTGCCTCTGCTGGGTTGCGGCTCAGACGTCTCGGACAGCTTGGACAGGCGAGGAGTCTGCTGTCGAAGTCGTTCGGGGCGCGCGCCTCTCATCGATCCATGCTGCGACTTGATCCTCGACACCGCAACCTGCTCGTGGTCTCGACGGGAGAGCGTCTGCTTCTTAGACAGCGCATCCACCCGCGCAGTCGCATCCGCGTTGCCATGCTTCGCCGCTTTGTGATACCACTCGAGCGCCTTGTCGAGATTGACCGGGACATAGACGCCAATCTCGTTGAAGTAGCCCAGGGCAAACTCGGCAGTCGCCAGGCTGTTTTGTGCCGCGCGTTCGGCGTAGGTATACGCCAGCTCTTCGTTCTTGGGGAAGAGACCTTCGGAGCCGACGAGAAACCATTTGCTCAGCGCCATGTCTGCTTCCGCCTCGCCTTGCTTTGCAGCCAGGGCATTGTAGTGCATGGAGAGAGCGGGGTTGAATTCGCAGCCCAGAGAGGCGAGTTCGTATGCTGATCCCATTTTGAGCTGGGCTTTGGCGAATTTGAGATATGCCGCCTTTTCAATGTTGACGCGCGCTTGCTGTTCGTCGGGTGCGAGAATGGACTCCGGGATGTTGATTTGCGGTAGTTGACGGGCGAGCAGCATGCCATACACATATGCTCCCTGCGCCGCGTTCTCGTCTGCTTTACTGGCCGACTTGCGAATTAGATCGACGGCTTTGCCGTAATCCTGCTGCTGTCCATGCTGCCCCCGAAGCGTCATCATGCCGAGTCTGTAGCACGACGCCGCATCACCCGCCTCCACCCCTCGGTGGTAATGCCGGAGGGCCTTGGCAGGATCATTGTACGATTCATAAAGCATGCCAATGCGGTACTCTGCCCTCGCATAGCCCCGATCCGCCGCGCGCGAGTAGCAGCGAAAAGCCTCCTTCTTATCCTCGCGCTGTCCGAATCGGCCCCACTCCAACCACATGCCCTTGAGGAACTCTGCTTTGGGATGGTGCTGTTCGGCGAGGAAGGTGACAATGTTCATTGCATCTACGCGCAATCCGTGCTCGATGCGTGGTGTCGCGGGTCGGGAGGAGTGTGGTTTCGCCGCCGCCAGTCGCTCTTCATTGTCCGCGCACACTCCCACGTATACCAGGGCATCTGCGGCCCATGCCAGCTGCATCTCCGGGTCGTTGGAGTTGAGGACGAGGGTGCGCGCATTTTCCAGCGTGGCTTCGAGTTCGGTGTCGGAAGGTGGGACGTTGGCGGGAGGGTTGACGAGTTTGGGAAAGGGGGAGAAGGTGGGCTCGTCTGGTGAGTTGAGAGTGAGGTTCTTCAAGCCATCGGCGATTTGGTTGGACATTTCAGGGTTGATTCTGCGCGCGGTCAGTCGGGAGATGCGCGTGCGAGTGCTTTGCGACTCACCTCTTGGGTTCGGGGGAGATGAGCTCAGGAGCGGGCGGAGGGTTGTAGTCGTCGTACAGGCCCGGGACAAACGTGGCTCCCATGTGCTGTTGGAAGCCATGGCCATCTCTACCGTGAGCCATGTTGTGACTACTAAACGTGGAGGAATAAACTGGGAGGTAAACACGGGAGTAAGACATCAATCCGGGCAGTGACGTAAAATCGCGGAGCCGCATCGGCTTCACGCTTTCATAACAAGCACGTGGGTATCATAAAACTCCAATCACCACTCAGGACCCAACATACCACACCTCCACCCCAAGGACATCAAACTTGATCCCCTCATCACTCAACGCCTCGTTCCCATACGTTGGACAAGTCTGGCTCACGCCCTTGCCCAGATTCCCATCCACCCACAACCCGTAATGTCCATCACCCGCTCCCAAACTCAGAAACTCCTGCTGGCAGAAGATGGTAAAGTCGTTTTCACCGGTGTAGGGAAACGCCTTGAAGCGTATTCGATCTCCCGGCGTTGAGGTCCCCGATTGATGGCCGTTCGTTTTGGCGGCGCCGTTGGTCGGTACATTGAGATTCGGCGTCGGAGATCGCTGGATCCCCACCGTCGTCATGCGCTGTGCGTGTGTGGTGTCTTCGCTGGGTAATGGTGGGAGGTTGGAGAGGTCCAGGAGGGAAGGGAGGACTTGGGCCCGCCATAGAAAGCACTCGCCCGAGCCAAAGTAGTGGGCCTGCGGCTTGGGAGGGTCGGAGAGGTATGCGCCAAAGATGCCTCCGGCGGAATCGCGTACGACGAGCACGAATCCTCCTCGCTTGCCGCGGTGCTGGTCGCAGAGGTGGTAGAGGGTGGAGAGGGTGCTGCCGTCCTGCTCCAGCGAATACACCAATTTCCAGCTCTCACATAGTTGTAGGCGTGCGGGGACCAATAACCGCACTTCCTCCGCCAGCAACACGCTGAGCAATCTGCCTTCTCGTCTCGTGCTGTTCTTGTATCCGTGGAGTTCGAGGGGGGTCAGTGGCGGAGGCTGGAAGGGGGACGGTCGTCGGGGAGGGTTGAACACCACGGCATTCGGGTCGTACAGGGGTTCGTTGTAGTTGGCACTCAGTGCTCTTGCTACCGGTGTGGGTGCATCATCCTCTGACAGCCGCCGGACCACGCTCGAGACGGTGTAGGACAGCGGGTCGGTGAAGTAGTGAAAGGTGGAGGAGAAGGGATTCGAGTGGAGTTTACGCGACGTCGGCTGCAAAGGGGGTCGTGGTGGGACGGGCTCTTCTTCTTCGGACGCCATTACGGCTGGAGGGTGTTGGAAGAAGGAGGCATGGGCAAGCACAAGGTGGTGGACTTTTAGATAAAGCGGGAGGGCCCGATGGTTTAAGCGATGCCACTAATTTTTGGGGTGCTCCTCCTGCCCTCGCGGATACAAGATCTTGTCCACAATGCCCCAGTCCTTTGCTTCTTGCGCGCTCATGAAGAAATCCCGCTCCATCACCTTTTCAATCTCCTCCAGCCCCCGCTCCACCGTCAAATGCCGCTGGTATATCTTGTTCAACTGCTCCCTCACCCGCAGAATCTCTTTGGCATGAATCGCAATGTCACTCGCTTGTCCGTGATATCCCCCCGACACCTGATGCACCATGATGCGCGAATGCGGGAGGGTATATCGCTGTCCCGCCGTCCCACCGCAGAGCAGTAATGACCCCATCGATGCCGCTTGCCCCAGACAGATGGTTGTGACCGGGGAGCGGATGTATTGCATGGTGTCGTAGATTGCGAGCCCCGCCGTTACTGAGCCGCCGGGCGAGTTGATGTAGAGGTTGATGTTCTTGTCGGGATTGTCCGCCTCGAGCCAGAGGAGTTGCGCGACGATGCTGGCGGAGGTGACGTCGCCTACTTCGCCATTGAGGCAGATGATGCGCTCTTTGAGCAGGCGGGAGAAGATGTCGTCTGGTGGATGTTAGGAGGGTGAGGTGCTAGGGTGGGTGCAACATACAAGTATGCCAGCCTCCTCCCTGGCAAGTCAGCAAGAGATGAGATGGTGGGGGCGGGTGTCATACCACGGTTTCTGTCACGAAGGGCATAGGTAGTGCACTACCTGTGTTCGGAGGCTTCGCATCGCTCGTGGGGAGGGGAAAGGGCGGTAGACTCGATGTGCATCGTATCCGAGGTCGAAAGACATTTCTGCGGAGGACGCTGCGGCTCGCGCGGAGGGTGGATCTCGAAAGAGTTTCCATTGTGTTGGTGATGATGAGAGTGTCGCATGAGTTGGAGCTCGGGTTGGAGCTTTGGCTTATTATGTAATTGCGGGTGATCGACGGGCGGACGCCACCTCCGCATTTCACGGCAACGACGCCTTGTACGAGCTCAAGAACTCCACACCGTCTCGATCATGTTGGAGTTGATCGCCAGGTAGCTTTGCAAACGGCTGCATCATGCCCGTCCCACCACGTGGGTCGGCGTTCGGGCGGGTTGCGGCATGATTTGCTTCCTCCCTCCGGATAGCCTCTCGCTTGCGTATTTCGGGGTTTATCGACGGCATCGCTACTCCAACACCGTTGCATCGAGCGACGGATGACGTGGCTTTCCACAGGGACTGGTCGTATAAATAAGAATCTGTCTCTGCGAGCCATCCTCTGGACTGCAAAATCAGACCACCATCATGCAATTCACCTACGTACTTCTCGCCGCGGTCGCTGTCACTGGTACAATCGCCTCGTCGGACATCACGAAATCCATCTCGGTCACAATCGAATACTACACCGCGAAAGGCGGCTCGCAAGACGCATACACATGCACCAGCAGTGCCAAAACTGCCCGGCAGGATGTGACGAGCAACGCTGCAAGGCAGGACTGCAAGAAAGCCAAGGGCTTGACTTATCACTGTCCATCAACGAGGGCGGTGAGCAATTTTGTGGGCGGGCTGGAGAATAGCGCGTCGACGTTTACCTGCCAATCGATTGGTGGATCGTGAGCAGGGCCGGAAAGGATGGAGTGCATGGACTTGCCATATGCTGTGCTACCTTACCAATCAATCATGCTGTGCTACTACCAATTCAAAGGCATGCGCCCGCTCGTCTTTGCGCTGATGGCCGTCATTTTCATTGCAAAAAGCGCAAATATCCTCTGTGAAGGTGAAACAAACACATGGGCAGTGGTGAGTTGATTTTGCTGGAACGCAAAGACACCCGCCTGCCAAAAGCGGCGTTGAATGGCTGTGTCATGTCGTCCGACTCCTCGTAGCACAACCCTTGGCTCCCGCCAGGCTGACGCCTCTCAACCACTTCCGCCTTTTCGATAATAATACCCACCGTCCCCACAATCTTCCAAACTGCAAGAAGGCCCATCCAGTGACTTTGATTTGCTGGTAGCGACAGAACGACCATCCACAATCCCAACAGCAACGCATTCAGTGGAGGTAAGTCGTCAAACGAGGATGAAGTGAGCGCCACGACACCAACTGACCCTTTACAGCCCACACGGCCCCGCCAAATCAAACCTCCAGCATGCAACCAGCCATGTTCCGCCTCGTCGACTGTATCTCCAAGGGGAATCCGGAGAAGATTATTCCTCGCAGCGCGTTCGAGGAACAAGACTACACCGCGTTCAAGGAAACCATACGCCAGCAAATGAACCTTCTGCAGTACAATTTCAAAGACGTGATCTTCACCAGAACCATCCAAGGCCATACTTTCGAGCTTGACGTGAAGACGGCCAACGCGTTGCCGCTCTTCTTCCGCGCTCCTCCTCATGAGATTCCTACCTTCTTCGTCGCACACAACGGCCCAATGAGCGGAGATGCCGGCAATGCCGCACAGTTTCGCTTCATCGATTCCACATCCGCGGCCCAAGCCGAGATGCACGTCCACCGCAGCGCATTCCCTGACCAAGGCGTTGATACATTCTACGACGTCGTCCAGCAACGCCTCGGCCTCCGCAGTCTCATCAGCATCACCTGTGTTGCTCACCGCAATGGGCAGTACATCGCCACTCCGATTCGGAACGACGGCTCAAATGCACTCGATACCATCTTCCAGGCCCCGGCCTACCACACCCCGACGTTCATCGTCACTCTTGACGGATCGCCACTGAACAACCCGACGAGCAACGCCGGTGCGAATCGAGACATCATTCGCGAGCTGCTGAGAACCAAGCGGTTTACGCTGAGGCCGCTCTTTGAGAAGGAAATCTTCATTACCACATGTCTGGCTGCGTTTGGCCTGCTAGATGTTCCTACCCGCATCGTCCAAGAGCATTACAAGGGGGCAGCTGTCCTGCTGGACAAGATGAAGGAGACCGGCGGTCCGGTGGCAGAGCGGTACGGCGATACACCCCACAACACTCGCGCGGCAGTGTTGGAGCACTTCTCGTACGGCTCTCCCGCGTTCCGCTCGACGCTGATCGACATTGATCGCATTGTGAGGCACGCTGCGCCAGGCAAGAAGGACAAGGTGATTGTCATGTTTCAGCTGCCCAAAAGCGCTCACCTCTTCTATGCCCTCCTGGCGTTCCTGGGAACTCCATGTGCGTGTCTCACAGACTAACAAGGCTTTGACGAGCGCTCGGATATCATCAACGGCTTCAACGACGCCGACGAAGTGAAGGTGCTCATCGCGACTTACGGCCCCCATCTCGAAGGCTTCAGCTGCCACCTCCGTTGTGCGCATGTCATTTGTGTGGAGCCAGCCATGAACGACTCGGCGCTGGCGCGAGCGATCGGGTGCGTCCACCGTATCGGCCAGCGGGAAGAGCAGAATATCATCCAGGTCCACTTGAAAGACACCTACATGGACAGGTTCGAGGAGTGGCGGGCTGAGCAGGAGTTCGTCAGCGAGGAGGATTACGACGGGGATGAGTAGCGACACGGACATGAGGCGGGGGATGGTGAAGCGGTTCTCTTGGTCGATGGCGCGGCAAGAGGCAAAGGGCGATTGACCTCGGCCTGCTTCGAGCGTCGATAGACATGGCAGTAGTGGTGCGGTTGAGGTGCGAGCTGGGTAATCATTCACATGAACTACTTACGTATTGTAGTGCGCGTCCACAGGAGCAAGAAAGTAATGATTGCATCTCATTAATCGCACTGCATTGCGGCGTCTATTCATTGCGCATCTCTGGGCCGCGCAAACATTTTCACGACTCCTTCGTTGTCTGACAGTCTGCGCGTGCCTCTCCAGATATGTGGCCAACCTGACGGTACATGATATCAGTCCTCATGGTGTATTTCGTTCCTTCGAGCACATCTTCGCCGCTGTGCACAAGGTCATGATGCTGAAAAATGAAGCAGGAACCAGGGGATGGGTCGACGTCGTACTCGTTCACATGACCCGGCCGGTCTTCGCCAAAGAACCGCGTTGCGCCGCCCTTCAGCTCTGGACTCCCTCGAAGATACAAATGGACGGTCAAGAATGAGACTTCGGACTCGTCCGGCGTGACGTAAAACCCATCACTGTGCTGGCGGAAATACATGCCAGGCCGGTATCGCAGGAATCGCAGCCGGTCGTTCAGTCGAGACATGCGCCAGGTGCCAGAACTCCACACTGGATCATCGCTGGTAATGTGAGGGGAGTTTTCGAGCGTTGCAATGTCGGACGGAATATACGGTCGGACTCGTACGAGCAAGGCCTCGGCGAGCTCGGGACTGTCCCACATGATGCGATCGCAATGCCGCACACCGCTGGCCAAGACCATGTGCCCACCGGCGTTGACGAGCGCTGCGTCCCACCGTCCTTGTGCGATAGTCTCGGCGGCAGTGCGAATCTCGTCGCATTCTTCGGGGGTCAAAAGGCTGTGGATGATGAGTGCAAAGGCGTCTTTGTGTTCGGAGAAGCCCAACGCCTTGAAGTCGACTTGCTCCGTCCAGCATGTTGAAGGAGAAGGGCGTCGTAGGCTGTCAAGGAGTGCGACTGGCGGCTGGGCATTGAAGGCCATAGATTCTGATCAGCTCCAAGTAGAAAGGATGTCGTTGTAGCGAGTCTGGAGCAACGACAAGAGAAACGGGTTGAAATATGGTGGACTTGCCGAATGATTCATTCAGAGTCAGCTCATCAGGCATCAACCGCAGCCCAAAACCCTGCGCAAAAAAAAGGTCCAGGCAAAGCCGCGGCCAGCGCGGTGTCCAAATCGTTTGACCGCAGAAAAAGATGAATGACGAATCTATCCTGGCGTCTTCGCCGAATTCAAGAGGGTAGAAGTTCAGGCCGTAGACTTTGTCACTGCCAACGTCTTTGTCCAACCGCTGCAGGGGAAGTGATGTCGTTGTAGGAAGGTCGTCATGGAGCTGTGAAGCGTACTCTTCGCCGTGCTTTCACTCGCAGTGGGTTAGCTACCTAGGCTAGCTTCCAGACCGAATGCTCGCTCGGAAGCGGGCCGGTGGATCATGTCTCGGGAGTAAAATAATTCCAGGTCAGCCTGATCGGATGCTTTTCCGGACGTAACCGGAGTTAAACAAGGCTTCCCGCCGAGTAGGTGCTACAATAAAGGATAAATATTCGGTGAACGGACGTGAGGATAGTAAAGTGGCAAACAACGACAGTACTTGCACCGTTCGCGTCGCCTTCCATTCGACAAGTATGTTTGAAGTGTGGTTCATCACCGGTGTCTCCTCCGGGCTAGGCTTCGAGATGGCCTTGCAAGCACTGCAGCAGGGCTTCCGGGTCATCGGCACAGTAAGAAACAAGCAGCGAGCAGCGAAGGAGATTACGGCGATCGAAGGGGCGGGCGGGACGATTGTTGTTCTGGATATCACAGATGCCGAGGCCTGTTATAGAGTGTTTGCTGAAGCGGATAAAATACACGGACAGATCGATGTGCTGGTAAACAACGCCGGAGCTTCATATCTGGGGGCACTGGAAGATTTTACGTATGTCACGATCACTATCTACTGGGGAGCCGCGCTGACGTGCAAGCGGATTGACAGCGACGAAGAAGTGCAAGCGCAAATGGACCTGTGCTTCGGGGCTCCGTACCGTTTGATTCGAGCAGCGCTGCCATCGTACCGCCGTAGAAGGACGGGGACAATTGTCAACATCAGCAGTAGTGCCGGGATCGATGGAATCGCAGCCTGCGGTTTGTACGCAGCCAGCAAGTTCGCGCTCGAGGGTTGGTGTTCCCGCCCGAGCCGTTGAAGTGTGGGATGCTGATAAGATGCAGGGTTTTCGGAGGCACTTGCTCGAGAAGTGGAGGTTTACAACGTCAAAGTGGTCATTGTCGAGCCCGGCGCTTTTCGGACGAATTTCCTCGGTGCCTACATCAGGTCAAAATCGACGACCAACCTTGTCCACTATCCCGCGGCCCAGGCATCTTTTGACAAGTTCGACGCATGGTCCGGCAAACAGCCCGGCGATACGGTCAAAGGTGCAGCAGCCATCGTTCGGGTGGCTTCCGGGAAAGGCACGAATGGTCCTCAAGTGGGCAAGGCCATGAGGTTGCCGCTCGGCAACGACTGTGTTGCGCGGCTGGAGGCCAAGATCAAGTCGATGAAGGATGATTTGGATGGGAATCGATCGTTGTCGGAAAGCACGAACCACGATGACTTGAAGTAGCGTGACATTACATCGTTCCGAAATGATCTGTCCAATTCTCTTCGTCCACGGATGTGAATGGGCTGTTGAAGAAGTTCCAGTCGTTCGTACTCATCAAGCCATCTTCTGGCTGTGTTCCTCCGTCATCAATGACCGCAGCTCGGAGAATACTCACATATCGAGTGATGGAGGGATCCGCAGATGCGACGCTCTCGAGATGTGCCACTGCCGCGCGGTATGCAGCAGCCAGTCGTTCCCTGGACAGCAACTGTACCACGTCTAAATGGAGCATCGCGGCAATAACCACCCAGGCCGCCGAATGGATGTAATACGTGCGAAACCACCATGGCGGAAGTACTCGGTCCAACTCGGCTGGTGTGCGATTGGCGCCCATGGATTCGAAGTATTCGATGAGTGCTACGGCCGCTTCCACACCTGTGACAGCGCCGCGGAAGACGACGTCGTACAGAAACATTCCCTCAACCGTCTCACCGTCGTGATCCTTGCGCCGTTTTTGCGCACTGTAGGAGCACAAGCGTAGCAGCACGGGCTGGAACATGAAGACGCGAAAGTGTTGGCTACGCACCCAAAGATGGTTGCTTTGCCGGGCGTGTACCGGGTGAGCCTGAGGAGTCTGCCATCGCATGCAAGGCGGCAGAGAGGCTTCCCACGAGACCAGTGCACACTCTGCCTGTAATGTGGCGTTGACAGCGTGCACGGCTCCGCCTAACAGCGGTGTGTCTCCATCGGGTGGATGCCGCGCTGCCAGCTTGAATGTGTCAATCACATCGAACAGCTCGATGGCTGCGATCAAGAAATGATAGTCGGCTCGCAAGGTGTTCTGCTCTGGTCCACACGTACAAGGTGATTCGTCGGGGTGAGCTATCGGGCGAGACACACGCACAGCGGCGGCGGGTGAAATATGTGTCGCTTGCCCGTAGATCAAGGAGATGGTCCGGTCAATGAGGACGCATCCATACCAGATGCGTTGCAGCAGGCTCCGTCGTTTCCCATCGCCGACTTGGGCACTTGTGGCAGGCAGATCAAGGCCAATGCTTTGCGCCGCGCGGATGGCCATGCCGACAAACGTCCAACAGGCTTGTCGGGAAAACGCACAGTGGCCCACTAACAGAAAGCATTGAACGGCAAGGAGAGAGCGAGTCTGTGCGTGGTGTAAGTCGAGAGAGCACGCGCGCTGGTAGAAGATCTGGCTGGAGGTGATGCGGTCCGGGAGGGCTTGCGTAGGATCGACAAGCGATGCCAATGCCAACACGGCGTTCATGAGACAGACGAAGAGTGGGAGATCCGACCCCAGATCGTTGCCCGCCCAAAGCGACTGGTAGCAGCGTGTAAAGTCGTCCCGGTCAAGGTATGGATAGCTGGGGTCGATCAAGTCCCAATACGTCTCCAACAAGCGATCGGCGTTCTGGCGCAGAGGAAGTACGTATTCCCGCGTGGCAGGCGAGGCTGTGCGCGAATGACAGTTGCGCGGGCTTGGCGTGGGCGGGATCAAGAGTCTCTGAATGTGCTGTGCGAAGCTCGCCACGCTCGACCCCAACATGTCTGCCGGTATCTGGGTTTCGTCGTTGTTTACGGCACCAATCATCGCGTGAGCCGGGCCACTTTCCCCCTCAGTCATGACGCTTCGTGCGGTCTGCAACGAGGAGGTTGGTTCTTGGGCATGAGCTTCGGCAGAGGCGGTCTTTCGCCGAGCAGGCCCTCTCCCTCGACGCCGGGTCCACTGGCAATCTGCTGCGGTCCCATCTTTCCTACGGCACGGCAAACATACTGCAGGCGAGAGTCAGTCCAAATTTGGCGATCGCTGGGCAGCGCCACCTACCTGGTCCATCATCGGCTACGCATTTGATCTTTCGAGATCGGCATTCATCGCACGCTGATTGGAATCTGACGTCTCGGCGACTCGCAGAGCCTGTGCCACGGGAGTTCATCAGATAAGGAGTAAGGAAGTAGGAGAAAGATTCCGAGAGTCCTGTTGATCCGCGACCGGAATTTAAATCGTAGGGGCGATTCTTTCCTTCGGACTTATTCTCCACCCTGCACCTCCGAGGCTTAACGCCGGACGGCGAAAGGGACGAGCAGGCAGAAGCATTTCCAATGAGGGAGGTATTCATCGGACTTGCCGGATGATTCGTTCAGAGTCAGCTAATCAGGCCGCGGCCATGATCGAAGGAGAAGGCGTGGATCGCAAGAGGAGCAGGCACCTTCGCTGCGCGGAATGTGGGATACCTTGCCTCCCTCCCTTCGACTCCCATTCCCCTCGTATCGAATCGGGAGCTCCCTCCCACCGTCAATCCTGGCCCTGCTGGCCTTGATTCCCCCTTCGGGCTACCTCACCTTCTCACCTTTCATTACCTACTTTTTCCTCTTGTGCTTCCCCAATCGGCCGGGATGAATACGAAGGGCAGGGTGCATTAATGACTGTCCAATCTTACCCCCCTGCATAAATACGAGGTATGCATATGCACACTCCGCAAATTGGAACGTGGCTCGGTGCAAGCCCCGGGGTAGAATAACGGTTTCATTGGGTTGGTGGTATGTACAAGACAACCACGACCTCTCGCTCTCTTTCTCTTCTCGCAGCATTCATTCTTTTCGAGCAAGATGCATTCCAACACTCTCGCTTTTGCCATTGTTGCTCTCTGCACTCCTTTCGTCTTCGCAGCCCCCGGCCACAAGCATGACGACGGGTGGTCGAGCACGCAATGCTACACTGATTTCGGGGCGCATCCGGCTCCGTATTATACTGAATGGACCACTTCCTACCGGCACTGCACCCGCACCCATAAAGTGACGCAAACCGTCACTGCCACAGCACCGACCAGCACTATCACGGTCAGTCGAATTGCAAAGTTCTCCTCCATATCGTAGCCTGACCTCAATGGATAGTCTACCATCTCTATATCAACGACCGTGACCGCTTCGACCTCCACATTGACCAATACACATACCAACACAAGCACCGCGACGACTACAACCACTACGGTGCGTCGAGCATGCCTGGATCCGCCATCGTCTTCGCTGACTCGATAGCAGACTACTGATACTACTACGACAAGTACCAGTACAACGCTGTTGGCCAGTTCCACCATTCCCGCCAATCCGACGTTCGTTTCCAACCCCCTTTGGCGCCGTATCTGCTAACCAGGGGCGTCACAGATTCCAGAATGTTCAAGACACCTGCTTCGGATGCGCATACAATGGCATCGGTGAAGGCTTTGAACCTGCAACAGGGAGACGAGATCTTTCCGCGAAAGGCAGAGGCGAGCGGCGAGGCCACAAACATCCCGACGGACATCCCCACAAACATCCGGTCGGAGTCAAATGCCACGAATGGTGGCATCACAAATGCGTTGACGTTGAAAGCACGACCAAAAAGACAGTTACTGTTTCTCCGAGCACAACGATTACGACTACCTCCACCTCGACGTCCACCCTTTACCCCTCAGCAACAGTGTGAGTGCGCCTGCAAGTTGAGCATTCTACGACCGCTAACGGCTGTTCAGGACCGTCACCGTTGTAGACACCATCACGTCGACAGCGACAAGTACGATCACCTTGACAAGCTCCACCGTGGCCACCTCCACCATCCCCTACGAGACCGTCTACGAGGCTTGCGCGACGAATAACTTCGCCGACTACATTGTCATCTACGACTTTGTCAACCCGGTCGTCTTCGCCGATCGCATCAATCAAAATTACGTCGAAGGGACGACGACAGCAGATACTCCCTACGATTGTGAGGCTCCCTTGCCACCCGTGCCGTTCAACGCTGACTCTTTACCAGGCTGCGCCAGCGTCTTCGCCAACGTCAACAACGCGGCAATCTTCGTCTTCACCCCGCCCAATGGAACAGCCTTGACGAATAACTGCTTGTACTACTACTACCCGGACTCCTGTCCTCTGCAACAAGGCGCGCAGTGGAACGTCCAGTCCGTGTACAATACCGATACTAACGCGACGGAAGTCACGGTGGGAAATGCAAACTGTGGAGAGGTCTTTGGCGTGAACATCGTGGGTGCTTGATGCGTTGGGGGGTGAGTGGGGCGGCAGAGTGCATGGGCTGGCCATATGCTGTACCACCAATCAACCATGCCGCGCTTCCAATTCAATGGCAGCGGTCAGTCTTCCCCGGCTCGTCTTTGCACTGACGGCCGTCATATTCACTGCCAACAAGGATGTAAACGTCTTTTCTGTGAGGGCGAGAACAGCGACTTGGGCGGTGGCTAGCTGAGTTTCTTCAAACGTGAAGGAACCGCGCCTGCCAAGCACAGACCCCCAGTGTCACGTGGTACGTGTTGTCCACTTGCTAGTAACACGAGGCTTGGCTTTAAACACCCAGTTCCCAAACAACGGTGATCCCCCTTCTCACTCGGCTCATACTCCTCCAAGTCGCACAAGACAACAGTTGACTTTGAGTTATTCCTCGGCGACGCAACCGCCGTCTCCGATTCCAAGAGTACGTAGGAATTTTCGGAGGCATCCGACAAAGGCAAGTTGTTCAAGGGGGTGAATGGATGTAGCGATATCAACTAACACAGACCACCAGATTGCCATCACCCCTGAGTCAGCCATCGCCGACGAACGCGAAGAAATGGAGCGTCCTGGAGAAGACATCGCGGCAATGCATTTCACGCGCCACATTGTGACTTTCGACGCTGATGAGCTAGCATCGTACAATGCCAAGATGGAGGAGTTGACGGCCATTCGAGCTGAACGTATTCAGCATTCAAGACGTATGAAGAACGTTGCGCCGGGTCGGGATACCATCGACGAGCTGGTGAAGGCCAACAAATTCAAGCCGGGCTCCAGGTTTGAGGAAGCGGTTCTCATCTCTACGTACCAGGCGGGCGCTCCCATGATCAACATCCCTACTCACGTGGTTGAGGACCAATACACCGATGCCCTTGTCCTGCTCCAGAAGCTGAAGGAGGATGGCGGTGTGGCGGGGAGATACCGCAAGGAGCCCCATGACACGCCTGAGAAGGTGTTGTCCCATCTTCTCCATGGCTCTCCCGTATTCCGCTTTCTCGTGCTGGAGATTCACCGCATTCTCGACCATCCTCCGCTGGACAAGAAAGACAAGGTGATGATCTTATTCTACGTTCCCAAAGTCGCGCACTGCTTCTTTACCATCGCCGCCTTCATGGGCGTTCCCTGCGCCCTGCTCACTAGCCGCCAAACCCCCAAGGAGCGCTCCGACATCATCAAGGACTTCAACGAGACGGACGAGGTCAAGGTGCTTATTGCGACGTATGAAATCCAGCTGGCTGGCTTCGACTGTCACCTCCGCTGTGCCCAAGTCATCTGTGCGGAGCCCGCCATGAGTGCCTCACAGGAAGCTCAAGCACTCATGTGTGTGCATCGCGCGGGCCAGCAAATGGTGACTCGCATTCACCAAAAATGCTCTTTCATGGACGGCTTGCATGCGGAGCTGGTGAAACATGGTATGGAGTACCCCAGCGAGGAGATCGGCGAGGGAAATTAGGAGCGACACGATTGACGGCGACATGAGGTGGAGGTCGTCCAGGCAGAAGGCCCGTTGAGAGCGAAGGAGAGACTGTTGGATAGGCGCGGCGACAGATGGGCTGTCGGGGCGCGAAATGGGCAATCATCCGCAGGAGCTACATATGGATCGTAGAATACGGCCACCGTAGCGGCAGAGAGTTTAACTGATTCATCACAATACATGACGGCGGCCATTTGTATCCCATCTCAGCGTTACCATTCCCACGTCATTGTCAGCAGCGCGAGCATCTTCCTTGCGAGAGTGAGAAAGAAACAAGCAGGCTTTGGTAGTCAGTGTTGTCGGAGATGCTTTTACTATGGCTGACGAAGCGATGGAAGAGCGCAGAACAATTTCCATGTTTCCGAGATAGGCAGTTACGGATCAGCCAGGCAACAATGTTTGCCTGACGCGCTTAAAATTCACAGGCTGCACTTCCCAAAACAAACTTTTCCGCCACCTTACCTCAAACGATACATGTAGTCTTGACCAACACCTTCATCAACCGACCGTCCTCTCAGTCAACATGTCCAATCCCAACAGCAAATCCCGCTACAACTTTCGCGACGACAATGAAGAGTGGCGTGCAAAGATGATTCGCCAAACCGAGAAGACCAACGAGATGCAGAAGGACGTCGAGGAATTGACCAAAGAGCTTAAGGAGAAAGCGGCAGAGTGCCCGGAGTTCGTCAAGCTGAGTGCAGCAGAGCAACAAGAGACAATTCGCCGTACATGGGCAGAAGCAGAAGCGGCGAAGAAGGATGCAGAGGCGGCGGCCATCGAGAAGTTGGAGGCAGCTCGGCAGAGTCGTCAGAAATGGGTGGAGATGGGGACTGTGAAGGAGGATGCGGTGGCGATGAAGCAAAAGGAGGGCGGTGCGGAGGAAAGCGGTGCGGAGGAAAGCGGTGCGGAGGAAAGCGGTGCGAAGGAAAGCGGTGCGGAGGAAAGCGGTGCGAAGGAAAGCGGTGCGGAGGCAGGCGGTGCGGACCCTGACTGTGCGTAGGAAGAGAAGGGAACGTCCGTTGCTGAACATCGCGCCTTGAGGCTTTGCGGGAGTTAGATGAGAGACAGCACAGCGCCGACAAGAACGGGAAGCAGACTCTTCCACAATCAGACACATTACAAAGCTCTCACTGTTAATGCTACGGTGAGAGAGAGTGATATGCCATCCTTCTGCCGTCCTTCTTCCTTCCATTATGTCCTGGGCGGCCCGCAAGCATGAGCGCCTGTAACCTGAAGGGATGTCGACTGACGGCCGTCCATCGTCGCGGTCTTGATGCGGGTGGCAGTGAGCTCGATGGCTTCACCATCGACTGGTACGGAGGGGTCCACGGACGAGGCGCGAACATCATCCACGGGCGTGCGGAAGCGCGTCTTGGAATGGGACAGTAGACCCTCCACACCCCATTCCTCATCGGTGAATTTAATGAGACCATGCCGATGCTCTCTCACGAACGCGTCGACCGCTGCGGTGATCTAGCATGTGCGACAGTGCTCCGCGATGGCCTTGACGCCTCCATTGCGAGGCGTAGCTACGCCCAGGTAGTTCTCGTAGGTCACGATCGCGTTCCAGTCCCTCTCCTTCTGCCCAGCGCGCCTTTGGTACAACAGCGCGCCTTTACAACAAAGGACAGGTGCACTGGACCCATTCAGCTCGACGTGCGGTGAGAATGGGCGGTGGCTTCGCGATGGGCGGTGGAGAAACATCTCGGCGAGGGGACGAAGGTGGCGCGGAGGGAGAAGGTAGGCTACACACTTGAATGCTTGCAGCAAGGGAATGAGATGAAGTCGAAGCAAGGTGTGGATCTCACAAGCTCGCAGCCGCGGCGCAATCTGGAAGGAATTCGCCTAAGCCACAAACAGAAACTCCGCACTTCCATTCCGCCTGTCCGTATCATGCCAACCGAAAACTCCTCTTGAAGGCTGCCCGGCTCCTGGAGCGCCATAATCACGCATCAAGACTGGCTCAATCCTTGGCTTTGCCGCCCATCTGCTCTAGCTTCTGAATCGCCGTGTCCCATGCATCCACGGTCTTGGTCGCGGCCTCCAGCTCCTTCGCCCATGCTTCCATCAAATCGCTATTCCCGCCCTCGCCCGGCATGCTCTCGACGGAGCTCACATAGGCTGCCAGTGACTCAACCGTGGCCTTGCGTCGGCCCCAAGGCTCCCTCATGCTCGCTGCGATCAGACCTGCGGACCTGTTCATGCCACTGACGTTCCCGTAGTCGAGGTCTTCCATTTCTTGCTGAATGACCTGCTGTTGTCGAGGCGAACATAGCGTCAACCACTCCCCGATGTTCGCTTCGATGAAGTTGCCTACGATGATGGTCAGTCGGAGCAGCTTTGACGAGGTGCGCATACTTACGGTTCTGCGCATCCAGAAAGAGGTCGCGATAACTCGTCTTCTGGCGCTTTGTATCCTTGGGTGTCTTTGGCGTCATGGCAGTTGCATCTTCTCCGGGAGAAGCTGGCTGGCCTTTCTTGCGCTTCGGTCCGCCCTTGGTCTTCGCTGCGGGGCCGTCACCGACATCCGCCATCGCCACGTCCTTCTCTGCGTCTTGCATGGCCACGAATCTGTCCCAGTATGCGTCGTCCTTGACTTCCATCGTCGTGGTCGGCCCAAAGCCTGGTAGTCCAGGTGTCAGCAGCTTGCAGTTGGTTGAATCTGGAACACATCACTTGCCTGCTTCCTCTGGCTCCAGGTAGTACTCCGATTGGCATTTTAATTGCTCGATCAAAGCCTCCATCACAGTCAACTTCTTCTTGCCCGTCTCGGAGTTGCCGGTCGCCATGTTCGCCACGTTGTTGGAGGGATGTGAGAGGTGGTAGGTTGGGGCGAGATTGCTCAAGTTCAGTCAAAGCGCGGCAACGCCTGCCTGCCTCTTTCAGCACAGACCTGTGGTGTCACGTGTGAAACTTTGTCTCTGCTGTGCTCAAGGCCTCACTCTCATTCGTCGAAACCCCTTTCTCTCATCCCTCGCCATATCCACCATTTCCCCACCTTTCTGCGCACACTAAACTTGGGTGCAAGCACTACATGAAGTTTGAGTTGGTGAGCTTTGACAATGCAAGTCGAAGGCCGCTCCGGCAACACCTACGTCGTCGACGATGAAGCAAACTTCAACTGGACCAAAGCCTCCGCAATTTCTACCATCCCCTTCTTTCGCACCCACCGATTCCCGTCATGGCTCCTCTCAGCAGGCTAAACAGACTGGCGGAACGAAGCAGTGACAAGGATCGCAGCCATGGAACATTGTGGTCTGCAGAGAGCATCAACGCGTCTCGGCTGGAGTTGGAGGAGGTGCAACAATACATGGAGTCCAAGGAGGCCGAAGGCTTCGTGGGCAAGAGTGCCGCCGCACAGCGAGATATGATCAGAAAGATGAATGTCTTGACCAACCGCAAAAACAGCAGCCGCAAAGTCCACGCTGTGATGAAAGACCTTGCGCAGTGGCAAGGCGGAGAGATTGCAAAGGGCGCTCACTCTGTCAAGCTCGCCGGCATTGACGACGAACTCCAGCGTTTGTTTGCCAGTATGAAGGGTTTGCGAGATACCCTTGCCAGCGCACGGTCAGACAAAGCGGAAGAGCCTGCCATGCTCACGGCAATCCAAGCGAAGTTGGACGAATCTTCGGCGGATGCCGCCAATGGGCGCTCTATGGTTATCAACAGCCTGGCCGAGATGAAGTCGGCGATCGACCAGCACTTTACCGGCCTCTCCGCCAAGAAGGAGATGTCGGATCTGCAAGAGAAGATGAATGGCGAGGCTCGAGACAAGGACCAGGAGATCGAGAACCTCAAGAGCCAAATTGAGCAGCTGCAGCTGGATAACTCCAACAAGGACGGGATCAACACCACTCTGCGGGCGAAGCTACAGGAAACGGAGATTTCTATCGCTCTGCAGACGGTGCGCGCCAATATTGAAACGGAGGCGACGGGTCTTTTGTTCGAGGAATTGGAAGACCAGACGAAATTGACGGCCTTTTACAAGGACTGCGCGCAGAAAATGGAGAGTGCGGACGGCCCGATCATTCGCGCCATCATCGGTAAGGTGATTCGCCAAGGTCGGCCGGAGAAGCGGAGGCAGGGAGATGAGGGAGAGGTTGCGGGTGATGGCGGTAAGAGGCTCAAAGACGCTGACGTTGATGTCGCGACCAATCCATTTTCCCTTGATTTGGCCCTTTGGCACGGCTAAAGCACGAATGCAACGCTTTCCCGAACATCGATGCTCCCGGTCTGGTCGTTTCCATCCCAGTCGGAACTCTGCTAGGTTTTGAGCAACGTGCGCCTCCGACGCCGTGTCGCTTCCGTAATCCGATACGTCTCCTCACTTAGCGCCCCCTTTGCATTTTCGACAGCGCGCGCCGGTGGGTGGCAGCGGGGGAACGTTGGATTCGCCGTCATCACTGCTCCGCTTGACAACAGGGACGCCGCCTCCCGACGCAGCATCAACACGAAACACCGTCGTCCAGCGCGGGCTCGTTCGCCCATTAGAAGCTTTATAGACGTATTTTGGTGAAATGATCCGTTCCGATCAGTCTTGCTTTCTTCGTGCTTGTCGATCTAGCACTTTTACCTACTCGCCTTCTTTACGCTGACCGTTCTGGTGTCAAGCTTGGTGCACACCGACGAATGCCCCGTGCAGAGGAAGATCTGCACTGTGCACTCTGATGGCCACGCCGGTCGAGCCAGCCATCTCCGTTTCCGATAGTTGCAATGGAGTACTACGTGTGAGTGAACCTGCTGGAGTACTGGTACGCTACATATTGGACCGGGAGCGAGCTGTCACTCGCGCAAAGTTGCTTGCCACACAACAATCCACCTCCGCATGCCTCAATGACGACCGCCTTTGCTCGCAACCGTCAACCCCTCAGAACGACTGAGATCGCTTAGGCTTTGCCAGAAGAGCAGTGACGTGCATCTTCAGCCCTGCTATCTCCCTTTTAGCCTCAGCCAGCTGTTGTCGGACCTGTGAGAGCTCCTTTTCAAGCTTTCCGTTCTTGCTCTCTAACTCCTCCTCCCTTGCCGCCCTGATCCTGAACTCCATGAGCTCCTCGTCTCGCTTGATGTGCCACGCGCTATTGATTTGGGCGGTGCGGTCTTTGATCATCTTCAAGAACTCGGCTTCGCTCCGGATGCTTTCGCGTACGTCTTCGGGCTTTTCGTGCTCATTTGTTCGGTGGTCGGCGCTGGAGATGCTGGCTCTCTTTTCATCCTCACCAACTGATTCCACCTCCACCCTCGCAAAGTGACCCGTGGGTGTCTGTGCATTCTCCGCGATCCCATCTCTCGCTCGGATCGGCATCTCCGTGGTCCCAGTCGCTTGCATGATTTGGTCTTTGTCAAGGAAGCCCTTCGCCGCGTTTGCTCTCGTCTTTGTGAGTCTGGCATAATGCTGTTAGCTTGGCACTTCCACAAAAGGCTTTCTATCTGCCTTGATACCTGAGAGTCCCAGGCAAGATGGGAAAGTGATGGATTGGTGGGGCTTGTTGTCTGTATCTGCGTTGGCTTTGTGCTTGATGTTCGTCAACTGCTCTTCTTTGCTGCATCAGGCTGTGGATAGAGTTTGGCGGGCGCCACGAGTTTATGAACTCTAATTCTGAGCCGCTTTTTCCACAAAGCACTTTCATTGCAGCGCATAGCGTCAAAAACGGCCATTTGCATTGGGGATATGGAGAGATGGGTGATGGAGTGCATTTTTTCAATCGATTCAGTACGCTGCCAGACGAACACCCTGCGCATTACTCGCCGTTACTATCGCCCTGCTGAAATCCAGTAACGAAGACGGCGGTCTTGCTCTCGACATTGCCTTTGTGCTGCATCATCATGCTCACCAGTTTCCAAGTGTGAGGCATCTTGACCTGCAGCAAAAGGTCCGCTCCATTCAACGCAATTGACCATGCCTTCCACGATCGCAGACTCTGTACGGCAATCCCCAGCAAAGCCAGACCTCCCAGTCACAGAACCATAGGCGCCTCCACCACGACCAAACATCGATCTCAGATCGGCCACGATGGCATCCGGCCGCTCCCAAGCACCGAAATGACCCCCTCGTTCGTACTCATTCTCAAAGACGATCGGACCCAGAGACTCGTACCAGAGGCTTGGCAGGACAACGAGATCTTTGGCGAACCTGGTGATCCCAAGCGGCACGTTAATGTAGGACTGCGCCGTGACCAATGCCGGGGGAGTGCTGTGCTGCATCGCGTAGTAGATATTCCCGGACGCCTGGGGCCCAGCGGTGGAGAAATAGTATATGATGGTCCACGTAATAATCTCCTCGTCCGTCCACGGGTACTCGTCCGCCCAGTCATGTAGCTTTTCAAAGATCCACGCCAAAAGACCAATCGGGCTGTCGCGAAGGGCGTAGCCGATCGTCTGCGGCTTGGTGGAAAGCAGAGACATGTAGCCTGATCCTTCTGCCACGAATGCTCCCGCTCGCTGCAGGGCAGCTACGTCTTGTCCCGTGAGCGGAGTGGCCTGTAGCTTTGCGAAAAGCTCCGGGTGCGTATCTTGCTTTGGCTCAGCCGGCCAGGGCGTGCTCGTATGGCATGCTTTACAACTGCCTGCTCCAACGCCTTTGACGATGAATCTCGTTATGAGATTACCGATGTCGCCGCTTTGCACGACTGCGAGACGTTATTAGAAGCAGTTGAGCAACTTTGACCGTGCGGATCTCACCGTATTGATCGTATCCGAGCGCCAACATAAGCTTGTGATATGTCTCGGCGTGCTGCTCGATGCCAAAGTCAGGCTGGGCAATGTATCAGCGTTGCCTTGACGAGTTTCAAATTGCGCAACGAACCCTGGAGGTTGGGGACGAGAAGCCAAAATCCAACAGGCTGGGAGCGACGACGTTGAATGCCGGCAGGTTGCTGTCGCTGTCGTCCGTCAAAGGCCCGAGAAGCTTTGTCACCTCCAAGAAACTGCCGGGCCAACTATGCAGGAACAACAAAGGAATAGCGTGAGCCCTTGCACTCTGCTGATGAAGGAAATGCACTCCATGGATTCCGAAACCCGAGACGTCGATGTCCAGTGTGTACTGCGGCAGTCTGTTCAGTTTCGAGAGAGCCTCGACCCAAGGGTAGTCGTGCAACCAATAGCGTCCAAGCCGCTCAATCTCGCTGCGTGGGACTCCTCTGCTCCAGTCGGAAGGATTGTCGCTCGCTTGCTGCGATGGGTAGATGGTGTCCGCGAGCTTGTGTCTCAGCCTTGCGATGTGAGATTCACCGACGTCGATCTGGAACGCTTTGGCTGCCATCTCCGGATTTTATGCCGCGGATTATGACCGTTCTGCACGTCTGTCGATGTCTGAGCCATCTTGCGTGGTATTGTGTTTGTCTTATAGCAGATGATGACTCGGGCCGAACTTCATGTTGAGCACAGTGCCATGACTAAGCCAGGTACCGAAGTCGCGATCCCTTCGGCCCGAGCGAGACTTCCGAAACCGAGCTGGGGTGATAACATCGCCGAAACAATCTTGAAGCGGGTATAGGCTGGAAAGCCTCGCCATCGCTGCTCTGCCGTCATACTGCATCGTCGCCGAAGGTAAGCGGCTGTGATAAAAAGTCGTTGAAGCCGGCGTCTCCTCCGTTCATGAGGTCGAATGACGATAAGAAATTCCATTCCTCCGAGCCGACATGCGGGAAGTTTGGCACCTGTTGAAAAGTAAATGAACAGATTCATAAAACACATGGGGGAGAACGCTATTCTCGTACCTCAGCACCCATCCCGACGTCCGACAGCCCGAGATTGGAATCGAAGTCAACGTCTCCGACGTTTCCCGTGCGCGGCCCAGTGTCGGCGTCAATGGCCGCAGCATCTCCGGCATCAGCAGCTTTCCAGAGCTTTCCTCGACAAGTTCTGATCATCTCGCGGGCGATGCTGGCGATCTCGCTCGGAAACGACACGGAGACTTGTGACTGCGTTGAGAACTCGATGTACCCAAAGGCGCCAGCGCAAACATCAAGGAGACCGAGGTCGGCAGCCGCAGTCTCCAAGGCTGGATATTTGAGAATGTATATGAACAAGTTGATGGCCGCGTAGAGTGGAAATTGGAAGCTCAGCCACCCTGGCGTAGACACATCGGCACTGACCAGTCGAAGGCCCAGTATTATGTTGCGTGCGGCATCCGCGACAGTACTATCGGATGCGGCAATTTGAGCCTCGAGCACAGCGTTGGCTCCACCGGTTGCGAACCTTGACGTTGTCCAGGGGTAGAAGAACTGCGAGTGCACAGCCATTATAGTTCCATAGATGGAGCAGTGAAGGAATAGAAGCTCGACCATTCGACGTGTCGAGTGGATGGGCTTGGTGAGCGGGCCAATTCTGCATTCCGCGGGTATCTCGTCGAGCAGCTGCTTGAGTTGCGCATCGAAGTGTGACACAGTGCCAATGAGTTCTGGCAGCGAAAGAGTCAAGGCCTGGATTGAAAGGAGACGTTGCGATATTTGAGACTGGATCATCGCGCATCGGACGCCTATACTCAGGGTGTGATTTTTCCCTCCGGTTGCCGGCGTCGTGGGGATTTGAGCGCTGATATCCCCGTCGTGGATGGCGGAGGGTCGGCCATCGAATAAAGCATACTCCTTCTCAAGCGCATATAGCGCCCACCAGAGCCAGAGTCTCTTGTTTTTTTCTCCTTCGGAGCTGGCCCATGCTCGGTCTGGTTGTCGATGCAAGCCCTTCGATTGGGCCAGGTGAACGGCGTTGGCGCACAGAAGGTGCTTGAATGCCGGGCTTCCCAGACCTTCTGCATAACACGCCTGCGACGGCTTAGCATGGATCAGCTATCGTTACCCAATTTGCACTCACCATCAATGCCAGCGCGCGTACGCCCACCAGATTCGAAGGCTGAATAAGTATGTTGGTGAGGACAGAGAGCGCGGCTTTGAAGAAGCGCCCAGCCTGGGCTTGGGCTGTTGCGAATGATACAGAAGGGTCCTTTGCCAGCAAACCACGATAGCCACAAGCAAATACGGTATTGCGCAGTGCAAACCATGCGTATTCAATCTGCTGGTCGGGACTGCGGTAATAAGCCTTCAAGTGTGTCTCAAGGTCTTTGCGGTCGATAAAGCCCAAATTCGCCTCCCAGGAGTGTTCGTAAAACGCTGGGCGACGGGTCAGCTGTATCGCATTAGGAGAGAAGTCGGCGGTGGATACCGTTGGTGTATTTCCAGGCCGTGCTTTCACTGATCTCGCTTTCTCCAGACTCTGCAAGGACATAGTCTCCGAATGAGCCTCGCTGGACGAGGACTTTCGAGAATGTCTTCGCAACTGCAGCGAAGTCGCCGTCTCCCGTTCTCCTCTCCACCCATTCAGTGCCCGTGTCCGAGAGGATTGACGTCCAAGACCAAGGCTCGTGATACTGCCAGTTGGCGTCCTCCGCAGAGGTAGCGTTCCTCTTCGGTAACGGGCTCGCCGCGAGACTTGGATCGAAGCCCGACGCCCCTTCAACACCGATATCTTGGGCGTTGCTTATACCAGAGGGCTCTGTCTCGTCTAGAGGGAATAATGTCGGACGCTCCGTAGGCCTGGGAGAGCGAAAGAAATTCTGAGCCCGGGGGGCACTTGATGACTGGAAGTCCACGAGATTACGGTGTGAAGCGATATGCTCAAGTGGGCGATTGCTATCAGAGCGATACGGAACGGCGTCTTGAGCTTTGCGCTTGCGTCGCTGCGGTATTGCATAGATGCATTCCTTCTCCAGCCTGACACAATCTTTGCATGGCTGGACACCGGTGCCTGCGTAGGATGTCATCAATACTGAGCAGGCTAGAGTAGGTGACAACGGGCAGACTACATTTCACTTTCCTCTGGCGGCAGTTTTGGCACGCTGCCGTCGCCCTGTCGACGCGGAATGGCTGTGCGGACTCAGGTGCGGGAGTCATGAAGAAGTAAATGAGCGGGCAGCTTGTTGCTGTCCAGAGCGCAGAGCATGCTGCGGTCTGCCGAAGATCGCCGTACGTTATCGGTTAGATGACAGACTTTCTTCGAAATGTGTGGAGAGTATGCGCTGTCGCCTTTCTCTCGATGTTCGCTTCCAGTTCCATGTTGTGCATGCCAGTTATTAGTCATCAAGAGTAACGCTCCAGTCGATGTCTTGGAGCAAGCTGACACTTTCACTCGCTCCATCGTACACCAGCGACATCATCGAGATGGAAGATCCGGGGTGGTCGAGCACTGGCACGGATAGACAGAGTTGGAAGAAGGCTAGTACGGTTTCCCATCTATCTCAGCCACCAGTCGAGTAATCTCGCAATTTGATGAATATCAACGTCTGCCAAAACACCTCTCCGAATCTCAAGAAAATCAACTTGCACCCCCCCGCCGCCGGAACGAGCAAAGAGCGGCTTCTCATGCCCATCCAGTCTTCCGTTATCGACGGAGCGAGCACACACTCTGAACGCCGCACGACGAGGACGGTGAAGAAGTGTGGTGCAGACCTCCCGGAGAAGCCAAAAAACGACGCAAGAACGAGCTCAAGGCCAACGTCGAGAAGGCCGCGCTACCGGATGCTGAGGAGGATGCAATGCCAGTCTGGGCAAGGCAGTGGTCCACTCACCCAGGGTTGGCTTTTACCAAAGTGTCCTCGTCTGCACATACCAGTCTGCCTCCGAGATCTTGCCCAGGACCCGTGCGTCCCCCATGACACTCCCGGAGAAGGCCTTGGAGCAGTTGCTCTACGGCTTCCGCGCGGCCCTGAGCGACCTCGACAAGGTCATCCATCGCCCAAAAGAAGAGGGCAAGAAGAGAAAAGTCATGGCCTACACCATGATGCCCAAGACCGCGCACATCTATTACAACATCCTGTGCTTCATGGACGTTCATGCCGTTCTCCCCACGACCAAGCAAAGCTTTTCCGAGCGCGCCGACATTGTTCACGACTTCAACGACACGGATGCGGTGTATGTGCTCGTCTCCACCTACGCGCTCAACATGGCGGGATTAACTGCCATGAGCGATGCTCCGTTGTGCAGTGCCTGGAGCCAGCGTACAACCTTCCCTCCGAAGCCCAGGCGACTTACCGTGTGCGCCGCATTGGGTAGAACGAGCCTCAGCTCGTTTTGAAGTACTTTCAACACGAAAGCTACATGGTGGACTGTCATTGGCTCAATGGCGCATTAGGCGGGAGCCTGAAAGATGATTTTGATTGCATCAGGCGCACTACATGCACTTCCACAGACTCAGGTGACTAGATGAACGCGGAGGGCCTGTATCAGCATAATGCCGATGATCATGAACTGCGAAGACTCGACCGCCAACTGTCAGTCGCTGAGAACCATCACGAGACAAGGAATGCCCACGAGACAGGGATCGATCACGAGACGGGGAATGCTCCCTTCCCCGCCGCCTAGTCTGACGACTCTGACGACACATGGACGCAATAATGACATGCATACGAACAAACGAAGGTCTTTGTCCAGTATGAGCTGGTCTTGTTCAACACCCAGCAGAAGACACATTTCGTGAAATAGTCGTCTCCGCTTTCCACCGTCGCCAAGCGATCCTTCTGTATCTTCACTTTGGGGCTGAACATGGCCGCAATTTCTGCTCCCAACTTCTCTAGCGAAGACGGCAGCTCGGAGATCAACCATTCCTGCGGCTCCCCGTCGTCATCGGGGCCCAACGTCATCCGAACATTGTCCGGAAGTCCAGCAACTTTCCGCGGGCTGCTTGGGTGGTGTTGGTGCTCAACGGTAGGCTCTCTCGCCCTTCCCCTTCCCGCCTCAGATGATGCAATTTGCTTTCGAGTTGGCGAATCTTTGCCTCTAGCTCACCGTTCTCGGCTTTCAGCTGCTCGTTCCATTCCTTCAGATCCGCTGATTGTTGATCCAGGAACGCCTCACAAAGGCTGGCCGCACATCTCTGTAGCTGCTTCCGCGCACAGGGTGGATCGATGATCTGTCTAGCCGGCCATAAACAGCAATAGCCAGCTGAACCTGGCCACACGACACGTGAGTTCCTCTTCGACCAGCATGATCCAGCATTTCACGCCGAGGGGCCGGACAAGGTGATTGTGTTGGCAACTTACGATTCCTTCTCCCATTCCAAGGGGAAATTCGACGATACCCCCTTCGAAGGACTCTTCAACCGCTTGTGCTTGGGGCGAAGCGCACCAGATCCGTGGCGATGTCGCGAAATGTGCGAGACTCATCAATCGCCCCCAGGCTCCCTTCCGCTATGGTTTTTCCGGCACGTCGTGCTGCAGCTCGCCGCCTTGATGCGCGTTCTGGAACGGTCACACTGACGATCTCAACAAGGACGTGGATGGCGACGTCAACAAAGGGTTGCAGCCGCATTACATGAAGTTCATGTACGCCGACGGTCCCGCTGGCGAAATCGATACCACCGACTCCATACGGCAATGAATGGAGCCACGCTGGAAGCACGCATGTTTCCCGTTTTCGACCAGATCATGCTTGCCCGCAACTCAGCGTCCAAGATCATGGACGAAGACGGCGAAGAGGCCTCTTGCGGAGCAACCATCGCCGAACTGCACATCGTGCGCGGTGTGGTGAATTTCAACCCGGACGAGCAGATCTCGCACGACGCGAAGATTCAGCATCTCGCCGCTTTTCGCGACGAGCAGAAGCGCTTGCGGGAGGAGGAGAAGCGGCAGGCGAAGAAGGACGGCGCCGACGACGACTTCATCCGCGAGTTGACAAAGAAGAGCAGGTACAAGCCCGGCTCGCGCTTCCACCAGGAGCTGCTCGTCTCCACCTACCAGGCCGCATCTGGGCTCGTCCACATTCCCGCGGGCGTCTTCCAATCGTACTACAAGGGCCCACTCGCCTTGCTCGACGCTTTGAAGGAGTCGGGTGGAGTCGCTCCCAAGTATGCCACCGCCCCTCACGATACGCCCGAAAAGATGCTGTTGCATCTGCTCGACGGCTCTCCAATCTTCCGCCGCGCTCTCAAAAGGATCGGCGAAATTGTCAGGCATGCGCAAGAAGGCGCTAAAGACAAGGTGATGGTGATGTGTCTGTCGCCCAAGACCGCACACATCTTCTATACCATTGTTCCCTTCATGGGCATCGAAAGCGTGTGCTTGACCGCTCAGCAGTCCCAAGATGAGCGCTCCGACATCATCTACAACTTCAACGAAGAGGACAATGTGAAGGTGCTGGTGGCGACGTATGGGTTGGATCTGGCGGGCTTCAACTGCCACCACCGCTGTGCGCGCGTCATTCTTCTAGAGCCGGCTGTCAATGGATCGCAGGAGGCGCAGGCTTACATGCGCGTTCACCGCATCGGCCAGAAGGAGAAGCAGGCTGTGATGCGCTTCCACCAGGCGAACAGCTGGATGGACAAGTGGGATAAGAAGCTCACCCGCAAGCAGGATCGCGACTGCGCGATGATGCTGCAATACCTTCACAGCCGCGAGCTGCAGCAGTCCGGTGACATTGGAATCAAGAGCGCGAGTGCGTCGATGGTGTCGGGGTATATGAGCTCACTTCTCGACGATTCCGACGAGGAGACCGACTACGGAGATGACCTGCCTGGGCTGCTTTCGGAGGGGATTGCCGAGCTCGAGGAGGCCAGGGCACGAGGCACGATTGTAGGTTGGAGAGCTGCCCATCCCGTCACACATCTCCATCCCATCTCCAGCCTCATCTCCCTCACATCATCGCCTGTCGAGCATCTCAAACGCTTCACGCAGCCCACTAGCAAGAGAAGCGAGTGCTCGAGAGGTGCCACACCGCGCCAGGAATGGAGTGAAGATTTGCAAGATTGCTGTATTGATGTTCGGGTGTCATTTCAGTAACAATAGGTCGCGGTCGACCCCCTCGCACCATCACCAGCTGCCGCCATGTCGGACGGAGAAGACGTCGACCAGTCGATGCGAGACGAAGCCGCCGACTTCGTCAAAATGATCGAAAACAGCGCAGCGAATACTACGGAGTGGTGGAAGCGTGGAGAGGAGTTAATGGATTTAGAGGTCGCGCGAACGCGTATTAACATTCTCGTGCGTCGAAATAGCAAGAAAGATGCAGAGATCGAGCGATTGCAGGCAGAGAATGACGAGTTGAAACGCGAAGTCGAGCGTTTGCGTGCCGGCGTTCCGCAAACGCCGCCCAACAGCCAGACGGCCGTCGTCCTGCCTACGGGCGTCAGACTGACCCTCGGCACCAATGCCGATGGCAGTGCCATCGAGTGGGCACCCGCCGTCTCCATCACACGCCGTCTCCATCACACGCAGTCTCCATCACACGCAGTCTCCATCACACGCAGTCTCCATCACACGCAGTCTCCATCACACGCAGTCTCCGTCACACGCCATCCTCTTCACGCGCCGCGTTATCATCACGCGCGCCGTCATCATCACTCACCGTTGTCTTCACGCGCCGTCTCCACCACATATGACACGCCGTGACCCTCACGCTATCCTGATCACAAGCCATCTCGATCACACGTTAGTTGGCTTCACGAGCTGGTCCTCTTCACGCGCTTGTCCTCTTCTCCCACTAGCTTAGTAGGCAGGACTTTCACTGGCGCTATCCAGAGAGGACGAGACAGACTTATCTGATGAGTGATGCCGTACGCAACGATCGTAGGGCACGGGCCGCCTTCAACCATACAGGGCACGACGGCGTTCAAGACCACACGCCGCCCAACAGCCAGACGGCTGTCGTCCTGCCTACGGGCGCCCGATTCATCACCGGGTTGAATGGCGATGGCAGTGCGATCGAGTGGGCTCCCGCTGCCCTCCCTTCCACCCTTCGGCCCCTGGCGGAGAAAGCCCCCGTCGTCATGACGGTGAAGGGGAAACAGAAGAAGCTGTTTGCGGCCATCGCCCGTAAAGCCGATTCGCCGGCGAAATGCGTTTTCGTCGGTTCTCGAAACGCGACCAGCGCATACCGGTCGAAAGTGTCGCCGCTCCTCTTCGCATGCCAGAGCTGCGCAAAGAGGACAAGCGCATGAAGAGGACAAGCGCATGAAGAGGACAAGCGCGTGAAGAGGACCAGCGCATGAAGAGGACAAGCGCTGAAGAGAAGAAGCGCTGAAGAGAAGAAGCGCGTGAAGGCGACTGGCGTGCGAAGAGAATAAGCGCGTGAAGGCGTGACATGGTGGCGGCGCGTGTAGATGACCATCTTGTGGTAGAGAGGGCGTGTGAAGACGATAAGCGTGTGATGCCAGGTCAATCTGACGCCCGTTGGCAGGAGGACTGCCGTTTGACTGTTTGGTGGCGTATGTTTTTGAACGTCGCCGTGCTGTGTCTCCGTTTGCGGTTGAATGGCGGCTCTCTTCTCCCCTCTCTCTCTGCGCAAACGCTCATTCTCTGCCCTTAACTCCGCCAACTCGGCCTGCATTCGCTCATTTTGGCGTTTCAACGTTGCGTTCTCTATTCGCAGTTGCTCGACCACTTTCCCTTTCTGGACACTGGCAAGCTCGGCTGCCTGCACTCGGCTTCTTGCTACTCTCGAGTCCACGATCGTCTCATCCTCTAGCCACCACTTTGGTGTGGCTGCTGTCCTGCCTTTGATCATCTTGATGATCTCGGCTGCTTCGTCTTTCGTGGACTGGCGGTACCCCTCCGACATGGCGAGCTTTTAGTAGACTGAGAAGACACTCGAGCGTTAGTACGGCCATCCTGCACGTCTTTGCTCCAATTCTGGCGGTCGGGGCGGTGTGGCGCCTCTCGAGCACTCACTTCTCGTGTTGGTGGGCTGCGGGAAACGTTTGAGATGCTCGGCTGGCGATGATGTGATGGAGATGGGGCTGGAGATGGGATGAAGATGGACGATGAAATGGGACACTCTCCGGCCCACAATCTTACCATTGCTACCCGCCCGATGATTGATATTATCCTCTCCACCTTTCCCGACATCCTGGAGCTGGCCACCTGCCCGAACTCCGCCACACCGCCGGAGCGGAGCAAATCGCACTTTGCGCGGCTCTGGACCACATATTCGAAGACCGAAACGCACAAGATTGTGCCATTGATCTCGCGGCTCAGTTGAGCAGTTAGGCACCATCATATCACAGCAAAAAGATTTGGCCTCAGGGGAGCAGACGCGACAAGTCGTGGAGACGCTCGATCAGCATTCCGGAATCCTTGATGAGATGAAAGCCACCAGGTCCGCCATCGCCGAAGAGCGAACCGCCCGCGGTCGTGTCATTGATCTCCGCGCTCGGGTTGAGCATCTCGAGCCCGAACTGTCCGCCGCGAGTAGCGCGCTTACAGTACGGGAGATGGAGTTGACCTTGGAGCGAGGGAAGATGGTGACTGTGGAGCGCGACCTCGCTGCGTTAAAGACCAAAAGCAACGAGCTGACGTTGGAATTGGACACAACATCCGCGAGTCTCGTCAAGGAGAGATCGAAGGTTGTTGGACTGGACGGCGATCTCACGTCGCTTGGGGAAACCATGCGGGTGGATTTGGACGATACCAATGCCAACCTGACGTCCGAGCGGGGGCGCGTGGGCGATCTTCAGGGGAGCGTGGCCGAGCTTCAACAGGTGCTAAAGAGAGCTGAAGACGACGGGTGGATTCAGCCAACGGCGGCAAAAGACGAGCTCTCCACAGCAAAAGAGCATGTTGCAATGGAGCAGCTGGGAGGACAGCTGGATGCAACGCTGAATGAGATGCCGGTGCATAAGTGCAGCGCCGAGGTGGTTGTTATAGGTCAGAAACTGCCTCGAAATTGGTAGTTTGCGTGTGTCGTTCTCTTTTCGCCAACCTGGTGCAGACGGTGAGCTATCGCCATTTCGATATCCATTCGCCCATCTGTTCGCTTGTGATGGCCTGCAGAGCTCGGTATGTCTCCGATGTTTGCGCCATTCTCGCAGTCTCATACCGCGAGCTCCTTTTGGGAGCTTGTAGAGCTCTGTAAAAGGGCAGTATCTTCTTCGCCGGATTCGAGTTACTTTCAGCCGTCTCGTCAGGGCCTTGTCTTACAAGCTCAATCCATTCCGCCAGTGTCACCATTCGTCTGACTTCAATCTGCGCCGCAATTGAAGGGACCAAAGAACTCCAAGAAACGATGTCAGGGTTGATCAGATGGAAGACCTCTGTCCTCACCCTTTCTCCATCCCCATCGCCGGGTCCGGCGAGTAGATCCACCACGCAATCCGCTACCAAGTCAACGGGAACCCAATCTACATCATCCATGCGTCCCAGCTCCTCCGGCAGCGCACCCACGGTCTTGGACGAAATGACTAGGCTGGGCAACCACTCTCGCGTTGGCCACACTGCAGTGCTTCGTTTCACGGGGCCAGCAATTTGTCCAATCCGGACTACCGCCGTCTCAAGCGCACCATCCGACTCCTCTGTGGCTCGGTGGAGGATGCGCTCGGCGACGTATTTCGACTCGCCGTACCCCATCTTCGCGGGGGCAGAAGGCTCAAGGATGATATGTTCCGGGACGGAGGAGTCGGAGGCCAGGCTGAGGGAGGTCACTGAGGAGAGACTGGAGACGAAGATTATTTTCGCTGGTGATGGGAGGCTGGCGCTGAACTCGACCAAGGCGCGCACACCGCTCAGGTGTGGCGAGAAGGACTGCAGGGAGAGGTTGAAGTTCACCGGCCATGCGTTGTGGATGATGTGTGAGATCTGCGCCAGACGCAGCTGGTGGAGCGCTTCTTCGTTAGGGAGGCCAAGGTAAGGCGCGGCCAGAGAGGTCGAGTAGAGAAAGTGAACGCGGTCATTGACATCGGGCAATCCCATCGCCAGTTGCCGAGCCTTTGCGTCCGGGGAGCGGTTGATGCAGTAGATGCTTCCTACCTGGGGGTCCGCGAGGAGCGCGAGCAAGATGCGGCTTCCGAGTGAGCCAGTGGAGCCGGTGAGGACCACATTACGCAGGTGCCCTTTCTGGCGCTGGAGATTGGCGAGAGAAGGCATAAAGGCCGTGTGCTCGCGCACGAACTGGTCGATGAGGTGTTCCCTTCTCTCGTCAGATGCGGCTTCATCTCCACCGCCGCCCACTCCCTTTGCACTCGCCATCCGATCGAGCACGGCTTCGGCGAGTCCCTTCAAGGTCGGATGGCTGTACAACGCTCGCACATCAACCTCTACCCCGAGCTTACGCCTCTGCATCTCTCTGCTCACGGTCCGTGCAATCCTCAAGACCTGCAGCGAGTCCATCCCATTCTGGAACAGATCTTCGTCTGGTCTTAAATCGCCTTCCCATGCTGTGACAGCTCGCAGAACACTCTCGAGATACCTTTGAATCCCATTCAGCGAGCTGAAATCCACACCCTGTGACGCCGCGGCCTCATTACCCTCGCCGACAAGCGCATACCGCTGATACATCTCGGTAATTTCGCCCGCATACAAATCCACCGTCGGTCCCCGTCGAACCGACAATTTTGGCGTACGGAGGAAGGGCTTTTGCACATCTGTGAAGATGACCAGTCCCCGACTCAACTGGCCATGCCCGGGTGATTCGCGATTGGCGGCCTCGACGGCGGGCCAAATGGCCTCTATCAGCTGTGCTCGTGCTGAAGCGTCTGAAGCATCAACGCCCCGGGCTTCAAGCAGTAACCCAGGGGCGAACTGGCCTTGTCCAACAACGAGTGCGCCAGTAATCGCGCTATGGGCGTTAGCTATGCGGGCCTCAATGTCGACGGGATTGAGTTTCTCGCCATTGGAGAGGACGAGCACATCGTCGTTGCGGCCCATGTAGCGCCAGTGGTCGGGCTTGAAGGGATGGCGAATGTAGAGGTCGTTGGTGGGCCATTCGTTGAGGTCCGGCAGGAGTTCAAAGACAGGCTGCAGGCCGGGCGTGTGCTTTTGGGCCGCTGAACGAACGACTACCAGCTCGAAGGTGCCAGTGCTGTCGCCGCCAATGGGCCGCATTTCCACGCCGCTGAGGGGATGGAAGCGAAAATACTGCCAGTCTTTCACTGGATCGTCGAGCTCCAGCAAGATATACAACCCGCACTCGGAGCTGCCAATGTAATGCGGACAGTCGTTCTGTCTTGTCAGCAACAAATCACCCGCTGCCTTGGACAATGGACCAGATCCAAACTGCACAAATTTCAGGCTCGCCAGAGTGTCGAAATGATTCGGGACCGCGAGCATCTCCTCCAGGAGATATGGGGGAATCACGCAGCCTGTACATTGTCCATGGCGGAGGATCCCATCGAATAAGTGGGCGTCAAGGGCGGCCGAGGGAGGCTGGAAGATGCATACAATGTCGTGGTAGATGGATTTGAGGAGGGTGAGGAGGATGCCGCCGGTCTGTGTGTGTGTCAGATGAGGATGCAAGTATTATAGTGAGACGTACGTGGAACAGGGGCATGGCAACAAACATGCGATGTGCGCCATAGAATGGCTTCCTGGTAATGATGTCCAACCCTTCGTATTCCGGCACATGCTGCACCAGGTCTTCGTGGAAGCCGTAGCCTTGCGTCAGGCGGACGATTTTGGGCATTCCGGTCGTGCTGGAGTACGTTCAGTACGAATCAATGGCGGGGAGTTGGAACGTACCTCGAGGTATGCAGACTGACGAGCGGCAGTGCTCTCACCTCCTCGATCGTCCGTTCATACGGAAAGTCCGCAACTTCCTCATCCCGTAATAGCTCGTCTTGGCCAGGGACTTCGAACTTGGCCATGGACCGAAGCCGCGCATGACTCTGCAGAATCTTTTCCACACGTGCGGCCATGGCGTGCGTGTAGAGGAACTTGGTGCAAGTGGCCTGTTCAATCACCGTTCGCTGTGCTTCGTTGCTGTTTCGTGGGGAGAGGAAGAGCATCTACGTCCCCCCGGATGGTTGGAATTAGCACGAGGACCGGATAATCGACAGATCCATACCTGAAACCCGACTTTCAGCGCCGCAATCGCCAGAACGATGTATCGGGTGTCGGGCTCTCCAATGTAGGCCAGGGCCTCGTGTTCCTTGTCTCGGTGTGGCTCGATCGTTTCCTGCATCCATTGCGCGGCGCGCGAGATGGCGTAGTTGAGGCGGGCAAAGGAAATGTCTTCGTAGCCTTCGGCCGGATCCGTGCGTGATCGGGGACTGGCACCCCAGACCTTGTGCGGGTTGTTCTTGACATGATCAGATACAACGTGGGCTATTATGCGTGGTGCAGGGAGACTGGTTGGCGCGGTGCCGTTGGATGGACAAGGCTGGTGGTAGGACATGACTTTGGTGTTGACTATTCGAATGACTTGTCCACTTTGTGCCCATTGACTGAGGTGCAGTCATTCGTAGTATGAGGTTCTCGGAATCGAGCAACGGTGCCCGGAAAGGCATTTCGGAATTTCCGGCCATGTCGATTGGATTCCGTACGAGCGCCTGCTGCAAGCAGACATGATTTATGGATTGCCGTTACTCGGACCTCCCGCCTCGCTCAGCCGTCGGATGGGTTTTGTATGTGCATCAAACTCAAGGAACCAGCTGTAGTAGAAGTCAGCAATCACATTCGTAAAGCGAGGTTGGTCACGTACGTGAGGTTCGTGTCCTCCTTTGGATTGCGTTCCCTGTCCGTGAATCCGGTCGCCATCCACGCAAACGTCAGATCATCACCCTTGCAAAGACTCGTCCACTCGAAGTCTTCCCACCTCGGCGTGCTCAGGAGCTCAAAATAATGAATGCGACTACCAGGATGGAGGCTATTCAGCGCCCCTCTTTCGTCTCCATTCTTATACGTCGACGTGCAGTTACTCGCCCACACGGTACGCTCGAGCCAAGCGAGGGCTTGTTTCTGGTATGCGGCCGGGATGTGAGACTTGGGGACGCAGTTGCTGTAGTTTTGCGTCTGCAGTTTGTGGATAAAGGCTGAGACGTACTTGGTGACCATCTCGATCGATGTCACCAGACTTCCATGGCCTAGTGGGGACGAGGGTCCCATGAAGGTGAAGTAGTTGGGCATATTGGCTGCTGTCACGGATAGGTAGGCTGCCGGGTTCCTCAACCATTCGTCTCGCAGATTGATGCCGTCCATTCCTACAATGGGAAACCGTGGAGCGCAAGAGAGATCGAAGCCGGTGGCGCAGATTATGGTGTCCACGTTGGAAGTCATCCGATCTGCCGTCTGCACGCCGTCTTCTGTCAAGCCTTCGACTTTGCCCCATATTACCTCGCAATTGGGGTGGCACGATGCCTCGAGATAGCCATTTCCAGGAGTAGGGCGACGGCAGCTGGATATTGTTAGCGGGGAGGTCCGCGAGGTATTCAGCGAGAGATGGCTAACCCAACGGCAAAATCCGGCAGCAAAGCAGACAAGAGGTCCTCTTTGCCACCATTCCTGAGCTTGGTGGTCATATCGTCCACCGAGAACTCCCGTGCGGCCTTTTGTGAGGGAGTGTGGTCGATGTAAAGCGAGAATCGATTGTTGATTTCGCTTTCGATCATCCTGCACAAGACATCAGCATCCCGATGCGTAATGCAATTCACAGACACCCCACAGACCTTCGATACTCCAGGTGTGCTTTCGGATCTGCCGCCCACGCTGCCTTTTGCTCTTCGGTGTAATAGAGATTCGATCCATTCGGGCCCGCGAACCGCTGCGCAATGGCCGCCGTGACCCACGTCCGGCTTTTGACATGGACGTAGACTTTCTTCACTCTATTGATGATCGCGGGAAGGATCTGAACCCCGCTACTCCCATTGCCAATAAGCGCAACGGTCTTACCGTCCAGATCGTTGTCCGCATCCTCTGGCCAAGCGGCGGAATGAAGCAACCTGCCGGCGAATTTCTCTCGGCCCTGGACGTCCGGCCATCTCCAGTTGTTGAAGAATCCGCAGCAATTGACAAAGACCTCGCACTCCTCGACAAAGGTCGTGTCGGACTCGCCCTCGGCAACGCCTGCACTGGAGATGACGAGGTCCCGGCCGTCGGTTTTGCAGATTGTGATTTGCCACACCTCGCGGTCGGCGATCCAGCGGGCGTGAGTGACCTTGTGTGCCGGCTTGATGTATGGCCGCAGACCGTGCTGATCAGTCACCGCATGAATATAGTCCCTGATTTCGCCTTGAGTTGCGTAATACGACGACCAGTGAGGATTGGGTGCCCAGGAGAACTAATGACAATCAACAGAGTGAATGGATGCAATGGGAGTAGAGCCTCTCCGACCTGATAGTTCGGCGCCGGAATATCGCAGGCACACCCTTTGCCGATGTCAGTGCCAATGCTTGAGAGACTGCAGAGGAGCATTACCCGGATATCGATTCTCAAACCACGTCCCGCCCTCGCGTATGTTCTTCTCGTAGACTGTGATGGTCGCGTTCGGGATGTTGCCGACATGAACAGCCCGAGCAATCGAGATCCCACTAAATCCTGCTCCAGCAGCAATGATGCGAATGGGGCGTGGCGTGAAGGTAGGGACCCGAGAGAGTAGGTATACCAGCTCATCGATGTCTTTGTACTGCTCGGTGGCCTCGCCAGGCAGCGCTTCCCCCGGTACAAGACTTTGATAGAAGTCTATCGCTCGCTGTCTTGCTGTCGTCATGTTGTTGAGTTGAACGCGGACCGCCACAGCCCTCTCCTGTACGATATGCTCAGCATTGTTATGTCAAACCGAAGGGCTCGGAACGTGTGCGATATGGTGTTGCCATTCCGAAAGACCAGTCAGTGGCTCAGGTCGCCGGAAAGCCTGAGCCCTCAGTTCCGAGCGGCTGACGAGGAAATGTGAGATATACACTGTGGACGAGACTTGCATAACTCGATGCTACCCTTTCGATCCCGTTATCTGCGGTCGCGCCATTTGAATCGGCCAGGCAACATCGACTCCCAGGTCTTCCGCAAGCCTCATCACCCATGCCGGGTCGTTGAGGAATTTCCGAGCGACGAAGATCAAATCCGCGGCAGCATCGCCAGCGGAGTTTTGTTCCACCAAGTCTCGGGCCTGGCCGGATTCATTGATCATACCCACGACCGACACAAGCAGCTTGTTGTCGCTTGCTCTCAGCTCTTTGCGAAGCTGCTTGGCGATCTCGGCTTGTTCTTTGCCTGCGTTGAAGACGTTGAGACGTGCTGCTGGGTGGTTGCCACCGGAGCTGATGTCCAAGATGTCCACGCCAAGCGAGGGCAGGAGCTTGGCGAGGCGCGTAGTGCTAGAAACATCCCATTGCCCGAGCGTTTTGCCTTCATCGCTATCGTCCATTCAGTCGGTGGCGCTGATACGGAGGATGATGGGCATTGTCTCCGGGATTGCTGCTCGCACTGCGGCAATCACTTCGATAGTAAGGCGAATGCGGTTCTCGAAGCTGCCGCCATACTCGTCGCTCCTCTGGTTGGTAATAGGGCTGAGGAACTGATGCAGGAGGTAGCCATGAGCCGCATGAATTTCGATGATGTCGACACCGGCCATGACCGCTCGGTTCGCAGAAGAAGCCCAGTCGGCAATGAATTCTTTGATGTCATCCCGAGTCATCTGTTTTGGCTCGCAAAACCCTCCGGACTCGTCGTTTGGGGGTTTCCCATCCCAGGAGCTGCCGGCTCCACCCATCGGGCCAACGACGTTATCTGGCCACCCGCCCTCCGCGACGCTGGCTCGCGCACTGCCCTTTCCTTGCCGATTTGCAATCCATGGGGCTGTAGTCCCTGACTTCCGTCCTCCATGCGAAAGCTGGACTCCGATTAATGCTCCGTGAGAGTGGATGACTTCTGCAACCGACTTAAGGCCAGTCTGCTGGGCATCGTTGTAGAGACCGGGGCAGTTGACGCTGATACGTCCGTTGGGTTGTACACCAGTTGCCTCGACCATGACCAATGCCGCTCCCTTGTATGCATAGTGCCCGAGTGTCACGATGTGGTGAGGTGTCAAAACACCGGTGCTTGGCCCGGAAGGAGCACACGAGTACTGACACATTGGGGAGACGCATATCCGATTGCGGAGCGTGACGCCGCGGACTTTCAAAGGGCGGAAGATGGTCGGAGTGCTTTCATCGATGGTCTTGGCCGTGCCTGGAGAGGTTTGATGTTGCGGCGAGAAGTACGACAGGTTTGGTACTGGCACATTGCCAATTGTGGCATCGTAAGTCGTCATGTCGGCTGGTGGTGATTGATTATCGTTGGCGTTCCCTCTCGAGTTTTGTTGTCAAGCCGGAATGGGCTCGGAATGAACGGCAACATTCCGCGGCCTACTCAATTCCATATTGGGCACAGCACATCCACCGGCATGTCAAAGAAAAGGCTTTTCATACACTTGAATAAGTCGCACTATTCAAGACCCCCGTTCCAAACTCGTAAGGACTACCAAAGAGATCTCCGGGCATGTCCACCCATTGCTCCGGGTCCATACGAAAGTGGGTGAAGTCCTCGTCAACCATTTGAGATTCGCTCATTTCCTGGTTTGTATTAGCAACGACACGGAAGGGCACGCCCAAAGATGACTCACCATGGCCTCAACTACGCTCTCAACAGCTGTCGCGCCTTCATGCGTAGTCGTGTTCCTGGGCGTTCCCCAACGTGAGGTGACGCCACGAAGAGCCTTCAACGCTCGCTTGGCGACATTTAATTTGGCGGAGAGCTGGATCAATATGCCGTGCGCTTGGTTGAGCGCTTTGACGCAAGCAGCCTGCTCCTCGTTCTTGGAGTAGTGGAGGACGGGCACCAGATGGTACACACACTCCACCATCGATGTGGTAGTGAAGTAGCCCACAGCACGAACACACGGGTATCTCGCCATGAAGGCGACATGGGCATGGATGGTCTCTCGGGCAATCCGACTGCAGAGATACGCTGTTTCGGGGACGAATGCGGTCTGCCGAACCGGGTTTTGCCGAATGATCATTCGGAGTAGATCAATCCTGGTTGCGATTTGGAGGCGGCGGCGCAGCTGCGGTGCGGCTTCTCCGCGGAGGCCGTATTCGAAGAGTTTCTCGGTTGACCACGACAATTCGTCTGGCAGCTGTCGTCGAGTGTTGAGAATTTGTGTATCCATGATCTCCACCTGGACAGCGTTAATAAGATAGACGGTGGGAAGCGCAGATCCTTCCCCTCACCTCCATCCAGTCTCCTTTTCTCGTTGCGCCGATGGCGAAGAACGAATCCCACACATGACTCCAGAGACGAGCAAGATCGATCAGGGCCTGCAAGTAGATGCGTGTACTCCAAGGAAAATATGCCGCCTCTTCGGCGGTGCGGCTTTCGTCTGCCGGCTTGGGATGCTTGAATTCTTCGACGTAGAACTCAGTGTCTCGAATATGGTAGGAAATGCCACTCTTCTGGGCAATACGTCGATCGAGAAAATAGATTGTCCACCACAGCTGCTGTCGGGAAATGACCTCGATGCGTGCGCGGTCATTCCACGCTCGTTGGTCGTTGAGCTTGATCGTGATGGCGAGCTTTTGGGCGACTGATACCGCTTCGGAAGCGGAGCGGAGTACTTCATTGTGCATGAGATATGCGGCCTTGATGCATTGCGCTCGAACGGCGTCGAGGTCGATGGCGTTGGAACTGAGCGAGGAGATTCTTCAGCCTCGCAGGGTCAGGGAGTTCCACGAGGATCTGCGTCCGCTCACTCGATTTCGCGTTGGAAGGGCCTGGTGATGGCGGCTTCGACAAGAACGCCCCCATGGCCGCAACTTGTGATGAGAGCGAGAGATCGTCCGGGCCTGACTCGCGGGGGCGGAACATGTTCTCACCGTTGCCGTCATCAAGGGCGAGGATGTTGGATGGTGGCGAAGGCCGGGACTGCCCAACGTCAGCTCAAGTCGCTCGTATTGGACACAGAAGCAATTCCGACCGGTCCGAGAATCTAGGAGACTCTTTGTACGACTCCAGCAGATGGCCCATCATGCGTTCGAGTGCCTTGACACGGTTGCATAGTTCATTAATGTCGTTTGGAGGTTCAAGCGATGGGCGCACGACGATGCTCTCTTCGGCATCGTTCAAGGCTTGGTTCCACGATACGTCTTGGATTGGCAGCGTTGCAGCAGAATCATGTCGAGCCACCGAGCTGCTGCGAGCCGTGAGCATGGAACTCAGCTGAAAACCAGCAAGAAAACTCACCGGCTGTAAGTCCGATCACCTGAAGTTGAGGAGTACTGGGAGAGAGCGCCTCTCGCATTGCAATTCTGGCACGAGTCCTCTCCGGAGCACTGCTAGGTATTGGCAAAGGCTCGTTGTTGGTGGCTTCAAGGCAAGATACCTTTACTTTCCTCCGCTTACACTCCTCACTGTATTTCACCGCTGTCAGTCGAGTTTGGGTTGGATATGGCTGCCCTTACCATGCTCTTGCGGTATACTTTTTCCGTTTGCTACCTTCTTTCCGTTCACGTCCGGACTGATCTCTCGGACGGGCTGATTGATCCACGACTATCTCCAGCGAGGAGTCCATTTCCGACAATTGTGGCGTGGGAAAAGATGAGGCTGCCGGAGGAGTCGGTATTGGAGACGGTGCGGGGTTGCTTCCGTTCCGCATGTACCTTTGTCTACTTCCTACTTGGGTTCCGAAACGAAACCGCGCTCAATACTGACACGTCTTCCCACCATCAGATACCAAAGCCAGGCCATTGACATAGCTCGACATGGTACTGCTCAAGTACACACAAGCATCGGCAATCTCATCGGGGTAACACAGGCGCCCGAGCGGATTCGCAAAGACCGGGGAAGATTCACCTCCCACCTTCTTTTTGAGACTTTCAATGAATGGGGTGTCCACAATCCCCGGGCAGACGGCGTTCACGCGCAGCCCTTGGGGTCCATGTTCGATTGCTGCACTCCGTGTCATGCCCATGACGGCGTGCTTTGCGGCATTGTAGGGCATGACATCGGGCATACACACAAACCCGCACACACTGGAGAAGTTGACAATGCTGCCAACCTGCGCCCGTCGCTCGTCCTGCCACGCGGTACTGGTGAGTTTCCGCGGTTGTTTGAGCATCACTCTGGCCTCGGCGGACATGCAGAGAGCCACGCCGCGGCCGTTGATGGCCATGACTCTGTCGTATTCGTCAATGGGATAGTCCGCCGTCTTTGCTCGGTGATTGACAATGACCTGGATGATCTGAGTTAGTTTACTTTACAGGACCGTCTGGTGCGGTCTCTCGTACGCCTGCTGCGTTGGCAGCTGGTGCCGTCAGCCAACATTGACCAGTAAATGTCAGACACGTTGCGACTCACCACAGTCCAACGTTCCGAAGGCGGCAACCGCCTGGTCAACCATCTGGTTCACCGACTGTTCTTCGGTCACATTCACAACCACTTCCAATGTGCCAACGTGCGGAGATTGTGCCTTGATCAACTTCGCAGTCTCCGCGAGTCCAGCAGCGTTCATGTCTCCCAACGTGATGTTCTGGACTCCCGCTCGAGCATACGCGAGACTTAGTTGACGGCCAATCCCCGATCCTACGAAATGGCGTTAGGCAAGTCCAAGTAATGAGATGAAGGTCTGTCCTACCCGCGCCAGTCACCAATGCATTGCCGCTGAGAAGAGCCATGTTTGAGCAGAAAAAGGGAATGTTTCTGATTGCGTAGAAGTTTACAACAAACAACAAGCTGAGATGATACATTATCCTTCGGAACGGTGAACGGAAGGCTGGACGCTCGGAATGGTGATGTTTCGGAAGAACCAGGTGTCAGAGCGGAGTCTCAACTATGGACAATCTAAACGTTCCGCAACAGATCGAACTCCTCCGTTCACGCTCCAGCCTTTTGTCGCGGAATGATTTTGACATACATCTCCGGCTTCTCCCAGAGAAGAAATGCGCTCTGCTTGCCCCAATCATTCGAGATGGCGTCAAGTTCCAGATCGAAATTCCATAACAGCAGCGCCATCAACAATCGCATCTCGACGAAAGCGAGACTATGTTTTGTTAGCAAGTACTTCTTCAAGACCGAATGAGCAAACACACTTGCGACCGAGACAATTCCGCGGCCCGACACTGAATGGTTGCAAGGCTTCCTTTCGATCCTTTTCGAAGCCTTTGCCCTCTCCAATCCATCGTTCGGGGAGGAATTCGTCAGGCCGGGTGAAGTTGTCGGGCGAGTGGTATGTTGCCCACTGCGATTGCCGTACGAGCGTCTATTATCATCGGTGAGTTCATTGTCATCCAAGTGGATCAAAGTCACCCACGCGCGGAGGTACGATCTTGCCGCAAATCAGCTCTTCCCTGGGCCCTGTATTGCGTGGGAACCCATCGGCCACAGGAGGGTATACTCGAAGGGTTTCGTTGAGGCAAGCAAGCAAGTAGGGGAGCTTGTTGACGGAGACAAAATCGATGTCTTCGGCGGATGAAAATGTCGACCGAACCTCGTCAACAACCTTTTGCATTTTGTCGGGATTCTTGAGGAGGTAGTATGTGGCTCCGGACATGAGAGTTGCCGTCGTTTCGCTGCCGGCCACGATGACGGTCTCAACGCTGCTTTGGTATTCGAGATGAGTGACTTCGCTGTCGGGATGAAGCATTCCCGAAATGAGATCATCTCTCTCTTCTGTGATGGCCTTGCGGAATGCGGCTTTCTCCTTGGCCATCTGCCTCTGTTCCACCCGCCGCTGTTGAAGGTCCGAGGGAATCATTCGCCGCGTAAGAGGGGTGGCCAGAGGCCAGTATTTGGAACATCGGACCCACGCCGCCACTTTGACGGAATCAAAGATGAGCTTGACCCATGGGTGGTACTTTGAGCCTTCCAGGCAGCCAAAGGACTGCCCGAACACCAGATCTCCCATGACATCAAAGGTGAAGTACTGGGGCGACGAGTTAGCGAACGTGCGGGCAGGTGGAGGACTCCGGCGATGCTGACATTGAACCAACTGACAATGTCCACCGTCGCACGGCCGTCTCTGGCGAGACCATCCAAGCGGTGAATGAACAGATCCCCGTATTGACGAATGACATGCTCTTGGTGCCGGAGTGCTTTTTCGGAGAAGCCGTGGGACATTTGCTTGCGGAGATGCCCATGGCGTGCTCGGTCAGCGTTGATGATGCTCCCAGGACCCGAGCTCATGCTCGAATAGAAGACTGGATCCTTCATGATCTCGGGCTTTCCCTGCCGATGGCCGTAGATGTCGTTCCAAGCGTTGGGGTCCGTGTACGACAGCTCGTCGGGCGCGATTCGGACAATTGGGCCATACCGTTGGTGTTGCTCGCTGACGATGTAGATCAGATCGCCCCGGAGACAATAGTAGACGTACCACAGCCGTGTGAGGCCTGCGAGTCTCGGTCCTGGATAGCTGGCAAGTGGGTGGAGATAGACGTTGTAGATCGCGGAGAGGATCAAGTGGGCAAGGGCCTGTGATCTGTCAGATGTTGAAGCAAGGGGAGGAGAGGTGTTCCTACCAACACGCCGATTCCCATAAACCACTCGCCTACCGAGAGGCTGCTGAGGAATGATTGCCCGCTGCTGAGGAACGACATTGTTAGTTGGAGTGTGGAGCAGAGTTCACGTCTGTCCTGACCTGCTTAAAACGCTGGACATACCCAACTCATGCGTGATCGCCGTTCCGATGCCGTGCCGTGTCTGCCCCGGAATGGGCATGGACAGCGTAAATTCCGAGCCTGGTTGTTCCGAGGAGTGGTCGATCGCACCAACGGGAGATGTGTACGACTGTACTTTCAGATAATATGTTGTCTTCCATCCTGAAGTCTTGTGGCCATCTGAATTCGAGCGCAGAGCATCACCGCCATGTCCAACAGCCAGGATGGAGCCGGCGTAGCCGATGATTTGATCGCCTTTTACCAGAAGGACTCCGAGCGAGTTCCCAACCCCAGTGAGACTCTCGAATACCAGAATGTCGACAAGCTCGCATACGCCATGTCAAAGGTGCCGATGCGGACTGCGCGGCCACTCAAAGTCATCTGCGTCGGTGCAGGATTCAGCGGACTGGACTTTGCCCACGAGGTTGAGACTCGGGCAATTGAGAACTGTGACCTGACGATAATCGAGAAGAACAGTGACCTGGGAGGGACTTGGCTCGAGAACAGATATCCTGGGTTTGTCTCTTGCCTCCTCTCCTCCAAATCACGTCGCTGACAGAGGCCCGCAGTTGCGCGTAAGCTTGCTTGACTCCACCGTCGAATTTCCGGAGCTGACAAAGGGCAGTTGTGATATTCCCATCCACAGCTATCAGGTTTGCATATTCATATGCCTCGGGAGACAATGACAGATTACTGACCGCCGACAGTATTCCTGGGCTCCATTCCCGCAGTTCAACAGCTTCTATGCCGGCCGCGATGACATTCTCACCTACTTGGCCAAAGTAGCAGACCAGTTCAACTTGAGAAAGTACATCAAAACGAGCCACAAAGTGATCGGTGCGAAGTGGATTCCGGAGCGGAAGAAGTGGCAGGTCCAGATTGTCGCTACCGATGGCCGCGAAATCGTCACATCCGACAGTCAGACGCGAGATGGGGAAGCAGGTGAGCCGTTCGTCGAGGAATGCGACGTCTTCATCAATGCAACTGGAGCATACAACAACTGGAGATGGCCTACTACCCCCGGTCGTGAATCCTCAAGGGCGACATGGTGCACTCTGCACGCTGGCCGAAGACGCTCAATCTGACCGGCAAGACCGTGGCAATAATTGGGAATGGTAGTTCCGCAATTCAAATCCTGCCTGCCATTCTGGACTCCGTCGACAAGATTTACGTCCTCCTCCGCAGCAGGACCTGGGTGACACCCGCTCTGGCCAACCGTTTTGCGGGCGGGACGGGAGGCAACCAGATCTACACTGAGGAGCAGAAACAGGAGTGGACTGACTCACCGGAGACGTACTTTGTGTTGCGTAAAGACATTGAGGAGGAACTGAATGTCCGCTTTCGACTGTATCTCAAAGGGTCTAATGCACAGAACATGGGCCGCAAGATGACGGAGAAGATGATGACGGATCGACTCGCCGCAAAGCCGGAGCTGGCGGATGAGTTGCTCCCTGAATTTCCAGTTGGGTATGTTGACAGACTGCCTTGGACCGTGGGCTCGAACTAACATGTCAGATGCCGACGCCCAACTCCGGGAGTGGGCTATCTCGAGGCTCTTTGTTCTCCAAAGGTTGAGATTGTCTGGGGTGAGCTCGATTCCTTCAACGAGACGGGAGTGAAGACTGCATCAGGCCAGCAACTCAACGTCGACTCGATCATTTGCGCAACTGGCTTCAACATGGGCTTCGTGCCTCGCTTCCCCGTCATCGGCTCGCACGGACGGGACCTCCGCGAAGATTGGACCAAAGAACTTCCCGCCAGCATACTGGGCGTCACGGTCGAGGCCATGCCGAATTACTTTGTCTACATGGGCCCCACGAGTCCTCTTGGCCATGGCTCCATCATCGGCTCCATCGAGCACGTAACGAGCTACATCCGCCAGTTTGTGTACAAGTTGCAGACTGAGAACTACGCCTATTTCCAGCCGAAGGAGGGCGTAAGTAAGGCGTGGCAGGCACACGCCTTGAAGTGGATGGCCAAGACGGTTTGGGTCGAAGGTTGCGCATCTTCTTTCAAGAACGGAGCGTTGGAGGCGCCCGTCGTCTCGCTCCACCCTGGTTCGCGCCTGCATTACTTCGATCTCTTGGAGCACCCGCGATTCGAGGACTTCGAGTGGACTTCGCTGTGTCAGGATCCGATGAACATGTTTGCTTGGCTGGCTGACGGCTTCACCGCTGCGGAGACCTACGGTACCAAGACTGGCTCGTGAGTAACATGGGTGTAGGATGTTCCCGGGCACTGCTAACGAGACTCCAGGTATTATCTAACTGTATCTACATTGGAGTTTTTAAAAAACTCCATAGAAAATCTACTAAAACCTCCAAGTTTTTTTAAAAAGTAAAATATAAATAGAGTTTTTAAAAATATTAGTTTATAAAGATAGGATTTATAAAGTAAAGAGATTAAAAGAATAGATTTTATAAAAACTCCTTTAGTATTATAAGAATTTAGATCTATTTATTTATTTTAGTTTAAAGAAATCTAATAGACTTAAAAAGTTAGAAGCTAGTTAAAGTATATTCGAAAACCCTTTTAGCTTAAACTTTAAATAAATTTAACTATAATAGTTTCTTTTAATATTATTTTAGTTTTATTTAATTAATAAAAGAAAACAGAAAGAAAAGAAGAATAAGTACTTATTTAAAAGATTAGGATAAGAAAAGTTAAAAAAAAACTTTAATAAAACTAAAATAGTTATTTTAAGTAATTAAAGTGTTTTAAGTTTATATTAGAGTTTAACTAAGAGAAAAAGAATATATAAGAAAGCTCTTTTTATTTTATCTTTGTCTTTTCTTTTATATCTACTTTAAACTACTTTAATTATAACTAACTATTTAAAAATGGATTTAATTACTTTAAATCAATTACTTATAAATAATAAAGATTATATTAAAGGAGATTCTTATAATAATTCTACTATTATAGAAAGTACTTATACTAATAATATAGAGAATACTATTCTAAATTATAATATAGAAATTAAAGTTTTATTTTGTACTATTTGTAAAACTAATCTAGATAGAAATAACTATTTAAAACATTTAAAAGATAAACATTTTACTATTTATAAAAGTTATAAAGAATCTTCTAAATTAGAAGTACTTAAAACTAATATAGAAGAACTAGAATTTAATGACTTAGCTAAATTAGAAGATATTTTAAAGCCTAATCTATTTTACTTTAAAGAGTTAGATTTAAATTTAAAAGGATATAAATGTATAGAATGTAATTATATTAATATTAATTATAAAGAAGTTAGAATTCACTTTAATACTAATCACTTTAATAGTAATAAAAGTAGTAAATCTAAAGTAAACTATATTATAAATCAGGTTCCTTTACAATATATTAAAGGTAATAATAAAAATACTAAACTATACTTTATACCTAAAATACCTAATATAAGTAAAAAGAATACTAGTACTAACTTATATATTAACTCTAATAGTTCTAATTCTAGTATAGAATCTATTACTTCTAAAAAGTCTAATAGTTCTAAAGAACTAGATTTAAAAGAAGATATTATAAAAGATTATCTTAAAGAGAATTTAGAAGAGAATAAACTAAATAATAATATAAATATTAATAATAATAGACTTTTAAACTCTTATATTAAGAAATCTAATATTTATATCTTTTTAAAAGATAAAGATAGAGAGTCTTTAGTAAATCTAGTATATAATATTAAAGAAGAAGATAAAGATCTAAGTGTTTTTAATAGAATAGACTATAATAAATTAGAAGATATTATTATAGATTGTTTACTTTATATACATTCTAAAATCACTAATATAAGCTTAGGATTAAGACAAAAGCTAAATCAAAATAATAGTAGTAATACTAGAGTATTTAAAGACTTTATACCTTTAGAGAATAAGTCTACTACTAAGACTTACTTTACTTATTATGCTAAACTACTTAGCTTTATTATTAAAGTACGTTATATTAAAGGGAAATATAAGAATACAATAGGTAAAGAAAGAACTTACTTTGATTTAGTAAAGAACTTTACTATTAACTTAGAAGCTAAAGAAGCTTTAAAGAATATTATTCCGTTTAACTTAGATTTAATAGATTTAGAAGATAAAGAACTAACTAAAGAGAAAGAAGAGTTTTATACTTATATTATAGAGTTTTACATTAGTTTACTTAAAGATAATACTACTTTAACTTTAGATAATAATACTAGTTTAAATAATATAGTTCTAAGCTACTTCTTTATAACTAATCTAGATATTAATACTAAAGAGATTAAAAATATAGATCTAATAGGAAAGCTTACTAGTTATATTCTTTATAATAGTAAACTACTTACTATAGAATATTTCTACTTTAAAGAGTTAAATAATATAAAGTATACTTATAATGATTTTAATGATTTTCTTTCTACTTATTTAACTAATAGTTCTAATAATTACTTTGAATTCATTAGTATTCTAAGGCCTTATCTCTTAGCTTTAAATAAAGAAAGAGAATCTACTAATTATATTATAAAAGAAACTAGTTTAAATATTATAGAATATAATACTATAGAGTATTCTATTACTAAGATTAAAGAGCTCTTTAAGAATGTTTATATTAATTTAGAAGATATTTTACTAAAGAAGCTTTTAAAGATAACTTCTATAGATTCTTTAGATATAGACTTTAATACTATAAATGATAATACCTTTATAAGTAATATAGATTATTATATAATAGATACTTTAGAATTAAAATATCTTAAAACTAATAGGCCTTACTTTTTAACTCAATTATTAACTAAAGGAACCTATTATAATAAAACACTATTAAAAGATATAAAGAAAGATACTAAGACTTTAAGATTTAAAGATACTAATATAGAAATATTTAATACTAATATTAATAGGTTTTTAGAATACTTAACTCTCGCTATTTATTTATATAGCGGAGGTCCTTTAAGAGGAACCGAATTAACTACTATACTTTATAAGAATATAGAAACTAAAACTAGAAGTCTAATATATAATAAAGAAGATAATACCTTTATAATTTCTACTAATTATAGTAAGACTAATAATATTACTAGGAAGAATAGAACAAATATACGCTATTTACCGCCTTATTTAAGTAAACTATTAATTATATACTTAGTATTAATAATACCTTTTAAAGATTACTTATATAAAAACTACTATAACTTTAAAGACTATTCTAGTCCTTATCTATTAACTAAAGATAATAAAGTAATAGAAAGTAATACTATTAGTAGGATCTTAAAGAGAGAATCTAGTTTATTATTTAAAGAAGGTTTAACTATTAAATCTTATAGAAAGATTATTAATTATATAATTAAAACTAAATTTAATAATTATGATTATAGTAGTAATAGTAGTAATAATAATAGCGAAGAAGAAGATTTAATCGAAGATAGACAAGCTAATAGATCTACTAGAACTAGTTTAAATCATTACCTTAATATTGAAAATCCTTTTAATACTTTAAAAAGTAAAGATTTAACTAATAAAGTTAAAGAATTTAGTATAAAATATTGGTCTTTCTTTAATCTATTAGATAAACGCGATTATAAAGAGAATAGTACTTTAGAATTAAGTGTAAATAAACTAGAATCTACTACTAAGACTAAGGAATTAAGTATAAGTAGTAGTATATCTTTAGATTTATTAGAGTTAAACATTAAAGAGTTATATAAAGATTCTAAAGTAACTTTTAAGAATAATGAACAAAAAGAAGCATTAATAGCTTTAACTAATAATACTACTTATTTAACTTTTATTAATAAAACTAGTAGCGGAAAAAGCCTATTATATTTATTATTAGCTTATACCTTTAAAGAGAAGATATATATTATTATAAGTCCTAGAATTACTTTAACTAAAGATTTATATAAAAAAGCAAAAGATCTTAATTTAAATCCTAGTACTTTAGAAGATTTTAGTAGTAAAAATAGTAATCTAATATTTATAGATATAGAAGATCTTAATAGTAAAGAACTTACTAATCTAATTAA